GGAGAGAAAATTGTTTTCTAATAGATTTGCGATAAATTATACAAGTAACACACGTGACTTTTGTTTTCGCATTTGGCAGGAATTTATTTAACAGCTTTGCTGCAATTTAAAATTACTAAAGTTTATGAAACAACGTAAAAGGAATTCTGTGTCTGGGATATACTATTACTTCATGAGATCGATAGGGATTACATGACTGATGTTTGTCTGATAACCTGATGGAATTTTGAGGATGCGTGCTCCGTAACATAATTTGCACTTGAGTCTTTAAGGTTATCAGTTGCGAAAGAGGTACTATACCTTATCTCACGCAGTGTAGGTTACATACACTAATGCCTTTTCTAAAAATGTGTAAATCAAAAGGCAGATATTATTTTTTGTTTTGCCTTTGTCTTTGTTTGCAACTTCCGTTGGCCATCACATCCGCTTGCTAGTCGTTGCTGGACCGTACTGCATCGATCGGAGGCTGTTCAAACAAATAAAACTCGCCGTTGTTTATTTAATGATTGATCTTCTCGTTCTGCTATTAAGCGACAGATGTGCCAAAAACGTTCGTTGTCAGTGATTCACGTTTTGTGCGGTTTTTCTTCACAGAGACGATCGGCGTTGCTGTGCTGTGTGTTTTCCGCCTGCACTCTCGTCCCGTCCGAGCACGATGAATCATCCAGCTCTGAACGATATCTCGCGGGCCAATCCGCAGTTGGAGTACGAAGTCCTCCAGCGTATCGGCGGCGGGACATACGGAGATGTGTACAAAGCCCGTCGCATCAACAGTGCGTCGCTGGCCGCCATTAAAATCATCAAATTCGAGCCGGGGGACGATTTGAGTATTATTCTGCAGGAGATCGTGGTGATGAAGGAACTGAATCATGCCAACATTGTGGCGTATTATGGTGCCTATATGCGACAGAGTCGCTTGTGGATCTGCATGGAGTTCTGCTCGGGAGGCTCTCTGCAGGATGTTTACCATGCTATTGGGCCGTTGCCCGAAGCACACGGCGTTTGTTATGAAGGAGACGCTGAAGGGTTTGGCGTATCTCCACCAAATGGGCAAAATGCACAGGGATATTAAGGGCGCGAATATTTTGCTAACGGAAGAAGGGGAAGTTAAGCTGGCTGATTTTGGCGTTTCGGCCCAGATTACAACTACGCTTAGCAAAAGGAAAAGTTTTATTGGATCTCCCTACTGGTATGTTTTATTGGTATGGAGTTCGATGCAATTGTGAATTAGCCCTATTCCCTGATACATCTGGTTGCGTTTTAAGTGGCCATAATATACTTAATTTTACGCATTTATTTTATTTCCACAAGTGTGACATTTTCTGCATTGATTTGTTTTGCACTGATGAAAAATGGTTTCAGGATGAGCCCTGAAATAGCCGCCGTGGAACGGAAAGGAGGGTACAATCAGCAGTGTGATATATGGTCATTGGGTATTACTGCCATTGAACTTGCCGAATTACAACCTCCGCTTTTTGAACTGCATCCGATGCGTGCCTTATACCTCCTTTCTAAAAGCGGCTACAAACCTCCTCAGTTGAAAGATCGATTGAAATGGTCGCAAGACTATCAGAATTTTGTTAAATTAGCGTTGACCCGCAATCCCAAAAAACGCCCCACTGCCGACAAACTGCTCGAGCACACCTTCGTCCGTCAAGGTAACCTGGGATTTGCCTTGGGTCGTGACCTCATCGATCAGGCCCGGAATCCGCGCCGTGGACCTAGCAGTGAGAATGGTAGTGTCCACGAGCAGGATGACGACGAAGGCGCGGTATTGTCCAATGTCCTTAAACGCATTCCGTCCAAAAAGCCACCCGATTCGTATGGTGAAAACGGAAAAAACTCGCCCAGTTTTGCCCCGGTGCTCGCACATTTCAGGTCCAATGGGGATCAGCGGAGCCCGGAAACGGTTATTTTTCCTTCCTTGGGCGACATTGAATTAGGCCCCGTTTCCGATGGTACATTGGTGCGACCGCCCGCGCCTCCAGTACCACGACGGGTAAACAGTCCGGTGCATAATCAGCCACGGCCCGTCTCCACTCCTGTGCTACCATCTCAGTTAATAACCAACGTCGTGCGTACGTCCGAAGACGTTTATCTAGACGAAGACGAATACGGTGGGACTTTGCGGGTTGGCGGACGTCCATCGAGCATGGCTGGTCCAGATCCTCATTTGAACGCTGAATGGATAGAAGGTGAGGTTGCCGCTCCACCAGCGCCGCCACCGAGAAGAAAACATCAGCAGAAGAAGCTACAAGAGCGACAGAATAACAGTATTCCAAGTTTCCAGGCCAATGGTCTACCTCCGACGCCCCGGGTGCACATGGGTGCATGTTTTACCAAAGTTTTTAATGAATGCCCTTTGCACATTAACACAGCCGTCTCGTGGGTGCATCCGATTACCCGTGACCAGCATATTCTGATTGGAGCAGAAGAGGGACTGTACACGTTAAACCTGAATGAACTCCATGAGCTGGCCATGGATATGCTGCATAGTCGGCGCTGTACATGGCTGCATGTGCATAAAGATGTGTTAATGTCCATTTCCGGCAAAACTCCCCATCTGTACCGGCACGATCTGGTATCGTTGCACGGGCGGAATTTTAATAAATTCTCTTTATCCATGAATAAATTTCCTGAGAAGCTCATGCCGAGAAAATTTATCACGTCGTCCAAAGTTGCTGAGACAAAAGGGTGTTTGCGGTGTTGTGTTGGAAGGAATTCTTTGAATGGATCGAAATACTTGGCAGCCGCAATGCCAACCAACATCATTCTGATGCAGTGGTATGAACCAATGAACAAGTTTATGATGCTTCGTCAGGTGGACTGGATGCTGCCTTCGCCGTTCAATACGTTTTATATGCTGATGACGGATAAGGAGTATCCCGTAGTGTGCACGGCTGTTCGTCCGCTTATCGGCGATCCAGGCGCGCAGTTTGAGATTGTGGATTTCAATCATTCATTCATCACAGTGACCAATACGGAAGCGTCGTCCATCAGCAATGCCTACCTGGAAGTAGTCAACATGCACCAGATCGACGAAAGAACAGTGGCTCTTTGCCATGACAATGTTGTGAAATTGACAGATTGTGAGGGACGAATGAAAGAAGACGACGCAGTGACGACCAGTGAATTTCATTTTGATTTTATGATTTCTTCACTGGTTTGCCTGTCGGACAGCATTTTAGCCTTCCATTCTCGAGGGATGCAAGGAAGAAGTTTTATGATGGATGAGATAACCCAAGACATAGTCGATGAAAGTAAAGTTTATCGACTGATCGGTGCGGATCGGCTAATTGTTTTAGAAAGCAAACCGGCAGGCAGTCCTTCTGCTCCGGGAAACCTGTATATCGTAACGGGTCACGAAAATAACTTTTAGAGAAATCTGGTCTATTTGTGTGGTTTTGGACGTTTTTACATTTGTATGTTGATCCGGTTTAAAGTTTACAACTGTCGGGTAGAATGCTCATTCCGTGCCTAATAGTATGCAGCTTGTTCCTTTGTTTTCGAAGGTGAATTTTGTATTTACAAATTATAAAAATCGTTCGTTGTTGTTGCTGGTTTAGAAGCGCAGTAGGTAATATTAAATTATACAACACCATTCACAACATCTGTGCTTGAAAAAGAAATTACGTTCCACTGGACCATACAACCGATTTAATAAAAAACGCTGGGATATTGTATACAACATTCATCCAACAGATACGAGAATTAATGAGAGACATAAGACGCTTACTACTTGATAAGAGCATGTTTAACACGTAAAACTACGGGAACTGACGTACAAGGTACCATTCCTATTTCTGTAATGACCACCGTAATCATATCAGGAGGTGTGACATCAAAGGCTAGATTTAGTCTGGAAATCATAGCCGGTTCCTCTTCCACCGGCCACATGCCAGGCACGCGCAAATCGTCTGGATTACCTGCGCATTAAAATGAAGGCCCAGTCAGTTTTAAATAGCGCAACTGCTGTAGAACTCAAGATTATGAACGACATTTTTCTGCCACTAATTAAAAAATAAAAAAGAACGTTCCACATGTGACATTACGATGAGATTTAATTAACGTACCCAGTTCGTTATGCACAATGGAATCCGTCTGGACTCGCTCACAAAATTTGTATGTCTCGCAACATACTAACACAGGTACGTTATAGGCTTTGGCCACCAAAGCGATCTGAGAACTTCCCACACGCGACATCACAAAACCATTGGCTAAGAGACATTCCGCGCCCATGAGCACTTTTGATACCTGTCAAAAAATTGTTACTTAAATTATTTACGTAATTTATACCCACTATCACTGCTTTACAATACCTCCGGCATAACGTATGAAATCGAGTTGATATGGACGTATGAACATTTTAATCCATGCCGAACCAGTCTCCGCAACAACTCCCGACCTGCATTTACGAGCAGTTTTTACAAATACGGCAACTTATCTCTACCGCAAAATAAACTTTAAAACGACCTTAAGTATTCCAACGGCTAAAATAAAAAGAGTGTCAAAAATAAAAAATCTTCAACTCCAGAAAAGCCGAACAGAAACCCATAAAGCTGAGCCACTCATATTTCTCTTGCCTTCATTTCGCGGGCGACCGTCCACAACAACAACGGAAAAAGCTTTCTTTCTGGAATGAGCTTCAAGCAGAACTTTTGTCACCAGGGAAGAACTAAAATAATTAAAGAGCCCACGTAAGGTCGTATATAAATTTTGACCCTCGGAAGTACTGTACAGCTTTGCATATGAATGCCTGCAAGTTTCCTTTTACCATGAATACGTCAAAATGACATCGCCATTGTTAATCTTTTCCGCAGCATAGTTTTCGGCAATGGCTTTCCCGGCCAAAACTATCTTCTCGTCCACGTAGTGATCAAGTTGTTCAATCAGCCGAGCTTTTGCCTGTGCAATAGAAGACCGAATGAAATTACTAATTTTAGCGTGAACACATTCGACGCATCAATAATCAATTCAAAATTCGTATTCGCTTACTTCCGTATCGGGCATTTCCGCGGGTGTATGCGTAATCAACCACTTGATTTGGCGTATAGCATTTCCCATGCTTACTGACAAAGGTCGGCACTGAGCAAGGAAACTAAAATAATAACAAATGAAAAGTTCCACATCATATATTTTACCACTGCAGTATTCCCTTTTTTCTTCGTACTTAATATAGGGTTTTATGGAAGATTCCAAGTCTCGACACAGAAACTTGTTCATTGGCGTAGAGTAATCAGCAATCACCTGAAAAGTACGAGTAAGGATATTATCAGGATTTCACTATAATAAATCCATTGCAAATTATATTCACAGCTGTAGAACCAAGATTTCAAAATTTTCAGAGTAGATATTAGATAAGTAATCGACATCGGTATCCACGTAAAGCATCTTCGCTAAATGCAACATCGAATTCCCCTTATGTACACGAGTACCTCTTTCATCGCTTCAATCAAAGCAACACAACGTGCATTCGATCCGCTTATAACACCGCTGGAATAACGTATTCCCAATTTCACAATGGCTGGGTGAATTGTAGGGGAGGAGAAGCTGGAAAAGGATGGAAAAAGTCTATTTATCACTCATCTTATACTCAGCAAACTTTATACAGCGACCCTTTTCTAAAATACATAGACATTGCTGATAAATCTAAATCCCTTTCTAAAATACTGCGAATAATGCAAATATTAGTGTGCACGGGCAGGACTAACTGTCAGGCAAACTGAGGCAGTCAGACCGTTCTCAGTGAAGTCTGCGGAAACAGTTACCGATGATTTCAGTGAAAACCAATTAGAAATACAAAACCCATTCGCTTAAAAATACTTATTTTGTTATCAGGGATTTAATCGGCTAGAATTAACAAGAAATGCCAGAAATTTAAAACGAGTAATAACAAAGTACGTTTCTCTTCATGAAATCCTCGCAAATGTTAGTTACACTGAAATCGGTACAAACTACAGAGTACATAAAATAACAGCGTAACGCTGACATTCACTCACTTGAGTGTTTTGGTCAAATGCCCGACGCCTTTGTGAGGTAATGGCAAATGCGAAAAGATTCCCAATGTGGCTATAGCACTAGAAGCCTCCATGGTAGTGCTGGCCGTTTCCGAATTGAAACTCCGCTGTCGAATGGCGTTCAGCTGTTGGCGCTGGGCTTCGTTAACGCTGCTTTGCGACTGCACTGCAGGCTTAGTCGCAGCGGCCGCGGATTTCGTCAGATGCGTTTGCGGCGGAGTGCCTCGTGATTCTATCACCAATTCAGCTTCAATCACTGGCGTTGTGAAAGGCAAACAGCTAGCCACTAAAGAATTTACCAGACAGCTGGGCCTTCGGACTGGGCTTCGGAACAGTGACCGGAGACGGCTGACGTTCGGGAACGGGAATCGTGATGGGGCTGGCGCTGGAGGCTCCTGTTTTGCCAGCCGCTTTAGCTGCTCTTGCGCCTCCTGCGAAACAGTAAGTGATAAACCAGGTGAATTCGTACAGTACCTAATGACAAACGAAAAGATTATCCCCGGTACCTGTACAGCACGACGCTCCGCACGCTGCTGGGCTTTCGATTTTTCTGGCTTTTCAGGATTTTCCATATTGCGTCAGAATTTCGAGGCCTTCTTTGTGGCAAGATGGCACCGTCAGCCCGCAGCAACAAGTCACCCAAGTGTTCCGCAAAACGTGAAAAGCGACAACTCAGAAATAAGGTAAAACAGAAAAGGAAAGAAAAACTGAAAAAATGCTACATGTTTTATAGTGTATTGTACACTAGATTCTAGAAACTGATTAAGTTTTGTTAAGATTGTATTGTAAGTATTTACTCTAGAGCAACTAATGATTCAACGAATAAGCATGGTCTGTATATATACAGACCATGGAATAAGGTTGGCGTGTTGTGAAATGTGAAGTCGTGTTGTTCAATTTTCATTCACTACCGGCGGTCCGGCGACCGCCTCTTGGATCGGTGACACCTGACAAGTAGTGTGTTGCGGCCACTGTTGCCGATGCAAAACTTTAAACTGTCGCAGATTTTTGTGTTAGAAAAAACTTTCCTGCAGAGTGAATCTGTTGTAGATAGGTACGTAGAAAATCTAAAGTAGTTCAAATCTCGATACGATTTAGTCCTCAGGTGTAAAGTTGTAAACATTCAAATCTTTATTTGTGGGCGTGCACAAGAAAACCAATTTCAAATTAAAAAAAGGTAATGATAAACGGACACGAACAAAGGTCAAAAGCTGAAAGAAGCTTACGGACTGAAAGGATTTCGAAGTTATTTACTAAAAATAGCACCGTTATTTACTGTTCTTGGTTTTATGTAGACTTATTAAACTGTCATTTTTCTAAAATGCCGGTAAATGCTGTCCAGTACCCATTATTTTATGGAGCAGCAAGCAGCTATGTACAATACAATATAACAGTTTTGAGGTCCTACCGTAGGTAGGTACTCTGTCTTCCTATATAGACTAGAGTCACTAGACTAAAGTGGCACAGTTTTCTTTGATCGATGTCATCTCAGGGTCAGAATAGTGGAGTTTTGATATTACGCGATAACCTAGAAAGATTAATTACGCAGGACAGCGTCGATTGCCGCAATGGATTTTGTATTAACCTGCTTGATCAGCATTGTACAGTACGAGTACAGCATTAAATGTCGACGCCACAAAAAGTTTACTGGTGTGAATAAGTCCGAAGATAATGAAATGACCAGTGAGTGTGCCTTTGCTTTTGATAATGCCTTATATAATATTTTTTGAAACAGATAATGCTTGTGTGATGCATGTAAGGTTTTAGTTCTGAAGACAACAAGTTCTTGTTACTTACTGGAATTTTTATGTATTAACAGCTATAGAGCCGCCATTTGGCAATAGAATAGAACTTCTGATAATTCAATAAGCGATTGTGTGCCTAGTGTACCGCGTTTATAATAGGTCAAGCGTACTGTGACGAATGACGACAACTGGACATTAACAGAAAGATATCGGATGCGGTGCACTTTAAAGGATAATCAGTGACATTTCATATTTCGTTTAACCGATAAGCAAAATTACTGAAAGAAGTCATCAAAACGCCTGTTTGAACGCGCTCGGTCATGATATCATCAGTCCAATGGATGGCAAAATTTGGCTGTTTCGGTGGCTATTTTCTGAGTGAATTGATATCACTGACTCCCCAGCCGTGTTATTACGTATTGTATGATGTTGGTTCGACAGCATAAAGATCTCCTTTTAAAATAATGCGAGCGAAGGTAAATACGATACAACGCTCCACGCAGTCTCAGATTCCCGATTTTGCCAATTGTTTCATTCTAATTAATTGTATTGTACATCTGTATCAACATATACAGCGCGGTCTGCTACCGTATACGACACCATTAATCTTTAGCAGAAGCCGTTGACCAGCGGCGAAGCAAATTGCATCGCGGACCATTTTATTCGTTTGCCAGTTAGTTGGGTGGTACTTGTCTAGACATTTTACGCAAGACGGAGTGGCACCAGTGCTTTCGCAGTTGGATGGGAAAGTTGATTCTGGTCCTGAAATCTTACCGGCCCGCATCTTGTTTAAAGCCCATATCGACATAATCATTCAGTGATTGTTTTGCCGGTGCCAAGAGAATCAGCATATATGTATGGCATGCTGTTGTCCAAGCCATTTTGCTTTTGCGGCAGTTTTGCTGTATGCGGATTAATAAGTTTATCCCGTTTCTAGTGGAAAAAATGGATATTAATACCAGTGCGTTTTTTATATGGCGGACAAGCGAGAGAAAACGGTTGCTGTTTGCTTTCCTCATTTTTTCCTGCGTTAAAGCTGCTTGTTCAACAGAAAGACACAACTTTGTGGTAAGCCGCCAATGACAGTGTGAGATTGTTTTAACCGAACAGTCGGAACAGATAACGTTAACTGAATCTCCATGCTAACCTTTTTATTCAGAAAAAAACTGATCTTTAATAAGCGAATGAATAAGTTGCTGGAACTATTTTCTTATTAGAGAATTATTTGGACTATGATTGTTTTGACTACGATTTTAATACACAAAGCGTGATTCATTTATACTTCTACTGCATGTGCCATGCTGATGAATACTGCTGTACGCATCGAGCCACATCTCGGTACAATTTTGAATTTTGTGCCAAGCATCTGGCTGCGTCCATTACTAATGCTGCAATATTCATTCATTTAATTCCTTTACGCCGATAAGGCATGATAACGAAATAAGCTTTCTGCTCTTGAAAATAGCTACGCGTTCCAAAGTGTATGGTCGTAATGGCGCAATTCATTGCTTGATATACTTTATCTGTATTTATCGGTTCGTTCAGAAACCGGTATAAGCAAAACGCAGAGATACTGTATTGCCATCAAAAGAGCCGCAATGTAATTTTCTGTTGCACAATCGAACGCTCCTAAACAGATTTCAAAAATTTACCTGACTACTATCACTCAAAAATTTTAGTCAGCCAAAGTTTGTATATTACCATTTTCGCTAATTTGCCAAGGACAGATGGGAGAAAGTAAGCCGTATCGCGACGATAGTACTGTATATATAAAAAGCTTGTTTTTTTTCGCCAGTAAGGCAATTACCATAAACTGCAGCAGTGTGATGCTGTGCGCATCGATATCGATTAACAATAATATTAATAAGTACTGCATATAATAATTTATGCAAAGGTTTTGCTCCAATTACTATTACAAAAGGTTCCAATTACTTATTCATTCACGCACAACTTGTACGAAATAAGTACGTACGAGTACAAAGCATGTACAGACAGTGCTGCATGAATGTGCGTCGGTAGAGCATTTTGTTACTATAAAAACATTCAGAGAACTGAGTAATTATAATTTAACTCAGATGAAAAGAACAGTTGTACACGTAGCTTTCACTAAATTTGCTAAAATTTCTCATTACGTAAACAAATTCCGAAAATATCGGCGGTTTTACCGACCGGTATCTTTGAGTCTTTGACCTTACGCACCGAAAAAATCTTGGAAGAATCAGATAATGTACCCAGCTCGGTCTAAAGTTTGGATGCACTTTATAGCAGTGAGATAATTAATTATTAAAACAACTTCACGCTGACTAGGAGCAATTATTCCAAGAGTCGGTTTAGTAAAATATAGACGCAGTTAGAAAGCCATTTACGAAAAATTGTTCTAAAAAGTTTTTCAAGTTGAACCGTATGCAAATTTGGCTGCAGCACGCCACGTAAAACGCTTTTGCTTCCGCTATTTTTAGCATTTGCTGGCTATGACTTACGCCGTACGAGCACAAAGCAGCGTAAATATGTGTGTTTTCCCAAGCTGAGTGGTATTGTTCTTTTGGCCATTAAATGTTACAGCGTTAGTTTGATGCAGAATCTTAGCTTGTTTATTCCCATTCTTTTCCATCAAAGGGATGCAGACAGCGAGTGAGCCGTAACAGAAGATTTGATTTGACATTGCCTTTGCATAACGTCGCAGGTGTATAAAGTTTATTCATCAAACCGATTTTCTCGCGGCTGGCCATTCGTATTCCCATAATAACGATTATGAGCTGAATTCAGAGACACCTGGGCATACAGCCACGTGTGCAGAAAACGATTTAACCTAGAGTAATCAGACAGACCGTCCAAAGCGATGTTTTCAATTGACATTATTGCGGTACGATAATTACCATGATATATTATACATATCGAAACAGGCTGATTTCACAGCATGTCCAGTGTCCATTCTGCGACAACATTTTCAAGGAATGTTTTCAACAAAATTCAGAAATACGTTTTAAATACGTATTTTGCATATTAGTGAAGAAAGTTAGACATGCGGCCAAGACGACTCGCAGTATTTAAATTGGAAAATAAAACTATGCTTTCGGTAACATACAAAAAATCGAGTGCGATAAACCGTGCAAATTCTTTATATATGTATATTATTACTTTTGTATGATGCACGAACAAAATTACATGTGAAGCGTTTCACGATGGTAAAGCTGAATCTAAAAGCAGTAAACCTATGACAGCAACTTGAAAGGTTACAAAAGTGTACAATTACGGTAATTAACACCTGTAAATTTGTCTGCCTCATAGAATTGTTCCCGACGCACTTTGAGCCTCGTGTAAGGTTTCGAAGTACGTATAAAAGTCCCTCGGAACCACAAAGGGGCTGCGTCAGGGGGCTAGCACAACCTTAAGTTCTTCGAACAAACTGCGGTGAGGCTCGGTATGTTTTTCAGTGCTATTTTCTCAGATACAAAGACGAAACTAATAACCGGAAGACACCACTCATATTCACCAGTCAGTTAGTTTAGCAGTTTATTATTTTGTTTGTTTTAGTATCAAGAGTAATAAAAACTTCGTTAATCGTCACCAGCGGGTGCTTCTACGTAATACTGAATTATTTGTTAGTAGAACAATCTGTAATAAAGGGATTTGTGTGTAAGGGTTTTGAAGTTTGTACAGTACTCGGAATTCGGAAATGTTGGGTGTTGTTTCTTTGTGTATTTATTACGGTTTTTCTTGATATAATAGCTTGGCATTCTCGCCGGCAAAAATAAGTAGTGAATTTGAATTTCAGGTTATTTGGCGTTATTAGCAAGGTAGTCGTGGTGAAATTGTTGACAAGGAAAATAGACTAAAAACTGGCTTCGTTTGCTCAGAATTCACTCGCCTTTTTTTAATTTTTTAGTTAGCTGCAACAAGCTCGGACGAAGTCACAAACTGTGATATCGATTGCTCAAAAGAACCAAAGCGGGCTATATGTGGAAGTGATGGAAGGACGTACGCTTCACAATGCGAGCTGGACCGAGAAATTTGTGAAGGTCACCCTGTGCGATTTAAACATCCAGGAGAATGTCCAGGTACGTGCGTTACAATACTGATTGGAGTACAATATATAACTTCAAGAACATTCTTGCACTTTCTTATTTACTCGCAAAAAGATGTGAGTACTCGTACTTGCCCGGTTATACTTCTGTTCGAGAAGAAAATGTTCATGCTTTCTTCATCCAAGATGTCCTCAGAATGGGTGTTTTTTAGCTCCGCCAAAATGGCGTTATATAGGTCCGTGGAGGCGTAGATCATGTATTTTAGACGTGAAAATGTACATAAAACAGTCTCCATAAGTATACTGGAACATGCCGTTCCAAGGACGGCGTGTTGTGCTCCGACGATTTCTGTAGCACGTCAAAACTGCTTGAAGTAGGACCGGGTTGCCTATAAATCAGATCGAGCGATTAATTAGCTTTTTTATTACTTTTCTAATAAATAACGGGTACTTGTGCAAACAAAATCACAGTTTTCACAATATTAAATAAATTGCAGTAGTACAAAGTTTGTAATGATTTATGAGCAACGAATGTATTTTGCTATCATTTTTGACAGAGTCGAAAAGATGCCATATGGAACGACTACATGCTCAAGAGATGGCACAGAAGCCGACAGCCGGGGTTTTTATCCCTGATTGTGAGCCAGATGGGGCTTACGCTAGCGTACAGTGCCACACCGGCACAGGATATTGCTGGTGTGTTACGCGTAACGGGCGACCGATTCCGGGGTCGTCGGCTCGTTTCGAAAGGCCGCACTGCGCACACTATTGTAAGTTATCCCGAAACCAATATAACAAACTCTTCTTCGAGCGCGACTATTTAGTCTTTGATATGATTTTGGTTTACAATTAACTTGGATATGTGTTTCGAATTTCAGTGAATGCCAACAGTCACAAGCGATCGTCCCGCGGAAGAAAGGCGCGGCGTAGTGAGTAACAGTCAGACAATTTTTTAGTGGCATAATACCAATTAATATTGTACTTCGTATATTGCATAATGCTGGAAAGCAAGCAGGCTGCATTACAACAATCTTTTTATGTTGGGAATATCATATGAACTCCTAAATCATGATTGATTCCTTTCGTGTTGCTTTAGGTTGTGGCGTGGATGACCGGCAGCTCTTCAACAGAAATATGGTGCATATATTTGGATCCGAGTACAACAGGACACAAGAAAGCCGCAACGGTAGAGTAGGCATTTTAACGAAGCAAGTTATTATGGATGAAATTTCCGCGGTTTTTTTATAATTATATGAACGTAACAAGTATTTCGCATAAATATAAATTTTTGTGTAATTTTGGGAAGGTGATTAATTTCACATTTAAATCGCAGCCACAGCAAATATTTCCCTGGATCTGCGCATCGTTCGGTGGAAGTTTGCTCAGTTAGATCTGGACCAGAATCGAGCGTTAAATAAATCCGAATTGAGAGATCTGAGGAGAATGGTCAAAAAGATTATTCGACCACGCCCTTGTGCTAGAACATTTGCACAGTACTGTGATTTGGATCAAAATAAAAACATCACACAGGAAGAATGGACAGTGTGTCTGGGAGTTACCAATACTATTGGTACGTGCTGTATGTACGCAATACTCGTACACTCGTATCGCAGTATTTATACGGAGACTTTCAAACATTTAGTACCATTCGTTGGTTATCCAGGATCTGCGGATGCAGTGTGCACTACGTAGTGCTAAAATTAATGCTCATACATGCAATACATAGAGGCTTTTTTAAAAATAAAGCGTGAAATTATAATTATGAATATTTGTCGGTTCTCTTACGGACAAGGTTTTAAAGCTAACAGTTTACATCTTTTGCATGAATCTAAATGCAGGAAAAAGCGGAGGCTCTCCAACAGCTGTTGTGTCCAGCCAACCTCCTCGGGATTCGATTTTGACCATAACGGTCCGGCCGACAGCGTCGCTCATGTTCACGAATAAACCGCCCGTGGGAAAGCAAGTTTTCGAGTTATTTACCAGAGATCCAAAAACTAACCGACTTACAGCGTCATGGAAGTCGAAATTCGGCACTTTGGACAGTGGGTTAAGCGGCATCGACTTCTTGCAGGAGGTAGTGCCGACGAATTCTTCTGCCAGAAAGCGAGATCCTTTGTTAAAGAAAAGTACGGTCACCATTCAGGGTCGTCCAGTAATGGAGTTTTACGTTGTTGTGTTGTACTGCAGAAAAGCCTAACTGTGCAGCTGAACGAAGCAAGGTTTTACTTAACAAACGAAGAAATCCTTCGGCCACCTATGTCCCGGAATGTGATGCCAGTGGCAACTACGCCAAAGTTCAATGTCATGCCGCAACAGGTTTCTGTTGGTGTGTCTATCCGGAGAACGGCAAACCCATTTCCCAGACATCCAGGCTCAATGCTCGGCCCGACTGCAATATTCAGCGACCGCTGAGAGGTATCACAGACTACTCGATGTTCCGTTGTTGGTCACTGCAGTTTTTTGCTCGGTAAAGGTCAAGGCGCTGTAAGGAAAAATTAAAACTGATCTTGTGAACGCAATAGGTAGGGCAGTACAGGGTACAACCATCTATATACACAAGCATTAGAAGCATACGTATTGTGTAATTTGGGTTGTGGCCTCACGCATTCCTTCTGCTCATTGTCGTTCAAGGAATTGTGAGATTTTTAAAAAATACGATCTTTACTTTTTAATTGTAGGTTGCCCTGGTGCCCGGAAAGATAATTTCCTCGCTAATCTGACTGCCTACCTTATCCAGGAAATGACGAGTTCGATAATCAGAAATCAGTATGTCTCGTATTCAGCGCTTCCGCTGCATATTACTCTGTACATTCGAATTTCGACCGCAGTATCTATCGTAGTTGTCCTTTTACAAACCAATTTCACGGTGATGTTCCACATTAAATGGCTAATCGTTTGTTTGATTTTATTGCAGAAGCAAGGCCGTCGATATTCAGTATACCAAAAACGATGCTCTTCGATGGAAATTTCAGAATCTAGATACGAATGGAAATGGGGTATGTATAGTAACCGGCCGACGGTTATGAACGAAATTATTGCATAAAATGGGGATGTAGATTTCAGGCAAAAATTACTCTACTTAACTCTTGGCAGTATTATTGTTGAACCTACGGTTAGGTATACAATTATTGTACTCGTAGATACTGGAACGGTCTGAGTGGCGTCCGTTCAAAGAACATATGATGACCAGCGAAGGGCTCCGCAAATGTGGTAGGGGATACATGCGACACTGTGATACGGACGACAACAAAAGGATAAGCGTAGAAGAATGGCTAAGATGCGCCACTTCGCCGGCCCAAAGTGAGTTCCGCATCGGCAATTCTACTCTGACTGGGCTACTGGTAGTTAAATTTGAGCGTCTACATAGGTGAACGTCGCGCATCAATTCATATTAAAAGACTCGGCCCGAATCCTTTGGAAAAATATTTGAAACCGGATTAAATGTACCAAAGATACTTTCCAGATCAAAGATTTTTTAGTTATATATTTATTTTCTAAACTGTCTTGTTTTCTTTTCTGGCCTGCCACACAGTGTGAACGAAATTCGCACCGATTGCTTACTTTACTTTCTATCCTTCGTGTGCAAATCGCAATTCAATGATCTCTTTATTTCGTAATTAATGGACTTAAATGTCTCGCCGGTTTCGATATATTAATAATTTGTTGATATTTCTTTACTGCAAAACATGAAGCGATGTACTGTACAGTATCCGAATAAGTAAAAAATCACAAGGTAGAAAGATCGCCGTTTGTGAACACCGTTACTCTTTCGGTTCACCTTATCACGGAAGGTTTCAAATTATCTTCGTGAGAAAAAGCCAACTTCTCTAAAAGAGCCACATTGTCCATATCAGAAGACCTAGAAAATATATTTTATTAGGTAACAGTCACTGCAATTTAGTGGAGAATTCTGTGCAACACTTTGGTATCCTACTGAAGTCCAGTCCAATTAAACTGAATTCTATTACGTAGCTGCAAGTTACACCATTCACCTCCACTGGTGAACGGATAAAGGAACCATTTATACAGTCATACTCTACAAAAATCTGGTTTAATCCGAAACACAGTACGTGCCATCACTTACAGTACGCGTTCTCGTAATTTGGCGTATTCACGTGCATTTTTTTCGCTTCGTTCTTCCACGTCCACTCTCCGCAAAACGACAGACAAACTAAAGAACAAGACCAAGCTCACAGTCAGTTTAGAGAAGTTTTTCATTTATTTCTAAATACCTATTAAACGAAATGCCGAATTAACATATCACAGACTAAAAAAATCGACAGGCAGGAGATTAAATTGTACTAACCGGTACGTCCCGTAATGTATCAAACAACCCAACAGCGCAATCAAAAAGCACAAGCCCAACATCCATTTATTCGAAACTTTTGCAAATCCGTTAATCCCATAATAGTTTGCAGTTCCCACAGGCACATACTCAGCCTTCGCAAAAATGGGACCTTTGTAACGTGTGCGAGATGGATCCTCCTCCTTGTGCCTGTAAAATAGAGTACTTACTACTACACTACACACCAACCAGTGATAGTTAGCACACTAAGAAAAAGCCTGACTTGTGAGAAGTCACTCTGTTATTAGAAGACACTCGAACGACTAGCGAGTACATTATTAATTTTAAAAGTGTCCCGAGCCACCGGTGCGTACATTCTCTCCGCAGCCTCTCGTGGGATCTCTTCCGATGGTGCTTTTTCTGACACACTTTGTCGGAGTGCAGTGTCGTATTCGTGCCTCAACGTGACGGATCGTAAAACACGATAAGCTTCCAACATTTTGACAAATTCCTGCTGCGCGTTCTTGTTTTCTTTGTTACGATCAGGATGCAACTAACCAGCAGACATACAAATAGAGAAACTATTCCTTAAAGCCTAATAATTATTTCAAGTAAAAAACGAAAGTAAAATCATGTTCGACGCGACTGCACACACACCTCTTTCGATCTGCGCACAAATGCTGCCTTGATATCCTTGGGAGACGCATTTTCCTCAACTCCCAAAATGCGGTAGAGTGTTGCGTTCGAACTAGCTCGAAACCTGCAACAAAACGTTACAAAGGAAAGGAGTTCAAAGGACCATGAAGCAAAGGACGTACTGTGCACAGATCTAAGGCTGTGCCTTTTTACTGTTCTGATGACAACCATTTCAACATTCAGGATTGTATTTTGGGTCAAGGCAAAATTACTAACAAGTTATGCTCACCTGTGATATTTTCTGACTCGTAATTTATCCTGGGTCAGATGCACAGATTGTCGGATTTCAGGTAATTTTTGTAGAACCAAAAAAAACGGATACCCATCTCGCCCAAGCATGCTAACATTTATTTTAGTAGTAGCTGTATATCAACTGTGTCTGTAGCCAGCATTGTAAAAACAAAACAAATACAGAAAAACATTATAAACAGTATCTTAGAATCTATATCAGAATTAATAAAAAAAACGACCTTGTCCGGAAAAGCAATAATATGATTAATACGAGTATTTATCAGACAAAATAAATGGAAAAAACTAGAATTTCAAAAACATAAACAAACAGCTGATTTCGGTAGCCTAAATTTAGGATTTTCGGTAGCCTAAATTTAGGATTTTGGTTACAGTACCTGAAGTGTGTGCATTGTGCAACTTTCGCACCGTTGCACGACCGCGAAAACTTCCGTCGGTGTTTACTGCTTTTGTATCGTATACGAGTACGCATTACGCACTATTACGCAGTTCCCTTTCTGGTGGTAGGTTTCCAGGACCTTCCTTTTTACTTTTTACGTTCCTTTTTACTTGTGCTAATATAAACAACCTAACGATAACATGATTTATAACATAATGTATTACCAATGACCTAGGTATCCGTGGTCTTTCGCTGGGACACCTACCCGTGGTCTAGCTGGTCTGTGCCAGTTACAGCTTACAGTGCAAGTACTTTTCATGCAATGCAGTTCGTCGCAGATTGTTGAAAGAAACTTCAAAGTTACGAACGATTGTGCATCGTTATGATGTTATCACTTGCGGCATGACGACAATAATGGATCACATTATCGCAAACCATGAACATTCTGAAATGGAAAAAAATTCGGAGAAGTTCGGCAGTATGGAGTTTGATCGTGAAGACGACGACGCTAATATGGAAGCCCAGGAACAAGAAAATGTTACTACTGAAGAACTGGAGAACAGTGGGAAAGATGGAGGATTCACAATTGATGATTTGAAATTTCCTGAAGCAGTTGTTGTCAGAGTCATGAAGGAAATTGTAAGCAGAACCGCTGATTAGTGCATGTAGTTTAGTTTGAGCGTGCACAGAAGCACGGTATAGTAAAATAATTAACAATGTCTTCACTGTCCAACTGACGTAGCTGCCCGAGAAAACCCCAGTTGCGAAGGATGCCAGAGATTTTCTCTCACGGACTGCAGTCTTCTTCGTGTTGTACCTTGTAGACTGGTGAGTGTATGGGTTAATTATGTTGAAGTATGATAAAAGGAAAAGCGTAGGAATGCGATACTTAGTAACTTTACTGTAGTCTTCAGTTTGAGTATGACTTGAGACCCATAGATTATTCATATTTTAAGTCAGTCGTAGTCAGTAATGACACGCAAGAATCTGCAAGATATAATACGAGCCCCCTTTTTATAGTGCGGTTGGTTTGGCTGTGCGAAAGAAAAGGAAAACGATCCTACCGGAAGATGTGTTGATGGCCTTGGATGACGGTGAATTCAGCGCCATGGTGATTGAACTGAAAGCTTTACTAGCAGGTGGGAAAGCATATTCGTGCTTACGTTGGTAAACTCACCGTCAGAGAAGTGGTAGAACTTCACTTTACACTTACAGAGCGAAAGAAAAATCCTTTGAAAGCAAAAGAAATTTCAGTGAATGTGCCCGATGCATCGCTAGCATCCAAGACATCGACAGAAATAGTATTAAATGATTTACTGGAGCAACTGGAAGCAGAGAACATCCCCGAGGGCGGGAATGATCCTGTACATGATGTGCTGGATGAGAATAATATCGACCTTGGCCGTGGTGGTGAACTTGTGGAACCTTCCGGACAAAAGTGTCTAAGTGAAGCATTTAATGCATCCGATGACGAAGACTAGCCGTCGGCCTGGTTTGCCACTGTTTATGGTTGTCTTATGGGTAGTATAATCTTTTTGCTCTTTTTTTCTGTATGTATTGTAAGAGAACTTTAAGAAATGGTGTGCTGTAACGCACTGGCCATTCGGTACGGTACGGGCGTCGGCGAGTGATATTACCAAAACCATTGAACCATTTTATGGTTTTTTTTTTGCTGTAGACAACTCGCTAAAAGCTCAAACCGTTGCACAGGTCTGAAAGTTTATATTTCCGGATTGCTATGTTAACCGGGCACTGGGCAGCAGCCCTTTTAATATAAATAATGTATCCTTTTTTAATCGTTAACGTGTTGTACCAGAAGATCTCACTTGTCAGCCTGTTGCACTGGGACAATTATTCGTTTAACACCCTTAAATTTCTTACAAGCATGCAAAAAAAAAGAAAAATACGAAAATAATATTTAAAAACTTAACAATAGAAAATTATGTTTTACCCAGTACAGAAACCGGTACCCTCAATTTAAATTCAGTGTTAAATATTAGTAAAAATTACTGAAGTATCGTTTATCGCAGAAATTTGCACAACGACACGTACTGTACGAGATACTCACAATTACAAAGTATTATTGTTAGTGTTTCTTACACGACAAGAATTTATACAGTTAATGTATTATGCAATGTAATATACAAAATTGCGACATTTCGCAGATTCATGCGTTAGTAATTTAGTACACTGTATCTGGACGCTTTTGCAGCCAATGATTGATCCCGTGAAGATTTCGGATATGCTGCCGGTGTGCGGAAAGCAACGGATATCTGTTAAGAACTGCTTGGTCAAATTGGAGAAGACCATCCAGAAACCGCGTAACCACAAAGTCCGCCCATGAGGGTTTTTCCCCAACAAAGTAAAACTTTTTACTGTTGTTTTGTAGCATATTCTCCAGTCGTTTCAACACAGACACCGACTCGCGCAAATAATCCTCCCTGAGAGAATCTTCTCGGGATGCATGGTTGGCGGGACCTTTTCCAAGTTCGTCCTCTTGGACAAAAACTGCAGCCGCAACCCAGTTGGGCTGCTTTCGTTTCACTTCCGCTATATAGTCGGCTAGCGCATCTACTTCGGCCTCTTCCCATGCACTGGATCCAGCCAAGCCAAATCTCTTGGCCAAAAAGCGTTGAATGGCATAACTTTCCCCTAACACTTTACCGTCTACTTCCAAGAAAGGGAGTTTGCCATATGGCGCTCTGTGCTTAACAGCTGGCCACTCAGTGACCGGATCCAGGCGATTATCTTCGTACTCCACACCGGCGTACGCAAATATCCATCGAATAACTTCCCCGCTTCCTTTCGCGTTAAAATAATTTAATCGATATTTCGAATTCATTCCGATTAACAAGTTTGTAAGTTTCTTGCAGTATTTGTGATGTGATGGCTTTAAATTTTAGAAATACTGAAATCTAACCATTAATTAGTACAACGTAAATTTCGCAAGCAGAAAAACTTGACAAGACTTATGGTTAGCCCTTGCTCGTCGAGAACTATAAATTATTACAGTACTTACATATCCTAACTACGCACTGCATAATCTTAATCGGCGGAGAACAGAATCGTCCGAGCAAACCGGCCCAAGGCATTACTTTAACTGTACATACTCAGTACGTACTACGTACTGTATGTGTAGTTTAAGCACGGTATATGTGGCGTGTCGACAACTTGAAGTACGACCGCAATAATTATGTTCCGATCGCAGTCGCACAAGCAAGAATTTGCTATCAGCAATAACAATATTCATAGCACAAGAGGAATCTCAAGTCAATAAATAATATTTTTATGAAGCATGGCAGCTTCTTAGCGGCTCGCTCGTCAGTCACTCATCTACCGGCTACGCAGTGCAGATTACTGCGTATAAGGCAGCCTAAAAACTTGTAGGAAATACGAAATTACGAGCCGTTTTCTGTCAAAATAATTCATAAAAATTTAACAAAATTACTTTAATTCTGTATAGAGCTATTGTGCGGTTCTTATGAATTGCGACCCGAGTGGCCAAATGGTAATCTAGTATTAGATACGCCAATTTTCAAGTCAATGTTGTGCATGTACAGTACGTAAGTACTTAATTTGTGCGAACTCCCATGAGGTTCCTACTCTAACCATACGAAGTGTACGAGTACTATTGAAGTACGTACATATAAATAGTACCACTTCTATATAATATATAAACAAGCCCGGCACGGATGAATATTGGCCGATGACTATTAAAAAATAAGTAATTCCAAGGATGTGTTGCTTTGCGGTCGCTTACAGACTGTCATAATATTAATGAACCCGTACGTATGTTTAGTAATTATATGAATACTAATCATCTGTGCCAGGACTTCGGCCCCTCTCCTTTGAGGCAAAGGATCTCGGCTTCTACTTTACCAATTTTGCTGCTTTAAAGTACATCAGAATTCTCTCAATGTGGCGGTGGATCATAGATTGTTGATTTTTTGCTAAAATCATTTGGCTACGTCCAGTGGTCAGTCATAAGCTTGTTACCATGGACACGATAAGAAATGCATACACATCTAACCCGACCTGACCCAGCGGAACACTAGCAGTCTAGCAGTATCTTTGCTCGTATTTTAGTACAGTACAAAGTATCAGCGTAAACTATGTGTAAATAACTTCTGTACACTACAGTATTTAGCCAGTCCGTGTTGCGATAAACATATGTTCATTACGAGTATGTGAGAAAACGAAAAGCAAAGCATCTTTGTGTGTAATACTGATAGTACGTAAAGTATGTAGGCACTAGGCAGGTCACTGAAAACTATAATATCGCTCATTCTGATTGTTTCTTTCGTTTTACCGGCATAATACATAAAACTAGAAATTAAAGCATTGCAGTTAATAATAGTCGTACAAGCCAATATTCATCCGTGCTCAGCTTGTATTATGATACACTTTACATAAGTTAATCGAAACACGGACTGCCTACTTGTACATACAGTACATAACTTGCAATGATGACTAACGCGATGATGACTGACGTGTTAAGTTACTTACATAAATTTTTTACTTTGTATTGTACTCGTTCTTATTGTTAAGTAGCAGCTCAGATATTGCTACTGTTCTGGGTCAAATTGTGTTAGAACAGTGTGCATTTCTTATCGCGTCCATGGTAACAAGCCTATGGTTGACCACTGGACCTAGACAAACGATTTTGGAAAACGTCAACAATCTTGGATCCACCGCTACACCTAGAGAATTTTGATGTACTTTAAAGCAACAAAATTGGTGAAGTAGAAGCCGAGATCCTTTGCCTCAAAGGACAGGGCCGAAGTCCTGGCACAGATAATCAGTATTCATATAATTATACAAGTACTGATCAAAAACAGGAAGATCGAAAACAAGGTGTCACGAAGAACATTTCTAGAATAGCTTCCAGAATTTCACTTTAATAACCTGAGCGCAGGCCATGGCCGCAGCAAAAAATGTGGTGCGGTGCAAAACGATCTTCTCGAGAGTTACCTAAAACCGTTTTGAATGAACCCCGTATTTGAGTTACTTGGCTGGATAATTCTCTCTTTATTAAGCGGCGGTATAAAAAGGTCACGATTTTTCTATCACTACGAGTAGTAAAGATGCATTAACTCCACAGCCTCAGCCGACAACAGAATTTAATAGGCGTCCTCAGCCAAAATAAATACGTACTACGCAGCTTGTGGAAGTGTGGAAGATTGCTTGAGGTTTTTTATTCGCGTTGTGAGAAACAAAATTTTTTACACGAGATCATCTACGAGTACATAGAAGACCCAAGACCGCTATTCCAGCCGCCTGCAGTCGGCGGCAGCTTTAACGATAAAACTCATCGTGTTTTCAATTTTGCAAACTGCAGTTCTGCAATATTACTGTACTGTAGTGTTAGTACATTTTGACGCTGAAGACACAATAAAAAATTTCTGTAGTTTTTCCGAGTACTCCGCTACAATAAATCTTGTTTTTGTGCCTTGTAATGGCATCCGAGGAGGTGGAATCTCGAGGCAAAACTCCTCGCTTTGAGTGGTATCAGACCGATGGTTCGGTTGTTATTTCCTTCTTTGTTAAAGGAGTCCAGGAAGCTAATCTGAGTGTACATTGCCGTCCTGATACCGTAAGCAGTAGTCAACATTTCTATGGCATGTGCCAAAAAAGGATGCATCGCTGGTATATGTGGTACTAACTTTTTACTTATGAAGCTGGATTTCAAATCCGTGGACGACGCAGGAGAACTCTACGTAGCGCAGCTAAATCTGGCTCATACAGTAAAGGAGTCGTGCGAGAACAAAATTTTGCGATCTAAAGTAAGTGCATTGTGATCATAGAAAAGCCCGTCATAAACCCCGTTTGCTTTGTTAGGTGGAAATTAAACTACTTAAGAACGAAGCAATCAGGTGGGAGCAACTCGAGCGAAAGATACAAGAAAAAGGTGCGATGTATTAGAGAAAGAGAAAATGTTTTAGTATAATTTTTTTTTACATGTGGCAGTTTAAGGAATTTTAAAATTAAAACCTGGTCGTGGATTCCTTTCTTTGCTTACTCTTCACTCATGCGTTATTTTTTAAATTCGGTTTGGTTCAGTGATATGTTTAAAAAATTTCGGGCTTCTTTTCTGGAATTTTTAGATGGGATTTATTATTTACACTTAAGTATCAGCTTTGCGCTGTTTTCAAAAACAGATATAGTAATAAGCAACTCTTATTATAGTCTTATCGAGTGTTTTTGCATGTTATTGCTAAGCGGCGAGAGTGCGCCATTCTTTTTCAGCAGTTTAGCAGTTTCTGACTAGCAGTTCTGACTGACTGAACTCTGTGTCTCCTCAGTTTTTACAGTACCGTACTCCTGCTGGAAGTGTACTGTATCGGATTTGTACTTCTACAATATATGTTTGCTGAACTTAATATTTTACTACAGATGCAGCTTTGCCTGGATCAAATCAAAAATGGAATCAAATCGAAAAAGAGCTTAAAGCAGCAGAGGCAGACGAGAAACCTGAAGGAGATGCGGCACTTATGAAGCTGTTTCAAGACATTTACGGCGGTGGATCAGATGAAGTCAAGAAAGCTATGATGAAGTCATTTGTAAGCTGATGTTGATTAGTTATTTTTCAGTTATTTATAATTGTTATGATTATATTTGTGCGTCATCGTGGGAGAATGTTTTCCTGTTTTTATAGTATGAATCGAATGGTACCGTTCTTAGTACGAACTGGCAGGAAGTCGGAGAGAAAACAGTGGACGTGAAGGCTCCAGACGGCATGGAATACAAAAAATGGTCGCCGTAAATCTTTTGCTTTCGTTCTCGGGTTGTTTCGTTTCCTTCTAGCTGTTGCAGATTTTTCCGGTTGTGATTGTCTCATATTACCCGGTTAGTCTCTTTGCTTATAAGTTGATTAGTGAAGTTTTGACTTTTGTGTATAGATGCTGTTCGCTGTTTAAGAAACCGAGAAATATTGAAATGTTTTTTGCTGTAACAACATAATTCTTACAGTTTTGTAATTTTGTACTGATTTGGATACTAAAAACAGATTTGATATGATTTGAGGTTTGAGCGTCGCGTTAAGATCATAGAATGTCAGTAGCTGGTTCTGTAAAAACAGTATTAAACCGTGTCTGAAGTACTCGTAAAAAAACAGCGTATAAAATTTCAAAATTTGACTGATTTTTTTGCTGGACTTGGAATCTTTGGGAGTCGCTGTAGCGTTCTGGCACTGGCGTCAGTTGTTTGATGTTTTGGTATTCACGTAACGTCTGCTTTCTGGGTGGGAGACGTTTTCACTGCTGTGGTTTTCTCATGTTGACGTTAACTTTGAACTTACGTGGTATTTGTAATAATCTTTTAAAATTTGGTGATTTTAAATTTTTAGTTACAGTAGTCGTTTTGGTTGTGCGTGAATGAGTTATCATTTATGCACTTTTTTCTGCCAGAAACAGTCAGGCGCTAGCCCATAGTAATTATTGTTCCTTAGAGTTGATTCGTAAAGTTTGGGACGGCTAACTAAATACTCGGATCACACAATGTTGACAACTTCCATCAGCACTTCTAGCTCCATGAATACGCTGGCCGAAAAGAAGCCAGAATCTGAAAATCAATGGTACGTGGATTACGGTTCCTTTTTTTGCATGAATTGTGAATATTTTTTAATGATTATTTGGTTCTCAGCGTCTATTTTGTGCGTCTGTATTTTTTAATGATTATTTGGTTCTCCGCGTCTATTTTGTGCCGTTTCATGGGTGTTTCTGAAGGCTTTGCTTGCCTTCTAAGCAGGGATTTTTTTCAAAGCAGTAGTTAACACAATTTACTATTATTTTTTGTGCGTTTGTGGATATGTAATCATATGTTCTTATATTCTGTACTCGTATGTCTTGATTACGTTTCTCGGATTTTTCAAAATTATTACTGTCGAATTACATTAATTAATGATCGGTCAGTACACTCCCTACTGTTTGTCCTATGTACAATTCTCCCTGGTATTCATTTTTATTCAATTTATTCTTGCTGTAAGTGAGTGTGAACGCGGTAGCGTTGATCAGTATTTTGTTAATTTTGTTAATATTACCATTCTCTCTAGTATACCGTATGGTCGTTATTGTTTTTGGTACGATACGGTACAAATTATATTTTTAGGTCTGCCATTCTGAATGAAGTACGCGCGAGCGCCACAAACCGTATGGTGGAGAAAAACCTTCTAGTGTTGGGTAAAAGCCTTTCCATTGCAGAGTGTATTTCTTCATGAGCCGTCTTTTTCTTGTGTTCGCAGGCGACAGAGAAACAGGGAGATCTCAGTTGTTGGCTAAGCTTCTTGGTAAAGATCATATTGCACCTTCCGGTGTTGGACTGGAACATGTCTGCGTTCCTGTCAAAGATGACGAACGCGAAGGTAAAAATTTTTTTAAATCTATCTGCAAGTATTTACACTTTGCCACCGGAAAATTTTGCTAACGCTCGTTGGGACAGTACCAAATTAGACTAATACTTATAATAGTTAATAACGTATTTTTTTGCTTCCGCTTTAGTTAAGTTGGAGAATTTGGTTTTTTAGGTTGCAAGAAAATAAATTTGTCATGCACTGTTATATTGTTCCCGCGCTTATTCCCAGAAATTTTCGTTGCAGACTTATTGGTGTTTTAACCTGTAGAGTTATTGTTTTTGCAGATTCAACCCAGCTCAATGCTTGGATACTTGAAGAAGAAGAATATGCTCAGAATTTGCTTCCGTTAGCATTTAACGAAAAGAATTTCGATAAAACAGTTGTCTGGTTGGTCGTTAGTATGACAAAGCCGTGGAACATGATACAGAGTTTGGATAAATGGATGCGTATTCTATCAGCAGCAATCGATCAAATGAAAATTGACCCAGTTGTCCTGAAGCACCATCGTGCAAATGGTACCGGACAAAAAATTCTGTCTTCTGTGTGGCGAGTGCGAATTGAATTATTTTATTCTTCAATGTAGTGGAGAAGATGTTCAAAGAATATGTGGATCCTACCACGGCAAAGTCCATTGGAGTTGACAAAGATTCTGATCTTCCTCTAGGAGAAAATACTTTAATTTGTAATTTAGGATTGCCGATAATTGTTGTTGTTACCAAGGTTGGATATGCTTATTAATCGGACTACTTCGGCTGTGTAGATTTAAGTTTTGGATTTTGTGTTTCAGGCTGACCATACAAGTGTATTGGAAAAAGAAATGGATTACAGGGAAGAAAAATTTGATTTTCTTCAAATGCATCTCCGAACATTGTGCTTGAAATGTATGACAACTGTCTTGTGATCGTCAGTTTCAAGAAATGCAGATTTTGTTCGTTGCAGATGGTGCAGCTCTTATATTTACATCAGCCAGAGACAATAAGAATATAAAACATTTGCTTCGTTATACGGCTCATATTCTCTATGGATTAAAATTTGACGAAGAAGGCTTGGTTTTGGATCGGGACTCTGTATTCATCCCGATAGGATGGGATAACGAGAAAAAGATCAACATTCTATATGATAATCTGGGAGACATTCAGCCCACTGATCCCTTCGCTAAAATCATTACAGCACCCCCACCACTTGCTAAGGTACGTGCTCTGTGTGACCATCTTTCGCAGGATAAGAGGAATAATAAAACCGACCGGGAAATGTTCCGACTACGAAAGTGTGACTTGTTGAATTATATTTCGTCTGCCGATTATTAATGTGGCGCTGTACGTTTGGATTTTAGCATGGTGCTGCAGATATGGGATCGCAAGCGGAAGAGGATCAAGAATTTTTGAAACGTCTACAACATGCTTTGCAACAGCCGGTCCCATCGCGGGTCGAAGGGTCTCCCGCACAGAAGCAGATGCGGGCATCGCCGGCACAAGCGTCTCCGAAGAAGGTGCGTTTGGTTGCATAATTCGTAACAGGCATTTTTAAGTCATGTGTTAATAAAATTGAGTAATATCAAACGGTTTCTCGATAAATCTTGGGAAATGTGTAAGGTATTTGCACAACAAGCCGTTCGAATATGAATATTCCTAGTTGTCCCAATAAGCAGCAGTGGTTATTTTAAAAGGAACGATATGTGTGTTCTACAAGTTAAACTTATTTATAGTTGACGGAATGTAGCTGATAGACTATGTTTTACGAAAGTATGATTTTGAAAGGAGACGCGGTAAAATAATCGGCTGCGTTGGAATCCCGAGTTTGTTTCAGTTGAATTAGCAAAGAGGTGATGCCGGTTGTTGTGTTGTAGACTGACGGTCCGCGTGGCAGCTTAGGTGCCGGCGGTGCGAATGAAAGCGCATTAACCAGCTTTTTCAACACACTGCTAAATAAGAACAACAAGCCCGGTTCTCCTGCAGCGGCTGCAGCACGAACCAGTTCTCCATCGATGGCGCACGTGGATGCCGCTTCGGAGTTGGAGCGACTGAGCAAAGGCCGACAAACGCCTCCTCCGACATCCCAACAGCAACCGGAGAATACCAATCCCGATAATCAATAGAATCTGATGTGACACTTTGCTAAATATCAACAATGTCTCCAGTGTTTGCTTTGTATCATCTCCTGCGCTTCGGCTGCTTTGGTGGTGACCGATATGTTTCCTTATTGCACGTTGATCTTTTTGTAAGGTATAATGGGCATTAGGCGTTGAACATTTGGAATTCAAAACGATTTCTCCGGCATGATGACTTTTTATTTGTATTGAAAATCACAATTGTTACTTCTTTTAAAACAGATTTTAACGCGGTTATCGTTGTGTAGCACTTAATTAAAACCGGAAGTAACGGCACAAATGTCGCTCTGCATTGGAGAACCGTGTTATGTATTAAAGTAATCGGGAAATTACGTAATGCATACTATTTTTTCAAAGCCCTTGGTCATGGGAAATGGGAACTGGGATCGCTACGCTCAGTACTTTACCAGTCTCGAGCAATCAGTCGCATTTCTTAATGCAATGATATCGTGCAGTAACATTTTTTAGCTCTGCAGGTAGCAAGTTCAAATTAGTTGAACCTCACTTGTCAGTTTACTATCAGTGAAATTACTGGTTTCATGACAAATGCTTTTTACTGCTGTAATCACTAAACATGGACTGTACCTGGTGATACGCTACTTGATGCCGTATCTTTAAATTTTGTGCCATTTATTTATTGTACTAATGTGGTTTACGTTTACGTCCGATTATTATTCGAGGGAATGGGAATTGGGATCGTTAGCGCCGGCGGTAAACAAATACCATATCCGTCATGAAACTTCCAAAAGGCCATCGATTAATACCACATGAACGCTCTCTTTATATGAAAAGTAATTTCCACCTAGAAATTGAATGCATCTGTTGCTTAAAACATTAGGTTAACATTAATAAGAGCATACGTAAATATCGGCAGGAATATCGGTTTATCAAGCGAATTACATGTATAACGTAGCTAGTCATTACCTTTCTATATTCTCTTCAAAAGGAGTGCAAACTCATTCCGAAAAATATTAATAGTAAGCCAAAGTGTACTGCATTAGTATACTTTTTTATGTTGTTGGGCATGCAGAGTACTCGTAAAGAAAACTATTCTTGGCATCTGTTAAATATGTCTCTCTTAGGCGATCAATAAAACAATGAGGTATATGTATACAAGTATACCTGTAGCTAGGTTTAACATATAGAGCGACGTCGCATGATTCCTACATTTGCAACACGTAATCTGGAAATAAGGACCTTCTTGCACTTCGTGTTTGCCTGGGAAGAAAAGCTGCAATACATCTACGTATATTAGGATTACGGGATAACTGTAGCCAGTGCATAGGCAAGTGCCGGCTAGATACGCCTGCTTTTCCAATTATTACCTGTCTCATTTGACTCACTCAGGTATGCTCTTGGGCTTTCGCTTTCTCCATCGCGGCTCTCTCAGGGCAGGACGTTTTCTGGATGCAGCCGAGCGTAATGCAACATCTAAATAAGACAGTGGCATACAGGATTACCGCCTAGAACCAGGAAGGCCGCGCATGATCAGCGTTGGCATTTGAGTGTGCGTTCCTACTGTAACGCACACACACACACCACACAGAGGTACATATGTATATATATCTCAATATTTTGCCTTTGCTGATTACACCTGCCGCTCGTCAAGCAACACGTCCTGTGATACCGACAACCTTAATGCACTTATCGACTGATTTGAGATGTGTTATTGTTTGTGTGAATTTGACTTTTTTACCGAAAGAATAGACGGGATTCTGCGCTCACCGTACATTTGTGATGAACATTAGCAGTTTTAAGCCGTGTCCTAAATGCCTGCTTTCTGAAAGTTTAATGAAGATCGTCAGAACGTCAATGGCAACGTACAACTTTACCGTGCCCGAAGACGAAACGATGAATTTCAGTTCCACAGCCTCTTACGATACTTCTACTGCTGCTGTTGTAACCGTAAATGTCATCGAAGTGAACGACGCTCGCAATGCCGCCATTTTTTGTGGCCTTATGATTCCTTGTGTTTTCACGGGGTATGTGAAAAATTCGGTGGCGTAATTGTTCGTAAATCGTAGTAAAAGACGTACCTAAATATTTTTTAAAGATATATTCTTGTCAGCGCCTTTTCGTTTCAGAGCCTCGTTAACGGCTTATACAAATGTCAATTTGATTCTGTTGATTGTACAGTATTTGCATAATTGTTTATAATAATACGGCGACATATATTATAATTAGCGACACTGGTTCCTGTCGATCAGTCACTGAACAAATTTAACATGCACGTGTCCGGCTGTAATGTGTTTACACTGACGCAACTACATAATTTTATAATTATAAGTTTGATAAAATTGACCACTCCTGGTTTACATGGTACTCAGCGTGTTTGTTAAATTTGGAATGGCAACTATTGTACTGCTGGCACTGATTTATGATCCAGTATCAAGTATGCCGTACTGCTACAGTTAAAGGAATTATCCTTCGTTCGAGTACCTCTGTATGAGTAGCAATTCATTAAACTGTAGTACGGCACTGGCAACACTCCATGTACAGTCCAGAGCGGTATGCAAGGATTGAAAGCAAATTAAATTAAGCCACCTCTGTTGGTTCCTTGCAAGGAATTAGGAGAGACAGATGCTGTGTATGCTGCCTCAGATTCCCTAAAGAGTAACTGACACAAACAATGAATCCAACAACATTATGCGGTATATTAGACAAATCAACTTGCTTTTAGTCAGCGGTCAATAACAGGCTGGGGTCAAACGCAATAGAAAAAGCTCACAAATAAGTGGCCGGTCAATTTGTACATTTCTGCTGCAAAAGTGAGCAATCATTTTCCCTAACATAATGCACAATAATTATATTATTATTCATGTCACAAAACTAAATAAATCAAACACTGTTTTTATTAATCTGTTATCCTCGTTATTAGCCTTATTGTCCTTACAAAAACAGTAGCTTTGAAAGACCGCGCAGAAGCATTTATATATTAACTACAATATTTTCCTAACAACGTTTTTTCATCCCCGCCAGAAACTGATTTATCTAACTATATATACAAATGGTTTAATAACGTGTTTAATTTCAGTGGGTTCGGGCATGTGATGGTGCTGTTGTCTATCTTCTACCATGAGGAGCTTTACCGGCCACTCAACATTATCTTGGCAAACCTGACAGTTGCGCAGTTCTGCATGCTGTTCATTACCGTTTTCGGAAGCACCGTCGTCATGTTAAATTATTCCGATTACTCCATTAACATCAACCAGCGGGACATCGTGGGATTTCTCACCAAACTCTTTTCGACGGCCACCTCAGTATTTTACGGACTGATTGCCTTGAACCGCGTGATGGCCACTATTTACGAGACACTGTACACGCGGATTGACGCATGGAAAGTGGTATGGATTCTGAGTATTTCCGGCTGGTTCCTCTCGCTTTTAGCGGCGCTTATTCCGTGGATGGCGCCCAGTTTGACGGGTTTTACCTGGGACACGTATTTCGTCCTAGGTCATCCGTGGTTTGCCGCCACCAATAAAGACGCCGGATCTGCCTTATCCTGGATTCTGATGTGTGCATATTTCTTTATTCCCTCCATTTGTGTAATAATGTGCTACTGCGCGGTGTTTGCTCGTTGGACTAACACCCAGCAGTTGGCCGGTGTGCCGATTAACAGTCAGAAGGCGATTAATTTGCGTGATCGTGCGCGTGTATTGTGGATGTTGGCCATTACGTCCATCGTATATTTGTTATGCTTTTATGCCACATACATTTTCTGGTCCACTGGCCCGCATTCCAAAGCAGCCAATTATTTTTTTCTATGGCTAATTTACGTTGAAAACGCTGTCAACCCGGCACTGTACGGAGCCATTTATCCGAAATTTCGGGAAGCATATTTCCGAGTGGCTCTGTGGATTCTGCGTCGATGGAGTTGTCGCAAGCCGTACGGTGACACGCGCCGGATATTTCCGGTGGGCGGCGATACCGTCGGCTCGCCACCGTCTGTTGTCTTTCAAAGCGCGAAAAATAGCATCATTTTTCAAAACAGTACTCTCAATGGGGCCGCAGCGTCGTCAGCAGGGAACGATAATCAATTTATAACTGTTAAACAATTGCCCACCTCGGCGAAAAATTTTGAGCTCAAAATTAGTGAAATCTCTGGTTCTGTGAACAGCAGATCTCATCAGGATCAAAGCACTCACGACAAATTTTGAATTGCAATGTCTTTTTAATTTTGTACTATGATTATTGGGTGATAGCTACTAGAATAAACTTAATAAATGTTATAATGGTGAAGTCCATCGTTCCTGCCAAGTTTTGATTTATATGGATTTACTGAGCCTATGAAATGATAAACTGGTAATGCACACAGCTACGACATCGCTTCTGCTGTTAATCTGATCGCGATGAAGAAAGCTATAATTCACCTGACCTGCAGTTATTGCCGTCAAAAAAATGTTGTAATGTTTGTAATAAAGGAACTACATAGTTATAGCAAGAACAAGGCAAACTGAAACATCACATCAAAGACCATCTAAACAAGCCCAGCACGGATGAATAATGTCTTAGGATTTCGAGCATGTAGAAAGGTTAACTGCATATGTATTAAATAATGGCACGATGTTTATTTCAATAAGGAGGCACGAACAAAATAAACAGGCGTGAGCACTGAGCAGAATTGTTATTTTGCTTATTCGCAGTTTGCTAATTTCAACAACTTTAATCGTAATATACCGTATCGTATCGTATCGTATCGTTTCAACAGCTTTAATCGCTAATTTCAACAGCTTCTTTAATCGCTAATTTCAATCGCTAATTTAATTTCTTTGACTTCTTCGGTTTCGTGCCTGGTGGATCGACAGCTGGGTGTTTCTGGTTATCTGGTGCTAGTGTAGTGGTAACTTGTTCTTCTTGTGCTTCTTCAGAATCGATCAGGCCGATGTCTAGTGCCTAACTTTTCACGACCATGGCGGGTTTGCTGTGGGAGATGTAAAAGAAGGTCTTGTTGTAAGCAGACTGGAGGCCGCCATTGTTGTAGTCAGTGTGGTTCAAGTTATTGAAGTAAACCACTTGCTTTTCGTAGGATTCGGCAATAAAAATGGTTGCCTATAACGTAGTATTCGTTATTTTTTGTTGGTGTTGTATGTGTTCTGCTAACCGAATGGTCAAGGCTTTGTGAATTTGATTCTGAACTTACAATGTGACCCCACAAGTCGATTCGGTATGAGGAGGTTTGAGAGCAATCCCACACTTTGATGCTGCGAAAGGAGCGTTCACCATTGCGTGTTTTCTTCTTCTCGTCCAAGGGTCCAACGGACTCCACAAGTACCATGTAACCTTTTGAATATATTTTGTTCTTATACTTCAACATTTATACTTCGCTTTTACCAACATTCCGGTCCGAATGAGTGTACAGGACCACGTTCCGGCCACTAGAACGTATTCGTAATCCATGTAAAGGTTTTTATTGACGTTTTTATTGACAGCCGATCTCAGGTTGTAATGGTTCTAATGGTACTGAAGAGTGGCCAGAACGTGGGAGTGTATACTCAAACCGGTCGGAATGCTGGTAAAAGTGAAGTACTGATTTTCTCAGCAATAATATATTTTTTTACTGTTTTGTCCTGTTTGTTGGTGAGCTTCAGACAGGGGCGTTACGGTTTCGATATCGACTGGGTTCTCTTTAGTTTCTTCCAGTGTTGTGTTGGCCTTTATATAAAATTGCACAGAAACACTCGCTTCCCTTCGGAATGGCGCTTTCAGTTCACTGACGTCATAACCTTTCATTCGGTAGGTCTATGCGAATAACCGGGTCGTTTTTAGTTAAGTTATAAGGTAAGTATATATTCGATATGTTTCGCTTACTTTTCCAAGAATTAATTGTTGGGCTTTTGGCACGTCGCTGTTTAACGCAGACAGAATGCCACTGCCGGACTGATCAGCGATCATCATGTTCATCGCTTGGCCTCCATGGTTGGTAGTATAAGGAGCCGTCATGTGAACAATGGTAAAGACCAGTGGCCTGCAATTGTATCGATTATGTATTGGTACTTTGATGATTGCTAAAGGTCGTAATAATGTGCAGTTACTTATCGTTTTGCGCATGGTCTTATTTTCATAGCCGGCAATTAAGGAGGTTGAGCGAAAAGTCTCCGGAAGACGTACATACAGTGCTGCCAGTACGTACATAAGTGTACTTAAGTAAAGTGTACTGCACTAAAATTATGACATGACGCGGTAAAAGCCAAAGGTCAATTTGAAAAAAAAAACTATTATCAAATTCATCTAGCAAATGCGTTCGCTTGCAATAACTATTAATTATCAAATATCTACTATATAGTACGACCGCGATTGCAGTTTCTGGTAGTCGGTAGCTGTTGGTTCAACAATTAAGTAGCTTTGTGCAACTAAAAGTACCGGCGGTACGTAAGTATGTTGCAATATTAACATGACCTCACCAGACCGAAATAAGCAACCTGATACGAGTTCGCGGATAATGAACTTCATAATTTGAATTATTTTATTGCAGATGTAGTAATCAAACAGAGCCTTCCGACAAAACGTCTCACAGTCAGCCACGATGATACCTTATTATCAGTTGCGAATCTTGCGATCATACCCGTAATCAGTAATCGCTTAAAGCGTTTTGGATTGTGTCATTATGGGGAAATTTCATATACTAGTAGTAAGAGAATATCGTTTAGCATATCGGCCTATCGCCGGCTATCAGGTGCCGTTAACGATAACGATAAAATAAACAGACCCTATCGGCAAAGTAGTAACTTTTCGAAATGTGTACCTTTTAAAACGGTACTCATGTATTCGTACAGCAGCTAATGGGGTATGATGATCTTTTGATTTTGTTTCTTTTTTCGGCAAGTGCATACCATGCACTCCTTGTATATCATTCCCAATTAAAGTAACTAATTCCATAATAATCGTTTTCGGCTAACTGTATCTGCTAAACGGGCAACATGCTAACTCCCATTTTGCTGAGTATATGTTTCCTCCCCGTTTTTATCGCCGGTTCGTCCGGCCCACTCGGCGGAAGTCCAGCGGGAAAACCGGCGCTGACGGAAGATGAGGCGTAAAGCATGCATGTTCTGGAATTTCCCACCCAGCTTTATCTTGCTGCAGTTCAGCATGCTTTGGTTTTTACAGGCACATAAAGGAACATTTAAAAGACTGGGCTGATGTTGATACGAGCAAAATGTCTCCCGTGGAACTGGAATTCCATTATTTCAAGTACTTTGTACCGTTTTCTATTATTTGCCTTTCAAGCTGCATTCAGAACCGAAAACAATCTGAAGTGTGTAAACTATGAGGTCTATTTCTTTAATAAACTGTGCTCAACAGAATCGGATTCGGCAGATCCAAATTCGTGTAAACTGAAAATTAGCATGGTCAAAAGGCGAAATACGGGAACATCTTGTTTGTTTCTTTTTTTGACCGCTCACCGTGTCCTGGTAGGCTGCACGATAGCGACGGAAATGGCAAATTAGACGGACTGGAAATGTTGCAAGCCCTACTGCACAGCGGAAACGAAGACCCCCATCACGAACGTTTAGAACCTTCGGAACCAATAGATTTGAAAGTTTATACAGGTACGAATGAATACACTCAGTACAGCAATAGTTAAAACGGCTGCAACCGAGAGGGTGACCAATAACATCTTATTGTTCTGGTACATGGGACCAAATCCATATACAACACATTTAAGAAAACTTTCCCTTTGTCGCACTCCCAAACACTTTTTTGCATTGTTTTGTGATATTCTATAGCCAAATAATTTGTGTAAATTGGCGTGAAAACCGTTTGTGCGCGCAGCTTCCGTTAGAGGAGTTATGGGCGAAATAAAATTCCAAAGCTGAAACGCACGGAGGTGTACCAAAACTTTGTTTATCAACCGACCTTCTTCAAATTGCATAGAAACGCGCATTGGAATGAAGATCGTTTTTCACATCGAACCAAATTTTTACCATGTTTTCGAAATTTTAAAATAAAGTTTCAAGATTATGCTAAAATTTTGGAGGTTTATTTCCCCCATGACTTCCCAGTCTGATTTTGCGCGCACAAGCGGTTTTCACGCCAATCATGTACACAAATCATTTGGCTACAGAATGTAATAAAGCAATGCAAAGAAGTATTTGGGAATGCGCGAAAGCAGAAGTTTAGCACATGTACTCGAATTTGCAGTATTTATAGCTATGCTAAATACTTATACTGAACGTTTTCAGACATAATTGACCAAGTTTTAAAAGATGATGATCTTGACCAGGACGGTTACTTGAGTTACGAGGAATACACGCACCGGATAAAGTCATCCTGACATTAATCAGGAAACACCACTTTCGCTGATTTTCGTAAGCGATATGGGCTTTATGGATTAGCACAACCCACAATTAGAACATTGTGAACACAAAAACTGAATTCTGCATTATTACACGAACATTCCCTGTAAATAAATGATCACCAGAAATTCTGTTTACAGTTAAAAGCATGTACCTTAACTATGAGATACAGCGGAAAACCTAAACATGTGCTGAAATAAAGTTGTGCAGCGAAAACTCTTTAGGCTCGTATGGAACACGTTTTATCAACTCCATTCGCAATATCCATTCATTCAGGCGGAAAATACTCCGGGAGAATTTTTTCGTACAAGTCCACATCCAGATCTAGGAAGACGCAAAAGACGATTCGGTCCACCTGAAGCAGTCCAAAATGCTATTAATATTTTGTACATATATTCGAAATTTCGAGGATATTCACACTCTTCACCGTTTCGGGCAGGTACTTCTATAATATTATCACGATTTATTATAACGTTTTTAAATGCTTGCTGTGTTTCCGTAACACGCCAGCTGTGCAAATCCGACAACAATTAATTTTACCAACCAACGAAGTTACGAAACTCCGGATCATAGAAAAAAACTGCACTCCAGCATAATTAATTTCTTTCTTCAAGGATGCTTTCATGGTGCAAAAAACACCACTATACAATATTATCAGCCATTCCTTTATTATTGTGAAGTGCAATGACATACCAATGAGCTATTATCGTCCATCTCCAGCCACTTCCGTACCGTCTCCACAGCCATATGACATGCCTCCTCATTGGGATAACCTAGCAAACCTATTACATTTTTCAGGGTATATTTTACTAGCAACAAGGCATCGTAACCGAAATATACCTACCATAAACACCGGTGGAAATGCAAGGAAAGGCCTGAAAGGCACCAAAAAGATTAATTACCGTCCACTGAATTAATTAGTCCGTTCACGGGCGAGACGAGCTGCATGAAACCAAAACTTACGCATGTTCTTAGTTCATGTTCTTTTAGAAGTTCTAAACAATTCCAATAGCAGCTCCGCAGTTTATCGGGCTTCTGACCAATTGGCCCCACCGTATGAATGACATCTGCGCAAAATCGAAGCGCATTTAATCAATGCGAAATGAAAAAGAAACACCGTGGAAGGCGATTAAACACCGGAACCGGCTCAATCGCTAAAACTCAAGCAGCTTAAATGCAGAATCAGATCATCACACTCACATTTGCATGGTAACCTGCAAAGCAATAATACCTATTTACGTATGTCAAAATTTAATACTAATCGGATTCGGGACGGTTTTTAATTGGTGACCGTGTAACCAACCTGTAACTTTTCGTCATTTTTGCCTCGCCAGTGAGGCATCCGTGTAACGATGCACATTCCGCCCGAAGCTCCGGTCCAGCCGCAGCATGGATAGCGCCATCAACTGGGCAAAGAATTAATAATGCAAATGACTTACTAAAAAATATAGTGGAAAATATCCCGTAGTTTGCAGCAACGCAATCGCTTTACCTCCTCCTCCACCGAGCAAAGATTTGTTGGCAGCGTTTACGATGGCGTCTGTCTGTATTTCCGTAATATCACCTGAAAATAAATACAAGATGATAGAACATCATTAACACTGCTTTGGCAGTTACTGGTTTTCACGGCCCCATACCTTGCCATACGGAGATTTTTTCGTTGAGTTCTAACTTTAGCATAGATCCCACGGGCTTGGAAGGAACTGAAAGTAAAAACTGTCACAACGAGAATTCATTCGTATCGGAAAAATTCTCGGTTTGTCAAAGACATATAAAATATAGAATTTCTCAAATTAAATCACGCAATCAACTGAGAAAGTATTTCTGATCATTAAAAACGTAAAACTGGTTACCAAACACCATCATTTCTGATTTCTCAGTGACTTCTGCTTTTACTTAAAAATTAGTTAATGTAAATCCACTCAGCGTTTCCCCGTTGCATGCATGTACATTGTACGGTACCTTTGCCGTTCCCGTTAAGATGGACGCCGTTCCCATTCGTGAAATGATGCGGTACGCCAAGGGTTTTTAGGGTATCTGTCCACGAAGGAATATCGAAAGGGTCAATGCCTGAGTTCTTTCTTCTCGCTGCCATACTGCTGAGCGTACGTCGGAGAATTTGCATTCGCTTGCACATAAACGTCCGCAAAGCAGTCCAGACTCCGCTAAAATGCAAAAAAAATCCTAACAGTGCAAGTGATGCTGAAAGTTGTTACAAAAACAGCAATGCTTAAATTTAGATTGAAATCGAAACACAAAAAGGAGATCAATAAAATGTTTTCGTTCCAGGCCTACAGCTATCACGTACTTGCATGAGTACAGTATGTTCTAATGGTGAAGTACGGTACGGGTACAGCGGAGAAACATTTTGAGTCAGCTGACGACGTCATATCCATTCATTCGTCTTTCTGGAATCTGAAAAATCACTACGAGTAGAGTAGAGAAATCTCTACTGTCTACATACCAGACCCCATAGAAGACCGCTGGGGCGCAGCTACGTTAAAGCACTGCTTTAACGTAGCTGCGTCCCAGCGGATGCTTTGGTAAACACCAGACATTCCTGATTCCACCATTCACAAATCAAAAGTCATCTAGGCAGCAGAAACCCGGAGATTTATGAGAACACTATTTTTTGTTTAGCAGTTTTGGTTCTTTCTCGTTCCCAATGATCTGCTTCTGATATCACAAATTAATTTTACTAGATTCCCTGTAACATTGATGGGCGAAATTTGGTTGGGTACTGAGTCTGGTGCATACCCGGCAGACGCACGCAGCTGGTCACAGCGTATGGATTAGTAGAGGAGTAAGTAACTACGCTGTGACTCACTACACGACTTAGTACGTCCACCATCTATACGAGTACTTCATACTTCCGCGCTTCGTCATCCATCAAGTTTGTCTTTACGCTCGTTGTATTGCACATTCTTGACTTCAAAGGACTGATCAGGATTGCCTTGGAGGATTACAGAGGGGTACTTTCAAGAGTAGACAATCCCAGGCTCGTTGACATGCCGTCTCACAATACGAACCCTTCCCGCGATGGAAGACCAAGTCGTTCAGGAACTACACCGTAAGATCATTGCTACCGTAATGGCTATTAAATGCATCGGCTGATCCCTTAAAGTCTTCCAGCTGCACAGTACACCATAATCCTTTGACTAGAAAAACGTTTACTTTCGGGATACATTAACCATATTTCTGTATTATGCATTTTGTGTTGTTTTAGAGCGGAACGTGATGATTTCCTTTGCAAAGTTAAATATCTGAACCGACTCCCCGATATTCCTGCGGATCCAAAATTTCTTGCATACAGTGTGGACTTGAGCCCGTAAGTACAGCATGCGCATGCATTGTGGTGCGCTAGAGCCATTACTTAGCTTTGCAAGATTTATCGATGAACTATGAAGTGTACATTGTAGAACTATGTATAGATATTACGTATATTGTACTCAATGGTTTATTTGTTTGTTTGTATTGGACTCCGTGGTTGTTCAACTCAAATTGTTTACATTTGAGCACGGTTAATTTTATTTTTGAGGATCGAGTTAGTGGTGTTAACTGTTACGTACCTAACTGTTGAATAACGAAGAATATGCGATAGTTACGTGCGCTATGTGGCTACATCCTTGGAGAAAGAGTACAGAAGAGATATTAATTGCGACACGGACATGGGCATGAAGCTGAATCTGCTTACTCCGCCACCCCAAATTAGGCCCGAAGTCCTGGGTAAAATTGTTAGCAAAGCGGCCAAAAGCGTATCGCGGAGAACTCGCAGTATCATGTCGCTATCTATATTGCAGATGAGAAAGGGAGAGCGATTGATCAGTTGTTGTGCCAGGATGATGCTCTGTCGGAGACCAGCGCACAGAAACCACAGTACTTTGCAATTGTTGTTGGATGCACGTGATCGATTTTGATTTGTGGCTGTTTGCAGGAGAATGGACCACGGACGACATGTCGCATGGCTGCGCAAAACACAGCTGATCCTGAATGACTTTGCTCCGAATCGAGCCGAGGGATCAGGAGAGTATGTTTTTAGTATTTGTTGGTTGCAAATTTTAGGATTTATGCACATTTACTTTTGTGCATATTTTCGCTGATCTGCTGTTTCAGGAAATATCGACCGGTGGTGCATCACCTCCCAGCGGAAGCCGTTCAGCGAACTCGCCAGAAACGAATTGACGCCATTCAGGAGACTTTCGACAACGCAATCGGCAAGGTATTTTAGCTATCACTCTATATGTAGAACTAGACGTATTCAGTATTTATTAGTTTCATGAAATTCTTTTCGTAGCCGAAAAGACATCCTACCAAACCAAACCTTACGGTTGTCGAAGAAATTCCACTTCTTCCAAATTTTGATGTACAGTATTTGAATGGCAGATATCGGAAGTGGTTATAAAATTAAGTACTTAGGCATGTTGTTCATTAGCTTGTGAAATTCCCTACCGTAATCGTAACGTTCGAGAGTGATCCTGCGCCATCAACGGCCCATATTCCGCACTTTACTCCGGACGAAGTTATGGCAAATGCAATGTTGCGGTGAGTTTGGGAATGCAGTGCAGTATATATATGATTATAAAGCATGAATAATTTGGTTACACACAAAAGGAAATAAGCGGTTCGATCGTATATTAATGAATTACTTTGGACCATTTTTTTCGCAGTGGAATGACGGATGCACAAGGTAACCAGGTTGTCGCTTACTTTTTGCCCACGGAAGAGACACTTCAGAAGCTTGATAAAGAAAGATCTGGGGACGACAGTGAAGAGTAGGAGCTTGATAAAGTCTGGTGCGTCATATGATTAGTAATACAATGACTAATTTGCGACAGGTATATTTACAAGCTGCATCGGGAATTCTCCTTGCCAGTGGATGACCGACGGGGCCGGTTTGAAGAGCCAGTTTTTGCTTTGAACTTACGAGAAAATGCAGCATTGTACACCGATCTGGATACAAAGTACTAGTAACTGTTGCTCTTACAGTCTGTTGTGTTTGTCATTACTAATTAGATTTCGTATGTTATTATAATGTGTTCCGATGTTATTTAGGGTTCGCTTGATACGAAGAATGCGTGGAAGTAAGAAATCCAAATCCCGGCTAGTTGTTCGATTCCGACAACTTACGCTAGCAGAACTTGACGAAAGAGTAATTTTCCCGAAATTTTCGCTTAAATCGCAGCTTCAGCCTTATCATTTTCTGTGCACTTATTTACAGAAAACTCGCATGGAAGCTTTCGAAATGGGTCCGCCTGAAGAAGACGAAGAGATTAGACGAAATGGTAAGTTTTCGTGAACATAGTGGTGATGTTGTCCGTTGGTTGGCGCATGCTAGCGATCAACACTATGCATGAAAATTAGGATAAAAATGCCTCAAAGATCGTACTGTTTCTCACAATCAGTACCACATTTAGGCGACCAGCCGTCACTGGCGTATACGGTATGTATATGCGGGTACGATCAGCAGATATGTACTAAATTATACCTGTACGCTCGCTGGTACGACCGTGCGAATAAGGTTGATATGGCTGCTTACCGGTACTACATCTTGTAGACTTTGATAGCGATCTTTGTTATCCTCATTTTGCGCGCATTAGTTTCCCCGATTCCTGAGAGAGAAGGATCGGAAGCGTCTTCAGCCGATGAAAGAGTTCAGCAAGAAGACGAGGGCCCAACTGACGAGGAACCGGAAACAGAGTCGAAAGCCAACACTAAACAGGAAAGAGCCTCTAGAAGTCCCAGTCCATCATCGAAATCTTCTAGGAGCAGCAGTCCAGCTTCTGACACAGAACACGTCGATCAGTCATCGAAAACGGCGACAAATGCTGAACTCTTTGGCTCCGATAGCGAAGACAGCTCATAGTACTGAGACGGCTGTTAAAATTGTCCTGTCGTTACTGACCACTATGACCAGTACTCGTTTTGTTTTGGACGGGTTTTCATGCGGATAATATAACGTGGAGACATCCAATGGGATTAATACATGGTAATCCGTCCTTCAGTCTCTTCTCTGTCATGTAATTATGTGACCGAAGCCTGTATCGCGTCCCAAATGACGCGTAGCAAATCAGTGATTCTTCTGAATAGTGGAACCAAAAAATTTAATCACTGATCATATCGGTAACAGTTCGATTTTAAGCTTATCAAGCACCACATCATAAAAGTACAGTACACACCAGAAATCAGCGGGAAGATAAAAGTAAAGCAACAAAATGACGATGACGGTATTTTCGTATCCTAGCGCGGTTTTAGCCATCACAGCAGTTTGAGGACTCTCAAAAAAAAAGAAAAAAAAGACTGTTGTTATCCAAAAAAAAGACTATCAAAAAAGACTGTAGTTGTCCAATGTCCCACACATCTTTGAATTATCACTGGTATAAAATATTTCATTTACTGTCATTCAACTTTCTAAAATAGTGCGGGCAGAACAGAACTGGACACTCATCAGAAACATCATTGAATCTTATCCTGCAAACCAATGTCTTTCAAGTAACGATGCAAGCAGTGCAATATTTTGCTTCAAAATAGTCATACCATGGCCTGAACAGCTCATAAGTTCCACCGTGCTGGAAACCCAGCCTATCGTATTCCGTTTTGTTTAAGATTATTTTCACCCATCTTGGCCCAGGTGCCGCTGCATCCATAGTGTTCGAAAAGTCGCCTGCATTTCCCCAGAGAATCTGGCATTCAATCTCCATCAAATGACGATCGCTTCGAAGAATTCTATTGTAGCAAAAATGGAGCCGAGATGGTAATCCGTCGTCAAAACTAAAAAAAACCATATTACAATTCGGTAAAAGGTCCAGAAACGTTGGAATCTGGAACAGTAACGACATTTTATAGGCAACAACTGCTGTTCACCTTTCAGCAGGTTTGGGTGGATGGGGTAACATTTGTTTCTTCTCCCAAAACGCTTGATCAGCCTGATCCGTTCTCCGAAGAGTTCTTAGCCGAGCGACTAAACCATCGACAGCGGGTTTCGCTTCTCTGCCCCGCGGCTGTCTTTTGGGACCCTTGGAACAACTGGCGCTACTTTCCAAATCCCAATCGGCGGCTGTCAATGTGATCATGGATGAATTTGAAATGCATGACGGCTGAGAAAAGCCACTGTTCCCATCTACAATCATGACGTTAGTACAGCTGTAAAAGGAATACTAAAATTAACCGATCAAAGGATACGTTAGACACGTTTAATCAAAATCTTCATTTCCAAATTCTGGATTCTGAAATGCATTATTCATTGTATACCTTGCGTGAAGCTTTCAACTTCAGGAACTGGCTCCATATCCAATGTACAGTCACCATTGTCCTGCTCGAACGGATTTAGCAAACACCCTTTCGGCAACAACAATGAACCTTTCTTCTTTACCACTGCTTTTGTATGGTGGCCACCGTCCGTACTCTTTCTCGGCTGCTTCTTACTACTACCAACCGAGTGATTTCGCTTCCGTTTCTGCACGGGTTGTAAAACCACAAAAAACGATGCAGAAAAAGTTAAAGCAGCAGGCTTCAAGCGTATATATTCCACGATTTTAAAATTGCAAAACTATTCTCTTGTCACAGCCGGTACAACTCGCAACGGAAAACATTTTATGAATACTTGTGCGCCTGGAAGTTCCAGTCAGCATACCTTAGAATTACTGACAGTCCGATTAGTAAACGTAGTTTTTTTATCATCCACATGCTTTACTTTGGCTTCGTCATCTGAACTACTACAAACTTGGCTGAACTGGATTGTGGCTGAGCGGATATTCGCTCTGGTGGCACGCCTATCTGGATCCTTTTGAATGACGCCATTACTGCCATCAGAGTCTAAAATAAAACAACAATAACCAATGAAACACACATAATTTATCTCAACTAGGCACTATAGCCTTCGAATTCTATAAGTACTGAGTCTACTGACGCGGACATACTACGAAAACAATAAGTAATGATAAAGAACACGATCTGTCAGTCCGTACTACGTTAAATGTTGGTTAACAACCCCAACAGAAAAGATGAAAATTTCAGAGTAGCGACTAGCGAGCGTGAAAGTAAACCCATTCGGCCATTCCGAGCTACCAATGCAAAATCGCCACTTCTAATGCTGAATCCAGAACATGTGACCAACATTGGCTGAAAGCATTTTCAAATATTTTTAATATTTGAAATAATTTTTAATTTTAGTCGCAGTGAAGACGTTGGCATGAAAGATGTCAATTACAGTGGCCAGTATTTCTCTTTGCCAAATACGTCTTGATCAAGAAATTATCATTAATTATGTGTAAAAAGCCACAAAAGTATAGTACCAGAATCATTGTCGAGTATCACGGTACTCCTATGAATCGCTTGTGCCTTTATTCTCATTCTCCGCTTGGAGGAAACCGTTCGTTCCAGTTCTGCATCGGAATCATCTTCCACATCTACAACCCCTGCAATAAAATTCGGACAATCAGCCTGATTTGCATCCTGCCAGGAAGAGAGAGAAATGCCGTTAACTGCGCCTTGTAATTTAAAATTTCGGAGATTTATGGGAAAATGCAGAATTCTTTTTTCCTTTTTCCATGCAGAATTTTTTCCCCATAAAACCTGTAGAGTGTTGCTGAAAGAACTCAAAATCAGCACTGTCAACATTTACGTACGATTCAGTTGTTCAAAAACATTCAATACCTTTGTTCACCTTCGCGGACAGCTTCTTTGTACAGTGGAACGGAGTTCTTTGGTCAATAACGAAACGAAGATTAGACTGACTATCATTGTCTATCCTCGCTGGCGAAGTCCTTGCGAAAGTTATTTTCGAGTAACCGGGCATTCCTTGGGATACTGTTGAAGATGAAGACAGTGGCTGGAGTTTTCGCATCATCGAATGAGCCAAGGTGCAGCCGTTACGGCGTTGCTAAACCGATCTGATAGTTTATTCCCAGGAACCGAGCGCGAAACAATTACGAAGAAGACTAATAAACAAAATGGGAAAATTTCGAAGAATGAGTACGTAGAGAATTCCAAAAGTTGTTGAAAAGTACAATCACAACCGTAGAAGTCTGACGTTCACAGTTAACAAAGACTAATTGTAAAGTGAACAAGAATATCCATAAAATTTCCGATAATAATTCATATTAAATGTAATAAAAACGGAAGACTTCAAGGAGGCATATCTTCAAAGCCGGTTAAAACGCGTATGTAACGGTTTGTTATTGCAGATACTAAGAAATTAATAAGAATAAATAGACGGTATAAAATTCTACTCATGTCTCATGATACGTAAATAAATAAGAAATAAACGGTCCAAAACTCCAAATCGTGTGGGAAGCCGCCGGGGTAGCAGCAACGTGAGTGAGAAACCTTGAATGCCGCCAATATTTCTTTTGTTCGAGTCGGGTACACGGTCCAACTATGAACTGCAAGTACAGAGTAAGCAAAGCAAGATTCAGCAAGCAAAGCAAGTTGATGAGCAAGAGGCGTTTATCTAATTAAGCGCGGGGCAAGATAACAGGAGCAAGAATTAATTGGCGAGATTCTGAGCAAGCTGCAGCAAGACGAATTTCAGGATGTTTCGGATCAGAAGATGCGGTCGGTAAAACGCAAGAGAGTTGAGATTCTGATCAACACGAACACAACAACCAATAAACAGTAGAGAGAAGCAATCCGCACTCCTACTACGCTACATTCCAATTTCTATCGCTACAATCCGAAGGAATATTATGGTAAAATTCTAAAAATTAATTGAACATGTCACGTCAATTGAACGTCCAAATGGATGGATATATATAACAAAGTCTTGCGATGACCTTGCGTTACGTTTGCCTAACATTTTGCCATTCCATTCATTTTGGCCACCATACATTTTGGCCACCATACAGTTTGGCCACCATTCATTTTGGCCACCCGTAACCAGTAATTATGTACTAGTACGTACTTAATATCTATATACCAATATTTATATACAGAGTGTACTTACTTTTAAGTAGGAGTATGAGGCCGTTGCTGCTTTATAATTTTTCTATGGGTTATTTTAAATTGACATTGTTATCTGTTATGACTTATGAGTTTTAGCCATAGTATAGCGTAATACGTAGATCCCTATACTTGCTAGTAGCTTGCAAATTGCAATAATGATAACGCAAATACTTTACTTGAATTACTGCACTGTATTATGCAATAAGTACTATATGGCAAATAAGCGCAGTAAGTACAGTGCAATTTAAATATCCGCAGTATTATGGTTGTACAGTTATTAGGTGATTCGAATTTAAAACGGGTTAATAAGTTAGCTGTACACAGTTAATGGCGCCGAATGACTGTAGAGTTCGATTTTGATGCTGTACGAGAGCAGATATACTGTTAGTATATCTGCTCTCGTTGTACATCAGTCTACATGATCTACATCTACATGATATCTACATGATATATATGTTAGTATATCTGCTCTCGCTGTACATCAGTCTACATTATCGCCGTGTTAAGTGATTCGAACCGACTCGACCGTTCAGTTTATATTAATTGCAATGCGAACAACTGAAAAAAACAGTTCTCTGATTCTTCTGTTTTTTTTTTGTTTTATTTATCTGTCTTTACAAAAACAATGGCCGAAGTAACGTTTTCTGTGACTAATCGTAAAGGGAAGGTTTTGATCCATAACGGGTACGAATACATCGAAGCGTGGAAACGTGCTGATGTTAAGACGGAAGACTGTCAAACTTGGCGTTGCAGAGATAACACTCGTTGTAAGGCCCGTCTATTTTACGTTAATGGCAAAGTAACTGAGCGCGACCAGCATTCCCACGCTCCCGACGTTGTGAAGGTCAACGCGAATTCCGCAAGACAAGTGCTGAAAGCGCGTGCAGCCACAACACTAGAAAGACCACGCCAAATCATTGATGAAGTTCGCGCTGATATCCCGCTGATTGTTGCCGTTCAAATGACATCGTATGATGCCCTTGCCCAAACCATTGTACGCCAGAGAAAAGCTGCAGGTGTACCTGGCACACGCGTAAGCACCTTGGCAGATATTGATGAAAGTTATTTTTTAAAAGAAAATGCGCGTGGGGAGTCGATACTTGTTGCCGACACTGGACGGGAAGATGAGCACCGCATTATTGTTTTTGGTGGTTCCAAATGCTTTGATCATCTGGCAAATTCTGCTGTTTGGCTCAGCGATGGAACATTCAGCGTGAGCCCGCCTATCTTTACGCACCTGTACACTGTCCACGGCAATGTATGCGGATCAACGGTTCCCCTAATCTACGGATTACTGCCAAATAAGTGCGAGCTCACATACCGCCGCTTTTTTAACATTATTCGTGACCAGTTGGTGGGGAAAAGTGGACAGGGCACGTTTAGTCCTGAATATATGATCATGGATTTTGAGCAGTCATCGATCATCGCATTTCGGGCGGTTTTTCCGGTTTCGAAATTACGAGGTACAAATGGCAAAATATAATAATAAATATCATGAACTATAATACTCGTACTATTTAATATGATTATTATTATAAATACAGATAAATCATAAAATTATCCCTAATTTTAAATTAACCATTGTGCACGCAAACGCTGTAATAAATTGTTATTCAAAAAGGGAAAGTTAATTAGTACATAATATTTTTGTAGGTTGCAACTTTCATTTTGGTCAGAGTGTTTACCGAAAGCTTGGCAACCTGGGACTGGGACCCGCTTATGCAACTGACCCTGAATTTAGCCTGTCCTGTCGCATGCTGTTTGCGCTTGCATTTGTTCCGGTCAGGGATGTTCAACGCGTTCTGGCGGAGCTGTTGAAGATACCAGAATTTCCGTTCAAGCAAGGCGATGCCTTCATTGATTATTTACGAACGATATACATTGGGCATACCGCATTTTCAATTCCAGCGAACAAATGCATCGCCACCAAACCTTTGTTTCCAGTGGAATTCTGGAGCTGTTGGGACAGACTGGAAAACGATGTTCATCGCACTACCAACCGCCTCGAAGCGTGGCATCGCGCCTTTTCAGATGCTGTGAATAAAGATCATCCTGGCATATATGCATTTCATGACCTTCTGGCACGGGAAATTTCACACCAGCAAACAGAGGTTGCGTTGCGAATGGCAGGTGCTGAACCAAAGCAGAAGAAAAAGTATGTTGAGGTCACCAGGCGCCTTAAGAAAGTCGCTTTGAGCTACGGACAGATGGACAGTGCGGACTACTTGAGATCGGTGGCTACAAACCTAGAAATACTGCTGTGAAAACGGGGTGAACCATTGTAATTTGTTTTGTGTGACCTATTACATATTGTGTACAGTTAATTGCTAAGTGTCCAGCGTATTTGCATTTACGTATATCATTATATGATTATATCGGCGTTGCCGGTATACGTAACTGGCTAGCGTTCATAATTTCCAATTTTCTGTTATTTCCAATTTCCATTTTTCTGTTTTCCAATTTCTGTTAGTTTCTTTTGTTTGTTGCATTTTCACTAGTAATTAAGCTGTGTACGCGATAGTAATGTACGCGATTGTAATGTGAGTACAACTTATCACGAACGTTATAATATTTCGTTATTACCATTATTATGTAATTAAATACGGCCACCTTAAATACGTACTAAATACATGTATAATCCAACTGCACTTAATTAAATATCGAAAAACATAAATACCTTAATACCAATACCAAAATGAATGGTGGCCAAAATGACTGGTGGCCAAAATGAATGGTGGCCAAAATGAGTGGTGGCCAAAATGAAAGGTGGCCAAAATGAAAGGTGGCCAAAATGAATGGTGGCCAAAATGAATGGTGGCCAAAATGATAGGGTGCCAACTGCAATGGGATGACCGTGCATCCCCATCCGTTACCGGTGCCACCCGTGTAAACGATCGTCAGCTTCCGGTCAGCACAGCTGTCGACCGTGCAAACCTCCCACACTATCACAGTAGATCGTAAGGTGCGACAAGATAGATACTCCGGGACAAAATCATATCTCTGGAGCAACCAGCTGTGCTTCCTTAGCTGTCCCCTTTCAGCTTGTTCCGCGGCGGCTCTTGCGTTCACGGAGGTGAGATTGATGTAAGTAGCCGCTGTTACTGCATGTACAGCAATAGCGGAGAAAACCGGAACCAACAATACGTGTATATACATTTATTAAAAACAACATGTACAATATTTTTCGCACCTTACTTGATTAAGTCAATGTATGCTATATTAGTGCGCTAATTTTAGTTTTTACTTGGACACAAGGTCACGGCAAAATTAAAAACTAAGAGCACACACTTCTTTCGAAATTTTCCTATGCAAACGGGATATAGAATATTATGTTGTATGTGCCCCAAAAAAACTGCGCTGAAGCACCCAATGGGGCAACTTCAAGTTTGCTGTTTCTAAATATAACGTATAATTTTTTTACATATTGGATTTATTTGGAAAAAATCTTGTGTAAAAAACAGTAAAGATATAAATTTTTAAACATGAAACTAATCCCCCTAACTGAGAAAACCACTGAGCGTTGGAATTCGAATGGCTCCATTCCAAAATCAAAAAAAACCCAGTATGTAAAATAATTTTGTCTTTCCAACGGTACCAAGAACAGCCAATTCCATTGCGGCAATGGATTACAAAGCGCGTAGAACTGTCCAAACTTTAATTCTAGTAAACATGGGTTTTTGTTTTTCGAAAATGGTCCTCTGCATATGCGCCGCGCAGAAAGGTAAACATACCACCACGCTACCTGCAGGCTGCATATAACGTTCATCAAATCGCAGTCTGCGCGCGGTAGCAGCGCAACGCAGACACGCAGCCCGCGTGCGGTTGTTTGCGGTTCGGTTTGAGAGGAGATGGCAGTTAAGTGAATCGAACGTACTGCTGGACCCGAGCGTCGTTTTAGACCCACGGTACCTTTTGATCTTTTACACAGTTGTGCTTTTATTTGGATCTTCGATTTTCGAAAAAACATCCATTTTAAAGAGCATTTTTTTCTACCTGGGAAACTGTAGCTATTGTAACTCCTCTGAAAATGAAGGCAAAACAATTACCTCGCCTTAAGAGTGTACTGTCGGTAAGATGCAAGCATTCGGAATTCACGTGTGCCCATTTTACATTATGATTTGAATCCACACCGTATTTGACTTCACTCGAATGTTTAAATTTGCTCTATTGATACTAATTTATGTATGTACATCTATGTACCATGCGGTGTCTTGTGATCAAAATTCCCAGCTGGTGACGATCAATATGTTGCAAACTGTCTGTTTCAGTATAAAGCAAATTCTTAATTTCGGCCGGTATGGGTAATGAACAGTGCAATTAAGTAATTTTCTAATTATATCAGTAAGCGCAAGGTTTTATTAAGGTAAAGGTAAACGTTAACTTCGTAACAAGGAACAACCAAGGAATGCCCTTTGCAATCTTTCTTTACCAGATTACTGATAGAACCATCATTCCATTCTGATGAATGATTTTTCTTTTCATCTATGTTTCTGTCTCGAATTTCATAAAAATTACTTTCTTCACATGATTTTGGAATACAAGAGCACCTTCGAGGCGTATTAAGATGTCGCTTGTACATAGATATAAAATATATAAAAACAGAAATAATTATGTTTTATTATACTTTCAAATATTGTATTTTTGTTAGCTAAATTTTGATATTATACTTTCATACTTATACTTCCATATATTGCATTTTACAAGCTTAATTGCGATATCTTTTAGTTTTCCGTAGATTATCTTTCATGGCTTTTCAAGCAGAGGAGCGCTTTGTACAGTAATTATTTGCTTCCTTTGTTTTTTATAAAAATAATATGATCAGAAAGGTTGATCACTCGCGCGCACACGTAGACGTACTCTATTGTACATATATATAGACCATAATTGTATGCATTACTTACATTTGCCACATAAACTACTGGTACAATATAATAATATTATAGTAACTCGTGATTTCTAACGTGCATCAAAATGGCTTCGACCGAAAGATCGTTACCATGTTATAGGCCTGCGGGCCGGCCTGCCTATACTGAAACAACACAACCAGCTTTGTACGGAAGCAAATGAATGGAACTTTATCCCAATGGTCAGCCATGGGCGCGTGTGGCGTCGTCCAGCTTGCTAATTGATCCAGCATGCCCCGCCTTGGATCGTGCCGGCGTTTGCTGCACCCAATGGACTACCGAACAATTTACTTTCACGATGACTGCCGGTCAGGTTGTTTCGAAGCCGTTACACACATCAGTCTGCTTTATTATTTTCGGCCTCCATTCAGCAACTTCGAAGTTGGTCGGTGCAAGTTAATTTTCATAGACCTGACTTCTTCGCAGACCTAAATTATGGATTTCAATTTGAGCTGTATGCCTGCTAACATTTTAACCAGCTCATACGATCAGCATCACAATCGTTTGAATATTAATGCGCCACCGGTTATACGGAAAGCCAGGAAAATGCGGACGCCGAAAGCACCCACTGCAAAGAATGCCAGAATTGCCCAGTCGACACCCGTCATGGACCGCGATAAACGCTCATCCCAATTGAAAGCCTACAGTTATGTCGCATCTCCGCAGCCGGCACAGGTAGCGCGCCGAAACGAACGGGAACGCAATCGGGTTAAGCAAGTCAATATGGGATTCGCCAAACTGCGTCAGTACGTTCCGACCGGCAACGGAAATAAAAAACTCAGCAAAGTGGAAACACTGCGCTCCGCCGTGGAGTATATTCGTGGTATGGAGAGATTATTAGGCGAACAATCGCTTAATGGATTTGTCAAAATCAAGAATGAGAAGGATGCCGTTCATGTGCCGGAAGACAGCCGATCGATGACAGCAGAGAATGAAGCATTCACGGCAGCAACAAGTGCTGTGCTATGCTGTATGAACAATTGCTCCTCTACCAGTTGCATCACGACGGACAGCGGCCATCTGTTGGATCAAGCTGCCTCTTCATCGGTAACTGCTCATTCCGATTTCGATTTTTTGAAGATTGAAGAGAATAGTGATGAATTTTCTTGGTACATTCCGCAGTGAACTGAATCTTCAGCCGAATGTTTGCGCTCGTACACCGGCACTGACTAATACGTAACTGATTTATTTGTAATAGAAACTTACTTTAACTGCTTGATAGCAAAAAAGGTTAGCGTCACTGTTGGAAATAGATTTTGTACATATTATAATCCATATGTTTTGCTCAATAGTGTTTGGCGGCTGACTGCCAATTTTTTTGCGCTTGCATGCCGACTGCGATGTCTGTCTTTGGATTAGCCTGATTGGTTAGGCATGGTACGTCCAGCTTTGATTACCGAATAAAATGCGGAAATTCTGCTGGTTTTTGAGAAACACACACCGTAACAGTCATTCTTCTTCGAAATAATTGATTGTACAGTACTTGGCCGTACTGTAGTAGTAAATTTTGCCACAAAATCGCATGTTTTTTACGGAAATATGAATATCAGTTTCTCAATTCAATTCTTAACTGCAATTGTTGTTAACCACAAATACTGGTTCAATAAAAAAGCGCTCTACCAAATCCTTCCAAATCTGCAAAAAAATGTATTAATTACTGTGTAAATGTATAATATACTACGCCCTACCATATCGCAACAACGTTATTTATCGAATAAACATGCACTTTTTTATTCTTTTTCAAAAGAATCGTTGCATGCAACGCTCGGCTTCAGTTCCCTTCGTCGCGCTAAACCTGTTGACAATTATATATTATTTGAACTTCTGAATAATTTTCTCTGAACTTTTAGTTTTACTCGATGTTTTTTACATCAAAACACGGTAAGCACGCCAGAATTCAGTAATTTCTTTTCGTTTTATAGTCGTTGACATTTTAATACCAGCTAATACCCCGCTATCGAACTTTTAATAATTGTAATTCAACCGCCATCCCGCATCTGAAAACTGAAATATCGCCTCATTGATTCTCTGTTCTTTCAATGGTCAATATGACTAGTAAGACTGATGGAGAGAGAAACGTATCCGGTTAGGGACGGACAGTTTGCATGGCTTACTGAATGCGCAAATTAATGCATGCACGAACAAATCGGTGATCAAACAAGGAAATATAATCCAGCTAGACGTTACGGCGCGGATAGCCCTCTTTTTCTGAATGGAAAAGGGCGTAAGGGTGCTGAGAAAAGGACAATGGCTGGTAGGTCTTTATCGCCCACTCCCTACTTCTTTGTCGCACGTTCCTCTGCCTCAGGGGAGACAAAAGATCCATCTTCTCCAGTCTTGACAAAAATCGCAATGAACGCGCAAGGCAGAGTGTGCACATATATATATATTGACGCCGCTCTCCTGAAATGACCTTGCGTCCGGTCGCCGTCGCACCTCATTGTCCAAAACACTAATTTCTTTAGCTCACCTCACGAAGAGGATAAATACCGCTCCAAGCTTGTAAGGATGTCCTTAAAAGTTCGACAACTGAGTGCTTCGCTACGTACAAAATTTTTGTGTACAATCATATTAAATGAAGTTCCTTCACAGCACATACTGCCATGCATTAATGAGTTAGAAGGCCCAGTCTGCAAAACTAATCTCAGTGATCTACGAGTAGTACCGTAGGTCTATAAGATGCATAATGTTATATGGGTCATTTGCATAGTTTAGCAGCATTCTGTTGCGCTTTTCGGCTTTTGTACTGTACACAGTCGTTAACCACGTAGCTTCTGCTCCAAAAAATGTGCCCCTTGGAGGTGACAAATTGGGTTTGTACATTCAAAATAGGTTTAATATACGAGTATATATGCAAATATTTCACAAAATCCTATAAAACTGCAAGTCCTGGAAAAGCAGGACGTACATTATTATAAACAAACGATGAATCGAACGAAAGCACAAAAGCCATGCGTGAAAATGTTTTGTTTGTCCAAGATGAAAATGTTGTTGCGAATAATAGCGTCATATTGTTCATGTAAATCAAATAAGGCGGAATGCGCGGAAAGTCTGCACTTTGCCTGCACCAGGGGCTGTTAGTACAGCTGCAAGAACAGCTTCGGAGAGGATGACCTTACCGACGCAACTGCGAATGTGAGGGAAACATTGCTTCTATCGTGCTTTTATAACGGCGAATATTTTTAAAAGTTTGCTCTTTTATTCATAATAGCTATACGTATTCAAGCATTAGTTGTCATGAGCTTAAACATACAGTAAAATACCTATAGGCATACACCATATCGAGATTCACCAGCCAGTATTTTTGCAAAAAGCCATAAGTTTCGTGCACTCGTATAATATTTGTGTAGTATAATTAATTTGTTTATAGAATATTTTCTCAGCGAACTGATTTGAAATGCAGTTATCAGCATCTGGACTGCGATTGCGGTCTTATTCACTTTTGGCTTTCTTAAAAAAGTCACAAAGGTTTATACTTAAATAATTGATGTGATCGATATCAAATCATATTCTAATGAGCAGCTACACTCGTTGCTTTATTGGGTAGTTACTTCAGCAATATTAATTGTTACAAGATTTTCCCGATATAAATATTGTTAAAACTGTCGATATAACAGTTTTATAAGTTGTTCCAAAGGCTGTTGAATGCGTAATAACTGATGTCCTAGTAAAATAATTTGTGCGACTAGTCCCGGGATTGCGTTTCCGACTTTCACGGCGGTTGGTCAATGGATGTCACAATTATTATACACCCACTTAGTAAAACTATTTTCACGAGGCCACGATAGTATCAAAAAACGCAGTTAATAATATTAATATGGCAAGGTGGTATTGAGCCATTTCTCCAGGATTTCTTTGGAGAATTCAGACCCCAACTGCGCCATTCATATTTTAAGTGCAGGCAGTGAACGGCCTGCACATAATTTCGGCACCTGCGACTGATATGGATAGCTTTATGCGTGCAAACCATCGCCGGCGACGGATGACTTCTTTCCTTAATGGGCCTTGTTCTGAGTCCAGCCGAAAGCACATAAACTGGACACCACCGTCAAGAGTGTGCCGGACTGGAGTGCTGCTGTCTCCGTTTTCCCTTGTGCAGCTCGCGTGTTGGTCGTACGCTCTATAATTCTTAAGTGTAGCCAGTCAGATATCAAAATGTATCGCCATAGAGTATGATCGATTGCCGCTAAAGGAAAGCCTTAATGACAGTCAGCCGCGATCTGCTCGGCTGCCTAATCAAAATTCTGGCGATGCACACGCAATTAACCGTTTCTTGTTTTAACAAGAACGATTGTTTCCAGGTCCGGTAATATATTCCGAACTAAAGTAGAAGTAATCAGTGGTATTGTTCTTGTTCATACCGGGGAAAAACTTTTTCTGTGATTCGGCATGACTTGGTCTGAAATTAAATCAATAACTGGAAAAGCTGGCTACCGAAAGTAGCTAGTTATCTCCGGCATCATGCCGTTAATTAAACATTTAAATGGTAACATGAGGCATCTGAACACCTGTACCTAGAACGCACAGGAGCAAAAATGCCTGCGACTATCCTCATGATACATCAACTTGTCAACTGTCAAGCGCGTAGCTGTAAATAAACAAACTATGCATGCATTGACAATGATAGCACGAAGAATATTGACCATGATATGGTGAGCTGTGACGTCAAAACAACAGCTATCACAGTAAAGTTAAGCTAGGCATTCAATACTCATTCTGCAGAATTCATTAATGAATATTACCTGCGCCATAATTTTTTGAAAATATCCGGTACAACATTACTTAAAGGTTTTATGTATTTGCGCTCGTGAATGTTCATACTATGTATACCCGTGCGATAAGTTCATAAAAGCACATGTTAACTATATACGGCAGCATTTTTGGTAAAGTTGTAACAAGTGGAAAAAGAAATTACATTACAGCATAAACAGTAATAATTACTGTTGTGTACTATATGTGATTAATTTAACCCAGACTCAAATGAGTGCCGTAATTACAGCATACGTGCAATAATAAAAGTATTTTTGCGAGTGCCAACAAATTATTTTAACAAATGGTACAAATGAAATTGCAAGTGTATTTCTTTATCTTCCTCAGTTCTCTTCTGCACTAGCGCTGCGTAGCTCAGTTGTCGAAGCTCGAAGTTTAGTTTCGTCATAAAAAAGTGTACCGAATGATGCTTTGTGCTTTTAAAATTAAATACCAACATTTGATAATAACCTTTGCCACAAATAAATCATTTTACCGTAGACCGGATGGAGGTTTATTGTGAACTGTCTTTGCTCTATCGTTCTCTTGCCGTGCCTTAAATAAGTATTCACTTCCTTCAATGGATTTTGCGCCTTGACTACCGCTGTCATTCGTTATTAACTACCTATTATCGGTCCATCACTGTCTCGTTAATAAGAAAATGAAGAGCAGCTCGTCTTCCACTTAACTATCTGCGGCATTCTGTATTTTAATAGCTTTCTGACCTGCATGCATAGGCATGTAGATAGGGGCGCAGTAGCCAAATTTTGTCCGTTTCTAAGTACTTTTGCTTCTGTCGAATGTTTTGAGTGTCGATATTTGATAAGGTCCTAAACATGAAGGGGTAACCAAACGAATCGAATAAGACCCATTAGGGATACTGACCTTTAAATCGGTCATGATAGTCAGATTCTAACGATCCAGAGCAGCAACACTAACAAATAATCCAGTGCGGCTTCAGTTTTGTAATTTTTTGCAAAGTGTTAATTTGGTCATATTAATACAAGTATTTTTGCTGTTATAGTTGATCTGGACTGATCGCAAGAAAGTCTGAGGAGGTAGACAGTGAGATGCAATGACCGAAATAATTTTTGTTTCCGCGCAAAGTAACGCATTATCCAGTAATATCCAGACCAATGAAAACTACTTACTGGTTAGAGCAGCGATACGTATTCTGTCCTTTTGATTTTATCGCCAAGCATTTTGTCTTGCAATACACATATTTACACTTTGTAGTATTGTACGATAACTGCGCAGCAAAAGAAATAGCAGTGCACAACAAAAACATACAGCAAAACGAAACCACATCTTACTATAACGAACTATTTGTAACTTACAAAAAATTAATAGATCACCATGTCACTTGAATGCGTGCCAATGAATGCGTGTACTTGCGGCCATGTAAATGATGTAATAGGTTTTTATGTATTAAATCACAAGATTTACATTTTTTAAACTGTACTTTTCATACGATGCAGATCTTTGCATGGCAATGAAAAGGCAATAAATATTCTTTAAGTTTTTATGTCTACTCCAGCATGGGTTTACGTTTATAAGCATTATCATACCATTTTGATGAGCCGAAAATGTATCGGTTGTGGCAGCATACGATGCATTAAAAGATTGTCAAAATACTCAATATTGTTAGTCAATACGCGTGTCATAGGCAGATGGTTTACTTTGTCATTTAAGTGATAAATCGATAATTCAGTCGTAAAATCGTCAATCAAACTGTTGCAAGATATTTGATCGGCGAATATATTTCAGCATGTTGCATTCAGCAAAACAGACTGATACTTTTAACAATTAATAATCATACCGCCACTGACTCAAGTTGATGGATGATCGATACCTCCTACCGGCAACCGGTGATTCTTGTCGGCATCCATATAATTTAAAGGATACAAATTGTTATTAGACCTAACCGCACTGGTTCATTTTCATCAGGTGACGCATTTCGTTTTTTACTGACATTCTTTGGTGGTATATGCCATGTCATTTTCACAAATCAGAAAGCATTTAACTGGAGCTCGATCGGATTCATGGTCGTTTACAATATCCGCAAACATATGTAATTCGAATGTGTAATGTGCAGCACATTAACTGCGCAATGCACATTTTATACTTTATACTCGTAGTGCATAATGCATTACTGCTGTTTTTAACAATTAATCAGGGCTATAACTGAAAAACTGACCGTGAAACGCATGTGTTGGTAATCTAATGTTTCGTGCACTACTCGTACAGAAATGGACGATGCCGCCTCATCTTTAGTTGCAAGTTGCAACCAGCGTTTAATTACGAAAAAACTGAATTGTGAAACCCAAAACTTGAAACTAGTGCGTGGTTAAATTAAATCCAAATTAAATGAAGAGCAGCTATGTATTTAATTAGCATACTTTAAAGTATAGTCATTACTAGTACTTCGTACTATCCTTTACAGATATCGATCATTTTATCACCAAACTTTATCCATATTGCAAAGCTATCTGTTAATAGCCCAGCCCTGTATAATTATACTTTTCGAATTTTCGCATTTCTCGTCCAAAGTATAAGTGGTGCAAAAGCTTGCTGGACATAAGAGAGACATTATTAATTACCGCTTTCAGAATCTTATTTGGCAGAACTTATTGTTCCGATGATACTGTTGTAGTGTTAGTGAAGGAACCTGTTCCGTAACGGAGATCACATTCATCAACAGTATGGAATTTTGACTCAATCATCACATCCTACAAGAAAAAGCACAAAACAGAAACTTTTATAGAACCTTTAAAAAGTTTGCAGTGTAATAGATTTCGATTTCCAAAAAAGTATGATCCAACTAATACTGCCTTTGGGAGTTTCCAGAATGATAGAATCGCAATATACGATCCATTTTTACTTTAAAACATTAAACACACGGTTTTTTAATCGATTTCAAAAGTTTTAATATAATATATAACTTAATTTCAATTTATGCGTTATTTTAATTTGTGCATTATGAGAGCTATACGGTATACTTGAAATAAGGATTCCGAAGACGCAGACGATGTGCCACAACAGCGAAAAGCTTTCACTAATTCATGATTAACGCTGGTTGAAGCGTAACGACGGTACTCCGGAAGTAACGGCGCCTTTCCACAGGATTTCGAATGAGAATCAGAGTGCGAATATTGTTCAGCACTAGCGTTGCTTGCATTTAAGATTCGGCTCAAGTTGTCGATGTGATTTATTGCTAACCGCAACGTTTTCACTTTGGAAATGCGTTTACATTTTTGGCTGTAGGTCGGCAGGACTTTTCTTAATCTGGCAAAGGCAAAATTCACCGCCTGTACCCGGCGTCGCTCTCTTGCATTTCGTCGAGCGACACTTTGTGGCGCTTTTCCCACGATTGCCCGATGAATATTGCGGTTAAAGGTCACATCCGTTCCGCGCTGGCGGCGGAAGGTGGATTGTGTCACCGGTTTGCAACCTTCAAATGTTGAGCTATTTCTCGGCCTTCCTGCCAAAATTGGGGATAAAATATACGCGCATCCGCTGTCACAGTGCTTTATCGGAGGGGAAAGCTGGCACTGGTCGACCTCCTGTCGATTTTCGTATGGCGAAGATGCAAAAGGGTCACCCATTTGGACAATCGATCTTATACGTTAGAATGCATTTTAAAGGTTACAGCCAAAGATTCCGTAGATGTTTACAAATGCTTTGCAATAATTCGGTTAAATGGTAAAGTTGATAATGCATAACCACACACTGACAATGCTTGCCATAAAAAATAATTATATAGTCCAGAAACACTGTCGTATAATAAACTGCCTGCCAACAAATGCAGACAAATTCATGAGCGGATTAAGGTGGGTTTCATCTATATAGATTGTAACTTACAAACATGTAAAGGATTTTTTAACCCGAGGTACGTACAATAGAAGTTTAGGAAATCGTTATAGAATAATTCTGTCAAACGGAAAACCGACTTTATACTCTGTCATGTAGCGGACTTTTCAATTGCAGTTGCCTGTCGTCAGACAAACCTCTGTCTGCAATTTCGGGTAATAAATTATTCAGCAGCTGTTGTAGTACTACATGATAACAAGCGGTTTCCGTTGTCATTTATTGCGTGATTTAGCCATGCAATTAAAGCTGCCGCAGGAAATAGTGTCTATGGGTTGGAGACAACAGTATCGCAATCCTATTTAACAATTTAATTTCCGCTTTGCGCAGTCACTTGCTGGCACGCAACGGTTAAACTAAATCCGATCGCGAATTGCCATATTGCCGAACTTTAAAGAATACACTCATGGCCATGCAGAGTGACCAATTGCAACTACCTAATCGGGCGTCACCCAAAGGAAAACAGGATCGGTAAGAGCTTCAAGATTTAAATCGACACTGTCTGAAATCACAGGTCTTTCAGTTTTGCTTTGCAAATGTATTTAGAGCTATAATAATTAGTATGACACCGTGGAACCATAAAAATTTAGGATTTGCCAGTCTGTAATTGACTGAAATACAGAATGTTGTGACGAAGATTATCCGCAAGCCACAAAGTTTTGAAGTTACAAGTGCTAAAAACAGCGATTATCTGTCAGACGGTACTACTTTTCAATTTCCAGTGAAGGAAAAGAGAATTGAAAAAAATTAGATTAGCCAGGTCTGGAACCACGAATGCTAGTGTGAATTTTCTCGGTAACTGGTCGGCAGCCCACGGAATCCGGCGAGTCCAGCAAGATCTGCAGATGCCGGATATACTTAATTGCTCCCCTCAAAATGTCCACTTTGCTCATGCGCTTTTGTGAAGATTCCGTTGGCAGTTTTTGACGCAAACTAAGAACAACAATTTTACAATGTTAACTTTTTTTCAAATGGATATTTTGTGGGTTGTAATTTGAATTTATGTTACGAGCTTTCATAATGCATATATTTTCACCGCAAATTAATATAGATATCTTCCGCCAGTTTAGTTCGTTATACAAAAGATCGGTTTAGATACGTTCGAATTTCTTTCATGAAGTTGTTGTTGAATGAGGTAATTGTAACTGACAGTTTTACTTTGTACAGTTTCCATCGTGCAGTTGTAAATTTATAGAATTATATAACAAGCTGACCACATGTATATCGCATATCTACCACGCATACTCGAATAAATAATTATTATTCATGATAACATAAAATACCATGTTTTTGACGAATTCAAGATAGTTTTTAATAATTGAATGTCGTATATAGCGTAATATACAGAAATAAGCAAACAGTTAAATATATTAACATGTAGTTTAACTAACAATATAATTAAATACATATATTAACGTATAGTTTTATGTGTGCAAATGAAAAGGTCAAATGCTCTTACCGCGTATATCCATCATTAACGCAACGCACCCGCTGCCGCTCCCGTTCATTACGCCGCCGTAGAAATACTGGTTCATAGTACAACAGATGATCTCCGTGCAATTTCGGTATGGGAATTAGACACTCTGGCGAAAACGGATCCTTGACTGCCGGCAAATTTCCAGAAGTAGAGGTTACTGAGGCCGATGAAACCTTACTGCCAGGCGCAAACGCCTTCTCATGACTGCCTTCCACGTTCCTTTTTTTGACTCCTGCTTTTCGTTCTTCGATAACGCTCGGACGCGACTGGACGGAGTGCGGATAAGTGGCTTGATACGTGGCATCGATCCGGTAACTAAAGGACACCAAGGGGACGGTGTCTTCCTTGTTGGAACTCCCGACTGGGCTTTCGTTAATTAACGCCGGAGGATACCACACTAGAGCCGGTATAACACAGTTTTGACTGGCCGTGTTCATGTTGATTTCAACAGAGAGGGATTTCAGACTGACGTAAGAAGGTTGCGAATAAAACTCATTTAGGCATGATTGTTTCATTCTCATAGCTAGGGCTTTTGAATTTATATGAACAGTTTCATGAGTTTAGAAAAGGGTAATTTGAGTCGCAGGAGCGTACTGTAACAACTGTAAAGGCAAACAAGTCCGGAAGGGTATCTGTAACAAACAGCCTGCTCGATTTGTGTTATGAGGGTTCTTGGATTACAAATCATTTGTTCTTATTTGATGGATTGATTGGTTAGATGCGAAGGTGAGTGATCAGACGAATTTACCGGTGTATACGATGATAATCGAACATGTTGGTTTATGCAGATTACGCCGACAGTGCAGGGCACTTTTGTTTGTTCATTCCGAAATACAAGGGAACAGCGGGAAATTCAAGAGCATTGTAGAGGGCTTGTTTATGCATTCGACAACTAATCCATGGATGCAGATCAACATCAGCATCCAAGTGAACACGTCAGAATTATAATTCAAGAGTATGGAATATGGGCTGTGTCTGCATTACAAACGGCAGGCATGGTCGAAGCGAAACAAGATATTACTAAATGGGATATTCAATTAATCTTAGAATTCATGAATCTTCGGAGGCCGGCACTCTTATATATGTATAATTATTAAAAATCGCAGCTTGTTATTTTAGGTGATCATTCGCATGTTGCTGTAAAGAATATACTTTTTAATTGCACAATGACAGTAAAACGTCAGGGCCAGAAAATATATATTCTGTACACTAGAAAGCAAACTGGCCACTGTATAATGTACAATGTTTTTGTATAATTAGCTGTACAGTATTTATTTTCCAGTGTGACAGACGGTGTACGTGTACAACTTTCTTATTTCGGAATTGTGTATTGTATTTCGGAATAATTGTCATTAAACGCGACGATAATCGTGATTTTCTGATACAACTGCTTTAATACAATCCATCGAAGCACGTTTGTTAACCAAGTTTTACAATAAAAAATTAAAATCAACAACACCTAAATCCAAACTAAAAGTTAAAAAATAACATGAATTTCGTTACTTTATCCAACTCCACCGGCAAAACGCAGTCGCTGCGGAGAAACAGTAACAGGAAAGGCGGTGGGAGCCATATTAAGAGTTTCCGCTGCAAAGGCAGACACAAATCTTGTATTAAACATTAAAAAAACCAAAGTATAACCAATTCCTTACCATCCGAAGTGGAGTACATCAGCCTGAAACCATTGCCAGCCAGAGCAAAATCCGTATGGAAATCGATTATCATTTTGCGTTTGGAGATGATCGGCTGCGGTGGCTCGCCTCCCGCTCCGTACAACCCTCCGCCCCCGCAGACACGCGGCCCCGGACTAATGGCCTCGCTCTCATTATTTGCACTTTCACCGTACACAATCAGCCAATCTTGGCACAACACTTCGGTGTACAGTGTCCCGAAAGCCCGGTTGGTGTCCTTAATCAGTAAACGCCGGCTGCCTTCGATGTCGAAGTGGTTGGGATCGAATTCCAGTTTAATATACGGCCGGTCGGGTGGAGCGGTGATTTCGTAGCGGCAGTCCAGATTATTGTTGGGCTTACCGGGGAAACCCGGCGACACGATGACGCCTTCTGGGTCGGTGAACTTTCCGCCGCAGCCAATGGTCCACGCGGCACTGAAACCCTTAGCGGTAATTTCATTATCCGAATGGAATTTCACGCGGATCTGATTGGATGAGGACAGCGTAACATTCGGAGTCACGATGCCGCAGGATGTCGAAAGAGACGTCCAGTCGTTGGGTGCGGCCAAATCACTGATTTCCACGTAGTCTTTCGAACAGTTTGTTGATTTTTCAATGTCGAAACGGCCTTGGAAGGTAAAGTTAATGTGGTAGCCGACATCCACAATAATAAACCAAATACACTCAGTATTGGTTGGGTAGTCCACTTGCGGAAGCTCATCGTACCCGGGCGTTGCAATCCGACCCGTATTTCCGTGGAATGTTCCGCCGCATCCTAATTAAATTCAGCATTTTGCGCAAAAGCATGAAGCTTTATTTACTTGATCACGAATCTGTTCAAATTTTGTGCTGACTAGGATAGTTAAATTTTCGGTGTGTTAAAACCGCTTGATTACTGACCTTTGGAAACCGTAATAAAGGAAGCTTGAAAGCCCCGATCCGTCCCACTATCGTCACTTCGAAATCGCAGAAATAACGCCGATCCCTGTGATCGAATTGCCGGAATAGCTGGAGTGCCACAGATTAAATCATTTATGCGAGGTGACGTATGGAATCGGCCATTGAGGATTTCCAGAGAATCCTTGGAGCAGTTAGTGCTTTCTTCCAATTTAATATCGCGGAAGGTCAGCTGCAATTATTTATCCGCTGAGTTTCGCAGGTCAAATATCGATTTGGTGTAAGCCTAATTAACCAACCTGTACTTGAGCGCCGGTCATTTCTGACGACTGGATGAGCCAAGCGCACGACATATTATTGGGATAATTTAAAGGATAATTTGGGCTTTGAACGAGTCCGCTGACCGTATCCAGTACTCCTCCGCATTCTGAAATGCATAACCGGTATTTTGTTGGCAAAATTTGAATTTTTCAGTCATTCAACGACATTAAACATTAAATTGTAAACGAAAATGTCAAAAGAAAACAAATAACTTTTAAAGCTGCTACAGTAAAGCCCTATCATACCTGTAATATTATACACCAACCGGAAGCCTCGCAACTGGTGGGAGTAATCTGTGCGGAACCGCAGCCAAATCTGCGCACCCGGCATAATTAAATTACCGCCTTTTAGACTGTCTAATGTGCCACACAGCGTCTGCACAATGGGATCCATGGCGGTGCTGCCCGAACGAATTTCCACGAAATCACTGCGACAGTTGTCCGGCATCAGGGCCGGACTGGTGTTCTCCAGTTCAAAGTGGGTAAACTGCAGATTGATGGTCGACTGGCGAGCGTCTTTCGGGTTGTTGATGACCCAGATGCACTCTTCGTTGGCCCGGTAAGTTGCGGAAGCATTCTTCCAATCGAAGCCGGGACTGGTGATGACTCCGCTGGTGGACTCCAGCACGCCGCCACACGCTGTAAGTAGCAGAAGTAGTTCTCAGTATGCAATTGCAAATGTCGGTTACATTTTTTGTTAATCTATATTGGTCTTATATTACAGTAGTCTATAACATTAGTTTATATCCGAATGTGTCCGTACTATAATATAATGTCCTTCCCAATTACTTATTTTCCTGATTAAGTTTGCACTACAGATACACTAACGTACTAGCAGGTTGAAACGTCGAATATCGCAGTTTAAAGCCCCTGTTGGATTTCGAGCCATCGGTTTGGAACTTGATAGTCATGAGATTCATGCTGGAGCTGATTTTGTCGGGCACTGTCCATTTGCTGCCACATAAGCGCTCCAGTCGGGGTGAATCGGCCAAACCTCCGTTGAGTACCTGCAATAAACAAGAAATGTGCTGTGCGCAATGGCATATTTGAAAGAGGGCTTTCGGTATTTGCGACTGCCTTTCACCTCAACGTAATCGCTTTGGCAGAATCCATAACCTTCCACATCGAATTCCAAAATCTCTAAAAGAACGCGCCGGCCAGGGAGTGCCTCGATTTTCCAAACGCATAGCCTGCAAAGGATGACAGGTTATCACGAAATGGGCAACTAAAGGCGGCTTGTGTCACCTGTTGTTCGGATAGGCATTGGGAAAGCCGGGTGAAGTGATGATCCCGCTGCCTGTGGAAAGCGTTCCACCACAAACTGCAATCAACATACGTTATCTTTTATCAGACGTCAAGTTTCGATTTTCCGGAGAAAAAAATCACTCCCCCGAACTAACGTTTTTTAAATTTTCGAGAATCAATCAAGTTTGCGGTGTAAAAAATGGCAGCACTATGTACTAGTAATTTGGAGATAAGTATTTTATGTTCTTGTTTTCCGTCTGCTGTACCTAGTCTAAATTAATCAAATGAGAGACCATTACCTTCGCTGCCAGCACTGAATGCAATCCTAAACTTATATGATACGTCCGTGGTGAGCAACGGAACCGGACTGGGACCCGATTTGAATTGGATGTAGGCTTGCGAGTCGGCAGATGCAAAGGTCAGGCCGCTGAGCTGCGATCCACAAAGGCTTTTGATCACTTTTCCTGGAAGGCCTAAACATGCAGACAGCTGCAGTATTCTGTCTTGATCAGAGCACGGCGCAAGAAAAATCTGCCAAAATACCGGAAGTCCTGTTTTGTTCCCGGACTTCGACTACGCTGCTACTTGTGCTGCAGTTAGATCCAACGCTCGGAAGAACCGGCGGTAAAGCGAATTCTTTTAATTCAAAATTGATGAAGTGTCCATCTGGAACCTGAATATACCATTCGCAGTCGAATTTATTGGATAACCCGTACGATTGTGGATAGTTGGGACTGTTCACACTGCCAAACTGATCAACGACTGTTCCACCACAAGAATCTGTTAAAAGTGTAAAATTAAATAAAGTACTGAAACCACCCAGAAAACAAGAATATATATACCGCGTAGTTCTTATACAGAATCACAAAATTTTATTTTTACCAATGGAAAAATTTGCTCGGAAGCCGGTATGCACTAATCCACGGTCGCTGCGGAATTTCACGTACATAACATTACTGCGGGATCGCAAGCTACCGGGACGATTAACTCTGCAAATAATCTTTACTACATTCTGGAACTCGAATTTGTATTGCTGTAAAGCACGTTACCCGCAATAACTTCCTAACAGCGTGGCATCTGGCGTGGCTCCATCGCGGACCTCAACATAGTCCCATGGGCACCTAAAGGTCACAAACCGGATGTAATGAGACAACCGTATAATAACTACTCTTATAATCGATATGGGAATCATTACGCGTTATTATTTTGCCGCTCGAGTTCGAACTTGTCCACGAAATCCAATCGAACTCTTTCGCCTCCCGGAGCAACAATAGTCCACTCGCACTCTGCGGTTGGCAATACGGCGAACATTTACATTTAGCCGAAATATAAAGGCGCTATCAGTGGTAGTGGTACCTGTATTGGTTGGATAATTTTCAGGGTAATTTGGTGTTGCAAAGGTCCCCGAACGAATAAAATCGGTCAACCTGCAACGAGTTCCGATTACCATGCAGAACAATATAAAAACTGCTGGCCTTTTAAGCTCGGTAAACAAATACTATGCAGTATGCACTACTTACTTCAGTTCACCACCGCAAGCCATTCTCATAACACGATATCGCAGCGAGAAGCCCCTAAACTGACTTCCGGCGACACTTGCCGCTTTGTAGTAGCGCAGCTCAAAACGATTACTGCGCGTCTGCAACGGGGGAGGAATGCTGGAACCACAGTAGGGACTTTGGCCAAGTAGCGGTGAATCGGCACCAAATCCATTTCTCAACTGAAATGGAAAACGCAGATAATGGTACCTGAATTAATGGCCATGAATGCTGATATCTCAGCAACCAACAGGCTACAACATCACTGTTCACCTGCACAAAATGATTTCGGCAGTTGGGCGATTGGGTAAGGTCCAAATCATCAAAGGTGATGTTAAATGTCGCTCCGAAATCGGTTGTTATATTCCAGATGCATAAATTCTCCGTGGTGTCTGTCGACGTGATCAGCAGCGGATAATCGTCGCTTTGAATCTGACCAACACTGGAAAATATACTGGCGCCACAAGCTAAAAAAACCAATCGTCGAAATTTTTTGACCGGACTAATTCCAGAAATTTCGTTATGATTCTTCTGACAAAAGCAATATTACCCGAATGATAAGTAAGGTTAAAGCCGGTGGCGTTGAAAGGCATTGCTCCCGTTTCCAGGCTTAAGCGTGGATTGTTTGTTGTCGAACGCAGCGGCTGCGGTGCATAACTACCGCACATGTTAATGTAAGCACGCCGGTATGTTGTGCCTTCGGAAAACTGCAGTCTAGGTTTGGTGTCACACTGTGTACTGTTGGATCCGCCGAGGCTAATGTCATTAATGTTCAGCACCACGTGTGAAGTGTCATCAGCACGGATTTTCCAGACGTAGGTCTGATTGGGCAGCAGTCCTAAAGGATAACCTGGCGCCACCAGACGCTGCGGTTTCCGATTGGCTGTCAAATCCATAGTGTGGATCTCTGTAAAAATGTTTCCGGCATAATATTATGCACCTATTCCAGTGTGCCGTTATTAGTCGCGCAGTGGTGTAAAGTAATTCACAAACTGAAGCTTGTCGTTGATTTTAAAAAAAATACAGGAATTACTTTGTGCAAAATTAGCAAACTCAACTTTTATTTAACTGCAATTTATGTTCTTTTGTAGTGCTAAAATGTGCTAGTTAATGAGGTCAGTTGAAAAGAAGTTCTCTGGTAGCAACATGCTCAAAATGCAAGGAATGCCAATTTACTTGCGGAGCCGGAAGAAGCTGTATCATCCTTCCCAAATGCCGAAACCGATTCCCACTCCAGTAAAAAGCCCTGCCCGTTCCCTCCGTAGCGATCGGTGTGCATGAAAATAAATAACTGGTTGCTGGCGGTTTGAATCGGTTCTGGTAATTCAAAACCGCAGTATTTGCCGATAATGGGAGCCAACGTGGTAGGACCGTTATAAAGCTGCAACGTTTAGAACCCGTAATCGAAGAAATTGCATCGCAATACTAAAGTAGCATAACCAGTGCACAGCATCCAACATACCGCCAAATAATCAAAATAACATCGGCGGTCCTCCATATCCATTTTGACAAATCGAACACGAATTGTGGTACCGCTTGGCTGTACTCGGAAAAACAAGTTCTTGAGAATTTTGATCGAAAACAGAAGACAGGTTTTCATATGTTATGTTTACCGAAGTAACACGCCATGTGAACGTAGAGTTATGGGGATAATTCATCGGATACAAGGGCGAAGCAATTTGTCCAGAAGATTTTCCAAAGATTTCTCCTCCGTGACCTGAGACATTATTAAGAGTCTTTGCTAGTAAGCAACTTATGGTTACATTCATTTGGCTATTAGGCAGTAGTATCTGAAACCACTGACGCAAAAACAATAATTGCGCGGTGTAAAATTATAGGACTGCCGAAACGATGAATATGAAACTGGCTTTATTAAGTTGGTTGTTCTCTATATGAGCACATACGTAATCGGTACTCCGCCGAAAATCCGCTGTGTGTTTCTTGATCACCGGACACGCGCAGCATTATCCACAAGACTTCGATGCCACTGGTGTGGTTAGTCGGCACCTCATCGCCACAGTACCGTCCCAAGACAGGACCACTGCTGCTGCCTTCGCGAATCTCCACATAGTCGATATTACAGTGTGGATCATCATCGTTATCGCCCACGATAAAGTTGAGAAAGTTCAAATCAACGGTATTGCCCGGCGACGCCCGGATTGTCCAGATGCATTCCACGCGGGTAGGATAGTTATCAGGATAACGCGGAGAAGTGAAGAAGCCCTCTAAGGCCGACATTTCACCTCCACACGCTGCAATTACAAAATTGAGCAAATCAGCACGCGAAAAAAGTGCTACTACAAAGGTCATGAAGATTCGACTAGTTCTGCGGCTGTAAATCTCCGTTTATACCTGTATAGGAATTCGAGTACAGTGCTCTCCATCCCGCTTCCTCTTTCCAGTCGTCAGTTACAAAGCGGAAATGCAGGGCATTTCCAGTGGACATGATCGGGGGCGGAATCTTTCGGCCGCAGTATTTTCCAATTAGTGGAGCACTAATACTATCTCCGTTTCGAATCTCCAGGTAATCGTGAGTACACGATCCTCTTTCCTGTTTAAAAGGATAAAGAGTTCCATGTTTTAACCTTGGTACGTTTATGATATTTTCAATCTGCAGACGCACTTCTATGTCCATAAAGGTAAACTGCAGCGTAACTCTCGTTCCTACAAAACGCAGAATACATAGTGATTTTTGACATCAGTGGAAGACATCCAGAGAGTGGTAAAACGCGTACATAAAAATAAAACAACTCACCAGGTGTGTTGGTTTTGATAATGTACGAGCAGTTGGAGTTCTTTGAATATCGGCTTGGGAAGTTGGGCGAAACAAATTCCGCCTGTGCGCTTGTAGCCTCAAGGACGGCACCGCATCCTAATGTTGTGAGTCAAACAGTTAAAACATGTTCATAAACATCACATTTAAAAATAAGTTTGAGTTTGATCTTCATAAGCTTCAATTGGATTACGGTATACGAACCGGTAGCGTAATTAACACGGAATCCGCGTTTATTCGGATCTTGCACTTCATTGGAAATAAACTGCAGGAACAGCTTGTTGGAACTGCTTTTAAAAGTTTTGTTCTTCATTTCACCACATCGTCTAAATAACAACGGGGCACTAAGTCCTTCCCCATCATAAGCCGCCAAATATTCCCGTGAGGAAGTGCCGTCACCGCAGTCAGTATTAGAAAGGTCACCGGCTACAACATCCACATCCAGATCTGTGACGTTCAACTCAACAACATGCTGCTCAGCGACCGTTATCAGCCAACCACAGTTGAGATTTTTGGGATAGACCGATCCATAGTTTACGGATTCGATCATGCCTTTGGGAGTGGAGAAATTGCCACCGCAATCGGATTTGACTAGTGAATAATAGGCTTTGAAGCCCATGCCGGACTTGCTCTGATCGCTCTGGAAGCGGACAAACAAATATGGACTGGAAGAGGTCAGTGTTTGGCTGCCGTTTTGCGAATGGCAAACCGACGAAACTTGTGGTGACTTATCGTCCGGCCCGTTAAATATCTGAAAAAGAACCCCTTTACGGTTGATGAATTAACCGGTAAGACAGATGCGCATTACATCGTACGTGCGAGGACATAATGTTCTTCTTGCGTGATTGTCTGATTTATTTTTCGAAGAACTAGCCGAATGAAGCAATCGAAAAGTACGGCTGTGTTTTTATTACCAAATTTTTTTAAATAGCGTAAATACCACCGAAACAGTACTAATACACTTCAAGCAGTAGCCATAAGAAGAGCTTTTATCTTACTACAAAAAGAGTGTACCTCAAGCTTATCCCAGCGGCAGTTTGAATGGGATTCCAAATCGATGTGGGTAATATTAAGCATGATACCATAACCGTATTCTGTGCTCATTAACCGCCATTCACAAGTTGTACTTGGTGGATAATTTCCCGGATATTTAGGAGATGTGATAAAGTTTTGCAATGAATCCCGGCGGTCAACATTTATATCGCCGCCACAGCCGTGTGTTACCCATTCTAGGCGGAAGCCGGGTCCACTTCCTGTCGAGTCGCTGTTGAATTTTACATACAGTATGTTGCTACTGGACTGGAACGGTTTTGGAGGCGAATTGCCGCAGTAACGCCCAACGGGATTACGATCTTCACCACTATCGTAGATCTGTTCGGAAAACATCACGAGCATTTAGTTGGTGTCAGTATTCCCGGTGTATTTCCGTACGCTTTTAAATGGTTCATGTGTTATTTAAGTTACAGTTGTATTGTACCGCAAGGTAATCAGTGGAGCAATTGCCGACACCAACGATTCCAAAGTGAGAAAAGGTCACGTTGATCTTGTTGCCGCGAGGCACTTCAATTCTATAGTCACATCGCGCATCGGGCGGATAACGATCCGGGTAACCAGGACTCTCGATTACACCCGAGCGCTGTTTGAGTACTCGCTTTTGACAAACTGAAAAAGTTCGCATTTTCAAGCACCCAATTTGGACACCGAAAACAGCTTCTACCACTCTTTTACGTTCGCTTTAAAAGGTATTCGTTCAAATTTATTCACGTCCTTAGCCTCTTGCTGACTTACTACCCTTCTAAGTTTCAACACTTTTTTTGCAATAATGTATTTACAGAGGAGAATATTTTAATCTGTACTGCAGTTCGCAGTTACAATCTTACCGGCCTGATAAGTCAGATGAAATCCTCGTCCATGTGAAGACAAATCTGTGCGAAATTTAATATACATTTCGTTGTAAGTGCTGATAACTTGTTTTTGTGGAATTGCGGTGCCGCATAACTTATCCAAAGGTTTGCTTGTGCTCGACGGTCCATCAAAGAACTGCGAAATCAAAATACTTTCATGGCCGAACCATAATATCGGTTTCGTCAACTTACAGCCAGATAATCATATTTGCAGTTGACCGAGTTTTCCAAGTCAAAGTCCACAACGGTTGCTTGGATCGAACTTCCGGCGGCGGCATGAATTTGCCAGTAGCATTCGCTGTTGTGATAATATGGAGATGGATAATTGGGCGATGTGATCTAACGAATTAATCGTAATTTTAATAAGGCTGTAAGTTAACAACTTCCTCAACAAACGAACATGATAATAATACATAGCACGCACAGCGCCAAATGGAGCCCGCATAATCCCGTTGCATCCGGTCGGAGTGGAATAGTAACTGGCTTTAAAGCCCTTTGCGTTTCGGAAGCGATCGGATATAAATCGAATAAACATTTTGTTGGTGTGGGATTTGATTATTATAGGTCCCGTTTTTCCGCAGTATCGTCCAAAAAGCGGGGAATTTTCTGAACCGCCATTACGAATTTCCAAATAATCCGCATGACAGTCTTCGTGTTTTTCCAGGTCCAGATCGGTGATGTTCATAACAATCTGATTTCCGTCTTGAGCAGTTATCGTCCAAACGCATGAGCTAAATGTCGGATAGTCCTCCGGATATCCAGGAGATTTAATTGTTCCACTTGCCTGTCTTAATTCACCTCCACACACTGCAATAACCAGCACAAAATAAGTGATAATCGAATGTACGAACAAATGTATCGAATGGCTTTTTATTATGAGATACAGAATTCGATGTTAACATATCTGTAATGTGCAGCTCTTTAAAAATTATTTAATAACAATAAAGAGATTATGACATGTAGTATTTGGTTTTTGCTAATTATATTTTTCGATTTGCCATGTTTTTCAAATCAGAAACCAGTTGTTTACGGACCTTTCGATTCTTCAATAGCAGTGTAAATGGCAATGAAACCTCCAAATGCAACGCTGTTATCGGAAACAAAACTGACCACGAGCCTGTTGGATAGTGACGTAAAAGCCGAAGGTACGTCTTTTCCACAGAGTCTGCAATGGTGTAGTTGTTATCAACGATAACAATCGTAACCGTCAATCGAAACACTCAAGTATGCCGATGCAATCGTACCGAGCCAGAGTCCCATTTTTATTGCCAACAGCCGCCGGATCTCTAACCTCGACGTAATCGTAGTTGCAGTTAGCCTGATGTTCCAACTGAAAGGTCAGGAACTTCAGCCAAACCACTTCATTGGGTTCGACCGTGATGGTCCATGTGCAGTTGCTGTTGTGTCGATATGTTTCATCACCGGCTGCGTGCGGAACAGCGAGTTCCGACGGGCTACTGAACCGTCCACTCGGACCCGTCAAATTACCACCACAAGCTGTTGCAAACCATTTCATAATTTCAAAATGTTACCACTGGCCACTATGTAAAATAGACAAGTAATACCTTGCATGTAGTTATCACAGTTTGTTCCATTCCACGGAGCCACGCAAAGGCAAGCGTAAGAAGAGCCTTGACGCATGCAGTACCCACCATTCTGTTGATAGCAAATTAAGTATGTTTGTCCAAAACCATGTACAATAAAATCACTAGTGATTTTGTGTAATTACCTGGCAGGGTGAGCTGTCACACGGATTGCTGCTCGTTGCCGGTCGGCATCCAGAGGCACCAACTCCCGTTCCAGTATAACCCGCTGTGTCGACATTTTTCGGATAAGTATTAAAATTATACGAAGGCGATTAATATATGATTATTATTGTTATTAACTAGTTAACTAGTTTTATTTACGAAGAACGTGGCTGTATATCTGCGAGTATGCATACGTACGTTTACACCGACACGAAGGATAACCCCAAAGACTCAATGTGCAAACAGCGTTCGGATGACAACCGCCGTTATTGGTGGCGCATGTGCTACCGTACGGCGTACAAGTGACACCGTCACCCTGATATCCAATGGGACACACGCCACAATAAAAAGAGCCGACGGTGTTGATACAGGTGACCAACGGATCCGTGGAGCATCCACCATTATCCACCAGGCATTCGTTAACGTCGGTACATGTAATACCATTGCCTCGGTATCCAGTGGGACACGGGCCACAGTGAAAACTGCCGGGTGTATTGACACAGGGAACCTGCAATTTCAGTCGCCGCTGTCACTTGAATTATAGCAATAGCATGAAGAATGTTACGATTACAACCTGATATTTACTGCAGATTGGAATAACAGCGTCCAAAATACCCAAAAAATTATCAAAAATTTTATAGCTTTTTTAGGCATCCATAGATTTTATAGCTTAGATTTGGCCAAATGAAGTGGCCAAAATAATTAGAAGTGGCCAAAATTTTGTTTACCGGGGGATCCTGTGAACAGGGAATGTGGGCGCTAGCGCACTCGTTAATGTCGATGGTGCAGGGTGCATTGGACCAGTTGCCCTTTGTCCAGCCGGGATCGCAAATGCAGGAATAGCTGGGAGCATCGCGATCCGTCCGAGCAGCGGAGATGCAGGTACCCGCACCGCACAGTTCGGAATTGGCTGCGGCAGAGCAGTCGTCCCTTTTTGCAGTGCAGTGCAGTCCGTGCCATGCTGGCGGACACGAGCAGCTGCACAGGAAGGTAAATTTTACTTACCGGTAACTGTTTTTGGAAGTTGTATCTCTCGTTAAAAAGGGAAAACGCTTCCTTTTCAGTGTAACCCATTAATAAACAGTACATACTTAAACGATCCATCAGTGTTAATGCAAGTCCCTCCGTTCTGACAACCGAGATCTGTTCCGTCGAATAATACGCATTCATCGACATCATCGGCACAAAGGACACCCTGCATGATAACAAGCACCGAATCTTCTCATGCCCGATCGACATTTCTCCAGCTTGCGGATTGCAAAGCAGCCGTGGGCTTTGGCTGCCACCGACATAAGTAGCCAGTTTTTAAGCTTTACGTTCTTATGTTCCGTTCAGGATGGTAGGAAAGAACGAAGCAGCACTACTGTTTAATTTATGATTGCACTTCCCAGAAAGCGTACGAACCTCCCATCCATGGTCACAGAGACATGTAAAGCCGTTGTATTTATCAATGCAGGTTGCTCCATTTTTACACGGGGAAGATAGGCATTCGTCTTTGTTGAGAAGCTAAGTCCATAGGGAAAATTCGCAGCATGATCGAAAGTGAGAAATTTAGAAACAAAAATGAAAATTAAAAGTTTACCTTATAATACGCTCTTACACATGTATTTATATGCTATATATATGGCTAATTGTAAGTACTGGGAATACAGTGCTGTATCAACAAAACAAAGCCCTACCGTCAGCATTTCTTGCTGTTTCTGCTCCAGTGTCCTAATCTACAACATAAAGATGCGCAAATCTAATTTAATACTCGTAAAATAACAGGTTCGTTCAGCTGAGAATAACGAGCAGTCGAGCACAGTGGAAGCTTCACGACTATTAATTTGCTTTTTCACCCTCACGGTCAGTTAGATGGTAAACAGCTCACTTACTTTTCGCTGCAAATTTCTTAACTTGCGGCCGCTGATAACCTCCTGCGTTGATCCAGCGGTGTTCTGAAAATGTAAAAAGTACCGGCCTAGAAATAGTAAATCCACCTTAAAATTGATACTTTGAGAAACCCATAAAATCTTGGATTATTTATAATAAATACACTGGATGATGGTGCAACGATTTATGAAATACATAGAATTTCTGTCAGGCAAATCTTTAGTCTGCATTGAAGAACAGAAAAATTCAAGTTTGATAACTCATAAAATAAAAAAGAATTTCTTCAAATGTTGTTTAATTCAGTTCTGTAAGGATGTGGTGTTTCCGCTGTTGTATACCCGTGTAGTATTTTCAGTTGTGTCACTTCCGGTTATTCCCATCTGATTCAGAATACTGTCTATCTGACCAGACATAGCGGGAATTTTTTTAGCCTGAAAAATATTTTTTTTTGTAAATTTCAGATCAGAATGAAACAGGCTGAAAACTCGTTGTGAATTTGTGAATACCGCATCAATAAAGGTTATTAGGTCATCTTCGCCTAATTTTACGGACGAAGCCTTAAGCGATATGCTGCCATTTCCTGAGCTTCCCGCTTCAATATATAACTGTCCATTCTGTGTGCGGATGCGAGGACTGCAAAGAAAGTTAATGTAATCAACGAAATACTATATAAACTTTCAGGAATTCAAGTACAGGAGCAGTGTGGACTGTATAATTGGTTATTTCTAGCACGTATGTGTCATCGTTAGATTTTTCAGCATACATATGCAAACAATTTAATTTGCACGACGATACCACTCTTCTGATGTGTTAAACAAAGGATATACAGAGTACTGCCGACTTAGCGTGTTTTCTGTTATCGGAAATGCAACCGCATAAATGGTTCATTGTTAGTAAGATAAGATTTAATCGGCAATAGCCAAAAGCAGATCGGAATCATACTGCCGCACGTATTTCTCAGATAACATAACCCAACCTCAAATTTCTGACCGCCACTTTTTTGGGGACGATTAAACAACGCAGATTTCATCATTACGGATATACGGATAAAATACTGATTTTAAGGCAACAATACTTATTTAACTGCCGAATTTTTGAAAACTTTTTGAAAATTTTTGGCGGTTTTGACTGCACTCGCACAACAACTAAACAGAATATGTTTCGAGTTTTTCAGTTTATTACGACACCATGAGAATGCTCGTATAACAATTATTCACCGTACTGTTTAAAGATATATAAATATAACAGATTTTTGTCAAAGTGCTGATTTTTGGACTTCTAACTGTACTTAAATCATAATTTTGGAATATTACAGTAAAAACAAGGGAGTACAGTTACACTGCATACGAGTACCTTTGTAATACTGTAAAGAAGTCTAAAGGTATTTAATTACGTACAGACTTATACGAGTATATGATTTTCCTCTTAATAACTGACCGGTAATATTTTAAATTTTTCATCGATGTTCATCGATGAACAGTATAGTATGCAAAAATACAACGAGGCTACCGTCGGGTTCCAGTATACACTACCGGTAAACGTTCGCAGACGAAGATTTATATTAAATAAAATAATAAAAGGTGAAAAGGAACCCTGATCCATCAATCACTTACAGATCAAAACCGATGTATCTTTTTTTCGGATTACTTTGCGAATCCGTCCACGTTAGTATTATCGATAAGTAAAAGCAGTCTAAAAGTAAGTTACACCCGATATTCATGATGAAAGCCCGACGGAGCTAGAAAACCGTAAGAAAAGGTACTGAGTCTGGAAGGTCACAACAGCTCGGCCATGTTTCCACAAAGCAGTAAACTCTATCTAAGACGATGATAATAATGCATGTGTATTGATGTTAGTCCATATTGACTACCGATAATTGCGGCCACTACTGTCTCCTGGACAGGCGATCTACCGTAAAACAGTGGAAACGATGTTAAGATGGTTGTCAACAACGCTGCCAAAACAAACCAAAAGAAACAACGCAAAAAAGAAACCGATTAAGTCTAGAAATAAATGTAATTAGGCTTATGCTACTAGTGGAAGACTGGAGTTACAGAACTATATTACGGTGTGAACGTGTAAGTTGCCTTTATCTGATAAAACCTTTGCGGCGAACAGACGCCACGTAAATATTCTGGATTTTAAATCGAAAGTATTATTCCATTCACAATTTGAAGAAGCGCGCGCAAACGCCATCCCAACGATGAGTGCAGAGGTCAATCACATCAATACAAACTGTATGCAAATTGAGTTTAAAAAGTTGCATGCATAATTACATACATATGTTTTAACATAAGATTCTGTAAGAGTTCTGTAATATTATGGTATTAGCCAACATGTACGAAAAAAGTGCATTTTCCCGTGTATGCCGGCCTAATAGGTATGTAAGTTACATCGATGCTCGTACTTGACTAGACAATAAAAACATGCCCGGTGCAAGTCTTGGCAAGAAAGGCTCAAGGAAGCCTGCAAACAAGCGGAAAAACATTGTACGCGAACAGACTGATATTGTCAGGTAGACAGATGAAATAATTTTATTATCAAACAGTAGAGTAGAAATAGTACTCATACAGTAAAACCTACAGTAGATGTCGTGTACAGTAAATGAATCCTGACTTAATCTCGCCATCCAGAATTGCCATCGAGCCAGATGTACAGCCCTGTAGATATGCAAAACGTAACCTCTGCTTTGTCTTTGCACATATTAATTAATATACGAGTAATTATAATGAATCTTTTTCCCATTTAAATTAAGTTCGTCAAGTGCTGCCGCTATAAAATCTAATTCAGGAGATGTTCCGACTACACTCATTTTTTGCTGACCTTAATAATTAAGGTCAGCATGGAACAAAATAAATTATTTTGTACCATAATAATGTAATTGCCATACTACAACGGCAACTTCTAAGCTGCCACTAGTGGAGTGGGTTAATCCACCCGTACCACGATAAAACGAGGTTTGATGGTTCGTCGGTGACTGTCGGTGATGTTACGAGTTAGCAAATTACCCAAAAATCAATTATGCAATTGCGAGCATGTTAACCGATACCGGCGCGATTGTCAAAGTGCACAAACATTTTTAATCAACTGAAAAGTCATTGGGGAAGAGCAAGGGCAAGAGCAAGAATGATTTCAGAACATTCAGACAATCTCAGAAGTCTAGAAAATCCACATTAGAACTGGTCATCTCGCACAAGTACACATTTAGATGTTTCCGGCTGAACTAGCACCAATTAGTTCTTCACTACAGATCTCATTTGTACGGGCTACAATACTTATATACCTTTAAAAAATAGTTAACAGTAATATAAAAAAATCTAATGATAATTTGTAAAAAATTATCAGCGAAAAAATTTTTTCTTGCTTTTCTTTCAAACTTTGTCTCATAAAAATTATCGTTTCAGTTCGGTTAAAAATCTCTGTTTATGGCCACGGTCCTGCACTGTCCATTTGCACTGTCCAATGTCTATTAGGAGTGATGGTGCTGCTATCGTGAGTTTGAAATCAGTTTTTGTTTGTTTTTATTTTACCGTATGGATATATCACACGTATTTTAACAGAGTTTTACCATAGCACTATGACTAGTAGCCACTACTCTACGAAACAGTACTTACGAGTTACGACTTACGAGTAACGAGACTACGAGTACTGGACTTACCTTAAACTTTAAAGTTAAGTACTTGTAACAGTAAGTTGTAACTAATTTCGCTATCTGACTAGTCATACTAGGTACTTTTATTTTAGAATTAATAATTTTGCAATTTTTTCATTCTTCGTAAATTAAATGTAATTATAATGTATGAGCTGGAATCTTGAGTCAATGGGTCTTGGGTCTTGTGGACGCTTCTGACAGCGAGCATTCTATCCTGTGTTTCTGTCGTAATTCCCAGGAGTAACTGATACTGGTTGGCAATAAATTCGTTCTATGATTTGCGTATCCATGTTTTTCTCCCACGGAGAAACGAACCTGTAACCTCGGATGATGGATGTGTCAGCGTACCACTGATGACATGACAGGAGTTACGGACTCAAACAAAATCACTGCAGTGCGAGAATGCGATCGTCCAAGAGCCCACGATTGTTTTTGCTGCTTTGCTTCGGCAACGGAATGTGGTGCAGTTATTTCCTTCTTCCGTTAGTTTTCTTGAAGTTCGGGAATTTTGCAAATGCCGTTCAATTGAAATCCTTTCCTGATACCAATTTGTACGATTTCGAATGGATTGAGCATGATGCTCAACAGGTATTGTAAAAAATATCAGCAGGCTTTAGGATGTTGTCCGCTACTGAATTATTACGTTTAATATTTAGTTACTATTAGCCAATTCTTATAAACTCAGTCAGCATCATGATGTAGATACGGGTGATCAGCATTTTTTTCGCTCTCCAGAAGCGAACGCCAGAGGAGATAGCGAGATTTCATGGTCCACTTGCTATGCGTTCATCCAACAACGAATCCTACAACTGCTACATTCCGAATTTCGTGGAAGCTGTAGGACAAACTGAAAAGGTAAAAAGGTATATTGCATTTGGGAATTTATTTAAAATTTATTTATTCAAAATTTTATTTAAACTATTAATGTTCATGTAGGGCCAGACATATCAGTAATGTGTGGTTCCTAAATTTATAAGAAAATGCTTTATAAGTTTCTTATAAGTGTGTTTTGCAAGTGTGCATGTGTTAATATTTCACCGTAAAAATGGGCCAAAATGACTTTTGATTCCAGTCATGCTTTTTTGCAAACGTAAACGATATTTCAGAGTCATGCATTTTTTCTGTGTTTTCAGAACGACGATGCCACAATTCCATCCTTAACACCGGAAAAAGTTTTGCAGGCTCTGATTGATAGAAAAGTGTGCATGTTGAAGGTACAACGCTTAATTGACATCTTATGCTGACCTTTACGGCTTACGCTTTTTGTATTCAGATAGAAGGATACTGGATTTACGAACTGTGTCATGGAAGACATCTGCGACAGTTTCACCAAGAACTGATAAAACCGGTAAGCACGTGCTAGTCTGTTGTATTACAAGGTTTTTGCATGCTTTCAAAAAGTTAGTATTTATAACGTTCTTACTGTGGCTTTCGTTTTTAGAAAATATTAGCTGTAACCAAAGAATACATGCTGGGACTTGCTCAAACAGATGCGAGCACTAGCGGTAAGAACGAAAATTTGTTGTGTTATTTCAAAGCACATTAAAAATCAGTATTGTACTTTTCTCCTTAGGGGGTTCTAAAGAGAGTGGTGTGGACATTGCAACGGGCAAGGTGTTCTATTTTACAACGCTGTGGTTTTGTGTACATCGAGTTGCACACGTGGATTGAGTGTCTTACGAATGCTGTTTTATTCAGTTTCCATTACTTACTTGGGACGGGAAGGATCTGCCGTACTTCCAAGCTGTCTATGATCAGGGAACGCCATGTGATCTGCGGAATAATGAACCAAGAACATCAAACATTCGATTCGTATGTTTCGAAGGTTAGTTGGTTTCTCAAGAGAGGGAAAATAGCTGGATGGTTGCTTGATTTTTGTGTCTCCAGTGTATCTGTACCGTGCCAATTGCTTGTGCTGCAGATGCGCCAGATTCCATTTTGCAAATTAAGGAAACAGCGACATGCGAATACGAAGTTGTTGTATCCGTCAGATCGCTGTGCATCGTTCAAGGATTTGCGTATGCGATTTCATTGGTTCATGTTCAACATCCTTTTCTAGTATTATGTATAGCATATGTGGTCGTTGCAGACCCAAAAAGACGGTTCTTCATAAAATTCAGTGCTATGCCAACTCACCTTCGTATATTACACCCGCCGGAATCAAAAAGATGCACGATGAAATTTTCTTATCAAGGGGACATCTTTCTACAGTAGAAAGAGTAAGTAACCACCGTTTTTTAATTTTTCGGAAATAATATTTCTGTTTATTTTTATGTTTGAATGGTCATCGAATATCACAGTTAAGGAAGATTGTAGAATTCACTGTGGGTTTGGTCAGTTGATTAATGACGAAACATGGAACAGTATGACAGTGAAAACTTTGTGATATAAAAGCCCGTTGTGGAATTCTGATTACAGCGGAAAACGACCACTGATTCAGATGACTTGGATGATGGTGACATCGAAGAGGAAGAAGAGCCAGACACTGCTCCTGAAAATACCAAGCTGCCGCTTCCGCAAACTCCGTGGGAGCATGCTGCACCGAGTCCCAGTCCCAGTAGGAGAGTGGCACAATATTCACCGGACGAACAAGACATCCTCAACACTCTTTCGGACTTCATTGATGGTGCATTTTGTGTACACGGGGTAAGCTACTGTTCGCTGCATGAATTTCACTCGAAAAGCGTTGCTCGTTTTGTTAATAGGGCTCTGGATATTGGAAGCATAGTTACTGTTTCGGAAAAACGGTGATTCAATATCATGAGGCACGTAGCCAGACATACCTGCAATTTTTGCGCTAGCTGGAATGAATTATACTGGGACATGGTTGCTCAAGTATCCTGTTTTATAGGAAAGTGACGGAACTATGAAGAATGAAAACGTGATAACTTTGGGTGTTTGGGATGAAGCTACCCATCTAGAATGGATTGAACATAATCCACAGAAGAAGCCCTCGTCGAAAACTACTATAAAGTAGAAGAATAATTATTTTTTCTTGCTTTTGTTCTTTATTTGGTGCCTAATTAGGAGCTTCTCAAGCTTTTATCACGATGGAGACATTTGTGATCTCACTGGACTTCCTAGAAATGCGGAAGTCAAGCTCAAGTAAGGGAACTTTTCCGTGATCTGGATGTTCCTGCTTTGCAGGCTCTGGCTGCTTTTGCAGATGTGTTAATCCTTCCGATCATACGTCTTCCTCGGTGGCTTTGTACCTACTGGAGCCGAAACCGTGTTCCTATATCCTAGGGGTAAAAAATATCCGCGAACTTTGCGAAACCGCATTGCTACTGCTAGTATTTATGCAGAAGCAGTTTTGAATTATTCTGATAAATGATAATTACGATTGCAGGTGGAATCACGGATGTTTTGCTATCTCATGCCATATGTGAACTCTGAGGGAGTTGTGGACGTCAAGGCATTTAAAAGAGACGTTCAACAGAACTATAAAGAGCTAAATTGAACGCTTTTGCATCTGGCTTGACGTTTTTTTTCCGTACAACATTGGAAAGCCCGCTGTAAAATTTTCGACTAAACCACTTGTGATTGCTCCAAATTCTGAGTTTTGTAAAGTTAGTTAGATACTTAGTTACTTCTATGGTCAATATCGCTGTCCGCCTGATGCGATTAAGATGCGACAGTAAACTTTAGATGTTTAAGAGTTGTGGTTTCAACGTGTCGCTGATGTCTCATTCAAGCCGGCCGGTGTGAAAATTTCGTGTACCGTATTCCCATCTTGCTGGATCATGGTTCGTTTGATGCATTTGATTTCGCTTCGATCTTTATGTGTACCGCGGCAGTAATTTGCACTAAAGTCGCAGTGTTTAAAAAATTGGTTTTAAACGTATACCGTACCGATTCCTGGATCATTTTTTTTTATTGCGCCTCGTATCAAATTTATTCACTACAGTCTGCAGAATAATCATCCTTTCTTGATATGGGTTTTGTGAAATTTGCGATTTGCACTTGTTAGTTGGCATCAATCTGCTAACGAATAGTTACACCACTGTAGGTATGACCTGCCACGCTGCCACTGCTAGCGGAGCGACATTACACCTGCGCTCGATTCAGGAATCAGGATGCTGCCAGGGATTTGGCATTTGAGCGTACACTCACGTACAGATGCATAATTTGACTGTCAGATCTCCTATTGTACGCCAACGAGCAGGGAATCTGTCAGTAATGTTCAGGCAGCGTGCTCCGCATCTACGGAACTGGGTAATGAATGACAAGTTAATTATTTGTGCGACCGAACACATTCAGTCCATTATGAGAAGGAGGAAATCCCTTGAGAACAGCTGCCTGATTCGGAGGCCGGAGCGATTGCGCGCTAAAATGCCTCAACGTGTCCCAGTGCGCATTGTATGCGTGTCCGTGTCGCGTAGAGAGAAATTGCCTGTAATTGCTTCCGCTCATGAAAAATGCATTTTGTAAAACCTGTATTACGGCAATTATCAATTATTTTTTATTGATTTGATTGTTACGGCCACCCAATGGCCAATCAATTAAGAGAATTACTTCCAGTGTGACATCGCCTTCGTGTTATCGGCTGTTATTATGATTTTGGTGCGAGGTGACAGCTTTATTTGTGCGAGAGATGGCTATTTGATTAATTGATCTTTTGCGTGAAGTGCCTTAGTTGCGTATTTATCTTGTTTGTTTTAGACTTCATGACATAGCTTTGCGCAGAACCATCGTTGTATAAAAGAACGGAATCCGCACTATAATGACCGTGCTTTCAATATCTCGATTATATATATTTACGTTACTAATAAGTCAAAGTGTCGCACGACCGTTGGTCTCCCTATATGTTTAACAAGCATAAATCTACATACACAAGCAACGTAGTTATCACCAGTATCCTCGTAAATCAGACAAATTAGTCATGAAAAAACAGGTGCACTCGCATAATTATTGTTACTTCCTGTACGAGCATACATTGACTATGTCGAAAATTACAATTTTTGCGCGGATATACAGCGATCTCGGAAAATCTCTGGATATTCTTAATAGACGAACGAAGTTTACTACAGAACCTTACTGCATGCATTTGCACAATCACTTCCGTTTTAAAGTATCAGTATGATCATTATCTATATGTATTAATTTTTACACCGTTGAAATACAATATCACATGTATGAGTACTTTAATTAATAGTGCCGCTGACAGCCTTTAATAACTGGTTATAACCGAATTCTGCAGAAGTGGGTTAGAAAGTGACAGTAATTTGATTTTAATACTTATTTATACTTTGCCTTGTGACAGTAAACGATTCAAACTGATTGCAGTGAACAAAACAAACATATAATCAGCAATAGAGATGATTTAATCCTGTGGGTAATTCTAAATCATGCAGTTGCAAAATATGAGATTCAAATAATTATGGAGATCAGTCGGATTTTTGGTCGATATATAAACATAAATAGCAGAATTAGTGCCTAGAAGAATTAGATTTTGCCGTTCGTTCTATACTGTAGGTAGTAAATTCAGTTCGATTGAAATCGGATGAAGATATTCGAAATGTATCTACATATACCGGCTAGTCCGAATTATCATCATCCGTCTTATTGGCATCCCGAACTATGGCTAACACCTGGTTGCGTCGATGATCATTGATGTTGTTAATATTGGATTTTCCACCGGTATCTCCCATTAAACGAAGACAATGTTCCTGTGCTTTGGCTCGCAGCGATGCAATACTGTTTGAACGGATTTCTTCCTTTTTCTGTGAATGTATAATAGTATCGCCGATGCCCATTTGCTGATCTGCACCGTTAGCCGACAACATGCCAAATTTTCCTGCCAGGTTGATGGGACTACCGTCAAAATCATCGCTGGATGCACTGGTGAGTTGTGTGTCACACCCATCGCGACTTCCGTTTGTCATGTCTTCGTTTTTGAAATGCTCCGCCGCTTCCAGGGATTTTTTATGCATCCCTGTCGATGTCAGTAATGTATTATAAACCATGCATTGGGCACGAGTATTGAAAACGCTCTGATTTGGAAGCACTCGTATGCAGGTATGATTGATTACGCGTAATACATAATTATGTACTACAAAAATGTAAATAGGAGTCTGGATACATAACTTTAACTAAGAGTCAAGGATACATATAAAATATAATAAAGCATATGCATTGTTCAAACTTACCTAGTAGCCAGGGTGCGCAATTATCGTTTGTAGTTCCTTCTTTTGCTGTTTTAAGAATAGTTTCCGGTAGGGGCAGTGAGTGTCTAACCATAGCCCCGTATAGTCCATACTCTGCCATGATAGTGCTGTTGCCCCAAGACTTGTTGGTTTTTCGCCATTTGGCTCGGCGATTTTGGAACCAAACCTGTAAAAACGCTTTATTTACAGTTTCAGGAGATTTCTTTCGGTTTATTCCTTGCAGTTGCATATACCGATAACTGTATGTTGAAGGTGTTTACAAAGTTGAGTGCAAGATATCCGCAACGTTCCCTTTAGCGAGCTAAAGCAATCGCTCGTCGTGGATAAGCTAACTAACCTTCAGCGCATGTTGCACTAAATAATTAAATAATTATAATATCGTACTCATTGTTGTGTTCTAAAGCTTAAGTGCACCGACATCCCACATCGTAAACTTTATAGAATTTTATTTTCACATCGTAAACGTACAAAATAACAATCTTGTAACAAAGTCGCCTTTCAAACTTGCAATAGGACCCTTTGTAATACTCTTTTATCACCCAAGTATCGTACAAAATATTCACAGAACATGCACCCTCATTAAGGACCTATAGTGCGAATAAAATGTATGTGGAAGGGATGGCAGGTCGTTACTGACGACGTAACGTTAGTGTGATAAAATTACGCAATTTATATGATACTGTTCGCCTACAATGATTAATTCTAACTTTTGACTTCTCGTTGCGCTGCTAGAACTAGCAGTAATACGTACTATGTCATACGTGCAAAGCGTAGGTTTTTGTACTTATTAACATTTTTTTCTACATTTGCGATGCTCACTACACTGGCAATCGTTCAAGTACAAATACGTTGCGGTCATGTCATACATGTAAAAGAAGATTTATAAACAATGCAAGAGAATGATATGAGGGATGGAAGCTGCATGGCATACGCTGATGGTAGAATGCTGCCCCTTTTAATCTGACGCTATCCCTTCGCAGGCCCTCTGTTCGAAAGGTCATACGAAATCAATGCCAATGCGAGAGTTTTTAGTGCAGTGCAAACACTCATTAACGGAATGTTGTAGAATGAGTACAGCAGTTGCGTCTCCTTTTGCAAGAAAAACAATGAGTGTATCGTTGATCTAATTATCATGTAGGATTATAACAACGCGTTAAGCAGTTGTAGAGACAACCAACAGTTCTCATATTTCCCGATCTGCGCAGACACCGCTGCAATGCAATTTGACGCGCGACCGGAAGCGCAAGCGTTCCTCATTAGCCAGTTTGCGCAAGGCTTGTCACGATTTCCGCTAGAGGAATTGATTGTTAATTAGTAACGGGATGCCATCACAACAGGCCTTAACAAGCTGGGTTGGGGAAACGGGTAAAGAAAATATTGTAGTTCACGTGCCGCCATACGGCCAGCGCTCTCCATGAAGCCATGCAAGAGTTATAGCATTTAAATTCAACTTTATAATGATGAACCAGTACCGTGATACTAACATCAACAGAAATAAACTCGTAATTATTATAGTGCCATCATCTAGAAAGGTCAAGCTAAAAAGTGAAAAATAGATTCTGTACATGAGATTGCAAGAGGTCACTGCGAAATGATTAACTACTCAGTAGGTATTATACATTTTCGTGAGATACAGTGCTTTAATATGTATCTGCTGTATCTTATTTCCACTCTCAGTTAACTATGAGCTATAGCTACTATGAATTCACCAGATTAAACTCAATTTAACTTGTGGTGAAATGCTTAACTAATTTTGAGAATTTAAGCGCTGGAACGCTCAGATTTACAAGTTTTGCAGTAACAATTGACCGAATTCCGTATCTTTAAGAGGTTTTGTCAGTTACTATAAGCAATAAGTCTAGCTAATATGTAACCGCGGCACTTAAATGGTATGTTGTGATACTTAAACACAGATGTATTTGCACCAGTTGTTACAAACCGCACTTGTGGCTGGCAAGTTTGTTTTTTTTTGCCAGTGAATTCATATGGATGATTAACTCTGTAGTGGTCGGCTTAAACTGATTAAGATGATGAGTGCTGTTCTCAATTAAATAAGTTTCACTATTAGTTTATTCAAGTGTTTCCTCTACCATGTTGTGCTGCCGGCCGCCGGCGGAGCCGGAATATATGTACATGTAACCAGTGTACATTTCTGTCTATCAGCTCGTTGTCGTACTTGTCGTGACTGCTGGACCATCATAGAATACGGATCGAGTATTCAATGAAACTTTCATGGTACATTAGCGCGTATACAAGCTAGCCTCTTATGACCATTTTAAGACATTTACGCTTGAACTTTGTTAGCATAAATCGCCTAGTGGAGGATGCTGCAGTAGGAGTTGTGAATGCGAACTGTCTTTCTGCGTGGAGCGTGCGCGGAAATGCCAGCACTCGTATCAGGCCAAGCGAATGGGTCTAATTGAATTTCGTGCTTTACAGTTTGCTTATCCTAGCTAACAGTAAAATTAGATTGATGATGGAAAATGGCAATTTCGTTCAAGGATGATGATTATAATGGGTTACGATCATATTATTTTACTCTGTCGGCTACCTCTTCATGAAAGGCTAGTCAAGGCTATCTCGAGCATTAAACGAGCTAACCAAACGGGAATTACTGTCTACTTCCTCTTTTCATGCCTAACAATCTGCCCGGAAAATTATTGCTAAATGAAATGTTGCTTAATCTCTTGAGATGATTTAATCGATATAATGCAACACTAACAAGTGCACCATGACAAAATATCCCTCACGCTTAGCAGTACCATAGCTGTGAACTGACCCGAGCGCAACAGAAAAATCAAATCAGAGGTGAATTTATAATATAGCCATTCTGCAAAATAAATTTTCGTAAAGTGCCATATCGTTTTTGACTTTTTGTTCCGTTCGAGTTATCTGTTTTTATGCTCACTACGTTAACGCAAATCGAACGACATAATTTAATCCTAAGAGTGCGCTGCCTGATTATTGTCTGAAACTCTGGTGGTACACTTCTGTAGCGATAACCGATCAAAAGGTCATCGCTCGCGACGTAATCTGATGTCTAAAAATACTAAATACAAATTATCGTTATCTGGCGAGAATTGTTGATTTATTAAATCTGGTGCAAGTTACGGTAGCGTATGTTAATAAAGAAACATCAGTGGTATGCACTAGGCACGTTGTAGTTCTCTCAGGTCATTAGCGCTACCAGAAACTGAATAAATGCTTAATATTCGTGCTCTAACACAGGCAAATAGTAGTAAGGCACCATCTAGCAACTAAAAGTCCCATTTACGATAAAACATTCCTGAAATACTTTTATTTAATAAAAAAGCTCGCGTAAATACAGAACTGTAATTAAAATGATTTCGTAAGTAATTGTAACGAACTGTACCGTTGCAAAGGTTTCTTACTTGAATGCGATCTTCAGGTAAGTCCGTTTTTAAAGACAGCATTTCCCGTGCATATACGTCCGGATAATGGGCTTCTTTAAAAGCTTTTTCCAGCTCCTCAATTTGATAGCTCGTGAATATTGTCCTAACGAGTCGGAAGATCCGATTTTAAGCATGTCACTTGTAAGTCGGCTATTAATTCATGTATAAGTTACAAACCTGTGTCTTCTTTTTTTCTTCTTTTTCTTATTATTTAAGTTGCCGATATGATCAAAGGCTTTGTCTGCTCCCGCGAGTGTTGAATCGCCGGCAGCTGCAATCAGTCGACTTGGTAATATCATTCGTACAAATTATTTGTACAATTATTTTAAAGGATGAATCTGGGTATTTGTAAGAGTGTACATAAGGGTACCTATGCAAGTCATTGAAACGTAAGTAATGATCTCTGCGGTTCTACCCAATCGCAATCCGGCAGTAAAACAGGTAGTATACAGGCAGTAAAAAAATGTGAGCAACATCGCGCAACGATGCATGTGTTACAAGTTCAGAAGGATTTCTGGTGAAGTCGGCTGGCCACGTGAATGTCACAAAACTGCGAATAAATATTTTTTGTTTATATTAATTTTGTTATTGCCGCGTGTAAAGCCATCGATCGTTGTAAGGTCCACACTCCCAAGCGTACTCATGTAATGATTTGCTACTTTTTAGTTAATACTCTTGATAAGTCTAACGCCACCAACTTTTCTGATTAAGTGTATCAGTCAAACCGGTAAACAGCTGCGTGCCTCGTATTATGCAAAATGGTTAATCATACTGACCGCTACAACTCGTTGCGCTTTATAATTGCATTAATGTACTGTAGTTTAATCTCGGTAAGTTACAAGCACACGCACTGGTGACCCTGAATATCAAATAATTTATTTTACGAGTTCCGTTAACAAATGGTCGGACTGTAATAATTTTTGACAGCTAAATTAACCTGTTTGAGAATCCCGGGTGCCGCTGCAATCTGGAAACGCGGTAAGGAATGGAGAAACGTGTTGGGCATGTGTCTGCTGGAACGATGAGGGTCCGGAAGCAACGTTGGGGATGTAGCCGTTCATGAGCTGGGCCGGATTGGAAAAGTACATTCGCGCCGCGGCCGCATGGTGTGCACTGGCAGCCGCTGCGTGATCGGCGGCAGCGGCGGATAAACACGATGTGACGTTGACCGGCACTGTGTGGCTGGGAGTGTGGGCAGACGAGTAGAATCCCGATCCCGGTCGGATGCCACATACTGCATGACCTCCGGACGGATGTCCAATCCCATTAACTGCTCCCGTTGCAGCCGAATGAGCTCCATGATTAATGCCAACGCCGTCCGCTCCCAGGTTAAGGCCAAGAATGTCTTGAATAGCAAAAGGATTGCGCTGGTTTCCCATGGCATTGTTTAAACTCCCGGGATGATTAGGAATATGTGCTTGCATGCCCGAAAAACCCACAGACGACACCAAGTTCATGGTTAATGGTTTAATTGTTGCAAACAGAATTCTGCCAAATTTGCTACATATGGTAGAGGAAGGTTTTGCGAGTTTACATTGTATAGTAATTTGTACCACAGGAATGTTCAGTTCCTAACGTAAGTTGAAAGATCGTCGTCAAGTCTAGAGTTGTCTAAGCACTTGAAACGGGTAACAGATAGAGCTTATGATTAACTAACAATCTCGCTGTCGGAAACGAGATTCCCCTGTGTTTTTCACATCGACGGAACCCATAGCTATATTGGTTGTTGAGAGTTTATTAGTTATTTGCGCGCTGCCACACATGAGGCGCATACTAACGGTATGTGCTACCCTCACAGACAGTCCTGATTGGCCGGTTCTTGTGCAACAAGCCGGCCATTTTCGCTGGGGGCTGTCGCTGCATGTACGGTACCCAAGTACGCAGCTCAATATATACCAACTTGACGGTCGATCGATGCTGTACTTTAATTGTTTTAGTTTTTCAAATAAACAGGAAAAATTAAAAATAAAAAGATAAATATTGAGTTAGCAGTGCTATTAGCACCAAACGAGCGTTGGCTAATTTCAACAGGTAAATTGTATTACTAGTAGTACTATTTTCCGTGACATCAGAAAGGATATTATTGATTAAGGTAGGGCGGCAGGATTGCCGTTCTAGAAAACTAAAACTAACATTAAGTTTTATGTTTACAGATAGCCAAAAGGTTTAGGTGACGGTGACTAAAAACCTATTCGAAGAATATGTTGTATTGGCTGTTCATCTCGTCACACACATGTGCATGTGAAATGGACCCCTGGAATCTGTACAACCTTAAACTGTTAACGTAATCCGATTGCTTTATACAAACAGAATTATGATGCAACTGTTAAAAAGTTGCTGATGCATGTATGGTATTAAAGTGCGATACTCCAGAAGTCCATGGTCAAATTTTAGTACGTCTAGCGTAAATAACGAGCAAGCAGGTGGGGCACAGTCTCTTTTGGTAAGAAATTTAATTTTTTCACTGGAACCGTGCAACGTGAACTTAAAGAATACTCATATTTATCTGTCATCCTGTGTTTACCGAAATCTACCTTGAGTAAAGTTAAGTTGAACTGCATACGATAGCGCCTTGGAGAAATAAGCATAGAAGTACTTCGTAGCCGATTTTCAGTTATGTAATCAGTAATCATTGAAAGTAAGCGCATTTTCATTAATTTTGTTCGGTTGTGAATGTTGTGGGATGACTGAGATCGATATCGTGCAGACAGTTTACGAATGCATAAATAGAAGTATACATGAATCAAGCTAGAATTTTCTTGAATTGCAAATGCAGATTTGGCTACGAGTACGAATTTGGTGACAAGCAGGTTGTGTGGTCGTTGTCCACACGATCATTGTTGGGGTTGTAATAATTAAGTCTAATAGAGCAATTGTTCCTGAATGAAAAAGGTGCTAACAGAGTCTTTCAAATACACAGAGGCATTTACTTGATTGATGGATAAGCTGCTCTAAGCAAGTAATAATTTTGCCACATTGAGCAGATAATTAAAACAAGTTAAACAGTGGAGACCACTTGAGGATATCTTGTATCTATTCCAGCAAGACCACATCGGGGGCTTCCTATTCACCACTCTTCATTGGTTGGGTGGAGCTGCGGCTCGTTCATGCTGTTTATGTTATTTTCTTGCCTGAATGATGGTTTAGCTTCTATTCAGTTTGATCGTTCCTGTGGAAATATTTAATTCTAGGCGTGCACAATTACTACTGTTAACAACCGGTTATGACCTCAAATCTTTGACTAGTAAACGACAGTGCATGTGCGATAATAACTGTTTCCTTGAGGTAATTGTGATACGCATGCGCATACGACGTTACGCGGTACTCTGAATGCCGATCCAAATTGTACAAAGTATTAGCAATACTGCAGTGCATATAGGTGGCTACTGCATTAGCAATTTTCGTGTATAGAGAATTATTGTTTAGTTTTACTAATATACCACCTGTTTTTATCCTTTTTGTATTCGTTCTATTTATTCGATTGATTCAGTACTTACTTGTTAGGTCAAAATTAATGAAGCGTTATATACTGCTCACGTTAAGGGTAACAAAAATGCTTAAGTGTCAAATCGCACACGTAACAAAAGTTCGTAAATAATTTTATTATGCTTGTTTGTAATATTATTGTATTTTTCGAAATAATTTTTCGTCTTGTTGCAGAGTGTATGACGTTTGTTTTTGACACTAACTAAGCAGAGAGCAATAATTTATTTGAACCAGCAGCATGATTTAACATTTAATTTACTAAGTGATAAATTTGTCAAAACTGAATACGTTGTATAAACGGTATTTTTTAAGCTTTTATTGTAACCAACTGTTCCAATGTTTTTGTACTGCGGCCTCTAGAGTAAGAAGTTTAAATGAGTTATCATTCCTTATTAAATCTATGGTTTGTGCTATGCTGTGCAGATTATAACGCTTTCGCCATGACGCTTGTGCCGTGGATATTTATTGGGCAAATTTGCAGCCAGCTAATTGGTTAACAGCAGCATAGTAAAGCGCTTTTGATGAAAGCTATCCATTAGACTAACTACCACTTATCACCTTATTTGTGCCATTCTGATCCGAACGAATCCAATTTGGTTGTTGCTGCATTGCGGCATTATTAGTTATATTTGCAAGAAATCACCTTACTAATACTTGCAAAAATTGGTTATGCGTGTTGGGCAATACTTGTGATGAAGGAGAGTGGGTGAATAGAAGCATGATTCCTAATTGTTGATATACGTACGCTTTCTTTATTGCCAAAATAAGGCGATTTAGACCTTTTTGCAAAACCTGACAGATCTATATTTATTCGGTTGGGTATGCTGCGTGGTAAATCTCTTCCTAATCGCCCGGTGCACTCTAGAATCTGCCTGTTAATAGTAGTGCCTATCAGTATCTACTTGTCACCTATATGCAACATTTTATGCACATGTACAATAGTATGTATTCATAATACTTAAAAAATTAATTTTATAGTAATTTTACCATCTGCTTTCAAGACTCTGTACCTGGCTTCATCTTTTACACAATAATAAATTACGAGCAATAAGGCAATCCGCCTGCGGCAACCAAATATTCATGTATGGTGATCGATACTTACTTAATCAAACCGATATGTACAATACATTGTACATCTATTTTGTTCAAGCACGTATAGATATGTGTACGGAGTACTTGTGGTATTCGATGTTTTTAATAAACAAACTATCATACATCTGCTATTACAACTTGCATAATAAAATTAAAAGAACAAATCTACTATTTTTTCGATTCTGTATTCTACACTACTAAGCTGTTTAAAACGGGCTTGTTTGTTTCGATTTATGTAAAATTACATGGTTCCATAAGTTGATGCAGCCTTCCTCCTTTTCATGCAGAATAAATTTTACAAGCAGTTACGTGATGTTCGAAGGATTATGTGTCGCTCCAAACCAAAACAGCAAACACATTTAATGATCCCCATGCAAAGTTATAATAATGGCACATATGACATGGTCACACGACTACATGTTCCCAACATTCCGGTCATTTTTGCCCATACTCATACCTTCCAACAAAATCCAAATGTGCAATATGACAAATTATTAACATAAACAGTAATAATAAGAGTGTACATACTTGAGACATCGCATTAAAGAAGAAGAATTTCGAAACACTGGAGCTATTATTGCTACGCTTCACCTTAACTGTCTGGACAGTGTATCACGGTTATTTCTTTGTGCACATTTTGTAGAGGAAATGAGTTTTTATGACCACCCTGACGGGTGTATGTTCTATCGGAACAATGGTCGACCTGAAGTGTCCACTTAATTTTCTGCAATCTGAGATAGTGGCTTATAAAACCACAAGGAAATTATAAAAGATTGCAAGTAATATTAGAAGAGGTGATTACAAAGACTCATTATTGCAGCACATAAGCAGACATGCCAGATATGAGCCTGGCGATCAGCATGAGTTTAGTCGCACGGCAGGAAGCCACGATCCGCCTCCGAAAAGCACGTTCCGGATCCAGTTCATCATCGCATGACACCAACGGCGTCACAAAATGGGCTTGGATGCCGGTCTAATTATCCATTTTCTTCGGTCATAAGTCATACATTTTCTACTGGAAAACACTTATTAGCTGTGCAAGATGCTATTAACTATTTTGCAATAAGTTTGTGGCTGCGACAAAAAGCGCAGAATCATTTAACGTGGTCCTCAGCAATCACTGCAAATAGCGAATGCGCATTCTTCAATGTAAGTAGCAGCAAAATGCAAAATTCGACTAAAAATAATTACGACACTCTATTAAGCCGGCAATTAGTGAAACACTAATGCGGTGCACATTTCAAATAATTACATGGTTACATCGTTACGTCACGTCGGTTTCGTATGTATTATGCAAATATCGCGACAATCGAACATACTGTAGTTCATGCAGTTAATGAACTTTTAGGAAAACACTCATTTCACAACTGTCGTACGAGTATCGACAGTCTCACAGTCAGCGTTGTTAGTAATGCATAAGCATATAATCGGTAATCCAGACCGCTGATTCAGATATTTGCGGGCAACACTGACAAAAACCGCGCTATCTGCATTACACAATAGAAAAAAACTGGATTTCCGGACTTACCCTAACTATGTGCAGCCATAATAAGTGTGACAAAGGGTATCAACTTCCATGTAGTTCGATCAAAATGTTGATATGACCGCTAACTAAGTCGCCGGTGAAAGCTGTTTTGCAAACATTTTTGGTCATTCGAGTTTCTACCATATTAGTGATATACGTGTTAACAAGTCTGATAAGTCGGTCATGCATTAATTGTTATTCATAAGTATCTAAATAACTTTATTTCTAGGTTAAAATAATTAATATAAATGCTTCGTCAACCAGTCAGTTTGGTTACTGCGCTTCTTTATTGCTCTTTTTTATTATGTATTGTGAGGAGTGAAAATGAAGAAACTCATCGCTTCTCCAGAGCAATTCAACGTGGTTTGGAATTAGGTAAGTCGATGACACTATATTATAGACGCATAGTACAAACTGCGGACACGAAACACTGAGGTGAGAACAGCCGAATTTTAAAATAAATCACTTATAATAGTTTTTTACACGGCCGCAACTCTCGAGCTCGACATTAAGAAACGCCCACAGTTTTCGCTCCAGATATGATCATTAACCACTTACAGTATAAATAATCATACATTCAGTTAAAGTAATCAGAATATGAGAATAAAAATACCTTCATATTAGCTCTACTGATAATTTTAATACTTAATTTTGGCGGTCTTATACTTACGTTGGAAGTCTTTGACATGTATTTTTATTAGTACGGCAATTTGTATCAATGGTTATCAAACCGCGCTGTATATGTTGGTTATTTGTTACAAATTTTTTGCAGAACCCGATGACGAATGGTCGAACAGGGGCGCTCCACCTCCCAGACCGCTCCGACGGCCTCCGCCAGCTCCACGACAGCGGCAGCGACTCCAAGAGCTTGAGGAAGAAGAGGAAGAAGCGGATGAAGCTCCTCGAAGGAAGCCTTCCCGGGGTACGTCCAGCAAATTAACGCGCAATCCGGATGCAGTTGTCAACCGGCCATCCAGCACCCTGCGAAGAGCGGCAAAGATAAGGAATCTGAAGACTGGTCTGGCGCAGAAATATGAACTTCCGACGAGCCGATTCAATAGTTCGCTATCTCCCGACGGGAGACATTCTCGACTGCTGCTGGGCGATGCCGAACTGGATCCGTATGGCCGTCTTCCGAATACTGACCTCAGTGTTCTGGACCCTCCTCGAGCCGGATACCCGGAAATTACCACCCTGGGAATTCTGGAGCGGGATCCTATCCCGCCTGTACGCGCTGATCCTGAGGAACTAAAGAACAGTCTTACGGAAGCGCTGGAATTAGGACGACAAGATTTCAATCATATCGTCATGAAACACCGCGAGCCAGCTTGCAGTAAGTGCAGACTATGACATTGTTACTGGCCACCTTGTTGCAGAGTCATTATTCCAGTACTGTACTTGTAGCTTTGCATTGCATCACAAATTCATAATCAGATTGTTTTATGTATCCTAAACGCGCACATGCAACGTAGTATAAAGTCCAAGCCGGCGATTGCATTTATTCACTCATGGCTTTACTCAACATATAAATAAACATAAATCGATATCGTGGGTACAATAACAGACTCGTTCTACAGAGCATCAAATATGCAACGTCTGGGCGGTCTAGCAGTACTGTTGTACTGATCGCACCAAGATTCTAATATTCATTTTACACGGAGCTCAAATCAGGCTATTAGTAGCCAGTCAAAAACTACGAGTAGCTACTGTATACAGAAGTATAGTTCGTAATAAAAATAGTAGCTTATATTGATTGTGCGTCCGTATATTATAAAATATTAACTATAAAATACTATTATATTATTATTATTAACGTACGGACTAAACTTCTTTAACGGCTTGCTTTGGCAGTTATTGGAGGCTATGGTCCCCAGGGCGTCCACCCTCTCGTATGGGCTGTGGCCAGACCAGTTACCAATGCACTATACGGCTATATCAACGAATTTGCTGCTATTCGCATGGCCAATGGATATACGTAAGGAAATTTTCTGCAAGTTATATAAGAAATTACTAAAAAACTTTTTACTAACATCATGGCTCATGTTCGTTAAATTTTAAAGGAAGGGCGATGGCGAACGGCTGTTCGCAACCCTGGATGCAAGCGAAAGCGCAATTGAAGACGATCAGTGCTTCGTTGGCGAAGCTAAAGATATTCGATGCAACAAACGTACTCCCTACCGCACATTCGACGGAACGTGCAACAACCTGGAACGACGTGATTGGGGCGCGGCAAAAACCGGTCAGATCCGGACGACCTTTGCGGCGTATGAAGACGGCATTAGTGCACCGCGTGAATTCTCCGTACTGTCGCTCATCGCCAAAGAGAGGCGTTCGCTGCCCGGTCCCAGAGAAGTGAGCATCTCCCTTAGCCGCGGCCAGCCTCGTCCCGACCGGAAGGTCACCCTGGCAGTCATGCAGTTTTCGCAATGGTTAGCCCATGATCTTGTACGAAGTGAGTCGACAGTGACGTATCGTCATTTGGTGGTAGCGTACGTATCCGGAAATATGTCGTGACATTTTGTAGCACCCATGGAGCTTGTGGAGAGTCCCGAGAAAGCGTCCGATTTCATCATGCCTGCTTGCTGTGGCGTAGACCGTAGCTGTCGTCACCCGGTGTGTGACGCTATTTCTGTTCCTCCGAAAGATCCTTTCTATGCAAGATTCAACCTGCGTTGTTTGGAATTACTCCGGGTGCAACCTGCAAATCCCCGTACTTGCGCTTTAAGTGAGAAAAAGCCTAACTTTTCAAATTAAATTTTCTTCCAATGGAGAGGAGAATAAAGCTGTCCTATTTGCTGAAATGAGTAAAACTTGATTTTTTTTAAACTTAGTGTCAGAAAAAAATGGGGATATCTAATAAAGCAAACTATGAACTTTTGAAATTTCTATATTTTAGCAGTATACGCTGCATCTGCAGTGGTCTCTATAACGCGTTTACATTACGAAATTGAATACCGGCTAATCGTTTATTTACAGCCCCACGCGCGCCAGTCAATCTAAATTCCGCCTTTATTGATGCTTCCATGACCTATGGCTCCAGCCAAGCTACGGCAATGAGATTACGAGGACCCAAAGGCAGTTTAAAAGTTAATACTTCGCCGTTGCTGAAACCTGGATACGAGATGCCTGTAGGAGGAGAAGATAGCGAGTCGTGTAAAGGCAAAGGACCGGACAAGCCTTGCGTCCTGACGGGCGATACTCGAGGAAACCAGCACACCGGTATCGTGAGCATGGCATCCGTAAGTCTGTCGTACTTTAATCATTACGGACTGTGACACTTAAAACATTTTCTCATAATGCATATGTTCGCGGAAAATGTCTCATAATGTTCGCGGCGATTCATTCAGCGTTTCAATTGCAGCTATATGTTCGCGAACACAACCGAATTGCTAAATACATCACCATGAACCGTCCAGAACTCCCCGACGAGGTTGTTTTTCAGGTAATTCACGTAACATAGCATGTGTGTATTATGCCATGCCGATTACTGTTGAAATAGCTGAAATAGTTGTAATAACTGTTTAACTGCTGAAACATACTGGTCCCTTTTTCACTAACTTGGTATTGTATATCTACGGTCGTGAAAATAAGTAATGTTTTCGGCCTTCTGTATTGGTATATTTGTAGGCTGCTCGTCGCATTCTGATTGCTGAACATCAGCATATTGTCTACAACGAACTGCTGCCGGTTCTTGTGGGTAATCGCATATGGAAAGAGCCTAGCAATGGATTACTTTTAAAGAGGAATGGTTACTGCGCTGATTGCTACAGGAAAGATGTTAACCCTAGCATTTCTACTGAGTTTTCTGCTACTGGTTTCCGGTAAGCCAGCGCATGGTACTCATGGGGTTCCAAAGTTTTCTAAAATCATGTCCATTCGTTCTTAGACTGCATACAATGTGTCCAGATTGGCTGCCGGCTGCTAATGCTTCCGGCCATCTCTTCCCATTTTGGGAGCACATGGCTAGTCCTGACATGTGAGTAGTATTACGTCTTACCTAAAATTAAGCTAAAGCTTCAGGTTGCTTTCCCGCGAATATTCTCTCGACTAGAGTCGGTGCAGGCATTCAGACGTTATAGGAATGTTTTTGAACCGCTACACTAATTAATAATTATGACAATGTCAAGTATACAACATATGTGATTGATATTAATTACATGGATAGATAGAAGGGGTGCCACCATTCATCACAGTCATAATCAATAAACTGCCATCGTGTACTAGATGATCAAGCAATGCTGCCGAACGAGGTTCCGTCTAATGTGTGATCTTGCTCTGCGCTAGGTTTTATCGTCCGGCCATTGTGAATGACATTTTAACCGGAATGGTTAAAATGTCATCCGAATCGTTCGATCAGATTTACTCAACACAGGTTCAAAACTGGTTGTTTAAACACTACCAAAATCCATATGGCCAAGATTTGTTCTCCATCGATATTGCTCGGGAACGCGAAGTGGGCAATCCAAATTACCTCAGCCTCCGAGCGGCCTGCGGACTTCCGCCGGTAACCAGTTTTGCGGATTTGGAGGACTGGATGCCTCCACGTGCAGTTGCCAATTTGGCCAGCATCTACGCACACATTCTGGATATTGTACGTGAAAGCTTATTGGTCATTAATAATTTGTACTGGCTATTTACCGTACTTTGAAATAACAACACTTAATTACTAAAATATTATTTCACTATCGTTAACGTTACACTACAGTGTTTAGCTGACTGAGTGTTAATCGAGTACATCAGTATTGTATAGGTGACATATACGTTCAAATTAGCGGATATATTTACGATATTTAACCTGGAATTGTACTGGTATTCTTGGGAACATGTCTTTATATCCCAAAATCTTAAATTTACAGGACGGCATCACGGGAGCAGTTTCTGAATATCCGGTTAACGGTGGAGAAGGAGTCGTAGGACCGACAATGGCGTGCCTTTTGGTAGATCAGTTCTCACGGCTCAGAAGCGGAGACCGCTTTTGGTATGAAAACAAGGACGCCAAATTTACCCAGGGTAAACACTAGATAGTGTTGCCGTTAATCAACAGTAATATTGCAATTACTGTTGATAGAACAACTGAAAGAAATTCGCAAAATAAGCCTAAGTGCTCTTCTGTGTGGCAATACACCGATAAAAGAAGTGCAACCCAGAGCATTCCTACGCGATTCGCCAAGGTAAGGAAGGGATTTCTCCTATTTGAGGTATACAGTTTTCGAATCCAATACGCACATCATTCTTTGCAGAAATCCTGTCACGCCATGCGAAAATATTTTGCGCTCTGCTTTGTCACTGGACCCATTCCTGGAGAACGTAAGCAAAATGTTGAAAGCTCAAAAAGAAAATGAAAAACTCATTAGCAACGGTGGTTCATCATTTACAGTTATCCCCAGACCGATTTCCCGCAGAGCCCGCGGAAGTAGCCAGTGGGCCTCCTCCCCGGCCTCGCGGTCCTCCGCCCGGTGAAGGCGGTCCTGGCGGACCAGGCGGTCCAGGCGGTCCAAGCGGTCCAAGCGGTCCAGGCGGACCAGGTGGACCTGGAGGTCCTGTCCCGCCGGTGGTGTTAGCATAGGTCTCAGTCTAGGTCTCAGATGTTGTGCATAGTCTTGTGTATATTGTAACTATGTAGCCGGCATATATCGAATTGTTGGCGCGAATGAAATGTTGTTTTGAAATGTGTTTGAATTGTTTATAAACTCTAATTAGTATTTGGGTCCATTTCTATACCAAAAGGTGTAGCATCTATCTGACTTGCCTTTACATACATGTCTAGATTTTTCTCACAGTCTGTCATGCCTTTTTGTACTTATTTAATAAATGATGGCATTCAATAAAATAAGATGCCTCTCAAATACTTCGCAAAAACGCAAATGTGACCTGCGCCAGCACACGGTCCAAATTCGAAACTGTTGCCGCTTCCGAAAAAAGAACCGGTCTCAGAAAAGAGGTGGATAAATAAATATTTGAAAATTTGAACGTAAACTGCAGGGCAGAAAATTTGTTCGGAAATAACAGTTACTGGTCTACTGGATTATACACCTTAATTAAATTAATATGTACATATTACCCGTGCATACTTGCCGTTGTACTACAAAGTCTGTATAAACCCTTTCTTTAATTTGGGAAAACAGCTTTGACTGTCGCCAAAGGGTGGTACGTTTAGCCTTTATTTGCTAGTTTTCAGTCGTCGTCCAGACGCGTACGGCATAGGCTATGCCGTAAAAAATCAAAAGCTATGCGGCATAGCTTTTGATTTTTTACAAAACCAAGAAAAATTAACGTACTACCCTAGTAATTATTTTAACAGTCACGCAAATCTTACAAATTGATACTCCTGAGAGTTGAGCCTCTTGCTTGTGAAATATTTGTTTCCTACCGGAAAAGACAAGTTGTTTGTTTAGTCTCGCTGCCTTGTAGAAAGAATGGAGTTCGCGAATGGAGATCGCGACAACAGTAGTAAGTACCAATGGGAGATCTTTGGATCTTTTAGTGTGGCTCGACAGTCGACAGGCTCGCTCATCAGTTTCATGTGTTTGTAACGGTATCGAAAGTAGCAACATTAGAAAGTAGATAATCTTTTGCATAGCCTTCGGCGAAGAGTTGCAAAGGGATACGGCAGTAATGTTCGGGGTTTTTTAACTTTAGAGAGCGGCGCGAAACGCGAAGACATGGACGATGTTGAGAGAGGTTTTTCTGATCGTCCAGAAAAAAAGCCTCGCAGTTCCGAGCATCCATTGTCAAGAAATTGCCCTTATTTAGATACAATTAACAGGTAATATACTAACAATGTGTCTGCCTTTTAAGTAGTAGTTTTGTAATACATACTCTTCTAACTGCAAATGTTACATATTATGTGAAAATTAGTATTTGGATAGCTGGTAGCACTGGTGTTTATTGTGGGCCCGTTTCAGAGCGGTTTTGGATTTTGACTTTGAGAAGCTATGCTCCGTTTCTCTATCGCACTTGAATGTGTACGCTTGCCTGGTGTGCGGCAAATACTTCCAGGGCCGCGGCAACAGCACGCACGCGTACACCCACAGTGTGGAGCAGGGACATCATGTGTTCCTGAATTTGTCCAGTTTAAGGTTTTATTGCCTGCCGGATGGATACGAGATCCTGACTTTGACACTGGAGGATATTACGGTATGTGTGTCTAATTTCCGCCCGTTGTTATTTGCTGCTTTTATCACTTGATAGTGTGGATTGTCATTCTCGTTTCGCTGAACCCAGAGTTTTGTCCGCAAGTTTGTTTCTCATTCGGATTACATGAATGATAACTATTAAGCCGTCGAAATTGGCGAGTGCGGTCTGCGCCGTCCACCGCATTTAGTTTTTCGTCTACCTAAATCGCTTAGGTTGCTTTTCGTTCGTCGGGGATGGTTTGGAACTTTTCCTGATTATGATGCAGGGTGTTGTTGGTTGCAGTTTAATCTCAAGCCACATTTTTCCGATAAAGAAATCAAAGAAATGGATACGGACAGCCGGATGGCAATTGCTTACGATGGGTCGTCCTATCTGCCTGGTGTTATTGGGTTGAATAACATCAAGGCCAACGATTACTGCAACGTCGTTTTTCAGGTTCGTTTCAAAAAAAAACTATTCGTATTAAGAGTTTGCGAATTTTTTTCACGAAGAAATCGCTTCTTTGCACAATCGGTTCCCTAAAATAACGCGGAAATGTATGCAAAAGCATCCAGTTTTTTAATACTTTAAGGCCCTAGCGGACTGACACGTCACGGTACTCGTTGAAGAGGTTCATCGTTTTCTGTAATAAATATGTTAAATTTTCAGGCGCTTTCGCATGTTCGCCCAATACGGAATTACTTTCTCAAAGAATCCAACTACGCTGCGATTAAGAGGCCACCAGGCGATAACATGATCGTGCTTGTTCAGCGCTTTGGGGAACTTTTGCGAAAACTGTGGAACAGGCGGAAATTTAAGGCTCACGTGAGTCCTCACGAGATGTTGCAAGCTGTTGTCTTGTGTAGTAAAAAGAAGTTCCAGTTTACAGTTCAAGGTATTGTTGTGAAACGCGAAGCTGCTTTCTGGTACTTACTGTCTCATCTGAAAATTTTATCTCTGTCACAGGGGATTCCGTGGCATTCTTGTCGTGGTTTCTTAACGCAGTGCATCAGGGATTAAATGGCACTTCAAAGCCAGGTAGCAGCGTCATCTTCAAAACGTTTCAAGGCATGATGAACGTTTATTCCAAAAAGTTGCCGCCCTTAGAAATGGTAAGTAGTGGTGGTAGTGGGCAAGTTGTTAATTTGTAATCTGACTAGTGAAATTATTTTAGAATTACCATTATCAGGCCTTTTATTGTCAGTTGATTGGATTGTTCCCAATTTTGATATTGTGCTGCACTCCAATTTTAGACTGCGGAAGAGAAATCAGCGGCATCGTTGCTCCCCGAATATCAAGAAACTGTACAACAAACTCCATACTTGATGCTAACATGCGATCTCCCTCCAGTGCCGCTTTTCCCGGACGAAAAAAGCGAAAGTATCATTCCTCAGGTATCAGCTATAGTTCGATTTGGTTTTATTGTATTTTAAAAACCAGATGTTTCGCAGATTCCACTTTACACTCTTATGCAGAAGTTCAACGGGGTGCAAGAGAAGGAACAAAAAACTTATAAAGATTCGACGGTGAAACGTTTTGAAATTACGAAACTGCCGCCATATTTAATTGTCAGCATAAGGGTAAGTCAAATTTTGCTTTTGCAGTGACTAATTCATTCAGTACCGTATAAGCGACATATTTTCAGCGTTTCAACAATAACACATTCTTCATCGAGAAAAACACAACAATTGTGAACTTTCCGATAAGGTACACCAAAACAGTGTTTGCTGTGAAAACAGATTTTTTGCATCTATTTTATGGTGTTGTTATTTCTGTTTTCCTTTCAGAAATTTTGATTTTGGAGATCTTTTGACGGCAGAAGCGAAAAAAGCTCATAAATGTACCGTTTATGACTTGATAGCGAATATCGTTCACGATGGCGAAGCCAGTGCCGGAGGTAAAGGCACGTACCGCGTATTCCTTCTCCACAAAGGAACTTCCAAGTGGTTCGAAATGCAAGATCTCCATGTAACTGAAGTCTTACCGCAAATGATTACTCTGTCAGAATCGTACATTCAGGTATGTACTTGAATATTTTTGAATCTCTGATTTTCATTTCTCCGGTTGTGCCACTTGGTGACAACACAGTTCAGTAGTAATGATTCGTTTCGTCACTTCGAATGCTGCTTTGCAGGTTTGGGAGCGACAGGATCAAGCTTCATTGTCGAGGGCTTAAGTCTGCAAATTATGCGTTAACGTGGGAATCGTTGGACAGGTCATTGTTCTCTGTATTTGCTTTTTTGATCGGTGATTCTGTGTTTTTATCTGAAATGTTAATCGTTGCAACAGTTCTCAATCTGCAAATCGAGGTTTCTCTTTATTACTTCATCAGATTTGGTAAAACTATGAGAAAGGAAAGAAACTGAGTGATGATGTGCGCCCCTTCAAGAGGCCTGTATATCTCACGGTAAATTACTGCTTAACAGAAACCTTTCACATGGAACGGAGAAACAATACCGAATTAAAGTTAGCGACAACGATTCAAACATCTCTCACGTTAGCGAAAGTAATCAACGTTTTGTACCATCCTGTATGCGGGAGAACGGTGTAACTAAATATTCAAATCTTTAAACTTCGATACTGTGTTCGGTATCAAGGCATTCGTCCGCGACCACAGCGTCCGTTCCTGTTACTTCAGATCTGTTTGGCCGCTTCCGGACGGGTGCCTTTAGGGTCCGCATTGCTTTTTTACATTCAGCGGCAGTTTTTTTCGTGTAAAGACCGGTTTCAAGCTCATCGGGGCTAATCGGCCGAATGTATAATTTGCCACTACCGATGTAATAGCCGCCCAACTGCGTGGTCCACCCAGGCGGAATCATGGCTTCCGGCACGCTGTCAGTGTTGTCCACGAATGAATCTTGGGAATCGTACCCGGTGCCAATTTCGTCGATAACACGTGGATGAATATTTTCGTGTTGCTACAATCACATAATTCGCGCTAACTATTTCTTCCTCAATACGCGTTTAGAAAACCATCTCGCAGAAGCCATTTCGATAACTGAGGAACGTTAAAACTTGGCGACCTAGGTCCACTTACCACACTGTCCTCTCCATCGTCAGTCATCTTCGATCCACCGAAATCATAAACTGGGCAATAATTGTCAAGCGGCTGAAGCGGATTGAAATATTTGGCTTCGAATTCTATTTCTTTGATATCCTTAGTCTTCTGAAAGCCATTACTGGTGACTGCCTTCTTTCGCTTGACCGTAGACAAATCCGTCTGCAATAAAATTCATCAAGATCTCCAAACTTTAATTTCGTTCGTTTATTTCTTCACACTGAACCGACTTCCTCGTTCGTGAATTTTAACATTTGAAAGCTCGTGCGCAGTGCACGTGTCACCATAAGATAAGGGCATTCTAATTTATATGGAAGTATTACAATTTTACCACTTCCTGGAGCAGGGTTCGTTTCTTCTGAGCGGTAGCGCCGAAGGGAGGTGTCCGGGAAGTCTGTGCTGGTGCAGCCATCGCGCTTGACAAGCTAGAGGAAGTGTTTGTGGTTTTCAGTAGCTGCACACGACGCGGAGCCGTGGAAGCGCTGCTTGCGACAGTGCTGGTCATCGTAGCGTTTCAAACTTCTCCGGATCTGATTGAAATAAAGAAAATTATCAAAGGCTACACTAGTACTGAAATGAGAAATTCTTTTTCACGAATTTTGTTCTGATTGCTTCGTCGACCGTGATGGCCGTCGCTGTCGAGTGTCGAATGCCGATTACCACAACAAAATCTGTCAAGGCCAAGGAATGAGTCGAATGACGTTATTCACCAACTCCAGATTTCGAGTAGAAGCTTTAACCTTTTAACCTTCTCGAGTAATTACGGCAGTGATGTACAAAGTAGTATCCAGATGATTGGAAGGCTAACGCATAAGTAAAAACCAATTCTAAATTCAATAATTTTCGGGGTATACTGAGTACAACACGAATTCCTGCGATCAGCCTCGGTGATTGTGACTCTTTTTCTTACGTAATTGACCACTGGCCTGCCCACCACACTATTTGTAACTTTGTACACAGCCGTTTCCTCGGCTGCCACGCAGATGAAATTTAATAAATTGTCCGTAAATCGAAGTGGTTGGGAAATGTACAGATCGAGTGCAGTTTTACCATTTAATTTCGTTGTTCTGCATAGCAAATGACTTATTTAAATTAAGAACTGCCATAAAAATAAAATATTATACATAATTGTTTTTATTTGGGTGACGGAAATGCAGCCGGTGCCTTAAATTCTGCTTTCAAACGCTACTTCCTGCTGTGACTTAGACTTTCCTGCTGTTATCTTGTAATGTTATGGCTCCGCCTCCGTAACTCTGATTGGACCATAGCGCTGGTGAATCATCAGATACGTAAACATAAACAAACACGGTCTACCACAAACCAGATTATACGGACTGATCACTGATGTAAGGTGAGACCAAAAACGAAAACGGGGTTTTCTTGGTTTTGTAACTTTTGTTCTTTCATTATATTTTGCCGTTAGCGAAGTCTACTATGGACCCTTTGAAGCAGAGCATTATGGTTAATCAGTTCATGATGGTGACTGGAGCGAATGAAAGTGAAGCCCAAAAGAGTTTGAAAACTTGTAACTGGCAATTAGAGGTGAGCCATATTTCCTTTCGAGTTTTGCCTCCACCACATTGTATCCCTTCGCTGATTCTTTCTGCTTTGTACGTGTTTCTAGAGCGCTCTCAGCATGTTTTTTCAAGGCCAAATGTTACCAGCCTCGAACATTCGTCCGCAGATGGACCCGGTGAGTGGCACAATCACATAAATGATCACGAGATCTGCAAATCCATACGATTTACTGGTTCTCTCTTTGCACAGATGTTCGCTCCAGCCAATACTCCGGCAACCCCGCCGAATTTTTCCGATGCCTTGTTGTCTTTTGCTAAGATGAGTACTACATCGGGAACCCCTAACACAAATCAGAATATGCACCAGTCACGGGAGTCTTCCAATCCGACCAATTCTCCTTTCTTTTCGTCTAAACCGAACTTTGACAGCGGTCGATAGCAGGATTTACACAGCGACGTATCAAACAAGTGCTCTGTTGGTTGCATGACAAACTAACCAGCCTCTTCCGTGAAATTGAGATGTGTGTAACCAAAGAGTCGCACCAAAGTGCCCAAAACCCATTCTGCAAAATGTAATGGATGCGCGTCCTAATTGCAATTCATTTTCGATTCTGTGGCCCACCTTTGGAAGTCAGCCAAATTCACTCTGTTTTCTGTTGTTGTTATTGTTTTCCAGTATTACCTCTTCTGCTGGTTTCTCATGAAACAATCAGACGCCATCCCCTTCAGCAATCCTGATGATTATGATCTTATCCGGATGTACCGACAACAATCTTTTTTCAGTTAACCATAGCGCATGCTCGCACTGCGTCAGAGAATGTTAATGTTTGCTTATTCGGTTTGTAGTGATTTTATTTGTTACAGGTCTTTGCAAGCTCGCGAACTTATCCCCTTTATGGTGTCTGCCTTGGTCGAATAGTTTTTCTCGGGATAGAATTGGTTTCTGGGTTTGTTTCCTGTTCGCGCTAAGAGTGCGAAAATCAGGCAATAAATTTAAATTCATATGCTGATCGATTGCGTTGATGTAAAGCGATGTTGTGATATTTTGGAAGTTTCGTATTTCACCGTGAATTTTCAACTGACTAAATACAAAATATTACAAATCTTGCAGACTGACAGTATTCAATTGTCGGACACTATTTTAATACCGATGGTGGTTAATTACACTGCAACACTTTTCAAAAATTACTTGATGATACGTTGTGTATTTTTACGGCAGTCTACTTTTAAGGCAGCGTACTGTGAAACCCATATGCAGTGAGCGTTGTTCCATTCCCAAAACTGGGCCTCACGGGACCGATGCAGTTAAAGCTAACAATAAGACGTATATGTGTCTATGTAACTGGCTTTTAATGCTGGTCACAGAATCTGTGAGGGACATGCAGTCCCTGACAGACCCACGGGTCATCAGTCGGAAGTACACACCGAGTTAACTTATTTGCACTATCAGTATAGAAGTACTCTGTGCTTGTAGATCTTATCAACAAACTTTACAAATAAAGTTCACAATAAAACGGGCGTCTCAGGTTCGGCAAAAAAGGGAGGCAGACCCCAGCTTTGACAGGAGATGCAAATGGATCCCTGACACACTCTGTCTGCTTGATTTAAAACTGGGCATCTTCTCTTAAATTTTTCAAGGGAGTCAACAGTTTTTGAGAAAAGGGGCAGGCAACTCCCCAGGTTTGCCGGTTGCGTTTCTTTTTGACAGTGAGACGTCGAAACTAATCAGACCTGGCTTTTTAAAGTTATAGATTAATACACGTCGTACCATTGCCCCTTTAATTTAGAATAGTACAGATTGAATAGATCATAAATAAACAATTCAGTCTGTACTATTATAGATCGGCAATGGCAGTACATGTATTTTCCCCAGAACGTTCTGTTTACATAATTATATAATTACAGTACGTCATTTCAAAGTTGTGGGCACTTAGTAGATATAAATATATAAATAAGCCCTGTCGTTATTATAGCGACAGCCTAATTTACATAATGCATCTGCAACAGACTGGAATCTTTGCACTGCATAGATTTATTGTCTATCTACAGAGTAAACAGAGTACATAACTTTGCTTTATTTCATACGAGTAGCTCTGTAGAACAGCCGACAGTTCCTAAAACAGAAGCCGCGTTTCCACGCTGGATTTCCACACTAATACGTTGCCACAGGAAATCGGTAGCTCGCGGTTCCCCTGTTTGTTCTGTGATACGTCGGCCAACTTCACTGATGAACTGACGGGTGCTAACGCCGCAACTTCCCGTAGTTTCGAAAGCCACAGGCTGGAAAAAATAACGATCGGTCAGCTCCGCGTAGTTGCTCCGCTTTCGATCTTCTGCATCTTCCGCTGCCGATCGTGCCGCTACAGATGACCCGGCAGTGTAAGACATGGCGAATGTGTCGCAAACCGTCACATCCCATATCAAGGGCTGGCCATTTTTCCAAGGAAACAGTGATAGTCCATCTGGCCGCTTTCCAGACGATCTACTTAAGCCAGGAGGCTCCAAGATTGCCGGCACCTTTGCTGATCCCAGGCCGCGTTGAATCACGCTATTCAAACTCGCATGTCGCCTGTACCTTCCCTGACTTTTTAAGCATGACAAGCCATGCAAGCCGCGAGCATCGACTAATTCCCCACAACGACATTTATGCTCCTTGCAAATCTGTGCCCCCATACGTAAAGCAACAGCAATCCGTAGACTAGCGTCGTCTAACAGTGTACCAAGGCTAGCAACCGGCAATGCAAACAACCACGCACTGGCGTCCCTAGAAGAAACAGCCAACAGACGAGCAGAGGTAATAACGTCGGCGTTCTCTTTTAAGGCTTCCAGTTTAGCGGCAGTCAGCATGTCCGACCACAAACGTTGTCTGCACCGCTCTTCCATCGCAGGAGCAGCTTTTCCCGTGCTTTCTTCCCAGCGTACCTCAACGTCTGACCGGTCGTCGGGGCAATCTTCGGGCACAATAGTGCGTACCAATTCGTCAGTGGAATACAGCGAGGATAGATAAGCCGGTATTGCAATTTCCTCTGCTTTAGGCAATCCCAAACCCCCAGACTTCACCGGTAAGGAGGCCTGTACAGAGTACTCGTATGATTTGTGGCTGTATAGTTTACAAACAGACTGAAACAGTGATTAGCAAGTACGAATACTGTACCGGTGAGCTTTAAATGTTGCATGCACAACTCTAAGATTAACTTAAAATTTACTTATCACTAAATTTATTGGCAATGAGTTAACTAAATTTGATAAGCAAAATTCCTACAGAAGTATCTATATAATTATAAGCACTGCGAAGTATATGTAGTACAATGTTATAATACCACATACAGAAAAGTACCATAATGTAAAGTTGTAAACTGGTATTTTAAGACACGGCACGCGTACATGTCTACGAATAGGGTGGCGTGTGCCGCTGCAATCTTAAACACCTGGTTCTGAACTTCAGCCATACCTGAACATCGTCTGCTTATTTATTAAAATATTTCATTGTGCATTAGAACGGTATCGTTGACTCACAACTACACTACAGCAGTGTGGAAATATGATTCTGAAAGCAGTCCAGGTGAAATTTTCTTGCGTTGGGGTTGAATGAATGCCTGAACATAAATTATTAACGCATGACGATCGATGGAAATCAACTTATGGTATAGTACTACTCACTAGTCAGCATTCGGCAGTTCGCGCTACAACAAATCGATGAAATCGCATCGGTCATCGTTTCATTGCATCACTAAATTAGTAATTAGTCAATCAACAGTACATGCTTCAGCATCAATGCGCCGCATGCAAATGACATACCGTCATCCAGCAAATGATATTCTGAAAAGAATCACATCGAATTAAGCGTTCATTGCCCTAACGGAATAAATTAAATAGATTCGGCTGTTAATTGCTAACGCAAGAGTGTTAAAATATCCTTCGGGCGTAAAACTTTAAACGCATTGTTCCTGCCCTCGATCATCCGTCGATATCGCACGACATTATCTGATTCGTATTTTATCAATTAATACCGTATTTTTACCGTATTTACCGTATTTTATCAATTAGTACTGACCCCGGCGCTGTAGAAAACCACCATGAAATAAAGAACCCCATGAGGAACCGCTTTTGCGATACTCCATCCTTTAATTGAGATTTTTTCCCGAAATTAAGACTTCATCCACAACTTCTACGAAAGAACACCAACGCTAGGCCACTAACTGCAGTGTTTGGTAAATAGCAAATACGGCGAATGTTGTGAATTGGTTGGATGACGCGCTGCTCGTAGATATTAACGCAGCATGTATTCACATCCACATTTTAAACTGTTTTTTTATATTGCTTAATCGTGTACTTCTTAATAGTGTGCTCCTTTTGTTAGCTTTAAGCTAGTATTTGTTGTTTATTTGTGCGTGCTCAACATGCAATCTGGCCATGGCTAGCGCACAGTGCAAAGAGTATTTTTTAATGTTCAGTTTTGGTCGGTCACTTGTGGTTACCGCGACAAAACTTGTGGCCGGTTGGTAGCGACAAAAAAGTACAGATACTCGTACATACGAGTAAACTGCCGAAAACTTAATCCTTTTGACTTTTATAGAATATCGGAGTTGGAGGTTGGAAAACGAACGATTGCTTTGAAATAAAATAATATTAAGGGCTCACCAGATTTTACAGGTCGCGCTAGTAAAATAGAACTGCGATATATTACTGACTTATATATTCGCTTGTCGGATTGGTAAACCCCCTTAGCTGGACGCGGCAATCTGCACTCTGGGTTAAAATTTTTACTGTAGTCAGAAAGTCGCACACGTGGCCATCCAGTGCCATGACTGGAGTGAAAATAAAAGAAGCCACACGTTCCAGCGGATATGATTGTCCAGTCGGCCTGGTGGCAGAGCTAGCCAGAAAATGGGACTAATCCATGCATGCAGCAGCACTTTCAGCGATTTCATCCATCTGGACACTGGTCAAGGGAGAAGGTTATGCCTCCATTATAAGTGCCGTGCTAGGCGAACGCTTTTAAATTTAATGCACGCTTTCTGCTAGCAAAGCACCAGAAATACCGATAAGCACAATATTCTTTTCGCTCTGCGTATTCTGCAAGCCAGCGATATCGGTCATGCGCCAGCCATTCCAAACCATAATGCATGCAAAAGATACCGCCCCGTGAGATAATGCTCACGTTATTCACCAATCACCAAACGTAAGATTCATTATCAAACAAAAAAAACCCATGTTATTATATATGAATGAATACGCATATTTATAAAAATACATAATTTATGTTAAACCTTATTTATTTATGCCGCCTGAACTTATGTTATCATTTTTATTCTATCAAAGCTTATCTGTTTATTAGCTGCGTTTAAACCGACCTTCTGTGCTTTGCCAATACAAAACGAATGCAATTTCCCAGTATAAATATAAGAACTTTACTTAATCAGTTTTTGCTAAATTGTGATTTGTTAGAATTAAGAAGCCACTGCTTGCTATACAGATACAATACAAGGATGCATCTGCATAGATACCTAGTTTTCTGCGATCGCTCGAAAAGCAAGTACGAGTAAGATATAGGTATTACCGAAAAGCACATTGACAGGTAAAATGAATACGGAAAACCGCACAAAATCTGGCTACGGCCCTACGGGCATGTAAAAAAAACAAGCATGAGACTATGTAGTGAGAAGGAATTTCGGTTTTGGACGTTGCGTGTGGACGGATTTATTTTTCCAGCTTTTTCTTCTATTGTAAAATGTAGTTATAAATTTTTTTGCTGCATTCCTAAATAGTGCTGAAACCCATTTCTTCTACCAGAAGCATTCATTAAAATGGACAACACTACAGAACCAGAAGCAAATGTGCATCTGTATTAAAAACGGGTGAACATATCCCGCGGTTCACCAGAAATGTTCAATGAAACTGAGGGAAAGAAAGGCAAAGAAAGAAAGTAATCAATTGTCAAAGGTGTGCGCGCGTGCGCATCTGTCGGTGCTGTTATGATTTCAGCAGTCGATACATATCTCCGGTTGCGATATCGCCAGTGGTCAGTTGGAGCCGTTCTTCCCTTGACCACACCATTCATTCATTCTCATACTTGAATGTGACATGGCAGCACAGCCGCAATCGCATGGATTAGTTTGCAGTTATCCAGAAACAGTCAGCGCTAGCCTGTATTCCCTTCTGTCCACCACATTCCATAGTGATCATGATTCCCAGCAAGTCGTCCCTTCTCATCCAGTGACTCTTCCGTGAACTGTGGAAATTCACAAGTGACCGCTTCGCATCTCCGTGGTCTTGCTGGCTGTTTAGTTAGGGTAAGTTTAAATTCAGCTTTCCCTTTACGTTTATATATGCTTTCACTGATTTCATTGTCAGCCATCTCTGCTGCGATAGAGTAATATCAAATTTTCCAGCTCTTTTGGACATTTTTGTAAGTAATCGTGCAGTAAATCTCATATACGTCTGTTTTTGATTATATAAAGATGAGCTCTGGAACACCTTCATCGTGCTCTAATTGTACATGTCGGATAATATGTAAACATAGAGTACGCAAAAATTTATAAATATTTACTAAAATATTGTCTCTATTTATTATGTAATTAAATAGTTTTGATTCTGCTGTTGCTGATTGTCTTATAAGGTTATTCATTGTCATGGGCAACTGCAAAGTTATGCATAATCTATAGCACAGCGTCATGTAGACTTGCAAGGAGAGCTGCATGTAGATGTTTAAAAAGAATACCGGCATTTTTTTGGCGGTATAGGCAACTGGCTACGATACCAGCATAACGGTTGCCAACTAATTAGCTCCTTCTGCAAAAATGGAATAGTGCGGCATTCACATTCTTATATATGGTGCACATAGATTTTCTTTAATAATTGCTTATCTATTTGCAGTATAAAATGCCAAAAAGCATTCTTCTAAAGCGCCGTGGACTTCCAGAAGAAAACGAGATGATGCTCCCTGAGAGCCGGAAATGCTTAAACCCGGGCAAGCCAGGGAACGGTTGCTTCTACATAAACCGGCAGGATTCCGAGGATGACCCTGGGTTCAGTGAGTGCAGTTCGGACTCCGGTCGGGAGTCGGCAGCAATGAGCGACAAAGTGCTGCTCAGTCCTGCTTTGTCCACTGAACGTCCGCATATTCTGCACTACCGCTCCAACACCGTATCCAGCTCGTCTTCCTCGGAGAATCTGCAAATCGGGCCGGCTCAGTCACCCTTATCACCCTATCCCGGGGGACACATTTCCCTTTTGCCAAGAATACTGGAGAATTTGGCTGTATCAGGTAGTAATCAAGCGGAGATTAAAGTCAGCCTGAAGAATAGCAGTGCCGATCAGCAGCCGGCAGCGCAGGACACAGGCACAGACAGCGCATTCATTCAGCAGCTGCCAGCTTCTTTGCCTCTTAATAATGCACTGCAGCCCATTCATTCCCCATGTGATCATCATCATCAACAGCTCAACGATGCCACCACATCTGCGGCTCCATTACCTTTCTCCTGGCTATCACCGGCATCACGAAAACGCAGTAACAGTATGGGCAACAGTACCGATACGGCAGCAGCGGTGGGTCCTAATCCGGCGGCTGCGGCACTCACTGCCAGTAATACATCCGCTAATAAGACCAAACAGCGGAAAACCAAAAATGGGCGGCGACTCGTCACGGATGAGGTCACAACATCTCCGGTGTCCGGCACACTGATTAAAATGGCCGACAGCGAAGTGTCGAACATGCCGAAAGACGTAATTATTGTGCGGCGCGGTGATTTGGACAAAACAACGAATGTCGTGGAAGTGACGGAGGAAGCCAAGCGGGAGCTGGCCAAAATCGAGAATTACATCGGCGAATACACCTGCAAGCTGTGTAAGCTGCAGTATGACGATGCCTTCCAATTGGCCGGACACAACTGCTCTCGCATCGTCCACATTGAGTACCAATGTCCGGAGTGCGGCAAAACATTCCACTGTCCTGCCAATCTGGCATCGCATCGGCGTTGGCATAAACCGAAAATGCAGTCTGCCCCCAGTACACCGCGAGTCCAGAAATCCCTGAGCATGCCAAAGCAGCGTGAAAATAGTGCGCCACAGAAATCGACCAATGGCACATTGTCGTTGGAGAACCAGCTGTTGACTTCTCCAGCCAGCATTCCCGCCTCGCAAATGCCGTTTAAGAAGCGTTTCTTTTTTGGTAAAAACAATTCACCAGAAGTTGCAGCAGAGTTACTGTCGGAGGGACCGAAACACGAAACCAGCAAAAATTTAACCAAATTCGCACGGGATACGCCCTACAAGCCCAAGCAAGAAAATCCGCATCCGGAAAACTTCCGCTGCCAAGTATGCCATGGTATAGTCCACGGAGCCGAACACTTTGCTCGGCACTGGCATGAATGTCTGCTCGCCGCCAGCAAAAATTGGAGCATGGTTTTCTTTCCCAGCAAACGTCCTTGATCAAGTGCCTCATTTGCCTGCTAGTTTTCCAGCTCACGGAACTCACTAAGCATATTTCGTGTTCCATGGGTGTATAAATTATATGTATATTACAGTAACAACGAAAAGTTTTGGTACGTTAATGTAATTCCTCGTTATGCTCACGTTCCAGTCATTCCGAATGTGGTACAGTGTTTTCTGGTCGTTTTATTGTTGTGATGTCAATTTCGTTTTGGTTTTATTTTAAAATTTTTTTTGTGTATGCAGTCCATATCTTGTGGAGATTTTCTTGTGTGGCCATTCAGATTCGAAACGATCGGCTGTGTCGTATTAACGATAAGTATAAAATTACTTGTATTATGCAAACGTCTTTGACTTCGGCGACCTCCTACATTAGCTGTTATGATCGAATAAGTATAGCAACTTTTTACCGTAAAAAATGCATCGAATGCGTGAAAAATCAACTATAACAACAAACCAAAATCTAGTTCTTCGCTGACGATGGTTTCTGTGATAAGACATGTCTGCGTACGCATTGACGTTATCTCTGCCGCTAACTGGAGTAATAATTTGTTAATACAAGTAAAAAGTACATATATGTACAGACAGTGCAGTATATCATTAACCTTACCTTAATTTAATAATAACTTATTACGAAAGCCGCGCATTAAGACCGTAGTACGCGTGGATAATAAGAAAACGCATCACATTAACATAATCAAAGAATTTAGACATCTACCGCAGTCTTCGTTACTCTTCCGAATATTCCACTTCTTGAGTATTCTTATCATTTCGATATACTGATAAATCCAGTTTTAGCACAACGAGACCGGTATCACATCGGCTGTTCTGCATACTGGCACAAATAGTCCAGCAGTTAGCAAGCGGATCATATTTCTCCAAAATATTCCCGACGTTTCTGTCAGACCCGCCCATTGCATATATGCACCCTCCCAACACCTGCACGCCAACGGCACCGTGTGGGCGAGGTCGGTTCATGGGAGCGATGGGTTCCCATCTTCCCGAAGCGGCGCTCAAACGCTCGCAGCTTGAAGTGTCTTTTCGGCTAAAATATTGACATTTTTTTGGCAAATCTGTAGTTTGCAAACCTAATTATTTTTCTGTCTTACAGACCTCCCGCCAATAGCATAAAGGAACTGGTCCACGACACAGCAACCAAAGTCTGATCGAGCTTGATGCATAGAAGGGCCAGCTAACCACTTGTTAGCGTTGGGGTCAAAGCATTCGACGGAGTGTAAGGTCATCAAGCCTAAATTCAGCCATACTCGTTAATAATCGTTATAGATGGTAAACTCACTGTCGCAATATCCTTACGGTTTTCATTTCGTAATTCTCTGAAAAATTACCATCGTGGCCTCCGCAAACGTATATGCAGCCGTTAAAAACAGCAGCTCCCATTCCGCGTCGTCTTACAGATAACGGCGGGATAGCCGGCATCCACTGATTATCAAATCCAGCGATTTCAGCGGTATCGAGGACAGAGTAATTTTTATTCTAGAATTTTTCAAAAATTAGTATGTATATGGGCATAGTAATCAGCAACAGTACTGTAATATCGTGATATATTTACTTTACCATATATCTAATTACAAAGTGCAGTACTCGTAATTAATGCGATTGTAATCGTAAGTCTACGTACCCAGCCACCAATGGCAAATAGATCTCCATTGAAACAAACTGCCGTATGGTATGATCTTGTAGAAAGTAGAGCAGGTAAGTCAACTTCCCACAAATTTGTCAACGGGCAAAACCTGCGTATCCGATTCGTAGGGTTGCATATATATATATATATATATATATATATATGCATGCACAGCAAAACTTTTCACCCAGTTTAAAAACAAGCAAACAGCGATTTAAAATGCATCAAATTAAATCGCTTATGACCGGCTATCCTGACCTTTGAACGGAATCAAGAACGGATCGCCCATCAGTTCCTCCCGTGACGTACAGGTAGTTGTCCCGTACAGCTAATGCAGTGGCAGAACGCTGAACTGGCATTTCCGGTAACTCAATCCACGCATTGGTGAGAGGATCGTAGGCCTGAGCTTCCCCAAGTCTCTCTCCGGAAGGAGTAAGACCGCCTATATATTTGGTAAAAATGCCATCGTTATTCCTTTTTTGGGGTTCGGCCAATGTTTTGTTATGAGTACTTAGGTAACAGGTTATAATGCATTACGAAGTATGGAAATTTTAATAGTTTTGGAAAATCTGTTGCATATGTTCTTACCAACTGTTACTAGCATTTCGCGCAAATGTAGTCGATATCCTTTCCCCAGTACGCAGAGTGCGCAGTTTTCGTCAGAACAGAGATTCGTCCTAAGCGAAGTGCCTGCATGTCTAACATCTTCAATGCACGATAAATTTTGAAGGATATTAACGTCCTTTGAGACCATGTTTTTGAACACATCTTCCGGTAACTGGTAAAACTGTACGCAGCGCATCAGATTGGGAAGATATTCTGTACGGCTAATTAGATCTGCATCAATCCACGAGCGGACAGCCTGTAAGCAGTTCATAAGATCTTTAAAAATGAAAGCGTTTTCCGAAAACGTATGTACCCGGCACCATAAACTACAAGTAATAAACTGTTTACAGTAATTACTAATAATTATCCAATTGAGCGTACCTTGTACACCTGATATTCATTTTCGACATAAAGATAATCGCTGTGCAACAGCGAGAGCAGCTGCGTGCAAGAAACCTCCAGAAACTCTTCGCGTTCTACCACTGCCGCAAAGTTTAGGCGGGCATATTTCAGGGCGCTCAGTGCCAACTCATTACAGAAATATCTGTCAGCGAACGTGGAAATTTCCAGGCAATTAGCAGGATCGATTTGATTTTCTAGAAACTTGCAACATTTTTCCAGAATGCCAGGAACCTGCAGCAGCGAAGCGGCTTGCAGCAAAGACTGGACGTTGTCCACATCAATCTTCAACCGTCCGGAATAAGCAAAATTTATTATTGTTTCCACGGCTTCCGCATCTACTTCCTGAATATTCACAATTGACTGTTCACTCTCTGACATTCCATTCATAAACATTGCCCGGAAATACTCGCTGCAAAAACTTTAAAATGTAAACTCTTACTTATTCTACGAGACGAGGTAGAGTATGCTTATGCGCATTGCATTGCGCTGTCTGTTGAGCAGGTAAAATGTTTCTACAGCAGTTGAGCGATAGTATAGCGCAGCATCATTGTTTAACTAATATTTCTGCTACCAGTAAACCAGCAGGCATTATCTACGCAAAATGTAATCTGTGTTGTGTGACATATTATTATTTTTATGGCCAGAAGAAAACTTTACTATATCATTCTCAAATTTGTACCTGTACGAAATCAGTACTTTTTTGTGAGCGCAGATTTCTTGGTCGTCAGTGATTACAGTGACATCGCACGGATCATCAGCACTCCACAGATCGCTCAGCTTGCTATACATTATCGACAACTGTGAATTTGTATCAGCATTGTTCACATCGAAAACCATTCAAATTTTAGATCACAAAATCGTAAATCCGAGCATGTTGCCAGTGATGAATTCCGGCGTGCACGTAAGCTTCCTCTTCGCGAGGTGGAATATGAAACTGAATTCTTGCGACTTCCGGGCAAACCAGATAAATCTTTCCGCGGTTGTCCAGACGAAAGCAAAACTGCCTCAAAAACCTCCATAATCAAAACTGTTTGCGATAAATCAGAATCATGTTCATTTCATCCAAAAATCCCGCTGCAGTGCAGTGTTATGATTTTGCGTTAGATATTGTTCGTAGTTTATGAAAGCGTTTTACGTTGTTAAAGCAGTAGCATTTGAAATACAGTACTCAGGTGCCGTCGCAGCACACAAGCTACTTACAATTAAATTTACTTTTAATTACAGCGTTACTCCATTGAAACATAAATAATCCAGCGTTTACGTTTTGCGTTCGCTATGCGGTGGAAACCGTGGAATGGCTCTCGCTCGGGTGAGCATGCCGATACTAGTTGCACCGGAAATAAACGCGAGCAAGCCGATGTGCTCTGTACGCAGCTATGATGTAACGCTTGCACATTTTTGATACATCATCCGTTCAAAACGTATTGATTGTGGCTTTTGGCTATGTTATAACATGATTATACCGTCCTTCCAGTTAAGCATTCACGTCATATTTTAACATTTTAACATAATACTGTATACATAAATTAATTGAGTTTACAAATCGCCGAATTACAATAGCAAAAGACAGTTTACAGGTTACAGTGAAACCGTACAAGCAATAGATACGTACCTTACAGCGTAACTTTAATTTCTGTTATTTTACATTATAATAAAAATGTGTTTATGCAGGCAGGCATGACTGATCGTCGGTTTGAAGTTGACAGCTACCAAAGTCAACATCGAAGCTGACTAGTATCATGATGTTATAGCGTAACTTATTGAGATAACTTACTGCGCTAATAAGTCTAAAAAAGGTTTACAAGTAAATGAAATAATCAATAAGTGTTTATCGGCAAAGAAAAAACAGAAAATCTGCGCGGCGCGCGACAATGTACAAGGTGTACGATCCCAGTGGTGAGGATCCCCAGACAAGGGTAATTATTAAGGCAAAGGAAGTGTTCACTTCATTTTGCAGCAAAACGTTAAAGCATCTTTTTAAGCAACCACCGGAACGATAACAAAGAACCGACAAGCATAAAATATTCAAAGTATGTTCCCACAGGGAAACGAAGGTTATCAAAACAAAGCGCGGACACTCTCCATCCCAATGCTTTATGAAAGAACCATATACAGGACGGACACGCTTCCCTGCTGTCGTCAGCTGGCGTTCACCAGCACGAATATATTTGATTTAACAAACAGCAAACATCAACCTAACATTAACAATCTGAGAAAAGGCCAAATATCATACCAAAAAAATCATCATGTAACCATCTACACATCGGTTCCAGACGAAGTCGAGCCAGATCGAGGAGGCAGCGAATACCGCAACGATACCGTTGGTAGATCAGGATCTCCCCCAGATTTCGTCTGCAGACTATTACGGACTTTGTCATTGTAGCGGCGCGTCGATTCCCGCCACGACGGACGCAGCATCACAGGCACATCACGCAAAGGTGCGGAGGGAATATTCAGCTTAGGCGGCTGCGGTGATATTATGCTGCTGAGAAAATGCTCATATGTGCCTTCTTCAGTATAGTTTTGAATGAGAGATTTCAGGTATTCGGCACGCTCTTCAAAGAAATACTGGAAGCCTTTGATGGATTTACGGCACGCTTGGCCTGCATTTAGTGCTGTGTTGCGCACCAGCCCGGCCAGATTCTCTTCGTCAACAATGGCGCCATCGTACAGAGGTCCAAATGGAGGTATGTTTTCACGTCGGATGATCTGAATTCGATAAAGTCCGACGGGCTCGGTTGGATAAATGCAAATTATAACATCTCCAAATTGAGTTGGCAGAATTTTTCTGTCGTAATCACGATAATGATCGGACCAGACAATCTGCACCTCATCATTACCAATGTGTTTCATCTAAAAAAAGATGATATGAATGACTAAATTACGAGCAAAATTCCTAGGGTGGAACATTTATGAAAACAAAATTAAACAACAATTCAGCCGGTTTACTGAACACGTTTTCGTCAAAGCGAAGTATCTCCTCAAATTCCGAACCATTATAATTCCACAAAAATCAATTTATCTATGCAAAACTGTTTAATACATTACTAAAAATACGCATACCGTAAAGCAAACGCAGTTTCACTGCTGACATAATCAGAGAATGACTAATAATAATTGTACAGATACTTGCCTTTGATGTATGATCTTCCGTGGTCAGAGCGCCAACCCTGGTAGCAACATGAAAAATCACTTCCATGGTGGCCGATGCAAAATATACAGCACTGTTAAACTGCCAAGAATTGTGCGGCAAACCGCCGCGAAATCCTTTATGATCCGCAAGGTCAACCTAATAACCAAATACGACCATTTATTCAGGACAAAGTGACACTTTTTAATAAATTAAGCGTATCAGTTCTGTGGCTCACATTCCAGCCTAAGCGATTGATAAATCGTTCATAAGCTTCGCTTCCGTAATTGTTGGTCATGATGGACATTTTATCTTCCTGACCTCGAGCAACGTATATTACAGCGATTTTTTGGAAGTCGCGACTGAAACAAACAAAAAGCGTAAGTACTGCGACTGATAACAATTTGCATGGTAAGATTCGATAATACAGCATCCAATACAGTTAAATACACAAATGAAAGACGGCTGATATACATAGAACGAGTATTACTTAGGACGTCGGTCCAGCAACTTCAAGTCTCGAAACATCCCATCTGTGCGCTTCATTAAATGGAAATGTTGACTATAAATCGCCGCAAATACAAAAAGTCAAAAATTAATTAAAAAATAACGATTTTCGGAAACATGATTTCGAAAATAACTGTACCGTTTAGCCATTCCGGCATAACCAAACTGCGACAATATTCTGGAACAATAACTAAATGCACTCTGTGGCGGAGAATGTGGCGGGGGTTCGGCGGCCGGCGCAAACAGTCTAAAATGATATTATTCTACAGTTATCACCCTAAAAAACAAGGCTCAACGTTGTTCCTTACTGTCCAGTCTGTTTTTTCTGTTCCACATATTCTTTCATAGATTCACTTTGGGATGCCATAATCTGGCCGGCTTTAAATTCTTCTTTGGCTGAAATTCCAGAAGGAGGCAGACCAGGCTCATTCCAAGGATGTTCAATCGACAGACCCAGACCCGGTGTCGTCAACTCAACATATTTCATAATCTGAACACAAACTCACATTAAGCTATTATAAGTCGATAGCAACATGCCGATCAAATTCCCACTCGACAAAGCACCAAAATCACAGGTTTTGTTTTAAAGTACTGCTTTTAACAAAAATGTAAAGCGCATTATTATATCTGAAATAATTATTAAGTCTTAGTACTGCTGCATACATCCAGTACAACGTCCGCCGAATGATTTTTGACAAGATCAGCGAAAGTACGAATCGTCGGCTCCGATGTATCTGTGGTACTGGAAGGTTGGAGAACTTTGGCTGAGTTCACGGATTGGTTTTCTTCCTTATCATTCGTTATGGCAAACGTGCCTACGCATTAACTGCTCAATAAATCAGAACACCACGCAGATCGAGCAATACAAACTGTTTTCTTACGTTTTTCGTACAAACTGTCAATCAGATTTTCTTCTCCAAATAAACTTGTGGTATCATAACAATACTTTCCCGCTATGTCACGAACTATGATGCGAACAAGCGGGAAAGACTGAAAATCTTTGGCGTCGTTCGAAAGACTGTTCCGAGTCTGTAAAAAAATCCAGTATATATTTCAAAAATGTCAAAACCTTCAGAAGCAGGAGGATTTACCATGAGGCGTAGGGAGATAATCATATCGTACATGGAAAACACCTGTAAAAACGCCAAGACATACCGAATTTAAGACATACGCAACAGGAAACCAAAATATCACCGTGCTACAGTCTGCAATGAAAAAAACGGAGAATACTGAAAAAAGGAAAACAAACCTGCAAATTATCCGTCAAGATCGAGCTAGGTGGAAGATCATCGTCTTCGGAAACAACGCTGGACATAAGCGCCCAAGAATCTTCATCGGAGATCGAGAAGAATCTATTAGCCATATGCCGCGCAGCCTAAATAAACAATACGGTTGTCAGAGCCCAAGTGAAATATTGTGAATATCGCATTCTTGTTTTACTTTCGCCCAAAGCCCGATAGCCTCACTTATTAACATCAAACCCAGCAATTACCGTAAACTTTTCAGTTTTTAGCATTATTTTAGTCGAACGTACGTATGCACCAGCCAGTTTGAGCACATGCAGCCTACTGGACGCCATATGGGGAGGTACGATTTCAGCACGTTGTGGCTGTAATCTCTTGTCTTTGGCAACATCCGATACCGGCCGACTGAAGATCGACGTAGCTCGTCGAGTCATCGGGGGCTCATCATCGGCATGATTGCGCGACGCCAAAACGGCACCAACGTCAGCAGAAAACCGCCGGTCAGCCAGAAGCTCAGAGAAACCTCGTTTTCCTTTGCCCTTGATCTCCATATTACTACCAACAACTGGATCTTCTTGTTCCATGGACATCAATTCTGGCATATTTGTGATTGTCTGCAGAGTCTGCAACCCACACTTGCGAATCAGCAACAATATCAGTCAGCATAATCGTTACTGCTAAAATACCTGCTCAATCAGCGTACGCATGTCGACCGGGCCTTCTACTAAAGACGGTCTGTCCGAAAGAATATTCGGCACCGATATCATCCATTCGCAGAGGCAAAGAACCAGTTTAATGAAAACCTTAAAAACAGAGCAAGCTTATATTATACGTTGATTAAGGGAATTTCTGGTGTAAGTCAATGCAGTTCAATCTAACCTCTTCAATGTCCTTAGACACCGGAGCACCTCCTAAAATTTCAGCTGCTATTTTTCGCAACAGCGCGCAAATACCCTACAAAATAATCATATAAAACACACAGGAACACTAATGTTACTCAAGCATTACCTGGATAATTTTGTAAACGGCCTGTGGAAGAGAGTGGAACAGCGCGGGAGCATGATTGGTAATCATAATCAGAATGTTAACAATTTCAGCGACTCTGTCTCCAGAAAAATTTTCCGTGGCGGTCAAGATCTCTCCAAGAAATATCTCGACGATGTTGGGCTTGTCAATGGTTCCATTTAAGAGGGAATACAATACATTGCCGACGCAATGGAAAGCCGGAATTCGTACGTCGGAGGGACAGGTAATATTAGTGTAACGTAATATCACAGCGAAAATTTTTGCCTGAACTTCCGAATTATGGCATGGCTTTAGCTTAAAAGTATCAGAAATGGGAGAGAGCACCCTGAAACTGGCAGGAAGACGCTTTAGGTAAAACAGCAAGGATCCCAACATTCGAATGCTCATCAACTGCAGTTCGTGATTTTTGCTTTCTACTAAGGATGTAGCGGCGACCGTAAAATCTTCCACAAGCAGAAAAGCATTCGGAACTTTGGAGCAGAACAGTCTCATTCCAGCGTTCAGAAAAATCACATCCAGGAAAACCTGCAAAACCTTTTGTTAACAATCTTTTGTTAACAATCTTTTGTTAACTACCGGCAAGAGCTGATTTTGACAATGCGGCATAAAAGCCTAAAACATCGCTCGAAAAAAGCATTACAGAGCACTACCAAGGTTGCACTTCATGAAATAGCAAAGGAAAAACAGTACTGCACACATGACTGTTTAAAAAAAGCCAGAGTCATAACGGTGTATATTAATGCAAATGCAAAATAAATCGAAATAAAAAGCACACCTGATTTCCAGATAGCAGTTTCGAGTGGAAAGTCCTGATCAGATGCATACAAAATTTTTTCGGAATGGGATCCACATGGAATGTCATGTTACAAATGCTTTGCAGAGCCAAAGCTTGACTAGCAATAAAGGTTTCCGGCAACGTCAGAGCTTCAAAAAGTAAAGGTGCCACAATCGCTACCGGAACAAACCGATCAGATGTGGACAATTCTCCATGCAAGCTGTCAGATGAGATTCCCTTTTTATCATAAATCTATAAAACAGCATTCAATACTGCAACGAAAGTGCGGTCCTACTAAATAATTGGAATTTGCAGTTACAACAAGCAGGCTCTTACAGTCAACAACATATCCACAATTCTGTTCACCGATTCCAAAGCGAACTTATGAGATGCAGGATTCGGAATTTTGTTCACTGGCCCGATTACACCAAAAACACGAAACCACAAAGCACAGGCTGAATCTGGAGACCAACCTTGCAGCTGGCCTCCTGCCATCACGCTTACCCACGAGCACGACGAGGCTGTAGAAATTAACATCATATGCAGTTTCATGCCAGAGACATAAATTAAATATGAAGAACACTGTGCCCATCATACCCGCTCGTTTACGATCAAATTCTAATGGATAAAATAAAGGGGAATTCAAGCTTTCGCGTAAAGAATCTGGAGTAGAATCCGACCGCGATGGATCAAGGAAGTTGTCCGAATTGCTCGCCGTACCATCATTATCTTCGCTCCCAGAGATGTGGCGCAGTCGTCTGGATAAGGCCTCTGCAAAAGCCAATAGCGGTTAAAATAAATCAGACCAGAACTCTGGCGTCTGCTGCCAAGAAAACAAAAACAATCAAATGTTTTTCAAACAAATCCACACCGATAAAACAATTTCGCCATGTCAACGCCAACCGCTTTTAGCTCTCGAGTCTCAACTAAGCTTTACTGAAATATTTTTAGTAACATTTTGACATCTGGTCCCACCTTCTACGTGCTTTAAAGTTCCCTCTTTATCTTTGGGGCTAGAACCATACTCATCAGGCTCCATACTTCCCGATTTCATACTCCCCGACTCGTGGTCGTTTCGTCCATTAAAATGCAAAGAAATTCCTTCGGTGTCACTGGAAGAAGCGTTCGAGCGGCACCGAGGTGGTTCAGCTACTAGCGTTCCATCATCACTCTGTTGGTTGCTCGAGGAAAACGAGTGCCCACTCTGATTACTATGGTCGTTGACACTGTCATATTTAACATTGAAAACTTGCTCCGCAAACAGCTTTGTGATGAGAACCAACGTTTTCTAGAACAAATTTAATGTTTATAATTAACTACAGATACTTCAAGTACATATTATGAGGTTTACTCACCTCCCATCGCACAATGAGCTCCTCCCAGGCCGTGAGAGTAGACAAGACTTCAGTTAGATCATCCCACAAACGAGAGGCAATATATGCACTAAGGGTACCTTTGACCCAAGCCACAAGCAGGGTCTACACAAAACAGGAAGCTCTCAGTCAAGAACGAAATGAAGTTAAGAACAAAGCAAGAACGAAATTTTTTACTACGTTAAAATGCTCATACAATACTCTTTAGTTATTACTAACCTGAAACAAACTAACCGACAGTCTCCCACACAATGTAGACAAACGATCTTTTGGTGGATCAACCGGCATGCAGATCTGGGTAACTTTAATCAGTGTATTCAGAACACATTCCCAAGTCGATAAGGACATGGGCAATCTCAAAATGGCACATCGGTACAAAAAAATAATACGTTCGCAGATCTTTTCCTGTGGTAAAAAATTATATGCAGCGCACGGCAAAACGTATAACAATTGAAAAAAATCATTACCTGTTCCTCCAGCAGCCTGGATCTTTCTATGGGGTTATAGTCACTCGCTAAAAGATTTATTTTGAATGGATGCACCGAACTGGCACAAAACAGTTTCAGAGTAGACTGATCAGCAGCAAACTGAGTGTATCCCTACAAAAACAGTTAAGCATGAATAAGCGCAAGACCAATCCAACAAACCAAAATCACTTTAATGCAACTCAACCGATTTATTTACCAAACCATCATGACAGTAAATCGTGTAATTTTTATGCATATAACACTCATCACAAAGTTTCCCTAACCAGGCTGTTTACACTTACAAAGTTCATCAACAATTAAATTACACTAACTACCTGTTGGTGGTTAACGGAATCTACGGCATCTGTAATGTGGGAATTTTTTGTCGATTCAACAGCCTATAAAAAATTGTATTGAAGGTATGTGTATTAGCATTAACAATGGAAAGTCAGTCGTACCATTATCCAGCTTTCGTATACTGCTACCACTCTTTTGATGACCCCGTGTTCCGTAAGAGGGAATTTCAGTGCCTGCGTAAATGCCAAACTCAGCGTCACAGCTGCAACGCACGAAATAGCCGCTGTACCATTACACCTACAGTTTCAAATAATTCATGGACAAGCTGAATATTGGATGGACTAGCGAGAAGGGTCTGCCGAACCATCAAATAAACATTGGAAGTATACACCGGTTTCGAGCGTCCTTCAGATGTGCCCGGCACGTTGACTTCAAAGTGTAATAAATTCTGAAATGCTGCCGAAAAGGATCCACTGGACTCACGAGTTTTTGTCACCACTAAACCCGAGTCGACGCTATCAGAACCCACGCTGTTATCTCGTGTCCTGCAAAAACAAATAAAAAGCTGTATTTCACCGGTAAAGCAGTACTGACAAAACGAACTCCCACCAACCTTTTCTTTGACTCACTGGCGTTATCGGTTTTCAAACTATCCGGAGTTTGGAGAAATGTCATGAGCCATTTCATAGTGGCAATTTGCAGGGACAATGTAACAGAATCCACATTTATCGACGTGGAACACTCTATTGATGCCGGATAAAATCCTATAATTCGATAACATAAAACATTCGATAAAATAAAACACATTGGAACTAATCAATTAATATAACTCCCACATCGTAAGAATAAGTGTAACTACCATACGTACCTTTAACTGGAGTTATGCAAGCTCGCGATTCAGGAAAAATGCGAGATAAATATCCCGCTTTGAACTTATCGAACAGAAACGTAAAAGAGGCTTGATACTGGTCGATATCATCCCAAGATATTCGATACACCTAGTAATTCAAAATAAGCTTGGATGTGATCAGGATGTGAAAAATCTTTTTTTAGTGCGAACGGCGAGTCGAATCTAACATAAAATTATCTCATAGGCATTAGAGATCATAACTTCCTATTTTCAGACCTAATGTTATCACCTGTGAGACAAGTAAATCCAGAAGCGTTTCATACATTAAACGTGTCAAGTTGTCCGGAGGCTTTTCGCCAGCAGGCGGGAGCAGAAGGGGAGGCGCGTTCTCAAATATGTCTAAAAATGCATTTTTAATGAACTCAGTCCGCCTAATGTTTGCCAGTGATTAACGCCTTTCGCGTTACCGTTCTCCTCGTTCTGGACTCGTTCCATCCCAGGTACATGTCCATGCATGCCGGGAACGAGAACCATAAAGAGATGGTGCAATTCTTCGGGACAGGATTCCCGAAGGATTTGGTAGTACAACAGGAATGGCCTCATGGCTTCCCGCCGTAACTGCAAAATTCGGGATCACCGGTGTCAGCCTCATTAATTATTAATAATAAACAGTTTATGTCCGAAATACGGCATAAAGAATCCCCACCCGTAAGGCGCTGCTGGGATGGAGGCATCGCTTCAGTACGGTAGCTAAAAATCATCTTATAAACAATAACAAACCGCACAATATCACAATCTGCGCCTACTTATCACATTAGCTTGAGAAGGGTCCGTTCGGATAAATTCGGGCAGCAAAAGCAGTATTTTCTGCAAACAAAGGAAAAGAAGAATTTTTTAATTTAGTTTAGAATTTTTTAATTTAGTTTAAATCAGGAAAAAAATCAGCCTACCTCTAATGCGTACAAAACAGTCTCCACATCTTCTTTACTTATTTTTTGTCCTGAAAACCAAGGATAATCGTCACAGTTTGCACGGGTTGCAATATTATGCAGTACTGGGTGTCTTTTCAAGTCCAGTAATAGTGCAACCACTGCAATGCGACACAAATATTGTGGTTAACGAATGTCGTTGTACCTCTCTGCTTTAATGCCAAATCCAAGGCGTGGAAATATTCGACGAAAAGGCCGAAAACTTCTTCCGTGTCTTCTCCTAACGTGCGCTTGCTTTCCTTGGCATTGCCGTGATCTGTGTGGAGTACACAGAGTTACTGGCAGCAAAACAACAGTTCCTAGCGCCAGATCTACTGTAGAAGACTGGAAGTCGGAAGATCTATTCCACTACCATCGACAAAATCAACAACCAATAAAATTTTTACCATACGCAAAAATAGAAAAATTCAGAAACCTCTGCATACTGTTTTTGTAATCCCAGGATCGTACTCAACTTCGCAAATGTCTGATTCCGCAAAATGACAGTAAAAAATATAACACCATAATTAATGAATGAAATTACCGAGGATGATCCGAAGATGTTTCATACGCGTCTTCAGGTCCTTCTTCGTGTCGGATAATTTGGAAGATGACTTCTGCAAATCCGATCCTCGTGGTTTGAACATAGCTGCATGTTGTAATCCAAGCAAGTCACGAACTCGACGAACCAGCTGGCTCGCGTTTTTCTCGCTCTTTTTCAAGTCGTCTGCAATAGCAGCGACACATTAGTCACATTTCGCAGTGCACGCAAACCAGTCGTAACTATCCTACGCTTTTCAAAAAATCAGGAATACGTACTGGACGTCATGCCCGCATTCTCATATTTACAGATAGAAAGGACTTGCCATCCATACAAACACACAACATACCCACTTAGTCGACTTAGAAGCTACGATAAAGCCCACACACTCGCCACCACATGACAAGTTACCGTCCAGATGATTCATGAAAAGCCGTAACTTTATCAATTGCGGGTTCCACTGTTGATGTCTTACCTGTGCAAACTTATCGCCAAACGTCCAACCAATATCAACAAAAGAATTGCCACAACATTTAACGATTGACTGCTTTTGTTCACAAATCAACACAATTGCATATCTAGCAAATGCTGCATTGAAGCAATGCATAAAGTTTGGCCCATATGATAAGCGACTGGCAGCAGCGTTCGCTTATGAACTTATGCACATCCAGCCGGCGTGGAGAGTTGAGGCTATACATTTTGGAAAACTACTGTGCAACAAGGAGTACAACTGCAAGTTACACAGTACCGTATTGCTGCTTCCGTAATACGAACCACGAAGTATTGTATTTAAGTATTAATGGTTAAAGAAGAAGAAAACTCTGCCTAAAAATACTGAGCTTATTTGAAATTGAATACGGATTTGCTATTAGTGGCTGGTACGTACTAAAACTCAGAAGCACCGAGAAGAAATTCTGTACCGTAGCGCCAGTGCTCTTGAAGGTGAGCTTGACATGCATTCTGCATGGTCAAGAAAGCTTCCTTAGGTTTCGAAACGTTTGTTAACGAGCTTCCACTGGTTTCAAACAGTTACCGTATACCGTTGTTGGTTAGGTTTCAAATGGGCTTCAGTCCAAAACCCCATCCAAAAACCTACACTCCACAGGAATACCTCTCAACTCCCAACTCTATCCTTAATCATGTTGACCTTTACAGTTGCAAGCAACCGTACGTATCGACTAACAAAAATCCTTCCTCTGCTTAAATTACACAAAATAATTGTATTATTGGTCATTAAATTTACAGCTTCAGCAGTGCATGCCTGCTATGCATAACTCTATGGATATACATATATGGTTACATCTCATAATTTGTAAAACGGATTAGGATTTTTGTAAAGCGTTTGTAAAGTGTGATATTTAAATGAGTTTGCACCCTTTGACAAAAAATAAATAAGCATTTCGGTACATTTACAGATTTACTTATGGGCTAGTTATAATCCGAACCAGTTAGAAAACGAGAAATGGCAACTAAAGTTAATTCCTGCAAATGTACTTCTATCAGGGCTAACCTTTGCTGTTAATAAAGTTCAGCAGTGTACGAGTACCATCGCCAACAAGTTGTTATTGTTGTTACTGGTCGTCTGAATCTTCTGATAGTTATTACTATGTTCTGATGTTTGTGTAATCGCATAAACATCACTGAGATGCTGCGCTCAGTGCTCACTGTCAGTAGTACTCGAATTATATACTTCTGTGCTGGCTAACTGCATGGGACTGAGGAGAGCAAAGATATATATCGATATATTATACATGTCCCAAAAAAGGGAAGATGGATCGGAGACAACCATGTAAGCTACAAATATGTACGATACGTAAACGGCGATCCCGAAATCCAGGAACATGTACATGTTCAAGTTAGGGTGCTAGTTTATCGACCGGTGATTACCCACTTTCAGTTGACACAACATATTTTGGAGCACTTGTCGGCTATATAGAAATTATATAACAGAGCACATATTTCTTTCCGTACGACCCTTTTTAAGGTTTGGGTTAAATTCATAACTTATTTTGAACTTGTGTCACGGATCAACAAAAGCAAAGTAGTCCATATTATACCGTGAAAGTTACGCACGACATCACCGCTGCAGGTAAGCCTTTCTAAACTACTTACCGTTAGGTTGTAGCAAAGCTGACGACTAACGAAAAAATTATGTGAGTTATCCAAAACACGGAATCCTTGGCTACTCTCCGCTGTGCATGCTAAGCAGTATAATTCTATACAATTCAGGTATATCGATATTTTTGCTGTTTGAAACTTGTGCACGCTCAGTCCCGTATTTTATTCTGCATTGTTTGAGAACATGTGCTAGATTTATTAATTATTTTGAAGTTAGCTAAGCATAATGCTACCGGTGTTTCAAGTTTAAATACCACACAGACAGTGGTTTATATTTGTATATTTACATGAGATACGTCGCAAATACATTAGCAACAAAATAATGCAAGCTTTGCGCGATCGTGCGTACATTATTACATTATGTTACACATCAGTGGCATAGACTACGATGGGTTTCCTTGCAGGATATCCTTCTCCTCCAGTCCAGAAAGCCGTGGTTTCGCTGAATCTATCACTCCCATTTCAGCAGCTATCACATCAGAAATGGCACAAACAGAGATTTATCGTACCTACATCCATCAGAACCATATACAGCAGATTTTAAAGGTAACTGCAAATTAGTATCAGATAGTTAACGAGGACGCGTGTTTTGTACTTGAGATAGCTAAGCGGGAATAGTTTCTGCCCTTAATTGCCTGCCCTCTTGCAATTAGAGGATTATCAGCTGCCTGTCTTTAAAAAATTAAATTTGCTTTCTAATTTTGATTAAAAATTATGAACCGCAGGTTATTAGTACGATATTAGTTCGGCAAGCAACAACGATTAAGAACGATACCGCATCCAACAATTAAAATACCAAATCAAATATTAAGATTTTTAATATCGCAATTCTTCCCATGCAATTTAATTAACACTGTGGTAAATTTTTCAAGTGTAGCAGAATGCGGCGGTGACTGAAAAGTATATCCATAGCACAGCGTTAAGTACGAGTTTTGAAAGTTTTCAAGAAGTACAGTATCCTATTGTATTGTGGAGAATAGACTGTATTGTACCCGTACCGTTTTACAATGTACAGTACGTACGGTAATACATATCTCCCGAGGTGCAGACGATCTGTTGTCGCCTTAATGTAGCATAAGAATTTTCAAATATTACAAAAGCCAGAGCGCTAAAATACCGAGGAAAACCTATCTTACCGGCCCCGATCGTGCAGTGTTGAATGTTCCGAAAGCTCGAAGTGCTTAATGGGCTATATATACGCTTTTAACGGTAAGTTTTAATTCAGTGTGACAGGACTCTGTTTTGTTATCAAGATAGTTATTATTGTCCTGCAGGCTGCATGCAATTTAATAAGTTTGCAAATATTGCGCCGGTGTCGGAGATTGGACGGCAAGGAAAACTCGAATATGACGTTATAAGAGCTTATTGATACGCGCAGTTGAACCGCCCCGCCGCGTACATATGCGACCGGCAGCCCTTACCAGCACTTGCAGCCGGTTTTGGCAGATATGTATGCGTGTACATTGCACAATTACAACATTCAATCGGTTGCTTGTTGAAAATCCGAGCTTTAAGAATAGCATCTACGCGTAGCAAATTTAACTTGACGACCATTAAGTTCTAGAGTTGTCGGCGATGAAATACTCGTACACACTGATGAGAAACTTTAACCTAGCTATGGGCGCAACACACTACATAAACTTGCTGTATTATTGCTCAGTTTGCTAGTGCGATGTTGTTTTCCATTTTTACCGCAGCGTGCAGCTAATGCTGTCCCTTTTCTGCCTTCACCAATTTATGTGACTTTTCGCATGCGGTAAATATCGTAGCAGCACGTTTGTCCTTATATATTGCAGGACTGCATAGTGCAGCTGTGCAAGAAGAAGCCGGATAATCCTTGTCTCTTTTTATCGGAATTTTTGCGAAGCTACAGTGTTGAGCATCTCTCCTCACGAGAAAAACCAATCGGCAGCATGTCAGCGGAGGATACCAGCGCTGGACCTAATGATGAAGTGCAGGAGGAAGAAGACGATCAGATGGGCTCCGCGATTGCGGCACGGCCGAGAAGGCAAGCGCAGCTCCGGTTTTGATAAGATTAATGCCACTGACTATCAATGTGGAATTTTAATTCTGGTCTGCTTTCTCCATTTTCCACAGACAAGCAATCAGTGCCGAGCCAATTAACGATAACGAAGCTCAAAACTACGTTAAAAAGGTTATCCCGAAAGATGCTCATACGATGGGACGCTTAACCAAAGCCGCATCCAAAAACTTTTTATTCATACATCTGGAAGAAGATGAACGAAGGTAAACAACCTCATTCTCGCAGTTACACATACTTCTCGAAAACCTGCAGTGTGCTGAAAATGATAATACACGGGATTTAACATTGGGAATAAAAGAAATCCCTTTTGGGCTGTTGGATGTATGTATCTCGGCGTTTGTATTCGCCGAGCCGAACCGGCCCAGCGCTATTCAGTGGCGTTTGTCTCGCACGATCGCTGTTTCCGGTCTCTTGTGCAAGATATGTTTATCTTTCGTGTACATCTATGTTTCCAACAGGGATATTTTTGATGCGATGTTTCCGGTGCAGTATAATCAGGGTGATATGATTATCAAGCAGGGAGATGAAGGGGACAATTTTTATGTGATTGAATCCGGAGAAGTGGATATCATAGGTATGTTTAAGGGCGTTTTCGCACGCGCGCTTCTGATTAACCCGCAATTGGCCGGGTTTATTTTTGGTCAACTGCCAGGTTCATTAATTTGTTGCCAGTGCAGGTTTGATTATGCTTTGCAGGGGTTAAACATACTTACAGCTAGTTTATTATCCATTTGGCTCAACTAGCACTATGCATTCTGTGATTGTTTCCATTTTAGAGTGACAGCCTAAACTTAACGTACATACATAATACATAATCACATTTATTCTGACGGAATGCGCAATTCTGATTTATGTGCCACTTGATCACCGTCACTGTTCCTCGGGCAGCTTTAGAAAACCAAATCTGATATTTCTGTCTCCTTATATATCCAAAAATGAGACTGAACTGTAAAGTGTAAAGTACTCTAAATTTACAAAAAGAGCTTAGTATCTTACAAGTAGTTGCGCTTGCAGGTGTTTACGATTAGTACCACTTATAGTACCACGATCTGTATACCTGTACCGTGGGAAAATAATGTTGCATCCATACTAAACAAATTAATCAACTGTAAGATCTTAAACGAACGGAAGTTTCTGGACTTTTTTTGCTTCATTCATGAGATGTTGCTTTGAGGACATTGAGTCTATTGCATGTTGCTTGGCACACAATTCCATGGTTCAGAACGCAGGAGCTGAATGTGACTGTGCTTTCATTTTGCCGGTTTTCGTTTTATGTGGCATTGAACGCTTTTCTCTGCACGGAGCTGTAATGCAGATGATAATTTAACAGCCGCGCCACGTATACTTTTCAAGACCAAAACAGTATGGCCCCGTACGTACGCATTGTCCAAAGCCCCAGAATCTGTGCCATCCCGTTCAGTTAAGCACGAATCCCCTTTGCAATCTGTATTGCCATTTTCGTTTCTCTTTTGTCGTAATAAAAATTTGTCTAACATCGGTTTAAGATCAATGATGTAATTATGAGGTGAACGATTTTTACCGATCATCCAAGAGTAATTAATGTTCAGATTCTTGCTGAAAATTTCAAATTACATACCGGCATTATTCTTTTAATTTCGGTGTAGGATCGCGTTGTGTGTAAGGTAACATGCACACATAGTACAATGTATCTGTTAGCGAAATGGATTGAAAAGAGTTGAAAAAGTAACTTTGCGTTCGAGAAAACTTCGAAAACCTCTACTGCTGCGATTATCGATCGAAAAATACTATAAACGAAACCATAATCGTATCGGTTACACATAGTTGGCGATAACGCGTAACTAGCCGCATTTGGCTAGATATATAGACGAGATAACGGCCGGACGGTCTTTTATCAGAGTAGCGCGTAAAGATAAATTTTTAATACTTGCGATCGCGAGTACCTTTTGTGGTTACGTCTACAAAGTGCAAGACAAACAAAATCTGAACTCACAAACCACAGTTACCGTTTTAACAAAGTCAAAAAATTACCATAATTTCGGATTGCAAGCTTCTACCAGCGATAATAAATAAGGATTTCAAGTTCTCATTTGTATAGGATTATGATATCCTGTAATAGATGGTAGATACAGAGTAGACCTAGACATGTCAGAATTGTATAGAATACTGGATTGAATGCTAATGCTGCAAAAGTATCTTTAATACAACAGAAATATTTACTAATGCTGCAGTTTGATTCCGGATAAATTTCGTATGGACAATATTTATTTCCTTTCATGAACTGCGAAATTTCGTTATCCTGGTCAGCAATTTTGTGCGCACGCAACTTTAAATTGCTCTTTTTTACAGTGAATGGGAAACTTGTAAATACCATTGGAGAAGGAGGAAGTTTTGGTGAGTGTGTGTCCCTTTGCATTATTTTCCTTTGTTGAACACGCAAAATCCACGCAGGCGAACTTGCCCTGATTTATGGAACTCCCCGGGCTGCCAGTATTGTGGCTCGCTCAGAACATGTCCGTCTGTTCGGCTTGGATCGCGATACATACCGAAAGATTCTCATGGGTAACACGATGCGGAAACGCAAGATGTATGAGGACTTTCTGAGTCGGGTTCCGATCCTAAAAAATTTGGATAAGTGGTGAGTGCAACCGTAGGCTCTGTAATCTGTATAGGACGTATACATATGCGTAGTCACTCAGCGCATCCATCGCGTTAAATATCCAGCTCGACGCATAACATGTCCGTTGCCTGTTGCCGCGATTACGCAGTCGCTCACCATTCCAACCGTCTTGCGGTGTTTTCAGGGAACTTCTGACTGTAGCCGACGCCTTGGAAGTCTTGCCAAAATATAACGATGGTGACATCGTAATCCGCCAAGGCCAAAAAGGTTCGTTACAGTATCTATCCGTCTCTAGTATGCGATCAATATGTGTAATGCGCTCTCCGCAGCCGGTACAGATGAATTGCGCTAATTGACTGCAAGTGGGCGGTTGGCGCGCGTGCTGGTGATTAATTCTAACTGGACGTTTTCTTCCATTTTAGGCGATGATTTTTTTATCATTATCGAAGGAAATGCCGTAGTTCTGCAGCATCCCGAGGGTAAAGAGAACGAAGAGGTGGTCGTGGGCAAACTGGGTCCGGCCGACTATTTCGGCGAGATTGCTCTGCTGTACGATAAACCGCGCGCGGCCACTGTCCGCGCCGACGGCATCCTCAAGTGCGTTAAATTGGATCGGCCCAGATTTGAACGATTACTCGGACCGGTGTCGGAGATTCTGAAGCGGAACGTACAACAGTACCATAGTTTAATTGAGTTGGGGGTTTAGTCGCGGTGGGAATGGAATGGATTGTACCGGAGTCGCCTTGCCGGATTCGTTTATAATTAGCTGGGGTGTTTTGGTGCGATAGCTATCATTATGTATCCAGATTCTTTAATTCCATCACACTGATCATCCGGATTGCACATATACGTTGACGTCGACCATATTGGCGCGAGACAGTGCGGAAAACAGGAGTCGTTAATCCTGAAGCAAATAATTCACTTACTGCGAGGAAGTGCGACTTGTTTGTACATTTACTGACAGTGCACGGAAACAAATGTGAATGTGCGGCAGGAGGCTACAATGGTGTTTGGGTTTATTTAATTCATTTGTTGTTGTTGTTGCATGACATTTAACTTGTGCTTGAGTTGGCTCCGTGTCGTGCTGCAGATGTGACAAGTTTGTGGACACAATTTTATCAGAGAAACTTTTTTGGTTTTCGGGTATAATTGCTCTTAAATTCTAGATTGAAGTGCATTTAAGCAGATACAAACTGGCAGGAGACTGACAAGTTGTTAATTTTGATAATGGCAATAATTTTCGCATTTATTCTTTCAGTTGGGCACACGAAAGAAGCTAAACAATTGCATGCGCTATTTACCTTGAAACACTGTTCTATACTATAACTACTCACAATTTGCCATATAATATTGACGGCGCTATGACCTTTAGAATAAGTAAAAAAAATCTTACGCACACATATACTTACACGTGCAGTGTATGTTTTGTCCATAATACTGTTTTCGGCCATTAAGCGTTTGTCGCTCGAAAATGAATAATAAATAATTATGAAATTTCAAATATCTGCGAATTGCGATCTATATGTATGGGAAACAATGGTATTTGTTCGGGCGCGATAATATAGTCGTGCGCGCTCCGGGTCTTCCGTATTCTATCTGTAGTCTCATTCATGATAAACAAAGTGTGAACATAAAACACCAGGACCACGAATTGTACAACTTTAGGCAATAAAAGAATAAATCTTGTAAATGTTTATTGTTTATACGCCTCTAGCAGAAGAAAACAAAGGGGTGGGGTACGGCGTTAGCATAGAACAAAACAAACTGGAAGACAAGTCTTGCTCCGTCCAGTTCGAAATCCGACCCTACGCTGATCGCAGTACGAGGACCACATTATACTCACCATCAGATACAGTACTTACTTTCGAAGACTCTTCCTGTTTTAAAAAGCACCGGCTGTGGACAAGTACCCATGCACACCACACATGAAAAGTTGGACGCGTACTCTCGCAGCTGCAATGCATGTGCAGTGCTCACAATCAGTAGTATTATAGTGTTGTCGGCGGTGCCCTTTATAATGGCTTTATTATACAGCAGTAAAAAAAACAACTGCAAAGTGCAACCACCGATCCGCACACTTGCAGAAGACACAGACTTCTATATAACACCTCCTTTTGTACAGTACTTATTTAGGTAATGTAAGTATATTATGATTGTAATAATTTAATATCGAGAATTTCTGCGGGGATTAAGCCTTTTGGAAGCCTTAATGGCTCATCAAAACAAAATTGTATAAGGGGCGTTATGAAGGGCTGGACCAACCGTAAACGTCATCGTACAAAGTCACTGCACACTTGCAAACTGCACAGTACTACTTCTATGTTTAATAAGTGCGGTGCTACCGTCATAATCCTATCGGTCATTCATAAGTTTCAACCTGCACAAATATATATCTTCTGTTTGGATCTAGAAGTCATGACCGGAGATGAGTTTTGCCTGGGGGCCGTGGTTTGAGGAAAGATCACTGATAATACCCTTGAACTTCTAGCCCGAATCTGATTCGCTGGACTTCCACGCCATTGTTTCTCCTGCGTAAATGACCAGGCTGCTCTGCTGACTGGGTTTCTCAGATCCACATCATACCACAGTCCACTATATACCGTAAGCCGAGATTCGTGGTACATTGGCATTTGAAAACGTCAACAATGCATTGACTCTTTGTAGTCGACGAGTTACCGTGTAATTGTCAAATTGTAGTTTGAGTTGTAATTTAGTAAAATATTCTCCACACGAGGATGCGTGTCTCAGAAAACAAATCTCGCATATACCGTTTTCCGAGCGATTCTGAAATTAAGGTGCCTCTTTCGTAACATTATTTTAGAATCTTATCTGGCAATGACCAGCATATTCCAGTTAGCTAATGTTGTTCACAGCGCGAACTGTTTGTTTTTCTCTGTTTATAGAAGACCAAAAATCCTGCGGAAGTTGTCAGCCTAATCCCACTGAAAATGTCTGATTCTCCTTCCGTCCACGATCCCCTCGTCACTCCGCCGTCATCCCGTACAGTTACCGTTGTGAGAAATGATGACCCGGAAATCGTTGTGGCACAACCCGTGATTACATGGTGGCGCGATGCGAAATTCCAGAATATTTTGTTGCTGGGCTTTTCATTTATGGCCTTATTCAGCGCATTTCAAACATGCGGATTGATTCAGGTTTGCAACTACATAGCATAGGAGTACGTATTACGTACTTTTGGTTGTGAATTTGCGGTTCTAGTTTGAAGTGGTTTGCTCACGATTTAATTGAGAGAGCTACCGTCAAAAAGATGAATAAGCAGTTTATAAACATCTTAGCACGTTACTTTCGGATTTTTTGCAACTTTGTTTACTAAATTAACAGTACTTATTTGAATAGACCATTGTTCTGCAAAGTTTCTTCGGACCAGATGCCTCGACTTTGGGTTACAACAGCCTGGGTGTTTTATACGGTGAGTTGAGAAATTTCTACACGGTATTGTGGATGATTTATAAGAACAAGGGTTGCAGTTTAACTGCTGTATTTTAGCTGCGTTCGGAATTGCGAACTGGTTCTCTCCGTTTATTGTAAGATATTTGTGTGAAATGGCCATCCATGTGTTAGAAATGCTGATTTTATAATTAGTTTACATCATATTTCTGTCGAAAAGGTATCCCTGATTGGGCCAAAATGGGGGATGGTTGCAGGAGGAGGTAAAAATGGATTGTCATTTTTCCTTTTAAGTTATTGTATCCGAAAATTAGACTTCTGTTTTTACAGCTTGCTATACCCTGTTTATTGCTGTTTTTCTGCATCCTTTTTACGGGACTTTATATGCTGGATCGGTTCTTGTGGGCATCGGAGCGGCTGTGTTGTGGACAGCACAAGGCGTTTTCTTAACTATAAATTCCGACAAGACCACCATGGCCAGGTAATATTTTCATACTTTTTTCTGTGTGCGATGATCTCTGCTTAACCGTGTTATAATTGAAGAAAACTTTCTTCAGAAATTCGGGATTATTTTGGGCGCTATTTCAGTCAAGGTATGTCTCTCACTCATCCTTAAAATAATACGATATTTTTGTGGTCATATATGCTGTGTTTTGCAGTTTTGTTTGGGGAAATCTCTTCTTTTTCTTTTATTTGGGTGGAGCGGCCACGATCGAAGATCATAGCCGATTTGTGGTTTATATTGTGCTTCTGATATTGTCGGCTGTGGGCCTTTTAGTTATGTTCGCATTCCGACATCCGGTCAAAGCTGTGGTTGTTACCTCGGATGAGGTTGTTGCTGAGCCGCGGTATGTTATTGCTCCAATGAATAATATTATTACTTACCTACAATAAAATGTGGGTGATTTGCTTACAATAATCTGGCCCTGTATGTTGCAGGCGTTCGAGGAATCCGTTGACCGCAATAGGTATTCGGAAAATTTCCACGAGAACCGTTATCTGACCGATTAGTTATTTAATTATCGTTGTGTACTATCTTATCACAGCTGCCGCATTCCGAATGTTGAAAGGACGAGACATGCTGTTGTTGTCCATCACCTTTGCATATACAGGTCTATGAACGCTTTAACACATAGTTTATTGGAAAATAATGATAAATTGCTTAATTAGCTGTGTTTTATTCCACAGATTTTATCTTGTTGAACAATTTAAAAGCGCTTTTACATGAAGGAAGATCAGCTCATGTTGCGTAACATCAATTGTTTTGCAGGTTTTGAGCAGACGTTTTATTCGGGTGTTTATGGCACGTCGTTAGGGTAAGCTGTGACCACGAAAGCTAATATTCCTTTCTTTTTCTTTGATTTTAACTTTCTGTTTGATATTTACTTTTCGAAAATATTCTCTGTAATAGGCTGGAGCCATCCACTTACAGAAAATGCTAGCTCGGGCACACTGATTTAAAGCTAAAAAATTACTTTATGTTTAGATACACTAAGCAGTTCGGGGACATACGCAAGAGTATTGTTGGATTGTCCGGTGTTTTTATTGGTGTGGGCCAGATAACGGGTATACGAGCATCGGAAAGTGTTCCAGTTTGCAGAGAATATGTGCTTTGATTACGGACCTGACTGCAGGTGGTTTGCTTTTTGGTATTCTCGGAAAGAAAACGATTCGCCATGGTCGGGATCCTATCGTTCTGTTCGGTTTTATGGTCCATATCATTACATTTTTCTTGATTTTCCTCAACATTCCTTTTGACGCACCGCTGCGGGATTCACAGTTCGCAGCGTTTATCCAGCCGAAGTATGTCTCACGTGTTATGTATTTCTCTTGTTATGAAAAGTGGTGTGCTTTGTCAACGCTCCTGTTTTTCAGCATTTATCTTGGCGTGTTTTGCTGTTTCCTGCTGGGATTAGGTAAATAATTACCGAATAACAGATGACAGTTTACCGAGTAACAGATATTCTTCCAGTACCTGCCCAGTGCACACCTTGTGGATTTAATCTTATTCTTTTTACACTACATAAATTTTGTTATACACTACATATATTTTACACTACATAAATTTTGTTGGTTTATGCTTTCAGGAGACGCGTCTTTCAATACCCAAGTATATTCCTTGCTGGGCAGCGTATTTCGGGCCGACAGCGCCAGTGCATTTGCGTTATTTAAATTTGTCCAAGTGAGTGCGGCAGTTCAGTTTTTCGCAACTTCAGTTATTAAATTCGGTACCGATACAATTGCCGCATTATTGTTTTGTAGTCGATATGCGCAGCCGGAGCATTCTATTACTCATCGGCATTGTTCCTCCAGTATCAGCTGCTAATCCTCTTAGTGATGGGCACCCTGGGAACGTTTTGCTTTTGCTTTGTGGAATGGCGTCATGCAGCCGACGATGATTTGGAAACTAAGGAGTGACCATTTGTACACGGCTTTTTATGTCTGCATTCCAAATCGAGTGCCTTACCGTGCTGGTAAACACTGCTCTTTCCGGTGACTCCGTTAATATGCTCAACAGTAAAATGATTTGATTTTTTTACTTATTTATTGAAACGTTGGCTTTTCGGTTAGGTTGAACGTTGCTTTTATACGTTTGAGCGTTTCATGCCATTACTGTCGCATGTTTATACAGTTTAAATACAGAACTGCAACATGATTGTCAATTAAAAGATTGAACAAGCGATGGACTGCATGCATTTATTTAAAACGACGATCAGAGAACAAAATGAAATTACCTTTGGTGTGAGCGAAAACAGAAGATGTAACAATTATGGTGTCATCCTCAACAGCAGAATAATAAATACAAGCAAAAAACAAATTTGGGTGCAAACAAAATTATTATCTCATAGCAATTGTACGTAATCAACGCGCAACAAACAAACGCTGACTACAACCCATTCTAACTGCAAAGTTCACGCTGGGCAATAACGTATATGCGCAATGGGTGGTGCATTCATCTTGGATTAAAGCCTCTTTGACCATGAAAAGGTCTGGATGTATTGAATCGTCCGCCACCTTGATTGGAAAAATTCCTGTCGCCACGCTGATCTCTTTCAAATCGCGGCCCATCAAATCGCTTATTATTGAAGCTATTATTCGGCTGGCGAAACTGCTGTCGATTGTTCCACGGCTTCTCCGGAGAGCTGTCAGTGCGGCGGAAGGGCGGTTTGAAATGATGCTGCTGATTATCATCGCCATTCTGATCACTGGGCCCTTTTCCAAAGAGATTGCCTGGGTTTCCCGCATTGGGATTACCCATTCGTGTTATCATTGCCAATCGCGCCGCAATATCGGGCGGCGGAGCGAGCAGCGGCGGTCGGAAATTAGGAGGTGGCCGCTGAAATCCCGGTCCCGTGGGCGCCGGAGGGAACATTCCAGCAGGAGGCGGTGCCCCCATCACAGACGGAGGCGGGGCTCCGAGGAACGGTGCCAGGGGAGCAATTGGTGCGTTCTGGTCGGCAATTTTCATAGGTTCATTCGTATTCTGCAGTGTGACTTTAGGCGGAGCTGGATCTGACCACGAAGTCGGCAGAGATGCTCCGTTTAGCGCGGAGATGGCAGCGGGTAGCACATTCACAAGAGAGGAGATTGAGTTACTCAGAGATGGAATCGCCAACACAGGTTGTGGTGGAGGAACACTGATGTTATGAGTGAAAGGGCCAGGATTCGGCCCTTTCTGACCCGACGACAGAAGAAGGGGGTTTATGCCTGGAACACTTCCGGGGAGTCTGGGTCCTGGTGCAACTGCTCCAGGAGGCAATCCCGGCACTGTAGGAAGCGGGGGGAGCAGCAGAGCGTTACCAACCTGAAGTTGTGTGTTGGTTTGGTTCGCAAAAGCTATAATAATAACGCGATATTGATTAAAATCGCCATTAATACAGTATGTTTAACAACAGTACTGCAGGCACACTAAAATCACAGATTCATAAAAATACAGGATGAAAAAACCAGCGGATTATTTCCGACAATTATCAAGGTACACAAGCGAAGAAATTTTGTCCTTAACTGCGGAAGAAATAAAAGAAAGTACGAAAATCGACGGGATGTAAGTATCAAAATGCTACTACGTAGCACGATTCCTCGTGACAGTACGTAGCCCAGTGTACTGGAACCTTTATCAAATCCAAACCAATACTTTCAAATTGCCACTAGTGTACATATTAGTACCTGTCCAAGGATTAATCTTTGGATCAAATCCTATTGTGGCAGAAGTCTGCCATCCAGATACACTGGACACAACTGGCAAAGGAAGGACAGGTAAAGGAGCAGCCGGAAGGGAAATATCAGCCAGGTTTGTCTCGATCATCCGCAGTTTCCTTGTCGAAAGAATCGAGATTTCAAAGCACTGGGGACTGACTCGTCAACCAATTCCGAACCTTCCACCAACCCTTTAGCATTTAATGGCAACTTGTCAACAGGAATTCTGCAAATTCCGGTAAATGAATCCCAGTCCCATGACTTGTAGCCGTCCTTAATGCCCTTTCCAGGGCTCCACGACACCTTCACTTTCTCCCCAAATGATTTCCATAAATCACGAGTTGAAGCACGGGCTGCTTCAGCTTCTGAACGCTTTGCGTATGAGACGTCTAACCAATACAAAACGGTGTTGCATCGACGAAAATAAAAAAAAAACCAATGCACCCGAAAATATGCTACCGTAAGTAAACCATGGCTGATAAGCCAGTACTTACATGCACATCCTCGTGACGGTATTAAGTCGAAAGTTTTAATTTCTCCGCATCGGGTAAGGTCCCTTTTCAGATCCATTTCCACCACCCCTTTCGTTAAATGGCCAATCCAAATTGTACAACTTTTTAGGATAATCGTTGTACTCTCGGGTATACTGGATACTGGCGCCGTGGCATTCTCAGGTGGCAACGACACAGGGACGGAAGCTGCAACGGAGACAACGTTCGGCATCATCAAGCCACTTCCTTCCAAGCCCGCCGATACGGGCACCGCCACACCAGGTTCCTCACTGCCGCCTCGCTGCTTGCGCAATCCCATCATAATTTTGTCCACAGAGAATTCGGGCTTTCCGTTCTTCCCCATCACAAAATAGTCCTCATCGTCGCTCTCCTTTTTCACTGTTCGCTTGCCACCGCGCTCCGATGTCTGGCCTTCTTCGTCGTCACTGTAATCGAAATCCAGCAGGCGTTTGTCAAAGCGGACTTTCTCACCGGAACGACCGGATGGCGATACATCTCTTTCCTTCGTTTTCTCCTTTACGGGACTCTCCTTCTCCACCAGCTCTTTCTCCGGAGACGAAGAAATATTCGACACATTCACTTCAGTATTCTCGTCGTTTTTCTCCGTTTTAACGGCTCCGCTTTCTTCAAATGACTCAACAGCCTGGATGTTGGCGACAATAGGCGCAATTATGTCATCGTCAAAGAAGCCGTTCTCTTTCCACAATTTGAAGCAGCGGAACACTTTCAGTCGGTCTTCGTCAGCGCATTTGGCTGCATTAGCGTATGTTGCCTCGAGATTTTTGGCGAAGCGTTTGCCGAAAACATCTGCAGCAACGAGAATTGAGAAAAATTAATAACTCTGGCCAAAAAGTACAATGTGCAACTTTAGTACCTCGTTCCTTTCCATAATGTCGTTGTGAAAGACGCACAATCGAATCAATCACGTACACTCCTAATGCACAAAGCGAATTTTAAACATAAAGTTTCTAATATAGATATACTGAGGTAATTAGGGTAGAGCCTAAATTTTCGCTTATAGTACGATATGCAGATACTTCAAAAGCTATCATGCAAATGTACAGATATGTATACACGAAACAGCTGGCGAAACTTCACATTAACGGACTACTGAATAGCAATTTACAGTTTCCCGGCAAACATTTTACGGTACATACCTGGAAGTTTATGCTTGGGTGAACTACAATGCAAAGTTAAAAACGTTGTGAAACTGGAGTCAATCAGTGACAGTTTTGGCTCTACTCTTCAAAGCACTACAACCGACAACGTATCTCAAAAACGTACCTTTTGCGAATGAATGTTTCAATATGCATGACGACGTGCTTGTAATATTTCTGAGCCTTGATGGCCAAATCCGTAATCGTATAGATTTTGGAACGGGACACTGGAGTTTTGGCATCGTACAATGATTTAAAAGTCAGTTCGAACTCATACAAATTAGGATCGCTGGCAGCCATCTACGAAAAACATCGTCAAACAGTCTCCAACTTACGCACAAAGTAATGTACGATCTTGTAAACATTACCTCGTTCAACAAGCTGAAAAACAGCAACCTCATCCAACAGATACCAGATACAAACAACTGGCCTGGTAATGAACACGCATTTGCCGCGTCCCTTCTGCTACCACCAGCCTAAGAAACCAACTGTTTCGTCGCACAGTGCAGCTGCACTGCCAGGATAGTCAATACAGATAAGAAGTAACCACCAACAAAATTCTCCAGGGAAAACACAACCAAGTAACATTGACAACAGATGATGGCAAGCACTAACCAAGACGGATTGGATGTCTTACTATGCGTGTGAACAGATATGCAGCCATAAACTTATAAACACTGGAAAACTAAGAAACACACACTTTGCATTTCGTCGCGAAAAACTTGTCTTGGGTTCTTCACCAAGCGAACGCAACGAAGAAAGTAAAAGAAGGACCCAATTCCTCTTCTGAACGGTAGGAGTAACTAAAACGGATAAGAAATAATATGGTTTCACAAACCACTTTTTAAATTGCGTGAAATTTTACGTAAAATTAATTACGAACAGTAAAGTATTTGCTGGTGAGTGATTCAAGATTGAAGATATGCAGTGAAGGGGACACAAACGTCTCGTCGAGAGTCGGGATGCATGCTCCGAAGCCAGATTAGTCCGTTCGAAAGTAACTGCCCTACGTACCTGAATGTATAGTCACCTTTACGAGTGCATTTGGCTGTGTTTACCAAAATTAACATGATAATGTATGTTATTCCAGTTTTTTTTGTTTCTGTCGAGCCAAAAAACCCATAATAATAAACCTTCTTAAACTTCAAAGGCAAAATACTCAATGAAGTAACAAAGAAAAGCAAAAATCGAAATTATCCACTTGGAACACAGGAACATGTCCGTTCATACTTATACGTATTTTCATGGATTCGTGACCTTGTCCACAAAAATGAACGAGCTAACTAAAAATATTCCTAACGGTATTCCTAACGGTATACGTATTAGTCTGGATTTTGTGTTGTAATACTGTAATTAGGAAACTTTTGAGCACTTTTGTTGCATGGTGGGTTGTCGGTGTATTCCGCCATTCCGCCCAAAGATTACGAGTACTGCAATACTTGTACTCTTTGGGCGGAATGGCGGAAGCTAGCAGCTAGCTGCTCTACCATATTCCATACTAAATTACCACCATAATACCATTAATTTATTTTTGCTGAATATCTCATAAAAAAGTCGAAGCGCCAGGACAACCTTTAATAGCATAGCAAGTTAAATTTCCTGTGCCGGAAGACGGCTGTTGGGAACGTCGAATTATGGCAATACATGGTCAGTGCAGTAGTGTGACCAAACCGGCAACTGGTTGGCGTTTAAATATCGGAACGTGTGTAATGTACATGTGGTAGTACGGCCTTGGTAAAATACATACTTACAATTGAACAGCAGCCTGCCAGCATAAGCTGCTGTAGTCCTGAAGGGTATTCCCAATTTGATCATAATGCAGAAACAACTACTTGAAGTCAATGAAGTGAAAAGTCTACGGTTTATCGGTCTGACATTGTACCGTGGTATGTTTGGGAATCGGCAGCCAACAGTCCAGCACAGGACTACCGAATATGGATCTTTAGCTGTACAGCAGCGCAGTAGCTGCATGATGGCGCCGGCAGACGACAGTCGATAACGCCATTATAACGGGATTGACTTGTGCCTGTTGTATACACACACTAGGCAGTAGGCATGCAGGTTTCTAGCGTAAGTACTTTTCCCTGCCTGAAATATCGATGCCGGGATGGGCATGTATCCTTCCTCGACGACGACGACGTCGTGGATGGAGGGAGCATATTGTGTGCTATTACGTACACTTCTGAGCACATCTATGGCCAGTGCATTGTGCCTCGCAGAATACGTATCAACTCTTTTCATTCTACGCAGATGAATACAATTCATACTTACAGCAGAATGCTGGTCCAACACACACACATGCCATCAGTACTTGTGTGGCTGTTATGAATAATTCCATGCCGCTGCACTCCCGGCATTGATCAGTGGGACGCGCGGGGAAACGAGAGGGAAACGCGATCGGATATATGTCGCTGGTGGCGCTGGCGCACTGCAGCAAGCACAAGGCACAGGCAGCTCCTTTCCCTTCCCATCTACAGCAGCTAGCAGCTCGGTTCTAGGTATATTGAATCTAGAACGGAGTTTCTTTTGCTCGTCCCTATCCATCAACGCAACACTATTTGAAGCGGTTGTTGGCTGTGGATCTCTAGTCGCGGGGATCAGCTACTCTTCCGAGCGCCGCACTATAATGCAATACCCAAAATCACATCCTGTGATGCGCACATAGTCGTTTGACAATACCGCATGCACAGCGCACTGAACACTCCAGATCAGGGTTTTCCTGTCTACTTGATTCTCTTGTTCATCCTTGGGAATCTTTACCAATTTGCATGTAATCACGCTAATTTAGCTACCGGTACGGAACGGTCGCTAACGACCAGATAATCGACCAGATAATTGTATATACTGCATCGTTGTTCGCATTGTGCCAGTTTATGTGTATGATCGGGCATGTTTTGTTTTCTGCACATCCTCCCGGAATTATTATAACCCTCTGTCCCATAATTACCTCAATGTTTTATTGGTGGCATCAGCTGTGTCGCTAAGTTGTGATTAACCATATCCCCGTCTTGCTCGCTATGGGAAACCTATGAAGGGAAGGAATGGTAGTGCAATATCTGCGATATCTGCTAGCGCTGCCTGACCCGTTAACGTTGCTGCGTTGTTTGCCATCTTTTTCCGCGTACTGCCCTTGTCGTCGCTGATTCACAAGTTTGCTCAGAACAGCATGCCCCATGGGATCCAAACCATCTAAATCTGCGTCGAAATCGAAGGATAAGAAGGATTCGAAGTCGGGCGGAGGCGCCAACAGCCAGTTACCTGCTCCAGCTGCCGTCCCTGCACTTGATCCCCGGTTTCCGCTTTCAGCCAGGTACAAATTATCACCGTGACTGTTCGCATTGTGCACTGCAACCTGAGTACAGTAGTGACATGCTTTAGGTTAGGGAGCGTGGTTTCAGACTACAGCTATATCATCAACATATTAAATACAGTAGTTTAATTATGGAAAAGGTGATTACTGTACTGAAGAAACAGGCATGTACTTAAGTACAAAATTGATATCGGCATAGCCTATATTTAGTATTACTATCGCAAATGAGTGAAATTACATATGAATTACACATCTGCACGTAGAATTGTTCCATTAAGTACACGGGAGGCTTTTGCAAGAAAAAACAAAAGCTCAAGAAAAATCGTAGTGTCATTTTATCTATAAATTTTGTAATGCTTACTTCTTCCAGACATGATTGTTTGTTACAGTTCGAAAGTGCCTGCCCTATTCTAGACTGAGGGCTCACTATATTAAACTACGTACAATCACTTTACAGTTAGGTGGATTAATATTATGCATATTCAGTTATGTAGGGATCTATAGACTGTGGACAATAAACCAACAATTATAGCAGATTGCGTATGTGTGGTCACTACATGGTTTCGCTCTGTCGGCAAACCACATTACGCAAATCACAGGATCCGGTAGATTGAAACTTTAATTTTTCCACTCTATTAAGTATATGGCAGATCTTTTCGCTAAAGCAGCATAAATCTTTCCCCGCGCAGCAGCTATAATTTTGCAAAACCGTTAAAAGAAAATCATTAACTGTATTCTGATACATGCATATAATTATCTGATAATTAAATTATTGATTTTCTGTGCGACTGTAGGCTCCATTTACCGTCAAGTCGAAATCAGTACAAGAGAAGCATTTACGTATTATTACGGATACAGACAGTTAAATTACTAGCCAACGGCCGATATTAGTTATTCGGGCAGACAAATTCAGCGTCATCCACGTAGGGGATTTTCTGAGTTGAATTTTTTTCGACCCTTAATGTTTCTTCTAAAGGAGATCTACCTGAATGAAATGTATATTGCGATCGATACCATCGTTACCAAATATTTCTCCCCACAACTTCTGAGTTTCCGATTTACATAAAATTAAGTTTTGGTATCGCTGATATTATAACTACATGGTGACCTGAAAAGTGATTCGACAAACTAACCGACAACATAATCTGCCTATAAGACAAGCAAATTAGCTGTTATCCTGTTGGTTCAACGATTGGGGAAGCTTGCGGCTGCCTTCCTAAACTGAGTGTGTATCCAACTATCCAATTTCTTGCTTTCGAATATGGGTAGGTTTGTTTTATAGAAATCTGATTTAAAAATAATTGTAACACGGGTTTATCACTGCGTAATAGCGTACGTAAAGTTCACCACTGAAGAAAAAACATTGCTTAAACCAGGTGTGACTTGTGGATCATATCACAGCACAAAAAATTTTGATTCGTTGTTTGCACACGCTTTATGGCAGCCTGACCAACACCAAATTTGGTCTCTGTTGAGAAAAGGAATAACAACGCTTCCGGCCCGGTAAATAATTTTAAATAAAAGTAAGCATTGTGAGGGTTAAGATCAGCAGTGTTACAGCGTACAAGCAGCAGTGGTAAATAAATTTAAGCTTTGAATGTACCCGGAAAACAGTGCTGTGTAAAGCATAGAGTGTACGGAACGACGCCATGCACAGTTCAACCATTATATTACTACCCGTAGTAGTAGTAGCAGAAAAGGCGCGCTCTCGGAAACATGTGGTTTTCATTTGGATAAAGGGCAACCACGCTTTTTGCAGAATTTTCTTTGCAATTGGATAATAATTTTCTTCGTCTTAAAGGGCTAAGTTGTCGCACTTCAAAATGTGAACAAAATCGTTAGAAAGCACGAACTATTTTTCCAGATCGCTATTGTTGATCAGGTCTCCGTAAGCTGCAGTGGGTGTGTTGTCCGTAACATCGATTCCGCATTCGTTAACGACTTCCAGGTTTTGAAAACTTCACAAAAGCAGTTCTTCATTAACACTGCATATAAAATTATGCGTTAAAGAATAGACACAATATCACCGAAGGTCTTTGAGGGCACTGGAGGCATGTTGCACAGAAAATTTATGTACATGTACTGTAGATACTCGTATGACATGCACGTGCACATTAAAAATCTGTAACGATATGTATTAATCATAAGTAAATCTTAGCGGCTTAGGTTTACTGTAAAAGCCAGCCAGTATATCCCAAGACCCTCAACAGCAATCTCTGTGACAAAATCAGCTCACATTTACAGGGAAGAAAAAACGTAATTGAGGCTCAGCTGCCGTGGATTTTGCATAAAAGACTAAGTGCAATCTGCCCTTACCACCACTGTATAGCAACATGCTATCTAGGAGCAATATTTTATATGTTTGATCTTCGTGATGTACTTTTGACAGAAAAGAAGATGGAACGTTTACGCTTGATTTAAGAACTAATGACGAGACTGATTTGACGTGCGATAAAACTATTTACGCATTGATCATGAGCTAACATTTCACGATCAAGACCACATCTTTGTAGCTGTTTTATGTTTAATTAGGGCTAATAAAACACAATGTATGCAGAACATATATGACGCGCAAGTTGTGTATTTAATGTTGGGAATGTCATTCCGCTAAAGTATTGCACGAGCTTTCCACGTTCGTTGTTCATTTTCGCGAGATCGATACAGCGCGGCTTCTGTATTGTTATTATTAAGTACTGTAATATCTATATTGCTAACACCTTTCAGCACAGCTACTTTGCACATGCATACAACTAAAGCTAATATCACCGTACGCATGCATATGTACTTGTAATTCTTTTGAATCCGCAACATTTATCAAACGGATTATATTCGAAACCGTAATTCACTACTTTTGTTTTTCGAGGTTTCGTCGCTGTTGCTTACACCGCTATTTTCTTGGGTATTTTATCGGTACTTACAATTATCACGTACGCTAAAGAATTTGATGCACCATTGTCAGTATCAAGCAACAAACTGATAACACCAAAAATATAAAGATAAATTTTTAAAGGAATCCAATATTTCTTATGTTAAACGTACTACTATAAAACCTGGAAATATTTTCAGAGACAAGTTTAGCTTGGTCAAAAGCTGGAAGAACGTGAACCGCAATTTGGACACAACGGGGAAGGAAATGATGATAAAGTAGGTTCCGAATACTCTGACAGCTGGATTAGTGGCAAAGTTAAAATATCTAATATCGCTCTTTTAGCCATATCCGCAGCCCTCCGTTAAGGCTGACATTTGTTTTGTATTAGCGTAAATATTGTAATACTTTACTGACTAAAGTTAATCCATTTAGTTCTGTTCTGTGCGTCACTACCTTATGCTTAATGTGTCGGTAATACGGAGTGTACAGGAACGCGTTTATAAAAACACTTACACTGTGATTTTTCAGACTTATTGCGGACAACGATGACCTTAAGCAATACTTTCCCAAATTTAAGGACAAAACAGGAGATCAACTTCGTTCGAGCGAGGATGTAAGAACGCAAGTTAACTATTTGTACTTTGTTTTATGCTTTTCACTTGTATGATTCACATAATTTAATACTGATTAAATGCTATCCGGAAACAGTGCATGCTGGATGCATAATTATTATAGTGTAATACCATTTTAGTAAATGGAACATACGACTAAATTACCAAGGTCTTGCTAAGAAAAAAACATAAGAAATCATAAGAAAAACAGAAAAGGAAAAACATGCGTAGAAAAACAGCATTTCAGAAATCATCGCGAATAAGTTTTAAGTGATGTTCTCTGAAGTAATGGCATATGTGACCGCGCAGTTCTTTGCAGTTTGAGACGCTGGCTGTACAGCACATGACACCTTACGATCAAGCTATTTTGGATGTGGTAGGCTTTGTATAATTGATTTACTGCTCATGCAGCATCTGCCGCACATAAATTCTAACTTCGTTGTAGGATAATGTTGACGCTTTAATATCAAACCTTCAAGCCGTCGGGAAAGGGCACAAGCAACTGGCGAATTTTCAAGAAGAATATTTTACTCGGATTGAAAAGTGTCTTCTTTTCGCCTTACAGCAGACACTGGGTGATGCATTTACCGATAATATGGATAGAATTTACAAGCAGTGGCTAAGCTGGACTACTACGCAGATTCAAGGCGGATTTCGCTCATGATTTAAAATGGATTACAAGTCAAACTTTCCCGAAGTACAGTGGCCAAGGGTGCGAAAGTTATTTCATGTTTTTGTTAAGTAGAGGGCGGATTACAAAGTTTCCGCCACTGCGCATTTTGCGTTAATGTTCAGTTCCCGCCCGTGCACGTGGTGCGAATGTCGGTATGCATAACTTAAAAAATGCCGTTAATATTTTTGGAATTTTCTGAGTTGCTGTTGATCTCTTAGTTTTTATGTCAAGCTGTCTTAACTGTTGCACCGGTCCCAGTTACCGCGAAAATGCTCTTGTGGGGACTTTACGTATCTGTTAAAGTTGGTACAGCTGTAATATTAAGTCTTTGAGTGATGTGATAAACAAATGAGCGTTGCCGTACACCTGCCTCATCTACCCACATTGTCGAATAAATTAATTACATAATCAAGTTGCTGATAATTATGTATAATTATGTATTAATTAATCAAGTTGCTGTGGACTATCTGTGGACCTGTGGTGATCAGCCCATGTGGACAGCTAATAATTACCAATTCCACCGCTAACCGCACCGGTTGATAAAAAGACTAAGTTTATTAACTAATTATTATTAACTAATTATTAATTATTTACTTTAGATGCACAGATTAGTCAGAATTTAATTGCATGCAGTTGAATCTCTGGGAAGTTGTTGGAAGTTAATGTGAACTCTAGCTACCAAAGCAATTAAGACTTTGAGCTACCTGTATCTGCAATTCGAATATATAATATCATGTAGCCTATATGTGTATAATTTGCACGAATAAAGTATGAGTACAAGTTAATCGCAAGTTTTCAAAAAAAAACCCGGTGTGGTGTTAGCACCTTAAGTTTCACGATAATTTCTAAATTCATGGGACCTGTCTGAATTCCGATTGCGAACACTGGAACGAAAGATTGGTTGCAGATGCTATGCCCTCGACAATGCTAAAGGTCACGGAATCCAGGAACTTGAATTGCCCAAGTTCATTGTCACAGTTCATACTGCAGATCTGATGTTTTATCGCGGTCTTACTTACTTGTCAATAAATATTAGTTTAAAAAGTTTAAAGCTTTGAAAACCAAGAGATAAATCTGGTGGTAAATAAAAACAAACTTTATTAGCCTTAAAATCGCGGTGATAAGGTAAGAACTAAGAAGCACTAGATATTATACGTATCCGTCCGGAGTCGCTTTGACCGTTATAAGCGGGAAGTTCGAAAAACGTGTACTTAATTTGTAAACTTTGTAAACAGTTCAGCTTCAACGCTAAACATTTTGTCTGCCATTCCACTATATGATGCATCATGCGTGGCTACAGTGTATTGTTTATACTCGTATCTATATACGGTTTAATGCTATGAGCTCACATAAATATTTCGAACATAAAATAAATGTGGCGGTCAAGAAGACGGACGGGCTTGAGCGTGTAGTATACAAATCTCATAATTAATCGTCGTTTGTTACTATGTATAAACTATAAAGTAAGTAAAATTTACTAATGCAGATACAAGGTTATGAAGTTTCGCCTTTGTTTTGTAAAGTTTTGTTTTGTGCTGGTTTCAGTACCACGTAACCGTCACAACAGTGCGGCTGAACGGTTTTCACGGAATACGCACTTGTACGGTGTTGTAACTTGTAATCAATATCAAAGTACTGTACTGTGATCGTGAAGAGCAGAAAGAATTTGAGTTACTCTAAACAGTTTGTTTATTACTCTAAGTAAAGTTTCAATCAACTTTGGATTGTTATAATCGTAAAATTTGTTTATGATCTCTTTGTCTGTAAGTGAAGGATATGCCCTCCAAAGGTAGGAAAGGCGGTCGCAGTCGAGCCAAGGGAAAAGCTAAACCATCACCCAAATCCTCACCGAAGCCATCGAGGAAACCTATTGCAAAGTCTCCGAAATCTCCCAAGTCGCCGAAGGCGCGGTCCACTGGAAGGAAGAAAGCAGATAAAGCTGCTCCGACGAAGAAGGCATCGCCAGCCAGAAGTGAACATGAGCCGCCCGCGAGGACTGCGTCCCCTCCGTCGCCCGATACAATCAAGGTAGCCTACGTGCTTTTCCATTTTCGGAATTTTGGTTTTTATTGTAATGTTTTTGTGATCGCTTCGTACCAGTCAGACATGAAACTCATCGTGCGCGGATTATAGAATACAGTCAATAGTCTGGAAGAAGTTTTCGGGCGTCGCGGCCCGAAATTCCTGCACAAAGCCTTGACAACGTGTCAGGATCCGCAGGAAATGCTGCAACAGTTCCGCGACGAAGAAGGCGTGCTGGTGCCCACGCTGAAGCCCGCCGTGCAGTTGTTGGACCTCCTGGACGTTAGTCGTCTGCATTTCCATACGCGTTCCGCGGAGCAGCTGCGGCAGGAGCTGATCGAGCGCATCAGTTCCGTAGCGAAGGATGCCAAAAAAGACACGAATAAAAAGCGACTGGATGAGTTGCTGGACAAATGTTTCGCTGGATTGAATCTCCCCCTGGTGCGACCTGTCGTACTGCACCTCCTCCGCAATCTGGAGACCGTCGATGCCAAGTATAAAAAGGAAATTATGAACAATAAAGAACTGTATGATGTGTGCGCGATTCCGTTGCGAAGACAGTTTTGGATGGAGCGGAAGGATTTGTTTGAGTCCGAAGCGCTGCCGCTGGTGGAGGGATACGTTAGTAACCGCGTGCAGAGCATGTTCGAGGTTAATAACAATAACAGCCTCTACACTATCGCAGGTAAGATTTGGCTGCAGTTTTTAGTGGGGAAGTGGTGTTCCTGGTACCTCAGTATCCGAATATCAGTGACAACAATAAGTTTTTTGTGCGTCGTTTTCGTCTTTTTTTAAATTTATTTTCTGCGTGCACGTTACCATCCTTAACTTTCCTTGACGGTGAGCTCCCTGTGTACAGTTGGTAATTATTCCTTACTGGTGCGCTGAAGAATTATTTTTCCAGGTAATATTCGGCGGCAAGATACAAACCTCGTGCGACTAGTGGAAATTGTGGGTGATCAGACTGCACTGTACAAATCCGTCAACGATCTCATAAGAAAACGATATTCCGAATCACTGAGTCCGCACTACGGCACGCTTCGACTCGATTTTCTGATTATTATGCATGACCGCCAACCGCAGATGATCGCCTCTGCCGACAGTTTGGCTTATAAATTCGCATTTTGCATCGACGCGGGAGTTCGGGCGCGACACCTGGACGTCAAGCGCAGCAAGGATATTGTCGGCGTGGTCGACACTTTAAAGAAGAAGAATCCCCTTTTGTGCGACTTGGCTATGATGCTAAGTGATCCACAGATCGTCTATTTCAACGCCACCAGTGCTGTGCGCATGGTTCAGGCTGTGGTCAACCAGGAAGTGCTGCCGAGAGATAACAACATGTTGCTCTTTTTCCTTAGGCTTCTGGGTATCGGCATCCTTGCCGGTGATTTTGTTACCGATAAAGTAAACAAGGAGCCGAAGCTTCCCATAGATATTGCCTGTGAATTTGTGCCTCGGCTGTGTAGTGTGATGGTCTCTTTGGCTGCCAAGAAGCTGAATAGTGAAAAGGTGAAGCTGGCTAAGGTCGGTGTGGATGTGTTGGTGCCCATGCTGGAGAAGGATCCTGTTAGCGTGTGGCTGATTATACAGTGGATAGCGTATCTGTTGCGGCAGAATGACTGGGACACAGTCATCGGTTTGATCCGCTTGTTTCCTCGGTTTGTCGGGCAGATGGCCACCAAAGAGGACCATATTATGCACAACATGGTCTCCGTTATGTCGGTGACCTATGCCTCTCAGGAACAGCGTTGGCCGACAAGTTTTGCCGACTGTGTCTTCTATGAATACTTCCAGCTTCGCACGGCGGGACCACGGGAAGTCAAACACGCGCTACGGTTGCTGTATTCCGTGTACGCCAAACTGGAGCCGCAGTATCGGGATGAACTGTTATCGTATGCAGATGCACACGTGAGTTTTGATCTTCGATTGCGTTTTTATTTTTGTTTTGGTTTGGCAAAATAAACCGTTTTGCTTGGTAGATGGACGCTGACGATGTGAAATCGCTGTACACCGTAGTCAAGGCGCGTATTGCTACGTCGGTGCCTGTGTCTTCATTTCGAGCCGAACATCCATCCACACCGTATGCCTCCCTAGAATTTGCATTTCCAGCAATGACGCCTAGGCAATAGAAGTGCACCATTTTGTGTATATGGAAGAGTTTACCGTAATACGCGGAATTCAACTGTGATTTTATCTTTTAACGATTTTTTATTGGTGCAATGTGACCAGAATTGTAAACCTACCCGCACTGAAACTTTTATTCCTACGGCTTGGAAGATTAAGAACAAAGAAGGAACATTTCTGGCATTCAAAATTTATTTACTTTGAGTTCCTCACGTTTTAATTTTAAGTATTTCATATTTTTATCAATTATTTTGTCGTCACCTCTCCGGCTACCCTAGTCTTGATCTGTCCAGCCGGCATTCACTAGGCTGTTGAGATGGAAGAGTGGATTCACTCATAATATGATAATACTAATTGTAAACTCGTTTACTACCGTAATGTCCCTGCCTCTTGATTTGTAAGCACGAATGCACGGTACCAAAAAGGCAAAAACATCCGAATTAAGAGTGAGTGTGCGAACAATGAAGTCAATAAATTTTGTTTTTTTTTAATTTTTACACTGGCTTTAATCGGAATGCATAATCTTTAAATCTGATGCGTGAAAATGGAATTTATAAACTTTTGCCTAACTGGTAAGCCTACCTGTATTTACTGTGTTAGAGTATCTTGTGAGATTGAAAATAACTACCCTATATAGCTAGCGTGAAAAAACTACCCTAGCGTTAAATGGTGCAATTACGCTGTTCCCTTGCTTAACCCGAGTGAGTTGAATTCAGCTTCGCGTAGTGCTCGAAGCGCGTATAATACCATGAGGACGCTAGGTGTTTTTTATCGCTTCTATAAAACTATTCGTATTGGGCGTTTGCATTGGTAAGGTCAAAGGAAATCGTACTTTATGGCAGTACCCACTGCCAAATTTGGTTGTGAATCTTTGTGATTGACCGATCGGTAAACTTTCTTGATCAATACTGTAGAATCTGTACTGTACTATATTCTGTATGTAGATATTCACAGTCATCGCATTTCAGCAGATGACCACAACTTGAACTACTCATATTATTAGCAGAGGCGCGTACACAGTGACTCATCATTGTCCGAATTTTGTGAACAGCTCCTGCTGCTCCAGACTGGAGTCATTCGAATGACCAATGGTGAGTCATCCAATTTGACCGTTTATCCGTCCAGATGCCGTCCTGACCGGAAACCGAGCGGTCAGTCAGTAGAATGAGTCATGATCCGTTTGCTACTTTTAGTAGAATGGCGAAATTTGTTGGCATGTGCCATCGGTCATCGCGGTTAACATCACCTTTATTATCGAAGGTAAACTTATAAACAACTAATACAAGTATACTTTTGTGTTGCGACTGACTGGAATAATAGTCCTACCTTGTAAATTTATTTGAATATATTGCACATACGGAGGTACAATATTTCATATTCTATTCTATCTCGGACCTGTAAAGCCTGTTACTGTCTAATGAAAAAACAAATGTATGAGCTTACAGTAAATGCTGGTTGCAAATTACATTCAGTGATTATGAAAAAGAAATTAACATTTGACCAATATGCCGTTTTTTTAGAATACGGAGGCTTCAATTGTACACATCTGCATTCACAAATTACAACAAAAACTCAGGCTGATTTATTTCGCGGTCAGGAGTAAGCTGGTTCGCTGCAGACCGGTTTCTAGTGCAAAATTTATACCAAATCTCTGAACGGAAGCGGATAATGAAAATATGCACTGATGAATAAATTCCAACATCTCAATGTGATGTTATAGTACCTGCACTTTTTTAGTGCCGATAACATCAACTCCGTAGTCCGTAAATAATATACCGACCAGGCTTACCAATTTGCCTCAAACTGGCAAATATAAAACGGAATTCTGCTCATAGACAATTCATTCGCAACATCTTTAATACGAATAAGTAAAACTGCTTTGTATAGTAGTAGTACATCTATAACGATATCTAAATGCGTATTACAATCGTCCTTTCGGACAGATCAAAATTCACGCCCATTCAAATCAATTACTACATAAAGACATGAAACAGGCGCAGCATCCGTATAACCGATAGTCGTAAGCGCTTGCGGGACAGCACAAGCATCAAGTAGTGAGATCAGAACGGGAGATCAAAAGAACTGCATAAACCACAATAAACGCTGAATTATGGCTTACACGCCGGGAATTATAGTGTAAAAGGCAGCGTAACGGACACAGTTTAACAGAGCAAATTACATTTGCCAAGGACCAACTCTGAGAGATTGTTGAATGTTCCACATTCACTGGACGGATAATGTCAAGCTCCATGCGACTATCCTTCACAGGCTGGTTTCTATGCTGAAAATCTTTTGCTGCTTTCCTTGACTTCCGCTTGGACTGGGTAAAACCATGTCCGACGATGATCCACTGATTCCCTTTGACTTTTTCAGATCTTTTTCGTACTGCATTAACTGTCCCATAAAGTTGAAATTTGGCGATATCACAGATCTTTTGGTTTTAACCAAGTTGTAGGCTTCGTTCATGGAGATGCCTAAATGATGCATCACGTAAGCGACAACAATGGTTGCCGATCGTGACACACCGGCCTGACAATGAATCAGTATGGAGCTGTTGGATTTGCGGGCTTCTTCTGCAAAACAGAGAGCTGTGTGCCGTTTGCTACTCTAGGTTCCGTTGAATGAAAAGCGTTAAAACATATCGCAACAAACACTAGAAACTAATGATATTTTATCAGGTCCCTAAACACTTTATAGTTAGTGGCTAGTCTAATATTCGAGATAGTACTTGCACTACCTAGCATCTCAAACCCATATTTATACATAAAGTACATTTCAAATACATAAAGTACATTTCAAATTTCAAATACATAAAGTACATTTCAAATTTCAAATACATAAAGTACATTTCAATTACATAAAGTACATTTATACATAAAGTACATTTCAAATTTCGATTGAACTTTCGGTCAGTTTCAGAATATTATTATGGGTACTTAAGTCTACCTATGAAGTCGAATGCTTCGTTGAAGTGCTGCAGCAAATTCTGTTGTCCACTGTCACAAGCAGAAACTCTTTTGTAGCGAATGCCGCTTTCTTCGAAATGGCACGGTGCATGCGACGTGACGTTGAGGATATGTTTGATATTCCATGCCGATAAAAGTTGCATATTCATTGCATCGTTCTCATTTCCCAGGAACAAAAAGGGTAAAATCTGCGAAGCTTCCACTTTCTCCAGTTCCACGCTGTCTTGAGGGGATTTGGTGGGGCTTGTCAGTGAACCACAGAACCGATTGGCAGTTGCCGTTTTCATTGTCAAATTTTCACATAAATCCGGAAACTGATGGCAGAAGTCCGCAAAACCACCTATACGATAACATAGCGAGCTGTATATTGCGATAATCGATCACTCCACGTATAGCTACACTCTGTACTCGCTAAAGAGCAGAATTCGCCATGCATGTACAGTACATACCGATACAATTAATAAATACTGCGAGCATTTAAAAAAATTTTCAGATAATGTACAGCACGAAAAATGTGCAACCGTTCAAAACCTCAATAAACCGGTCTGCTAATTAACCACAAGAATCGAGTGCAAATAAGGAAGAGAAGCAAAGCAACGACCGCGGAAAAGGAAGCAAGGATTCCACGGCCTCACGGTAAACACATTAGGATATCAAAAGCTTTTACTACGATCGAAGTACATACAAGTATAACGTGTATTAATTACGTTGTGCTAGTAAACGTAAAACCCATTCACCATGCGGCGCGCCGCAGACTGTCAGAAGTTATTAACGTCTAGTTGCATCTAGTTTACCATCTTTGTCGTATCTCACGAGCGATGACATATTATGGGATTTTAGCACTTGCATAGCATTCTCATGCACAAGTTATGCTTTATTTAGGTTCGTATCTCTGAGTCATGATTAACCAAAATATCACGCCCAGCTACACACATCTAAATATAAATTGTACGAAATATGTTTTGTTTGCATACATGTCTCGGAAGCTGAGCATGGACACAGAATTATGTAGCATACATATATGTACAGAACCATATATAGTATTATATACAATAAACGATTTCGAAATCCGGTTTATCCCTGCATTTAGATAATTGCTGCTTTTGGGAAGCACTCCATAAAACTATCACCCATTAGTAACATATCTAAAAGTAACTAGTTGAATTACCGGTATAATTAGCACAACATCCGCCTGCAGAGGAAGAGCAATTTACATGCTGTTGGAAAAGTCTCTGGGGACTGAACGCAGATAAACTCAGTAATTTAAGCCGTTTATCCCGAATTAATACGGTGATACACATAGAACTGGCTACACAGGTATGGCCACATATTCTGCAGATCATGTGGCACAGATCTGGTACTATGCCAGCAAGTTCAATGAATATAATCGCGCTACGGCAATTTTGGCAATCACAAAAGGGCATAAACAGCGCAAAATACAATGAACTGAATGAGTCATCTAAACAAGCAACCCATATTGACGAAATGTCGTGGCAATACATATTTGTACACGCATTTATCTGCGCAAGACGCATTAAAGGTCAAATAAAGTCGATCATAAATAACCAAATCAATAAAACACTAAAAAACTTCTTCACGTTATGCAGAATACAGATGTTCCTAGAAAAAGCATTAGATATACATATGTAAAAAAATTACTGAAACCATTTACAATTTCCTGTTTTTTGACACATTGTGCAGAGCAAACAACTGCTTAATGCTGCGGCTTACCTATTAGCACAGCCGGGTCTTTACCATCGCTTTTCAAGGAGCTTAAAAGAAGGTGGATCGGATTAAATGAGGGCAAGCTAGTCCAATCCATAGTATTATCATCGTAGACCACGATCTCTCGTAGAAAACGTTTTCTATACTTGGCTTTGGCATTGGCATCCTTCGTTGCAATAATATCACAAAGTTTGCTATTTTGGAGTCGTCGACGCAACACCCGATCACCGATGTTCACATTCACCGCACCGCAAATATGATTCATCCGATACTTGAATTCCGGTCGGCAGTCGATTATTAAGTAAGGTTTCTTCGTTTGCATCTGTATGCGCTTGGCCAGTTCCTCAGGTAGCAGTGCCTTGGGGCCGGTTGGCACGCGACTCGGACTGGCCACAACACTGTTGGCCGAACCGAGCAGCGACGGCGTGGACTCATTGGTCGGTGTACCGGCCACTGGGCCCTGCAGCGTTAAACTCTGCAGGATTTCCAGATGGGTCGACGGACTGGCCGGTGTGTTGGCGGCCGACAGACTGGGTGTGCGTGTTTTGATGCAGAAGGAGGGAGTGGACACGAGGGTGGGCGTTGAAGCTGCCGAATGCGACCATGGCGGATTGCCCGGTGTATCTAGGCTGAGCTTCAAGCCCATACGTAAACGCCGTTCGTGGAACATCACCGTGCTGGGATAGTCCGGGTAGCTTTCCGTAAACAGCATACTTCATACCATACTGCTAGCGTGCCTCCTCTGCAAAGAATGACCCAACATGAGGATAACAAATGGCGGTTGTGAGAGGTGATGTTTTTATGTGCAATTTGTCACAAATAGGTGAGACGGTGTGAGCCGACTGATTAACGGCACGGCTGGACTATTCCCACTTGCACAGTGGAAACACAGCAAGATGCCGATTGATCTACGCATCGGCAGCTGCAGCGCACGGTACATACAATCAATGAATAAATCAATTATAAACGGAACTCCCATGCATCATACGTCAGCAGAACGAGGTTCGTCCCGAGACCAGCTCTTGAAAAACTTCCTGTGGCTGGCGATTAGTGAGCTTGTTATTAGCCGCCCTGTGCATGCTGGCGGAATGTAGCAATCATAATGACCAGAACGATCAAAAGATTTTGCTCCAGGTCCAATACAGACAACTGGTAGAGGTAACACGTGAAACAATTCGATACAGCGTTTTACCACGACGCACTTATTTACAAAATGAGCAGCTTAGTTAAGATCTCAGTTGGTCGACATCGTGGCGGTTCGCACAGAGGACATTCAGGTGATGAATAATCGCTTTAAAAGTCGCCATGTAAGCATTACTCACTTATTACCCGCATGATACGTATAGCAAGATATCTCCGAAGTACATTTTAGCAGAAATGAATATCTATACAACATTAGGAATTGTACTTGTGGTTCACTGCAGTAGTGGCTGCTGATGCCTAAAAGCTGAAAGCGCCTGTTCTAATCGCGTATGCGTAGCCGGTATAGTATACATATTCATGACAGCACTCGTACCTAATGTAACAAAATTTTACAAACCAAAAATACTGAAGTAAAATATGTGAGTAATATCTATATTAGTAAAAAGTAAGAGATCACGTTATGTTAAAAAAAACTGTGCAATCCTTATCATTTGGTTCCTTTCCGGAACAGCTGCTAAGTCCTTATCTGCATAAAGAAATCAGCAGCAACAGTACGAAGGAAATCTATAATTCTATGATTGTATCGCTGCATCGCACAGTGTATATAGAATGTATCATTATTGTCCGTAGCGTACTGTCAACTGCGTAATTATCATGTACTTCGGTACTCCTAAAAAGGAAAAAAACCCCTCAGATTCTCGTAGTTAAGGCGTTATAAATTAGGTCGAGCATAAAGTCCAACAGTAACGTTGATTTCCTTGTACTAAGAAAATTAAGAACATACAACGAAATCAGAATGGCTGACCGGGTCGCAGACATACATTAACCGGACATTTTGCTGGTCAAAGACAGTTACTGTACCATTTCTTGAGAAGACATCGTAATCCACACCGCGAACGTAATTTCGAGCAGCTACGTTCACGATGTTTTTTGCAACAAAGCTGGGGATCCTAAGTACCGTTGGCCAACACTGAACGCTTCCTGATGTTCTCCTACTCTAGAGAAAGGAGTCTCATACCACAATCCTTTTTGACGGCATAGAAAATAACAGCTAAAGTTTTCCTTTGCAAGGATACAGATATTTTTGAGAAATGCTGAAGCTGCTGTTGAAATTCTGGAATGCACGAAATGGGTAAACTGAAATCGTGGTTGGGGAATGTTGCAACTGGCAGCTGCGCGTAATCCTCATAGAAACAAGCCAACACATACGCTGGATAAAACGGGAGCGGTCGATCAGTGGGTACAGAGTGAAAAAGCAAATGTGCCGATCGGCGATCGGCATCCTTGCCATGGAAGAAAGGATGTGGATAGGATATATTTAGGCTGGGAGGCGCAGGCATAAACTGCGGTATCGTCCAGAGATCTAACACCATAATATACAAGCTTGTGTACTGTACTTAACTGTACTCGTATAGCCGGCTATGACATCCATATTAAATTTATCACTGTATTTGATATTATGAGCATATTGTTACTAACTTTATTATCAAAATGTGTCTTAATTTCCGTTAAAAGTATCAACACTGTAAAGATTTCTAAAAACTTTATAAAATACAGCTGGTTATGGTTTAGGTCATGGCGCGCGTATGCTTTGGAATAACCTTTGCATTCATTTTTATTCCTTACCGTTAGTAGTTATTGATAATACTTTCCAGCTCTGTTTCACGATTTAAGAAACAGTAAAACAAAATATTGCAAATACATTCGATTCGTAATAATTCCATAATATTCGTTTCTCCATAATATTCCATAATATTCAATATTATACATATATCGAAATGTTGAAACTGTCAATTATATGGTTAATTCAACTGAATTGTGTGTATATCTCCTCTCCGTTATAAACTGCGCGGCGCTCCTAATTTTTTTTTAATTTTTGCGGACCATGAGTTACGTATCCGCTGCTTTTCATACTATGCTCACTATTGTGTAACGATTTACCAAAATTTATACCAGTAGTAAATTTACTTGCGACTGGAACGGCAAAGCTGTAGGATGAGTCATCCTGGAATTTGGACCGTGCGTTCTGCAGTGCCTATATCGATCCTGGCTCGGCTTTCCTACACCCATAATCACTGCTGCTGTTCTGGACGTCATGTACGATTGCATATCGAACTATGTTTCCATGTACGCAGAACTAATAGCGCATCGGTGAGCTGCTTTAGATTTAGCATGTACCAGTTCGTTTGCTTCTTCCAAATCTTTTGTCCTCAAATGTCGGTAGTTGTGCGTTAACGTTGTGTTATTGTTCACTATCTATGAACTAAAATTTGCTTTACGGGATCATTCCTCCTATTCCCGTTCATGCTCAAAGATTCTTTCTCTAGATTAACAGAACATAATTCCCCAAAGAAGGCACGACATGCGAAATAGCACAGAATTTAGATATGGTGACATATACAACACGTAGCACAAATATACAGTAATAATTGAATCAGTTCTGCTCAAACATGCATAGATCTAGAACTACCGGTAAATATGTGTAGCAAAATTTAGTACAGTGCATTTAATTAGTTTCCGATGACGAATTTTTCGAAGTTTTTAAATCATCAAAAAATGGAAAGATAGCCGGTTGCACAGCGACATCGATAAACAAAGGCGGTCGAATAACCGAAAAATTTCGTCTAATTCGCCGCCGGTGGTGCTGTACCAATTATAGTAGATGCTGCATTTCCTCGCTAAATTCCGACGCTGATCCGTTAACGCAAAATGCTTTTACTTCGCCAGTTTTCTGCTGTATCGTCTTCCCTAGTACGTTCGCCATCCGGGTGGACTCATGGTCAAGTCCAAATGTTCCATAGGTCTCGAAGCCCAGCAGCGAGAACCAATAGTCATGGGAGCCGAGCGGGACAAGACCAAGAAATATCGCAACATCACCAATGATTATTGGTTCTCGCCGCTGGGCTTCGAGACCCACTGGAACAGTCAGACCTGGGTCTACCCGGATGGTAAACGTGCTAGGGAAGTCGCTCCTGCAGGAAACTGACGAAGTACGAGCAACTGGATCAGCATCGAAATCTAAAGTAGCGAGGAAACGCAGCAAATCAAGTACTACTTGCTATAAAGGCCGTAATAAGTACAGTAATTGATTGCGAGCCAGTTTGCGGCTGTGATTCCCTAGTGGTCTGCACTGTGGTCAGTTTTTTCAGCGCTTAATTAGGAGTATTTTTACATGTTAAGGAGACATAGTATTTTCACATAGCCAGAAACGCTGTGTTTATGCTGCTTTAGTGCATGGTCCAGGAACTACGAGTCTACGCGTGATAATATATGATATTATAGGAAGTGCAGCACCAGAGTATCTAATTCGAGAATGATGTTATGTATGTAGATCAGATGTTATTAAAATCTGAAACCCTAATATCACATTTCATTTTATATACCACGAAAAATGCATGATACAATTTATACTTGTTATTCGTTGACCTTAGTAGAAGCAGTAATGCTCGGAAAAGGTACTGTAGCCGCCCGCACAAGTTGCTCCACTGGCAGATCCGGCCGTTGCCTTTATTCACACAGCTGAACAGCGAGCAATGTGGGTGTAACACTGTATACCTCACTCTGTGGGGCAACTTGTGCGGGCGGCTACAGTAGTTTTATTTTACGCTTCTTCGTAAAACACAATTAGTGGGGAGACACTGAGTTTGACCTTTTATATATAGATAGCAGTATTTAAATTCGGTTTTATTTGTCATGAAACGACGGCAATATACAAAAATTATGCTCCCACAAATAAAAATTTTTGAACATTTGTGGAGCTGGGTACTCGCACAACTTGCACAACGCATATATCTACGTCAGCTTTCAGACGTTGATGGCTCGGTGGTGCTAAATTCCTGCCGAAGACCATTGGTAGGCAATCTTTTCTTAAGGCTGTCTGTGGCCTCTGGTTGCGGCTTTCCGGCAATGAATTTGTATTTAACCATGGCTTTGCGGAATTTTACCATACCGGCGGAATTGTGCGGCTGCTGTTTTTGATTGTTTTTCACTAGAATCGTAATATTCCCATCCAGTGTTTCCATGACCATTGTAGTCGATCCCCCAAACTCATCCCGTACCATACTGGAGCTGTCACTGCGATCGGACAGTGACGACGACACATCCAGGCGATTGCGCTTTAGTAGTGGCAACAATGCACGAAGATTTTGAATACGTTCATGAGCCGGCGTGGGAATGCGATCTCTTTCCCGTTCCGCTTTCATGAATCGCTCTACCGTAATTTCGTCATCGACATAGAATTCCGGAAGGGACATTAGCAGTTCTTCGCTTATCTTGATGCGCGGCACAACGGGAATTTGCACTTGAATTTCCAGTTTATCCATATCGGTGTCCAGTTCGACAAGATCTCGTTTATAAACGCGGTTTTGAATTTCCGCCCGCGTGAAGCGTTCTCGGGGGTCTTCGACGGCCAGACGCCTGGTGTTGCATTCCACCTTTAGTCCACTGCTCGACAGCACGGGATCGTCTCCGCTGTTTTTCAAAACGACCATAATCTGAAATTAACAGAATTTAGGTGCTAAAACAGGCAAAATTGATTATTTTCTCGCAATGTTGTTTAGTAATATTGCTCTTTAGTAATATTGTTTAATAATGATGTTCTCGAGAAATTGAAGAAATGAAATATCTATATTTGGTTGCAGTTACTTTTTTATTATGATTTAATTCAGCATAGTATGGATATAGAGTGAAAATATCGGCAGTTTGCTCGTAGTTACATATACGTTAATTATAACTGAAAGTTCAACCAACTTCTACACTATTCTGAATTTGAATTCTATAGCCCAATATATTGTACACCAGTGATCACAGTTAATTATAATATTATTTGCCGTGATTTTCCGGGTGGTATATAAAACGTGGCCAAGCACATACATGGTTGTTCTGGCTAAAACATATTAAATCACGCACCTTGGGTAGAAAAAGGAAGCACAGAGTGCCTGACGTGGTGGCAATTGTTAGTCCGGAAACCAGGATAAATCTTAAAGTGTGCTGCTCAACAATGATCTGAGTCAAGGCAAAGGCAATGATTGAGCAAATTACCACATTATAAATGCTTAATCCCACAGCTTGAGAATCGTTCAGGGCGGGAATCTGTAACAATATTCGTATCATTTTAATTGCGCAAGCAAAAATTGCTGATCGCCTCAACATCTTAGCACAATCACGATGTTCTTAACATCTTAACACAAGCATACATCAATTCAGGTATTAACTGCAATAAGTAATGTAAATGCTAAACTCGTGAACAACGCACGATACCTTGACATGTCGTGTCTCAAAGGTTAAGAAAATGCCGGCAAGAAGCATAAGGCCTTTGGAAATGTAAATCGCTGGCAACCACAGCGTCGTCATGTATTCACTTGAGCAAACTTCCAATTTCCGCCGCAAAACCACATCCGGATTGTTGGCGAGGGTCTGCTCACCTATGTGCATAAGCTCCACTTGGATAGGATCGGAAACAAACCATATAAAGAGAAAAATGCAGTCGATGGTGAACAGGCATCCAACTCCACAAAGCAGCTGATTGTCACGTAGGAGCTGTGAAAAACAGTTGCAACTGTGCTCAATATTGGTGCGCACAGTACATAGGTACGGGTAGAAGTAAGTAGGTAATATGCAAGTCTAGCCGGTTAGTTCGTGACTGATGTGATTTATCCAAAGTATTAAGCATTATTATTATATTATAGTTATTACGATTAATATTAATAGTACCCTAACAATACCAAATATCTAAAACCATACCAATATTTTAAGATGGTAGAAAATGAAACACGTTACAAAATACTGGTAAAGCCGTGCAACGTCGACTTAGAACAAATTTCGCCTGCGGATTGTAACACGCTTTATTTTTATATAAATTCTATAAAAGTCTGACAGGTACGTACGTTCGTACCGTTCGTTCTTACGTTCATATCTGCATACCTTGCTTTTGATCACTCCTCCAGATGCTTTCCGAAAAATTTGATGAACGCGAAACGTTTTCAAGAACAAGGAACCGAAAGCCACTGAGAAGCCCGTTGAAAATAAAAAAATTCGAACCTATCAAATAGAAGTTTTATAAATTTATTAAATTCAACTCGAACGTATAAGTTGAAATGTTCTGAAAATGACATTCTTTTGGTTTATCATTGTTATTTAGCAACCTTTTGAGTCGCATCAAAAATATGAGTTCCTTCTTTGCAGACTATGACACCAGCCATTAGGTATGTAATTAAGATTGCAAAACCATTACCACCTGCAAATGCTAACGCAGATTATGACTTTAATTAAATTAGTACAGGTATGCGTGAGCACAAATAAATAAAACTAACAATATCTTATTCAGTCAAATGCACTTATGACTTGCGACACTGCGGTCCATCTTTTATGCATAAGTGCAATAATCATCTACCTGACAAATTGACTTCATAATGGAACTTTCACCCGTGACACCATAATCGATTCCAAGGGATATTACCGAAGCATAAACCAAACAGCAACCAAGAGCCGTGGTGTTGTTTAGTTTCGGGGAAGAGAGCTTGATAAACCTGAAAACGTATGAATACAAAGTACTATTTCAACATGCGCTACAGAGCCAATATGCATACAAAACGCGCAATTTATATGCAGAATGTGGTAATAACGTCATGGATGCCATGTGCAAATGTGTACTCACTTTTGAGAATGAAACAAAATATTAAAGCATAAAAAAGATAATGCCAGCAATATTCCCAACAAAGCAATGGAACCGATGATGTAAAGAACTTCTCGGGTCACGGTTTCGATTACCGGCAACACAACGCGTCTGTCTGCCGGAACACGGGCACCGGATGCTGCAAATGGAATCAAAGATCACCACAGCTGCTAATTTTTTCGACCAATTCCTTCTCCTCTCCAGGAGCAGTTTGAACAACTGCTGTGCAGAAAAATGCATGCATTAACTGCAGATGCGTTTATAAATAATGTTATTACAATACGTAAACCGAGTGCAACGCATATATGTATATATATACTTATATATACTTATATATGTATACTTATATAGTATATAAGTATACATGAACAATCGGACGCCATGAAACAGCGAAATCAGATGTGGATTATAAGCGCAGAAAGAGCTTTGTTGCACCGTATGAACAGCAATACTAATCCGAATCTTTGGTCAGGTTCTTACTGTAATGCAGCTGCTGTGTATACATATCTGAGTATTTCTTACCAATCCAAGAAATTTGCTCGCAAATACTGCAGTTGAAATGAAGAAAATTATCCTCTGGGTTAAAAAATGCGATAGTTTTCATTTCGCCAACTCGGTGCTGCCGGAATACTGACACGCCCACTCGATCAGACCCATAGAAACGAATTGGTCCGGAAATACCATCAAAATCCAAGCGCGATAATGTATCCTTAAAAATCTCCGTCATTTCTCGATTTTTATAACTAAAATTCTCCAGTCTCAATCCTTTACGATCAAGTGTACTTCGCGATTCTTGTATCATAAAAGCAAAGGTCCAGACTGCATCGAACGCCAGTGCCTGCGGCGAATAAGAGGCTCCCGCTTTCTGGAGATCGTTCTGCACCACGGTGAACTGATCGTACCGCTAGATGGAAAAAGAGCTTGATTTAATTATCCGATAATTTATTGACTGAGATTAAACGCGAATTCCTTGGTTGCGTACAATGCCAGCTGAAGAAGTCCGGTTATTCATGAGAGAATCGCTTGTGGTGACTGTGATGTAACCTGCATAGGGATATTGAAAGTGTGACCTTTTACTGCATTGGTTACTCAAACTGGGAACAAACAACACGTACCTTCGATAGCGGTTTCCATTTGCTCTACAGTGCAAGTGGTGCTGTTGTCGCGAAGTCGCCACCAAAAACGTGGATACGAACCAGGAATAAACCATACATATCGTTCTCCGTAAAGTCCTAAATGGTATGCTTCGCAAAACATCCTTTTCGCAAAATCCAACGAGAATGCACCAAATATTATGCGCACATCTTTTTCCTGTAAATTACTTACTTGAGTATGGCGTACATTTTTATCGTTACGGTGCAAGGATTGCATGTATGTGTTTAAACCGCTCAACTGCTTACAAAAAATTGCAGTATAAGCGTTAATTTCCGCTTTGTGCTCTCTACACCGATAATGCTCTAACTAGACGGAGCAAAAATAGTCAAACATTATTCAAAACGAAATTTTCACAACGAATAATTTTTGTCTCTGGCATATTTTGAATTAATTGACACTGAGTATGTGCTTGTGATTGTATTTGCGCCAACTACCTTAAAAATCCTCAGCTGTTCTTGTATTTTGTTGATGCCGATGCTTCCGGTGGCGCGGAACGTGATGTTGTATCCGGCTAACGTTCTCACAATTTCATTCATGGCCAGGGCGTACGCTTCCTGATTTTCATTGATTGCCGCCGCGAAGCGCCATCCGAAATGATGGAGAAAGGCTCTTCGGGCTTCGTTATGGGATTGATCAGGTGCCACCGTACGGAAAAAATAACGAAAATGCTTACGATCACTGAGTGCCGGTGAAGTAGCACCAGCGGAGATCTGTCAAGCATAAAAAATCAATTTATGTGTGTACACGGCGTGCGGTCGTGTGTTTTAGCGGTTAATTGACTGATGAGAACTAACCTGCAGCTGAGCAAAATAAGGCGTTGCACGGGCCAGTGGAATAGCGACTTCATCATGGGACGGTCCCAGGAGGAAATGAATTTTTGGTCCAAAGAAAAGCGCTCGGTAGTATGCGTTGATGCCGTGACCGACACTGCACTACACAACAAAGCGGGATACACCTCATCATCATTCCCAGTTGTTTAAAATGCTCAATTACTACAGAGACACCGCTAACAACTTCCTATGTACTACTAACAGTTCTTATGTAAATGCTCTTCTGTAACTTCGTGTAACCGTAATCATGCAATATAATATTCCCACACGAAGTGCAAGATAATACTATGCAGACATTAGTAACCATCACGTTTTTCTAAGTTATTAGTTTAGGCTGACGCCAGCCCCCACAATTTCTGAAATGATAAAATCGATATTCCTTCTGCAGTCGTCGGTTTTATTAATTACGTAAATAACAAAAAAAGATTTTTTAAAAAAATTACCCGTTCTTGAGAAATCGTGAGCTGAAAATCGATAACATTAACGTTGAAAACGTAAAATAAAGGGACTGAATCAAGCACGCCATAAAACGAAGTTATAGGTACGTACTGTTTGTTGGTAATCGTAATCAAAACACACTAATCATTTCAAAATTCTTCAGTTGGCAATCTTGGCATGGACTAGCGACACCTTCTTATAAGGTGTCGCTAGCGAATATAGCAAGTGAAAATTTTGTCTAGGTGAGATTTCTGGTGACAGCAAATAGCCCTTTCAAAGAATCTACATATTGTAATTTCCGACCACACATTTCAAGGGTACAGATATTAGCTATACACTGAGTTATATTACACCTATAAGGCTATAACACAATCATCCATCCAACTACAATACATTAATAGTGAAACGAAAGAATAATTTTTAAAAATGCAAACAACCAAGTCAAGGAGTCTTCTAGGTTTGATTGCCAATGCGACCTTTCTCCGAACACTGTATAATGAGTATAACGACATAGTACTAAACACAAACTCACGCTCTTCAAATCAATAAACGTTTTTTGGTCAATCAAAAAGTTTTGTTAATCTCGATTGATGGATTTAAACGCTCGTTTGAATGCGATCAATTGCTAATTATCGTGCAGCACTCGTATACTGGTATACGGTAATGGTATACGAGGAAAAGCGTAAAGTAAAATATTGTAGCTATTAATATTACATAAACAAGTGTTTACGTATACAATCGTAGTCACTTGTTTGTTTATGCCGTATAATTACACCGGCATCGTAATTACGCGGTGCTTAACACGTGCACGTACTAGTAACAGATTCCCGAAATCCACAGTTTCTTAACTTTACCGATTATGCAGTGTAATTAATACAGCCCCTCAATTTATTTGAAGTGCCGCAGTGAATGCAATAAAATGCTTGTTGTTACTAAATCGCTTACATTATTGAATTTTTATTTAGTTTGTTGTTATCTTAAGTAGATCCAAACAGCTAGTTGATTGTAATCCATGAAAAGGTGTCACATTTCGAAGGTCTGGGATCTTATAACAACGCATGCCGCGTGGAGAAGCTGCAAGTTAAAGCAGCCGTTCAAAATCACGATTCTCTTCGCAGCGGAAAACAACATTTCCTCATTTTCTGGAGCTAACAAAAGTTACGGTTTTAAATAATATTATCAGTTTTGTCCTTTTAACATAGCGCGAAGTAGTTTTGGCTAATAATTCTCAAAGTTCTAGTTTTAAAGCTCTACAGTTTTTATTGCAGTAAAACGAATATCTGAATATAGCACGACGTAAATTAACGAAAACGACCTTCCAGTGATATGTTGCCAACAGCGGTAAATAGAAATTTCAGACACGTAGCAAAACGAATTTGCCTAACATCCGATTACTAAATCGATTCACATAAATGAATTTCAACCAAAACAAGTTCACGTCATGTTTTATGGTTCCGCATTATTGCTGCTATTCTGATCACATACAATATGTTCGCAAAAATGACAAGAATAGTAGAGGAAGCTGTTTTGCGCTAAGGCCGAGCTGCTTGGAATTTATCAACAGTGACCTTCACATTCCTCGAGATCGAATGGCTAACTAAGAAATTTGGTATTCCGCCAGAATAATCGTTGCACTGGTGTGTATCACTACTGTCGGCTACTTCATTTAAACCATACCACATCAGTTTAAAAGCTTATAAATTCATACCCTTGATTTTTCTTCTGGATTACCAATTCTCTTGAATAAGTGGAATAATGCCATTGCTGTCATATAATTTCAACATATCGCCGATAAGCGGCATGATGATTGTGTACAAAACAGCGCAAACCTGGGTCCAACAAGAAACAGTTATTAACTCACGATTCATTATAACGCCATGTTAAAATTTGCAGGAGATTGTGCTTTCTTAAAACTGGAAATCACTTCCTGTTCCGACACAAAAACGTGATTTCTAAATTTTTTATTTCGGAACTTGTTTCACAAGCCGTCGCCATGCTATTACGTGGTTACAGCCACAAGGTGGCCGTAGGTGTTTTATGCAGATTCCTGAGCTGCTAGCTTGAATAATTTAATTCGCTGCATATTACTTCGGCGACCACGTGGGTTGAACACCCAGACAGCAGCAACCGCTCATGATGTCGACGTTTTGATGGACCATAAGCCCATTGTCACTTATAATTCAATTTGGCTTCATTAATGTGTTACCGATCGGATGTACGCAAGTTACCATTGTATCGTTAAAAATCAACTGCAGCCGGTATCCAGGAATGATGCGCTGGCTGTTAATCATTTTAACAGCTAACTGCGCACCGAAAAGTTCCAGACGACCATTTTCCGCTAGATCGCAAGATGATAGTTCAAACAACCCGAGAATATTTATCATATTGGAGCCACGCAGTATAGGTGGGTGTTTGCGGTAATCCGCGGGTAAGGCCGAGGTTACTGGTCCGCTATTAATTCCCCGCGACACTTGATTATGACTGTCTGCCTTAGACGGAGATAAGGCAAAGATTAGAAGAATTATAAATGTCCTATAGTTCCAAACGCTCCATAACATCCACGGGTAACCGGCACTGTCCAGACGGTGGTCAAAGGCGTCCCAACTGGGAAACTGTGGGATACCGGTCAAGGACGGTATCATCGCACACCACATGAATACATAAAGCAGTAATTAGTTGACTCAATGATAACATCCGTACCAGTGGCCGCGTCGACCGCCTAATACTGTAACGTCCAAGCCAAAAAAAGCGCTCCTTTAATACGAGTGATCTCTGGAGATTGCAAATCTAGCGGAATACGCCAAGATAAGGGATTGATGGCATCGTCCACACAAGTCCATGTGGACTAAAGTCATCAGGCAGGGCTCCCGTTCCCTCACTGTCAAAAGCACTTTTTCACGTCAGAATCGCCAACGGAGCCACTATCAAGGCTGTTTAGCTAATAATTTTCCGTTTCCGCCAGTAAAGCCAACGGCACTGTGCTCACATGCTGCTCCCTATATATCAATCCAAAGCACACACGGCGATTGCCAAACCACTATGGGAAATCTATTGCCCACCGCATATAACCCGCCTTTAACGCATCAATAGAAGGCTAAACTTCCCCATCGAATTTTTTTGAATGATGAGGGTGACCAAGCGAATAGTGGGCTTACGCATACACTGTACAGTGTACACTGGGAAGTCGTACCGTACACTGCGGCGTTCCGGCATTCGACCGTACTGCAGCTGCTTATGTATGCTGTGCTAATTCGCTTTTTGGATGAGTGAGGAAGATTTTCTCCCGGATGTCGGCTTAAGAAACGCAATGGAAACCTACATATGCATACTTTCGGGTGCGCTGTACGATCCTTGATCAGAGCGGTTCTATTCTTAGCGATTGTTAGACGGCCGGCGGAAGGGGGAAAAGAATGATGCACAGTTGCACTATATTGTTCAGTTTGACCCAATCGAACGCGCACTGGCCTACTGCAAACAACCAGTGTGCGCGTTACATATCAGCCGCGCTGCGCGCGCATAACTACCTTTGTCGAGATATTTCATGGCGACTGATGGCAAGGCAAGCGCCATTGATTATTGTTTTTTATTTATTGGATTACGAGTTCCCACAATGGTCTACATGAGAAAGGGGAAGCGCCGACCAACCGGAACATTGACGAACGGATAACGGATATACAGCCACTACGCGGCTACGGCGTTGACACAGTACAAGAGCGGCCACAATGGTCCAACAGCTACAGTTCGCTGAAGCTGCTGCATCATAATCGACGCTAGCGTCGCACGAACACTTTGGGTTTTGTTTGAAAATCAGCTCCATTACGTTATCTAGCATTTCTCCCTGGCAGCCAACCCACGGTTGTAACAGCAAAACGGATTTTGAATTGCAAGTCGCGACAGACACTGTGCTTTTGCTAACGTTTTGCTCAGAAAAACCTAATTTTTCTCTTCATAATCGTATTCGTACCGTAAATAGCAATTGACACTTGACCGTACAGACTTACTTACAATATTAACGAAAGATGCCATTCACGTGCTGATAGATTCGACAGAACACGTGTCTAAAACCAGTTTACAGTTAGTTGGTTTGGAGTGCTAATTGTTGATGCTTCCTTTTTGTAAATTTAACATGAAAACACTCTTGAATTACCAATTCACTTGAGGAGGGCGTTTTCCATTTCCGCACAAGGAGCACTTGGTGGGAACATACATCCTTATGGTCAGCAATCATAGGCAGTAGTACAATTCGTACTCGTAGTTTACGCGCAATATGAATTAAGTATGTACGTACAGCTAGCTACACTTGTAATTTCAGATTACCGGCAAGGCAGCTAAAATGCCGATCGCATGCGCATTACGATATAGATACAGTAATCAAAACTACTTCTATTCCTAAATCAGACGGCAACGTTAACGGCACGAAACCGAAAAAAACACATTGGTACTCGTAGTTTACAAACAAATTACGATAGTGAAATAATACTAAAACTGAAGCCATACGGCAATATATATTAATATGCTAGCACTAAAACATTTTGCAACAACGCAAAGCTTACTGGGTACATTGATGATACAAATACCTACGTACAGATTTCATCAATATCACGATGTGGTGGTTTAAAGTACTCGTACCTATCGCTGATCCTGAGGTAGTTAATTAGTTATGTTATGTAATAATTATTATTTAGTTTAAAGCGTGAGATAAAAGCAATCACAAGTAAAAGGCATGTGCACAACAATCCACGAAAAACTATGCGAAAGCACAAAAGCAACAGACAACTTGATGTATTAGAGAAAATGAAACAGATGACGGAGTAAGGAAAATAGATACTGAAATTTAAATTAAGCGATCGTCTGTGAGTTCCAGTTTGATAATTATCCAATGCCAGCATTTTACTGGTTCATCGTTGAGTCCTTAACCGCTGTTAAATTTTGCAGGAAATGAATTAAATTAAAAACTATTTTATAGACTCGCTGATTCGTATAATATAATACTGTTAACTGTATAATTATATCGGTATTACGAAAGTATACCGCTTACTTTTGTTTAGCTACTTTATAGGATATTATTTTACGATAAGATGTCAAACTGAAGGGTCGTGCCCAGCTTGTAAATGTCACAAATTGTTACATAGTACATACCCGTAGAAAGGTATTCTGACGTAGAAATACAGATACGATACCTTTCTGCTTTGTTCTGCTTTGTTGCATGCTCGACCAGTTTCAGGTATTGTTTACGATGTCTACGCAGGATAACATTATTTTTTATAAACAAGTTGGTAAGAATTAAAACCACAAAATAAATAATCCTGTTGCACCATTTGCTGCAAGTTGCACCATCTGTATGTTGTCCAGAACCGTCCGGTCATTTGCACCCTATAGAGTCTACAATTACAGTATACTCGTACAATAGACGTTCGTAGGCTCAAATTATCCCCAAAAGTACAGTATCTATTGGTTATTCAGACATGCACTAGTATTAGCCACTGATGATGCCTTTAAAAAAGCCTTAATTAGATCGCTTATTAAATTTTCAGCATTGTTCTAAAAATTATAAAGTTAGACGAAATAAACTAATCTCTCCTACACGCAGTAAGTTAAAGTAACCTGCCTCAATAATATGGGCATGCACCGCATAGTTTTGCACAACTGCAGCCAACATTTTTTCCGTGGATCCATCTTCCAGAGTCAACATTTGCAGCTTCTGCTATGTTTTCTGATTTGCCATACTTCGCTTTCTAACGTAAACAAAAATCTTTCTTTGACCCCTTAAATATACATCATATAAGCCGCATGTGCGACCATTCTGCACGTTTGTGAAATCGATTAGTTGCTAACAATGCGCTCAAAAGCATGACATGCAGTATGATCGGCGTTAAAGTCGCAAATGGCTCATTTAATAAGTATGTGAATATAGAATATACTATTCAACTAAAACAATAGGCCCAGGCTTAGCAGTATCTTAAATCGAAGTACAAAATCTTTTATCTGCTAAAATCCCGCTCTTGCTTTTGTATGAGCGAAAAATCAGGCGTTCGCAAGACCACAATAATTATAATATTTAACCACTCGTAGAGTACGTTGCCGTTTATTCCATAGATATCTATGTATATATCTATGTGCCCTGCTGACCAGCGTACGTATATAATAATGAATTAATAGTTCATATAACACAATGATCCCCTTCTCGTTTATTACTCAGCGTTCACCCTGTACGTGTTTACATCAAACGCAGAAAATTATTAAATTAACTAATTGTAAATTTACTAATGATCGTATTTCGTTGTGTACAGTATTGTCAGTTAACCTTTAATATTAAAGCGAATATGGGCTTCCGGCAGTTCCGACGGCGTTTGACCTTTAAGCTGGTCTTTAACTATCTCTGTATGATATTTCCTTCTTGAAGCCTCGGTGGTCAACAATTTTACATCTTTCAGTTTTACAGTACAAATGTACAAATATACGTAATTGCCTTTTAGAACTAAAAAAACACCCATCTTGAGGACATCTTTTGGATGAAGAAGACATGAACGTTTTTTTTCGGATCGAACCAAAAATCCGTTTGTGTATGATGAATTCCTTATAAATAACGAAAACAAATTCATATGGCTGCATGAACTCACTAACCGCATATCTCAGCTCTCCCTCCGATTTTTCTGTTTTTTCTAATTTTGCAGGAGCATAAGGACTGATACGAAATTACGAATATAATTATTATCTTACTGTTAGCCTGTTATAGTCTGTTGCTGATGTTAGGGGGAGACAGTGGATGGCCAGTAACAACACATGTGACACATGCAATTACAATACACAGGTGACAACGACAACGTTCGGGGTGTTTGTTGATTTTTAGAAACCCAGATTCACCGCAAGGGTCGTCAACGCAAGGGTTACATTACCGGGTGGCCGAACGCAATGGGCCTCTCCGTTTTCGGTTTATTTCTCATCAACCACTTATCGCATCGCGAACTGTTAGTTCATACATACTCATTCCAGAGATAATTTTATTGACTACTCAAAATAACAAAACTTGTTTTAGGAAAATAAACCGTGCTTGCTAAAAATAATGCCAACAGAAATTGTGCCACAGGTGCTGTTTAGCAAACAGCCACATTTTAGATTACAGCTTGCTATAACGAGTAAGCAGAATGGCCATCGCGAACATAGGTTTTTATTTGTTAGCATATACAGTTTTGAGCTCGCCACTGTATTCCTTGATTTCTCCGAAAGCACCAGATTGAGTGAGCAAACTCTTCGCACTCTCTACCCTAAGTGCGCGGCTGTGCGCGGCTGTGCGCCATTTAAATAATGTCTTTGTCCAAACCAAGCTTCCCGCTTCCGTCTTCTGATCCCCATCTGTTGTACGGAAGTCGACCATTCAGAAAATGGTTGGCAAAGGGCAGTCATAAGATTCTGCTTAGCCGTACAAAAATATAGTTTTGTGGTCGCTTACGGTTGGCATTTATGGAAAGCATTCCTGTTATGAAACTTCAGGGATTTACTAAAATTTTCGCGATTTTCGTACAGGTTGCACCGTTGCAGTGTGCGGAAAAGGCAGACGTCACAGTCGTCACTGGCATCCGTGACTCATGGTTTGGACGCGTGTCTGTGCTCTGATCCAATCCTGCTGGAGGGTTGGGATCTGAGTTATTCACCTAATTCGGTTCATTCTGTGCACTTAACGTCTCGTGCTCAGTACAGCAATTACAATTCCACTCTCGCATGAAATCCATTGGAAATTGTAGCTGTGCCGCGTCTATGTTAGTGATGCAACAAGGTAAAATCAAAGTTTTTTATTTCGGATCTCAACAAATAATATCATCGCCGACTGCTTAATCAAATTTTTGAATTATAATTGTAAATGCGCATTTTCAGATTAGTTCTTATTTAAGTGTGAGGAACCTTCATGTGTACAGCGAAACTTATACACTGATCCACAAATTTGCATACACTGTTGCACTACTTCATATAAATGTTTATTGAATGTTTATTTTACCATTACTGTGCTATAATATTTCACGAGTAAACAATTTATACAAGGCAACCATTATATTTATACATTAACGCACAGTATTTATAAAAGTTATGCTACGCAATCAAAATTTATCCCTGACGGTTCTTTTCCAAACCAATTAAACGGACATTGCAAATCGCGCCCGCACAAAATAAAAGTCAGAAATTCCAAAATGAGCTTGAAAACCCAAATCTAACTTACAACCTCCAGTCAAGTAAAACTTTTGACGATACTAATGTGTGCTCTCGGGTTAAGACTTTGATCTGGACTAACAAGATTACTAAGGTTTATACTCGGTTATAAACTAAAACAGCACTCTGGTTAAGACTCTGGTTAAAAAATACGGTCAACAGACGAATCAACTGTTTTGTTCGGCTTTAGCTTAACCCCTTCGACAAACTGACTCGATCTTTTTCTGCAAATCTTCTTCGAACTATAACTCAAATAAACTTTCGCATTGAAAATGTCTTCATTTCTTTTTTTATCTTCGTTTTTTTTAATTAAGAATACTGAAATCAACCTTTTCGTTGAAAATGCTTTTAGTAACATCTACGCAGGGAAGGCGCATGATATACGTACATTTCGGAATAAGAACATAAGGGCATAAACTCTTCCGCATATACCAATTTTAGCATAGCACAATTTGGCTTAAAAAACAATTTTAACAAAGCTTGAAAAGTTAAAAAACATACTGGATTAAAAAAAAAACTAAAGCCAGCCAAAAAAGCTAATAATCTTATGAACACCACGAAAATATATTCAGAAAACACAAGAAAAGCTAACAAAAACAAGTAAAATATAAAAAAACTTAGGAAAACATTCTAATGAGATTATAGATTAGAGCGTAAACAAAAAAGACAGTAGCATGCCGAATGTCTGTGTAGCGATTCAGCAAAATGTTTTTGTACCAAATTTTTCTCATGCCAAAGCGTCCGCAAAAATTGTTTTTCATAAGCATTTTGCAAAAAATAATTATGTGTAGCGAAACAGTTACGATTCCTGAATTATTGAATGATATTTGGTGTACAAATAAAGATGTTCGTGTTAGCTTTAACGAGAGTGTTAACCCGAGTACTAATGCTAGTTTTGATCAACGTATAAACTTGAGTGGTGATACTAGTTCAAAGCATGGTCTTAACCCGAGTGCTCATAGTAGTGTTGGCAAAAGTTTCAGACCAACGGAATAATTGCATATAATACCTATAATGCGTTCTAAAACAATTTTGCAACAATTTCCATTACATTTGAAACGCTCTGCTACTCGGCAGTGGAAGTATATAGTAGCGTAGCGCTAGCCTCTTTTATTTCCAACATCAGCTAAAAACAAAAAAATATATTTTTTTCGAAGTATTTAACCAGAAAAATGGTATGCTAAGATAACTTTTATTTTCTGCTTTTTTTTCTTAATAATCTTTCTCAATTGAAATATAACTGTTTGGTCAACGCATATTTAGTGTTTCAAGACAACAGATTTAGCAAACGTGCAGGATGAAAAATTGTTGTGAAAAATGACGCAAAATTAAATGTGCAAACAATTCAAAACTCAGGCTTTAAATCCTCGTCATTAGTAATGTCGTATATTTTTTGCAATTACGTCATTTCGTCATTTTCAGTTTCTAGTATTCCTTTGGTTTGCCAAAAAACAGATATTACAAAATAAAATGTATAATACCATTAAATTTTCTTTGAATTTTTAAATTTGAAGTTCTGTTATAGTGCCTAACTTCTGTTATAGTGTATTTCTGGCTGAATAAACTTCACTGGTGAACATAATAATAAATTCAATTAGGTTTAAAACATTTTGTGGACGGAGGAATTTTTGAGTTTTTGGGAGAAATAACCAGAGTTCGCAAACACTAAGCTATCTGAGGTTTGAAAACCTGAGTATAAATATTAGTTTTATCAGAGTATTATCAGAATTACTGATCTTAGTTTTAAGCGTAGTCTTAACCCGAGTGTTCATCTTAGTTCTGTCAAAAGTTTCTGCTGACAAAAAATATGTTTTTAACAGTGTTTTATGCTTAAAATTTTAGCTATTTGCAAACGTGTCCTGGCAAGCCGAAGCATATTACAAATGGAATGAGGTGTGCTTTATCATCTTGATTTCACTACCGCTGTTGTAGGACTGGGGAGCATCATAATGAGCCTTTCCAGCAATATGTCCAACAATATTTCACTACCGCTGTTGTAGGACAGTGAGCCTTTCAGCAAATGTCCAACAATACTTAAGTTTTCAGCAAAGAAATACGAAACCTTGTGGCTCAAGATCCACAAGCTACTGTTTCCATGTCGCTGAATTTTCATAAGGAACTTGTTTTACGATATTGCTGCAGGTGCCAGTATTTCATATTATATTTTAGTTTTCCCGTGGTAAATTGGAACCTTTCGGATATCAGTGGATGTAAACATAAATTTTATGAAAAAGAACATTGTGATAACTTGATGACTTTTTTTAAACATTGATTACCTGATTGCGAAAACCGAATGCAACACACCAAGAAACCACAAATTCCAATGGATGTCGAGACGTGTACAGCTGTAAACACTGCTACTGAGCGCGAGACGCAAAGTGCGTAAAATGAACCGAATTAAGTGAATAACTCAGATCCCAACCCTCCAGCAGGATTGGATCAGAGCACAGGCACGCGTATGGTTTGGGCCTGTTGCGTCATCTTGTTGATAAGTTACCAAAGCGTTTTTGGCAAACCGTACGCTTCTAACCGCGCACATGAGACTTGTTGCGTATTCGTGCTGTAGCTGAGCTTTTCTACTGTGTGCGTAGGGCAGTAAAGAGACGATCTTACACATCGGAAATCGGCGGACCGGCATGCCATGTTGAATGCTTTTCGTCATCTGCGAGTCCGCATGGGCACTCTAAAACCCCGTGCTTCACCATCTCAGTCGAGCAGTATATAAACGGAATCGATGCGAAAGTTTGTTTGTCCTGGGCCGCTGCATCAGCCTACCAGGTCCACATTTCTGGAACAAAAGCGTTTCCGGGATGAGTTTACATATAGTGGTAAGTTAGCTTATTAGGTTGTAATGAAGAATCAAATTGTGTAGAGCTGAAACATTTTGAAAAGGCTTTTCACGTAGGTCGAATGCAATATTTGTTTCGTCGCTGCAAAGTTAATAATGACGTTGACTATAGTTGTTCGCTGTACTGAGAATGACTTGTGGCATCCTGAGCACTGGGAAGTGCAAACGGTGCTCGTTTATACCTTTATCTTGTGATCAAACAGACAATCTCATTTTTTACTAAACTCAGTTAGGTTTAATTTTACTGTTCAAAATTTAAACTGTTGGTGCTGTTTTTACCTGCTGCTCTTTTGCTCTTTAATTTTACTGTTTCTTTTACTGTTTGATTTCTGTTTTTACTGTCTTATTTTTTACTGAACTTAGTTTAGTTTAATTTTACAGTTTTTCACTGTTTACACTTGACGTTTAATGGAATGGGTTTACTTTTAGAATTTTTGGTTGTTTTCTCAGTATGTTTGGGGCTGTTCACATAGCATAAAGTCATAAGACTGACAAAGTTGATCGATTGTTATTTGGGAAGATATGGATAGTACTTGCAAAGTTTCAGTCTGTAATGGAAAAGACAAGAAATTCACCAGTGTTGATGACTGTATTGTTAAATTTTAATTACTTTATTACAGCCGTAGTGTTTAAGACTCGTTCCGTCCAGCCGCACTCCAGCGTTCTTGCAGTGTAATGGATGTTGAAATTTGAATGCGGTATTATTCTTGGCACGCCGTATTTTCATTATAGTTTATGTTTGCAACTTTGAATGAATGTTTGAATAATTTTGTTGCATACTGCGTTATCAGAGTGCAATCACAAACAAACACAAATTAAAATTTGTTTAAGCTACAGATTCAGTACTCTCCTGATTTGGTTTTAGCGACGAAAAGATTCTTTAAAAATGTAATTTAGCATGAGTGTGGATGACTGTGTATTATGGAGATGCATCGGTAATAATAATAAGCAGTACTACAATAATTCTTGTAATCGTGCATAAAATGAAGGAATGCTCCCAATTAGTGCGAGACGAGACCGTACCGCTGATCGTATTGTTTTATTTATATGAGTGATATAACTGATTTATGCATGTGGATATCTGTACGAGTGCTTCGGCTGATTCATGCGCATTGACAGTAGAGTTATGTTTGTCTGGTTACCTGCGTCTTAACAGTGCGCGTTTTCAGAGAAAATTTTACCAAGATGTTGTGGAACAGCTCTTTGAAGAGAGTCGGATTTTCTGGGAAGAAGAGGGTCTGGACGAATCCTCCATGACGGATCTCAAGCAGGCAGGTCACAAGTGCTTACACTTTTTTGAAGAGTTTTCTGTATACACTAATCTGTATAGTATGACACTGTGACAATTGCCAGATTTGGGAAGCTAAACTTATGGAGAATGGCATGGACATCAATGCTGATAGCACCGCAGCGGATATCGAATACGCAACAACAAAGACTTCCGGTCGAGGCAGTCGGGCAAAAAACCAAACCAGCGTGCAAAGCACGGCGGCAGCTGGTCACTCTGCATTATCGAAATCAATTGCGCATCAACAGCAGCAGTCTGCACAGCCCGCGCAAGCGCAGCAGCAGCCACAGGGCCCTCAACAGCCAGCCGTGCAACAGCAGCAGCAGCAACCCCCGGCTCAGCTGACGCAGTCTCAACCGGCGCAACCCTCTCAATTTCAACACCATCCCACCCAGCCCGTGAATTCCCAGGGGCCGCCGCCACAACCGCAGCCGCGTACCATTAATGTCCAGACCATTCAGAATTCCCAACTGAACCTGACCCCGACGGCACAAATGGTCAGTGCCAAAACGGGTCACAATATGGCAGCTGCTGGCCAACAGGCCGCTTTCAATCTCCTCACGACGTCCTACTCAGGCCCCGTGGTGCATCTTTCCTCTTCGACAGTTCCTACTAATGTTGCTGCACTTTCCAATGCAATTCGCCAGCAGCAGCAACAGCAGCAGCAGCAGAACCTCAATCCTACATTTCTCACTGTCAACGGTACAGCCGCACAATTACTGTTTGCCAATCCACACGCTCAGTATCGATCAGGTGAGTGACTCGGAGAGATTATTTTTTCGCTGGTACTATCCTTTTTAAATTGTCGCAGAAGATTCAAAATTTTTGTGGGAGGGTTGTGTAACAGCGCAGCAGCAACAAAACAACACGTTGCTTGTTGGCTGTTGCATAAGGTGTTACTGTAAAAACATTTTGTTTACAGTGCAGTTAGGACTAATGCATTGAAAAAATGCGCTAGCAGTCAGTGATGTGTGCAAGTGGCAACTGGCGAGAGAGTGAGAAGCCTGTTCAGGTTTTCTACTGTGATGAAAAGTCATTGTCAGTGTCTGACTGATGGTTAAGTAACGTAACATCCGCTTATTTTGACTGTAAACGGACATTTTATGCAAGATGTTAGGGCTGCTGTAATTGTTAAATCGGAGCCGGTAGAAAGAAGCTTTGGTTAAATACTTCAGCATGAGGAGAAACTAGTTTGTCGTCCTGATTACCGAAGTGAAAGAAAAGACATCTTAGCCGGAGGCTACATTTCGTTTTCTCTGGGTCAGTAAAATTTTTGTTGTGACCAATGGCTTGGCGTATTGTTGGCCGTCTGGTTGTGGGACATTAATTATCAGTATTAGATTGAGCTAGCGTTTTCTAAATTTACGCTCCTAGAGTCCGGAGCAAGAATTCAAAGGTTTTTTCATGTTGGAACACTATGTTGTGCAAAACCTGTTAATTATCATCAGTTGAACAGAACTTAAAAAAAGCCGTACACTGGTGCTGTCCAAAAACATCACGTACAAGTACAAGTTATTCTGATATAATGTATTGTGTAAACATTATATGTACTGTGGTCTAGTATATTAAGTCAACTTATTAACTAACTGAGATAACTGACGAGGTAATAGGCAGCTTTTTCTATTTTTGTATTGCACAACTTACGTTTCCACTTGCATGAAAAATATGAAAACAGTAGTTACTTGCTCATGACTACGGGTGCAGTCATGAGCAATCACCAACTCAAAGTACTGTTTTCATACTTTTTTATATGTGTTATGTGTTTGAAACATTGATTCCGCAGCTAATGCTATTAATTAATTTTTGTAGTTTCACAACCCGGTCAGCAGCCGCAGAATCAGATACTTGCATCCGATGACCAGCGTCTGCAGAGCGTAATACAGCAGCATTCACACAGCAACATTGTGCAACGTGGCCATCAGCCTGCTTCCGCTGCCGTTCAGAACCAGATCAATGTTCATTCCATCCAGCAAAAGGTTCGCCAAGCGGGAATGGCTTCCTTCGGTCAGCAACAGTTTACGCTCAACCAGAATCAGGCTAATGGTAAATTAAGCTTAGTTAGCAATTGTAGAGCGTATCACCATGTTAATATTATCTTGTTTAATTTTATTTGTAGCAGCAACGGTATTTAGTCTCGCAAATCAGGGCTACCAATCTGCCGGACTTGGTCAGCATTCGGTCATCCATGTGGTGGACAGCTCCGGAAATCAGCAGCCTATGAATGTGATAAGTGCGGTTCCCAACAGTGCTATCAATAATAAATCGGCCGCTGCTGTCGCCGCTGCCGCAGTAGGCGCCAGAAAGCCAGGACAGCCCTTGTCCATACAGTTAGATGGTATGGACGATGATGATGATTTTGAGGATCTGAGCGATGATGAACCCAGTCCTCCCAAGTCTAATCGCTCCGTTAAACGATTGAAAACATCTAGGGGAGCCTCTCAGAGGCTGGAAGAGGTCAGTTTAAACGGCAGTTATGTATTTAAAAGGCTCTGGGATACATGTGTACTGGGGTTCGGCTCGCCTCCGTCGCCGGTCAGAACTCTTTATTGTCCAAATGCGTAGATGTATGCCTAAAACATATGAATTACTTATTAGGAAGTTTGTTATAAAAGTGATAAATATGTTCGGTTATTCAGCCCGACCTTGATTCTGAAGATGATGATGATAACGATCCAACAAATGGAGGAGATGCCGTAGATAATGTTGTCGTGTGCCAGTATGAAAAAGTGAGTATTGTATACACCGATAAATTCTAAAATGCTTTGGCTTTCAGTTGGTGAAAGAAATTGTGTATTTAGAATTTATGGTAATTACCGTCTTTCCGGAATTTATGATCTCCGCATGGACTATGTAAGTGAAATAATTTAACATGTTGTTACTTTTAGGTGAGCAGAACTCGAAATAAATGGAAACTGCACTTGAAAAGCGGAATGTGCAGCCTAAATGGTAAAACTTTTGAAAATGTGCAGCTTCGCGTATTATTGCGTGCTGCGATTTTTTTCTGTAAAACTTACTTTTTCTGATTTTTTTTTGCTTTTATTGCAGGGAGGGAGTACATTTTTCACAAGGCTGTCGGCGATGCTGAATTTTAACGGCCATATGAACAGCCTTTCCTTTTCTTTACCGAGATGTAATAATGGCTTCTGCAAGATGTGGAGGATCTGTTAGACTGTTACCGAGGGGAGTTCGACTGAATGCTGCGTAGCTGGCTGGCTGTTGTCTGCAAATGGGTCTCGGTGTTCCGCAACTTGCATGCTTTTAGTCGTACAATTTAGCAGAGTTATCATTCAAATGGAAATGTAGTTTAAATGAAATGTATGCTGAAGACACTTGTGCTAGCGAGATTGGCGATTTGTTTCTTTAACTTGTCTGTGAATTCAAATGTCAGGGAAACGGTGGACTTAAGTTTTATTTCAAAAGTTGGATTATTTTATTTTTTGTACAGCAAAGGAAATTTTTAGTTCTCAAATTTGGTGTTTTTATCTGTTGATTTGAACCTTTTTTAGAAGCGCAGAACGATAAAGTTATGGTTTAGATGTGCATTTCGTAATCAGGAGCGTAATTAAAGAAGCATAAGTACAGTACAGTAATACCTAAAGGTGGAATCAATCGACTACGGGTAGCCTAACTTGTAAGCCGAAATTCGTGAAAGCGACCGATAACCAACACGATTACGGAATCACATCCCGTACATGGTACATCAAAATCTACGTAAAACCAATACGTTATTATTAATCCGTTTCGAATTTAACAAGTTTTGGCGGTACTGCGGTTCCTTCAGCATTTACCATAGGTGCTTCTCGAAACAAACGCAAAATGCACAGATTTAGTACAGAGAAAAATCGTTTCCACATTGAACCCAGACGAGCATCTCGACTTTTAAATTCGTTAAGTTCTTCTACTCCACTAATAAAAACATTTAGAAATGCAGTAACGATATCTACAGTCCACGCTGCAGACTTCCATGGAGCAAGCAACTACAAAACAGTGGAAATAACAAGTCACATCTAGAGCAAGTATTAATAAATGAAAATTTTACAAATACATGCACAACGCTCACCTTTTCCGCTATCTCGACAAAAAGCATTCGGAACTGCTTTCCATGGTGAATATTCAGCGCAATTAAGACCATCGTTCTTGCAGAATCCTAGAAATTTACTAAAAGCTGCAACTGACCGCAAGTCCGTAACCGTTAACCAATATCCAGTATGATACACATTACAGCCAAATAGACGCATAAGTTACGAAAATATAGATATGACTATTGATCCATATTCGGATTGCTCCTGTGCATTGTTAACCGTAACTTTCAAACAACAAACAAATGTAAGTAAACAAAACGTACTCTGTACAAGTCGTGACTCGAAGATGCCAGTGATCCTGATGGAACGTTCCTTGTAATCGCTCTGCAAAAGATGTTATCGCAAATTAATGCAGCAAATAAAAGCAAACACAGCAAATAACTTGAATACTTTGCTGGACGGTACTGGACGTTATAACGATTCAAACAAAGTCTGGAACATTTTGGATCATCTGAGACTGCTCAGCATTAATGATTCAGCTTCGAACAACTAAACACCTTCAGTTTGTAATTACCTTTTAAAGCTTTCCATAGTCTCACGCTCAAGAAGAAATTTAAATTCTTTTAATGAATACATGAAATCTTTATCGATCCTCAAATCCGTACTTTCTGCAAATAAACAAAACCGTTTCCCGTTAGCCACGTCACTAATATCAACTGACAAATGCATTCTTCCAACGTTAATAAGGAATACATTATTTTGCAAGTTTACAGAAAAGAAACCGATGTCATCTTACGATCACCTCCCCATAGGGCAAAGAAAACCGAACAATTACCTTCGGAATTAGAACCCGATGTCTCCACAGCCTTCGGATTCGCTGGTTGCATACGATGGCAAGTCCATCCTCTCATCATTTCAGTTGCACAGTACGCAAAATCGTCAAATGAATACTCCAAAAGTCTACGTGATGATAGTTCGAATCGAAAAGTGGAAATAAACAGAATGGCAGCATAATCTCTGCAAAAAATTCCGATAAATTATTTAAAAAACGCTTCACAATTGTAAATGCGATCCCTTTACGGTTGCTGTTAAATGTTGATACGCATTACTGTATTCACTGAGTTCACTCTTAACTGACCGTGCTAAATTTTCAGGAAGCAAAAATGCCATTTGAATATTTTTCGCTGTTGTTTCACCGGACACATTGTTGAGTGATTTATGTACGCGGCGGATATTTTCGTGCTAAAATATTACAAAGAAAATATATCGCTTAGAATCCGGAGAATCGTAACATGAAAGTCGCACTGCAGCAAATCGTAACCTTGCAATTAGCGATTTCTATAATCGTATACAACACTTACAAAAACTATTTCCTTCACATCAACAAATAAGAAATCGCCAATCGAAATGCCAGTTGGTTGCTAACCTGACGGTAACAGCTGTTTATTTTCACGCCGGTTTTCTGACTTTCATCTTCAAATGCTTTCTTCGATTTGTGGTTGAACTTACGCCCAAGTATTTGGCGAATAAAGCGTTTATCAAATGAATAATACCTGTAAAACAAATAAATCGTTATTCTTCCGTGAAAGCAACACCGCTAGCACTTGCATACTTTTCTAGCAATAGCGAGCGACACGTTTCTGCCATCTGAAATACTGGCTGATCTAACAGTTCCATGGGGAAATGCAGGTATTTCTCGAGAAAATGGAATGATCGAATCTGATCCGCTACGTAACTTAGAACGATCTGCCTGCCACTGCTGCTGTCGTCGAGTTGATCAGCAAGAGACGGGTGCGCAGAAATTTCATCAACTGCAAAACAGAATGGTACAGAAAATGGCTCAAGTCCTTCCGGTCTGCATCTGAAAGGTAACCGACTGTCCAAAGGCACAATTTTCCTCCGTACCTGTGCTGCCATCCAACCACATGGAATATATGTCAATATCCAAGTAAGAGCGGTTTGTAACGAAAGTATCGCATCCTGAACCATCGGTCATCAAGGGAACAGGCAGCCGATTTGCAGGAGCGGCTAACATTTTTGGAGTCTGTCACAACACAGAAGATGGCATTCCTGAAAATCCATTATTATCCAACAATTCATTAAAAAAGCATTACATTACAGTACTACCATCACGCCGTCTAGCAGCGCTCAAGCCGCAAAAAATGTGATTAAATCAGCAAAATTTTTATCACAAAAATTAAATATCACATAACTCCGTACCTGCAGTTTGCATACTGATTACTGACGATACTGTAATTAACTGTACTGCTATTCAAAGTTACAAACATTTTAACTAACACCTGGAATCAGAATGAGCTCAAACCTACCAGAAGCCTACCAGAAGGTGGCAAATTTTTGTCAAAATGCCTACCAGAAGGTGACAAATTTTTGTCAAAATACAAGAAGATCTTGTTAAATTAGGCCGATAATGATCATAACGGCGAATCCTATTCGGAGTATTCGCTATGCATTAGCCAGTACATTTCTTTCAAGAGAGTTCAGATGGAGTCTACAGACCAACAAGTGAGAAAAAAGTGTATCTCACAAGTCACATCTACAAAAAAAACGGGAAAAAAAAAGTCCTATGAATTTATATTGTACCGCCAATGACGCTACGTAACTCACGCCCCACGTAGTGTCGACAACGTGACATCGCAGGATGCAAAAATTGCCGTTGTTCTAGTAACTAGTAAACGACCCAAACCTAAAAGTGTTTCAGTGGACTACCCGGAAATTTTGTTTTTCCCTTCCTTCTAAGTTTTTTATTTGACGACGCTAAACATCCAGGCTGATCCAGCTGATTTTCAACCTGTCTCGAATTTCGAGGACGCTCATTAGTACACGTGCGCCTTTAGGCTCATGCGATCAATTCACTGTACCGCCATTGACGTCATCGCATGTGCTTTCTGTACAGTAGAGTGGAGTACCCGGCTTATGTTGGACAAGCAGAGTGTTTTTCTCCGTATCAGCATGCTACTGGGTAGGTGATCACGATTCACGGCTAGCGTTTACGGAAAAGTCTGTTGAAGTCAACTCCAAGCCCATGCTTATCGAATGCAAAATGTGAAATGTTTTGAAAATTCGATATTTATTTGGTTATTATCGTGTTGGTCTTCATATCTTTCTCGGGTATTAAAGGCCTCCTTGATGTATGCGTATTGTAATACAGCTTTGGATCTCTCGTGAGTGCATTCTAAATTGAGAGTTTGGACCAACGTGAGCTTGAATGCGTGATCATCTGGCAGGGTGGAAAACGTTCTGCTGTCAGCATTGAACATTCACAAGACGGGAACCTACTTGCAGATTTAACAGATTGTGGACTTTACATAGCAGAAGTACGTGTGTCTCACAAATCAGTATTTATTATTCAGTTTTAAATTGTGCATTACGATTACATGCTGAATTTTCTATTAAGCGAAGGGTTGACGTTAGGCTCGCCTTTCGACCTTAGATTTGTGAAAATAATTTGTTAGTTTAAGTTTAATGTAGGATATCGTTTTTCCCTCCAGTTTCGGGTTCCAGTTATGCCGCAGTATTTAAGTTTCATAGAATAAGCAAATTAACACGTTACAATTGTACGGTTTAAGGTAAAAATAATGAATTCCAAAGCGGAAAGAGTAATAAGATTAACAGCGTAATAGTATAATACATACCTTTGATAAAGCTGTAACCTGTTGGCCTTTTTAATGTTAGCGTTCTTTCTGGGTACCGTGGGTAGCATGAAATGGTCTCTCCGAAAGAGTAAGGAAGTTTGTGTCAGTATTGGCTATTGATCGTGAATACTATTACAATAAAACTCTACATACAGATACCTGTAGATGTTGTTGCTTACTTGGACCGCTTGGTCTCAGATTATTTCGTTTTGTTCCGAGACACTATTGAGGATCGACTATCGTATTATGAAGTTTGACCATCAGAATGCTCTATCGTTTCTTGGCAGCATGGATGGTTTTTAACGGCTTATCGGTGCGATTAGCTCATGTGCAGTAATAAAAAATCTTGTGCGCAATATCTGCTGTGCTGTTTCCTTAGCTTACATTGGTTTTGGTATTTATTAGCCAGTAGCCAGTGTGTGTCTAACAGTTTGGGCGTATACGTTTTTTACTTATTTTTGCAAATGTACGAAGATATGAATATTTATTATTACTTTTCTCAATTTTAATTTGTGGTTGTGTATTAGGTGGTGCTTTCCTGAAATTCTGGTCAAAATGTGTATTAGTGTTGCGAATATATATAAGCTTTGCAAACATGCTCGTATGTAATGTGTCAGTCGTCGTGGTTTGTTATGCAACATCGTCTGTCTTAGACTCTTAGCAGACAGTATCCTGTACCCTAATACTAGATTTATTTACAGCTTCTCACTTCTCAGGCATATTGCCGAGCAAGAGCAAGTTTCTGTCGTAACGTCAGTTATTCTCGCTAATTATGAAATTGCGTGTTATTCTCGCTAATTATGAAATTGCTTGTTTCCTGATATTCAGAGTATTTTGCATCTGTTTTATTTTTAACATCCTTCCAGTAGTTTAAAGTTTGCAAAAAACACAAAACCTTTCTTATTAATTTTACCGTAAATATGCTGTGAAAATTACACTTTCCAACATCAAAATGCGGAATTGTATTTATTGTTAGCTTCGAGAAACACTTGTTTAATCTGGTGATCTGGCAGGAAAATTGTGGTGAATTTACTGTCTTCTTTGCTGACTGGACAACCTTCTCATAGGCTAAACGAAAAATCATATGGTACTTTTCAGTACTGCAAATAAAATGGCATTATACATTGAAATTCGGTCTAGATTCGTGTTCAGGGTGACGTATTTTACGGAACGGATCTATTAATTGAATCTACAGTATGTTGCTTCTGAAATTTGATAGTCGCACGTGCAACTCACAATCGGTGCAAGCATTAAATTCGTTTTGTGTGCGCTTTCGAGGTTAAGAAACCTGTCAATGTTCCTCGGTTTGAACGTTCAAGTTCGAGCGCTTACATCTTGCACGAATATGCGGGTAAAGAAAACTCTTAGATATCAGGATGAATATTGATTTTGGGGATGAGGTTTCGACGTTAACTATGTTCCTAACTTATAGAAACGGATAGTAGTACACTCATTGCGTTCGCATTTCCGGTTGGGTGACAATCTAATGTTTTTTACAGACGCTCTGGAATGGGACATACGATCGGCTTGGCATGCCGATGTGATTGCTGCTGGATCATGGAAAATTGAGTTGTTTTGCTCCTTCTTCCTTGTATCATTGGTCAGCTATTTAAAATGGCTGCTGATTTATCGCCTCGAATCGAACATCAGGTGCTTCCTTTTGACGAATGGAAGAACAACTCCCCGCCGACATTACTGGAGAGTGCCTGCATGACGTTTCTGAAGAATCTGCCTCTATTCTGTGAAGTACGCAAGGATATTCTGTATCTGAAACCGGACATCGCTATTCCCGTTGGAGCGAGTGATGTTCTCTTGGAGAAATATGTCAGAATGCGCCATGTGATCGATCTGTCTAGTTTTGATAAAGTTCGGCGGGTTGTGGAGGCCGAAGACGATTCTTTCCTGAGTGTATTCTTTAATCATGACCACCGCGTGCAGACACGCCTCAAGCGGGCTCGGCTGGAAGATTTAAAGCTGACAGCTGATGTGGTAAACAATCTGATACGTTCGCATCTCGATTTGGAAGAGCTGTACATAAATGTTGCCGATACCAATGGGTCGATAATGGAAAGCATTACGCAGTTGGGATCGCGATTAACCAAGCTGAATTTCCATAATTTCCATAGTCTTTTCAGTGATGAAATGCAGAGATACTTTCGGGCCGATGATACCGGCTGTCCGTCGCCATATAAGCAAAGACAGTACATTGTCAATGCTCCCAATTTGTTATCGCTTGGTATTAAGAGGACGCAACTTCCCACGGTTGGAATGTTTAATCTTTTTCTAAAGCCCATGGTCAAGTTACAGCATCTGGACCTCTCGCTTAGCCTGGTCGGGAGTTTTGCTTTTTTTAATGGACATCTGCAGAAAACTCTGCAATCCCTGTGCTTGTATGGAGTGAAAATTAGTAATGATGATTTCCAAATCATTGCTACGCTTACGAAGCTAAAGTAATCATAATTCTCCATATTGAGTGGTTTCTAAAATAACGTTGAGTGGTTTATGTGCAGATACCTGGATGTCTCGCAGGCGGAAATTTTGCCTGATCAAAATCCATCATGCTTGCGCCTTTTGAATGAAAGTCTTCCAGATCTGGAATATCTAGATATTTCCTACACATGCCTATGCGACCCCATTGCCGGTGCTGTTGGGTACGTTTTTCGGTTATGATATTCGTAAAATTGAAGAAAATTCAAGTATTTACTTTACTATGAATCATGAAACATTCAACGGGCAGAAATCATATTATTTTCTGTATTATTTAATGCTACAAAGACTGACACCGTCACTGCGGAGAATCCCTTGTTGTTGTATTACCGGTCGTTTGTTTTAAATCTGATTCTTGCAACTAAAATTTCAGTGGTGATTGTTTTTAGGCCTGATTCGCGTTTAAATGACGTCCCTAGTTCGATAGAAGGACTTCGCGGACGAAAAAAGCCGTTAGAGTTCCTTGGTCTTTTTCAATGCCGTAACGGGGCATGCCAGTGGAGTATGATCCCTGCATTACGCGTAAGATATCTCTAAGGAAGTCAGCCAGCGTTGATTGCTGACAGGATGTGGTTGTGCACGGTCCATTAAGCATTTCTGGTCGCGTTACAGGTTTCCGGGGATGCCAATGAAGCGCAGATCGTCATAAGTCTTCAGATCTACATGTATCGACCGCGTTATCTGCACAAAGCTCTTAACGATGCTTACCGTCTTTTGCGCTATGAAATCTGTACGAAGCCACATCTTATATTAAAGGTAAGTTGGTTTGAAATATTGCGGATTACTACTTGCATGTTTTTTGTTCGGGCGATTGAGTCTGTTTCAGGACGCCGTTAAACATTGGTTGTATTAATAAACAGGGCAAATAAACCAGCGTTGCGTTAGTAAGCGCATGATGCTATTTTGGAATAGCTTGATGTTGATTGCTTTTATAAGCAGTCACGACAGACAATCCAGTGCTTTTCGTGGTCATGCGTAATCGAAATTTGCCTTTTGATGTTGCACTCTGGGGGAAATCGCGATCAAATTCCTGCATGACGATCTTTATTACAGCTTATTCTGGATGCCATGTTTATGTATCCCAAGTCGATGAGGATCCAGATAGCCGGGAGTGCTGCATTATTCTATGTCGTTCGGAATGATGGGACGAAGAATATGAAGATGGATCCGTATATGCGACGACAAGTGATTCGTGCTATCGTTATGGCTATGGGCAACAATCTTAACGAGCAAACGGTAAAGGCTTTGAAAGCGCTAGGTTTCTTCCATTAGAAGTAATCTTGTGCCGTAATCATGCTGTTAAGGAAATATTTATCTTTGATATTTACCGTTGCAGATGCTGCGGAATGGGTGCTTGACCCTATGCCAGTTCCACATCCCCAATGAAGTGATGTTCCTGTATCGTGATGTAGTAACGGTGCTGCTTAAAATGCTCCGTCTAGCCGGATTGGATGAGTTTCTTCTGCGGATTGGGGTTTTGTTGTTGAACAGTTTGGCTTGTCAAGTGGAGAATGAGCACAAGATGATGGTGGGCGAGATGAAAGCAGTGGAAACTATGATTGATATTATTGGTAGGATGGGAAGTGTTGTTGGTTATGCCATGGCATCGCTTAATCGATTCCACTGTTTTCATGCATACAGAAAATCGTTTACGTGATAACAACTGTGATGAAGTCATGGAAGTATCGTGGAGTATGATGTGGAACGTCACGGATGAGACACCCAAGAACTGCGAGCGGTTTCTGGACAAAAATGGGATGGGACTGTTTTTGCGCTGTTTGACAGTGAGTTGTTTTCGTAAATTTGCTTTGTAAATGTAAGTACTTCCCTGCAGTTGTACTTCAGTACTTTATTTTAGTCTCTGAATTATCACGCAAGGCTTAATAAGGGGGAAATTGCTAAGAAATTCTAACCTTGATTTATTCCCTAATACAGACCTTTTCTGACCGTGGAGAGTTGTTAAGAAACATGATGGGACTGCTGGGTAACGTAGCGGAAGTTCAACATCTGCGGAATAAGCTCATGAATTCTCAGTATATCAAAGTATTCAGGTAAAGCGTTTTGGATCGCTTGCAAAATTGTATATGGTGACATGTCGCGATGGTTTGTTCAGTAATTTGCTGGACAGCACAAGCGACGGTATTGAAGTGAGTTATAATGCCTGCGGAGTGTTAGCCCATATTTGCTCGGATGGACCAACGGTTTGGACAATTGATACACCCACGTATCAAGAGATCCAAGATAAAATGATCGACGCTATTAATCGCTGGCCGCTGCGCTCTAAACGGAACATCAATTATCGGTAGGACCCGGATTTTCCCGTTTTTGCTTGCTTGGAATCGTAATACCTGCATACTTAGGAGTTTTGAACCCATTCTGCGGCTCATCCCGTGGGCTCATTCCCCTGCTTCTCAGCACTGGGCTTGCTGGGCACTGGCCAATCTCACAAGAGTTTACCGTAAGTTATCTTGGTGCAGTGAGCAGCATATGAAAAATGTTCGATTACAAAATGCGTTTTATTTCAGCTGATAAGTATTGTCCCTTACTGGAGAAAGAACGAGGTTTGGAACGACTGCAGCCACTAAAGGATGCGGAAACTCCAGCGAGAGTTGATACCAAAAAGTTGGTCAACAAAGTCTTCTCGCATTATGAACGGTATGGTTACTTATTGTTAGGAATATTTGTTGTAAATTTATCCCCATTCTGTGTTCGGAAAGCACCAATTTGATTAAGAATACCAGTTTGTAAATGGTGAACATAAGCGTAAGAATGGGATTAAAGCAACTCGTTGATTGATTAACGTAGCATCGGGCTATTAGCCCTCACGTTCAAGCATTTGTTTGCAGATTTCTGGATAGAATACCCGTGGAAGCCTGGTCGGACGGAGAGATGGATGTTAGGTAAGTATGTTGGTTTATGTTACTACATAATTTAGCGTGGAATTTTAAGTTGCATCTTGATCTGTTACTAAGTATGATTGGTTGCAGTGATTTGGAAGTTGACATGGAAATAGGTGATGCCGATTCATGAATTCCTTACCCTTCGGCTAATGGAATTTTGTGCTTGATGTAAATGGCTCTTGGTGAGCCCAGATTGCCCCGATCGCGAGAGAACCGAGAGGACTGCTGATAACAGTTTTTGACCTCTTGTGGTTTTGGTGTAATCGCTGAGATCTTTTGTTGAAGATTGTATCCTTTTATTTGTTCTTATACTATGAGTTGTAGCTTAAAATCGGTGACACTGGAATTTAGTTTGTTCTAATCCTCCACGCTATTTTTCCACAGAGTTTTAATTCTCTACTTACGTAACGGGCTGTATTGTACACACGGAAAACATTGCAGTTTAAGTGAGCAAAACTAAGAATCTCACTCGTATTCCAGCAGCAACGGATCATTCGAGCCTGAATTACAGTACTGTACTGCGAACCATTAAATGAAAATCTCGAAAACTTGAAATAAAAAAAAATATTAAACAGAACGCCACAAAACGAGTTTCAACCAAACATTAGCATGCAAAAACTCAAGCTTAAGAGATCCCGATGGTCCATGGTATGGAAATGAGCATATAAACTAGATTTCTTTGAGTCATCGGTGAGCAAAGCAGCCCAGTCTCAGCGATAGCGCAAGATGCGACCAGATGATGTGTTTGCACTGAAGAAAAAACGGAACATCGTCAGCCATTTGATGATATAATGATAAGCGTGCACGATAGCCGTTGAAAGTGTCGGAAACTTATTGGAGTTGCCGGCAATTAGTGGCCGTTTTACCTTTCAACAAGGTCACCGCCGATAATGTCATGGATGGCATAATGCATCCCGATGCAGCGCTTAGGAAGTCCTCGGTGTATTAGTTCCTATGTGAACGAGAAAGCACCATTCATTTCGCAGTCCTACCGTTTTTAAAATAATCACAATCTAGTAAAAGTAAGGAATTACGAAGGTAATGGCAAGCAGACGAAAGACTATCAGCCGGATCAAAAAATCATAATACGCTGATAAGCTACGGGATATTATCTTTGTGTCATAAAGAAAACGATTTATTAGCTTGCAAGTCAGAAATAACAGCTCACAGTTTCCAAAATGCTGGAGTATTTCGACTTCCTGATCATGGTAAGGACCTTTTCACGTCCACTGTGGAACGTTTTGATGAATTGGCCCGCGCCGGGAAACGACACCCACCAACTTTTAACGTCACGAAGAATCAAAACGCCGACTTTGACTAAACTTTGAATGTTTTCGTCTGAAAACATCCTCTCCTTGTTCAGATCTGCCGTAGTGATCGAAACTTCAAAATTTTCGATCATGTCGAGAAATCTTTCTGTAAAATAACGATATCCTAGATAACGTTTAAAAGGGAAATCGGGCAGCTGATATCCTCTGACACGTACTTCAACAGACAAACTAAACCAATGCCATTTCGTAGCAAATGAAAACTCAAACTGACCAATAAGCAAAGGATTCTGCAAGCGATCCCGAGAGTAGCCCCGAACATGCTCCCGGTAATCCTCGGTTTTTATTAATGCTATTTCATCGCCGCGGAGATCGAATTTGATAAATCTGATTTCATTGCGCTGACGGAGAACATTCTAAACAACAAACGAAGAGCTAGTTGATGTTTACGATTTAACAAATAAATTCATAGCGGAATGAAGCGTACCACTTCGCGATCAATTTCAGTTCGAGATTTACGTGGCAACATGCTGTACAGTTGGTGTCTGAATATCACAGGAGGGAAATGATAATTAAAGCGATCCAAGGGAAAATTGCGTCGGAGTTGATCAATGGAAGAACGGACTGTTAAAATTTCTACAATAAAATAATTCCATAGAAATGAATTTGATGGACAGTTAGGTGTAATCATAATGAACAATAAGGAGTACTGAATAGCAGTACTAAAGCCTAAACGGTTTAGGCTAAACCGACAGAGTAAACCTGCGATCTGCCTACCTTCGCGCGATGAACTGCGGAATTTCTTAACCGATACGGACATTTCTTCATTTAATCCCGCATTTAAATTTCCGCTTGTGTTTGTCAGGGAATCTGCACGGCGCTTGTGGCCAGCAGCCGTGTTTGCTCCGACCGAATCCAAATCCATGGCTTCGAATTCTTCGTGCAGAATGGTGGCGAGTGTGGAAGGCAGTCTAGAAACCGTAGTGGCACTCGCTGCGACCAGAAATGTTTCGGGCTATCGAGTATCGGGTACTAAGGTTCAGCTGAACTTGAATATAATCCTGAAAGCATCACTCCAAGAATGGTCCACTTGATTCAAAAAGTGAACAGTTGTTCGAAAATCGGAACAATCAACCTGATTATGAATTAATAGCACATAAAGCCTAAAGGAATAGCCAGTAAAACTGTAAAAGAGCAGTACAGTACACAAACAAGGCAAATTATTATTATTGATTACTGTCAAATGTCAGTAAGTTGCAGAACACAATGATGTTCTGTGATCTTCACTCATTTTATGAATAAGTTATAAATATCACCCTAGCTTCTCCAAACCTAATTAACTTTTTACCACGAAAAGATGCTATTTCGTAATATGGAAGAAAAGTTTTGCAGGGACAGAAGTAAAAACGGGTATCAAATTTTGCAAGTAGCGCAATGAACCCGTCTATTTCGTAGAGTGAGGGCTGTATAGAGTGTAGACACTGGAAAACACAATGAGGACATAAAGAAGTACGTACAATGCAGTATGCTGATGAGCCGACCGCCCGACCGTAGACCACTGGGTCTGACTGGTGAAATCTGATAATCGACAAAACAGTGAGAATCGGAAATTTTTTATAATCAGTTTTATTCCAATATCTGGCTTTTAAATTTAGACGCTGTTTTCAAGTTTCCGACGGAAGCGGACTTTTTCGGGTTCTTTACTTTGAATCCCTTGGAAGAATTGTACCGCTTGCCTTGCAGGCGCTGGTTGCGCGAATCGCTTGTTACTTGTTACGTTAGACTTATTACTTGTAGCTTGTTTAACGACGATACTCGATAGTGTTGCTAATAGTTTTATGCTGCACCGAACAGCGAATTGTGGAAGATATCTGGAGACGCATTCATCAAATGCTCTTGTTAAATTGGTAGAAGGAAACATATCTTTTCGGTTGCCGGTGATTTCTGATTAGTTTTGTCTTGGCCGCAAACGCAAGGAACGGTAGCTTCATCGTATACGAGTGTTTACACCGACGCAGTCCATGGCAGACTGTCGGTGAAGAATTTTGATATTATTATCTATATAATATATTCTTATTATTCCGGGACTTCTGCGGTTGGTTTTGCCCACGAAATTATTATTTGCTTTGTTTGACAGTTTGATCTACGTTGTGCCGGACTGATTTTATATATCTGCGTAAATCGTTATAATTATTTGGACAGTAATGGCCACTGGCGCAGATTCCTCCGGAAATATTAAACCTCTGCAACAGTATTCGAAAGATCCTTCTGGTGAGAATTTTTGGTAAATAATAGCGAATGCAGGGTATTTGCAGTCATACGGCTCATACCAACTACATACCGAGGAAGCTTCTTTGATTCTTGTGGTGTTATTTGTAAATTAATACTGTAAGAGTGAACTGTGAACTATGAATTTATTAAACTGTATTTGATTTTTAACTCGAGTTGCACATTGCAAATCAGTAAAGGCTAAAGCTGTTTAAATACTGATAACAAATTACAGTACGTAGTCAATTCTGCATTTTTAAACCGGTCGCCGATTATATATCCGTGCAGCAAGTCCGTCCCGGTAAATCTGTGCATAAGCCATAAATGCGGTGAATAAATCCGATAATAAATAAACAAGAGGTCGCATTGACTTAGAATTTTTAGAATACAGTCTGAATTCTGATCTACAATTTTACAGTAAAAATATTTACCTTTACAATACTCATACTAACTACCAATACTCAAACCAATCGCTTGAATAGGGGCTACCATAATTCCGGCATCAAAAAGGGCAGATGGAACGTGGCGGAAACCCATTCGTGTGAAGGAGGGATTTGTTCCACAAGACGAAATTCCTGCGTACGATCGGTTCCAACTTTTGAACTCTGCTGTTTCTATATATTATCTTTGTTTTCAGGTACAAAACGAAACAGGAAATAATTCGCACAAACATCCCCTCAGGGCCATTTGGACTGGACCCCGCAGACGCTCCTGCCCAAGCGGACAAAGTGCTTTCTAAATCGGCGAAAAAGAGAGCGAAACAAAAAGAGAAAAAAGCACAGGAACATTCCGAAGACGTGGCTGAACATATGCAGAGCCTTAGCATAAGCAAGAATACCAAAGCATCGTGATAAACATTTTTGCGAGACTTGATTCTGCGGATGGTTGGGTCATTGGGTGGCATCCTGACAGCGCATGTGCATGCTGTTCTGTTGACTGGAAATTGTGTGCGACAGCAAACACTACCAGTTTATCTTTTTAACGTCACAGTTACACCACTGGCCTGATTTTTATGGTTTCCGAGCTGGGTTTGTGTATTGGTTACCGTATTGTTGTCTTCGTTATTGTTGTAGATTAATTTTTATTTTTTGACTTTTTTAATCGCTTTTCCTGCTTTGTTGAAAGATCGTCGCCTTAATGCCGATTTCCGTAAAAATTTACGTTCAGATTTTAACATTTGTCTCGTTATCATTTGTTAGTAACATGAGTGCAATACTATGTTATTGTGCAGCAGTGGCGTTTTAAGCAATTTTATTGCTGATTTTACTGGCATTGCACCATTTGTGGACCCTCCGGTTGTCGAGCGACAACGTAACAGAAGCACGCGTGCGGTGGCCCATGCCACAGGCTGTTTTAACGTAAATCTTTGAAAATTCATAACTTTGTTCATTCCTCCATTAAATTTTTATGCATAGTCTTGAAAAATGCAGAATAATACACAGTATCAGGCAAAAGAAATGCTTTTTAATTTTTCTTTCAGGATTGTGCGCTGTTAGCCTGCGCGGCTAGCATAGCCGCCTATGGAGGATTTCCCATAGGCGGCTATGTTAACCGCAGAGGCTCATACTGCATTACCCTAAAGAAGAAACAGAAAACATTTATTTTGCCTAATACTGTGTGTTATTCTGCATTTTTTAAGACTATACATAAAAATTTAATGCAGTAGTGAAAAAAGTTATGAATTTTCAAAGATTTACGTCAAAACAGCCTGGCATGGCCATGCACGCGTTTGTTACGTTGTCGCTCGACAACCGAGGGTCCACAATGGTGCAATGCCAGTAAAATCAGCAATAAAATTGCTTAAAACGCCACTGCTGCACAATAACATAGCATTGCACTCGTAACATCCCTTGACATGTTTGCCTTCCCGCGGCGCCATCCGGCGGTGATGCTGGAATGCTGGAACTGTTATTTGAAAATTAAAACGTGCCATTGCGCTACGATTGTTCAGTGCATTTCTTGCCTACCTTAGAGGGCGGTTTGGTGCTAATAAGTAACTGCGTTAACTTTTTTCCCTTACAGTTTACTCATAAAGGCTAAACTGCTGAAGCCATGATTTATGGCGGTTTGTGTATGGCGGTTTCGTTCCCAAGGGCAAAATATAAGAACGAAACGTTATATGAATCGCACTGGGAGAAGAAACTTTGAATTGTTCCCAGTTCCTGCGACAAAAAATAATAAACAACTTCTTTGAAGCCTTTATCGGTGTAACTCAGTAAACTGTAGGGCATTGGCCTCTCGGTTTTCACTTTTCACATACAAGATACAGCGTTTGATTGCAGATCCAGGATGGATGTTGTTTCGGAATTTAATGGCGATATTATCGAATTCAAGGACGATGGAGCGCGACTGCACGGTATTTTCCCCTTCACAGCCGCTTTGAGAAAGGAGAATCCGGCGTTAGTGATTGACAACGGTGAGCCAGTGCGGTTCGGTAGCAGGAGGGTACGGCATGATCGAGATGGTTAAATCTTAATCTTGCGCTTTCAACTTATTATTAGGCTCGTGGCAGATTCGCGCTGGCTGGTCAACCGACTCCCATCCAGCCTTTGCCTTCTACAATTTGTTAGCCAAGCATAAGGGAAAGAAAGGGGTAAGGAGGGTATCTTTTAGACCCTGTTGAGTGGTCTAACTAGTACCACAGCTTGCTTTGCGTGCTTGCTGTGATCAGTACCGTATTTGTTCTGTGCTTGGTTCCAGGATCTGGAGCCCGTATTTATCGGGAACGACCTGCGCCCTATCGAAGCGCTGCGCTGGATGGTTCGGTCGCCGTTTGACGGCAACGTTGTGGTGCAGTATGATTATCAGGAAGCGATCTTTGATTATGTTTTGGCCAGTTTGGGACTATCGGAGGAGCAGAAGCTGGAAATGCCGCTTGTTATAACCGAGCCTTTGCTCAATCCGCTATACTGCCGGAAACGTAAGTCGTGCCGATTTTTAATTCAAACTAGTCTGCAGTTGTGAGATAACAATAAATTGACCACTTTACCTGCGCTTCTCGGGTGGATCTCGGCGTGTTGCTGGTTACCCAGAATATTGTTGTGTTTTTTGCAGATATGAGCGAGCTTCTGTTCGAGTGTTATGCTTTTCCGCATGTGGCCTACGGCGTTGATGGTGCCTTCAGCTTCTACAAGAATTTCCAAGGAACAGGTTGGTTTTGTTGTTATCTTTATATTCATACAAGCTTACCGACCAAAGCGTATTTATGCGCCGTTTTTAACTCCTCGATAACTCGTGGTCAGTTTAAGTCTAGCTTGGTCTTAAAAAATTCCATATTTTCCATAGGTGTGCCAATGGATTTTTGTTTGTTTTTAATAACCAGTGGTCAGAAGATGGTTTCACCAGGTCTTAAGTATAGGAAACGTGAACAGCACTCGAAGAAGTATTCACTGCACAGCAATAAAAAGTGCTTTACAACATAATAACTGTAACCACGGAGACTACAGAGTCTGTATAGCGGATGCATAAATAAATACTTGCTCTTTAGGTAAAATTTGTATATTATTACGTCATGCAAAAGTCCATACGTATTTCAGAGCGTCAAAACGTCAGAAATTCAAAACGTAAGAACGTCAGAGCGTCATAAAGTGAGAACATCGGAACGTTAGAACGTAAGAACGTCATAAAGTAAGAACGTTAGAACGTTAGAACGTCAGAACGTTAGAACGTCAGAATGTTAGAACGCTAGAACGCCAAACGTCAGAAGGGCATAACGTCAGAACGTCATAAAGTGAGAACAACAGAACGTTAGAACGTTATTAGAACGCCAAACGTTAGAGAAAGTCAGAACGTTAGAACGTCAGAACGTTAGAACGTTAGAACGCCAAACGTCAGAACGTCATAAAGTAAGAAGATCAAAACGTTAGAACGCCAAACGTTAGAACGTCAGAACGTTAGAACGCCAGAACGTTAGAACGTTAGAACGTCAGAACGTTAAAACGTTAGAACGTCAGAGTGTTAGAACTCTAGAACGCCAAACGTCAGAACGGCATAACGTCAGAACGTCGTAAAGTGAGAACATCAGAACGTTAGAACGTTAGAACGTTATTAGAACGCCAAACGTTAGAGAACGTCAGAACGTTAGAACGTCAGAACGTTAGAACGTTAGAACGTCATAACGTTAGAACGTCAGAACGTCATAAAGTAATAACATCAGAACGTAAGAACGTCAAAACGTGATAAAGTAAAAACGTCATGAAGTACGAACATCAGAACGTTAGAACGTCAGAACGCCAGAACGTCATAACGTTAGAACGTCACAACATCAAAACTTCAGAACGCGAAAAATTAAAATTGTCAGAACGTCAGAAATTCCGAACGTCAGCCTTTATATATTTATAATGACCTTTCCAAAACAAAGCCAATACTATCCAGTACTTAAGTGCCGAGCGCGGATGCGCGAGGCTACCTTGTATTTGTTAAAACTAAATTAAAATTGTTTTATTTGTTGGTTTTTTCAAGCATTATTCAGTGATCTGTGAGAATTTGCTTTTTGATGCCTGTTATGGCAAAATTACAGTATATATTTTATAGATACAGTATATATTTTATAAATTACAGTATATATTTACAGTTTTGGCATTCTATATTTTATGGATATCTAACTCCCGGAATGCTTCACAGGAGATGGGATAGTTATTAATGCTGGGAACGTATGCACTCACATCATTCCCATTCTGAATGGCCAGATGGATATCGGCCATGCTCGTCGCATTGATCTCGGAGGACTGAATATGACTCTGTACATGCAACGTCTACTGCAGCTGAAATATCCGGTGCATGCAGCTAGCATTACCATTTCCAGAATGGAGGTAGAGCGCTTGTCGGAAAAAAGGTTTTAGCATATTAAAATATTGTTTTTGAACATATGCCGCCTGACTTTGAGGTTTTAACGACAGGCAATTTACCTGACTGGAATTTTAAATATGCTTAGGCTTTGAACACTGTAGTTTTGGTTATCTCACCTAATCCCGCTGTTCCCATTTTCAGGAGATAGTTCACGGTTACTGCTTTTTCGCTGATAATTATGCAACGGAACTGGCGAAGTGGCGTAGCAAGGGACACCATAGGAGTTCGGTTTTGTACTTCCAGTTGCCATTCCAGGCTGTAAAGAAGAATTTAACCTATCCGTCCTAGTTGACGATACCTTTCTTTTACAAAAATAGTTGATTTTTTTCCCTGTTTTAGGCTGGTCCTCCTGCTGCGACACAAGAGGAAATCGATGCTCGTCGTGAAGAAAACGCTCAGAGGCTGCGTGAAATGAATCGCAAGCGGCGTTTGGAAAAACTTAAAGAGGAGGAAGAGCGACGCGAAAAACTGTTGAATCTCCAGGAGCAGTTGAACACGAAAGGCCTAAAACAGGCTAAAGAGGAACTTAAAGCATTGAGGGTGAAATCGATGGAAGCGCTGCAAACAGAGGTTGCTCAGCTGACTTCCACGATTGAGCGTACTCGAGAGCGACTGGAGCAAAAGCCGGTTGCAGAGCCGAATGCGGCCAGCGCTGAGCAGCCCATGGATCCGGAAACCGTTGCCGTTTATGTTGCAGATTTGAAGGAACAACGCCACCGACTCCACGAACAAAAAATCCAGCGCAAACAGAGAAAACTGGAACTAGGAAAACGCCGTAGTTATGCTTCCCAACAGCGCATGAAAATTCTTACACAGTTGGCAAGCGGTAAAGTAAAGCGGTTAAAATTTTGTCGTAGAGCGGTTCTTAAGTTTCATTCATCAAGAGTTTCTGTTTCACTGCAGGGCGGACGGGTAAGAAAACCAAGAAAGAGGACACCTTTGGAAAAAATGACGAGGATTGGTTGGTGTATAGAGAAATTGTAAGAAGGTGTTTAGTTATGAGATTCAGGCATTCAGCTGTTTAGTTGCATGTGAGAACCGTGCTTTTTCTTGCCAGAATAAAGAAGCAGGTGAATCTGACTCTGAAGAAGAGCGAATGCAGATGGAGGAAATTGAAAGTCTTTTGTTGAAATACGATCCCGTATTTCGAAAAGAGTACGAAAAATCTCAGGCTATCGCAGCCGGCGTCCCGCCCAAGTCGCCCGAATACTACCGGTTAGAAGTTGGCGTTGAACGATTTAGGTAAGGCGGTCAGACTTGATGCGTTCCAAGATAGGTACCTACTTGACATTCCGGAGTTTAATCTTGTTATTCGGCATAGGGTTCCAGAAATTCTTTTTCAGCCATCACTGGTTGGCATTGATGAAATGGGTATTTTGGATACGCTGGAATATTTATTTAGCGAATACCCCGAAGATATTCAAAAGCGACTGGTCCAGAATGTGTTTTTAACTGGTGGATGCACGAATCTTCCGGGCATGGATCAACGACTGCAAAATGAACTTGCCAGTTGTCTCCCTTATGACACGCCTTTTAATATTGTCCAAGCTGGTAATTTGATCAATTCTGTTATCGTACAGCAACAACTCCTTGCGACATGTAACTATATCATCTTTTAATTTGCAGCCGATTCCACGGACGATGCATGGGCGGGAGCGTCTTTATGGGCGCGGAACACAACCATAGAAGACGGTTATCTTAGCAAACAAATGTACTTAGAAAATGGCCCAGGATTTTGTAAAGAGCATCCTCTCAGTAATAAGTATCGTCTTCCCCCTGTACGACCGGTAGAAGCTGCTGAAGCCAAAAAACAGAGCGGAAGCAAAGGGAAGTGATTCCCTTATGTGCAAAATAATTCCTGAGAAACCCCAATGGGTGGTCGAATTTTCCGTTCCGACGTCTGCGATCTCAGTTTTCATGTTTAACTTTTTGTAAGCAGACGAAATGGTTTTATTGAATCAAACTTGTATTCGATCTATATTGTATTTGTATTGTTCAAGTGTTTTATCGCAGCGCTCAAAATAAACGCGCTGTACGGTGCACTGGCGCTGAACTGACCGAAGGCATAAATAAATTAATATACATTTTTTGTCTGTTTAGTGTTTACTAGATAATACCGAATCCGCAGTTCTTGATAATTTTATCGAAAAACTGATAATCGCAATTCGCATGTCATATTCCAGCAGTTTCAAAACATGGTACTCGCGCTTTTTAGGCTACAAATAAACCAAATTATCTACAAATACAAGCTATTTGGAAGAGAAATTTATCTGTAAGGTTTATCTGGATCCGACGGTGGGAAAGAATCTTTCAGTGGATCATAAGCAGGTATTCTTTCGCTTTCCTGCATCTGCACTCCGCTGTCTGCCAACGCATTTAAGAAAGCTAGCATCTGAAAACACCATTTTTGCTTAAAAAAGTGTAACGTAGTTCTAAATTCCGATCCTATGAGGCCGGGGTGGGTTAACGCAATCAACAAAAGTATGTCTAATCTGTTATCTCCCGCCAACATTTCGCCAAAAGCTTACACATTTTTGAATATTCAAATTCAGCCCGACAACTTCATTTTACAAAATCTTACTCTCTGGGACTTTTTATCCTCTTCGGTGTAAGGCGAGTAGACGAAAATTATGCCAGTTTCCAGCATCCTTCTGCCCAGAATTCGGCCAATATTTTCCGCAGCGCTGACATCTGTGTTTCGATATAAATGTCTCGCTATAGCCAATTCCTCCGTGGATGCGGAAACAATTACGCGGCCATCAATATGTTCCACATACGCTTTTGTATGATGTTCAGTTTTCTCAAGTACTAACCTGTACAGCGGAGGGGGAAAATATGAAAAATAACAGAAAGCTGTAATTCGCCGACAACGGCGTAAGAGATTTCAAAATCAAAGATATATTTTGTATTACAGTACTCTTACTCTAAATGTTAACGCCGACTTGCCATTTGTAAATTAAAAGACAGCAGAGTAAGGCTTACTTGTTGTAATAATCCCTCCGTTTGGCTTCCAAGCCCCAGCCCACCGCTTTATGAGCAAGATTCATTAACTCCATATTGCGCGGATTGCGGTTGTAGAACTCGGGATTAATACTGCCATCCGGCGCTTTAAGCGGCTTCGGCTTGGGCAGCGGAGGTAAATTTAGGATGCGTTCCTTTGGATTTGCCCCTAGTTTGCCGGGATCCGGGGGACTGATTCGGTAGAAAGCAAGGGCCTTCTCCAGTATTTCGTCCTGCGTTAGGCCAGCGTTACCGTTCGGAGCTAACTTGAAACGGTTCACTGTTTTGCCATAGGCATCTGTACATTGTTCGTATTTCTCCAGTTTTGTTGGTACAGCCAAACACTTGTTGTCCCGCCTCCTCACACTTAGCCATGGTGAGACGGAGAAGTTGCGAGAGGAAGATTGTGCGATCCTGTTGACAGATCCGCAAAGGATAGCACCTCCATGAGCCATTCCTTCGTAAGAAACTGGGTACATGCAACCCGCAACCGTGTTTCGCAAACTCGGTAGATAGCAAGTGATAAAGAATAAGCCGCAAGTTACAGTAACGATAAAAAAGCAGGGTGGCGTATTTTCAGGGATATGTCGCTCTGGTCGTTTTCCGTTGCAGAATCTGAATTACACAGACTACTGACACACACAAGCCGCAATTGATACAGTGCAGTACTTATCGACGTTATCGTTACTGATACATACGGTACACGACATGTACAATAATATTTCAAAAGTAAATCGCTTAATTCGGCTTACATTTCACAGTCAGCCCAGTTTGTTGGCTCCTCAAAAAATATTTTTAACACATTTTAGATGTGGTCACATTGTGGTGCTTACCAATTCCATCAAAATTGCCGGATGTTTATAGTGGAATTTTTTTGCTAATGCTAAGAGTATAGACTATAGAGTTCACTAACTACAGTAGGTAAGTATGCAAAAATTTTAAAATTCATTAACATCATGTAATTTCTCTAGACAACATCGTCTAGAGTAACCTTTTTGTGTTTTTCGATTTTTCTTGGGAATTTTTGTGGATAAATAGTGAGCCCTGCCATTTCTGGTTCGAACCAGATTGGCAGGGACAAGTAAAAGTTGTTCAGAGGAACTACAGGTACACTCTCCAGTGTACGAACTGCCCTCGGTTCTCGCAGCATCTTTTCGTGACTGTATTCCTCTCATTATTCCTTACTTAACTTCATACTGCTCGAGTCATACGTCGGAACGCATTCTTGTCTGTCTAATGGAGTCGTCAGGACGCTGGAGCCTTTGCTGCGGGAGCGACCGCATGCGCCGTGAGGGGGGACATTCTGGGGCGTCTGAATGTTGTGCTTCGAGTGATCTGGGGGCTTGCCCTTATAACGCTTCGCGTTTGGCCCTTTTAACCAGTGATCTCATCAGCGCGGCATCCGGTCAACCCCTAAATCCTGCTTTTATGGTAAATGCGGCCGAAGAACGTAGATCTGTGCTGTGGAGCCTTGTTGACTTCTGCAACTCTCACTGCGCGTTGGATCGTTTCATTTCGTTGTTCATGTCGTTGGGGTATCGTGGAACGAACGTGGATCTTCCAGGCTCTGGAGACGGATGGAGGAAGCGCGGATGTTTGCGGTCGGATTTTTTTGTTGTTACGCCCGAAGCAATCTGGGGGCTTGCCCTTACAACGCTCTGCGTTTGGCCCTTAACCAGCGAGCTCGTTGGTGTGGCACCTGTGGATTCTGGCTGCTTGTTTCCGTAGTTTTTTCTGTCGGTCTCTGTGTTTGCTAGGTTCGCGACTGTCGTAAAATCATCTTAATTGTCAGTTGTTTTCGCCTATGTTGGTTTGAACATTTTCATGTACTGGGATGTATAATACAGTACTCATCAAAAAAAAAAAAAAAAAAAAAAGGTAAGCCTTATGTAGAATAATTTGTTCTATTTTATCGCCTTAAAGTGTGAACTCTGAAGTTTAAACAAAAACATTACATACTGTACCTTTAAATTTTAGTGTTGAAAAATAGAGGGGGAAGATATATTCATGTGCACAGTACTTGCAGCTTGCTTGCTATTTTGTGAAGGATTTGCGCAAGGGTATTTCCCCATCTCGAAAAGTGGAGCTTGAGAGTCGGCACGCATAATCGGAATCTGGCGATAGCGTTTTCCAGTGGATTCGTATTCCATAGACCATACGTACTCAAATTTCGTATGCTTCCTTAGAAAAAATTGCTCTTCTGTTGCTGTTGTCTGCTGACAGCCGACGGGTTAGTCGCGAAGCCGTTAAAGTTAAACATTATTCTAACTCTCCTCATCTTTCGGGTTCAGTTTGCAAACTACAAACAACAAGCGTCTTGTAGACCAGATTTGCCTTTGAATTTGATTGATTCACTTTAAATTTTGGGCAACGCATTAATTTTAGCATGTGCATCTAATCATCTTCTACCCTTTTTTGGTTTTCTCTTAAAAAGCTATCATAGTAGACTGAAAAAATGCGTAAAATTATTGCAAAAGTATAATACTATAATGTTCTGTAAAACATGGAATGCTGAATCACTGCGGTCTGCTCCGGAATTTTTTTTCGTGAAAATTTTGTGGGTATCACTTCGTTATCACGTTATAATAATACGAGTTTTTCAGGAGTCTCTTTATTCCCCTTACTTTAATTTATAGTTGTATCTGTGTGGATTGCGGCTGCCTAACGACCGAATATGCGGATGACATCTGTTTTACGAAAAGGCGTTCTTCCCGAGTCATTCAAGAGACAGTGGAACAACATCGTGCAACGCCGTGTCGATGCCTATAACGATTATCTCCAAACAAATTTCCCCAAAATTTACGAATTGCAGAAAGCTCTGACGACAGGTATTCTAACATTTTTCAGCGATTACATTATTTACCTGGGTGATATTCAGGCATGTTTTTCGTATTTACGAGTATCTTTCAGAAAGATTTCGGTACAATTTCGTAATAATTTATTATGTAACAAAAACTCAATACTTATGAGATCCGTGGCATCAATCATAATTGACTTGTAAACAGCATTTAAATATTGTGTTTTGCGCCAAGGTTTTCGTATAACAATGTGATCAATTCAGTAATACAATATTTTAATTATAATCTACCTGCGCAAGCTTATTAGAACGAACTATTGCCGACAAAAAAACTTATTGATCGAACATTTTAGTTAACACCTGAGAATGTGAATTAACGAGTCACATATAACGAGGATTAAATAACTGCTTAGTGGTAAGTCTGTAGAACATTTCACATCGTTCTTCGCAATTTTTAGGTGTCAAGCAAATATTGATCGAAGGGAAAGAATACGGTGGTGCCGTATATCAAGCACGCATTCTGCGGAAGCCATGGGAAGACCTGTCCTATCGGCAGATATACTTGCGCAATCAGTATCCGAGGGAATTATGGAAACTGGGACCGGTTTTAGCCATAATGGCTCTTCCGTTTTCCACTTTCGCCTTGCTGCCTATAATGTATGCCACTTCCAGCCTGTAAAATGTTTACGCTAGCGGTATTCTAATGAATAACGGTCCAATCTTAGTTTACCTATTGTAATTTTTTTATGTCGGTTACTGTGCGATACTGTATTTATTATCGGAAAGTGACCTCTGAGCGCATAATTACATTTTCCGTTTGGCATTTTAAGCAACGACGGGAATGGTATGCAACGTATGCAACGACGGGAATCGTATTTATTATCGGAAAGTGACCTCTGAGCGCATAATTACAGTATTAAGGACTTTTTTTAAAATTTCCTCCAGTTTGCACAGGTTGAGCTTTGGATGAAGTGATGATTGAAATATATTTTTTATCCTTCTTTAAATATGGAAATACAATCGGACCGGTCAAACCTTATTAATTGTAGCATACGATTATACTAGTACTGTGCATACAAAGCAATAATATCATTATAATACGTCGGAACCATGATTCGAGCCAAGCTTTTACTGTGTTTTTCAAATATGTTTATCGCCTAAATATTCCCGTTTTTGTTCCTCTTTAGATATTTCTTTCCTAAATATTTTCTTACTCATCATTTTTGGACGGATGCTCAAAAGAAAGCGTTCGCCGCGTCACAGATTACATCACGTTTAAGAGCGGTCCCGCATCTTGCGCTCGACCTGCATGCAAGGCTGCCACTAATAAAGGATCCTAATAATCGCGACGCTTGTGCCAGTTTGTTGAGTAAACTCAAAGAAGGCCGGCTCATCCATGAGAGAGACATTCTGGATGCACAGGACGAATTTCAGCGCGGAGTTTTTCGATACGATAAGCTGTCTGTGGACCATCAGACATCGTTGGCCAAGTTGAACCATATTTTTTCATTGAACGCGACTTACACTGCTCGGAATATTGGTCTGGCAGATTCTTATCTGGAAAAGCATCCCGATTTCCAGTTGAGCAATCAGGAGGTGCGCGATGCTGTTCTAACACGGTGCCTTTATCCTTTTGCTGATCAGGAGCGCCTCAGGGATTTTCTCGATGTTTGGACTTCGACGTCCACTTTAATCAAAGGTATGTTGGTACTTTCTGCTAGCGTGACCTTCTTCTTAAGTTTTGATTCTGGTTAAAATGCGAGCCCACTTTAAATAATGCGAGTCGGTACGGTCACTTATACGGTCTACGAATCAGACTTGGTATTCTGTGAACTCACATGAGCACTAGTTTCAAAAAAGGTGGATCATTTGTTACTAAGTACTTTATTTAGTGCCTCTTTGAGCCTCCTTGAGGCCATAACAGCCACGTACGAATCCCCGGAAGCGGAGGGGCAGGCGAATAGTAACCACTGTGAAGCGTTCCTGCATCGAGCTGTATGCGTTTTGGCTCCGAAAAACCAGTGTTTTTTAACATTCTTACTTGCTTAACGAGCTTGATAAATCCAACTGTTTACAAATTGTTGCGTGGTTTATCACGCACGTAAAAGGAATGACACCGCGATGCTTTCCTTGTCGCTTAATTTCTTCATAAATTTTCAGGAGTGATTAGTTAGCAACTTAGACAGTTTCGGTGTACCTACAGATATGAACAGGCAACTTTTGAAAGTTCAAGAGTAATATGGTATATTGTAAAAAAATGCACCAATTCCCATATTCGAAAACTACCCTCGCAATTTGTTTTGCCATCTTTTTTCTAACTGATTTGCTGTTTTTACAGAGCCGTCGGTATCTTTGCGCCTTCATTTGCCAGTGTTTCTTTCATATCCTCATCCTGTGAATGCTGAATTTCGTTAGGATCAGTTACAGTAAACCAAGCAGCCATTAATTTCAGAACGGAATGATTATGAAATGAATTGAGCATGTTCAAGTAGAATAATTGGATTGTTCCGAATTGTTGTGTTTGTTTTAAATTTATTACGGTGAACCCAGTCCAATATTAGGAGCAAAACTCTGGTTCAGAAACCTTTGTTACATAAATACTGGTGAACAGTCAAAGAAAACAGTAAAACGCAAACAGCTTCCGTTCTTAATAATATTCACAACTGCTGTAGTAATAAACAAACACTAATATACAACAAACATCTGACCCAAACGCTTTCACACAAATCAGATCTGGATATGTTAACCTAGCAAGAAAGGATATAATTTCCGCTAGCCATCGGGAGACATCGATTTCCTGGGCTTTATGTTTGCTAATCTGTCCATGCTGGTCGACAAGCTGAGTAACGGAGATCTGTGGTACAATTTGTCAAAAACGTTTACCGACGCTGCAGGAACTGTGGTTAAATCCATAGGAGGGGATGGAGTTCGCGACACTGACGAAAGACTACCAGAACTCCGCCGGCTACGAACTTTCCCATCCGACTCGTCTCTGGTTGCTTCGGCTACTTCATCATCGGAACTGAGCGTTGGCACGTTGAGAATCTTAGTCAGCTCCATGGCTGCGGTAGGCACCGGTTCGGATGGACGAGGAAATACCGGACGTGTCAGGCCAACTTTATCGTTTTTCAGGACGCCGGAGAGCCTAAACATTCAATATTTTTATTAACGATCACCCGATGATAAATAAACCGATGTCATAAGGTTCAGTGCTGGTTGAATTAAGAAGAAATTTTTTTACAGCCTATTCAACTTAGCAGTTCACTAAAGGAATTTGCAAACATCCAGCTTACCCAAATATCGAATCACCAGAAACGCTGCTCGACCTGGAATTTGTAAATGTGTTCGTCGTGGGAGTGGAGCGAAAGTTGCGAGCCACAACTGACATTCCTGCGAACAAAAACGCCCCGATTGAACATTTATCGCAATTCAATTAATGTGGAGTAACGTGAACATCATAAAAGCCAGCATAATAGCTACCGTCGTTCTTCGCTTCCCTTCGAACACCAGGCTTCCCCATAATCTTATCACTTTCCTGATTCTGGCCTTTCGTAAGGATACCGTGTCGAGATTCCAAAAATCCATCCAAGGATGATGTGGCCAGACTTTTCCACTTCGCCAGATTATGTGAACCTTCCATTCGCTTTACCAGTAGCAAATTGGGAGACAGATCATGATGCGTTGGGTGGGAGCGGTGGGCACTGCTAAATGAGGAGTCACTGCCAGCGCCCAGTGACATGGCACTGTCGGGTGTGGCACATCGGCGCGCATCGAACAATGAAATGGACGAGCGACCGGACAAGGATTTATCACAGAGAGAATCATCGTTAAACGAGGGCTCCAGTGGTATCACAGATTGACTATCAGAGGCTACAGATTGAAAATAACTTCCACGGGAAGGTCCCCTGTAAGAGAACATTCTAAAGAACATTTGCAACAAAACTGAGATAACTTCAAGAGGAAAACGCAAACGCATCATATTAAAAATGTATAACTGTAACAACTACGCTTTTAAATAAAGCCATTGCTTACAGAACAGAACTATTATTGGCACTTGTTAAAAGCTTCGCTTTGCGCGGCGATGACGCCACACTGGTGACACATGCACTGGTAGCATTCACGGTAGTGCAACTATTTTGAATGGGACGCTGGGCATTTGCTAGTCGCATGACCTCCATAAGTTTTTTCAGGTGATCGGTGCAGCTATTAAAAGCAAAAGATGTAAAAGGATAAAACAAAGTCCAAGATAGTGGACTAACTCTTCCTCTTCTTCGTTCTCATGGCATCCAACTGAGTTGAAAATATGATGCAAGGATAAATTCAGTTCCGCAGCCAGAGATGAATCCATAGCCGAGATGGAGGAAGACATTTCGCTCCATGTCTGCACATGATTGTCCCTTTTACGCAGATCCTTCAGTTCGTCTTCCAAATCGTGCGTATAACTGCAGAGGCGGTCGTACTTGTCTTGCATTTGTATCAGCTAAAAATAACAAAATGACCTTTTCTTACAGAAACAGGCAATTTAAAATGTTGCTTCTTTGATCACAGAAAACATTTACAGCGGCAGCAGCTTCTCTTAAAATAAAAATTACAAGTGCGCTTACGTATGCACCACAGCACACTATTCTCAGTGTACGGGTAATGTACTGAAATTACACTAATAATATTAACAATAAGCATCTACAGGTTACGATAGCTTTACTTCTGGAGAGCATTTACTGTTCAATTAGAATCAAGCCTAAAAGACCAAGTTGTAGCAACAAGTTCACAAAGCATTACTGATCATTTTCATAATTATTTCTCTCAAAATGGCAGCGGACATACCTCACAAGCCAACTGATTCTGATTTTCCCTGAAAGCTTCCAGTGTCGTCTTTAATTGATCATTCTCAGCAAATGCCTACAAGGTGAACATTGCATATTAAATGGATATTTACTGACGCTTAATGTCACTTATTCCGATTGTACCTTTTTGATACGCGTCTGCAATTCAACCATCTGCAATTCAATCAAATGAAAAGACACTTTGTCACAGTTATTACAAAGACAACATACACTTACATGCAAAACCAGCTATACCGGTGCCATTCAGTGGTGCACTGTTTCACACCTTACACTTACTTCATTGAGCAGTGCCGTCACTTCATCTTGCAGAGTTGCGTTTTCTTCGGTTTTCTTTTTCAAACAAAACTGAAGGCTTTGAATTTTCTCATTGGAGTCCGCTGTTGAAATGACATACAGGTACCATTTAAATAAACAATACTCAAGGAAAAGTGTTCGTATTTTCAGGAGTGAACCACTACTGGTACCAACATCATGCTACTAATCCGAGCAATAACCTCGGTCCTCAGCTGGCAAAATCCACATGATTGGCAAAATTAATTGTTATCATGCGCTGCATGCAGGACAAAAGCATTACATATTTTTTCCGCACCTCGCAAGCGTTCTTGTCAAATTTTTGTTTTATTTTGTTGCACAAATATAAAAAAGAATACACATACTTTTTTCAGAACAGAAGTCCGGTCATGCCATAACGCAATAACAGTACTTATCATAATCGGCGCAAAATCCGACCATGTGTGCGTGAACGAGCAAAAAAGTCGATACTATGCTCACATCCGTATTGTCAAAATGCACATACCAAGTTCCTTGACGCAGTCATGTATGATTTCTGTCTCTTTGGTATCAAACTCTGCCGCTTCGGCACTTAATTCTTTGGCCTATTACAAAAACCGAAAATCAATGCAAAATAACACATGGCACAGTGCATTATTCAAGAGCACCAATTGTCCCACATCACACATCACCAAACTGTTCACCTCTAGTCGCAATCGATGATTTTCATCTTCCAGCACACGGATGGTGCGCTGCAAAGCATGGAACTTCCGGACCGTGGCATCATCACTGCAAAAGATCATCGGTAATTCAAGCTTTTGGTTCCAACGGAAATCCAGCACAATGGCAAACAACAGTTAATAAGTATTCAAACGATACCTTTCCACACCGTCCCCATCATCATAATCCGGCACTTCATCCAAGCATATCCGCAAAAGTTCTTTGTTCATGGCCAATTCATGGCGCAGTTGTGTGAGCTGCGTATGAGAAAAAGCCAAAATTATTTCGAGCACCAATGAGCCTAATATAATCAGCTTAACGAAGCATGACCTTACAAGTTCAAAGCGTACACGCGTGAGAATAAACATTGCCTGCTTCTTACCTCGTCTTGCGTAAGACTGTACAACCGGACAAGTTCATCGTGGTTGTGCTGAAGGACATTGTTTTTTGATAACAACGATTGCCCAATGCGAGCGGCTAATTCAAGATCCTTTTCTTTCTGCAAAAATTGCAGCAAGATTTTTACTTTATCGTAACAACTAAGGAAAGGTAGAAGATTACGAAAGAAACTGGCATGTTTCCTTAAGGAGATTCTTCTCGCTTACCTCAACGATCAGCCGCTGCAAGCTGTCTACGTCCGGCGGTGCTTCGGCCATCGGGAGCGGTGGACGACGTGCATCAATAAAAGCTACAAAGTAATCCACGAGCATTAACACCAGTATTTATCAAACACCGAACTTATTATTGTACAAAGGCGCTTGTGTTTATCTTTGGTCATTGCCGCAACAATTTCAATAAGTGACCGCAAAGGAGACTTCATGCTATAGTAATAATACCGGTGAATCAAGTCGATACGAAAGTTTTCCACCAGCAACGCGACCACTTTCTTCACGAATACAAGACACCGCAATAATCCAGAATTCGTATACAAAAACTCCTAAACAAGTAGGATGCGCAAGAATAAAATGAAAATCCTCTCACTAAACTTCTCAGTAAAAGTCTCGCAAATCTGATTTCATTAAAGAAAAAAAAAAGTGCCGCACACAGTATCACAAAAGACTAATGCAATTTCCTTATCGCCATCGTAAACATATTTTCAAGTATGAATTACATTTAGATCAATGTTATCCCAATCAATACGCAGCCACAAGCTGGACTACGTAAATGACTCTACAAACAGTGAGAGATCAATTCTGACAGATCAATTAAAGGTGATGCGAAGGTGCACACTGCACAGGTAAATGTAAAGGCGGAACTGTACTATATTTTCCTCTGACGATATCCTGTAATTCCATACAATAAACTTAAACAGCAGACAGGAAAACAAATATTCAGGGACCAATGAACAAGAAACTACGTTACTGCAGAGGAATTCCGTCAATGGTACATATAGGCAGATCAAGTTGAAATAAAAATTTTAATACAGCATCAGTCATATGATCCAACAACTTTGTTCATGCAAGATGGACGGGTTTACATATAATGCCGCATAAATACAAGAGCCATTTCACGTGCAAGTTGCTACAACTGCTGCAACCATATCTATAAAAATCACCTGTCGTAACAGGCGCGCGCGAAAAGTATCATTTAATGAGTTTTGTCTGTGGCTGCCTGCAAGATGAAATAGAAATCTCCGCAATGCGTAAGCAATGTGCATATTATACAGGTAAGGGTATCTCATTCTTTGAGGCACCTGACGTGTGATAAATCAGCTGCTAAAAAATTTCACGGATGCGACTTGACCAAGGCAACCAGTCTACGATTAGAAAATGTACTGAATACCTTCAAACCAAGATCATCTTTCCCAAGGTTTGCCAGGTGAGTTCAGCCCGTACACAAAAGTATTCACTATATTGCAAACTAACAGCTAAACTTGTATCAAAAAAAGGTTCAAGCTGAGGTTACCTCTCTTCGCACTACTAGCGGCGTCGAATCGAGTAAGAAAATTTAAACGAGGATAAAGACACAGAAAGAAATAACTTGAAATTTAAACCAATCAATTCACAAATCAATCACAATGCAGATACAATTAACCACTCTGTAAATTCTACAGCGGACCAAACGATGAAAACCAAAAAAGCGCAATCATTTTTTATAAAAATACAAAAAAGTAGGAAAACAATTTTTCGAAATTATTAGCTGTAGCTGCTAGAAGATATTTCAGTACAGCATGTAAAGACACCATGTAAAGCAGCAATGTGAGCCAATCAACATCTAAAGTAGTCGCTTAACAAATTGACCATCACTTAGAAAATCCGCTGTTGCATTGCCATAAAAAAATTATTAACATAACGTCAGAAATTAACAAACTTAAATAAATGTGATGATGATAAAACAGCGGCATGGTATTCTCAAATTAGGCGCGGCAAGAAACTAACCGATCCCAAAGTTAGGCGTTAAATTACTCAGCGTACACGCACCCTCAGAATTTTCTCACCAAAATAAACGAATGATTTGCAACGCGGGTACGACAGAGGTCAATACGACAGAGAAATAATTTAAAACCATAGTTAAATTCGAAAACTTAATTATGGTAAACCTTTCAACTTTCGAGTCAGAATAGGAATTTCAATGACCGCTTACAAATTTCCGTGATACCAAAAACAGTTTCCTTTCCGAAATTTCCTGAGATGGCAGTAAACCACTTTTCAAGCAAACGAAAATTACCTGTCATAATAATGACAACCGAAAGCTCTGCCACTGATAAAGTGTTTTTTCCACAAATTTTTTCCACAACAAAAACTATTTGATGCAAACAGCAACCAATGCAGGCATAAAGATTCAAGCGCAAAGGCTCGTAAATGTGCTTCCAGCGGTTAATACAGCATCCCCATCAAGCAAAAAGCACCGGGTGCAGCTTACCATGGCATCCGGCTTCTTCATCCAGATCGAGCAAATTCTCGTCGAGCTTCTTCACACTTTCCATAGCACAAATCTGGCACACTTCCAGCGATTCGGTTACACCGTCACAGACGACACACGACGAATACAACAGGCGCAATGCACATTGACAAAAGCGGCAAAAAACACAAGCCGTGGCAGCGGTACAGCAGCTCGTCTTGTTCAGAATCCTCTGTAAGCGCTCGCGAATTAAGCTCCTCATGCTGTAACATTCATGCGCAGCCTAGCTCAGAGAAAAGAAAGCACAACACATGTTGTAACAATCGGCAGCGACAAAACAAAGCTAAACAAACTGTGGCCGCCCACCTTAAAGAATACACCAGAGAAAACACAAAAACACCGATCTTCACCGCGTTTCCGCTCGAAACAACAAATAAACCACCCTATCGCTACAGTATTATTTTCTCGTCAGCGTCGCACTTGTAACGGTTCACGGGATAGGAAGACACGGTCAAAAGCATTATTCTCCCGTACAGCGATAGGATAGACAATATTTCGCCTCACGCTATTGGCCTTCGCTTATCGAAAGGCAATTCAGTCGTATAGACGTCAATTTCGATAACACCGCAGCGAAATCGTAAACACTCGACGGGCACGAATTGTACAAAGCCTTCGATGAGCAGCAGCGTTCACTTACTGTAAAGATCTAGTAATCCAGCATCGAGACACATCCGGAAGTAGATCGCAATTACAGCCGGAAGGATCGAGCACGGTTGATGGTAATACCTCACTCGACATGTTGGCCGTAGCTGGAACGGAGCTGGTATAATACTGGAGGCGCACGGAAAAAACAACAAACTGATCTAGATCACAGCGCCTCAGTCAACCAAACCAGCATCCGCACACAGAATCAAACTTCCACCATCACATCCTCGACTCATCACCACATGTGATGCTAAACGGCAACTATTAGTTGCGTCAGAATGTCATTCTTGTTGACGAAACTGAATGTTGCCCTTCTTCCAAATTCTAAAACAAACCCAAAGCGTACAGTATTCGGAAGGGTAAAATCACAGCAAACGCACCGATATTAGCCTTTTCATTAAAGTTACGGCAAAACAGAATGATCCTTGACTAAACTACATTCTATTTGAAAACAGATTATAAGTAAGTATTAGAAGATTCGCAAGATCGTATTACCATTTTCAAGACTATCTAATCTGATCGAAGGCCATTTGGTGATTTTGGCGCTTTGCAAAGGAAATCGTAATAATAAAGTTCCAACACGATTATTGTCATAATTTGTATTAAAGGCTCAAGCAGTTAAAACCAAATGCAAAGGACTGCAGAAAGCCACAAAATTTTAAAACTCTAAGTATTAAGTCCTATAAACAGTACGAAATGTATTATTTTTAAGTACCTTGTAAACGGTCTTCCTTGTATTTAAAGGGTTAACCAAAATCAAACTTTCACGTAAACCTGTACGCTTATTCCTGATAAGAAAAACGATGATAGCATAATTTTATTACAGCTCGAGCAGCCTCCACGGCTTCCAGATGCGCCCAAATATATGACTTATTGTCTTTATTGACTTACAATTGATTTAAAACTTCGCAGTCGCACGCAGTGGAGACTCTTCTCCGATGATGAAATCAGGCTTCCTTATGAAGAGCTTACCAAAGCTCGGAACATTTCTCGTGAGTAATCCTTTTACGTGCCATAAATCAGAATTAGAGGTGCAAAAACGATTGGTCGATATCAAAGGTTCTTCATCAATCAATTACTTCAGCGCATCCAAATTGTAATTGAGAAAAACTGGAAAAACACGATAAAAATAAATTAATACTTACAAGGATGCAGAGTTGCAGACCATACCAATGCTGAATGCTCCTTTGAACACGTACGACGTTTGCAAAACCGTTTTGTAAGTATGTGCCCGAATACAGTGCAACTTACGGAGGTGCCGCTCTGCGAAGATGGCTCCTTGGACAGAATTGTGACACGCAGTCGCTGCACAATGTCATATTGGACAAAGTTAGTTGCAGCCACCCAAGGTGCCATTAACCATTTCTTTGCCGCTCAGAAGTGGCAGTTGCATGAGCGGACATTTTTGCTTGTTGCCCTTGCAACCTTGCTCGAGCTTGCTTGCGGACGGTAGTGCACTTCCCAAATCCACAGTTATAACGAGTACTGTATCCCATTTTCGACGATTGGACGAGTATCCCATTTTCGCATGTGTAAATTTCTCCCGAATTTTGTTGTTTGTGACCGTTTGGCCTTGTGGACCGATAAGTGCCAGAACTAGTCTTGGTGCTGCCGATTACACTCACTCCAACGGGTTTCTTCATGTGATCTGGATCAGTAAGTACTTCGGTCATTGATCGTGGCTACCATGTATCAGTGATTCATGGTATCTTATTCCATGTTATTTTGAATAAGCCTGATTGTGAGCTACAAAATATTCGTTGATATCCTGAATCCTGATTGCGGCCCCGGTCAAGGTAATTAATTTTTATGATGGTATATTCTTTCCGCGCGAAACTCTAACAACTTTGATGGTGGGTTCGCATGTTGCTTGTTACAGCTTGTGCTTGTGCAAAGCCTGTCTGCGTGTGGAAGAGCCGTTCTTCGAGTTTGTTGGCTCCTTTCTGACTTCATTTCTCATTATTGTTTCAGATTTTGGACTGGGATATCACCGTCGGCAGTAAGCATTGATTTCTGGGGGGTGTTCTTGATCTCTACTTCCTGGAATCCGAAGACATGACTCAGCCTGAGCCTGCTAGGATTACGGAAACTGACACAGTTTATTTAACAGTTCGTCACAAGAAGAAAACTATTATGTTTTTTTGCAAGGAGACTGACACTGTTCACCGGGTGAAAGTAAGTCAGCATGAAAGTAAGGGTGAGAGCATCGGATATTTTTTTCGCCTGTTTCAAAAGTTTTCTGTCTTTACTCTCTAGACTATTATCAGCTACTCGAGTACCACAGTAAATTATAAAATCATGGATAATTATTCTGGTCTTTTAGTGTTGACATCGTTTCACCACTGTTAAATGTTAATGCTTACTACTGCACAGTCTGCCCTCGTACTTAATTTCCCAGTGTTTGTAAGTACTGTCACGCATGTCATAGTTATTTTATCGTTTTTGTTAAAGACTTAACGCGTTTCAAGGGTGTTGTTTCCTTCATATTTTATTTTGATTCTTACTGAATTCCTGTATTGTGGAAAATAAGTTTGCCGTTTGTAGTTGACTCTGCTGCCCCTGGTGAAGGCTACGCCAGAGAACCAGCGATTATACTACGGAAGTTACGGGAGTAATTACGGGCATATGGAGGATGGAATGCTCCTGTCACAGTGTGGGATTACATCACTGAACGCAAAAGCACAGCAGCCTGCCGAGTTGGCGCTCGTTCTGCGGGAAGACAGTGGACAGTTCGAAGCGGTGGACATTGTACCATATTCGACGCCGCCTCCATTGCCGGATGTGATGCAGGCCAAGGAACCGCAGGCATAACGGTTTACGTGGATCGTTTCTATCTAGGCATATGTTAGCTCGTTTTCTGGGCGGGATATCAGATATTTTGTTGGATGTTAAATGCAGAAATAGGTGCACCTGAGCTTTGAAGAATGTTATATCTTTGCGGACCGCATGGCTATCCACAATTGTATTAACTACGAGAACAACTGCGTGAACGGCATCGTTATCGGCGACAACTTATCGCTGACAGATTCTGTTTCTGTCTTCGATTGATATTTTGTTTTCTATATGGGAAAATGAAATAGTTTTCAGGAACTTGACTTTGGAACGGTTTTGATTGCGATGAAATAGTTCATGAAAATTTTGGGAAACAAACCTCTCTGACAGTGTGTAAAAACAGCAAGAACGATGCGACCAGTACGTATCCTGCTATCAAAAAGAGCGCAGATGTGCAGCGTACGCGTAAAGTTGGCAATGGCACCGCCCATGGTGCAAAAGCGATAGAATCTGGAAATGCGCTGGCCAATGGCTTCTTGAGAAAAACGCGTATAGTACGTACTTCCTCGAAATGTTCGCACTTTACAGCTTCGATATCCAGAGTCCAGGCTGAAAATCTGATTGTATTGTATACTACTTATACTTGTATACACGTTAACTTCAAGTTAAATAAAAGGTGGCACTGTTCGTTTTTCAGGATATCAGAAGGTTTTAAAGAACTTGTGAGTAACACTGTAGTTGAAACTTGAAAATGACTACTCTGTTATTATAGGGAAATTCCAATATTAAACGCTATTGCAAGATCTGACATTCTGATCGTAACCGGTGTTATTTTAATGCAATCGACATAGTCTTACCATCAGCGTTAATTTCACGCATCAGCGTTGTGCCGCATTTTGCGTGGTGGACAATGGCGGCATGATTGGAATACGTTTTGATACCATAAGTTGATTCCAGATTTCGGTTTCCCTTGAAGATAACTGGAATCTAAAGCGACAGATTTCAGGAAAATGTTGAAGCATGTAAGCACTCCTCAATGTCGGCGCAGTCTTGCAAGTGAGGAAAGCGGCGGAAGCAGAACGAGCGCCGTGGGTTTGCATTCCCCTTCCGCTGGATCAGTCTCCTCGGATTGCTCAGGATCGAGTCGATGTTCGAGTGCTTTGAGCAGCCTTGGAGAATATCAAATACAAATGGTGAGAATATTGCACATAAAGTTCAGTGATATCGAAGATAAGCACGGTAAGCGCCTAATAATTCTGATTCATGTATGGGATTATGTGGATATGAATTTTATTAATTTTTATGCGTACTTCTGTTGATATAAGGTGCGGCAGCTGTTTCTGTGGTTTGACATACTTTGACTGCAGTTTACTGTGGAGTGTAAAAAACAGAAGCGATTGGAAATGACTTTTTATTCGTTCTATCGGGGGGAATGCACCTTGTGCCAGCGATCATATTAATGATTTTAATTTTTACGTATCTGTTTCCGTTACGGATGTGAAAAAATTTTCTTTTTCCAACTCCCCTGTCAGTGTTGCACGCCAGTGAATGTTGCGCTGACGTGAATGTTATACGCTGCGCTGGTTTTGGTGTTTCTGAAAAGTGGCATTGCCGTTTAACTTGAAAGTGACTGTTATAAAATGTGGGTGATAAATGGAATAATAATTAGCTAACGCTATGCATGGACGCCGACTACCTAAAAATGATTTACTTTTTATTTAATTACTTTGGCTGACTCAACTTTTCGAAAACTTCGAGCACATGCGTTATTATCACCAAAAGTAATTAGTATTTTGGTATTTAATTTTTATAGCTTCCTTTCCTTGCTTCGTACTGTTAATTACATAATTATGCTGTCTATAGCGGTGTTTAAGCGCAGAACATCACATGTGCAGCTGGTCGATGCGTGCGACAGTTTCTTTTGAATTTCTGTTTATACCGCACAATCTGATACTTCCATAGTACTTGATGGTTCTGATTAGTCCGACTGTTTCCTGTTTTTGTGCGATCGAAGGATAAGCAACGATTATCTCACTAAAACATTCTATGAAACTCGGATTAATTATTCCGTATTGCATTTAAATTTTATTACTGGTCTACGTGTAGAATTTGTGGCACATATCACGAAGCTGTAGGAGCGTTCCTTTAATTCTAACGATTAGCACTTAGGTTCTGTCTTCCGTGTGGTAGATCTAGATTTCAAAAAACATGTTTTGTTGTGCTGCCCTGAGTGCCCTTTGTGTCTTGTAAGGGATAAACTGGCATGCTGATTCGCACGTAATCGTGGAATTTTCTCCTTTTTTTCTTCGGTGTGTGTAGGATAAACGATTTACCGTATCTGTTTGAGCAAACTTCGTGAATACTGAACTGACTACTTACTACGTCTTGGGAAAGAAAATATTATTAATATATGTGGGGTGCATGGGACATTTTAATCCTTGTACACCTGAATACCTGTAATAATTGGAGGCCAATAAATGGGCAGTCGTGTGCGTAAGCATGCAAGTTGTCCAGCTGGATTCTGCAGCGGATGAAGACTGTGATCGGCTTCCAACACCTGTAATCATTGTAAATTTGAGTACCGAAATTCTGACATGTTTGCAGAGTGTACTCAAATAACCCAAAATTCTCCGAAGTAGCACATAAGCAGCATCCGCAACCTTGAAGATCTGTGTCGTGAGGATAATCTAGATATTATGCTAGAATATGTACGTACCGTAACGAGTTCGAGCAATACTACTGCACTGCCGACACATATTTAAGATTTTAGGTATAATATAATTTAAATAATATGAAACCTGGAAACCGCATCATCGCGTTAAGGTGTAAAACTATCAGACTGTAGCAGCGCGGCATATTGAACAGGCACATAGATAATAGGAAGCTATAAGTAGTCATAATATAATTGAGGAAGTTTGATTGAGTGAGGCGCTCCATCAACTGACCAGTGGCCATCGACAGAATTACCGGTGATTCCCGCTGAGAATATTTCATGGTGACCCTCTTGATCCTACGCACTTAGGCGCCTTGAGCGAGTTTTAAATTTGATGGCTATGGTGCGATATCTAACGACAAATTTTTAACATAACTCGTTAAAATTTTAAAGAGGTGCCATGCATAAGCATATATTATCCCTCCGCAGTAAGTATAATGATTTTCAGGTTTCGGGTTATCTTCTTGTTAATCTTGAAGGTATGAAAATGAGCCATCGTTAATTTAGGCATTTGAACCTGAAATTTACTGATTGTGAGTGTCATGTTGAAGGTGTGCACGTGCGTCGCACAAAACACTTTATGCAAATTTTAGGCCTGTATCAAGTTTGAAATGTTGCATCGGTATGAGAAAATTGAGTTACAATGGCCTTTTTAAAAAAGTGGTTTCCCAGTAGGCGGCTGTGTTTACAAAAGGGGCATGAAAAGCCTATGCATGTGCTCTTCATAAAATGTGCCCGTTTATTTCTTTTATTTGCAACTGCTAAATGTAGCATAACAAGCCAAGGGAATGATTCATTGGGTTTGAATCGACTATTAGAAACAGTCAATAAAGTGTTTGTGTGCACGATGAATTGTGAATATGCCACAGGCATTACTCATTTCCAGTAAGAGGGATCGCTTCCCACCGTATTGATGAGGTGGTGATTGTAAACTGTTTCGCCGTTATAATTCATGTGCCTAGTTAGTCCATTCATTGACGGGTTTCTTTTGCAGGGAATGTTGAAAGTTTTCTGCAGCATCTTGAGACCGGATGTCGAGTATAAAACCCTGCAAGTTTCGACGGATTCCACTACAAAAGGTATTTTGGTTCATCGGAAGATTAATGTGCTGAAGATTAGTTCGCCTGAAATGTCTACGCTTAATCCTTAATTGCTGAGACTATACAGTATAATACTCGTATGCTCAGTGTAAAGCTAAAACATGTACAATGCCATTCCATGCACATTGGCAATCACTAATCGGCATAACTTCCTTTTTTAAGTTTGACCTTATGAAAATCGCTAGCGTATTTAGCTTTTTGCTTTAACATATTGTTAGCTACAGTTGCTCAAGTTGTTGTTACATCTGCATAATGTGACACTGCTGTGTTAATTGCAGATATTGTACATATGCTGCTGCGAAAATGTAAAATGCGCAACCGGGATCCTAATCTCTTTTATCTCTCAATGGAGATATCAATGTTGAATCAATTAGGTATGCGAAAGGTGTATGTGTTTTTTGATTTCTCTTGTGCGGTGGCTTGTAAATATTTCCATACATCAGTACTTAGTATTTCTTAAGTATATAGCTTGTGTAGGTAAGTTTTCATTTTCCAGAATAGTAAATGTACAGGCTGTACAGTGGTGTTGACACTGCATCACAGCACGTCACGTAGTGGACAATGTAATATTGTGTACAATACTTGTACTGGACGTCAGTTTTGCACCGCACAATCGACGCTACTGACTGAACATATACGGCATTGTTGTCCTCTGAACAAATTTATTGATTTAAAATCCCAATCTTTGAGCAGAGCAGTTATGAATCTTGCTTTTAAATTAGTCTAACGCCATGAAAAGCCGGTGCACCAGCAGCAGTACCAACCATAAGGGCAGTACAATATCGATGGCGTGCTATGAGAACTGAGAAGCCGCATTCCACTTCCAGTTTCCAGCTGCTCTATTGAAATGCCAAACGCAGCTACCGGTAGCGGCCATCAGTTAGTGCCGGCTGGCTCCGTTTGACTGACCATCGACGGTGGTTGGTGGCATCTGGCACGGATATGGTTCAGGGATTCTCAAATTTCAGATGAGGTGGAATTTGGCCTGGAATGCAGATCAAAAGCATTACATTTTTTCTAGATTTTATTGTTTTGGCTGTTCCAAATTATTGACTCCTAAGTTAAATAATTTAGCTGTTAAAACTTAGAACCACGACGTATGTGCAACCCTCGCTTTTAGCACGCGATTTGGATTCTTTGTTCTTTATTCAGAACAAATTAGGAACGAAATTAAGTCAGTGGAATTCGAAAGATAGTGGCAACATACGCAGAATAATCGGCCAAAGAATGTTGTTGTTTTGAATAGTATGCTGTAAGAAAAATGTTTATGTAGTGGTTAATCAGTCCTGGTAAGTGTGTTTCGTATTCTGAATTAACCAAGGAGAAACCTTCGCAGTTTTTGCACAATATTTAACAGTGCTGCAGTTTATAAGGAAACTTGTTGCGGGTGTATAGATAACTGGTATGTGGTCACTTGCAGGCGAGACCATGAGAACAGTTCTGGTTTTGGATGCTTTTGCCAGACCACTGGACCTTAAAATTTGCCAGCCAAGTGGTTATTCAGTCAAGTATGATATCCTGCCGGATTTCGGTCAAAATGATAACATGAAAGATTGATGATTATATCTGTTTTTAGCTTCACGTTGCGGGCTAAGAAAGGAAGTCTACTGAAAGTTCACGATTCTTGTCTAAATTCGGCGGTAAGCTCGTATTAATATATATGTTATCGGCAGCATGTTACGAAGGTTGTTAGTGTTAGTTACGAAGAATGCATGATGTAAGTACATATTTGTTTTGATTATTTTTCAGTCCAAGTACAAGAGTCTTCTTATCTCTCAAAAGACGACAGCAAGAGAAATTATCCAGCTTCTTTTAAATTGTCATGATTCCACAGAGTCGCCCGAACATTTCGAGCTTTATGAAACATGCCCTTTTCTGCCCTCATGTAAGTTCCAAAAGTGTTTCTATCTCCACGTTAGTCACTGTACTTATTTTCTCCGTATTGGCAGCACTTCATTAAGAAAATGTTATTCTAACATAGTTTTCGAAACAGCGTTTTTAAAAAAAACTGCTGTTTTATTAGTTTGTGGGCTTTAATCTGTGCTGTTAACAATTTACGAGGTATTTTATTCAGTTTGTGCTGCTAACGGAATTAGTAAGGTTAATATTGTGCTAAATGATTCCATGTTTAAACACGTGGTGCATTTTCGGGTCAGGGTTAGGGACATTCTGTGACCATACCTTGTTAACTCGTTGGAATGCATTTTTGATTAATCATAAGCAATGGTAGACTAATTGCTCTATGATTCCATCGTTAGCATGATCTGTTTCGCATTCTGATCTTTTGAAGCTATTTGAGTTTTAATATTGCCATGTGTCATGTACAGACGAGCACCACATTGCACCAACAGACATGCCACTCCTTATGCGCTCTCAGCAGCACTGGCCGGATGAGAACTTCTCCTTGATACATTTAAGGCGCCGCCGCGTCTCATCCTCTGCGTCGCTGATTGTCGATAGCAAATCAGTCCTTCCCTCTTTTGTTTTCGGACAATCGCACGAAGATTGCATGCTGGTGAGGACAAGATATCGGGCTTTTGTGATCCATTGAGTGGTGGCTATCGCTGATAATAACCTAATTTTCATTCATTGTAGTGGTCGCGCCAGCAGCTGCGGACATTCATGCCCAAGCTACAGCAGCTGACTACGGACTGCAAGGCGCGAGCCTGTAGCAGTGGACAGCTTCCTGCCTTCTTATTCGGACAAAGGACAGACAGTCATTACCAAAATTACTTCCATGTGTAAGATTTGGATGATGCCTTGCCGCACTGGTCTTGCTCAAGCTCAACAGGTTTCCGAAGCGTCTGGATGATAACCAAAGTTTGACAGAGTATTTAGTAGTTTTTCTCGGTTACTCCTGATCTGTGCACGTGTATATAACGACTATGGTCATTGTTGTGTTTTTATCATACGATAAATTGTTCTATTTGCAGTATTAATTTTTTATTGTTGCCGTTGTTTTGGACGGAATTAATGCGGCGCTCTTTGTTGTGTGACTGATCTATTTGTTATGTCATGCCGTAGTAATCTGTTGTCAGGTCGATGTCAGTAAGACAAGAGTAGCATTTAGACGAAACTAGCTTTGTATTACTTTTACTGTTTTATTTCCCGAAAAAATGAATGGTTTTAACTTTTATCAGAAAGAATTAATGATGTTTTGCCCAGGAAAATCATTTATAATAAAGAAAGAAAATGGTGTTCGATGTCCACACTTCTTCCATACGCAACTATTAACCGAATCATCGTAATTCAGAGAGTAAAGTAATCTTTTCAGCTGGCAGATGCAAATAACTGGTGAGTTACATTCCAGATCCAAAGCTAGGTGCAATATCACAATATTCATACTGATCACAGTCATCACACACGAATTTGCAGTACTGCAAGTACAGATTCTCGTTTCAAAAACAATGTTTTATGGTATCGAAGTGCAAGCATGCATTATGGCGTAAAATCTGAATCTGTTCATCAATGCAGACGTGTAACAAGGACTGTGAATCGCAACATAAAAGGTTTGATAACGTCCTTCGCTTCTCTTCAAGCAACCTCTTTAATGACAGCTTTGTAGATATTGGTAATTCCTGCTCCTCTAACGATTCAAAAATCAACCTGTAGAACCCCAAAAACTAATCATCGGATTTGCACGATTTTTTCAGAGATGTGAGAGCGTGCATTGCAGAAACCGAAAGTCTGCAGACATTTAATTTTTGATCATGTTACGATGTAAAACTAATGACATTTGCTTACCAGTAATCAGGACCTTTGAAATTCCGGAGATTCAAGAAAACCAAAAATGCGAGAGATAGCCCATCCCAGGAACAGCTAAACTTATCACAGAGATCATACTGCCGCAAGAACTTCATTTTGGCATCTGTGACAGGAAAGAATGACAGAAGTTCTTCCATGGAAAATTTAACTTCAGACAAAGGATTTCTTGTGATCGTAAATCCGTAGTAAACGGCTAGTTTGGTATTGTCGTGGCTGCCGTAATTGATGAAAATTTGCTCGTCTGATTTATATGGATATTCGGTAATCAACTGGAACGTATTTCCCGTTCCATCAAGAACTATCCGCGTCTACAAAATCCAAAACAGCACGGTAATCATACGCAATACATTACGACGAAAAAACTAGCAGAACTTTCGCAAAGTTTGGTAAATTTTGTGATAATACTGTAGAAATGCATTCGTGGGCGCGCAAGTTCCGCCCGAACTTAGCCGAAATTTTTATAAAACAAATAAAACCCGTAAAGTAGAGCTTCGATCAGTTTCCTTTTCCCGAAACTTTACAACTGTTCCATTTGGTTCTTAAATAACAGTTCCTGGGAATTTCAGATCCCGATTCCCCTAATTTATTGGAAATTCTCAGCAGCTGCCGAATGTTTCCACATTAACACCATTAAATCTACGGATTTACAGATACTGGTAACAAGATTATAAGATATAATAATATATTTGTAACAACAGAACAAACTGGAATTTGGAATACCCTTTAAAATCGGTCTTCTACAGTTGAGCATTTCTAAATAATTTCTTTAAAAAAAATAAACATCTCTGCAACTGCGAACCGAGATCCAAATCAGAGTTCGGTATCAACTAAAAATAACAGTTAACACTAGCCTAAACCGCGGATTCAAAATTCAAATTTTCTAGCTAAAATCTAGTATCAGTCAGCGCTGTCAGGTAGAAGCTAAAATTGTACCAGAATACATAAAAATTAAACTTACCCGTGCGAAAGGTGAATGATTGAGCAGATCGACAAACGGCACCAGCGCAGGCATGTCTGCTTGAATGTACAACGAGCGCGTTGCCACTGCGAACCAAGCCCACAGGAAGCGCTGCTTGGAATGAGCGTGGGAAAAGTGCTCCAGTTCGGGCTGTGCAAACGCTCGACAGATTAGTTTCCATCCTCTGCGCAAATCACGATGCTGCTGCAATAGCAAAGCGTCAAAATGCGGGTCCACGTTTTCCGGAAGCTGTCCGCGAAGGACGAACAAAGGGTTCGTAAATTCCCGCGGTAAGGACCGGATGTAAGGAGCGTACTCAGAGCGCTCTGCCATCCAGCTCTCCACCACCAGAAACAGTGTCAGACACTCCAACGGATGATCCCGGATAAACTGCGGAATGACACTGCCACTGGACAACTGCACACTGGCAGCAGAGAAGCACTGCGTCAGCTTAATCGACACGATAACGTCTCCAGCTGACAGCGTTCTACAGCTGCAAAGGCCTCTGCCAGTTTCTAAAATGGAATGAGTTTTTTAATAAGTGTAGTCTTAAACTGGTAACGTCCAGTTGTTTAGAAAGATAAGCGTGATGCTTGAGTTCTACCTGGAAATTCTTTGCTCTGTAGATCGTCTCCTATCACCAGGTTCTCTCCAAGCCATTGCTTAAGATCGTCCATTGGATGTCAAATGTCAAAGCACAGAGGCATTTAACGGAAACGCTCAAATTCCCAAACGTTGCCGCACTTTCGCAACTTTCAAAATCTTGTGCCAACCAGGGTCACGTCAAATATAAGATTAAAAAGATAATTTTGATAATCAAAATTCAAGGAAAGCAAACATACAATTTATACAATACTCGTACAGTACTCGTACGGTCGTATGTACCTACGGAAACTGGAATTTAAATTTTGGCAGCCAGGGCCGCCAGGCCATTTCGAATAATTACACCGCTTTTGACTGTATGGGCAGACCACTTGCGGCGGCAGCTCAGAGCTGGCACAAGAACATCGCCGAATCGCGTCGACTGAACTCGATTGTGATTCGCAAACTGTAAATTCTCAAATTAATAAAATAATACTCTACTGAGCAAAGTACAAGTACAGTACATAGTTAATAAAACTAAATAGTTTTAATAACAGCATTTTTTGAAGTTTTTAAATTTAACTTTTAAATGCTGGCACCCGCGGAATTCGGGAACTTTTGTTAACTGCATTGTGCATATTCGGGGAAGCAGTATACGGATTGTTTTCTGACTGTTTGATTACATACTGCAGTCAGTTACGGACTTGGCTGCTTCTTTCTTGTCAAAATGGCTGGAAATCTTGGGAGGAACGGTGCCATCGACCTGGGCCAGCCTCGTTCTCCTTCTCCTGAAGCAGCTGCAGCCGCTGTGGCCAACGAAAAAGATGTGTCAGCCCCATTTTCTCCTTATCCCTTCTCGCCATACTATCGGAGCGGTGGTAAGAAATCATGGGATGAGACTTTTTGCCATACCTTGGAGTTTGCTGCTTGCAAAGCAGTCGTCAAAGAAAGGATATTCAGAGTTCACGTTGTTTTCGCGTTTGCGCTGTTGCCCCGTTTTTCCACTTTTCCGTACAGATTGTTCTCGTTTTTATAATGTTTGCCTTTTGACATGTCCCTGTTTTTCTTATTGTCAGGTTCTTCTCCAGTGAATTCGCACTGCGGTTCTCCCGTGCAGTCCGATGGCCATGCTGCGAATCGTTCTCCTATTTATATGACATACGATGGCGACATCGTGGGAGATCCGGGCGGCGGTTGTAGTGTCCGTAGTGCGAACACCATTCCCCCTTGCCCCCTAAAGCCGGAGTTCCGCCGCCTCCGCCCCCTCCGATAGGAGAACCACCCAAGAGCTTCCCACATGTGCCTTTTCCAGCCTTTTCAGCCAATAATTATGCTCCGCCGTCTCCGCTTCCTGCTGTTTTGCTGGAACGACCGCCATGGCTTCGCCAACGCGCGCCCGTGCCCGGCAGGCCCCCCGCCCTACCCCGCCCTCCTCCCATGCAACCCGTCGCGTTTCCTCCACCGTCGTTGTGGGCACGACCGGATGAGGAGCAGTATCCCAGTGCTGCCTTGGCGGGCTTGAAGATATCTCCATTCGAAGAGATCTCCTCTGCTTCTTCGGCATCCTATTCCCCCGTCACAAATCCCACCCGCCATCCGACCTCGTCGCTCTCCGATGGCGACACGGAGAAGGAACTGGAGCAAAAGGGCTGCGTTCCGTATCGTCCCGCTGGGCTGTTGATGAACGCGCAGAGGCTTTATCGACCAGCCGGGCGAAATCCGTTGCAGCCCAACCACGATACCTGGCGTACATACCGTCCTCCTCAATACATTCCGTCGCGCAATCGCTCACCGCAAAGAAATTATCGTTTTATTTGCTCCCGGAGCAGAAGCCGTTCTAGTTCGGACAGCAACCATTCCACATCCAGAAGAAAGCACTCGTACAGTCGATCTTCTCGGGCGGATTACGATAAAGGTCGTGAGCGGGCATATTCACGAGAGCGTAGAACCACGCGCTATTCCTCTTCGCATCGATACCGCTCCTCTTCGCGGTCGTCATCCCGAGACAGACGGTCTCGTGGGCATCGATCATATTCCAGCGATGACAACAGGCGCAGTTCCCAGCGCTCGTCGCGACGCAACCGGTCGCCTTCGCGATCTCCTTCCCGTGGGGTCGATCGAGACTGTCGATCACATTCGCGAGATGCGTCGCCCAAAAAAAGCACAAGTTACTTCCAGCGACACAGTTCAAAATCATCACCACTGAAAAATTCAGAGAAAAAAGCTGCGAAGCTTAATGATGCGGAAGATGATAAAAATCTTCGAACCGCTAAAACTGAACGAAAGAAAAGTAAGACAACATCGTACCGTTTTATGCACTTTGACTTATCTCATCTGCTTGCAGGCCATAAACATATGAAAGCCAGTGGAGGAGATAATTTGGCAAATGCGCAGAGAACAAAGCCTTGTGACATCGAAAATTCGCTTCCAGTGAAAACAACGTCTTTTTTGTGTGAGGATGAAACAGTAAAGAGAACAGAGAGTGGTATGTTCGTTCTGCGTACAGTATTTTAGGAGTTACGTGACTGACTCAATGATTTTCAATAGTTATGAGCAAGAACGAAAATGTGATAGCAGAATATTCAACATGGTATAAACTTACAAAAAGCGGACGAGGTTTATTTCACCGTAAATGAGGTGATATTTTGGTTACAGAGGCTGTGATCTTCGAAGATTGTTGTCAGTATGAAAGTGACATAAGTGCATCAAGTCACGTAGATTTATTATGTTGCGCGAATCATACGGTATTTGTAAATGTGATGCATTAATCGGAATAAGTAATCACAACTGTCAAATGAGATCGTGGATGCAAAAGGGAAAATGGGAGGTTCTATAATTTTTTTTAGAAAGTTATCGTAAGTAGATTGCCATTTTCCTGCAGGTGCCGGCAACGATGTTTCTAGCACTACCAAGTCTACTCTTGATTGTAAGCTGCCATTGGAAGTTGCGTCTGCCATAGAAGATTTGTTTTTGCCCTGGGTGCAGGAGCTGATCGCAGATGATAACATGGCCGAAGACGAAAACAGCAGTCAGGAGGCCGTTCAAGAACTTGAAGATTTTGGTTCTATACGAGATTCATTGATGGATGCCAAAGAAAATGAACTACAGGAAACGTTAGAAGAATTGAAGCTATGGTGGCCCATAGATGATGTTGAGATAATTGTTCAACAAGTGCATGGATAGGTAATGAGTGATGATATATGGTCGCTGGTTGCCTTTGTACAGTTAATTGCATTTTATCCGATTTCTCAAACGTTGTTATCTCCAGTGGTGTTTTTGGAATAAGTGGATTTACTTTCCCTGTGACACGTATCCTAGAAATATAATTTTCTGATAATGTAGGTATATTTTTGGTTGCTCACTGGTCAGTTGTCGTTAACGGTTTTTCTAAATGCATTACTACTTAATAAGACACGGAAATCAAAATTACTTGATACGATCATTCGCTATGTTTTCTTATCAGTATCCGTCGCATATTTCGTTTTTCGATTAATGGGGCTGTCGACTTGAATTTACAGTCCAGTGTAAAACTGAAATTTGTAGAATTGATCTGACAATTGTAGGCATCGAAATCTTATCGCAAATTCGAAAATTCTTAATGTGTATTATTTAACTGCGACCAGGCATACAGTAGCTGTAAACCGTAATATACAACTACGTTCTCGTTTAACTGTGTTCATTTGCGACGTACAGTTTTATTTAACATGTTGGGCTAATGGCATTTTGCGACATTTAATAATGACATTACTAATTGATTTCGACATCTGGCACTATTAAGTAGTGAAGCATTCAAAACTTGATTTTTACCTTATAGGAAAGTGTGGCATATCTCACAATAATGCGTTTGTGTATGACAATATGCCGAGTGGCTCGTATTTTTAGCAGATGACCTCAAAATTGTACATGAAATAGAAGGTACAAGGTTGCTGTGGCCTACAGAAATATGAGATGGCCAGTGCTGTCATTGTTATAATTGATTATAACTCTTGAAAAGTCAGTTTAGTGAAAAAACGTCGTGCTGAAGAAAACGAGGCAGTAATCAGCTATGCCGATTATGCGATGAGATGCGTTCAACCAGCTTGGGCGGAATTTTTGACGCTTACATATTACAGAAGTACCGTACGTATGCTGATGCATTGGTATTCACTTTCGCATTGTACCGTATACTCGTATGTCCGAGGCACAGTACACACTACTCACCCTAACCATTAAGTTAGAACCGAATCAGCTGCGGCAAAATTCTTTGTGGCAGTTGACGCTGTGCAATCTCACCGGAATCATCTTCATCGTTGCAGACGGCATTTTTAAGTGAACTGCAGGAAGAGCGCGACTATCCGCATGCAGTTTCACGATCTCGTTGATTAAGTCTTGGCTACGACATGATTCTGTAATCGGAGCTGCCGTTTTTCGAAAGCGAGATTAACCCAAACCTTCCCACCCTACCTGGATTGCATACCGAAATCTCAGGATATCCGTCCAATAACACCCGCTTTAACTTTCGCAGGCTGGACAGGTGCGTAATTAATGAGCAGAAGGCTCCATGTCTTACCATTATTTTGTTCGCGAAAGACATCAGGCCACACACTGTACAGTGCTAGTAATTTCTTACAACATATAACTACTCTAGATCTTCATATCATATACTTCTGTTTAATAAAAAGTTACTGCTAACATGCTTACATCGTTTTTGATTAAATTGTCGAAATAACACTTCAAAATTTTCATCTACAAGGAAAACTTTCATGTCGCCAAAAATGTTGTGCAAAGTCTTCGAATGGGAATTGCTAATTGGCAATGCCTCGAACTCGTTTATTTGTACAGTATGTAACTTATATAAATGAAAACTTTTAAACAGCCATTAAGACTTCGCTGTGCCATAAGTAATTTTTGTTGGTGGTAAACATTTTGACGATGGTCATTCAATAATCCAAGTCGTCTCGACTGATAGCCGGTATTATGCTATCATTGCGTATTACCTCGTTCGTAATCCGATTCAACTGCTGTATATAATAAAGATTTATATGTAAAGAAACCGATTCAGCTGCTTTACTTAAACTTTAATTACTGGCCGTATACCTTTCGAAAACAAAAATGGGCAGTAAACGTTTTAGCAAAACTGCATCGCGTTTAGGTTAGGTTTACAGTCGAGAGTTGCACAATTAGTACCCATCGGTACACAGACGTTTTTAGGATTTATTCACGAGAAATAGTCGCGATAAACTCCATTGTTCCATTTCGCACAATGCATTATTCATCTATTCCTACAGAAATATTGAGCAAAAATAACAAATATGGGGAAGGGCAGCAGCAGTGCACATTGTTGCAAAACAATTTCGGCAAAATCAGCACTGTTACCGATCCACAATATGGACTTAACAGAAAACAAAAAATATACAACACAGTAGCCAGTAAATGACACTCAGCATTTCCTGCCAGATGTCAGTGAACTATAGGCCTGCCTTTTTGTTAAATTGAGTACAAACCGTTCTTTTATAACGGCTTCCAGAATGGAGTTGGCGTTAACCGGTTAAATTATATGTTTTATCTAAAATCTAACTTATTGTATGTTCATAAGAGCTGAAATTTGGGACTATGCACTTCATTGGATAGCGTACACCATAAATCTATTTATTCTTGTATTAGTTTTTAGTCACACGTTTATTTATTAATAATATACGTATAATTTTACTTTTAGGCAAATTATCAGGAACGTTTTTAACGTGCAGCTGTTGCTATTTGATGCATCGGAAACAAGTTCGAAAGTGAAGGTGAGATAAACAAGCCTGAGTTGGTCGCATAATAAAGCTGAGATAGAACGCACTCGTGCTGCATCCGCTGATTTCGCTTTTGTAAAACAAATTAATTATGGTTATACTTTACGAGTTATTTGTGAACTCGAAATATCACATTATTACAAGCTGTCGATATAACCGATATTCAAAGGCGTAGTTCAAAGGCATCTATCGTAGTTATGCGCAAAATCCAGTATTTTCTCGTTACTAAAATTTAAATAAAATGCATACTTACAAGCTTATAATTTTTGGCGCACTAACTACAGATACAGCAGAGTACGCACACAGGTACAAGTAGTGAAACTGCTTTGTTTTAATGGATGTGAATGGAAATACAGGTTGAAAGAGCATAACTGGCTTGCGGCATAGTGCATTAAATGTATACTTCTACAGTAAGTACTTCAGCTTATTAATTCCGCTAAACATTGTCACTGAAGTCAAGATGGAATGTGGCCAGCCTTTTCACTCGTGCACAGTATAAAAAATAAAATCTGTTTAATTAATTAGTCAGTCAAGAGGCGATATTCATCGATGTCTTATAGACCATCAGATGATTGTCTAAAAGCCGCAATAGACTCACTCTAGATTTTGAGAGGACATACTAGGCTTTGCTATACAAGCGAATGTAGTTATACGGAATAAGTAGTCTTTGTAACTAAATTTTAACGAAGTAATTATTTTTTCTGTAAAGAAACAATTAATTTGTCTGTACGTTTTCTCAGCTCTCCAGTTAACTACTTAAGTAACTAACTACTACTTAAGCTCTCAAGTTTTACAACCGCACGTTAGTCGAAATAGTACTGTACATCGATCCATATCGATGTCTGCACTTCTCTGCATTTTAAATCGTGTGAGATTTTGTGATTGCGTATCAGTCTCGCTGTTAAACTGTAGGCTGTAAAAATATGCAAGTTTACCTTCTTTCCGGTTGGTTTTATTGTTTATACTGGCATATTTTGCTCGCTGCACATCCGAGAAGCATATCCTAAAATGGTTGTCGGATGTCGGTGCGCATTTAATAACGTGTAGGTAAATAACCACTTACAGCTCGGTTCGCTGCAGTAATTACATTGCATAACACATCGTTACATACAACCTATATCCCTCAAGTGGGGCTTCTTATCCAAAACAAATAAATAAGAAGCTTATATATACTGCCTTGTTTGCATTAATTGCATCCTGTGAAGATTAAAAATGTGCGTTAACGAATCCAGGAAATTTTAAGATTTCACTCCCACACCCGAGACATAATGTTATTTGTAGATTATGTTATGTCAAAATAATGAGTAACATAATTACTCAGACGGATAATATACAGAAATGATTCAGTCAGAGAGCGGCTTCTTAACTGGAGTTTTTTCAACGTCAATGGTTTTTGGTGCTTAGCCGACGTGCCAAAATCCACTAAATGAGCTACGGTCTACGTAATTAACGATAAGGCGTACTCGTGCGAACTGCACGAGAATATAAAATTAACAATGCTTTGTAGTATATGTAGTTTTCTCTCATTTGTCATGATTCCGACATAAATTAGTAACAAAATTGGGTGGCCACTGTCAGTAGTCGATTGAGAACCAAAGTATTTATGGCATTTGCAAACTGAATCGGATATCGTACTGACAATGTAAGGAAAAGGTTGTAATTGTTGAATGCTGTACCATAGGTTTTATGGAAAACTATTTAATGAAAGTGATTTTATAATGAAACCTTTGTAACTTTGTGTATTCGTATTTAAATGCTTCGGTAATTTTGTCAGTAATAAAACCGAGTGAAACGCAAATTCGGCCGGGCACTCTAAAAGTGATTGTCTGTGAGTACTTGCCGGCCATCGGTACTTTTTGCAACTGTTACCGGATTCCGATATTTTTGTGCAGTTGTCGAAGTGATCTCATGCGGTTGATTTTTGACCAAAGCGCTTGAGCATCCCATTAATGGGTTGCCTTGGGATTGTAAAGAGTGCCATCAACACGAGCGTGATGCTACAATTTCTTCGTGGCATCTGCATCCGATAGCGTCGTTATGAGTGCGGTGAAACATGACATCCTGTTGTTGTCTTCGTAAAACTTTTGCCAAATAATGTGCGACTCAAGTAGTCACTCAGTCATCCGATATAGCGTGCTCCACAATATCGATGCATGTAATCTGCCGTATGCCGTTGAAGTAACTAGCGCAGACTATAAATAGGAAGTTATTAAAGAGACACATTTTCCTTCTGTGTGATTTTGCACTGGTTTCCTTTTCTAAAGCGCAAACGCAACGCTGTCGGTAAGAAGGAATATTTTTGCCGGAGCAATGCGAGCACACGTAACGCGAGAAGATGATTTGGCATACATTTCGTGTATGCCATGCTTTCGGCATACTTGTTGACGGAGTGTCTTTTGCAGAATCTCCGTTGATGTCGGCCGGTGATCTGCGGTTGCAGAGGATGCAGCGTCCTGATTCATCTGTGTGCTAGAGAAATGAGTATAGTAAAGATCCCCACTATACCAGATTCCGATTTCGGCAAACGGTCCGTGTTGCAACCCCTGGGGCCGAGCGTGCCGGGAGGGTCATTCCAAATGCAGACTTCCGCTGCTGCGGATACACTGAAAGTAAAAACCCTCTCCGACGATAGCTACGAAAGTTCATCCTCGCCGGAAGACAAGACCGTACTGGAAAAGGTCTGGGAGAAAAATCCCCTGGCACTGCTGAAGCGGCATATTAAACCATTAATCACTGCTGCTGATCAACCGCCGGCCAGCTCAACCGGCAACGTGTCGACCGGTGTGACGGTTGATGTGCGCGTGAAGAAGGAACGATCTGATCATGATGCAGATCACGAGGCGCAACCGGCCAGCGGCAGCAGCCTGATGGTGCTGAGTAAACACGGCATCCGCCGGAAGCATAAACGACACCGATCACTCGACGCCAAAACCGCCCGCTATTACGCTAAACGCCAACAGGCCACATGGACAGGGCTGGGCAGTTTCCGCGGGCGCGCCATGTCGTCCAGCTCCGACGAGGAGAACGGCGGGAAAAAAATCCGCGAGCGCTCCCCGAGACGAAAAAAAGGCGCCAAAGGCTCTGATTCCGTGAGCAGTAAGACGCCATCACGGGATCCCTCGGCCACGCCCCTGCCCCGCCCCGCTCCCCGTGGTCCCGAAGATTTGCCCCTTCCACAAATGGAGTTCCACCGAAACCGCCCATTGCTAAGCCGCACACAATGGCCACACAGGTCATCATTCAGCCATCGCTGACCATCCCCGCTATTGAAATTACAACACCGGACATCAGCGTATCGGTCGACGACCAGTTGCAATTCAGCCAATCAATGACGGATTTAAATAAAGCGGCAAAAGAGACGAATACTAAATCGCGCACATCGCTGGATTCCGTGAATGTTCGGCAGACGGAGAATCTGCAGACGATCGAAGAATGGCTGCATTCCCGGAAGAGCATCCCGGAGACGCCCAAACTGAAGTCATCGGTGTCAATGCAGCTCTTTCCGCTGCCACCGGCGCCGGTGTCATTGTCCAAAAATAGCACAGCCTGTGAACAATCGGTGAACGCTCCTCGTTATGCGCATTATGCGTCGGTCAGCGCATTGCCGTGGAATCATCCGACGAATCGGCATTCATTATCGGCATTCGATGAATCAGTGTTGGGATCCCGAAAGGAGCCTATGTCACCCGACAGTGTTAAAAATATGCGCCAGTTCTTTGAGCATTTACACAGTGACTCACCTGTTGATGCAGCCGGTGTGGCTAAATCGGCTGGCAAAATGACAATAACCGACGGCAAATATTCCCACGACCGCGCCCCGGTGGTGCACGCCGAGAAAACACCCGATCATCCACCGGTGACAAAAAGCCCACTGCCGCCTGCCATGCACCACGGCCGTCTGGGAATCGTGATGCAGTCGACGGAGCGATCTGAGTTGCTGCCACTTTTCAGCGGCAATGTCACCGCCGACAGCCAGTTCTTGCACAATGCACTACAGATCTCCAACAATGCCAGTCGCCTGCTCAATGATTTACGTTCATCGCCCAGCCTGCAGGATGCCACGCTGACGCCTGAGCCACAGTTGGTGCTGCAAGTGTCCGACGGGCGAAACACGACGCGATGGAGCAGTGATTGGCAGATCAACCGCTCATCGAATTCCGGTGCCTACAGTAAACCCAGCAACCTCACTCGTCCGTCCTCAATTTCGGCGTTTGATCAGCACCGTCTGACGGTGCCCGGAAGACCCAACCCCCTGCGCGAGATCAACCACCACGAACTGGAACGCGCACTGGAAGAGCTGGATGAATTTTATGAAAGTCTGAGCGCTAAATCGGAGGACGTCACCATCATTGCGGAACCGGAGACGGTCATGCGGAGCACCCTGGATGGAGGAAGGAGTTTCGATTCCGGTCTGTCGTCCTTGCAGGGACGCGGTGAAAATCCTTATTTAATTTCAAAGAATGAACCCGACCGGTTAGAATACACCAAGCAGTGGTTGCAGGATGAGAAGCATGTCGCTCCGCGACGGCGCAGTCATAATCCGCAGACACACGCGATGGCCACCATCACCATGGCTCCTCCTCCAGTGCCTTATTGGTCGCCGCCGACAGACAATGAGCGGCATATTGTCGGTGAGCGGCGCCGGTTTACGGGGCATCCACGGGATATGAGAGACGACAGGGGAAACGACCGGGATAATCGGAAAAGTGGTCGAGGCCAGAAAGATGATTATGCACGGCGTAAGCTGACTAACAGCAAGACTAACAGCAAGTCCTTGTCAGATTTACCTAATCCCAGCTATCTTCTCATGTCCGTAGTGTACACGCCTACGGTTTTCACGGGGCCGGCGCTGGAGTTTCAAAAGTATCCCGGCAGCCAGAAACCGCAGCCGCACATTGAAATGGATGATCTAAGTACAAGAAAGATTATCCATTCGCAAAATACCCCGCTCTTTAAGGTCACCGCGGATCTGTCCAAACAGCTGCCCAGCTCACGGAATGATTATGCTACTCCTCATTTAAAGGCTGTAATCAATGAGAAAAAATCTCGGGAACCGGACACTGTCAGGGATGATGCGGCGTTCCGACAATTGCGCAGTGACCGGAAGAATGTCACCGAACGACCACAAACGCTGGTCGTCAAGCCGAATTTCGTGCAAGAGAAAGCGGGTGGCGGATTTGGAGGAAAACGAATGGTGTCGGACTCGATTCGGCAGCTGGCGAAGCAGTTCGAAGGGTCTCCGAATAAGGATTCCAAAGGCGAAATTAAGCCCTTTTTCCGTCGATTTACCGGTAAATCTCAGAGCAGCCCGAACCCGGATGCTGTTCACGCCGCTATGCAGATTGATGGGAAACGAGTTACGCTAAAATCTCCGAATGCCGCCAATCCTCATGTGATCCGACGTAGCAATTCGGTGAAACAGGAATCGCCAAAAATTTCGCCAATTTCCGAGCTGGACATGGAAAAGTTGTTACTGTCGCTGTCCGCCATTTCGTCCAACTCTACGCCGACTGTGGCCAGCAACATGCAGCTGGCCGGTGATTCTAACCTTTCGATGCAAACTGCCAGTACAGGCGCTAGTCCCTGGGCAAGACTGACCGGAAGAAAGAAAGTCTTTCCCACGGCGTCGCAGTCTGGCATTTCTGTGTGATTTGGGTTACTATATTTTTCACATGCAAATGGGTGCCAGAGTCTGCAAATGTCTAAATCACAATAACGCTAAATGCAACTCCATGCAAGATTTCTGTACTTAACTATATTACTTCTTCTGCAGCACAAAGTGCTTACTGTTTAAATAATAAGTGTTTGTGCGGTTTGAATGATATTTTAGTTCTATGAAACCGTGACAGATGCAACGATAAAAACATACAGTATAAACCGTACAATATTTGTATAAACAGTTAGAAATGGAAGCGCAGTCTGAGTTTAACGTGGCAAAAAAAGAACTTAAGACAGAGAATCCGCAAAACAGCGGTATGATATAATTGTGTCCTTACAGCTTTCAGGAACCTCATAATCAGCCGCCAAACTTGAATTCAATAATCATAAGTCGCACGAATAAAAATAATAGGCTGGTGTTCGAACAATATAGCCAACTTCTTAGAGCTAGGTCTGACAAATAAAATACTGAGTAAATTAAATAAAACTCATGACCGGCGCCATCTCTTTGTTTTAACCACAGACAAAGTTAAAACTACATAACTTTGTCGCTTACATAATAGAACTATTAGAATGAAATATCCGCGCACATTCCTCTTTCACTTATGTTACGGCCATATCACTGAAATAAAGATCGCATTAATTTTACGAATAAGTACAAATATGTATATCACTTCACAAGGCTCGCGTGGCGATTGCCAAATTTCCCTTACCGTCCCGTTGTGCCAATAAAACCACAAACAGACAAACTCATATTAATTTTGTTGCAGCATTGTAATCAACGTCTCGAAAAAACGAAAACAGGATACTTTTACCACCAAAATTATGCAGAATATTATACATCAGAACGGGGATGCGCACGTAGTAAATTGTTGCAGCTCCTGTCGCAGCAGATTGGCTGATTGTTAGCTTTAAAAATTTGCTCTACACGAAATGTCGTTATTGTAGCGAATGATTAGCAATATCGTCCAGTTGGTCAGCTTAAACAAAAAGCCAATATATGATCAAAAGAGTTATTCTTACTGAAACAAACACCATAATAATACTCTCAAGGGTCACCGAGTTGTTTTCGAAGCCTGCTAACTGGCGGAAAAGTTTATTTGCGAAGAACCTTTATCGAATTTATTGCCTCTGAATCGGCATCAGTAGCTAATACAGCAACCAGAACACTAATTCTAATTAACCGTCATTCAGAAATTTTTACATCACAAATGTTACATATTCACCCACTCCATGTACATTCATCTGCAGAATTAGAAATGCCCCAGAAATGATGCCAGAACTGGCTAAAAACGCTAGGACAGAGAAACAACTAATACTACAGCAGACCTACTATACAATAAGGGAAACACCAAGAACCAGAATCTGTGCGCAGAACCAATTTCCATCAAAGTCCATAAGAAAGGTCACATGCCGGATCTTCCCATCCATTTCCATGCAGCATAGGTACACGTCGATACTAAACGAGTAAATGCCATGACAGAAAAAAATTTCCCAGTTTAAGCAGATCCATAATGGGCGGCAAAACGCTATTGGAAAGAATTTGTCTTCCAAGGTGGAAAATTGTCAGACGTAAGACAATACAAATCAAACGCGAAACACGGCAATGAGTACGAAAAAAGTCTGTGTTAAGAACAACTATAAATAAGGCAGCAAGTAGTCACTCGGATCCTGGTGCTTCTTTCATTTATCACGCTTTGCGTCCCGCTTTCCAATTGCAATGCAACAAATTTGCGCACAAACAGCACTCTCAGGGTGACTCTCGTTGCAGCTCGTTTATAAGCTCTTTCGGAATCTCTTTAAACTGGTAGACAAGACGCTGGCCATCCACCTTCGCTAGGATGCCTCTCTGGTAGTAGTATCTGCAAAAATTAAACGCTTTTTTGGATAACTGAGTAATTCATACGTGAGTAGAGGGTACCTTAATGCACGCCCCATCGTTTCGTAATTCATATCGGGCTTGTTCTAAAAATTAATGATAGAGTAAAATTAACGTAGTTGGCGATTAAAACTGAAAAAGATTTACTTTATGTATTCCCCACAGCCTGGAAACAGCTTTGCTGTCAACCAGTTTGAAGATGCCCTTTTCCCTGAAAGCAGATGTATGCATTAAGATTTAAGCATAATATTATGTGAAAAGCCGCCACGACTTATTAAATATATAGTGCAACCCCTGTTGACAAAATCCGCACTGCATGCTTACTTGTTAGTCCACCGAATATATCTCGGCGCGCATTCCTTATCCTGCAACAGTTTCAGAAGAAATTCCCACAGATACGTCGTGCCCTCGCGCTTTTTCTTTGACGAGCTACCAGAGCCGTCTAAAGATGGTTCGTACATTGGCCGCGTTTTTCGATCTGGAAGAAATCAATCTTGTATTGATGGAATATAATTCACATAAGCAAAGCCTTTTATTGTAATACAAAGGAAATAAAATTTAAATCTTCCCTGCGTATGTTTGGATTTGTTGTGTGGCTGTGTTCACAGTTCTCAGTGAATGATGGCCAAAACTACCAGAGCAAGTACGTGTAATATCTAACGGCAAAAACGACCGCTACGATAACTTAATTTCGAATACTGCAACAAAAAGCTGGAAACTAGTACAAATCAAATATTGTGTTTACCAATCAGAATAATTCAGTAGTATTAATTGCATTGCTCTTACGCTTTTTCTTTGGTTCAAGGAGATCCTCAGAATCGGCCTCTTCCGGCAGTGTAAGATGATCCGCATCCATATTGAGTGGGGACTGACTGCGCCCCGTGGAGAGCGCGGTGGTGGGATGGGCGGATGCGTGTGAAGAATGCGTAACATGGGAAATGGGAGGGAGCTGGTGCAGAGCCGGCATCGGCGGTGCATAGTGCGAATGCGCTGCGGCGGCGGCTGCTGCCAGAGCGGCATTCCTGGCCGGCGAGGGAATGGGCTGACCCGGCATCCCACGGCCCAACATTGCCGCCAACTGGGCCATCATCGCATGCGGATGGGACGCTGGCGAAGCGGAAAGGAGGGAATGGTGCTGCTGCTGCAGCATGGCTGCAGCGGCATACGTGGCCGCTAAGGCGGCTTGCGAACCATACAAGTCTGCAGAAAGCATGTGATAACAGTATTACTCTGCACATACAAATCGGCGTGCGCTATGCAATATTTCACGGAGCGCATACAAACCTGGATGGAGATGCGGGGACATGTGATTTGGTGGAAAAAACGTAGGGTTGAGAAATGGCACCCGTTGCACATTTGGATTATGAGCTGGAAAAAAACATATTACCATAAGACTTTTTCACTACGAGTATCTCGAAAGTTTGAACTAAGTCTGGCATGATCATTTTCGCATGAATGTTTCACGGTTTCACCTGCAGAAAATCGCCGATCGTCACTGGCACTACTGTCGATGTCTGAAACACCACTGTCTGAGGGGCTTGGAGGATGCGAGCCTATAGGGCAAAAATTTGATCAGTTTTTAGTTTTCCGTAATTTTTGCAAATTCTGAATACGCTTTATAATTACCGGTATTGGTGGACGAGTAGGCTGAATGTGGACTGAGCGACTTATTTAACGTTGTGCGAGATTGTGAACTATCACGTTCACTGAGATTTTGCAAGCTTTCCCGGCTTTCGCTTCGGGGATCATCCTCTCTGTCTTCATCGTCGGATCCGCTCGAAGTGACCACTTTAAAAAAAAGCAACATGCCAATCATGTACGAGCCAAGACAACCTGTTAAAAATTTGATCAGAAACAATAACCATCAGAATTATCCCGCGTACAATTATACACGCATTATTACATTTATTACCATTATTACCTATCAGTTATCGGCAATTTCGCCGTACAAAACACAGACAATAAATACCCGCTGCGGTTACTTCATAAAGGGCCAAAAGTATAAAAAAGTCTCAATCTACTACTTGGTCTAGTACAGTCAACAGTCTAATACTTGTGTATCCAGTGGTAAATTTTTTAAGAAAGCCTATACAATTATATTTTCATAAACCAAACTGTCACATCGTACGATTCAATCATTCATATTGGTATGTACGAATTGTTAGACATTCGAAGCAGAGCTAATTTGCCAAAGTACCTTTGTGCCTTTGTTTTGTGGTAAAACAACATTTAGTTACATTCTTATATTATAAATTTAATGTTTAGTAATGTGAATAATTTTATGAGCCACAAAACAATTTTTTGAGTCCACATAGTTATTATCTACCGCACTGTCTTACCGAACGGCAGTTACCAGTACTGTGGTGCATAACAGTCCAAATTCAAAAACAGCTGTTTACACAGACATCTATTTTACGCTACAAAATGGAACAACGGATCTGCAAGATCTATGAATACCAGCGCGCGCTAATTAGAACGCTTTGTCAGGGTGCACTCGATAACAGCTTTCCAAATGTTTCACCGGAAGAGCGGAATGACGCTATGATCGTAAGATAATACCATAACAGGCTACTTATGCTCTATATCAACAGATGTGAACACACCGTGACTACAAAGTTCTTGACCTAAATTATTATCATTCGGCATCGGAAGGTCGAAAGTCTTATCAGTGTTCCATTACCAGGCAGCATGCAGCCACTATGCCCGTAATTTCAGTAAATACGTACAAAACCTTGCACGTTTTCTGGATATAGAACGAAAATTACAAAGCAGCGTCTTTAAGGAACCAAACACGCTGCAAAATAAATAATTACTTGCAGTTGCAGATCACTGTAGCAGTAATATTCAAATAATCGAACAGCCGGTTAAATTTGCATATCCGGGAGATCAGTAAAATTATACTTGCAAACCAGTCGTGATTGAAAAACTGTTAAAAACGCTGTCATTATAGTGGGTCTGTAAAAAATTCGATTTTCAACTCATTGTGGTAAGTACTGTAACTGTTAATAAATAATTTGGCATAACAACAAAGATATGACACATACAATATTATAATACTCCGTACGAAGTATATGAGTTGCTGCGCATTTGTTACTAGTGCCGATCAATCGGGCTGATCAGGATATGAGCGGCATAGAGCGGTGCTTCCGGCCTCCAACACTAGGATGGAACTACCGGATGCTCTAAAGTAGGTTGAAGAACTGAAGCGTGCTCTCCGACACAGCCCGACCTGGTTAACTGCTTCCAAATAGGTCGGAGATCGATACTTGCGACAGATCTAGCGTTCCCGCACTACACACCACAAGCGCCGTTTATAATTTTGTACAAACACATGAAAATTTTCCGCCACCGGAAAGCCGGCTATTAATATGCGGGCATCGCAGAATATTTCTCGTTTAACTCCCGCACCTCGCGATGTTTGTGATGCGTAACAGAAAAGCTGCTGCCGCATGGCATTCAAAGGTCACTCGGACCAGATGCCTGTATAAGTGTGCGGAAGAGTTTCAGTAACCGCGGATACAAATGTGATCCATTATCGAAGACTGATACAACCCTAGGTAGCTCGCTGTCAGGACTGTCGAGGAATGACGACTCCTGGCTGCAAAATGAATGACTCATTTTTGCTGCCAGGAAACGCGAGCTGGCACCTCCCATACACCAGCTTCACAGTCAATGCCGCGAAAGGTTACTTGCAGTTGACCGGAAATGCGAACAAGAAACAAGTAGAGAAAGAAACGAGCACAACGAAACCGGTTGTGTTCTGTGTTCAATGAACGTTAAACTTTTGTGAAAAATTTAAGTTGTTTTGCAAACTGGTAAGTCGCCATCGACGTAAGCGCACATGTGTACAATACCGATGGTCTGCATACATATTTCGCGGTGTTAAACCGGTTTGCAGTCTCTTGTGTATCGCACGCATTGCAGATAGTATGACACACACTCGAGGATGCCAACCCCAAAAGCAACCTTGACTTCAGCCACACTAACCAGGACACTTTTCCGTTGTTTAACATCCGGTTTCCTGTGTTAGATCGTTCAGCAACATTTAGACAACTACAGAAGAAATGCAGCGTAATTTGCACGATAAGGCTGTTAACGTTATTACTCAAATCTAAGCCTTTTGAGTAGTAATCTGGCAACTTTGGGCCCAGTCTGCTTGTCACGCTCACCTACAACCACTTCCTAAAAATTAATGTTGCTTTAGAACTATTACTTAATACCAACTCGTAGTACTCGTGCTGAATTTGCAGTTATTGAACATTCGTAAGGAGTCTGCGATAGAATGTACACAACGAATTTAATATTAGATACTACGTACGTTACAGGCATCTAGTAATTCCAGCTACGGTGTACAATAATACTGTTTATTTCATAGTAAATATTGTACACTGAAAAAGAATTTCATAATAACATAAATCACTGTTAGTGTTTAATAAGTAATTCCGTTTAATAAAGTAATTAGTAATTACTATCCAAAAAAATCGACAAGCCTGTACTGCACTGCTCATAATCTGCGTATGCAAACAATAATTAAATTAAGTAACTTAACGAATGGTGGTTTTACATTCTAAAACACTAGAGACACCAACAAAATCAAGTGCACATTTGAGAAGTGTGTGCGCGCGAAATGTTTCAAGGCCACAGCAGTATGTCACTGTCGCGATGCAAACACGTTTACAAACGATTTATGCGAGTATCAAAGCTTGTGGTTGTTCGAGTAAAGCACAAACCAGTCAAACGAGCTTTGGCTGTTGGAGATCGCCTACTATACTCTGGAAAAGTTACGTTATTAAACTTCTTATTACATTAGCTTTGCACTGCATCGTACCATTCATTCATACCTACGCGTAATATATTCGCGTATAGATAAGTATAGATATTTTCGCGGTTTCGACAAATTTTTTCCCCACGAGTTGGCCACTTCCATTTTAACAGATCGGCCAAGTACTGTACGAGTACAAGTATTAATAATCAGAATCAGTAATTAAATGAATACTAACTATCTGTGCCAGGATTTCGGCCCCTCTCTTTTGGCGCCGGTGATCTCAGCTTCTACTCAACCAATTTTTCTGCTTCAAAATGCATTAGAAACCTCTCAATCAGGATTAGTGGTCACTCAAAAGCTTGTTACCATGGATGCCATAGGGCTAACATGGGCGAGTTCTCGCTCTTGTGCTTACTAAATTACAAATTTCCAGGGAAACAGCTTATTTTCTAACCATGTTGCAACATACTGCATTATTCTGATAAGAAAATCTGAGATAGTCGGAAGCCAATATTCATCCGTGCTCAGCTTGTTAATAATTATCTTTGATGTATCGAGCGTCGAGCACCGGACTGGTACAACCGTTAAAAAACTTTTAAAACGTTTAATACAGTACATTTTCTACTATGAGCCGAAAAAGCAACATAGCGCTACTGTTTTCCATACCTATATGCCAGAGCAAACAATTTTCGTAGAATAGTTTTTGAATAATTATTGTCGTTTCTACTGTCTGCCAAACATCCACGTACCAGAAGTTGTTTAAATTGCGGAAGCCTGCCAATTTCATTGAGAATTTAAGATACTATCGTACAATGCCTGCAGGCTGTGGAAAAGAACATGCCGGATGTTGTTGTTGCCTTGTCAATCTCGGTTTTGGTGTAATATTAACAGCAAGTAAAATTATTCAAGTTTCTTTTACTATTTGATCAATCCCGTCCATTAAAATGGGTGCGCTAAATCATTTTTTCGTAGATATACACATGATTTTGACAAAGAAGCACTTTACAAACTGTGTGCGTACAGGCATACAAATTGTGTTTTGAAACTGATGGTGCAATAACAAGCAAAAACAATTATTCCTAACGGTTTCTATCAGGATTCAAACACACTACTAAGCTTTTAGCACAGTCATCTGTATACTATCACTCTTCAGAAAATTAGCAACCTCTCGTAAGCATTTCGGCCAAATTTTTTGTAGCACCCAAATAATTTATAGCAGCTTAAATTATTTGCAATGCCAGGGCACTGGCTTAGGTGTTTTATACGTTGGACTAAAACCGCAATAAAAAAATACTGGCATTAATTAGGCGGAGCCGGTTTTCGTTACATTTCCAGCTATGTCTGACAAGCGGTGACTTTAAAAATTCGTCAAAATGTAGCGCTACCGACACAACAGATCATCATCAACAGACAACTTAAAGGGCGATCGATTACATAAAGAGCGGAACTGTGCCGCTAACTGCGAGGCTGTGAGCAGACCGGCATTCAACAACACATCACACGAGCATCTGGGTGCACGACTCTCACCAGATCGGTCTCGTTTTCGTCAACTGTATTACTACAGGAAAAAAACTGGAAGAACTTGAAATCGGAGATGAAGCACTCACTGTATTATGTTAGTTTTCATTGTTGACCAAATTGACATTAAGGGTCGTGGTCAATCCACTTGATATACCTTAGCGACGGCCCATCCGCTTATGGTCACATTTTTCAAATCAGACCGCTATCCGGACTGGCCGAAATAACTGCATCACTTAGTGATGCCATTATGCCAATAAGGCTCACTATCACTACTTGTATATAAAGTTATGAACCAATACCAAATTTAAACTGAAGGTTGGAATGATTTGCAGACAAACAAACAAGAAATAAAACCTATAGAAATATCCTGTGCAACTGCAAAACGGCACATATTTTGGTAAAAACAGCGTATACGGTTGTACCTGTGCTAGATCAATTTTGGGAATATTATGGTAAACTCAATTGGTAGAACATTTAGACAACAATTAAAAATTACTAGTTTTTGTGGAAAGATTTGAACCGCCGGCACGGATGAATCCGAATAACATAAGGAACCTATTCAGAATTGTAAAGATACTCGCATTTATTCAAACATATAATAATTACAGTTTAAAATTCTGCCGTTTTTGTACTTGATTAAAGGCATTAGGAAACTTTGTATTTCATACTGTTTATGAACGTCCAGTCGTAATTTACGACTTGCCAGTACTCGGATTGCAGTATGAACTTTTACAGCGCACACTGCATAGTAAAACGAGTAAACATGGAGAAATTATTATTTATCAAAATATAAAATGCCTTTATTTGATATGATAATATACTGTTACTAAATGCTATCAGAAAAATTGAAAAGCTAGATTTTTGTTTAAGATTTTATTCTAATTATTGCATCATAATGCCGGAAATAGGCACACTTGCGGTTAATCGCAGTAGATATTCCCGTGTGAGCGGGAAATGCCGGTTTTAGCCGGTTTGCCGATCTGTGCAAAAGCGAGAGAGGGAAAGTGAAGAATTTTAAAAGCTTTAACTTTCATTCGCACAGTCAATAAATCCGCTGTTCGCTAAAGCACACTACACTCCGTACAGTTGTGCGGTGAAATGAAAAGTGGGTCAGTGAGCACGAAGAAGAAAGCATTTGACGCAGTAGTCCGGAAACGGTTAAGGGCTAACTTCAGACCGGCGATGAAGGTTTAATATTACGCAGTCCTGTGGCAGGCCCTCTAATAAATCAGATTAGTCTACCACAGTAGCCGAGATCTCCGTACGTAGCCAAACAGGACACATAACTGTAACGAGATGTTTCTCGTGTTTGCATTACCGGATGTAGGCTATTTAACATTAAGAATTAATCTGTGTATTATTGATCTCCCTCCCTGTCGTGCAGCGCCTGTTCTATTTCCGTTCCCAGAAATGTTCACTGCGAGTGTCTGTTGCAGCGCTTCCTTGATCCGGCCTACATTCCACCCCAGCAAAATGAAACATAATCAGTGTGTATCACATACGGTGTCCCGATGGGAGCAGTTTTTACAGAAATCGCCTCGGTAATCAGCGTCGAAGACAGTTTTACGCTGCTACCGCATCAGCGCATCGTTATTTCCTTAATCTACCGCATTATGCGGCCACATAATACACATGGAAGCGTATTACACGAGTTCAGCGAAGAAGGAATTGGGTGATCGGAGATGAGAACGGAAGTGTGATAACAAGCAGTTTGAAGCAACAACACTCGCTAATCGTAGTATCATCAAACAATCAACTTTTACTACGCTATGAGCGCGCAGACGTCCACTAGTCGTCCGACGTGCTAGATAGCGGCTATTCGCTTTTAAATTTTGCAATAATTACTTTCAATAGTCTGCCTTATTATCTTAAAATAACATTATTGTTATAAGAAAAGCAATAGGTACAAGTTTATTTATTATAGAAAACACGTTTTTATTTCTAATAGATAATACACTTTCTTTAACAGTTCCAGAATTTCTTTGGAAATGGTAACAAAGTACGGTCGTGAAGTAAGTTTCGTATGAAAATTACAGTGGTTCGCCGTGATGAAAAATCTGAGTCACCAAAACCAGTCCTCCATTTTTAATCAAACTTTTAATTCTGACAACCAAGAAGCGGTCTAGATGAACCCAAAGAACGTCATTCCATAAGCAATTCCTGATTGTCCGCCCTAAAAATTACGTAATTGGTATACACGGAAGCAGTCACGTGCGGGGCCTGTACATATCGACATTTCAAATGACGAAGACTGCCGCACGGTTACGCTCCAAGGGAGAAATTGATAATGGAGTAAACAATTCTCAACGAGAAATAAACCTCTCCATCTATAACACCAAACTGTACCCGGAAATTGTCATCAATTCAAAAACAACTTGAAATCAATTATTAATTTACCACTGCAATATTCTTCAACCGAATTCAGAGTACTTCTACTAGTCCGTATGCCCAAAATAGGACTTATACCGCATGTCGAAGAAATTAAATCGCATCACCTATAATTTTTCATTATGGAAAGGCGCATTTGTCACAAGTAAAGCACGTATCAATAATCATAATAAGTATTATCATCTTCGCTTCGCGATGAATACAGTAATGCTGCAGTAAAAGCGTCATTCTTAGTTCTTACAAATATATATCTGCGTAGTGCATACATAAACTGTAATTACACACCGGAAAAAATTGGAAGATTACTTAATCACATTTGCATCCCTCTGCTACATAGTAGCTACAGCTAGGTTAGTGATTTATTCGGCAAAATTATTAAGTATTGTAGACTAACTGTATCCTCTGCAGCAATACAGGCAGGACCTGATTTTACAACGACAGAATAAGAACGAGTGAAAGTACTTAATAATACCGCATCCACCAAACCGCGCGTCATAACGTCCCTGCAAAACCGGTATGCCGCAACTTATTTAAAAATGGATCTGCAATGAAAGTTCTGTAATAACAAGTAAAGGAAGAAAAGTATTCGGAAGTATACGTTAATAATGACAAAAGCGTACGCCCTGAGGACAGAGCGCTAGCACTGAATCATAAAAGCCATGGGAAACGCTTTCATATCGAACATAAAACGGAAAAATATTAACGTGCTGACCACAAAAGAAAGGAAAAGGATGATTACTTTCCGTGGCCTGAAAGTGAATTATACAGCACTCTGGCCGCTGCTTCCAGGTTAGCTTAACAATCTCAGTGGGTCAGTGGGTTGATTACATATCCAGGCTGCGTTACGGTACAGAATATTAGCCAAATCCAAACAACGACTGCCTGCTCGACCATAAAATTTAATGGCGCACGTACAGCACACTGGACAGGAAAGTATAAAATACTGAAACAACATCTTATGGTACACTAAGAAGTTAATTATATTAGAAGGAATATTTAAAGTATTCCAATTTGCAAACCAATTCATTGTTTACACTTAAAAACTTTTAAAAACTGATTATACATTTTTCGAAATATCGGATCCTAGTAGCACTCTGCACCATACTGTCCGTATATAAGAAAGGAAAAAGAAAAAGACTGATATAGAAATTGTGATAATAATAGTAATTCTCCCAATCTCATTTTTTGGGTAATTAAGCATCGAAAGGAAAAACGTGCTCTAGCTATCAAACTGTCGAGCAAGTATATCGGTAGGACGCGTGATTCTCAGGCGATGTAATTGACGCGGCCACACAAGGACACGGCGGCAAGCAGCAGGTAAGCATATAAGCAAATCCAACTGTTATCACCCGATGGACATCCGCCATCGCGTGACATTGAAAATACCTTAAGCTCGTAGACAAAAAGTATAGCATTAACCTTAAATGACTCTTGTCTGCATTTGTACTGATGCAGAATTATTCATACTATACTATACACTTAGCTCGGCGATCAAATACGAACATGGTAAATTACTAATTTACTATATATTACAAAAATCCATCATTCCATAATTATTTGAAGACCGGAATGCGTAATAACTTCATCAATTTCAAAACCACCGGAGTGTTTTCAATTGAACAACTATTTATATGTATGTTTACGGATTTAGCCAGAGCTGAAAAAAGCCGCGATATACGATTCACAACGCCGGCCATTCGACAAAGATAACCGCTGATTCCAGCACAATTCTAACAATTTTGCGTACTTCTATACAGGTAAACGACGCAGTCAAGGTCGCAATATTGCGAATTTCCCTTTGACAAAGGAAACTGTTGTAATTTGTCGACGACTGCTGATAGTAGAATACATGCCGAGGTTTGCGGTTTTAGTACTGAGGAATTTTTCAAACACATTGTATATGACTGACGGTAGCATTTTAGTTACTTACTGTAGCGTTTGAGAAGGTTCTTCTTGTACGAGCAAGAATTCCGTGCATTCTTTGACTCAATGCTATTCTCCGTGGACAGGTCCAGAGGTGGCTCATCCTCGGCTTCGTGGTCTTCGCTGATGCTGTGCATTCTATTCATTCTGTAGGAGACCGGCATTTCCCATGAACTGATTATGGTAACCATTCGAAGGACATTATGAAGCACGGAACAACACCCAATCTGCGGCGAAAGTTTGAACTACAAAAACTATTCAGGAAAATGCAGGAAAATATGACACTTGGCACAGGAGCCAGTCAATGGGCACAGGGAAACATGGCTTTTGTAAAGTGCATCTTCTGCATTGTGCTCACCGCGCCTAAGCCCGGGCGCTACCGGTAGAAATTTGGCACAAAAACCGCTTTTCTCGATCCATTTGGGATCGGTGAGAAAAACGTCCCGTCGGCATTTGAAAGTAATGGCAGTTTGTGCGCGATTACGATTCAGCTCAATAAAACATTTGTAAACTAGGTCAGTGAGATGTAAACATGAATCCTGAAACGTAGCAGCCCATTGGTTTGAAACTGGTTGGCAATTTTCAGTGGAATCTCTCTTCGCAGCTGTGGCGCATCAAGAATATATGTAACACCGGTCTACGAAAGCTCGTTTCCGCTTATTGCGCGCCAGATATGCACAAGCCAGCCACTACCGTTCTTTGGCTCAGCCTTTGGGCGCCGTAAAATCCAATGCAATGCGGCAGGAAGCAAAGCAACTAGACTGTTGCTTACATTTGCGATTCACAAGTCAGTTGTTACCGGCCGTAGTATCGCAGCTGACGGCACTGATATACACATTTTAATACTTTAACACAGTCATAGTGACATGGGTACGATTTAAATCAACGATACGGTATGTAAGTATTGTATTGTACAGTATAAAGTAAACACTCAAATTTACAATTATATAGTACTGTAGTAATTTTTTACGGATTGTGTAGTACAAAGTAGTGGACATCATATTGCACAATAGTGTATTGTACCCTTAAGTATTTCGTATGGTTAAATTAATATCTTATATATAAATATACCTATATTGATGCAGTTTTGTATTATTATCAGTAGAGTATTGACTTGTCATTGAAGCACAGATTTCCGTAGACAAAATACTTGCGCCTGCCATTTTTATTCAATATTCCCTCAACAATCGCATTATATAGCCTATGGAAAATAGATATTTTGTAGATAAAATTATAAATGCTAATCGACAGTCATGTACAGTGCGTATACGATGTAATCAAGCGGGCAAAAATATTCGTTCCCTTTCGTTTTCAATGTTACTTTCACCAAATATTAAGATAACACAGCTACGACGTATGTAGTAGAAACGATATAGTTTGTACAATAGATACTGTATATATTAGATACTAACTGAGTTACGTTACGGCTAAATGTATGATTGTGGAGTTTTGTCAAATGTTTACCATTAGCTTAGTATAGCACTCAACCAATACTGTCAGATGTTTATGTTGATAATTTTCTTCCGCAGTTGCCTAAGCTGAACGAAATATTAGTTTCTAATGCATGCCTGATATTAACTAACTCCCAACAGCCAAAAACGTGTACAAAATGATCGTTGTCGTACATGAAGAAAACTAATAAATTATTGAAAATTATTGACGAAAAAAGCTAGCACGATCTGCACTGATATGGCGTTAATATAATGACTGCCGAGTCGATTTTGCCAAAATTTAATAAAAATGCATAGCTTTAGGATCGAGGCGGCGAAAAATAATAACTATACTTGTCGATGACGCTTGTTGAATGTATACCGGTTACTAGTAATCCACAAATGTCAAATGGAAGTTTTTCTAACAGTTGTAAGTATCTTGTGCGTCGGGTTTTGGCTCGTGGCTTCCGTTCATTTAATCAGTGCTACGTACCTAAAACATATTTCAGTGGACTTGTGATTATACCGACTCCGCCGGCAGACTTATAATTTTTCGACTTTTGTTAGTGATTAACTGTTTGATTTACGCTTTCCCATACTGGTAAAGAATGTATTCTTGATTTAACGTTCATATCATGACGATGCTTTGGTATAATATTTTTTAAAAGTAACAAGAATAACTAAGAAAATCCAAGTTGATGTACGTTGACAGACGGGTAACCTATCAGCTTTTTTCCCAAAATCAAGACGTCGCCAAAAGGTGTAGTGGACTGCAGATTTCAAAAATTCCAGTTTATAATTGACTATTGTGTATACCATAAGGGTTTTGAAACTGGATTGCGTCACACAAAGGCATCCATTTTTGCGTTTTCGCGGAAAGAAGTTGTGCTCTGACTGAGAGCATATTATTATAATTTGGGATCCGACGATTGTTTCGAATTATAAATGTCTACAAGTTTAATTAAAAGCATGAGACAGACAGCTACTCACCATCAGTAGCTATTGAGGTGGGCGACATCAGCGATGAAGTACGAATACCACTTATAGCACTACTTCTACTTATTGTTGTTATAAGTAGCTGATATTACAGTATATGTTTGCCCAGCACCAGTTTAGTTAACTGTTAACAAGTTAATTTTGACTGTAATCAGTCAACACTAACACTCATTTAATACGCGTATGTTTCTTAATCATTCTTGTTGTTTTCCGATCTTTTCTAATTTCTGAGCCGGTAGTAAGTGCACTGTGCAATTACATTTCTTGATGCTTTGAATCGACTTTGGAAACAACAACTACCACATTCAATGGTAGCGTCAAAAACTTTTTTTTAATTACGGGTCAGTTCCACTGCATTATGGTCAGCAATAACGGGAACAGTGCTCTAATCAGTTACAACCTGCAAGTAAAACGAACAACAGAATGGTATAATTTAACCTATAACAATTTAACCTATACACAATCGTTACTCATGACATTACCGCCCGCTTTCCAGTTCAAAACAAAATTACTCGCTATTTTAATGTTAGTATTCAAATGGATGAGTTGTGATTATCGGCGCGGTTCCGATCCCTGTGATCGGATTCCTTGCCGTAATACTGCGCAGTTCTGGCAGATCATTGTTCCTTTTCCGGATGCTCCTGCAGGCGCATCTCCGCTACGACTTCGCTTAGCTAAAAAACACACCACTTTACATTCTCGGTGAAGAAGCAAACTGCGCCAACAGTTGTAAGGTCACGTGGGCTGGCGGCTCTTGTTCAATCAGAATGCCTTAATATAAATAAGCTCTGACCAATAAAGTTCTGGTTATACAAACTTTGTACCGCAAAAGCACGATTTAAGGTGGTTTTATCACTTTTATGAACTCGTAAATCGCAACCACATTTCCCCGTTTTTGGGGTAAGTATTTTTTGTAGTAAAAATATAAGAATAACCAAATTTCGTACGTACCATATCCATCATAGCTTCGTTCTTGATTATCTGGAAGCACATGAAAACAAAGTGTCTTTTAACTAAAATAAAGTACGTAGGGGAAAATAGGGCCGGCTGTAATAAAACTTCTATTACGTAAATAATATCTATTCTAAATGTGAAATGACACCATTGCATACCAGGAAGTTCTTTTCTTTTTTCAGTTCTTCTACCATGTTTTGCAAAGATATAATTACGCTGCGGTCCGAGGATGCGCTTATATCATTTGCTGTGCGCGGCACTTGCGTTGTTTGCGAGCGGTCCCGAATTGCCACCGAGATATTCGGGTTTCGATCAGCGGCTTCTTCTTCCGTTGACGTCTGATGCCACTCGTGATCGGAAAAGACGAAATTCATATTTCCCAATCTCAGTGTCGGCGTGTTCGCCTCCATTTCAATGTCCCGCTGGAATCTCTCGCCGTAGTTTGCGATCACCGTTAGAGCAGTTGGCCGACGAACTGGCAACGATTTCGGGGAAGCTCCAATTCCCAGAGCAGATCCGAGTTTGAAAGCCGCAAGGTTAGTCAAAGGCATATTCGGGATGATTTGTGGTCTTTCAATTGGTAATACGAACGGTTCGTTTGGGCGGTTGAACTTCGTGGTATTAAAGTAGTGGTCCAACCAGAACCGTTATACAGTTTACGAGTATATACCCAAATATTCGTATATATATACGTAAATGCCTGTTTTATCCAAAAAGCATGCGGATATGCGAAAAACTATGCTTTTCCCACTGAAACAGAAATATCATAAATTTCTGAGCCACGATGTATCCCACGGTCCTCCGATGAACAGTCCAAGTCCAGCACATATTGTACTTCATGATACATCGTAACATACAGTTATAATTCTTTATACTGAAGTACTCGTAATTATTAAAGCTGCTTTAGTCTTCGGCTACCTTTACGGCGTGCGGCACGCCGGTACCTGCCTGCACATGCAGTGGTATAAATTCTAAAGGTTATTGATTGCAGCATGCAGACTGTCATCTGGTTATCGACGGAGTCCACATCAAATCGATGATGCTGACAGGAATTTAGAGCCAACTAACTAAGTATGTATTTCTGGAATACTTCATCACGGCCACAAGACTGCGCGCGCTCACTGCAGCCATTTTACAATATTAATTAATGCAACCGCATTTCTGCATTTTCTTGTTTCGTGTCACCTTTTAGTTTCATAGTTCTGGTTCCCGAGAACGGCAGGAGCGAAGAAGCATCGTCGCTTAGATTCTGAAAATCTAAAAGAATATGAAATTAATAGCCGATAGACGATGTGAACTGTACCTGTACAGTCTTGCAGTAACACATGTAATGACTGCGAGCAAGAAAGGAACAGCAACTAGTGAATAAAGCTCACCACTGACTTCGCTTCCGGTAAGTAAATTTGCACCTACAGAGTGACCTACTCCATCAAAAGAGTCGCTCTAATAAGAATGGTGCGTTTTTATTTCAAACTTTACTTGTACACGTTTTAAGAACATAAATAAGAATTAAATTTATTGAGTACCAATCCGGTCATGTTCTCCGGTGTTTATGCAATGTACGTACGTACAAGTATAATCTGTGGCTCACTGCGAAATCTCATATGATAGATCAGGAAATCACGAACAAATCATAACGCCTGTTTTGTTGGACAGCCGAAAAAAAACTACCCCAAGCGTCAAGAGCACATTTAAAAGGGAAACAACTAGGAACACGGAAAAAATAAGCGGACCAGGTCAGGGGCTTAGCGAACGAGCTACTGCCTGCCCAGATCTGTGAAAGCCCAAAATACTGAACAAATCTACAGAATCACGAATTGTGTAAAACGGCCGGTATATAACCACGTGTCAGAAACCAATTGGGATAATCAGAAAAACTGGCTCGGAACGAATCAAAACACACTCTGCAGAAAACATTCCCCTCGACGTCCAAACTCTTCTCGAGTGCATTCTCGCGCCAGTTTCACCCGAATACAGCACCACAGTTTGAGCAACGACGTTGGCGGGTCGCTAGACAGCACAAGATGCCCAGGGGGAAAAGAAAAATCGCACACAAAATTCCGGAGCAGGTGTACTAAAAAAACAGATGCTATAACATGGTGAAAAGTAACATTTATGCACAGATCTGGGAATACTGGGATGATTCGGCAGACGACAGAACAAAATAAATGATAATATGTACCACTCAAGAAAAGGTAAGCAACAACTTTGACACATTGGTAAACGAGCTCTCAGATGACTGCTGTAAACAAGTCTAGGATCCTTACAATATACGTACGTGATCATCGAGCACCCCAACACGGCATGCTGGACATCCACCAATAATGGCAATTTCCGGCTGGGGCACCGATCCAGCTGCGCCATACCCCTCATCTTCACTGTTGACGTATCCAGCTGGGAGGCCAGATTGATAACCTGCCGCAAAAAATGCGTTTTATTATTAAAGGCGCCTTGCCTATATCATTAAGTGTTGCTGTTGAAAAGATACATTTTTCCTTATATACATTCTCTTACGAAATACAGCAAGCTCGTTATTACTGTCAAAGGATCAACAACTACTTTAAATTATGCGCAGTTTCGCAATAATTCATCGCAAAATGCTAGATCCAGCATAAGCTAATGCCCTCCTGCATCGTTATTAATACTTCAAATTACGCTTGCGCTAGAAACAATTTTTTTCTGGAGTTATAAATTTGCACCTGTAGTGTAATCATTGTTGCCCCCTCCTGCAGGAAGCGAGGGATGGTTCAGGAGTGGCGTATAAGCAGCAGTGCCCTGACTGTTTCCATACTTATCACCCATACTCCAGGAGAGGATAATTTAATTGGTTATTTCCTTTCCCTGCCTCCTCTCAAGCTGTGGCGAGTTGGTGCGATCGCGGATGAAGAAACTTGTGCGTTACCAGAGCAGTTTTGCATAAAATGTCGCGTACTACCACCAACAACCTCAATCTGAAATTAAAAAGCGTCTTGTTAACAGGTAAAACCAAAAACAGCTTAGTGATTCAGGTATGGGTGCATTTAGTAGTCTGTACTGTTAGTTTGTTAGCAAGGTAGTGGACAAGATAAAAGCTATAAACGATTGATACTGTTGCACTACTGTACATTGTAACGGAAGAACATTAAGAACAGCATCAATACTTGTACTTCTATTCATCGAGGCACCGAATATTACTCCTTTCTCATTTCTGTACAGTGTCCAGCTACCAATAAACCACACAAATAAAAGTTGCTTAACATTATTCGTTGTCACATGATTATGGGCCTATGGCATTTGAGTAGACGACTACCATGAAGAACCGAGAAAGTTCATTCATGATCCTAAGATCCTTCGAAAAACCGTTCCTAACCATAAGTGATAAGTTGGAGAACTTTCCTTCCGTCTTTTAGACCAGCAGATCAAAATGACAAGTACCTATCGAACTCGAAAGAAACTGTCACTCACAGACCATATCACTCCATAGAGTGGTCCGATCGTCCGGGACTAGATGCGAAAAAGTAAAACAATCTGTTACAATAATTAAAATAGTAAAATCGGGGTTTTTCTACTAAACTAGGCTTGTATTCCAATCTGGGAAAATTCTACGTAAATTGCAAATTTGCAATCGATTCTCGTAAAGGGTTTGTGTCGGCCACCCGAAGCGGTAACCGTTTTCGCATAATGGCTCACAATCCGGTTACATCCAGCAAGTACAGATATTTATGTGGTAACAATTGTTACTTACAATTACAATATAATAACTAAGCTTCGAGATTTATTGTTTCAATTTGTCACAGTTATACGCCGTTCATATGGTAGTACTTTTATTGATAACAAAATCACGGCAAAGCTGCCAAGACGAACAACATCGGGCACTAATCATTCTCTAATTAAAAGCTAAAAAACGTCCTCGTTGTCTCTCGTATCATTAAATGTTCCGAGGACAGACACTGCACTTCCGCGTTGTATCTCAATACTGATTCTCTGGCGCAAAAACTCTCCCGAACGTGGATTACCGCTACATTCGCAAATTAAATCTTCCTTGACAACTCCTTAAAAAAATTCTTTGTTAGCGGTCCAAAGGTTCCCGTAGTTTCAAAAGCCAGGGGTTGTATTATGTAACGATCCGCAAGTCCATCATACTTCCGTAACTTCTGATTCTCTCATACTTCCGCTGCGCTTCCTGGAACACTAGATGTATGGCCTATGTATACGTAGGTTTGGGCGAAAGTATCGGCAACAGTGACATCCCACACTAAAGGTTTCCCATTTCGCCAAGGAAAAGCAGTAACTCCGTCCGGCCTCTTGCCATCTCCTTTATCTAGTCCCGGTGGTTCAAGCGTCGACGGCACTCTGGCGGCTCTTTTTGTTGCTGCGTTCAACACGGCATGAGTACCGTGTCTTCCTTTTGCCATGGCCAGCTTACACACCAGACCGTGGTGGCCGAGACTGTCCACTGTGGCTCCGCAGCGATATAATAACTAGTACTTAATACTTTAATTACTTATAACTACCCTAGGTACTTTAGTGTTTATTAAATATACATAGACTATTGTTTTGATTTTTCTAGCTCCATCCTTTTTTTGCAAGTAGCACAGCGCATTAATTTAGCCAAAATTTGCGAGGCCCAACGCTGCCGCGGTCAATTATTCTGCATGTCGCGGTACTCACGGTAAGGTGTCACAAAAGTAAGTTTTGGTTTTGCCAGGTTTGTATGATCATGAGTGCGACTGTACGAGTATGGCAGCAAGAGCAATGCTTACTTACTACAATATTTAATATTTACAATAGTATCTGGATCTATGTAAATGTACGGTAACTTTATTCAGTAAGCTTAAAAATACTGTGCCCTGCTGTTAGTACTTGTAGTTAAAGTTGTTTCACGATATCATAAAGGCAAAATTACTGCCGGGGTATGGTCATGAGCGGCACAAAGTACGACCTTATTTGTTATAAACTAGCGAAATTTCTGAGCGCGATGCAGAATTAATTATTTAGAGAGTATAGATATAATGATATAGATATATAGTATCGCAATGAGTAAATTGTGAACTGTGATGAGACACGAAGGCTGCAGTGAAATTCACACGTGCACTGTAACGAATAACATGTCGGACTTAAAATGAGAAGGCTTTGACAGTCTATCTGTAGTGACTTCCGGTGCGTAGTCCAGAGCGGAGGCGCAACCGGTAGAAAACTCTGAACAAAGTTTTCAAACAGTTGTGGACTAAATGCAGTAGTAATCACGGGGTTTAATGTTAATCTGTCATTAATGATTGTAATATTGTTGTCTTGTGCTTTTTATGCAGTTCTGCGTACTTGAATTTTTTTCGAAAATATTGCACTTTAATTATAATATATTGTTAAGGGAGCAACGAAGAGCGGTGATGCCATTGCCCGGTGAGTCCTGACAATGGAAATGCTGTAGAAGTTCTCATGCTCGATTTGCTCGAACAGAATTGAGTTACAAATTTACAAGATCACGAAAAAGAAGAGAGTTGTAGGCAATTTCCTATCGTAACTGACTTGTGCTCTGTACTTTACTGCGTTATAACTTAATTAACTTTTGGGAAAGTATCGACCGATCAGTCCTAAACGCTGCAGTTTTACGAGAATCAAAAAGTGCTTTAATAAATACATTTAATGTATTTAATAAAATAAAGGCAAATAAAAACGTCGAAATTTTTCAAAAAGTTTTTGAAAAATTTCGACGTTTTATAATTCTTGTATTTAATAGGATTTGTTGTTTTTAAATGGGAATGGGTTGGTTAAATGTTGGCTAGAGAAGGGATTCATAAATATACACCAAAGCTGAAAAGAAATAGTCTCTTTTACTAAAGGATTAGGATAGTCTTTATAATTAATTTAGCGTGATTGATTCAGTTCATACGTACAGTGACGTACTTTATGTGTGCTGCTACAGTCCAGGGGTGCAAAAACTTATTTACAGATATGTATTTATTTAATTCACTAGTTACCCTACGTGTAAACAGTGCGTACATGTTGTACTGGTGACCTGCAGAGACAAACTCCAAAAAATACAGCCGTACTTTGCAACTGCTTTATGCGGTTAAGGGCACTTCTAGAAAAGAAATGCGATTAAACCCTTGAGAAAATTATACGAGGACTAGAGTAGTCTTTTTAACTTAGTACGCGGTGTGCACCACTGTCCGCTGCCCATGGCCAAAGTATGTAAGTACTGTAACAGAATAACGAGCACATCTTTAAGTCTTTAAAACTTGTAAATAATAAACTACAGCAGCGTGTCAGTGGAATAAACCTGTAAATAACAAACCAAAGTTGTGTATAAATTTTGTTAATTTCTTCCAGGATAGGAAAAAGGTGCTACTTATCGACCCGGTGCGGTTCTTATTATGCTCCCAGTTTGCCACACAAGCATAAAAATATATAGAATGTGATGTTTTGATATCACGGCTAAATGGCAGACGTTGCAGAATTAAACGGTGTCCCAAAAAACAAACTTGTTTCCAAGTATCGTGTATTCGTACCGTACATATTTTTACGTGTGGTATTTCTATCAACGCTAACCTCTGTCTAAATACAAATCAGCTGTTTCTCTTTGCGTCCTCTTCTGGTCGATGCGAAAGTCTAGAATCGTGTTCCCACGTTGATTCCATTGTGAGAATGTCATACGTGGTTTTGGTTGGGCGGGCAAATACGCAATCGGCAAGCCCCATTGGTTTAAATGCATTGCACTATGACGTCCTATCGTCTATAAACAGCACAGACAGATTTTCAGTCATACAGCACTTGAATACTCCTATCGATTTTTTCCGCTGTCGGTCTGTCTGCCAGTCTGACTCCGTTCCATGTTTTACATAACAGTCGCTCATTCAACAAACTCAACCAGCTTTTTATAGTAAAGTCTAAAGATCTGCCATTCGATGCATCTGCGCGAAGCTTTTTTCAGTTCAGGCCGTCCCTCGATTTCGCAGCTTCGCTTATGGATAGTTAGTAGCTTTGCCAGCCATAATTTTATTATATTTTACCGATTGCGCCACCATTGTAGTGTACTTGCATTAATTAAAATAAGCTTGCTAGTTTGTGTTTGCTCTTCGTACTTTTTGCATTTTACTGAAACTGCGGCACCGCTTACTACATACTTACCTGCCTACCATCTGAGTCTCCCCAGTAACCGGCCTTGTTATCGGTTTCATCTGATTGGTATGTGGTGTTTACAATCACACTGCCAATGAGCGATAAAATTCCCAGAGTGAACTGACTCTGTATGTATTGAGGATCAGCAATAATTATTCAAAATAATTGATTTGATTCTGGATTTATCATTCAAGTCTTTTTTTCTTCGGTCTTTCGAAACGTCCAGTCAGTAATATCGCTGCTGTATTTTTAGTTAGATTTAGTTGTCATCCATCAGACAAAAACTGTAGCCGTGCAGTTTGGATTATCAGTCTCCTTTCGTGTGGCTCGCATCAATCAGGCTGGTTCTCAGCTGGTCGATTGAGTTTTTCCTCTTACAATTAGATTTGAAACTGCCTATCGATCCTTCTGCGACCCCGGCTTGTATTAGATCCCGATTACAAGTACCATATTATTTGGAGCGAAATTATTCAACGATACGGCAGAGCGGTAGCTTTTGGTTATGGCAAACCTGTTTGGATATATGGATATTTTTCGAGAAATGCAGCTGATTGCAGAGACCGGACTGATTTCTCGTTGTCCAACATTCTGCGATCAATATGTCCAGGTAAAATTAAATGTGACTGCATTTGAAAACTCATTAATTCTGTTTGCATGCAAATGATCAAATCACGAGAAAATAATTCTCTAATAATTTTAGCTTTATTGTTTTGTAAAGTTGTTGTGGATTTGCTCATTTGCAGTTCTTTTCTCGGCTTTGGTTTTGTGAGTATAATCATTATAATTTCGAAAATATTTCTATCAATTATACTATAATTGATAGAAATATTTTCGAAAGTTTTGTCCATTGGACGTTGGGGTTGCAATAGCTACCGCTTTAAGATTTTTCCCATCTTCTGCAATTTGACTGCAGTACTCGCACAGATTACCCATTACCGGAATAAAATATAAGATTATTTATTACGGACGATCGTCTAACAAACAAGTGTAGTGCTGCAGTATAGTATTAATCTGGTTTATCTTTATTAAGTGGTTTCTGTACTCAAGTTTCAATTGCGGATCGCCGCGTTTAGCGTTTTGCGCGAATGTTGTCTCTTGCATACCGGTCGCTGCTGCAGAATTTCAGTGCCAGAAGGCAGACTTTTATCGCTTTTTCGCAATTTATTATTGCGGTAGCTTCTAAGGATCGATACCGACGATACGAACATATCGTACTAGCTGCTAAAATGTTCTGCTAGTGTTGGGACCGTGTCCATTCATTTCGGCCACCATTCATTTCGGCTACCATTCATTTCGGCTATCATAGATCCGGTTACCGCGTTCGATTTTCTTAGGTTTTTTCAGGTTTCTTAGGTCATTCTTAGGTTTCTTAGGTTATTCTTGTTTCTTAGGTTATTCTTGTGTTTTAGGTTATTCTTAGGTTTCTTAGATTTCTTAAATTTTTCTGAATGCACATTGCTTGAAAACCTTGGCTAACCTTACAATAGAGTCATAGACTCTATTGTAAGGTTAGGATGCCACTGCTAAGGATGCCAGTGCCTGGTTGTTTGCATTGCCGGTCGCCAGCCTTGGCACACTGTTGGACGATGCCGGTCTGCGGATCGCTGTTGCTTTGCGGATGGGGGCGCCTATTTGTAAAGAGCATAAATGTCGGTGTGGTGAAATGGTTGATACATGCGGCTTACATGGATTGTCGTGCGTCAAAAGCCAAGGAAGGTTCAGGAGGCATGCGAGTCTGAATAGCGTGATTCAGCGTAGCCTGGGATCAGCAAAGGTGCCGTCAATCTTGGAGCCTCCCGGACTGTGCAGACTGGACGGGAAGCGGCCAGACGGCTTATCACTCTTCCCATGGAGAAATGGCCTCCCTCTGATATGGGATGTAACAGTTTGTGACACATTCGCTACTTCGTATATAGCTGGCTGTTCAGAAGCAGCGGGATCGGCTGCTGAAGACGCGGAAGTGCGGAAGCGGAACCTATATTCCGAACTCACTGATCGGCATTTTTTCCAGCCAGTGGCACTCGAAACTATGGGAAGTTGTAGCGAAAGTACCCACCAGTTCATCAATGAAGTCGGCCGGCGTATCAAAGAACAAACGGGAGAAGCGCGCGCTGTTCATTATTTGTGGCAACGTATAAGTGTGGAAATTCAGCGCGGAAACGCGGCTTCTGTCCTGGGGACGGTCGGGTGTTCTCGAGAGTTAGAAGAGTTATTTTTCTTGTTCTGATTATTGGGTATTTAAAGTTTTAACGTAAATGGCATTGGCTTGTACAAGTTGATAATAAAAAGTCACAGCATTTGCTAGGCTCGATGGAAGCGCTGGACAAACTAAACGAAATTTTTATGTTATAGTTTGCGTGTCTTTTCCAATAATTTGTGTATTGCATTTTGATTTGACCAATAAAGTCATAGACTCATAGACTACATGTAAGCTAAAAATCGAACGCGATATCCAAATCTATGATAGCCGAAATGAATGGCAGCCGAAATGAATGGTAGCCGAAATGAATGGTGGCCGATATGATAGGGTGCCGTTGGGACTGGGTTTCGTGAGTGAATGAGTCGGAGAATGCCGTATTTAAGGCAACATATCCGACGTAAGAGCTTGTTGCCAAGATACCGACGTCAGTACGCTCTCTTATGATTCACTTGGTGCATTATGTACCGCTACTTGCTGTAGTTTATCGATTTAAAAACCAAGCTACAGTAAGTATACTGTACACTACACAGCCGCCTGTGACCGTGTGACAAGTTATGTTTTTTAATTTAAAAAAAGACTGTGCATAAAAAATTTTTGAAGCTAAATGAAAGGCAATGAGTACTACGAAAAGTACTTGCGTGAATCAGGCAAACTGTAAACACGATGCTGTGATTTAGTTACAGTACAGTACTTAATCAATTTACTACGTACGCTGTGTTGTACGTGTTCTTGTGTGTGCACTGTACACCTATGTACTGGTGGTCAGTTCGAGCTAATCATATTATTATTACGAATGTTGCCAATCTCGAAGTCTTTTTTACGGATCGCTTTGCATTTGCATTTTTTTTCACAAAAAAACTGCTGCACAGCGTGCATACTATATCGGTTATCCTAAAAATACATTTTAGTGTTTAACTTTTATGGTACGGATACACAGTTGCAAATTTTTATGTTATCGAATTTTGTTATTTTTTACGCAGAAAAATCCGTGTTCAAATCGCGACTGACAATTCAGACTGCTTATAAAATAATTTTTTAACTGTTCTTGAATTCTCAGCCTTTCATTCTTTACAGACAGGTTTGGCGTTGGAAGTATTTCTGAAGAAGGAGCGCAAAAGTATTGATTTGAGTGTGGGATTGGACAGTGATGGCGAATACAGCGATGTCTTCAGCTCTAGCAGTTCGTCAAATATGTGTTCGGACCCGCCCAGCCGAGCTTCATCGCCGAGCCTGTTCAGTCCCGTTGATTCGCTTGATGGTGGATTTTCTGGTGCTTCGTCCCGAAAACATGGGGATCCCAAACGGAAGCTCATGCATCAATTCAGTCACAACTCAAGCGATAGTGGCATATCGCCGCCATATTCCCCTGACGGGCTGTCTGCTCGTCACCAAAGCGAGTCTTCCTCGTGAGTGCTTCTTCTGTACGACCGATATGAATGTAACGATATTTCATATGAATACAACCTATAGGTATACCTTTCTTCGGTATGTAGTTACGCGAATTTAATTTGGTTTCCACAGCTTACAATACATGTCTGAATTTTGCTCTCAACTTCTGACAGTAGAAAGTCTGATCCCGCAGTTAAATAATATGTGTAATTTGTAAATGATTTGCTGAAACTTTTTTGTAAAGTGTAAGTACGTTATGTGTCACTTGGTTCATCCAGTTCGAACTTCTGAATATAGTTGTATACTTTTAACTTTTGTAGTAAGTAGGTATTAATATGCACTATTTCCGTATTTCGAACACAGTCTTGAATCGAGTTTTAAACTTTCACTGTTTGGCAAAATGATGGGCGCAGTGGTGCTGGAAAAGCCAAGTAGAGCGAAAGAAAGTGAACTATGCTCTAGCTGGCACATTATGGCATAAGTAGCAAGTATTTTAAGTAACACCAGTGCCGGTTGGATTATTATTTTTAAACTTGGCACCTGTTCACAAAGTTTGGTTCCTTTCAGACTGGCTTTCAGACTCACTTGCCTTTCGTGGTCATTAGGCTGATCGCTGTTACGGAGTTATTATGTATTAGCTGCGATACGGACGCCGGGTTGATTTTTTAGGTTCAAAGTTATACGAGTTTATTTGTATCCTCTGTGAATACCTGGAAATTCATAAAACGAGCTGTGAAAACAAGATAGTTGCCGGTTTTATCGATCAACGGCGATAAGTCTGGGTCGTACTCTACTGTCTGATTTCGCGAAGCACGCTATAAACATATTAACAAATCTGTCTTGCGGCATCTGTGTACGTACAAATCTATACTTTTATACTACAGTGCCGTACTGTACTTGTGAGTGGACCATGTGAGAAGATGCAAATGGCTGTTGTATGGAAATAGAGTACATTAGCTCCTAAAATTCGGATTACTTTTATGATATACAAACTACGGTTTTAAATCCGATTGTTAATAAGCGTTGCAAAGAAACATTTTATAAGCTTCTGGTAGCATAGATATTGGTTAATAAATGGTGGACCATTTATGTACAGTATTAGTAACAAGTTTTTGGTGGAAGATTTGATTTGATTGGGGCCCTTTTAGTTGTTTCCATTTATAATCTATCATTTTTCAGTTTTAACAATGGACCGCCTTCTCCTGGATCGTCCAGTCGTTCGCGATCGAGCAGTCCAGAAGACGGAACGCGCCGACGCATACACCGTTGCCATTTTCATGGGTGCAACAAGATTTATACCAAGAGTAGCCATTTGAAAGCTCACAATCGCACTCACACAGGTCAGTCGGCGCAACTAGGTACGACGAACACCTTCCCTTACAAACCCAAAATTTACAGCTGCACTGTCTGGGCTATAAAGCCGGATTTTGTTGATTCCTTCAGGTGAAAAACCATACAAATGCTCATGGGACGGCTGTGATTGGAGATTCGCACGATCAGATGAGCTGACGCGACATTACCGCAAGCACACCGGTAAGCAAGAATGTTCGACGCGGAGGTCTAATAAAAAAACAGACAAGACTATTCATTCAGACACAGAATAGAACTGCCTCAAGGTGTTTCTCAATGCTGAATTGTTTGCTTTACCATATTGCATAACCAGTCAGCTGATTTGTGGCGAAGTTTTCTGCGCTATTAGCTTCTAGCAAGCCTTGATCTGGGCCCCCCTGTTTCATTATGAATTCAGTTCGAATTTTACTTAACGAATCCTGCGAAAAAAAGGAGCAATTCGTTTTTTTCGATAGGTGACTTCGCTTTAGTGGAGCAGACTATTGGTAGTTACGCTTTATTGATAACCGTGTCGAAAACTGGAGAGTCTGCACATGGTCATCATAAGATTTGTTTTTTACTGCGGTGCACTTCACCGCTTAGGAAGGCATTGTACTGGTGCAGAAGCAGATAAGTCAATCAGAGTAATCACGACCGTTTTCGGAAGTCGCAAACAAAATAGTGAAGAAGCTGTATTCATTTCCAGGTTGTTTTGTAACGAGCATTAAAAAAGCTGGTTGTCATTGCTAACAACGAACATGTCGTTAAGATCTTCATAAAACGTAGCGGCCTGATACAACAATTACGGTACGGTGCTACCGTGCTAGCACTGACAACAGTTTCAGCAAGCACTTTCCCTGTAAGTACTGCGCGTGAAGTAACCCTGCTCGACAACATTGTTGTTGTTAGAACTTACTTGTTTGCACAAGGTTGTTTTTTCTAGCATATGAAAACTTTTGTAATGAAATAACTGAAAGGACGTATCACGCTTTGTGGCTCACACGGATTTTTTTTCAGGCGCAAAACCATTTAAATGCAATCATTGCGATCGGTGTTTTTCTCGTTCGGATCATTTGGCTCTACATATGAAAAGACATCCACCATTGCCTTCTGCCAAACTCTGATAGGCCAACCAGATAGTCGAGTAATATCAGGAAGTGATACCTGTCGAAAGAGGATAATGGTGCGATGAACACTGTTGATGACGGTATCTTGTTGGACTGGAGCGGTATTAATTCTACCTATCCCAAATATATGCAGAATCCGGTGGTGCTTGCGGTGCCGTTGTGTTGTTTTCCGTCGTGTTTTGCTTCTGGTCCGCGCTGGACTGTTTGGAGTGCTCGTGGTGAATTATGGTCCCAGCTAGCAAACAAATTATACTGCCTGACAAAAGTATAATTTCGTGCCCATCACACCTTATAAAGCCAAAGTTTAGAAAACCTAAATCCAAAAACGCACCCAAAAGATTTACCGTTGCAAAGTTTATTTGTGAATTGAATTTTTGGTAACTGTACGTTAATGATTGTCTCTTGTTCTTTGTAGCGGTATTGTTTGGTTTTGTTTCCTCTCATCTGACATATTGGCCTTTGTATATTTATTTTCGTTTGTTGTGGTATGACGATGGATTTGATTTTTGTGTGACTACTTAATTTATCATGGATGGGTCGTGCGTGCATTTGTTGTGATGTGATCGTCTTCGTGGGATTGTTGATTATGTATCAGCACTGTTGTCAATGGAAAAGTGGTCTCGTTGAAAGTATCGGCACATAATCCCGGTGAAGGTTTTGTTGTTGCGTTGTAAAATGACTGCGATTGAGAGTTTACAAAATTAAGTGAACGTGTGCTGTGTGTACCTGCAATAAATGATGCAGCTGGTTGGCTTTCACGAATGGAGTACCTAATGTGGTTTATTTATTGGTGTAAGTGTACACTGTTGTTGCGAATACACAATAAAGGTTTCGTGTGCCAATGTGATCATGCAATAAATTCAAATGGTAATGCCATTACGCAGCGGATTATTAATTGCGGTCCCGTGCCTAAGCTAAGTACTATTTGGAAACAACGACATCTGAGAATTCGAGGTGTAGAACGTGGTAGAAAAAAATCATGATAACTCATGATGAAATAGACGAATACCATAAGCATATACAATAACAGTTTACAAAGTGTAAATCTAATCAGATTCTTGGTTCACACTTGCCTGCAGTAGAAGTACCAATCACGTGGAAATTGAACGTTTCAGCTGATTATTGGGATCTCGCCTTAGTTACCTAGCATATTAAGTTAAAGTTACGTAGTATATTAAGTTAAAGTTGGTAAGACAACGACCAATTTTGTATCAAGCCTTCACGTTGAATTAAAAAGAACTATTTGTAGAGAAAAAACAATGCTACAAGATCACACCGATTGTTGTTTACTGTTGTAAAGCGAAGGCGGCGGACACTGGATACTTCATACAAATCTAATTGTGGTATCGTAGGTACAGTACATTCTTCACACTTGGCTAGCTCACAGATCAGCAAGAGCTTCTTATTAATCGTAAGTGCAAAGGTCACTACCCTAGAGGCGGGAAAGTTGTAAACCAACCTCCTATCGATGGCTTTTGTCGGCTGCCTTACAAATACTTTTGTCGCGAGTCAAAATGCCATATTTTGGTACAGTGAGTTATAGCAGCTATCCAGATAAGACCTTTCCATTTTTTTTATATTACAGCATTGCCATTGCTCTATGAGTACGAGATGAATGAATGAATATTCCCTCATTAATTCCTCTCGTACTCCTAGAGCAACCGCTTAATGATTACAATTTACGGCTATTGTACATGTGTATGGATACGGTAGAAGTATAGATATCAGGTAGTTTTTTCATAATTACTTTACATGTACAGATCTAGAGTTTACACATCTTCAGGCGTAACAACAAAAAATCTAGCAATGATCAGAAGAAAAAAACGTTCTTAACAGTACCAATTACAGAAGCAGAATTACCACGTTGAATTGCTAAAGAAACATGGATTTTCGTTTGAAATACTCAAGGCTACGAATCTCGCAGGTATGTAGCCGGAATCCTCTTTCCGATTTCCTTAACAATCCTCTTTCGCTGATGTACCCCAACTACCGAATATTTTAACCAAAAGAAGAAAACTCGTATCGTCCTGACAGTAAGCTGTACTTCCTTGTTTTATCGGCTTTCGCCTGGTCAGCTGTCGCTTGGACTTCTACACTGGTTCGATCCAAATAATAACGGGCGATAGTGTCAACGCAGGCTGCGTCCCATGCCAAACAGGGTCTCCTTGCCCATGAAAAGGTGATGATTCCGTCGGGGCTTGTTCCGTTTCCGTGGTGCATGCCTCTGGGCTCCGTTCGATCCCGGGGATGCCTGCGGAACCCAGTGCCCGACGCAAAATGTCAATAATTCAGTCGTTTCTAGGCGGTCTTAAGCCCCGCTGAAAATCTGTAGCTCAGGTTGTGCTTACTTAATCATGTTGTTGTACTTACTGTTAAGTTTTACCGTAACTTTTGTCCCGATTACAATTACAATGTCATAACCTTTACAACTCAATTACAAGTGCGTTCTCTTATACCGACAAACAGGCATTTAGCGATCCACCGTAGAGGGTTGCACATTCAACAATTCAGAATACAGCAGCCGCCCGCTATCCAGTCTAGTGAGTCTACAGCTACTCGTAAATGTAATACATACAAGTCAGTTATTAATCCCGTATTCATCGTCAGGTACCCTGGTCCCTGCCCGTGGTACCGTACTTCAGTATTTAATTGTTTGATTGCGCGCATTGTCTATTTTCTTATTTTTTTTAGACTTGTGTTTTTTTAGACTCCAGTCTCCGGACTCCAGAGTATAGTGAAAGCCTGAAAGGGCTATTTTAGTACGTGTATTTAGATGCCAATATATCGTGAAAGTACCATTTTTTCGTATTCAAGTACCGTATTTCCGTTTGGTGCTAGTTGGATACAGGACTGTGAACGCGTCCGTGCGTTCCATAGATTTTCATGGTCGATTTTCATTTCGGTTCCAACACTTCGCAGTTCGGAATTTCAACCGGAATTCGCTAGCATTGCACAATTGTACCTTTACAACTTGCGGTATTAATTAATGTAACAATAAGAGTTGTAAGACAGTAGTCCACGTAGTACTTCAAACGGCTGAAAATTTACTATGGAATTGGAGTTCGTTGTGGAAGACTCATCCCCATCAAAACTGGATATGTCTAAATGTGTCCATTTCATGCCTTGTGGAATTGCACACAACGGACCTGCTGATGTCTCGCATTATTTTGTTACAACTGTGCGCGGGAATCCGCCAACCACCGAGGGCTCTGAAAGTAAGAAAGTTCTGAGCTGTGGTTTGTTTGACAATTTGACAATGGTAGCGCATACAGATTGGAGTACAGGACAGTATGAGTATCGACGATACATAAATGACTGCAATCAGCAATCAGGCCTATTTTAAAGCCCCCCCTCCTCGGAAAGGAAAATTGTTGGAAAAAGTTTAATCTATTAAACTACGGGCACGCTGCCCGCTGGATTCCCAATTGGCGCGTGGTGCATGCACTATGCAGTATTATTAAACTACTCATTCTTTTTTTGCTGTTATACGACTGCTCACTAGAATTAGTACTACTAGTACTGTATCCGTCTATCATCAGTGTCAATCCAATAGTTTAAAAGTGATCGAACTAGCTGTAAGCCCCAAAACAAATAGAATATTTGTTTCCCTTTGGGCAGGTGTGGAAAAATGCATCTCGAAGACAACTGACGGTATCAAACAAACCGTCCACTTGACCAGCTCCTTTCGCGGGAGACCACTTAATGGGTGCGAGATGCAGGTTCCTACTGGTTACAAAGGCGCAGTCATAGAGGAGTTCGACTCAGCCAACGCTTACTGCCCCGCTGTTGCCCAATCGCTGCGCCCTGCTGAGGCGGCGGCGAAGGAAGCTAACTGCAAATGGAAAGTGGTTGGCGATTTCCGCACCTTGACTTACTGGAACTGGGACAGAGCAGCGAATGATAAAGACAGTGTGCAAGCATTGTTTCAATGGATCCGTATCGCAAATGATGTAAGTCCAGCAGGAATAACTTTAAGCTGAAAAACACTAATAAACGTTTCTTGAGGAATAAAATTAAAAATATACAGTACAGTGGCTACCGCTACTATACTGGTGACCAATCAATGGACCATTTACCAGCACAACAGTACAGGACATACCGACAGACTCAGTAACGTAAGCGTGTACTGTATATGTACACCATATTAATCAACAAATTTATTATGAAAACTCTGCAAGAAATCAATCAACAAGACTTTTCCATTTACTCTAATTTGGATCTTGTTGTTCCGAGTTTAGATGCGGAACTCTGCGCGAAATGACATGGAAAGTGTGGACTGTTCCGGGGATTCGGACACCGAAAGTTGACCATAAAGATAGCGGCGGTGGACCAACTACCCATTTTTCAGTACCATGTTTTTCGTAACAGTTTGTAGCTTGCTTGCTGTGATGGAGGTTTTGCTATTGCTCCACAACGCGTAAATCCTTAGAGTGTTTGACTAAAGTCTCGACATGGTAATCGAGCTGATCTGTTAAATCCCGTATCTTAGTCTTTGACTCTTTATTGATGTCGAACCGCAGTGAGATCTCGCCAAAAACGTCGCTTGTGTGCTCCTGTCATGAACAAAATAGTATAAATGTTTCAAGATCGAGAAGAATAGCCCGGGTATAAGCCGTATAAATAATGCATGCCCACAATGACAAAGCCGATGCTGTTGAACAGTTTCAGGCTGGGCGCGTTGTCCTGAGATATATTCGCCTAGAAAAAAAAATTTATTTACTAAAACGCTCTGTAGACTGTAATGTCGTCGCCGCCCTTTTTAATTGGACAACCAAACTGCTGCAATAAATAATACGATAATGTAATATTTACTATTAACCCGTTGACCAATAATCTGATAATAATAAAATCTAATCACAGCCAAAACAGGCTAAATTCAGTAAATAGCTAACCAAAGTCTTCGAATATACGTATGTAACTGTGCACAGAGTCACAGACACATTAAGTACTTTTTTAGTAGTCTTTTACATAATCAGACATCGAACGATGTTCGCCGGCTCAAATTGTTTTACCTCAATACTGGAAACCTTCATGGAATCTATGGCAAACCTCATGATAGACAGCAGCGCTTGCCTACCGAGTTTCCGACCTCGGTAATCAGGATCTACCAAAATCACTAATGCCTTTCATGAACCAACAAAATTTACTACAGAAACACTTTTCATTAACAACGAGACATATTACTGCTATAAAGCAGCGCAAACACCTGTCAGACAAGTAACCTTGAAGGCTTCATAACGCACATAAATTTGAACTATTTGTGGGAAAATGTGATAACGGTGATAAAGTCATTCCTTACCATAAAGTCAAATACCTGCTATCATCAACATCACCTCAGCTCGAGCCTCTTCATTAGCAACTTCGCCAGGAAAAAACGATTCGGCATCAAAGTTGCGCTTAGTAACCAAATTCACGTCACCAATCATGGAGGCCACATCGTTTTCCTTAGTCTGGAATGTAGCGCGATCGAGAAGGATGAACATTATTCCTGAAAAGAAGATGAAATAAACAGTTCCTTATTATGTAAAACTGCAAATCGGTTCCAAAATCCCATTGCATGCAGCTGAATAATTCCATGTGTTACGATAGAGAAACTGTGACAACAGTGTCATAAACTAAATGGCAGAATGCAGGAAAACTGTGAGGAGAATTTTCATTAACTGAAAGCTAACAGTAACAAATAGCGAAATCACTTTCTGGGTCGCTCGCCCATAACGCCTGCGCTTTCGTCGCTTCCGCCAAATTCAGGGACTCTGTGGATGTCATTTTCCGCAGATACGGGTCCGCAAACCATTCGCTGTACCTTTAACAGCAGCATAGGGATTGTAGTTAAAGTGTTTAATTACCTAGGATGCTTACAGTTAGGCAGTGCTGGCACTGGCAGGGTCATGCTAGCTAAGTTAAGCGCAGAATGCTAGCGCAGTAGCACATGGCGACTTATTACTTATAACCATAATAGTCCATATACGATAACTTGTACTACACGTAACTTACGAAGCCACTCAATATACAGTCCACATAATAAGTTACAAAATTTACGAAACGATAAAAATTAATACTGTAATACTTAATAGGGCTCTCTACTTTGCAATCATATGTTCTCCAAACGGAACAAAAAGCAAATCGCTTGTGCGTAGTGAAGTCACAGCAGGTTCAGGGCCAGCTTTCTCCATTTCGATTCCCCGGTTCAGAGTGTTTGAAATCGTAAACTATTTATTATCACTGTTCAGCAGGAACATAAACATGCAAAACGTTCGGAAGTCCGAATTGTGATAAACAAAACAATAAACATAACCGAAAAAAAACATAAAATAAATATTTCCAGGTTCGAGGAGGCGCTAACTGGTAAACATACGTAATAATATACTGTAATTGTACAAAGTATCTGAAAGACAAAAACACTGGCGAGAAACTGACAAAAACAATACGGGAATGTTATATATTTTTATGACATCCTGGTGATAACCATGCCCGTGCAACACGGGCAACCACCCAGGTTCGGCGTTGCTTATAAACACATACGACAACGACCAAGCGTACTAGCGTAGTATGTACTTCACCTATAGCCGGTATGAGATATTATGGTTATTGGTTCCCTGGTCAGCCGCCGAACCGAAAATTATAATGTTAAACTGTAAAAGAAAGAGTACTTTGTTGAAACGACCTTTTAGGCCAGAATATATCGAAGCATTTCCTAATTTTTCCGACTTCTGTCGTACATGATAATTTTACAGCGGAAAACGTAGTACATTTAGGGCAGTGTGCGCTAAGCTCCAAAACCGATTAAGAAACCGATCCGATTAATGCTTTTTCATCCTGACTCAAGCGACCGCACCTCCCGAATGCGTCTATTGGACAATCCGAAACACTTCCGGTTGCACAAAATCTTAATCGCAACCGGTTGAGCAAAAGCGATTAAGAAATTTTCGGAATTTTCTTAATCGGTAAAAGTCTTAATCGGTTAGCGGTTATTCTGGGGTTGTTTCGCTAGCAGTTACGATGTCTGACAGCCTAACTAGGGATACTGATCCGGGGTGCTTTTTGGGGGTCCATATTGCCGAATTTTCTATTTGACTCCTTGAAATTTTCGTATCGCTTAATTTTTTAATCGGTTTTGCGCACCTGTGGTGTTAAATCGATTAATAAACCGATTAAAAACCCGAGCGATTAAGAAATTTTCTGGAGAAAATGTCTTAATCGGATTCGTAATCGCTACCGAAGATGCTTAGCGCAAACTGCCCTTAGTTTTTATTCAGTAAAAAGCTGACTTATAGTAAACGGGTGGCCGAGGCCGAGCTTTGACGGTAGGGCTAAGACCGGCTCTGGTACCGGAACTGGCTCAAAAATCTTCAAAATGAGGCTTAAAGGCGGAACGGGTAATTGAAAAGCTGCCTTTGATTGGCACACCAGGCACAAGATTACCAATGACGCAGTAGATCGCACTACACTGAATACATCCTATGAGACATCCTATCATTAGCACAGTAGTACGTGCAGTAACAGCACGCCGCCAGGACGATTAGTTCAACGGATCCGTATTGAAGAGGGTTCTCTGGACTTCAAGATAATTTTCTGCTTCAGTTGTGCGGGTTATCTCTTTTGTTTACGTTAATTTACGATTTTAGGCCGTCTGACTTTGCTCCACCTTGAGTGTTTTAGTAATCTCGAAAGGAAGCTGAATCTTTTTGTTCTCAATTCGAAACTCTTGTGCGAGTCCGAGACCTGTAAATAATAAATTTGCTAAGTGGAAAATTCCTGGATCTTGCGTGGCACCGTTTTTAGATTTCTTTTACTTCCCTTCGCGCAAAAATGCACAGCCAACGTAGTGACAAGTATAAAAATGCTGGGAGGGATCACAATGCCGCCCGAGAGCGCCGGGAAATGGAAACCAATGAATTACGTCGAAATAAGCGTGAAGAGCAGGTAATCTTCGAAGATCTGGAGCTCTTTCTTCGCATACGCGATGCACTATCGACTGACGTTTTACAGTGACGATTTTTAATACCCTTTTTGTAGATTGCCAAAAAACTCAATATTGGAAACATTCAGTCATCCACTGATGAGGAAGGGGACATGCACGAGGCAGACACTGCGGCGCAGATTGTGGTAAATCTTGGAACTTACAATGACTTATAGCTCATCCCTGCATTGTAACTCCTGAAAACGAATGCCTAGATCGAATTGAGGAATTCTAACGATTTAAAACGTTGTTAGTTGTTTATCGCTTGTACAAAACGGTCAAAGCGCTTTTCGTTACAGCAAATCAGTCATGAGATGGTAAATGATCTCGCCAGTCAGGACCCGCGAAGAATGCTGAATGCCACACAAAACTTTCGAAAGTTGCTTTCTCGGGGTAAGTTAACATTGTAAAATAATAAGTAAATCCACAATTGTACGATAATTACAAATATTTGATTCTCCTGTTTCTGCCTCTAGAACCTAATCCACCCATCGATGAAGTGATCAGCACCGGAATTCTGCCGCGATTTGTTCAGTTTCTGCAGATGACTGATCAGCCCCAGCTTCAGGTGAATATTGCCCTTATTTTGTCTGGGGAATTTCGTACGGGACTGGTTCTTTAGTGTAAACCACATTTTGTCACTATTGTATGCTGGAGAATCGTTGTGTATTTTGTTAGTTCGAGGCGGCGTGGGCTTTAACCAATATTGCATCAGGAACCTCACAGCAGACTCGCAAAGTCATTGAAGTTGGTGCTGTGCCGATCTTCATTCGATTGCTAGATTCTCCATCTGAGGATGTTCAAGAGCAGGTAGGCAGTTTGATTTTAGTATTAATAAGTAAACTGCCAGTGCTCTCTATTCGGGTAATAATTCAGTTTTTGTAGGCTGTCTGGGCTTTGGGAAACATTGCTGGGGATAGCACAGAATGCCGCGATCTTGTGCTGAACGAAGGAATTCTTGTTCCGCTGATAAAGTATTTACATATTAGCTGTGCAGGAACTGCTTCAAAAGCACACATGTTCTTAAATGCTTCGTAGTATCTTCACCCGTTCCAAGCGGCTATCGATGGTCCGCAATGCTGTGTGGGCTCTGTCAAATTTGTGCCGTGGCAAAAACCCCCAACCAGATTTTGCCAAGGTAGCATTATATTTTTGTTGTCGGTCGTTGCTCCTTCTGCCAAGAAGTAATTACCATGCTTAAATCTTCTTCAGGTGAAGCAAGCTTTGCCAATTTTAGCCAGACTTCTGTTCCATTCAGATGCGGATGTGTTGACCGATGCATGCTGGGCGATTTCTTACCTGTGTGATGGTCCAAATGACAAGATTCAGGCTGTTATTGATGCCGGAGTTTCTCTGCGATTGGTCGAACTTTTGGGGTAAGTGTACATAGCGTGTGTATTGGAAATATTTTTGATATGGTGTATCGTTTTTTTAGTCATGATGTACAAAACGTGGTTTCCGCTGCCTTGCGCGCCGTTGGGAATATTGTTACAGGAGATGACCCTCAGACTCAGACGGTTTTGAATAGTGGCGTATTGCAGCCGTTAAAGACACTACTGGTTCGCCAAGATGTGAAAGAAGCCATTCGTAAGGAAGCTTGCTGGACGCTGTCAAACATTACCGCCGGGAACCGCAGCCAGATTCAGGTTAGAGTTTTGTCTGCCATGACATTCGCTAGTTTAGCGTAAAGTTTGGAATGCTTTTGCAGCTTGTGATAGACGCAGGACTTGTTCCAATTCTCATTGAGATTCTGGGTAATGCTGAATTCAAGACGCGAAAAGAAGCGGCTTGGGCCATAACGAATGCACTCTCTGGTGGTACCCAGGAACAGATTCAGTACGTTTAAGTTATATCTGTTCTCTGAAAAGTTTGCACTTTGCAGATTATAACAGCTGATCATTTTGTCATACAGGACGTTCGTGCAAACGGGATGTATTCCTCCTATGTGTGATCTTTTGGGCAGCACAGATGCTCGGATCTTGCAGGTGGCTCTTACTGGTCTCGAAAGCATTCTCCGTGTTGGACAAAATCGCTTGGATGATCAGGGCCTTAATCCTAACGCGCTGATCGTAGAGCATTGTTATGGTAAAGTACTAAAGTTAAGCTTTTTTATTCCGAAGGATGGAAATGATTAAATTAGTGACATTCTGTTCTGCTTTAGGGCTGGAAAAGCTGGAAGCCCTTCAAGTGCACGAAAATCCGGAAATCTACCAAAAGGCATTGGAAATTATTGAGGTTTACTTTGGAGCAGAGGATGAAGAGAACGAATTAGGCGGCGGCGAGCAACCTGTTTATGATTTCACTGGGGGTCAGCAGCCGTCGCAAGGTGGCTTTTCTTTCTAAATGTTTTTTTTAAGAAGGATTTTCAAAGGGAATAACTGTACCGTGAAATGAATGTTTCTTACAAACGCTCGTATGGAAAGTTTTACAATTATTAATTTTTTGTCATTGTCATGATGGAAGAATAGCCACGGTGCGTTAGTTGGAGTTTGGCAAAACTGACCATGTTTCTAATTTTGGTATGTTTGGTTTGATAGTCATTCTGATGAGTTTTAGACATGAATTACTTGACAAGAGCCGGAAAAAAACTGGTGTTAATGAAAGATTGAAATGGTCTGTTTCCCGAACTTTTCAGTGGTAATAGTTTTCGCCTATAGAATGTGTTAAGATTTAAGATGGAATTAAACCCGCTTTAAGGATAGGTGTATGATCCGTGTATCATCAGCCGTACTCGTATAGGTTTAATCATCTCGTACTTACGAAGTTACGATTAGGACGAGTGCTGTATACTCGGTACTGTACGGTCATGATAAACTTACCGAATGTTCAAGTAGTATTTGCGTGTTAAGGCGCTTGCCAATAAATCAGTTTTTCCTATTTTGTGATGTTGGGGTCCGTCTCCATAGATGAATATTATCACGATTCATGAATGAAAGTTAAGTGAATAGGTACGGTACCTGCCTGCTCCACCCTAGGTTTAAGTGAAAACTGAGAAACGTTACCATTTGCAGTTTACCAGTTGTTCGCAACTCACCGTCAGTATTAAATGCACTGTACACGGTAGCGCAACAGCATAATTATTAAATACTATATTATAATTATGAATAATAATAATAATGAACTCTATTGCACAGCACCGAAAATGCCAGTTAATTATAACATTGCGTGCATCATGTACTTAAGCAATCCTGAGAAAGTGTCCAAACGTTATTACGGTAGCCTTACGTTATCATTTTGAAATATATTACTATTACAAACATAACTTACTGTACTAGCATAGCCATTAATATCCAAAAATAGGTGGTAGTACATTGATAGTACACATACGGTACAACAGCAAAAAGTAAAACACAAAGGCCAGCTACGTAATAAACTGGTTGAAGTTTGAATAAGTACAAGTACAAGTACATAAGAACATTGTTTTAATACTGCGGGTGAAATCGGAAGTGACTGCAGCATGCAGTGCGTATAAACTGCAGGCATTTTCAGTTTTGCTTTGGCTTGGAGTCTCTGCTTTCGCTGGGAATGTTGCAGTAGTTTGTAATTTCAGCGATAAAGTAATTGAATTTGTTATACGAGTATTTCAACTTGATATGATATAATATGTCGTTTTTATACGCTGTCTTGGTCCATCGTCACATAAATCGGCTCTGAGTGTGAGAGAATTTTGCACATCAATGTGTTTGTTAATCTAAACTGTGAAGAGATCCCGAGCCGTTTGTATTTGCAGAATAGTTCATCGTCACCGATTACGGTGTTTATTAGTGGCAGTACTGATGGGCCTAGTGGTTACGTTTGGATGTCTAGCTTCTAGGTGCCATCTTTTGTGTATTCCGCTGCCCGCTTGACCGTTCGGGCGAATTCCATATTTGACATTGTGTCATCTTCCAGCTGATGGTGGCGATATGAAAGCGCAGCATGCGCGAAGCAGGAGACGATGAAAAATACACCTGATCCTTCACGGATGGTGGGACCGACGGGGATCACCTCGCAGACGCAAACGGAGATCGTTCAGCCACCTTCCGAATACGGTGAGAAAAGAAGGAAAAAAGGGCGATTAGGATAATAAGTTGCTTGTAATTTGTAAATAACAGTTTATTTACGCTGCTGTTTATTACTTATTGTCAATATTGTGGTATCGCTGGTAAGTTTCTATCTTCCATTCTATTTTCATCATCACATTGGGTTAGCTGGTTTACAAACGTTTTGTTTTTAAAGAAAAAATAAACTTTTATTCTTTAAAAATTAAAACTAACCCTTACTAATCACATGTTAACCACTGGTTTCAGTTCAAAATTCTCGCCCCTTTTTGTTAACCACACCACCATGTACAGTACTCATTGTACTGCATTACAATTATGTGATCCAGGTGTACTTATTACTTACGACCAACGAAAGTTTTACAGTTTGATTGTTGTCACTTTTTAGCAGTGCCAAGCTCTTTCTCCGTAGGGATGCAAATCGTAAATGATTTAAATAGATATGGCTGCACACTAAGCTTTATTTCATAATATTGGTGGGCAGCCCACTCACTGTTTTTACAATATTAATTGCAGTTGTTTTCTGCGAATAATATTAGGGAATTTCATATCATTTAAGTATGGTTACATACATTATTTTTGCAGTATTCACGCGGAAGTGGCAAGTGTTTCCAGGACGGACCAAATTTTTTTGTGGTGGACGCTTCCTTTTATCCCATCAGTATGGCATATTCACCCTGACTCTCTTCTTGATAGTCGCCACGAATGTTTTGTTTTTCGTCTTCGAGTGAGTGTTATTAATTACTTGCATTTATTTCTCTGAAAAGCTGACTTGGAAAATGCCTTTTTCAGCTGTCCCTTCTTATTCCAAAATGTCTCTGTGGCAATTCCGATCGTCGGTGCTCTGTTATTTGCCTTTACCTTCAGTCTTTTAATGCGTACTGCTTTTATGGATCCCGGAATTATTCCACGATGCCTGCCAGACGAGGCAGCCTACTGGGAAGCGCGTCTTTGTAAGATTTTTACTGTGCTGCCGGTTATCTTTCAAGTTGAAAATACACTTTCGAGACCGATCCGCAAGTTCTCCATATTTTAGTTGTGCCGTGGGGAAAATCTTTTTTTGTGTTTTAGCATATTTTACTACTGATTCCACTGGTCAGCACACTGATAGCCATAACAACATGAACAGAGCTGTGGCACGTTTCCTCGATGTACCGATGAAGACCACGTGCTGAAGTTGAAATGGTGCCATACTTGCAAAATGTATCGGCCTCCTCGTTGCTCGCACTGTAGCATATGCGACAACTGCGTTGGTAAGCGTTTTATTGTTATTTAACAGTGTTTTCGAAAGTAACCTGACTGTTCCTGTTTTCTTTTGGTAGACCACTTCGATCACCATGTAGGTGAAAACCTTTGCGATGAGTCCCTTTTCGCCGAATGATTATGAGTTTATTATTCAGTGTATGAGTTTATTGTGCGTGCTTGCAGTGTCCCTGGGTAGGGAATTGTGTAGGACGAAGAAACTACAGATATTTCTACAGCTTCGTGGTGACACTCTCCTTGTTGGCAATATTTATATTTTCTTGCAATGTGGCTCACCTAGTGCTGCGTAAGTAGGCAGCTTGTTCATTATTGAGGATTCACATTTCACATTATGGTTGAACTAGAGAAATCTTTTAAGCTTAATATCGTTTTGCTGCAGGCTCTCAACAGAGCGGATTTGTCGAAACTATCAAAGTGACACCCGCGTCACTAATTGAAGCCATAATTTGTTTTCTGTCATTATGGTCATTACTGGGATTGGTGGGATACCATACGTACCTGGTTTCATTGAACATGACGACCAACGAAGATGTAAGCGGCTCTCATTCATATCAACATCGTTGTGGGTTACTGAATTGAAAGAATTTCGTTTTGCTTTTAGATAAAAGGAGGCTATCCGAGCTCGGAGACGACACCAAACAATTTTTATTCGCACGGAAATTTGTTTATGAACTTTTTTATGATTATCTGCGGACCGCGTACGCCCAGGTAAAAGTCAAAACCGATCGTGTTGCCACCCCTGTTGGATTCTGTGTTTAGGCGCGTTTCACCTTTTGCACTCGTAATTATGCGATCCCACATTTTTTTCGAAATAACGTTAGCGCACGCTACTTATAAATTCGGTGGAATTTACTATTATTCCGAAAGGCGCGGAAAAAGTGATTGATTTATATTTTTTCACCGAAGTTTCATCGATGCTACGGGTCCAGTTGATGCCAGCCTGATGGCGATGATCCAGGAAGCGCGCTCCGTTTCTCCTCGGAACACAAGCACCGTAAATGTGGCTTCCCGGCCTCCGTTGCAAGCTCGTGATCCAGTTTTACCGTCTGTGATACCCGATAGAGCAGTCCCAGCCCAACCCGCACAAATTGCTTTGGATATGACCACACCGCAAGCTGTCCATTCCGCGTATCCGGTGGCCTGAAATAAATTAATATAGCGAGTACTACGACTGCATGCAGCTTCCTTTCTACACCTTACACAAGCGGGTTTGATCTCTGAACTTTTTATGGAAATATTGTATTGTTAATGTGCGAATGAATTCCGATGTGGGCTGCTGTTGCTGATTTCAGCCTTTTTTAGAAGTGATAATGTAAAATGATTATTTGTGTAATTACGATTAGAATTTTTATTGATATTACTGCATTAAATTCAATAAATTATTATGGATTTTTTGGATTGCTTTTGGTTGTTCTTTGCTATTGCATTTGTCAGTTGCGCATGGTGATTTTAGAATTTTAACGCAGATTTTGTTCAAGTAAAGCCGTGTTACGCACGAAGACAATTATTATTTATTATTGCCTGGGGGATAGCAAAACATCCCCGTTATGCTGTCAAACACAATCCACTTATTTTTAAATTTTGCTAACAATTTGACTGTTTTTATGAATCAACACATGAACCAACTTGGTACAATATCTCTGTAACGTAGTAACGTACGGGGCGGTTGTTACGTGTAACGAGGTTGATCGTCGTATATATGCCCCCTTACCTAAGAGGCATCTTAGGTAAGGGGCATATTTTTAACTACTACTACTCGTACCGTGGTAGCTATGCCGCTGTTATTGGCGATCCTTTAGAGTTTAGACTTATTAATTAATAGCTCAGTTTTTTTTTTATACGAGCAACGCATAAAAATTAATGAATTGTGAAATAAAACATTAATTTACCCATAATTTACCCATCATAAGATTTTGAATGACAATAATGGGTGTTTTGTCAATGTTTAAAATTTAATCATTTTAATTAGTGTAAACCTGCGGAAGCATACCGATATGTGGATTGGCTGTTGCCCATTAAATGTTTCTTTTAATTTACCCTGCTTGTACTCTAGTAAAAATTTAATGAAAGTTCACCTATTTTTAAGTTAGTGCAGTACAGTTTGAATTTACGACTGTATTATGAATTTACGACAGCACCTAACATAATTTTGGTTTTTACGAACCGTGAATTTCTTCGACTTCGGTTTCTCTGGATTTATTCTTGCGCCCTGTGTAAAATTTCCGCTCAGCTGTTAAGTGGCTCACTGGCTACCGTAAAACGCACGACTTTGGATCCTCCGAAGTGCGGGGCACCGGCTATCTTAGTGCGCAAGCTGCACATTTAACTGATGGTTGCAAACTGAGAACCGGCTTTCAGGAAGAGCTTAAGGAAAATATGGCCCATCTCCAGCCCCACGTTGCAAAAGAACTTCACCAAGCCGCAACCGGTGAAACTTATGTTCGCAGTGCTGCTGAACCCGTACCCGCGTCCATATCTTGCGAGGACTTCAGTGCTTTTCAGGTGCGAAAGCAGTCTGGTTTTGATAAGTTACTGGAGGTTGAATGTTTTTTTAAGTATACCGGGAAACTGGTGGTTGCATTCGCATGTGCGAGCAAAATGGCTTAGCCGTAAATGATTAACGCTTTAACAAGTTTCTTGCCAGATTGTTTTTCTCGCTGTTATGTTCAAGGTTTGGAAACTGATTTCACACGGGTTGATCATATTTTCTTCAGGAGACCCTGAAGAATTTGCGTCAGATTGATGACAGGATAGTCTATCTGCTGAACACGACAATTCCTACCGATTCCTTTTCATCTCAAGCCAACCCGAAGGAATTGTGCAGGAAGCTGTTTTCTGATGTGTGTTAAGTATATGATTGTATTGGTTATTGTTATTTGTTAATTCAATTTTTATAACATTGTTGCCAAATAACTGCAATTTTACAGTTACAAAGTTCCTATCTGGGAAGAGAGAAAGCGATTAGAAAATGTGTCGATGTGACAGCTGAACGCATCTCGCAGTTGAAGGAACGCCGGAATCAGTCTTCGGAATCCAGCAGTGCTCAAAATGATATCCTCAAATCCCTCCGAAAAGAACAAACAAAGGTGCGTAAATAATAATTACTCTCCGGCCAAGGAATTACTTACAATAAGGAATTGTTTGTAAATTAAGCCCTTTTCTCGCAGTGGCTGTTACTCTATGTGAATTTTGCATTTTCATCCATATTCCATATTTATTATCGAAATTTTTCAGTTGCGTCTGATGCAGTCGGAACTTAACGTGGAGGAAGTTGTCAAAGATCGGACTTTAAAGGTAAGAGAAGCGAAGCTAGCCAAACTGGGACTATGTGCGAAATTGCTGCGCGGATTATATAAAGTGTACACTACTGTACAGTTACACAGCGTCTTCATGAATGGTTTTTGTTGCAGGTGTTCCACGATCGCTGCAAACTGCATTACCAACCTCCGTTGGGAAATAGTTTGTAGCACGACCATTTCGCCGAATGTGGTTGCAACTTACAACCGGCTGTGATCAGTCGAGCGTGCCCTGGATGCGAGTGCATTTGTTGTTTGTTAGGATTAGTGTGCTATCTGTTTTTTATCGTCTTACATTGTTTTAACGAACTGAAATAACTGGCGACACGTTCTGACGATTGTGCTTGTCGCAGTCATGTGGTTTCGTCTGCAAGGTGCGTAGGAATAAATTTCTCATATCTCTTTCTTGAGGTACATAAAGCAGCAATACCAGCATATCTGTACTTCTTGAAGTATAGGTGATCGTGAGGTAAGAACATTTTTGAACTTCGCGAAACCGGCGTCATTTACTTTGTAGATTTGGATGATCAAGACTTCGAAAATGGGATTTGTGTGGATGAACGAACTTGATAATTCTGTCAAACGAACGCCCAACGGATCTATGCGTAGTTACATACTATTTTTTGAAACTGGATTATCTATTAATATCTCTAAAGTCGTAATGCACAATTTCTTAAATATGATAGCTTACTTCCGCTATATGTTAAAATTCTCTAATTACTCATGTGTAAAACCTACGTTACAATTACTTCTAATTATTCAAGAAAATCATCCTTATTTGAAAACCGATTACAGATAAATATGAATGTGCCGGTGAGACCATGGGCGCCCTGCTCTTCCTTGAATTGCTCGTATAATTTCAGAATATCTAGGGTAATAAGTACGCAGTTAACTGACGAAAATTTCTTTCGCATTGCGAAAAGAGAAATCATAACAGACGCCATGCAGAAGGGTGGGCGGTTACCATAACACGCTCCGTAATTATTGCGGTTACTACCAGTTGGACTGTTGGAGTACTCCCATTCACTAAATTTAGCCTGTTGCGCAACGAGACCCAAAGCGCAGGGCCGCAGGATGTGTTATTGAGGGCAGTCGGAAGCACGCACCTTGGAATGCTAGAGATTTAGCAACTCCAAAATTTGCAAACTGCATCCCATCAGGGTGTTTGCGTTCGTCTGCACTGTTTATGGTTTTCGAATGCTGCCGAAGCCATTCCAAAACCATAATAACAACGGCTTCACAAACAGAAAGTGTGTCGTTTATATATTTTGTTCTGCGCGATGAGCGAATTCTGCGCAGTCATGCGGAGTGTTCCCCTTCTTCCGCGCCTTTTGGTTTTCTGTGTAATTTTTCTTGACAATCAGCAAGTGAATCCTGCTACGGAATTATTTTTGAGCAGTGAGGATGGGCGAATACACGTGGAGGTAGGCAATGTCGTCGTGTGGGCTTCGCCGTCAGCTTGGTTGCAAAAGCAGTACGTACGATAATGCACTTTACTTGCTGATTGCCAGATGGACTCTTTGTTCGCCGTGCGGAATCCTGCCGATGTCTTCGCCTTCCTAGACCAAGAACAAAGCATTACCGAAATGCAGGAGCTGGAAGAAGGTATTCGAAGACATGCTGTCACATGCAGTTGTTTCCATCGCCATGTACATGCTTTCTTCTAGCTTTGGGCAAAATGCGCAGTCGTCTGGATGAGCTGATGAACCGCGACGACGACGATGTGGATATTGAGAAAGTGATACTGAGAAACGAACCTGACTGTAATTGACTCTCTGATGCAGAAAATGCATCGTTCCTAGTTGTTTGATTCGTACTTCGTAGGTATGCGCGCTGGTGATTTGTACAAGAAACTCAACTTGTTCGAAAGCGTTGTGCTTTCGTTGGAAGCAAAAGGGTTCAAGTAGGTACATTCACTACATTGTACGTTTGCCTGCACCTTTGCTAAGCTTCACTTGTGCTCTATATGTAGAACGGAGGAATTCATTACAACTTCTAGAACCAAAATTTCTCGTTCAGCGGCTGTACCTGACTGTGCACAATCTGTCAACGGAGACAGCACCGTTGGACTGCTCGGACAGTTGAAAGTGAGCTGGAAAGCCTCATCGTGTTTCATGATGGTTTTTAAATAATCTGTTTCCTTTTTGACGAGATGGGTTTCAGTACGCAATTTACGTATTATTCAGTGGGTTTGGCAAAAATTGTTTTGGCTTATTGACCGACTGTAAACGTATGCCATTGTTTAGGGTTACCAAAAGGGGCGGGGTCTGCAAGTAGCTCCCGAAGGGGACATCATTCGTGAAGTGACGGCTGGTTTAACTCCCGTGGAATACGGAACAAGTGTCTCCCAAGCTATGAAGAAAGTGTGTAAGATTGTCGCTTTTCTGGTTTTGCTTTGTGTTCATGGGCGCGTCGAACAACGATGATTTTTCTATTTCCCTCTTGTTTCTTTCTAGTTTTGCATTGATAACGTTTTGTCTTCTCTAGAATAATACTTCGTGGATTTTATTCAACATGGCAACATTTTATTATCGGATTGTCGGTGATGCCAATACTGCTATGGAATGTGCACGGCGAGCTTTGCACTTTTCACCTCGGTGAGTATTCTAGCTTGCTGCACGAATTATTATTAAATCGGTTTCGGCTGATGGTGAGGTATCATTGAACCATTTGTTTCTAGAGAACATAGGGATATTGCGCTATTAAATATGGCTTCTCTATTATTTCGCGGTGATTATCCCCGAGATGCATTGGCGATGGCTAGCATGGCGCTAGATATGAGCGGAGAGACCTCTGCGGGTTACACACTTTTGGGATTTATGTTAGCGGTACGCATTTTTTTGCTTTTTTGCAAATTTTGGCGTTGTAAACTGTAGCTGCGTTCTAACGTTTTGCATCCGCAGTCTCTTTCGAAGTTCGAAGAAGCCGTGGAGGCATTTGGGAAAGCCATCCGGCTTAGCAAACGAAAGAATAAACTTCGGGATTATCAGTTTGCTATCAAGTGCCATGCTAAGGTGCATAAAGGATTGTCGGATCAGCACAAGTAGGGTTGTGATTTAAAAACGGCAGGTGTTATCTGCAAATAAATTCTTGCTTGCTGTGATGGTGTTCAGAGGACTGCGGGATGTTATCCGTCAGTTTGAAAAAATTGGAGAAACGACTAGAAAGATTGAGTATTTGATGTCATCCATACACGATGCCAAGCGACCGTCGGCTGGAGGCCTTCTTGGTGACTACGAAAATGGGAAAGGTATGTTTTTCCGATGGCGCTTATGAAAAAGTAAATATCTTATAATTTGACCGCAGCACTTTCAGGGTACAGTCACACATTCCAAGCGGACGGTTCATATGTGATTACCGATCTGATCTCTCCGGTTTGTTTGAGTAGCGAATACGATACATAATTTTCTAGTCGTGCGGAATAAATTCCAGTGCAGAAAAGGTTTTCTTGGTGATGTTTCAGAATCGCATTTCAGTACATTTTTATCCTGATTTCTGCATTTTCTTCTCCTCCTCCCACTGCGAGTAGAGTTTTCTTCACTGCATTTCACTAGCATTTTTAATGTTTGAAACGTTACTGATGATGCTAGTATATCTGTCACGGTTGTAAGTCTGTGCATAGTTTATGTGCATTGGTTTACGGGTAGATTTCGCTTGTTTTTCGGCTGCAATCAACGTTTGGTTTGGTAGATAGAGCCTCCTCGATGGCTCAGTTCTGTGGATCTTAGTGATCCGTCAGACCCAATCAAGTTTGGACAGGTCTTTATTCCCGAAACCGATTATCATTTTTTTGCGACGGATTGGCCCACAAGTGAAGAGTGCGCTCTTCATGTAGCAAAAGAAAGGTTAAATTTTAAAACTGAAAGTGTGCTTATCCTACTGGAACATAAAGGTTTCCCGTAAGTTTTACTTTTTGTTTTTCGGAGTGCAAAGCCTTTTATTTTGTTGTCTGTAGCGTTATGTAAATAGTGTTGTTATTCCTAGATTTTGGTCTGTTGTGGGTCCGCTGCATTTGCCTGGCCACGGATTCCCGTTGCCATATTGTGAGCCGTATAGTGCACCTCAGATTTCTGAATTAGCAGCAGCGATGGATGAGGCGTTCGACAGCGATGATTCTGTACGTTACCTGGATCACGGAATGATCAAGGTCATCTCTGATTACTTAGCGGAATGTGAACGGCTGGAAGTTTTTGGGCGCAAGATGTCGATGGCGTTTATTTTGGTATGGCATGATCATTGTTCTGCCTAATGCTGATGTCAGTTCACGTGTGAAAATTCATAATATTATATGATGGAATGTAGGGAATTTTGCCATCTTGGATGTACTATAATATGGCCGCGGTTTACTGGAGGGCAATTGGGGCCACAATACGAGCAGCGGAATGTTTGAAGCGTGCATATGCTGATGTGCCTCCAAAATTCAAAGATGTGGTGCTGATAAACATGGCCACTTTCTTCAGTTTCGTTAATGAAACAGAGATGTCCTTGGCGATGGTTAAGGAAGCAGTAGAGGTTACGGCTCTGGAGGTACTCGAACCATCACAGTAGTTATTTAGAGTAGAATTAAGAATAATGCAGTAACACATTACGAACTAGTACCATATTTTTTCCATAAATTCCCGTAACAGCACCCTTTCGGAAATGTTATGAATTGATAATATTTCATTGTTCGTTCCTTATTTTTGCATAAATTTCACGTCGTTTTACGAAACTATGGATCGAGTTAACACTCTTTTTCATTTTTTTTTACAGCCGGCTACATTGTTTACGATGGGAAATGTTCTCGGAGCTCATGGTTTCCTCAGTTTGGCTGTGAAAAACTATCGTCTGACCCTCACGCAGGATGTCTCGTTCTACCCTGCACTGGAAGCGTTACGGAAAACTCGGTGCGCCCAGATAGCCATGGGTGCAACTGAAAAGTCTTTCTCGGCTGATAAAGTCCTGGAAAGTCTAGGCAATGGTGTGATTGAGATTGGCATTTTTGATACTAGCACTGGCTTGCAAATTGTAAGTAAGCGCACAACGTCTGATAATTCCGCTAAAGGCGAATCTTCTGATTTCAGCCAGAAACTTCACAACCTGATTAACGATCTGAAGAAGCCGAAAAAAATAAATAAAGCGAAATAACGAATGACGATTTATTTTGCCAATCTTATTACGGTCGTTACGCTTAGAAATGGTATTTTGGAAATCGGGTTACAAATGGGGTTTGCTAATATTAGTCCAACATGATTCCGTGTCACCTATAGCATGTTGCATTTACCTTAGTCAAATCAGACGGTGTATCAGATATATACCTAACAGTTTCACGTCGTGGTGGCGATTGATGCAGTATTTTAATCATTACATCACCTACAGCTGTTAGAAATCTGCGACTCGCGCATGATCTAGTCGCAGGTTTGCATCGCGGGGGAAAAATCAATAGTCTTGTACTTCTACGGGTATTGTGCTATACTGGTACACAAACAATATACCTAACCATAAGTGCATTCAAAAGTAGAACACTGCCACGAAAATGTAAGTTACCGCTGATGTTGCGTAACCGATCTTATCAATTCCGGTCAGGATACCTGAGTGTATTTCGCGATTAACGTTGCCAACGGCAGCGAACGGTATTGTGATCTGAGCACTTTATCAAAAGTAAATAAATAATCATTTCTATCAAGTCGACAATTTACCGGTGGTGCACGATAAGCCTTCCTAAATTCTCACAGTCTGCCGAAAAGCCAGAAAAGAGGAGATGCGTAAATTTTCCCCACTTGAACCATTAATAAAGTGACGCTGTAGTATTATTCTGACGACGAAGGCAAGTAATGTCCAGGTAATTCGGTTACTAAGACTTAAGAGTATGAGGAGGACCTTATGTCACGTTATGTGAAATGGCTCAAGTACAGCAACGTGGAAAGAAAAACCCAGCGAACAGCCGAAATCTCTGTTAATGCAGATTTTCACTTCCCCGAAGACATCCACCCTGCGTAGTCATGCTAAAGCATCTGCATCGCAGTAAAATAATAAGTTTAAATTAATTTGAAAGTTTAATAGTTTAAGTTGATTGTAAATTTTTAATTAACATGTGGCAGATTTTGACAACCCCACATGAATTCATGTCAAAATCGCTTGCGATTATTCCTTCCTTAGATTCGAATCTAAGGAAGGAATAATCGCATGCGAGCAATAAAATATGCATGTACCAGCTCAAATCATGAAATTTTGCCAGCAGAGAAATACTGTCGCTTTTTATGTAAAAAAGCTATCACTTTGCTCTAGAGTAATCGTAGAATGCCGGACAGTATAATTCTTCTGTACAGACTAGAGCGAGGCGATGGTAAAGGTCATCGGTTACTGTACTGTGTAGTTTCCGAAAAAATGTTGTTTTAAGCAGGTTGAGGTGGCATTTTTGCCCATAACCCGGGTTCTTTTTGTGGTTGCATGCATGCCGATTCGAAATACTCGTCATATTTATCCCAAATTTATTTTCGGGAACGCTTTCTATCTCGTAATCATATAGAGATCAAAATTAAGATGTCCGATCATATTCTGTCGTCTGAACTTTGTTAATCGAATTTTAAGCAGCAATTAATGCTATGTTAAACCATCACTTTTTTTATCCCGGTAAAAAAGTAAAACCGGCTGCAAAACAGATGGAAACTGTATCAACTGCAACTTTGCAAGACCTAACGTGTGCTATAACATCGACATTTCCCACCCATCCATCGCCAGTTCGGCCATCCCGGCTGGCAGTGTGCTAGGGAATTATTGTTGTTTCTACCAAAGATATATCTACTAACCCATATTAGCTATCAATTACTTGCTGGTTGACCTCATGACAGTCTGACCCAGATTGCAAATGTAAGGTATCGATGTGACGCCTTGTACGCAGATGAGAGAATCGATTCTGGGGATGATTATGCAACAATGGTTGTCGGTCAGAGACATATTAACAATTGCGATAGTTAGTATGTGTGCCAAAAATTATTAGAAAATGTCCCATTTTAGTGCACGAACGCTTTGCTTTCCTCCCTTTGTTCCACAAGCCCTCATTTAATAAACTAAATCTGAAGTATTACAGTACTTACTAATTTACTTGCTGGTACTGATAAATGGCTTGTATAGATATCTTGGCACTACGTACTTGAGCGAGTAGATCTGGATTCTAGGCTAAATTAAAGATAAATTAAATTTATTTAATTGCGGTTAATTTGCATGAGCGGCAGTTGTTTTCCCAGACAGCCCACCGCTGGTTTCCGTGGCAACATCCTACACATGATGCTATAGTAGAGTATTACCTTACATTGCTGTATAGCATGTGTTTAATCATTCATATTCGGCATTTCATTACATGTCTACACTTGACTTCAGCTTTGCTCCGAATAATGGTTTTAGCGCAAACTGCAAGTCCAAACTGTTTTGTTTTGTTTTGTGGGTTCGTCGTGTATATAGTCCAAACTGTTTTGTTTTGTTCGGTTGAGTCGTTCGTCTGAACTGATCGGAGTACTGCTATACTGCACACATCATCTCGTGTTTTTCTGTCTGCACTACCTCTGTACCCGCACATATTATGGCACCTGACGGGCGACGTGGCAGTTCGAATCGTGGGCGTGGGCGACCTCGCGGATCCGGACGTGGTGTCACCAACACAAGACGAAGCACCCGAAGCGCAACTACTAATCCCGGTATCACCAAAAAGAAATCGGCAATGGAACAACAATTAGAACTACTGAAGAAACAGATCGCTGATCTATCGGCATCCGTCGCCACAGTAGTTCCGGCATCCGACAACAGTGTGCGGTCGTTTTCTCCGTTATCAAGCCGTGTTCGAATCGAGAACTCCGGCAAGTCCGGCAAGTCCGCCAGTTTACAGCACCGCCTGCGCGACCTATCACCTGTGTCTGACCCAGGTAATGCAGTAACCGTAAGCGATGATCCCGGCGTCTCATTCACCGGTAATGCTGCTACGACTCTTAGCCGTAAAGCGACTGCAATTTTCGATTCTCTACCGGAAAATGTTAAGATTTTGCTGACACCCGTTGACAAACCTTTGCTGTACAAATTGTTCAGTAAGAAAGAGTTCGTAAACCTCAGTGACCTTTTGCCCAACATCTGCATGTCACATGCACCATCCACGTCGAAGGCATCCGCGGCAAAGACCGAACCGATTCGCGATTTCCACCAGTGGTTCAGAGCATTTAATGTTCTTAAAATGTATCGGTGTGCAGTGCATCCGGAACTGAGCTTGCCGATGTCTAAGTACATGGATCACATTGCTCAGACAGCCGCGCTGAAAGGCATTGCAACCGAACAATGGCTTGCTTACGACCGGCAGTTTCGGCTTGCAGTCTGTCGCAACCCTGATGACGTTTTGCAGTGGTCCCGAAAGAACGATGATGCTTATACAGAATATTTATCTCAACCTGTCGGGCATGATACTGATCATCCCGTTATTGGTGCGAGTCGAACCAACGTCATCCAGTGCTACCACTGTAGTGAATTCGGCCATATTCGACCGGAATGTCCGTTGCTGCTGCGCAGTAATGCCGGCAGCCGCCGTACCTCCTGGGTTGGGCAGTCTTTTCAACCTCCCGCCGGCAACGGGGATCTAAAATCGACGAAGTCTGCCACCTTTGGAACAAAGGACACTGCACAACTGGTATATTTTGCCGTTACGGCCGCCAGCATCGATGTGCCAACTGCGGGCAGCGGGAGCATCGCGAACCACAGTGCAAAGCAAAAGCAGGCAACGGTGCCCAATAGCATCATTACGCCACTGAAAGCGGATGCATTTGCGCATTTTCTAAAATGCACCCGGATCGACCGTACGTTTCATTAGTACTGCAGGTACTGCGTTCTGGAGCGGATATCGGTTATCGAGGTCCCGTTCGTACTCTATCTACTCCTAATGCAGCGTCCGCTCGTATGTATTCACAGCACCTCCAAAATCAAATTGATACGGAAGTTTCACTACTGCATTCAGTCGGACCATTTATTACTCCGCCATTTAGTACATTCGTTATAAATTCACTCGGCGTCAGGCCTAAACCGGATGGAAAATACCGCATATTGATGGATATGTCTCGCCCAACTGGAGAAAGCGTTAATGATTACATCAACAAAGATGATTACTCGCTAACATTCTGTAGCGTCGACGATGCAGTACGTCTCCTTCTCCAGCTGGGTAAAGGTGCGTTGATGGCTAAATTCGACATTCAGCATGCGTTCCGTTTGGTGCCTGTTAGACCGGCTGACTGGCATTTGCTTGGCTATCAGTGTAACGGTCTTTTCTACTTTGATATTGTTCTTCCTTTTGGTTCGCGTTCCTCTCCGTATTTGTTCTGTCTGATTTCTGATGCTGTACACTGGATCTTTGTGCATGAAACTGGTCATATTTACATGTTACACTATGTTGACGATTTCTTTCTAGCCACTACTTCTGACTCACATTTTTGTTCTCAGCTGATGATTAAATTTAGTGACCTTTGCACTTTGTTGGGCGTGCCGCTTGCTACTAAAAAAACCGAAGGCCCATCTACCAAACTAAAATTTCTCGGCATCCTTCTCGATTCGGCTTCGCAAACTCTTAGCTTACCGCATGGCAAGCTGACTGAAATGGTGACCATGCTCACTATGTGGAAGACGAAAACTGTATGTACTCGTACCGAACTTCAGAGCTTAATCGGTTCTCTTATGTTTGCGTCTAAATGTGTGCCGGTCGGTCGGCTGTTTACGAGAAGGCTGATTGCTAATCTGTCATCGGTCACTAATGCGGAAAAACTTTTTCTTGACGACGACTTCCACAAAGATGTTGATTGGTGGTTGGAGTTTCTTCCAAAATGGAACGGCACAGCGGAATTCTTAGAGGTTAACTGGACTCGCTGCGATGCGATTCAGTTATTTACTGATGCTTCTTCTACGCTTGGGTGCGGTGGTTATTTTAACGGCGCATGGTTTCAGCTACGCTGGCCACCTAATATTTTGGACGCTAAATTTTCCATAGAGTGCCTTGAGATCATTCCCATACTTGTAGCGCTTACATTATGGGGATCACAGTTAAAAGGAAAAAAAGTAATTTTCCACTGTGACAATCTTGGTGCATCTCAGGCGTGGGAAAATTATAAATCGCGAAGCAAGATTGTATTGGAGCTGATGCGGCGAATGGTGGCCATAGCAGCACGAGTTAATTTTACAATGACGATTAAGCACATATCTGGTATCGATAATAAGATTGCTGATGCTTTGTCCCGTTTTCAGATAAATCGATTTCTCATGTTAGCGCCAAATGCCGATTTGAACCCCACGCCAGTGCCGGAAAATATCTTGCGCGAGCTTTACGATTATCACCTGATGTATCATTAAATTCTCTTGACTCAACTATTAATAAACTGCGTTCTAATCATATTGCGACATCTTCCCGGAAAACTTATCAGAGTGCGTTAAACAGATTTATTGAGTTTTGCAGAAAGTTTCGCCTGTCTTCGGCACACATTACTAAATCTACCGTATTACGTTACGTGGCATTTCTCTTCGAAAGCGGCTTATCTTATTCATCAGCTAAAGTTTATTTATCAGCACTTTTTAATGCATTCAGAGAATGTGGTCTCAGTTTTGAGTTCAATGCACCGAATATTTCACAATGTCTCATTGGTTACAAGCGTCTGCGCGGTACTGTTTCTGATCGTAGACTACCAATTACTATCGATCATATGCGAATTATGAAACTTAACATCGACTGCTCCTCCCTTCTGTCACCCTTTGAAAAACACTTATACTGGAGCATGTTTACATTGTGTTTCTTTGCTTTTCTGCGCATTGGAGAAATTATCCCATTATCTGGAAGCCACTTTATATTGTTCAAGGATGTGTCATATGAAAAAGGGAAGGTTTATTTGCACCTCCGGTCATCTAAAACTGACCAATATCGCGAAGGTTGTCGCATTTCGTTACAGGCTTCCGGTCGGTCAGTCTGTGCTGTACGGGCGATGCGGAGCTACCTAGCACTTAGAAAAAGTCTAAAAAGCCCGCACACTGCCCTGTACCTCACCGCCGATGGCCTGCCGGTGCAGAGATGTGCCTTTACTCGCGAGCTCTCTTTGGCTTTACACGGAGTTCCTAATAATCATACAAACGTTTTTAGTTATGCTAAAAAAGGATGGGGTTCTGTTTGCCGTCGGATGTAGGCAAAGCCAGAGTTGGAGGCCTGGTATGCCGTCCGTCTAGCTGCCGCTAGGTGTGTGCTTGCCGTCGTAAGTAGACGCAGCCTTACGAGCAGCCGTAGCTAGAGTCATACTTGCCGTCGAAGGAGGGCGCAACCGTTGGAAGGGGGTATGTCTGCCGTCCGTACGTATAATAATCATCAATCATACGTTTTTAGCGCAAACTGCAAGTCCAAACTGTTTTCCCAACCCACCCGCCCTATGTGCGGTGATGTGTTTGTACCGTACATTTGTTCACAATAAAAAGGGGTTCGGCTTGCAGGGGAACGGCCAGCTGGCATGCTCCCGCACACCCGCTACACGGGCATTCGGGACTGTCACGCTGAGCGGTACAGCGCACTGGATGTGCCTGCTACAGCCCGTTCTCAAACAACCGACATCCTGCAAACGCCCAATTTCAATACCGTCCCGCCATTTGAAAGCGAATGCAAATTAAACTGTGATCGGCTGTGTGCGGCTGTCTCTGTGATCGGCTGTGTGCGGTGACCGTGGGTCAGCGAAGCCGGCCGACCGGGGGTCGGCGGAAGAGAGCGACCAGTGCCCTGCGCAACCGAATGCCCCAAACAAAATGGCTTGTATAGATATCTTGGCACTACGTACTTGAGCGAGTAGATCTGGATTCTAGGCTAAATTAAACGTATGTTTTTAATTTTGTGAATTTGGATTGTAAAGCTTCGTCATCTAGAGGAGTGGAAGGGATTAAAGCATAAAGCCATTTCATATTATTAGCGCAAATCTCAGATCACCAGTACAAGTACGGCATGTAGCATACGTATGTGCGAATTGTAGTAAGTTACCAAAATGATACTAAACAGCAGCGTTATAGCGCAAATGCGTTCAGATGCCATGACCGATAATTGCGAGAACTGGGAACCACATAAAACCGAATTCGAATTCGAAGTGCGGACCAATATAATCGTACTGTAGTTTCTTGCATTCAAATAATGCCATTTGAAAAAATATAGCACTGGCGTCCTCTGGTACCGATTTGGCGATTTCACCGTGGCCAGTTGCGCCGTACTTTAGGCCAGTTTAAAAGCACGGAACTGCGACATGGTACCCTACATAAAGCAAATAACAACCTGTGGCATGAATTTGATACCTTCATCGATTACGCAACCCTAAAGGAGTAGTCCCCAAGCTTGCGCTGTATAAACCCTCTCTGTCAAGAGATAACGTGTTGCAGTCCTTAATAAAATTAAGGTTGTCAAAAATCTTAATTTGCCGTTTAAATGCCGTCGTACTGTACGTGTCCGGTTTGAAGAACACATAGCCACAGCCCACAAATGCAATACGAGTAGAGAAAAGAACGCACGCAGGTTTATATAATAAATACCTATCTATTGCAGGTCCAGTTGAACTGTATTTTACTGACTGCGTAACAGTAACGGAAGAGTGGCGGTGGCTCGGAACGGGACGACAAACCGCACAAGAGCAATACTAGTGTGATTCCCGGTAATTAAATGTTTTCTGCGTGGAATATATAAGCGCAGTTGTAAGACATTTTTTTGCACACTTATCTATCTATTTATGGGGACAAAGTATGGTGCTTGAAGAGTATTGCAATTGTGTGTAACAGGTGAATATTTAATGGGTATGTATACGTTAGTTAACTAAATTTTAATGAATAAGCATTCAAGATATTCTATTCTACTATGTCTGTACATCGCACTCGTTTGCGGAATTATCAGTTATAATAATTATTATGAGTTCAGAGACGGATGGATAGGTGACCGTGATTCGTAATGTGCAACTATATCATCGTGCGATCACCATGACCATGATCTTCAAATGGATGCACGTGGAACGTAGGTATTTTTGGAAGTGAATGCATACCTGCAGAGTGCAGTCCGTTGTCAGCGTGGTTGCGCTGGAATTTAAAAATTCCGAGGCCGGAAACCGAAGATTAACAGATGTTCTGTAATTACGTACCGTCTCCAGGCCACGTATTCCTGTTATCCTTTTCAACTGTCTGTCGGGGTTGCAGCGTACCCAAAACGCGGTGCACATTTGCCTATAGCGATCGTTCAGCATACAGATAAGCTCAGTTGAAAGGTCTTCGGAGCTTGTGCTCCTGTGAATTTGGATTTCATCTTTTGTGGAGTAGGCGAATAGTCTCGCAACGACGTCGTTTTAAAATGCGCTTAAATTTAATTCTGCATAAATTTTACTTATAGATTTGTAGTCGTTCGGTTACGGTATGATTGTGCGTCTGAGATATGATATAATTATACGCTTATACACTTTTTTATTTGGTAAACTATATTTCAGTGGGTTGCACTTCTTAATTGCGATTAGTTTTCCAACACTGGTAAAAAGTTATCAACTGGATGGATTCAGTAAGCTGGTCATTTTTAGTCACAATGGCGCGTACATCGCAGAATTTGAGTCGTTGTGCGTATACATTCGTGACTATAAATAGCCAGCTAGCACTGCGTATTCTGGAGATAGGTCACAAATGATCAAATCATTATGGATCTGCAAGTGGTTTTGCGTCACTGTCCAAAATCCCTTGGAAACGTATGATAGCCTCTGCAACATATCTTCTAGATTTTTTTGTGTGTAGGACTTGAGTTTTAAGCTGACAATGAACCGAGACAACAATGACTTTGCAAGAAAAGCAAGCAGTTGTTACTATTACAAACAGATAAATATACCTATATAAATGAAAACTTACACGCTAAGTGTAATTATGTTTATATCAAGTATAGAGCAGCTAAGTTTTCATGTCGCCGTTTTGTATTCGAAAAGAAACGAAACTGTTCAAAAGATTAAAGCTGTTCAGTAAAGTTGTATAACTGATTTTACAGTATAACTTCTGTGCATGTGTAAAACTAGCAACATTAAAACATAGAAATACTTTCTGTATTCTGCATACTTCTGTATTCTGAAGTGTGGATATGCGGCTGATTGTTTTGCAGGTTTGTACTTGGAATAGTAGCTAGAGCGTACACATAAGAGTTAATACCATTGTAAAAACTAGTAAAAAAATAAAATACTAGTAAAAGTTTGGTGTGTCGAATACTTTTTTTTGGGCAGTTGCTTTTTGAAACACTATAATATGAAGTTGTCGAATAGGTTATTTTACATCCAGTGCAACGGTTTACACATCGTACAATTACAAAATTTAATAATCTCAAATCATGTGCAAGTAATTTTACATAAACACATGGAAAGAGTTTGTAGTTCTCGTTAATTTACTGTATTTACTTTCGCATAGGTGAACCTTTTTTGATTAGAAGAAGCGAAACGCAAAAAATTAAAACAATCATGCAGGCTAAATGTTAGCAGATCGTTATTTTAATTTGTAGATATGCTTTGTTCTAAAAACCGGAACAGCCCTCGTAACATAGCATGGCAGGAAGATGGGACTATAGCCGGGTATCTACCACAAAATTAACACGGATAGTCGATAGTGGATATTGGATAATACATAGACATTAGACACGTTATTTTAGTGAACGATGGCTGATACAGTAGTCCACAAATTCCAGCCTTGGCTCCAGTTAGGTACATACCTGCTAGTCTTCACGACATGGCTAAACTTTTTACCAAAAATCCACAGACAAAAGTCAAAAAAAGGCAGTGCCGTGACGTACTACTTCTTGTTATTAACTGCAAAATATTAGCCCTCCGAAACTTTAATATTTGGTGTTTTTAATAATGATCATTTGCAAGTTGTTGTACGCATATTCGAATTCTGAAAATACAGGACTATTACTAATTACTGATTGTGATAAGCGCTATATAATGTATTACTGTATACATCTTTTTTATAATAAGTAGATAAAATCATCATCATTATAATAAGTAGATCATAAAAGCATAAAAAAGATTGCGGATTATAGTACAGTAGCTATGAGACTTCTTCTCACGTTCACCTGTGGCATCACTGCACGTGCTGCCAAAAACGTTTATGGGTTTTATTTATAAAAAGCTTCCACCAGAGTAATAATAATTACAAATTAATATGAATGTCACGATATGCACGTTAGCTCTGCAAATGTCACATTAGACCGTCAGCAGCGGCGTTATATTAGGGCTGGTAATGATAAGAATCAGCCGCAAGATTACCTTCCAGAATAAAGAAAATCAAAACTCCACCTTGACGGACATGTGCAACGTGGGTTTTTAAAGGAACATTGGTCGAGAAGTTTCGACCACCGAAGTTTATAGTTGCCAAAGGCCGTTTGGGAATTCTGGTTTGATGTACATTCTGAGTACCAACATTTGGCAAAACAGAAATAATTTACAAACTAATCATTGATTACGTTATAATTACATATAGAGAAAGTATAGTCCTCTGGGGCCAGTCTGGGCAGTGGGCACTGGCGCATCATGGCAAAATCATTTTTGTACATCTCCATTATTGTCAAATAAACTTGGCCAAGGGCCACGTATCGCAAAACGACATTTTAGGCAATTAAAAGGCTGAAAATGGTTTTGAGCAACCCGAAACAAAGTGTAGCAACAAGTCAAACCAAAATAACCTGGCTAACTGCAACAATGGCATCCCGTAACCGGCATCGACGTGTCCATCAAAGACATGTAGATTTACAATCATACCCACATGCCTTGCGGATCCCGAGCAATATTCCGCTTCAGTACAAGGATTCGCTGGGATGAGGAGGATGATTTACGAACCGGGGGCGCAGGAGAGGACCGCTGCTGATCCGTAACCGTTGCTGTACTTGAAACCATTATTTTCCCACCGGAAACTGTAACAAATACGGCTTCAAGACAAATATTTTTGCTTTCATCTGAACTTTGTAATAACCTGAACAAAAATTTTAACTGTTGCGTAGGGAAAATCTACAAAGCGCTATTTCTTTGTCGTATTCTATCCGCTTTCTTCAGCACACAATTTCAGATGCTTATTTCTAGTCCACTTCAGTTCTCACTCAGCATATGTTCATGTACGCCTAATATACGTACCGCACAACACTCTAGCGTTTCCCAATTATTTTTTTTTACTTATTCATGTCATATTCCCTTTTACACATTCATATTCTCTATCATAACTGCGTTTACGCGCCTCGTCACAGCTCGTTGCTAACTACTCGTACATAATTCATACAAATGCAGCATATACCGTAGTCATTTGCCCATAAACCTGATATTTAGCGCGTCGTTGCATGATTCTGTGAAGTTGCTGATTAAAAAACTACATTGTTGGCATAACTCATAATTAAATGATCATGTTGCGCAATAAAACGACATGCGCTGATCAGGGTAGCATTCAATCACAGAATCTTGAACCATTGCGATCTATGTGATGCTTTTATTGTCAAGCGCTAAAGCGGCGAAAACAGGAATTAACATCGTTATTCGACAATTCGCCAGCAGCACTAACCGGCCCACTGTAACACTTTCGAGTTCGCTGACAGTTATTGTTGGAGGTGAAATGACGGCATTAAAAACAGCACGAAGAGAGAAGTGCTACCTTAGAGGGATCAAATATTACATCGAAAAAAAATGCGAACAAACACGCATCGATCTATAGGCCAAGGCCACGCTGCAGCATCTGGTTATAGCCTAACCGGATACTAAGTGTGCAGTTCGTCATGCCACAACGGAAACCCAACAGTTGTTTCTCCCACCGCTCACCTTGTGCTTTCTGCTCAGCTCACCATAGTGCGCATCAGATTAAATACCTGCTTACGTGCTAAATTATGATGATAAATGGACCGAATACGCCATAGTTACAGTTCTCGTGCATCACATAAGCGCAGAGGTTATCGGTTTAATAGATGATGCACGCTTCGTTAAGCATTCATCCATCTCCTAACCACACCCTGCTGGGACAAGCTAATCAATTATATCAAGCTAATTTTTTGTCAATTATCGACCAGGAGAATTTGACACTAATGCATTTCGAAGAATATTAGCCTAAATAAATTTCGCTTTATCTTTAGAAAAACCATAAAGCATTTTTTCTTGCTGAGGCTGGAGTTTGATAACTCGTACTTAATTTCGTAGCATGCCCATTTCATACAACTTGTATTCTATCTCACCTGTATTTGTCAAGCGTAAATTAAAACTGAACTGAATTACACGGAACAATTGAAACCATGAAAATGCAGTAACTACGAACCGGAATATGGAAAAAAAACTTTCCCGTTCTGCAGATAGTACTGCCGTGACTACTATTTTGCTTTTTCGACTCACCACCATTTGTTTCAAGAGGTGTCTGCACTGCAAAACATTCCAGGAAGCTATCCATATCTGTTTGCTTCAATGCATTTTGTAAGCTGTCTAGTTCCAGTTGTTTGGCCAGCAGTGTGGATTCCATGCGTTGGTCATTTAATTGCAGATCTTCGAGCGTTTTACTGTGAGCTTCCTGTAACGCCGCCAATTCCTGGATTTCGCGCACTAATCGCTCCTTTTCGTCCTTTATCTCCGCCTCCGCGTTCTCGCGTTGTTTTTCCTGCTCATTGCGCTCCGTTTGCAACTGTTCGTGCAGCATTTTCATATCATCTCTGGCTACAACAATGGCGGAATCAGATATGTTCAGTTTGGCTTTATAATCCGTGAGATCGTTTTTCAGTTTAAGCTGAACTTCTTCGGCAGCCTTTAACATTGGCTCGAATGGTAGACTAGATAATTCCTCCAGCTGGCTGAGGACACTCTTCTCTGAGTCTTGCATAAGCTTAATTTGATTCTCCATATCATTAGCTTCCAGAGCCAATTTTATTGTGCGCTGTTCCCACAGTGCGCATTCTGAAATCATACAACGAGCACGGATTTAGCAAGAAAACTTTGATTTTATGTAATATATATACCTACTCAGCTTCTACTACCCACTTAAAGTTTTAAAAGAACGTGAAAAATTTCATCACAAAAAAACCAATTAATAAAATATGCTCACCTCGATCATAATAAGCACACTCTGCTTTGGCACTGGATAATAAATCTTCCTGTTGACGAATTTCCAGTAATAATTGGGATCTTCGTTGATCCTTTTCCGGTAATTCTTTGAGACCGTGTACTGCATTCTGTTTATGCACAAGAGAAACAGTGTTGCCCATATCTGGAACAGTTGCCCTCATATGGACATCCAGTGAACCGTTGGCTGAAGGGACGGGCGCAGTAAGCAAGGGTTTGGCAACAGGTGCATTCTTCACTGGGGCTGTATTCCGGACATCAACCGGCGCTCTAACAGGAATGCTGTTGGCCACTAAATCCGCATTTCCCGGCACAGATTCTTTAACACTCTCTTTGGACTTGTAGTGCATACCGATGAGATCAGCAGGAAAATTATTTTCTTTCACGGGAGAGGGAATAAAGGGAACGACGGTGGCTTTGCCATTCACGGATGAACGATTTTTCACAATTTTCGGCGGTATCCAGTCCGTACCGTGGGTGGTCAAGGTTTTGCGCAGATTCCCAGCATAAGTGCTGTCCTGCCCGCGCTGGAATGGCGACAGATCTGGTAAAGGAGACGACGAATCGGATGCACGACTTTGACTGCCACTATTGTCCGTTTTACGCAAGATGAACTGCACATCATGCCGGAACTCCCCTTTCTGCTCTAGCAAAACCCACAGACGGTCGGACGGTGCGAGCGGCTTTTCGCATTTAGCCCAGCGCTCAAACAATACAAACCGGCCGCGTTTACCGGTGGCATGGGCCAGTGCGTAAACCACGTCTTGGCAGGTAGTTGCCGCGGAGATCCCGCAGATTGTCTTGGGCAGTCCTTCGACCCACACTTTCACTTCCATTGCATGGCTAGGATTGTTCAATCACAGATGCTCAAACTGTAAAATAAACATGCGGTGCGGATGAGCACGATCGCATCAAGCACAACGGATTAGTGTCTGCTCGCATCGGCACGATGGACAGACATGTGTACAAGCATTTCCGCTAACACGGCTCTCTCTCGATTATCCGCTTGAAACGACCGTACAACTACGCATACAAAAGTTATGGTTTTAATAACACACTCTTGTGTCTTTGCCTTTTAATATTCTATTGCAAGTGCGTATTTTTGTCTGACGGATTGTTTGTTCCGGCAAATTTTACGCGGCGGCGCGTAGAATATAAAACAGCTATCACTGTGCAGAATTATGTGGTTATGAGTCTTACGACGACACTACGCATCGTGGCAGGAAAGTTAATCTAACAAAACAGTTCACATAGAAATTTATGGAACAGCCGTTATGATAACTTCATGAATAACTGAATATTAAAGTGCTTGTCAAGATAATCTGTATTCACTCTATGCCCGACAAAATAACGCGTACGCATAAATACACAATGGATTCCGAGACCCGGATAAATATGGTTTCAATGCCTACAGTTGCAAATTGCAATCCCGAAGCCTTGCCGAACTCCGGCGAACTATTCCCAACATGCCATACAGGAGAACCCAACCAAAGAATTACTGTGCTACTGCTAGCTCAGCTAGTAATCTCATGTTGAACATTTACAGCTGACTGGACGACTGCCACATTAACATTTATAATTGAATTTATTAGCAAGTCAGTTGTGTAACCGGAAAAAGTTGAAAATTTTATCAACGGAAATTCACAAAGTTAGGGAAAATATATGATTATAAGCGACATAATTATTATAGTGTGCGGTCACATTCAAAGCCTGCAGTATTGTTTCTATAAAGTATAACTAAATTTCCAGTTTCAAGCAGAGATAATGAACGTACCACCGGCATATTCCCATAAGTACTAATATACACTTTGATTCAAAACGTCCCAATCCTCAGACTTGTGTCCGTTAAACAACAAATCGAAACCACTGCATACAATACATGCGTCAAACAGCTGAAATCAGTACTAGTAACTTATACTGAATACCGGCTCTTAATACAATTACGAATCACATTAACGTTATTAAGTACTGCCAAAAATGCTCATAGTAAAAACCATCAGATGCACATAAACTGTTTAGGATGAAGTACTTAACAGTCAGCAGCATCTTGACCGAGTTTTCCACCATCAAAACCTCAAAAAGCACGATTAGCAGCTCAAGCTTGAAAGGCACCTACGCTGACCAACAAATACTTTAGTCTTCATACCGGGTAGTCAACAAGTTATCAAAGAAAACTGCAAATATTTGAAGTACAGCCACAGTCCGCCACACATGCGCATCTACCACTGCACGCGAATCTATTGACAAACACATTGCACCAACAACTGATAATTTTATTTCAAACAAAAAATTATTTTTGTTCTTTACAAATTCCGGAGTTTATAAATAAAAGTTTACCCTCGTATTTACAACACTTTTTTATAACTATTCATCTCATGCAGTGGTTTCGTCAAAAACACAGACTATACAGTACCATAATAATTATTACGTTATCAATTATTATTTAACACAAACTGCACACTGGACAGTGGACACTCAATCCATGGTCTGCATTCACAAGTTAAAAAGCATAAACTTAATTTTCAGTAATCAGTTACAAACAATTCACCGCACTAAAGTTTTGAAATGATCAGCACTCCGCTTCGTTTCACTTTCTTTTCAATAATTCTAAACTTTCTGAAGTGAGATTACTTACAGACGGCACCAGCAATTAAACAAATAGGACACAAGTAAATAGCAAGAATGCACAAGTACAAGAGCATACTTACTATTTAGTCACTAATAACATATTGCGCCATCGAAATCGGAAACAATTTTATTGGTATTTTTTCTAAATTTAACTCACAGCCGTGTGCAGTGTTAACCATCCCATTTATGAAATTGGTGTCAAACAAAATAAAAAGCAGCCAGAAGGCCCAGAACTAGAAATATCTCACCTCTTCAAAAGAAAAAAACAGATGGCGGGCCCACATGAGTATCCAATACTATGCATACAGATTTTGGACTCCAGAAATCCTCCCCGCAACTTCGGATTTAATTCGTAGAGCGCTGTAGTAGCAAAGCAGTTGCTCGGAGTCTAGGACACACCCGACACAGTCACAAAGCAGAAGTTCGCTGAAAAATACATTGCGAAAATCGACGTAAACTATAAAAAGCAGAGATCCTAGAAGTCAGAAATTGTATGAAATATGAATCATCTTCGTCACTGTCTAGACTCCAGACGATCCAGTCTGAAAACATCACAAACCATTTGCGGACAAGCAATCCCTAACGGTAAAAATAAATATTTTCAAGTAATACTGGAAATCCAAAATTATGCCTTTGTTATGCCGATTTACAGTTACAGAAAATTGCAGACATGTGCAAAACCTGCACTCGCTCACGGTTTGTATGCTGTTTGCACGATGAAGAACTGAAATGACGGGCGTGACTCATACAGGTGTCCTAATGACTACCAACGGCATAAGTCATAACAAGGCAGATCTCAATACAGGCAACCCCACTGAGGGCGGGATCTGCAATGACGGAAGCGCTAGAGTAGCCCAAATTGCCGAAGAACACCGTAAAAGCCAGAGTTTTTTAAGCTTTTCAAAGCTTATTTGTGTTTCTTTAGTCGTTTTCACTCTTTTATTGCAGTTGGGATTTTATTTCTAATATAAAATAAGCCATAGGAAGAGGCAACATGATTAAGTACGGTGCGGCAAGTTGCAAAGCGGCTGTTGGCAACTTGGTTTCTACCGGTATATGGCAAAATTATTACTGCACGAGTTGGTTTGTTGATTTATTCCAACGAAACTTCTCAAAACCTAAGAAAAAAATAAAGCAGATACTAAACTGAACAATGTGCAAAATTAAAGAACTATTGGGACTAATTTACATGGAGTCTGATGGAGAATACCGAGATTGTATAATTACGCATCGGTGATTTAATATGAACAGTTGCACACAGTACCTACCGCACAGTGCACATTGCATTCGTATGGGGAAAATTATTAAGAAATAGTGGGAAATTGATTTTATTAAGAAATAGTGGGAAATTCATGCACGTTACATATTTAAAGGTTTTTTTATTTTTAAAAATAGAGGAAGTTAATATGCATATTTTGCAGTTCGAATCCCATTCAACAAAAACAGAAAAAGGGGAGCAAACCGATTTTTCCCAGCATTTTACTATACGAGTAGCCGCGCTAATATGCGAGCTACTCTACTGATGACGTAATGAGTCAGTGGTATTGCCTGTATTGAGATCTGCCCTGGTCATAACAACTTGACCTAAAATTTTCTGTGCACGGTGCACTGCGCTTTACCGGAATGGTCGGGAAACTGGAAGGTGTGGTTTCATTGACCGTGTTCCAAAACTACCAAAACCCAAATTTCTGTTTATAATAATTTTGCTGTGATTTCTCACATTTTTTCGTTTGGGATGTGTAACAGTCGCTACACCTCGCATTTTTGCATTCTTATTATTTTTGCGTGCAATCTTAATTTTTAATCCGAAGTTTTCATGCAACCTCTGCACTCTTGGATCGGTGATTTGTGGTGCAGTTTTAGTTTTAACCATTTTAAACTTTTAAAGTTGCCCTGACAGATGTTCTAACAGCCTAACTGTCGTGTTTTTATCGTCAAGAATCTTGAGCCTTCTGCTTTGTCAGTCTTTGTGTGTTATATAATTTTGGTTGTTCTTGCAATCTTGCACTATCTGTTTGTCTGAAAACGGCTAAATGGTGGGCCGTTGCTGTGCATAGTCGGCAAATGTACTGATCCATGAAGCATCTTGGTGCTGACTTATTATCTGTAATACTTTTTCAGCTTTACTTGTGAATACAGTAATTGGGATCGTAAGCGGTAAGCAGTACTTCGCTGCTGTTGAAGAATTTTAGTGCATACCTGATGGATAGTAGAAGCAGCCCTTCGATTATTCATTCTCTTCCTATCCAAGCAACAAATCTCGAGGTCGTGGAACAGACTGCAATCCACTCATTTCATCCGAACGGTCCGAACCCTGAACTGAACACATCCATAACCGACTCTGATTCTGTAGCATCGTACAGTGAATCGGAAGTGGGCAGTCAACTAAGTGATCAGCTCAGTTCTTCGTCAACTATTCGCCCTGTCCCACCTTCGCAGCAGCCAACGACGGTTGCCACTGTTAATGTCAACCGCGACAGTAATGTAGAGATCCGGGCTGTACATAACGTGTCGGAACAACATCGACGCAAGTACCTCAAGAGTTGTTTTGATAATCTCCAAAAAGAAGTTGTCCCCGAGTCGACCACTAAGGCGTCGCATTTACTGATAATCACTTCGGCTCTCGAAGCTATACAGCGAGTTCGGGAAGAGGACTTTCAGTTGAGAAGGTAAGTGAGCGCTAAATAAGCCTGAGCAAAGCATCTTGGACTTTAAACTGCAGTTGTGGCAAATCATAACGCTCTGTCATTTTCAAGTTCGCATTATTTTCTCTAATTTCCGGGTTTGCAGTCACGACTCACAACGTTTCTCGACTTCAGCATCATTTAAGTACTTACTGTAATTTTCAGTATTCTAAACAACTTCGCAAAAACTTAATTGTTTCTATGTAATTTCATTGGGATCGTTTTTGCAGAAAATTAAAAATTATAACTCAAAAAGTCAAAACCTAAACGTCGTTTTTGTGAATTAATATATTTCTTATGGATGTATGTTGTATAATGTATGTTTCAAATGCGATCAAATTTAGGGATAGCGAGCGTGCTCTGGACGAGCATCGGCAGCTGTTGAAGAAATTAGACGACGTTGTGCGGGAAATTCTCAGTACGGATCCTGCATTTGACGTCAACGACGTCCTGGTCCGCGCTGATCTCGCCAACCCGGAAGGATTTCACCCGTTGACCGCATTTGACCGACACATCGATCCCTTCCAGATCGAGGAAACTGTGGAAATTGTGTCGCCCTCGGGAGCACAGAAGCGGCCTTGCTTGGACGTGTCGGACGAAGGAGAAGCGCAGAACGTCCGGAAATCTGCCAAAATGCCCGCTTTGACCAACTCAAAGAAAAAAGATAAACGAGGAAAAAACAGGTAACTCAATTTTACTGCTAGCGAAAACGGGTTGCTGCGCTATCCATTTTGTAGTGCATTCTTTAGTTGATTTTGTAAAAGGTGTCTGTCTGAAAGTGTTAGATTGTTAATGCTGCGGTTTTTTCGTTTATATTTTCTTTTGCAAATTCTAACTAGAACGCTTTGAAATGCTTGGTGCGCGCGTATGAGCCGCTTTTTTTAAGTCTTTGGTTTACAACTTGATCACGCTTGCTTGTTGTAAGTCCAAGCGAGCGCTACTAAACAAGAGCGGTGATTCCCTTTCCTATTTTCACAAACTTTAGCCCTTTTCTGATTGTTTATAGTTGTTTTGTTGGCTTTATAGAGTTGTCGAAATGGAGGATGGTGGTTCTGCTGCTGAGGATACGGATCTCCCCTCAACAGACAGTGCCAAACCGGAAACTAGCAGCATGTCCAACGGAATTATGCTTAGTAGCAAAGCGCCACGTGAACCCATCCCTTTGCGAATGATTGACGAGCCTGACGAAAGCCTGGCTGATCCAGATGTGCCGCTGCCGATATTGCGGAGGAATATCTACAACCTCAACCGTAGCACCACGTTGACAACGGTGGACAGGCGGAAACTGGCGGCGGAAAGAGGCTTGCCTGTCCATTTGGCCGAGGGAGTGCCCGCACTGCCGGGCTCGAACTACTGGCCACAGTCGTTGACCATCTTCCCGGCATTTGTGAGTCGCAGTCGACCTTATCGTTCGAGCAGGAAGTATATTATTGGACCCGCTAATTTAGCTTATAGTGATGTGAAGAGTGGTGCTTCCGATGGAAGCGTTGGCGCAACGCCTGTGCCGTGACTTTTTCTTTTCCTGGACGTGGTAGGCTTAGAGGTTGATGAACGCGCTACATTTGCGTGGGTTTGCCACCGTTTGAAATGTTATTAGAGGAAGGCCTGATCTCTTGTTCACAGTATTGAAGTGATGTTTTACGCAAGAATTTTTACTGGACAGTTTCGCGTGGCTCTTGTTTGTAATTTTGTTGTTTTTTCCGGTTTATAATCACGCATTGGCTGCAGTGAACTGGAAATAGCTGATCGAAATTTTATTTGAATGAGTTGGGCTGGTGAGTGAGCTGTGGAAATGCCTGGTACAACTGCTGCCCTTGGAAATCGAACCATTAGAAAGGGATGCTTCCATTAGACTGTATTTTATTAAATTCTCTCGTGTAGGATGGCTAGGAGTATCGTCCTTTATTGACTCTCTCCGCACGTGATATTCCATCGCTCTATCTTAAAATACAGTACAAAATAGCAACTAACAAGTAAGGTCCATTATCCAGGCTTGCACTATCCCACTCATTACAACTTGGATACTCACATTTTAAAAAATAGCTCCACATTCTTTTTAATTAGCAGTTAATTACAAAGGATAGAAATAAACGAAAAAATAATAGCAATTCTTGTAAAAGCATGTTGCGATGGCTATTATTTGAACCAAATTTATGGACGGCTGAGTAAGTCATAACTGTTGGCCTTATGAACATCAGAAATAGTTTACTGCAAATAGGTACCAATTACCGTACATAAAAATTTAGTTTCGGAGAGAGAAATTTGATTCCACCATTGAAGATGTTGCAGTTATCAAAATTCTATTCTGCCTTCCATGGTGCGTATAACTTCTTTTACCGCCAAATAATTCTGTATGTTCCACTTACGCGTTCGATCCACTCATTCCACTGTGCATTTTTTTTGGAGCGGCACTTTTCAGACTGCCGATCCGTTGTTGAACGGCGGATGCACGCCCATGCGCAACTTCCAATTCACTGCACGGAAAACGCTACCACCACCACATCCACGAGCACCGACTCGTTCTCCCAGTGGCCTGACGTGAAGCCGTCCACATCCGGCTGACAATAGCCGCCCAGCACGACATTACCGCCGTCACCGCTGTTCTGCATGACCGATACGTAGAAGCAGTACTTAAAGGGCCGTTCCAGGCCCATGACCTTCCGCACGAGATAATCCTCCACCAGCGAACGCCACACTTTCACCCGCCCATTGTCGTACTCCTCCTTCTCGCACTCCTTTTCCACCAGTGTAAAGGCCTGCTTAATTAGCTCATCCATTTCCTCAGCGTTGAAGGGCACAATTATCCGTGGTTCGGATTTTTTTTTCTTGGTCTGCGCCGTCGCCTGCTCCGCTCCAGCTTCGCCTTCTGTGGCGTCGCCTTCACTGGTCGCCGCCGCATCTTGACCGCCTCCGCGTGCACCCTCGGCCGCATTGTCCGAAGGACCGTCGTGGCTGGCAGCTGGTTGCACGGTTACAGCGCTCTCCGATGCATTAGTCGCAGTGCCGTGATTAGCATCCAGCGCTGTCTCAGATGCAGCATCCGGTTGGACGATGACTGGGGGCGCTTCTGCCATTCACCGCTATTCACAATCCTCAATGCGGTACATGATCCCGTAAATAATCTACGGTGAATCAGGGACAAACCCAGGCCAATTATTAATGATTAAGAGAATGTTGAAAAGATAAATTCGCCTCTGATACTATCGACAAATGCCTGCAGCTACGGCATAACGATAATACGGACACTTGCGAGAGATCATGGGTTGCCCAGAGACAATAAAGGTACGATCACTCGTTACTCCTCTTTGCGTGCTGGATCCGTAGCATTGCGCTTGACAAAGCGTTAACCGATGCAATCTACAGATATGCACACATCTGCCAACTGTTCCCACACATCGAGAAACACTACTGACCAGTGAGTAGTAATAAATTTACCACACGAAAAAAGATTCATATTAATTATGTTCATACAGCACACCTACTCTGGCACTGGTGACAGGAGTCGAATTCGGTAGCGAGGCATCGATAAATACAATAAAAGGGCGCCTTTCGTTTGAAGTCAGTAGGACTGTTTCGTTTTTGGTAACTCACATTGCTTGATAATCGCGAAAAGATGTGTTTTACTGTACCGCACGCACATACACATACTAAAAAGGTAATAAAGCGGCATTATAAATGTAAATTAAAGCTACTTAAAACGTCCAACATGGAGAGTTAGGAAGTCAGCCGGAAGCAAGGAGGTGCAAGCCTCTTGTACTTGAACCACACAAGCGCGCAAGCATCTATCAAGCAGTACTAACCGTAAGGTAACAAACACATTGTTAAGATTATTGTCGAACGAAATTTGCGGAAAACTGGAAACGATTTTGAAAAATATAAAAATCTTTCTTATATTTAGCAACGAAATTGTGGCTACGGTACAATAAAAACTGAATAAGGGTGGTGTCACAAACTTATATTCATATTGATCAGAGTGCCGTTCGCGCCCACCTCCAATCCCGTTTTGCTCCGCTACCAACTAAAATTGTCAGCGGAATCTTTTTATGCCGTATACCTATTACATATACAAGTGTTTGTATATATTTGGCAATAGCCCGTCCATAGTCTGCGCTGGTAGGCGCTTATTAAATACACACGATGTGTTATTAATGTTGCAGTTCTGAACTCCTACCTATGAGCATCTCGTGTAAGCTGTATCGGTATCCACGAAGTATTCTGTGAAGTTTTTTAGTAATTCGAAATAGTTTCTCAGAAAACATTTTATGCAAGAATTCGAACCTATTGTACGGGATATTACACGACATCATATTATACGATATCGGAGAAAAAAGTGCAGGATGGATAAGGAAGTAATTTATGGCATTCAAAAGTTTTTCTGTGGCAATTTTTTAGGGAATGACCGAAGTTAGTAGTACGAAATCCGAACTTATTAAGCGCAAACCGGTGCATTACATTGCCGGTTGCGTATTCTATGTACACGGCGTGTAGCAGCCATTCCCGGCCTGCACAGGGTAGGGTAACGGGAAATTTGCATTTTCAGCTGGATGGTCTATCTAGCTGAGTTTCCGGGAGGCGGATCACCGGCTACGCTTATCCATCAGTTAACGGCGTTGTTGTTGACTGTATTTCACCACGTCAAGTGATGAATCCAAGTTGACACTCTAATGCTCCAACTAACGCAAGTTCCCGACGCAGGCGCTTTTTGGGATAAACTATCAACACATATGCACATGCGACGTATTCACCTCTGCGGATGCGGATGGGAAAGTGAGAACGCGGGATCGAACACCCAGAACTGACTCTTCGCAGACGTTTTTCCCGGCCACGTGATTGTACTGGTGCAGTTGTGGGATTGTCGTTGGCAGTCTATACCGAATAAGAATTGTGCGAATCCAACTCGTTCGAGAATGGATTTCCGTTGTTGGCATTTGGGCAAAATTCGTTCCCCTCATGAATACATTTCACGTCGTATTAAGTTGCGTGCGCGCCGCACATGAGGAAGTGCAGTGCAGTAACAGCCACCGGAAACATTTATTTTATTCGGCGATTGTTTTCGTCCTACCGTTGCTTTATATTATGCAATCGTAATCATCCGCGCATGGACTGATCTTTTGACCGCAACATTTACTGCCGCACTAAGCCGCACTATGTACGGGTTAGTTATTGAGAGTATTGTGGCCTACGTGAGGAAAGTGTATGGCGATGAAAAATGGTTGGAAATTCGGCGACTGGGTAAAATTGATCAGCATTCCTTCAGTACGCATCTTATCTATCCGGAAACAACTATCCCCCGACTGGTAGAAGTCGCATCGGAACTGTTGGGCCTAACAAAAGATGAAATGCTCGTGCATTTTGGGAATTTTTTTGTGGAATTTGTCAGCCAATATGGATATGACAAAATTCTGAGGGTGTTGGGCCGACATATGCGAGATTTTCTGAATGGCCTTGATAATTTGCACGAGTGAGTCGAAATCGGCAATTTTTCCTGTTAACAGGAAAATGCAAGTTTTACACAATCTACTATACAGCTTTACTTACACAAACATAATGTTAAAATTATTTTTTCTGCTGCCGCCGTTCATGTACTTTGTATTAATTACATATAATAATTCGTGTTGCCGTTGACAGGTATATGCGCTTCAGTTATCCAAAGGTATGTTCACGTCTTTTGTGCACATGTTGCAGTATGTTAATATTCTCGAAACGCGTTGCAAACGGCAAGAAAACATGTAGGCTGACGAGCTTGAATTTAAGTTTCTTAACAGATAAAAACTGAGTACAACGTACAGTAGTTGGCATTTGACTTTAAAGTTGTGACACAAGATAATTGGCTTAGCAGCGGGTCCTGGATTGAGTTTCAAAACACAAGAAAATGCTGTGCGAACATTCTAATCAAATTTTCATTTCCTTCACGATAGGATTGACTGGCGTTAGTGCAAATAATTTCTTAATGCGTGTGAAATATAGATATCTCACTTTAAGAAAGCCGCGAATGCTTCGATATGTCATTATCCACGTCGCACTTAAGCCTAATTTTCTATGACCTCGATCAAATTACGTTAGCATAAAATTTTAAAGTTTTACTTCCATAATTAAAATTATTTTGACGCTGAATGTAAAAAAATTGGTATGATACAACTTTAGTTTGGAGATTAAATAAAGAAATGCATTTGTTGCGCACACTTTAGTTGTTTTAAGTATATAGCCGGCTATCGTTTTTTCCCGCTTTAGTATAATGGCGGAACAAGCGTTGTATTACGACGTTTTGCTGTTGGAATGTCGACACTATACCATCTTTCGTTGATAAAATAATAATATTATTTACCATTATAAGAAGTTGTTTTTGTCTTGACAAAAACCGGTAGCTGTCTGAGAATAAGTACGAGTACAATACTCGCATGCTGATCCACACAGCTGCATTCATATTGTGCAACGCGGGTTTTGACAGGAAGTCGCGATGCATAAGCTATCGAAGCCTATCTCTCTGACACTGCTTTTATGCAATTCAATTAAAATAACGCCAACAGTATCATTACCCACTGGAATATTGTTGGAAGCCAGGGCAATTTGGCTCGCGGGAATACTTGAATATCCGTATCCGGCATTCCCGTTTACGTAGGTGAAAATATCCATGAACCCTGTGCATGGGTTTGAAATTGCCGTTACGGACATGCCGTGCTGCTGCAGCACTTATTAATGTATTATAAGAGTCATTAACATTAATAACGAGACAACATCACGCTTTACGAATTCAAAACGGCAACTAATTGGACAAATTTTAATTTGTTTTTTTGGGACTAATGCGACGAGCTGCTTAAATCTGCCGACAACTCAGATTTGACCCTACATAATTTATCAGGCTTTGCCACTTTGGCAATTGTCACAACAAAGGCGTTATTAATTGCTGGAACCGTATATGTTTGATGGATTTACTTACCATTAGACTGCCATCAAGTGAGCCTATCATATAATAATTCCCTAACTTAATTTTCGCCAACAATTTAGAATCAAAATTAGCTGTGAAAACCTGCTTGTTTTGTGTTTTTTGCACCAGGTGTAGATTTGTGTTAGTAAGTACACTTATCTGCGTTCCCATTTCCCAACGGGAATATTAATGCAGCAGCATGGAAAAAAATTTTAACGTTTTTTTAGCTGAAGCCTCCGTCGTTTTTCGTTGAAAAAGAAAACGAACACGGATTGATGCTACATTATCGATCCAAAAGGAGATACGGAGGTACTTATGGCCGGTTTCTTAGTGTTTAATCCGACCTGATTAGCTCCTATACATAAATCATAATATGGAAACGTGCTCGGTGATCCATATTGGGAGCGCATTTGTTGTACGTAATTGGATATTATGCTGATCTGGCTGCTTCCGTAGGTTACGTGCGGTACGTCATGGGCCAGATTAAGAGCGTTGGCGAAATTTTTTACGGACTGGACATCGATATTGAGCTCGTGAAGGAGGAATTTTTGGGGAACACTGTCCACGTAACGATGCAGCTTCGATTCGATAATTCAGCCTTTTGACCGATGGTCACTCCGAACAAGACATTGTTATGGAAGATATGAAGATCGACTCGGAAATGTTTTTTGAAGCCTTTCCTTTCCATGTCGTCTTCACTGAAGATATGACGATAAAGTCGGTCGGACATGGGCTTGCCAATGTGTGCCCAAATACCGAAGGTAACATACTCGTGTATTGTACTCTCGTGAACAAGTGTAAAGAGCCGCACGGCAAACGGCTTTAAATCATTTTACAGTTACAAATGTAGAAGAAAAGAAACCAGAAGTAAGTTCACATACCTTTATAATTATATAAAAATACAAGTGCGTATTATATATGTTATATAAAGGCACCTGGTGTGTCTGTATCATGGGTCCGTAACTATGTAAATTTTATGATTGCCAATGCACATTATTAGAAAGACTGGGAACAGGTGGTTATTTCCGGTTTTTTCCATTCTGGCGGTGTTGTTCAAACATCACCGTCTGACCGTTGTAAACCTTATTTGTCCGCATGCTGAAACGTTTACAAGCATTTGGTGAAAGGAAGATTTCGATCATTGATTTATTACTGAGCAAATATGCGTAAAAATCAACTAGCCATAACGTTTCTTAATCATTGCAGGTTACGATATTAGCCATATTTTCAATTTGAAACGTCCGATGGTGGAATTCACATGGGACCAAGTAAGTCCAATCGCCAGTGCAGTACCCATTCGCGTTTTTGTCTGCCGAGGCGAATATGAATATTGCATGCCAGAACAATTCATCTGACTTTCGAAACAAAAAGAATGAATTACTAGACCTGTATGATTCATGGTGTGAAATGTGTGGCGCTGATTAACGTATTGACGTTGATATAGTTAATGTTGCAAAATTTACGCAGTAATTAACTGTAACTTAATGGACTTTGCTATGAAGGATAATTACTAAGAACAGTTTTTAAATTAAGGCCTGAATACAATCTTTAACAAATGTGCAATGATGCGGTAGCGTTGTGTTATCAGTAAATAAAGTCAATTTTCATCACAAAAGTGGAGCACACTTTTGGGAACACACACAAAAGGGGAGCAAATCACACTTTTGGCTAGGTAGGGGTACCAGCAGTTGAACTTGAACAAATCAAACAATTTTGAAAAAAAACTTGCAAAAATAAAAAAACTAGAAATGGTATACATTATTATTACGGATAATTTTTTATCTCCGTGTATCTCCACAGATGCAAGAATCTTATTTCAATTACTTGGGTTTCTTAATCCAGGTAATGAGTCATACCAATAATGTGTTCGAGATGGAATCTGTGGATAGCGTTCAAAAGAAACCGGATATGGATTTTTTAGCCGATGGTGATAATCGGCATCGATATGATATAGACGGTAAATTGGCTGTATCATTCTTAGAAAATTGAATTAATAATCGTTGTAACCTATTGAAATTTCATATCTTCCAGTTGATCACATTTTCAATAACGGTTTTTTCACAGACGATATCGACCGCACTGAAAGTGATATTACCGACTTTCTCAGTGAGGGAATGAAACTGCATCTCAAAGGACAAATGGTGAGAATTTACACCGAACTTGACCTTTTCGATCCGTCCAAATGTGCGCTGTCAGAATATAAGCACATGTGCATCGATTGCTCTTTGCTTAAGTCGAATAATTTATTGCGCAACAGCCGTACGTTCTCCTTGAGCCCGAACAAATAGTGACCTTTGTCCGCTAGATGTGGGTGCCCGAGTGGCAAGGCATGTTATTTCTTGGAACCCCCGTGTAAGCACATTTGCAATATTCATCTGTGAGCTATACCTTTAAATCATCGTCGTATTTGTAGACTGCCCAATTTGACAGCCATGTTCGATACGGGGCTATTCATCAACGATTTGAGTTTACATGATAACTCCAGAGATCTCGTACTGGCCGGCACGCAGACTTCCGCGGAGCTGAAGCTGGCACTCGATCAGGTTGGATGTCATTACCCTTAATGTATCCAACAAAATGCAACAATAGTCTGGCTATAGGTTGCTATTTTTACCAAACGTTAGTGCAAGTCCCATAAGTGACCTAGCGTTGCCTATTGCTGCGATAATGTATATGCACCTGCAGTGGCATACTAATCGATGTCTGCGTTTTTAATGAGAAATATTATACCTCGCTGTACACCGTCAACAGCACTAGCAGGTTTTATTATGCTTTATAAAGCCATCTAGCGACTGAAATAATAAGCAATGTACAACATGGTTCTAAACTATATAAATATATTTCTAACCATCATAATTATATGCTGGTCTTGTTTTATGCACACCTTTTTCTAGGAGCAAGTAAAGAGCAAAAAACTGGAAGAGAGCATGCGAAAATTGGGTAAGTGCGCTCAAAGCATCGTTTAGCAAAACGTACAGAGTACACTGCAAATTTTTGTGCAAATCTGTGTTAGTCATAAGGCCGTGCAAAACGCAACCTGTTTGTTGAGTGATATGTTATATCAAACGTCGTATACCGCTTCAGTAGTAGCTGTTTGTTGGGCTGTCTGATTTAATTTTGTTTCGGGCGCTGGATTGACACGAATTGGACGGTTTACGCGCTCATCTTTACCCAACTGTATAATCCCATGACAAATCTTATCGAACAATATTATCGAGATTCATGAACCTAGAGTCAATGGGATTTAATTGATTACTTCTGAGAAAAAACATTATTGATGCACAACAGAGGAAGGCTAGAGTACAATCCTGGAGCAACAGCTAAACGATCGATTTCGCATGATCGGTGAAAAATAGGTTTTGCCTTCTCGCAGCCTAAATCTAAGCATTATCAACCGCAAGTAGCTCTCATTTGCATAACTGCAAGTCTAAGATTATCCTAAAATGCTAATTAGGAATTTCATTATATACACTGCTACCGACAGGAATAATAATTTTTTTATAGCTGCACCTTTACTGATAGCACATTGTGTAGCAGGTCAACAAACTTAATTCTGAAACCCCTTGTGACATGTAGAGTGGGAAAATCTAACAGCTATATCCTATAGATGTGTTAAAATTGATCGCGAGTTTGACTAAAATTATATAAATGATAACTCGTTAGATTACACGATGGTTAAATAAGTTCTGCTGCAACATACCAATCAAATTTCAAATGTGCTAAAACTCATAGAATGTGTATACGGAGTCATAAATTTAATTGTGCGGCAAATATCTAAATATTAAAATACATACCTGTAGGCTGTAGTATGCAGAAGCAGATGTATTTACAATGTTTTTGCAGAAGTTAACGTCGAAAAGCATAGAAAATGCTCAATGTTTTGAAGATCTCATACCTGCTCACTTAAGGGCGGCGTCTTACGCTTCTGTTACATTCCATCCAACTTGCCCCTTTTAATTAATAGATGAGGAAATGCGTCGCACTGATGAGCTACTCTACCAGATGATTCCGCGCACGATTGCCGACCGTTTAAGAGCGGGCGAACCCGCACTGGAAACCTGTCAGGTGGGATGCCACATTACGAGATCACGAGAGCCGTGACCTTTCCTCATTTCTGACTTCACAAGGATAACGCTTCGATGTTATTAGGTTTTCAACGATGTAACCGTCCTCTTCAGTGATGTAGTGGGTTTTACTATGATCTGCTCCCGTATCTCTCCACTCCAAGTGGTCACAATGCTGAACATGATGTACAGGTGAGCAATCAACTCCATTTCTCATCGACCAGGACCTTTTCAATTTCCAAGCCGCCTGCTGCTCGCAGTGGTGGTTAAGGTTTCGTTTAATTACGCTTTCAGTCATGTAATCATAATAAATTATTGCTGATTAATTAGAGTACTAGTGGGGTTGATTAGTTGACTGCTGGCAATATGCTAAATTACCCAAGTGCTTTTGTTAAATAGCCGTAATATTAGGAGTACCGACTACCGAGTGATATACGGTTCTTTGTTTTTTAGCAAGTTTGATCAGCTGTGTTCAACAAATGATGTATATAAAGTTGGTAAGTTGCAGTGTACTGATTTTCGTACTGCCCCTGTGAGGTAATCATGAGCATCAAACTGCCACAGAGACAATCGGAGACGCCTATGTGGTTGTCTCGGGTGCACCGGAAGAAGTCACCGATCACGCGGAGAGAATTGCGGATATGGCCATTGGAATGCTGGAAACAATGCCAACACTGGTCGATCCTTCTACCGGCGCCCACCTGCAGATTCGCGTTGGTACGCCGTCAATTGCGAGGGTCATTCACTGACGCAGTACTGCAACCGAAAACATGCTTTATATAGCTGTGCTGCTACTGACTGTGCGCGTCTGGTTTCTTATTCTGTCGTATTTTCAGGACTTAATTCCGGCGTGGTTGTCGCAGGTTAGTCGATAATAATGTATAAAGGGATATCCAAGTGGTTAACGCTAACATTTGGCGTCACACTATATATATTAATCTTCACTCCTTGAAATTTTAAAACAAATTATGTTCATGAACCGCGTTTATATTTGCTTTGGAGTCAAAAATTAAGCTTTAAATTTGAATTAGCCATTAAATCACTATTGTACAACAAAATGTTCTCTATGCACATCTCTATGCAAGGTATTAAGTTATTAACCTTGCATATTGCACATTTGAGATGGAACGAGAAGCTTTTGTGCTTGAATTAAAATTTACACGAATGTACCTAGTACGGTACTTTTAGTAGATTACAACGGGTTTAACATTTTTAGAAGAAGGTTGTAATAAAACCTTGCTTGAGGGTTTGATGCTTGTCTTGTTCATATTATTTTTAAAAATGTCATGCAGGCATATTGTGCATAGAGAATTCTTTGATGACATTGTCCTTTCTGCGAAATCAATCAGCGTATGCGCTTTCTGTCGTTGTAGGTGTCGTGGGATTAAAGATGCCGCGCTATTGTTTGTACGTTTCAAATTATTTCACTTTCTCAAATCAAACAAAAACTGGGAGGCCTGGATGCAACAATACGTATGTGATTTTACTTTTGCATTGCATTGCAGATTCGGTGATACAGTAAATACAGCTGCAAAAATGGAATCTTCCAGTCAGGTAACGCCAATAAAACAGTAAAAAAAACCAGTGACTCATTTATACTCGTACTATGTAGTAATAATTCTGTATTACAAAGCACAGTTTTCTAAGTTAGTGATGAAGTTGGCGCACAATTTCCGATACAACAACACAACACATTATTATACTTACAAAATAATCGTTTAGACAGCTAAATAACCCATAAAAGCTACAAATTATTGTGTAAAAAGATCGCTGCAGTACAGCAAAAGCAACCCACGCAGTAAGATACCAAAAAATCTTATGACACTGATCATGAGACGGCACCACTACAAATGCAAAATCCAAAAAAAAGCCTCACTATACTTCTATCATTTTCTTATGCGCTATTTGCAGAGCATGAAAGTACAGATGACAGAAGCAACAATGAAGCACCTGACCGGAAACCCCAAATACGTCACCTCCCTTCGGGGGCTAGTTGATGTGAAGGTCAGCAAAAGTGTCCCGTTTAAATTTTTCTTCCTTTTCAAACTGATGCATGCATATGGCACGAGCTGTCAGTGCAGCTATTCTAATCACATGGTAAATCACATTCTTGCCGCAGGACAAAGGGAAAATGAATACATACTGGTTGGGTAAGAGCGACGATTACGAGTCGCTGCGGATAATTAGAAAGATCGCCGTTGCACCGCCGCCCGGACGGATACGCGCGGCAACCATGAGCCGACCGCCTCCGCCGAAGCGCAATTCTCTGAGCAAATCTAACAATGCTGAAGCGTCGAAAAGCCTGAAACGCCTGCCGCAGCAGCGAATCCGGCCTCGCCGAAACCAGTGCCTGCTCCATCCCCTTCCAAGGCCGCGAACGCCAAAGAAGAGGAAAAGCATAGGAGGTCCTCCTTGGCTAAAAGTGATTCCGGTTATGCTAACTCCGTCAAATCCGATCTTCCCACCGATAAAGATCTTCCACGTGATGCTGATAAGCAGAAAGAGCGCAAGCAAACCGGTGTGGGCAATGCTTCCCGTACGCCCAAAACCGGTGCGAACACGGTCCCGCCCCCTCCTTCCGCCATCCAATCGCAGTTAAGTCCCAACACCAGCAGCAAATATTCGTTTCCGATTAAGCCACGTTTCACCGAACCGAAGGACCTTTCCTTAGCTAACAGTGATGTCGATTCGGCATCGGAACTCGATTCCGATGACAGTCGCAGAAATTCCCGACAGGATATAAAGCAAGCACCGACCAATAGTGAAAAACCGCCAGCGAATCAGCCTATTGACCGGTCACCGCAAACCCCGCCGGCGAAAGAAACCATCAAGAAACCCAATAACAGTCTCTCCAATGGGATATCTGATTTTCGGGAATGGAAGCGCTTGATCCAAATTTCGCTCCACGCCGACCGCCACCCACGAAGCAGTCATCGATGGGAAAGCGCGGAGGTCGGAAAGAGTCGATTGAATCGATGGACTCGCAAAACCTCTCTCCGTTCGATAAACGACCGGCCCCGGTGTTCGACTTCGAATTACATCCGGAGATACCTGTCGCTGAAAAAAAGAAGCCACCGCAATCTCCAGCAAAGTTCAATAACGCGGTTATCGATACTAAACAAAAGGAAACTAATTCTGCATTGAAATCAACGATAAAAAATGGCGAGCCCTTGTCACCACAAGAAAAGGTCTCGCCGAAACCCCCGAACCTGTGCAACTACAGTTGAGCAGGAAAGGCGTTAGACTATCCGAACCGGTCGAGACAACTGTCAATGGTGTCGCAGAGACCGAGAAAAACGGGCTGGAAAGAAGAAGCTCTGAAAACAGCAGTACGGAATCGAAGGTCATCAGCCGGCCGAAAGACGAGCTAAAGGTCAAACCCAAGGCACCGCTAAAGCGTAGCCCGTCACCGCGGTTAATTGAACAGAGTCCAAGAAAGACTGCGGAAGTGGAGATCATTAAGCAGTCGTTCGATGCACCTGATCCCGCACTGACTGAGCCGGCAAAGGCTGTCGTTACCGCCACGACTGCCTCGCAGACGTCACATCCAGATTTGCGAGCCGGTTTACCGCGATCAGCCATGACAACAAGCATCGGCACCGACGCCCAACCGGAACTGCTGCCAGTGGTTAAGGAAGAAAAAACGACGGCCAGCGCCGATAAGGAGAAAGAAGCGCTGTCCAATGGCAATAAGGAAATGAACAATTTAGCCGTTCCAGTGCAGCCTGATCAGCCGTCAGTTAATTCTTTTGATGCGGCGGTCGACGACTTAATCAGCAATGAATTCCACAGTTTCAAGGGCAAGAAAGCGGCCAAAGTGTCGATTAACGGTAAAACCGGCAAAGATGGGTCGTCCGAAAAAATCAACGGTCGACGGGATACTGCGACTGGAAAAGCTGTGGTCATAAATGAAACAGAAACGCAACGCCGATCCATACGGAGCTGCGCCTGCGTTATCAGTTAAAGGAGGAAATTATACAAAGAAAGCACACGGTATTCTTCCATTTACATACAAGTGGCGGAAAGTTTTTCCTGAGTAACTGCTGCAGTAAAGAACTGCAGAATAATAATTGCCCGATTTAATTATCCATCCGTACTACAGACACTGGCTAACGTACAAGATTACAAGTACTGTATCCGATAAGATTTACAGAGTATCTTTTAGTTAACACAAGCTGTTTATCCACACAACGCTGGCGATCTCAGAATTGCTTATTTTCATGCAGATTTGATTACTTAATTTTGCCGAATTATCTGGGATATTCGTGGGTCATGAATATTTCATAACCAGCGAACTATAGACTATTAACAATTATGCTCGTTATTAAAGTGCAAAAACATGGTAAAAAGAGGTTGCAAATTAATTAACGTAGGTGTTAAAATTTGAACTAGCAGTGTGCAGTTGTGACTTATGTTTTGGTCGTTGTTACTTGTGTCTTGTAGTATGTTTAATAAGTTCATAACAAACACAGACACCGAATCCATTTTTTATAAGATACAGGTAGCTCCCGCCCTGATGGTTAAATTCGTACAAGACGATTCTTTCTTCTATTGTAAATGCGAATTTGTTTTACCTTTATAGAGATCCTCACGCTCTGGAAGTTAATCCTTCTAACCACCTTAACCTTGACGGAACTAACTCGAAACAACGAAAATCAATAATAATAATAATAATATATAAATCACCAAACCTAGTGCAGGCGTATCGATATGTCTACGGTTACACTTTTGAATAAAAACATTAAAATAAACTCCATCCAAAGTCGATTGTGTTCCTAAATCACGGCATCTGCTGATAGATGATCATAATAACTGTGCGAAAAAAAAGCTCCAACTACTTGTTTTGCTGTATGGAACAATTATAAGAAAATGTATGCTGTCATACGTATAACTTTGCCGCACATGGCATTGGTGGCGAGTATGATGAACAGTAAAATCTGTACAGTAAAATCTGTACTGTATAAATGGCGAGTACTGTAAAATCTGTAGGGTTGCTAAACTGGAAAATTCCATTTGTGTTTCTACTAACCTCGTATTAGCGATACCGCTAATACTTAATAACGTTCTAATACATAATAATGCTAGTCTAACCTAGTTTATTAGCAAGAGCCAAAATCTACACAGTGTGCCAGTGACGTTTTTGGTGCGAGCCGGCCACTGACGTTTTTATCCATAATCCTCGCCTAGTATAGTACCTAATACCTTTACGTATTAACATATTAAACAATGTCATAATGCTGAGTTTAGGAATATTATGGTATTAGGTATGTAAATTGCCATAACAAATTGTTAGCTGCAACTGGAGTGCGATTTATGTCCAAAAAACAAAGAGTGCAAGATTCAGATTAACATAAACTCGAAGAAACTACTGATTTGTTAAGGGTCAAAACTAAAACAACAAAGTAATTCATGTTATTGAACTAGTGCCAATTGCGGGTAAGCGTCGACGGACCGTTCTTCCGGCGTTCCGTGGAACCTTTTACTGCAGTTGATATGCTTCTTCGAAAAAACGGCCCATCGACAAAGTGGCTATCATTAACAGTTCTTGCTGGTACTACCTACAGCACAAATACACTAACACCCATTCCGGCACTGAATTTTCGGCAGACGCCTTGTTCATGTGTTCTGTTTTGAAGATCGCGCGTCTGGCATTTCCGACCAAAATGAGCGTAGAATTATCTTACTGCTTATAAGGACTGACGCGATTAGTAATTTTTAAGGATTTTTATACGTGAAATCAACACTTTCAACCAAAGCCTTTCTGTAGTGATTAACAGGTGTAGGAGTACTGATTGCTACTTTAATTTCTGCATAATGTTTTTTTCATATGTCGTCGGTCAGGTATTCGATGGTGATTATTATAGAGGCATCATAATACACGCACATATGTACAATATATATACATATGTACAATATACAATCGAAAATTTTATGTGTGAAGTACCAAACACGAGCCAATTAAGCTTTACATTAGTTCTGCTTGTTCTGGGTAATAGCGACAGTGTGTTATGTCGTAACTGCAGTGTTTGGAATTTAGGGCTCATTTAATGAGAAGGTAATTTGCCAAAAAGCCTTATTAGCCAAAAAAACAAATTTGCATTCTTAAGTATGGGCAATATACTAGAATGCCACGCGCATAACTGGATCATTTATCCTATGCGTATGAGTCGTTCGGGAATGTTATATTATGTCACGATTAAATAAATGGGTTTACATTGGCTCTGTACTAACAAAATAAGAACATCGGACCACAAATTTAGTTGTTAAGCAATGCTGTTATTAACACAATATAATAATAGAATGACCCATCCTGGCGCGGGAAATAAGGTTGTAATATCCGCACCGCCGCTGCATGCCATAATAAAGAAATCAATGGACGTAAAAACGCGGTGGACGCATGCGGCGATGTATTTCAATACCGCAGCTGGATGCCCATGGATAATTTTCGGACTGATGACGGATTTCACGGTTTGTTGCTCATACAATGATACGGTCTTATGATGGAAACCAGCCGCACCACCTGCACCATACTGTTCCAACGGGCAGAATAACGTCGTCAAAATCCTTTGGAAGGCGGCAAAAAAAGAACGACGCAAAACGACATTGTCACAACGACCAGAGTGAATGGATAGCTGGATACTTGAAGCTGATCCACTACCAGATTCCATCGTCACCATTGTCAAGCATTAAGTCTACACCAAAAGATTGCGCAGGTACAGACGCCACCAATAAATTGGAGAAATTGGTGGCAATTGTATTGTTAACCGGGGTAGAAGGCCTTTGAAAGCCATCCCAAATCGTCTTATTAGCAGAAAGGGAAGGCGCTGGCCAGCCGGTTGACTGGCTATGATTGAGTCATCGCATTCCCGTTAGTCGGGCGAAAAGGTCCGCGCTGTGCTAGCGAACGGAAGCGAACGCCATCTAAAGAAGGCTGATAGAAAACAGCGGGTTGTTGGGAGATTAAACGTCATCGGGAAGGAGGATTGGCGTTATGGGCACAGTGTCCTTATGCTCCTGCGGGGAGCCAATAAACACCAGGCTTTCGTCAGCTCTGAGCCAAATGATGCATATTAGGATGCGTACAGAGATCCTACCGGCTAAGGGATCCACGATAAACACTATATATGGCTAGACATTCGGCTTTGTAGTTACTCGGTACAAAGTTTTCAGCGAAGCAGTGGAAAACTCTCAGTGGAATTATTTTTGGAAGTCCTTCTCGCTCCTTATTTTACACTGATAGTTTAATCTATTTCAACAACGCATGCGCAGTAAATATAGGCTGCGTAGTTTCATTAACGACACCTTATCTGTACACTGCAAAAATGGTAATACCAACAGCTCCATGGATTTCACGGATGACCTTTCTGGGAGCCCTGGTGATGTGCGTAACATATCAAGGTAAGCTTAGATAAATTTTTATCGAAGACAACTATATAGAAGCACTTAGTTATTTTCGATCCTCACCTTCTTATATGGGAATTAATGTTTATGTGAAATCATCCAGCTGTAGCGAAAGCCGGCACTTAGTTCTTTGTAAGTTGGGATGCTTTTGGCATACCTAAGTGAATATTGGGTTAAATAACGTGGAGTTGCCGAATTACAACTATATATCAAAGCCCGTACTGAGATATTAAATGGTATGCCGGTGCAATGTGGTGATTTTAGCCAGTTAACCTTTGCACAGCATTTTATACTGTATTAAGCACGAAGGAACTGCGCTGTGAGGTTTCTCTGACAAACGGTTGTAAATATAAAAGCAGTTGTATGTAAAGCTCTAATAGATGTTAACTTTGATCTTCTTTCCGCACTTTCGCTTAGCTCTTGGGAAAAATGCAGTCCCAAAAGAGAACCAGCGATCAGTCTTTGCCATTACAGTGGAAAGCCATTGCTAACACATTTCGAAATTATATTCGAAATTTAGCCCACATTTTGTATTTGATCCATTACAAGTATCAACAAAAAGTGCACATAAACAATACTTTTTGAACAACTTGTCCAAACCATTATGGGTAATTAGTATGTCTGTAGGTTAAATGATACACTATAAACACGGCTCAGTATTTGTTTAGCAGTTAATACTGCATGTAGATTTACTTCATTTGCGTAAATGGAAACTAACAAAATATTTATTTATCGGAGAAAGAAAGCGTATGGCGCAAAAGCAAGGAAAAAGTATGATTTTGTAAGAATCAACAATTCAGATAGAAGTATCGAAAAAGACGAGCACTGTCGCTATATCCGGGTTTAATGTTTATGCAGTATTCACATACTTCGTTTTAACCAACATTATCTGAAAAGTGTAAGATTATGTAATAACGCACATCGCCTTATAATTACTCGAGCTCTATTGTATGTGACATAGGTAGTGTGTGCCTTTTATTCCATCTTCAGAGTTTATATGGAAAATGAATACAGTGTTTATGTTTGGCAACAGCCACATGCGTGCTTTAATTAATCATTAATGGCAGAAATGCTGCAGATTTGCTCTCGCCTAGATAATTCGGCTTTAGCTGGACTACACGCAACAGTATAAATAACTACCGATGTACCAAAACATTTCTCCGATGTCGGTTGTGGAATTATTTCAACGCAGCAATTTCCTTTTGTGTTTCTAGTCAGTCCTGCCCTCGGTCAGCTGGAAATGGATTACGACGGTGACCTCGCGCGGGACGAAGAAGCACGGGAATTCATGATACCCCATCCGCGTCTAGGCCGCTACATGGATTACGCTGTTCTGAAGTTTCTGGCCAATTACTTGAAAGACAGTTACGCGCTTAATGATATGGTCCCCGCTGAGGTCAAAATGGAGCCGCCTCCCGATGTGCTGCTGCAGCGCGAACTAAGGGATATGAAGGGCAAAGGCTACGGCATTCCCATTCCTCGTGTGGGGAAGCGATCAGCCACGGAAACTGTCGATCTTCCGCCGGCTAGGTCGGAAAGTAACGCCGATGTGCGCAATATTCTGGCCGCTCTGCATCAGCTGGATCATAAGCGGACGCAACGACAGCAGCCATCTGTGCGATCCATCGGATCGCTGTTTAAGCCACGGGTGGGACGTGGCAGTTTAGCTCCTCATAAGTACAAGGCCAACTGGGCACCGGTGCCTCGCGTGGGATAAAGCGCAGCGCTATGGCTGCTTCATTCCCCTCTTTCATTTTTTCACCGTCGCTATGCGCAACTGATTTTAATTTAATGTGACCCTTTAACCGTTGTTTCGGAATATTAATTATAATTACAGGTAATTCGATAATTTTACCTACTGTGAATGGGCTTAAAAAAGCGGGGCTACGCGTTTTATTTGACTGGTTTCCGTTTAATTCTTGGTTTATGATTAAGTAGTATGTCTACTGACTATGATCATGAAAGTTTTTCTGCACGTTGTAAATAATCGTGTTAACAGGATTCTGCTACAACGATTGATTCTGATTAAGTTGCTGTACCATTAGATCGAAACTACTCAGTATTGTGCAGAGCGAGCTTCCGAGAAGCTGATACTGCTCAAATTGTGCACGGCCTACCGGCTGCACTGACCTTTAGGTCATGTTGAGCTTGAGCAGTGATAGAGATGATAGCAAGTGGCAAATGCATGGAGCAGATTATTTTCTGTTTGGGCATGATATCGATACAATTAACATTGAAGACGTTTTGTTACATTTCGGAGTCGCAATATCAAAACCTAAACTAAAACTTTCTGCATGCTGCACGGCGAAGACATTTATAATCTGCACCTGATTTGTAGACAGCTATTCAGTTTGGACGTGCATTAAATAATCATGTGACCGCTTGTAATGTGTACTTATTGTTTACACTTTAAAGTACTCTTCACACACATTACTGCTAGAATTTTTCCAGTTTTATGTAATAAATTCGCCGCATTAATTGTGGGGTTCTAGAAACGTGCAGTACCGTAGGTCCGGCGTAGGACACGAATTAGCCGACTTATTTAAGACCCGATTGAACAAGCCCATAGACTATAAACCAATATATAAGAAATAAGCCTTATCCTTATGCAGGGTGCGCACCGCATGAAATTCGCCAATAATTGAACAATAAATCAGACTTCCAAGTTTTTTACACGATTATTCTTCGAAGCTGCTTAATTACTTCACGAAATACACCGTCCACATCCATCCTATTCCGCCACTGTTAATGGTTTGGGAACAGAATTTCATTTCAAGGACTTTGGGTAATCCCAGTCGAAACGTTAACTACCACGCACCGCCTACTGCGTTTGATTAGTATGCGTTTCCGAAGCTTCCAGTGTTGGAACAACTAGTTCGACTGCCGATTTTTCTTGTCTCTGTATCGCGTTTGACTGAAACGCTAATGTGTCTGAGTATATTCAGAATCGTGACAGCTGTCCATCCGGTCCATCTTTAAGAAACTCATGTCCCAGAAACTGTTGGCATTTCCCACAGGAAACCTGCAGTGGAAGAAAACTCCATTGTAGCGTTAAGGTTAATTTTGCAGGATGCAGCAACAAACTGGCTACTGAAACATTTCGAGAAAGACCAGCTAGCTATAATGCATTGATAATGAAGCAACCTTATAATATTGTTAACACAGTGCATTATTAAACAAGTTTTAACAATAAAGTTATGGCGCTACACTTACACGTAGTGCGTTTGGTTTACTTTGTGGAACTGTCTCAATTTCCTTTGTTACGCTGTCATCGTGAATCGTTTCCGTAAATGCCGGCCACACCGACGAGTGGGCATATTTGCTGTGGCTGGAAAATAGTTCATACCCGCATTTCGAACACGCGTAGATCCCTGAAATCATAAAACAAAAAAATTAAACATAAACTGGCTTGTCAAATTCGCAGAGGTATACGTAGTCTGCTTCCTATTACTCAGATCTTCCTTCCTGACGTAATGTTTGGAAATCTATGGAACTATGGCTAAAAAGTCTCAGACTTTGGTTGTAATTACCACTTGCTGTAGCACTGACCTGGCGTAAAATGATCGCGATACTTTTCAGCGCCTTGTATTGAGCAGAATGACATTTTGTTTGTCACACTAGGTAAGGTACATTTGTATTTATCGTTAGTGTACGAACTAACGGAAGTTAATGTGCATACAAATAATTATAAGGTGGAATGGCCAAATTATTTAAAAACAATTCGATAATTCGCACTACATAACCTGTAAATGGCCCTGACACATGGGCCAAAAATTTAGCAAATGGTGCCGCGAAAATCAACTAATAGTTCTCTAATTTAAGGAATAGTTCTCTAATTCTCTAATAGTTCTCTAATTTAAGGAAAACCACAGTATTCAACATTTGCAGTGCAATAAACACCTTAATGCGCTCTTCGGAAGTTCAGAGGTCAGACTTGTAGATAAGTAAAATAAACTGCGGCACATACCCTGCCAACGTTTGTCTTGCTTTGAGCGCCGTTGGTGTTAGAATTCGTTGTTCATTAGTTATGATTGTCGAACGACCGACCTAATTTCTTCGTATACCAAATTATTACCTTGTAATTTTACGAGCGCATACTTCGCAGTTTGCACAATTCACTGTTTGTACACTAACAACTGTAAGTACCGATAAAGCGCACATATTCTAGAACTTATACTTGTACCATATCTACTCCATGCCGCGATCGATATCGGATATTGCATGGCAAACAATTTCAAATCAGCAAGGCAAATTCGACGTTTCATCAGAAACAGCCTTCCTTTTAATAATTTTAAGGAATATTTGTTAGCTTTTACAGATACTTACATACTCACAGCCACAGCCACAGGTAATTGTATATTTTTCATTACTGTACGACGTATTCAGGCCCACAGGGGTTAGTTATTACGGCTATTTTTTCGGAATTGGCTTTCGTATTTCGTAATACGTAGCCAAAAAGTCCATTTGTCGTTAATATGGTCATCGCTAAATAAAAATTTTAATTAACGAACAGAAACCGACAGCACTGAGGGATTATCAGAAATCATTGCTTAACAAATGCAGGATTAACTTAACAATGGATAAAATAACAAGCACTCAATTCAAACTTTAGCTCATGACCTCGGTGCATTCTTGAATAAAACTAACTGGGAATAAAACAGCAGCAAATCACGGGTATAGTTAGAGACAACGGGACAAGCTTATGAAGAAAAATTCCACAACAACGGTGCAACAAAATCGAGAAGACTTCTCAAATTAACTGACAGAGCACGCATCCGCTACCAACAACAAAGAGCTCCATACTTGTTTCTGAATACAGATCTCAGGAGATCTGTATCCAGATTCCAGTTATACCCACAGAATTGCCTTTACCTTCCCCCCACATCAGTCGTGGAATCCCAGAATGTCGTCCGAAGACCGGAAACGCCATTCGTCTTCCTGCAGCACCTTATTGGCCAAGATGCGCAGTTCGCTCATAAGATTCTCAAACTCCTTATCCTCCATCTGCTGACACGCTGCCAGACTCTTGGTCAGATCGGGTCGTTTGGACGCCTTGTTCAGTCCGTCTTCGTCACCGGAGCTGGAATTAACGTCCACTTCCGCTGGTTCGTCGCCCTCCTCAGGCGAACTAGAAAATAAACGGCGCCGCGGATCCATCAGTTCCGATGAGGCTCGAGATCGTGCACTGGTCGACGAGCTGGTCTGCGTCTGAGTCGGAGTCAGAGCAGAGCCTAAAACAGGACCAGGATTACCAGTTTACCACATTACATTACAAAAATCACCAAACGCTCCACTGTGTACAACAAAGCCGAAGGCAAATAACGGAAACAAACATTAAAATTCCAAAGCTAAAACTCAAAAAGTCTAAACGTTTGTCACTTCTGTTTGTATCAACAATTAGTATCAATTACGAAAAAGTAACCTTAAGACAAAAAGCAGATGTATTATTACCTTGTTACCAGCGTTCTACTTATTAAATTTAAATATAAAGTATTATGTAGTTTCAAATTTTGTTTTTAGGGAATAGCGACAATCATCATACCACTGGGACCAGGACTTGCTGCAGAAGACGGCATACTGGGTTTGGAGCCCAAACTGGCTACAGGAACATCGTGTAAGTTTCAGACTGCCGGGGATTTCCTCCAGTTTCGAGTGCTCCTAGCCCCTTGGAACAGAAATATATGCTACTATCCACGGCAATCAACCTATTTAAGTCAACTAAACACTAGAACCTGATAAAATTTCTGCAATTTCGAAAATGCACTGACACAATATCCCTTTATTCCCCGCTTCCGAAAGAATTTATATTACAGTAATTTGCGTCTCTTTACTGCAACTTGCAACTGCCTCCTCCGCATGCTGTGCTTGTTGTAGGGCTGCGAAAGCGATCAAAACTGCCACTTCGAGCGGACGGAAATGCTGCAACATTTTAAACGTTTACGACTTTTTAAACGACTTGTTTTTACGTTTAAATGACCTTTTTGTCTCTAAAAACCTATCTACGTACCGTTTAACATTACATACAGTACTCATAAATTTAGTCAATGTATGATTAATATATATTTCATGTATAGCCGTATACTTTTTTAGGGCAGAATATTTTTGTCATAAAAATTTTGATGTTTTGAATCCAATACCTACCAGGCTACCAGTCAAAATCAGCTGATGTCCTTCGTCTTATGATCCTCATCATCGAAAAACTGAAGTACAATACAGTACATACAGTACACTGTTGCATGTCCGCTCCCCCAATGACGCATAGGTTTTATTAGAACCACCGCGCTTTGTGAACGCTATGGATCAGTCATCACTTTTGTTTTTTTCACCCAACGCAGTTTCCGAACTGAACCTCTTTCAATTTTCCAGATAAACTTTTCGATGATTTCTTTGCTACGCGTACAAAATTAATGAAAAGCGGTATTTTTATTCATCGAGATGCCGATGCCGTAGAGATGTCTCAGAATTTGTTGACAGATTCATAATACTGCGCAGTACACATGTATGCTACTGCTTTAGGATTGGCGAGATACGCATCTCTTGAAAAATACTTCTATAGTTGCTGTCAAATATGCTACGTATTGGGACTCTGATGCGAATTGTATCTAGGTCAAAACTCTCGAGTGCGCAGCAACTCACGCACTGATTTGTGAGTCAGACAGATTCACTGATAACGCCGCGCGCATTGGTCAGATGGCGAATCAGTTGCTGAATTAGAAAACCGAGCTGTTGAGCTCGGTTTTATAATTCGCGCTCACATTCATGACCGCTTGTCAACTCTTTAAAATTATTCTGCGCTGCTAATAAACATTCGTAGTGATCCAGGCTGCATTAAACTGTATGTAATTACGCTGTACTTACTGTAGTTCGTCAATAAGTTTTAAGATAATGAGGTTTAATTAATTAACCTAATAACTAGTAACTGAGCGAAAATATGAACTACCTACAGTAGAGTCATTGACGCCTAATTAGCACATTTACAGCTAATTAATTAGCGAATCTGCCCCTAATTAGTAATTTCGCACCTCGTTTTTTTAGCACCTAATTAGCAAATTTATTACACATGAAGAAAAAATTAATTACATGTTATTAAGCTATGTGAGATTATTTTTCTTAACAAGGTTGCGCTTGTTGTGTTGCGTTGTCCATGGTAGTGAATGGCACTGAATGCAGATTTATTGCAGAATTCACGGTGCTGTCAGATTTGGTGTTTATTTCTACGAGTGTATCCGTTATCAGTGGTGGGAACATGTTTCACTTTTTTTCTCTTAGTCATAGCGGAAAAATGAGTAACCGATACGTGCGCAGCAGTCGTGCCGCAGATACAAGCAGGCTGCTGATATTTGACAGTCCTAATATCTATATATCTTGAATCATTGGGATAGTGTTCGCGTTTCTGTGTTCGGGGTTGCATTCAACATTGCGATTCGTGCGATCTTTTATTTTATTTTTGTTTGATTACGTCTTGGGAAAGCCGAGCAACATATTGTAAGAAGCTCGAGATTCAACGCAGCCTTTCACTTCTTATCGATCGTGTTTATCTGTAAGCTGAGAGATTTCCTGTGCGGAGTTGTTTTTAAGATCGCATTGACGAAAATGTCGCGCCGCGATGAATTACAAATTGGTGACCAGAACGGAATATTACTGGTCAATTCTCCGGACATTCAAGTCAGAACTGCTCACGATTGGGAGTATTATCGACAGCGACAAGCTGTATACGACGATGGAACAGTAACTTTCTTTTGGTGAGTCGAAGAGGCGTTGTTTTAAAGTGAATCAATCGTATGCACTGAATGCGCGCACGATCTCGCAGAATCCGGAGTGTTGAACCATGCAGTCGCAGATGATCTTATCCCAAGTTATTAGGTTTGAATATTTTTTTGCAGGCGCGCCCACACATTGACGGTTTTGTTCATTGCAACCTGTGTTCTGATTTACGTGGCGCTTTTTGAACCAGTTTCGCTTGATTCTGATTACAATCTCAAGCGTGGCATCGTCTCAGCCTGTGTAGCCTTCCTTATTATTGGCATTCTGCAGACGTCCGACGGTCCTTTTCGAAGACCGCATCCTGTATTTTGGAGGCTGATCTTCAGTATAACAGTTCTGTATGAGCTGAGTTTGATTTTTCTGCTTTTTCAAGTAAGTTGTAACATTATATTATTAATAATATAGGTGCCAATGCATATTTTGTGATGCAGTTTGTTTCTCAAAGCTGCAATAAAATTCTCTACCAATAAACGGCAATGCGCAAAAATTAATTCTGCATGGAACGCATTATTGAATTTTCTTCTACAGCAAAAAAAACATTTTAGCTTTTGCCGAATTTTACAAATTCGTTTAATTTTCAAATAGTGTTTTTAGTCTGCAGATGACGCCCGGCGTCTTTTGAAGCACATCGATCCCACTCTGGGTGAGGTGTTACCAGAAAAGGATTACGGAGGCAACTGCAAACTGTACGATGAAAATCATACGGATCCATACCACAACATCTGGGTACGGATTCAGATTTTACATCAAAAACGATCACTTGTATGGCGGGTTGACGACACTAATTACGGCATGGATTTTTTGTGTCATGCAGGATAAGATGGATGGATTTGTTCCCACACATTTTTTTGGATGGTGGCTGAAAGTAATCGATTGCATATTCTAAGTATTTGTTGTCGAATTTTGGGAATAATCGATTTCTTTCCCCCAGACGTTGATTTTGCGCGATTACTGGCTGTGCATGGTTATAAGCGTCATGTTCGAAATTCTTGAATACACTTTGGAGCATCAGCTGCCCAATTTTAGTGAATGCTGGTGGGACCACGTGAGTATAGCTAATAATGTTGACGTCTGGATGACATGCCACAATAATGTGCTTATATTACCAATATTTTATTAGTGGATTATGGACGCTCTTGTTTGCAATGGCCTGGGTATTCTTGCGGGAATGTTGACGCTGAAGTATCTTAACATCCGACCTTATTTTTGGCGAGGGTTATGGAGAATTCCTACGTACAGGTACACAGGATTACTGCCACTGTTATTTCTCCTACATTTCGGAATAGAAGTGGCACCTTAAGGAATAGGGAAATACATATAAGGAAAATTTTTTGAGCTCGTATATTCCGTAAATTAATAATTTTGGTGTTTTTCTTTATTTGTTGATTTCAATAACATTAACTGTTTTTTTTGCAGTGGAAAATTGAAGCGAATGGTGTCCCAGTTTACTCCTTACAGTTGGATTGAATTTGACTGGAGGCCGTTTTCAAGTTTCAAACGATGGCTAGCTATGATGGGATTAATTGTCGTGGTGCGTACTGCATAGTTGTTTAGCACTTGTGCTTGCTCTAAAAAATTTTTCATTTATAGTTTTTGGCCGCTGAGTTGAATACCTTTTATGTCAAATATGTGTTATGGATTCCTCCACCTAATTCATTGAATCTTATTCGTTTGGTGTTCTATCTGCTTGCCGGTGCGGTGGGAATGCGAGAAACGTTTGAGTATTTCGACAATCCGTAAGTCTGTGACAACTTTAGGTGCTTCCGTTATTATGCCGGCCATGCGATATTCTGAAAATTATGTTCTGCAGAAATTGCAAGAAGTTTGGAAAGCAAGCCTGGCTGGTTTTAGCAGTGATCATAACCGAGTTGTTGATCGTTTTGCGATTTGATTGGGACCTCGTGACAAAACCATTACCTTCGCGCATCGCCGCTTGTTGGTTATTATTTTTTGCTTGTGTAATTATCTGGACGTGGTGGAAATTTTTTTACCGGAATACGTTGCGGCTGGGATTTGGAGGGCGACCGTCCCACGATGACTCTGGCGTGGATGTGAGCTCGTTGGGAATTAGTAACGTAATTGGATCCATTAGTGATGACTTGTGTGCGGCGGATGAAGGATCCACTGTTTCATTTAGTTTGAAAGATCTTCTTGAGAAAAAGACAGATTAAGGGGACGCGAGAATGCAGGGCTGATCCATGACTACCATTTTCGTATTGCGGCAACAAACCGTCTGCAGTTGCACTGTACAGTGTACAGGAAATTTTCATTTTTGACAACTCGCATCGGGTGAACTCTTTGTCAGTATTCCTATGTGGCTGAAATTTGAATTTGGCACTAGTCCAGGATTAATTTTGTTATTTCTTTGGTTCGAAATCCAGATTCAGGACTGAAAATCTGGCATCCGTTTTAGTTGTGTTCTGCATACGTGTGCACATGTGGTTTTGTTTTGTTTGTTTCATACATATTGGTCTGATAACAAAAATTGACGAAATACTGTTTTCGCATGTACATTTTGGAACTGTTGTAAAAAACCAAAACAGAGATAAATCCACTAGGGCTGTTTTTTTATTACACTGCTTCTTTAACGTAAGATCTCATCAGCGAATTACACTACAAAAACAGCAAAAACCAAGCATCGATGCATTTATTTACAGGAAGAAGCTAAACAGCCAAATCCACTTTTCTGCGGAAAGCCACGAAGTGAACATCCCATTACCGTCTATACCGATAACGCTTGAAATGGAACCAGAGCTGGAAAATATTGTTATGAAACTGGCATCTAAATCCACGTTTATACGAATATTCCCATTCTCTGTTTACAATTTTGAAGGCTATATCTTCGTATGGTGGTCCGGCACTAATCTTCAGCACAGCAAAATCGGAATTGTCATTACAGGGAGTCACTTTATACTTCGGTGTGACGCTTTTATCAATCAAATCCGGATAAAATATATTAAACTTATAACCCTGAACCACTTTGGGCGGAGGATTGTCCAAATCATAATGCGTCTGATTATACTTGTTCCATTCGAACCCCGTATGCACTCGATTGAAATACCGTGGCTTGCGTGGGCGATATTTTTCCGACCAGACGTAGAAAGGCTTGTCCACTTCGGCTTCTACGCTAAACTGGGCCTCATCCTCACCCATACCTTTGCGCGCTTCACGCTCAAACACATGGTCTTCGGTGGTAACGATGGCAGCCGAACCCGTCTTCAGCACTTGCTCGCGAGCTAACTGCAATTTCTTTTTGTCTTCTTCTGGTTCGATCAGGTGCATACCGACATCCACGTCATCGAAAGGAATTAGTCGCGGGCTATACTGGCCAGTGTCGTAATCAGCGATTCGCTGTTCATCCTCATCGGAAACATGCCGTTCGGTATTCGTTGTGCTGGTAGAGGCAACAGGTTCTTTTGGAGGGGGCATCAGCAGGCGTTCTTCTTCATCGCGAATCCCTTGCTCTTTTTTCAGTTCATCCAATTTTCGTCGTAAATTCTCCTGGTGTCGTTCTTTGAGTCGTACGCGGGCAATGTACGCACTGGCCTGCTGTAACAGATTTTCCCAATAGGACACATCCACGCCTTCCTGTCCGTCCACTAATTTTTCCGCGAATCTGATTTTCCAGCTCCCTCAGCTGCGGCAAAGTCTTGCCCTTGAATACCGATCCTACATCCGCACTAACAACGGCGTTGATGCCTTGTCGACCAGCTCTACGTTCCAACTCGGCCTCACTCGCTAAAATTTTCTGCAGTTCATCATTGACGACGATTGTTATATCGTTCCAATAATCGTCGTTTAAGTCCCGGTCTAATTTCTAGAATAAGAAAAATCACAAATTAAAACTGCCAAATAAAAATTTCGAATTTTTTCGAACGGTCAATTTTCAAACTTAAAAATTTAAGATCGGTATGCGCACTCTTGCAGATAATTTCCGAAACATCGATTACACAATTTTATATAAACATGTTACAGTGTTACTTTAACTGTAAGTAACAAGCAGCACTTTTACTAAGAGAAAACCAAAATTGATCGTCTTTAAAAACAATTCAAAAACGTACCTGGTAAACTGCGATGTCTTCCAATAAATCCTCAAGATCTCGCTTTTTGAGTCCTTCAATGTACGTCGACGGTTCATGGATATCAACGCTTAAATCCGATTCCGAGCTGATATATTTCGCCAGTAAATCCACGGGCTTTGCTCGACCATCTCGGATGCGAATTTCCGAGCGCAACTGCGCTTGTTTCAGGTGAAAACCATCTTCCTGCGACTGCCATTGCTGGAACTGCGCGGCTTCCTTTTCTCTCTGAATCATCTGCACTTCCTCTTCGCGGGCTGCTCGTTCGCGCTCATATTGCAGTCGTCGCTGACGCACTTTTTCTAGCTCCGCCCGGGACGCCTCCTGCTTCTCCTTAGTCTGTTTTTTAATATCATCCAGGGTGTAGTCCGTGATGCCTTCCTTCTGCAGCTTTTTGCCCCAGATAAACACTTCATGGATCTGTGGATCACCGAAAGGATTATCATCCATAACATCAACGCTTCCGGCCCGTCCACGCTGTCTCTGGGCTTTGGCTAACTTCTTCGCTAGTCGTCGTGCTCGTTTCTCCTCCGGGGTTTCACTGTCCTTATCCACCTTACGGTTTTTACTGGCAGGGACATCCGCAGAACGCTCCCGACTGTTTGATCGTTCTTGTTTCGGCTTGTGGCGTCTGTCATTTGGCGACGAACTTTCTGATCTGCTTCGATGTCTTTTCGCTTTCGAGGATGGATCTTGACGGCCTTCATAGCGCGGTCGCTCCTTCGTACGGGAATCGTCCGCGCGTTCATGTCTACCTTCTCGAGAGGCGCTGTGAAATCTTTCCCGGTCATCCCAGGGCGATCTTGATGAACGTCTACTACGACAACGAACGTTCATTAAAGAAATCGCGTCCGGATGATTAACAAAAGCATGTCTGCGTCTTTTTAAAAAAAACGAACACGGTACAGTAAAATTAAACAAATCTGAAAAATTTTAGTATACGAAATGAACAAATCTGAGAAAACCGTCCTTATCAACGATTTTCAAATGTTTTTTAGAATTTTTCTACTGTCTTACCTTTCAGTGCGAGGCATTTTTACGCTGCTCGGACTCAGAGACCATAATCTATCTCGTTGCCCTTCAATAAAGTTTTTTATGGAGTATCACCAGTTTTAAGGTACATAACGCTTTTATTACTTTTAAATTTGGCTGTGAAAAACCCAAAATGAAAAATGAAAACCCAAAAATGAAAAAGTCCAACAAATCTATGATATCAGATTTTGAAGTTATTTTCATAAAGTAATGTATATATAAGCCACGCCTGTCTATCATGACATAATCAAGCCCGGCCCCCAACCAGTTCCTAATGGATAAACCATTATAGCGAACCAATCAAAAACGGCCCACATTAAGCAAAACGTAAGTAAAGCCCAAGTAACAAGCCAATGATAATCATGATGTCCATCAGGGTTTTGGCGCTGATCATTTGGTAGCACAAGCGCCCATGTTTCTGCAACGTTTTTGGCTTCCACAATTTTACGAGTAAAATGTAAATTGTAAAAGTACGGTTGCGAATCGTCACCTCATCGGTCCTGGAAATTTTCGGGGTTATTTCGGTTTGTGAAATTGAAGTATCTTTGCAGAATCTCATAAGTTAAGTTGAGGAGAATGGCATCGCTGCAGAACCGCGGCAATCAGCAGCCGCAGCGAGTGCTCGGTAATAAGCCTGCAGCTCGACCTGGCCTCCAGAATCCTTCCAACAAAGTTCTCCAAGCAATTCCCGAGAAAAAGATTGTCACGAACCTTCAGAACAAACAGGTAAATATTGCCTACTTAACTATTGTTACAATAGTTTTGTTGAGGTAGCAGGAAAGTAAAATGCTGAATGTGTGGTACCGTAACTAGTAAACGAAAGTTTCTAAACGGTGTTTGGTTTAGTCTTATTGTTAGCATTACTACTATTCGCGTCAAGTGTAAGGCTTTCATATCTTTTGAATTAGTAATTTAGTTCGTAAGAAAATCGTATTTATTGCTACCTGTGTTCGAAAATGTCTGGCCAGTGTTTTTAGAAAACAGGTAGCGCACTCTTACCATTTCAGCACGCTGACCTCTTGGCACGTGCGTTGACACTGTGACGTCGTTGGCTATGAAAGCAGCGTAGCAATTTAAAGACCCGCAAGATGAGAGTTGATTGGGAGACTGTTTTCTGTTTGTTTTTATATGCTTTTAAAGGTGCAAAAATTAAATTTATTATTTTATATGGTATATCTTCCTTTTGCAGCAGAACGATGCCAAATTCAAAGAACCAACGCAATCCAGACTGCCCACTCTGTCCACACTTCGGCAGAATATCACACTCGAAAAACGGCAGAAACTGCTTCAAGATGTTGTGCGGACAGGAGGAAAAGAAAATGGTAATGGTCGCTTTTTGGTTTAGCGCTTTGCATCCGTGTGGATTGCTGTAGGCCATGTACTGCAGGTTTCATGACGTACAAAGCGCGACCAGAGGACGTACCGGACATCTACGCAGACGATGTGGGAAACGAAGCGCTGGTGGTAGCATATGTGGAACACATCTACACTTACCTGTATCACCGCGAGGTACGGATATGGACCGTCATCTTTCTACATTGCTAGTTAACCATAACTATGGCCTATTCCCTTTTACAGTGCTTTTTACCTTGCTGATTTTTTAACCATTCACGTGTTTATGTCATTTGCATATGCCGAATGTTTTGCAGCAGCATTCCCTTCTGTCGAAAGACTATATGGACGGGATGTCGGTCAATCCAAGGATGCGGACAATACTGGTCGACTGGATTGTCAGCGTGACGCACAAATTTAAAATGTGTCAAGATACTCTTTTCTTGTCCCTGAACATCGTCGACCGATTTCTTTCTGTACGCGTCTTTACGCTTTGTGCTTGTACTGTAATTGCTTTGTGCAGTAGCTTTACCCGATCATGTACGCTGCAGATTCCTGAAATCGATGTCACGAAAGATGAACTGCAGCTGATCGGAGTGACCGCCATGTTCGTTGCCGGAAAGTTCGAAGAAGTCTATCCGCCGGATTTGGAGGACTATGTGTATATCTCGGATCAGGCTTGCACGAAAAACCAGATTCTGGACTGTGAGATGATGATGGTGAACGCGTTAAACTTCGATTTCACTCGGCCGTTACCCGTGCATTTTCTTCGACGCTGCTGTAAAGCTGCAAATGTATGAGTTTCCTGTTGCAACTCATCTAAAGGATGCGCTGTAATGTGTCTGATGTTTAGGCAAACCCGGACGAGTATTGTTCAGCTAAATTCCACTTAGAATTGGCACAAATGCACATCGATTTTGTGGAGGTTAAACCATCTCTCTTGGCTGCCGGAGCGCTGTATTTGGCTCTTCTGTTTCGTCGCAGGCTAAGTGATTTCTGGGTATGTTTGCGCTTAAAGAGGGTCGAAACTCGAAAGGCTAACGAAAAATTTGGCCGGCATTTTCGGACTAGTCAACTCGATATGATCCATCTTGTACAAATATTTCAGGATTCCAAACTGACGTATTACAGTAGTTACGAAGAAGGAGCGGTGAAGCAGATGGCTTCGAGGTTGCTTGATGTCCTGAAACAAGCACGAACAGCTAGGTTGCAGGTAAAGTTCTGTAAAGCTAATATACGAATACGGTAACTGTTGTGAACCGTGACGGTGCCATTCATTTGATCGCGCATTTTCAGATTACTGACAAAAGTAAAACTGGTAAAACGCTTGTTGCAGTGTATCATTAAGAAATACGCCACACCGAAAAACTTTGAGTCATCCAATATAACCGACCTGGAGCTGGATGAGGTCGCAAAGCATTTTGGTAGAAGCTGAAAAGACTGGACGTTCACTAGGCATTCCAGATCTGTTTACCACTGAATATTCGTTTTCGGATCGATTTGGAGTACTGATTCTGTTGTAAATACTTCCTAGTTGTGTTCTTAGTCTTTTCTACTCCATTTGCATATGCTGTTGTTTCTCTGAGTAGGGAATGAGTCACGCGTGTTTAATGTCTTGACTGCGTTGTTTAACATTTTTAAAGTGATTCTTTCTAAAGGTGTACTGATCTATGCGTACTTACCTTCCGTGATCCTGTTGGGACTTTGCACTTTGCAGACTGTCGCAGTGTTCAAATCACAATCCAAATTCTGCGTGCGTATTTCTGTTATATTGTAATATTATTTTGTATGCATGCTTGGCTAATTGGCTTTAGCAAATGGCAACTTGTTTAAGGTGAAACCTCATTCTGTGTCACTGATAGTTAATACTCGTACTGTAAAATTGTGCCACTGTTTAAAACTTCATCAAAAACAAAAAATTAATCTGATTTCGTACCTGAACATTTTTTATGAAGTAGCCATGGCTACTGGCTTTATTAATATTGGTTGTCAGCTTAGGAATCATGCACTGGTGATGCGATCAACGGTTACAACGCGCTTCGTGTTGACAAATCAGTGATGAAACTCTAAATTAAGAATTACTTACTTATACGATCGTGGTAAACAATATTTACCATGATGAATAATTACTAGTACTGTATTAATTTTGCGCAACGTGTCCTCCAGGAAACTAACTAACATTAGATACTTACTAACCTAAAATTGATATACATTTAGTACAAGCATTCTCAGCCAAAGTGCCGCTATAAAAGCATAATACAGAGATTCAAGTTAATTAACTAGGTCTGAGTACCCGTACAATTAAAAGCTCTGATCAAGATTTGTGAGACTAAGGGCATACCTCTTCTGTCGGTGCACACTGCACAGGAAATCATGCTCACGGATATTGCATACACGGTGATCTACTTTAACCTTTAACTTGCTAATTGAATATTTGGCTTGGGCGTACGAATCATCTATGAAAAACTCTAACTGTTGCTGTTTTAAGTATATTATTTTTATCTTATTCGTGATTTATGCAGTGTTTTCGAAAACATGTGAATCATTGTGTTCTATGCAGATAAGGGACTAGTTTCTTTACATTGCACATCGACGCAAAGTTAACCACCACAATGCACTGTGCCGTGGTGCAATGGTTATCAGTCATTCCGTGCTTTACATAGTAAGTTATTAGTTCAAACTTATTTATTATTTTTATAATTATGCCTGGCTGTAAAAATTTCGCTTCCCGATATCCCCCTGTGTAAATTTATGTAGTTATAGTGCACGATATGCAGAATAGCAATCGTGTGTAAAATACTATAACGTCATTGGTGTCACAATAGTGTGCAATAAAAAAGACAATGCAGCACAAAAAAGAAACATAATTATAACTTATATATATTTGTCAGCCCCGGATAGAATCGCCGATCGTTTGGTCCATCATGTTTAAAAGCGAATTTGCTGACTGTACACAAGCAACATAACATAAAAGTTAGAATAATACATATGTCGATTGTTAAACAGAATAGACCCTGTCGCTGCACACCTTCAAGTACTCTGTAATTTAAGGTGTGTTTTATTTTTAGCTAATAAATTTACGACTGCTGCTCGCTTAGTTTCGTTATCTTGAATGATCTCAGAGGGTTTCTTTCACTTACATCTACATTTTAAACTTTCATTGAATCTGTCGGCTGGTTTCTTTAAACCAAAATCGCACTTGAACTTAAGGTCACTTTAAAGGTGCGCAGCGAAAGTACTAATCATACATATTATGACGATCGATGACGATTGATATGCTACTTTGTATACTTCTAATCATAATTATATTCTTCGTAATTATATTCTATATTACGATTTCAGGGTTTCGCACTTGGCCATTTCTTTGTGACCTCTCTGTGAGTATACTGTAAGTGGCATGCACTCACTGTGGCAGTAACGCCAACCACTCGCGATCATAAACCTAGGTGTCTAGGGACCAATGTCAACTAGTATCTAATAAGTTATTTTTACTTTTTCAGATTTTGGTCTTGTGCCATAGTTGGTTTTAGAAAGATTTATTGCTCATTGGTTATAAGGCTATATATACCACCGCACAACAAAAATTATTTTTTAATCTACCCGTAGCTGGCAAAAGTTTCGCAAGGTAGAAAAGATGAAGTAAAACACGGTACTGTTTTGTTGAGCAACAAACAATGTACTGCACAGTGATAGCACTGGTACTCATACTTAACGGATTTGCATTAGGATCCTCCTGGAAGATCTTATGCCAATTGGATACCTGTTTTATAACACCGCTTATATTGCCGGTATATGTTTTTATTATTTGTACTGACTCTCACATCTTGATTGCATCAACTGCAGTATATCATTTGTAAAATGAATCTATTATCACAGGTTACCTTGTAAGCAAAGTTTTTCCCACATTGCGCATTTTATTTTTACTGGTTGCAGGTTTTGCTTGGGCAGGCTACCAATCAGAATCAAAAGAGCCGTTAATTATAGTAAGTAAGCGCATGCTCCTAATAATATAATATTATGTTGTTGTTCACGATTCTTCGGAAAAACTGCAACAGAATTAGGCAAGCAGTAGCAACTCACAAAATTACGCGTGCATGATATATTGCTGGCCAATAATTACCATTTAACAACGAATGTCAATTACGGCATCAGGTGTTGATTATCTGCGTGATGGCTGTATGTTTGGATCTAATATCCGTTGTGGCGTACTTTCCAGCAGGTATGTACGAGCTGCAACATCCAAGAAACAGGCATCAATGGTTAATTTTTAAGGTTACACCCCAACGCGGCACACCGCTCCCTTGCTGTACATGGGTGGCCTCTCCATTTTCCAGCTTTTCTGTCGCTTCCTGGGAATGTACTTGATTTGTCGGGACTACTCATACCGGGGCGGAAATGTTCATGACCTGTTCCCATGTGCTGCCTGTATGTGCAGCCGGTACACGAATTATGCACATTTTCTCGTATTCCCATTCATGTTCAAAGTAACAGACCCTAGAATTCTCCAACAGCTTTTTCACCAAAAACGTTATACCAGCGATTAAGTCGCACTTCCGCCGATAAGGATGAAACAGATACCGCCCCCTCATCCAGCAGCGACACTAACCAAGCTGCAACTGCGAGTCATCCGGCGGCGGAATGTGGAACAGACACCAACACCGACTACTACCAAAATGTACGGACTAGTAATGCTGAAAATCCTGTCAGCCAAACAGATGTTCCTCCTGTCTTTCCAGCAACATGTTCTTGCAAACCTTCGCCCCTGACAGCCGACCAGAATGATCCCTGGAGAGTGTACACCTGCAGTTCCGATGAACTGCCCTTTTGTCAACGACTGATCAATGGCACGGGAGATTAGCGTTAAGCACGTAACCCCAAGGAATGCAGCCTTCTGCATTGGCCATCAAACTTGACATTCTAAGCTTATGTGTTGTACGAGTGTGCTATGATATCCAGATCATGGCGTTTCAACGATATTAAAACTTGCGAATAAGTGGATTTGTACATTTAAACAGAAGCACGATAACCACAATAACACAACTATGCCAAATACCGATTGTGAGTACCAGAGCTTAAATAGCAGTAGCGCTATGCGCATTATGCGATGTAATCTCCCTAAAAGTGGCGCAGTCATTCCCAAGCAAAAGATCCCGATGACAAGGCCCATAATTGTTCAATGTGGCCTAAGCCGAAAATGGAATGTCGCAGTTATATACTGCAGTTATGACACAAGAGTGGCAAGTGAACATTCATAAAGTTAAAAACGCGGTAATAATTATACAGAACAGTAACTCAAAAGAAGACGAAATCGCCGAAACCGGTTCGTACACGTGGACAAAAAACACAACGTCCGCAAAAGCGTTGTACGAAACCAAAATAATATTTCCACTAAGGAAAAAAACGAGCAGTAAGCGAGATGTCAAAAAGCATCCGACAATTACGCACTAACCCTAATACTAAAATTTTATATACTGTATGTGTACACATTCTACTTAATGATAACTGATAGACAAGCATGCTTTAAACCTGAAAAAAATATACGGATGATTCTTTTTTTTGAGTCGCCTTACGGGTCATACATAAAACGATTCCAAGGCTCGTCCAGTCTAAGCATGATTCTTCTTAAACGAAGTACATGTTGTTCTTCCCCTTTGGATCCGTGAAGTTCTCGTGAATTTTGATTTTCTCGTTCAGCAGTTTGATATCGATGGAGGAACCAGATCCGGAACCAGAAGACGGAGTACTTATTCTGAAACACAAAATAACATTACTTATAGGAAAAAAAGATGCAAACTTTTAAAGTCTCTTACGTGTCTATTCCACTGTCCGAAAGATGGTGGCGCGCCCGAAAGGCAACATGATGCGCGTAATAAGCTGGGGCCGGAATAGAGACACTGCGATTGCAGCGCGCATAGCAGTATGTCAGATAATATGAGAATAATTCAATTTCGTTAGCACTGAAGTCCGAATCATCATACAGGACATTGTAGTGCGCTGGGCGAGATGTTCCCTATGAAAAATTTAAAAATTGGACACCCAACAACAAAAGATAACTAGGAAGTAATAAGCAGATTTTTAAGATGCAGCGGTGCAGCCTACATTTTACACTAAACCATTCCTCAACTCAAAATCTTATCAATTCGGCCCAAACTTGTACAGTAACGTTATACCGTTCCAGCATACGTAAGCTTAGAAGTTTTCAACTGACCTGCAGACCTCCATGACTGCACAAGAAATAATCCATTTCGGTGAAGTGGCAGATTCCCTTATCCACCACAGTGCCTATTAAATAAATGGTTTCAGCTAAATCGTACACAAACGGGAATTTGTTGCCAGAGGCAAACCGATGTCGACCGTCCTACCTGCTGGCACGTTCTCGCCACGACCAACTTCATCGTTCTTATTCTGACAGAAAAATCTGGTGTGATGACGTTTGCCAACAATGACGTATGTGATGTGGGGTTGATAGCCCGGTTCCAGTTTGTTACAGGCACGCTGAAGGGCGTATACTTCCTGGTGCATGACCTGATAGCAAAATTCGTTATTTCACCAGTGCAATAAAAAGGTAGTGACATATGTGAAACGGTAGTTGCGCTATGTCTACCTGCTCAAATTGCCCTTCAGAGACACCGTCCCGGTAGAAAATAATCCTTTCCGGTTTGCGGCCACCATTGCGATTTCGAAATTCAATCAACAGTTCGGCAATCAAATCGCGCAGACAATCTGCCATAATCTCCTGTCGATGGCCCTGAGCACTCACGCGAGCACTGTATGATGTAAACGTCCTATTATGGCTGGCAACAACGGCCGCAATCGATGGTTTATCTTTGGACTCTCCTGGTGACGGATGCGTAACATCAGCTCCAAATACTATGGTCGGCTGAATAAAATGAAGTTTATTAGCAACAAATAATACCAATAATTTGAGTAACATCCAAGCTCGGTATCAACTGCTTCATCCGAGTTATCAAAAACCGCCCTTCAAGCAAAATGAGGACTTTCCACCCAAAAATAACCACTATACCTATACAAGAGATTTTAAGCGCGTAAGCTACTAAATTAACATACGTCCAGGTCACACTATTAAAACAAGCATGTACCGCAAATCATCTCAAGGTGCTCATACTGTTTCTCAAAACCATAAAATTTACCTTTTCCACAAAACGTTTCAGGTGTTCGAACATCCTCGGGAGCGGTTTATCCTTCGCAGTTAAGAAATTAGACACATGTACGTTCACGCCACCAACTTTTGCATTGACTTTCAGAAGCACGTTCCCAACTAGTTGCTGTAATTTGGGACCGCTGTTTTTCTGTATCGTAAAGCCCTTGACGACCTGTGTTTGTACCCCCACAATCACGTCGCCGGCTTTTTTTACTTCAGGGTACTGTGTGTCCTGACTGATCAACACCATAATTAAATCCACTTTGACACTCCCAAAGTTTTTGACGATCTGCCGCATAATTTGGACAAAGTCGGGATTTCGCCAGTCAGTAACTTTAGGTACTTTCTGTTGTTCCGGATAGTTTATGTCCATCCCCTAAAAATGTAATCAGACATTTCCGAGTACGTCACTGACCAGGGCACTATCAGAGACTATAAGTTCGGAAATATTAGTATTGTATGTTTCTGTTTAACACCGAGTAACCATAGCGCATGCTTAAAAATGTTGATGTCTGCCAAGGTATAGTCGGCGTGGCCGAACGTATATATAACAGGAAAAACTACTGTACACTGTTTTCAGAAATATCTTTTAGTATACGGTACTTGAGGGTGGCTCTGTCTTGAACAGAAATATAAGTTTTCGAAGTGAATAACACCGGACCCAGTCCGAGTGAGTAGGAAATGTATAATCTCTCCAATCTCTCCCAGTTTACCTTTTGCTTTCCCATGTTAACCAGCGATTCGACGAATGCGGAAACATCAACACGCCGCTCATCCACCAAGCTAATGATTACCCAATTTTTCAGTATTCCGGGAGTAGCGAATCTAATGTTACGGGGGTCGAATGTTCCTGCAAAAATGACGATCTGAGTAAAAATACAGCTCTTATTTGTGTTAATTCTAGACTTGTCCGTCTTCGACGTTGTTAATCAGATCAATGTTAAGTAACAAATACGTTCTTAAAGCCAATATAATGCATACCATCAGCTGATTTGACTGTTACAGCTTTGTCTCCGGCTGTAATAGTGGGAGCATCCAACTGTCTGCCTTCCACTTTGGCCATATCTTTGTCAACCGTGATACCAAATTCTTTCAAAGTCGGGTCGGTGTCATATTTAACACCATTTCGGCGAGTGTTCTCCACGAATCTTTTGCGATCATTTGCTGCAACGAAAACGTGTTAAAAATCGTCAAACGTAGGAGGTCATCACAAGAAATTTGAGAATATGGTCACTCCAGTGCCATGGTTATTTCCATGTTACAGTTGTGGACAGGTTTTAGTAAAAAAAGTATACGACGAAATGTATATATACGAATGTTATAAGATACACATGGTTGATGTATCATGTACCAGTCTGTGTGCATTTTTTCACCATCGCCGCCGTCTGATCCGAAGTCATTCTTTTGTCGCATTTTTGCTCTGCCAAGCAGCAGACTTCAAGTGGTAAATAACTTCCTTTCGTTCCCACCTGCAAGCAGAATACAGGAATAAAATACTCGTACATAAGCGCTTGTAAGTCAAACTATATCATAACATTCCATAGTAGGGCGACTAAACAGCTATAAGATCGTTACGTAATAGGTACTCATTATCAGTAGCTACATTTATTCGTATCATACGAATATCCAGCCTGCAGTTTGACGCTGCCGAATACTGAAAAGAAGCCGCCTCACCTTTAAGCAAGGTAATCCACGATGTTTTAGCACGATGTTGTACTCAGACTTAAAATAATCTGCTACACTTTTTTGTTGTCCATTCAAGTCGAAGAAGAGTTTTTCGGCTGTCTGTTCGGTAACACCAGTCACACGAACGCGCCGGATGCCACCGCTGTGTTTCGTTTCCACCTTTAGCCCTTTGATTTCTTTTTCAAAGGTTTTCCGCTGGATCACGTTTAAACTAGAGGGTGAATCGTTTAGTAATTGGGATAAGAATCCCAACAATTCTTGACGGCCATAGAAAACCGTGTGTGATTTATCCAAGTTTAGCATCACTTTCCACTGCGTGGGTCGGGCACTCTACAAAAAAAGCGAATCAACTAGTTCTAACAAACGAGCTTATGTATTCGAGTCATCGAGTGAGAACGCCTTTGATTGTGCATCTGAAAACTAAAGGCTGAATGAACAAGAATAAAATGTCTTTAATAAAGCACGCCAGCGTGCCACTTTAATATGTCTCTGATCAACTCATCCAGCCTTATTCTACAAAGCTTGTTATGGCAACTCGTAAGATACTGCAGCCTATTATCGACAAATTAAATTCTCTAATTGGGAAACAGAAAATAAGTGAGTCAATGCCCAGGCCATACGACTCTCAAATGAGGATGACGGTATTACACGCCTTTGTGCAATGCGAAGCCGAAACATACTGTACTGCACCGCACTTACGGAGTAGTATCCTGTCCACATGTCCCTTCCCTGACCGAGAGGTACAGGTTCCGCTAAATGTCGCGAGAAATATGATCGCCGAATAGCAATATTGGTTGCGGTTGACAAAGCTGCTTGTCGAAACACCGTGTTAATGCACTGAAGAATCTGTAACCGGAGCGCGTAATATAACACAAATGCGTGCTGGGACATCCAATTTTCACAGGTTGGAACAAAATTCAGAACGAAACTCACAACAATAGGCATAGTATCGCGCTTTCCTGCCATACAATCGTAGAGTTCAACCCATGATATCGCCAGTGGTTTGCACTGCTGGACAGAAACCTGAAGAAAATAAATATTATCTATCAGAAATGATACGTATAATCTAGTTTACCATCCACAGTTTACAGCCCAAGATTACGTAACTAAGATTTACGATACAAATGTAGTAATTTTTCACAAAACAGTAATTAAAACGTACTAACAATAAGTGTTGTTTCAAGAATAACCGCCTGCATAACTGATGACGCACAGAATTTTCATAAAGAGTTCAAAGGCTTAAATTATGCACACCAAATTCCAGTATCAAGGGTTACTTTACCGTTTTATTTGCCTATTCGTTTTGTTTGCGAACACATTTATAGCGAAAACAATCAGATAAAAAATACTTTCTCCTGTACTTTCAGCCAGTGCAGTGAACATAGTACGCTGTTTGGTAATCGAAACGAGTTCGAATTCGAACCGGACTGCATCACAATCACAACCTGCCACGTACGCAATAGTAATTGCAATTGCAAGATGTCAAGATTATTAAACATTCGAATTTTCGAATCAAAATGGCGAAAACATTAAGTATCAACTTTTTTATCGCAGAACAAAGAGCGGAGTAAAACCACAGTCTCAAACAGACCACAATGTTTTATCGTCTTATGGTATATTGGTACGAGTATGCGTGCAAAATTCAGTTCACAAATGCCCGAGAGGCAAAATAAAGATTAACTAAAATTGCTAAAACTGCTGAACTGACACTTAAAAAATTTACACAATCAGCTGCATATTAATAATATCATTACAATAACTTGCAGCGGTAAAATGAAAAATTATATTGATTCTCAGCCAGTTAGCGCAATCACCAGTGACTACTCGGATCATAAATACACTGCAGTTAAAATGAACCGAAATCATTTTCGAATATACGACAAAAAGTAAAATATCAATTTTCAATTAGTAAGACAAAGTTCTTTATGGTTTTCCCTCTGACATCGTTGTCAAAACAGTAAGTATGAATTATTCAATCATAATTTATGATAATTATATTATTATAACCACAAGCATACACACCCGCACTAATCGTTCTCCACCTTCTTCGTCTCGGGGCACAGTCACCAGCTCCGAAAAAACATGATCTGGAGCAACCTTCAATTCCTTCACGGAGTACAAGTTTTTTTCTCCATCATAAGCAGGTTTGCAGCCGTTCAGAAAGGGCTGTGTGTTCGGTGCGCTCAGGAAAAGCGACATGATCTTCTGCTTCAGCACTCTGGGGACCGCTTTGGGATCTTTAGCGGGCGCATTTTCCTTCTTTTTCTTCTCCTTTCTCTGGGTACCTGTCTGTGGTGCGTCTCCGGCGGCCGGGTCGCTTCTCTCGAACAGCATATCCACATCGTAATGATAAATGTATCCCGACGTGGGAGTTCTAATGCCATAATGGTTGGCATGCAGCGGAACTGGTCGTCCCAAGCTTCCAAATCCTTTCTTCGGATCCCGTTTTACAGCCACCAATGTTGCCATTCTGACCAATCATGCAGAGAAGCTTCTGTAAAAATTATGCCTGGTTAGAAGTTTTTAAATTTTGAATTACAGAATTATGGTTAAAGACCATTAAAGTATAAAGTATAAACCTTCGTTTACATAATCTGATAATCGTCTCTACTCTTGTCCACGTACCAAGCCAGCCAAATCACCAAAATAATAAAATGCTCACCTGTCACTGTACTGTACAGTACTCTATTGGAGAGTCTATAGTAGAAAGCGATTAGAACCACAGGCTGCTGCGGCTTTAATACTGTACCATTATTAGTACAGCAGCCTGCAGCAGTGCAGTAGTACTACTCGACACGCACTTTAAAAGAGTTCTGTAAGATACAGAGCCGGAAGTTCTGTAATATTTTGTGACCACCCCTTATCTCTGATTGGACGCCCGAGTTAAAGTGTTCTGTATCTAAAAGGAACTCTCCTGGCTCCGTTACGATACAGAACTCGTACTTTTACCAAGTCAAAATTATTTTTTGATGTGGATGCCCAGCCCCGTACGTCGAAAGTCCTGTTTGTTTCTATTGAAACAATATTCCAGTTCTGCTTGTTAACTGTTTTAGCTGCCTAAGACTGTGCATGTTTCATGATGTTTGAATTTGTATCGATGGCAACTTCGCCATAGCCGTCAGCGCAGAGCTGCGAGGAATGATAAATTCCACCTCACCGTACTTTCCGTGCGAAGTTGTCTTTCGCTTTTTCACTAGTCATTTGATTTCTTCAACATACCACAACTTTGAAATGTCAGAAAAACAGAAAGGAACGGCTGCAAAATTGAAATGAAAAATACATGAATTGTTGGCAAATTCGGCTACAGTAACTGGGCACTGTTTGACGCTAATGGTCTCGTTGCTCTGTAACGCTCTATAAGATTCAGTGCTGTACCATTGGTAGATTCACTTTTACAGAACTTCCGGTACTTTATGTTACAGAACTCATTTAAAGTGCGTGTCGAGTAGTACTACTGATGGTTAAGTATAGTTTCAAGTGTGTACTTACTTGTACAGTAGAACAGGCTCGGTACACGGTAGTCGTTACGGTAGGCTCGCTCTGTAGGTTACGGTTGCTCACGACGCAAAATCTATGGAAAAAATATTGAAAAAATTATGGATTACCGCATTTCGTTTACAATAATTCGTTACAATACGTAAGTCGAATTCGCAGGCTGCGATATTCATTAAAAAGAAATTTTGATTAATAAAGTACGATAATATCGTACTGTATTTCCCTGTTTCCGTGCAAGAAAAAAAGCTAACAGCAATGCGCAGATGTCGTCAGTTGGCTATATAACAAGTAAAACATTAAACATTCTCTTGTTAGCCAGTTTACCACACGCCGCGAACGAAACACAACGAAGATTAATTCAGGAATTAAATGACAGAAAACTGATAGTTTTCGAGTACGTTTTCACTATCAAGTAACTTCAGCTACGTACGTTGTGTGGATTCAAAAACTCTGGAGTTTTGCTTATATATGCCGAAAAGGACACCATTGGTCACTTTAAGCGTCCGTAAAACATAGTTTCTCTAATTGCAAAGTGTTAGAGGAATACTGGTTAGTACAGTTTTCATTATGTCTGCTTTTACCACTTATGAACTATTGGAACTTGATAGAATGTTTAAATTAAAATGGGCAACAAACAAATAATTTCCATTTTAATTTTTAAAGTAAAGTACCTCTGGTATCGTTAAGAGCACTGCAGTGTGGGGATGCCAGTAAGAGGAGAAAGTACTTACGATTAACTGCAAGTTACAACCGTGCATTCATCCAGCCTTTACAGATGACGGTACGTACTTACTTACGTACTGGCAGGAATAGTCTATGACATACCGGTACCGTAGAAATAAATTTTGCTAGGATTATACGCATACAACCGTAACTGCGCCTGTGATTTTTCGATGTCACACTTTCATCCGACCTGCTTCGGCTCCTTACTGGAATTTGTACTGTACTTAGTTAATCGGAGATCCATCCGTACAAAGTTATCGATTTTTCAATTTAATTCGTCCTGTTATGGACCTGAGCGGGTTCGGATTAACCTTAGCTGTGGGATAAGCAACTGCAGAACCGGCAAATGCCTCGACCGTGCGCGACGTCGAGAGGATGTGCGGCGTGCGGGAATTGATGCATTTCCACGCGGATGCGGTAAAGGTTAATATTGATAGTAGTCATGCTCCAGTTGGATACGTAGCTCAAGTACTTACTTAACATTCTGCGGGGTACGTGTCTGGGCCGAGCACTTGGTTGTAGCAAACTTTTTCAGCGAGTATATCCGCAACTTTTCATGTATCTCCTGCCAGAACGAACAATATGGGAGACGTCAAGCCGCCGAAAAACCGTTCCGAAGAAATCCTCAAAGGGTTCAAATTGTAAATAGATTACCCTGATTGACTCTTTTCCTTTGTGTAGATTATTCAGCACAGTCTCAGCATGCTCTGAATTATTGCAGAAACTGGATGAATCTCCGTGATGCAGATACGGGAAAAATATTGTGGCAAGGCGAGGATGACCTGTGCGTATAACGCTTGAATTCTTCCTATCAAAGCTACTCGCAATGTTTGACTAAGCAGGCATAGTATTTGCGTGTACGCAGTAGAAACATTTTGAAAACATGATATAAAATTTTCTCGAAAACGTGGTCCGGATTATTTTCTGCTTGCAGAGTTAATAGTTAAAAATTTCGCAGTTAATTACAGATTACAGATACTAACTGGAAAGTACACTTTTGTTTTTTCAGGTCGCTTCCAGGCTTGGAACACATAGGTATTGACTTGTTGCTGTTAGTGTGCTTGTCTGTGATGTTCAGTTGCTCATTGCAGCTGATTTCACATACGATTTAGTGTAGCACTCTTAGTTTTTAGTTCACAAGTCAGGTGGATATCCTGCAACAAAAAATATCATGAAATTTACCTAAAGTATCATGAAATATCCAGGTGGATATCTCTACATAATTGATAATAAATTATTATCAGTTATCTAGCAAAGTACATAAAATCTAGATTCATCAGGTATTTATACTTCTTTACATTCTTTCTGACAATGGCTAGCGCCGGTGAAATATAACTGGCATCGTTAGAGCTGCATAACTCACTAGTACTGCCTCTGCAAATTAGACTAATCATATCAATTTGCTCCAGCTCGAGTTCCAAAGGAAATACTGAAGTGTCGGGCTGTATCCCGCGAAGTGAATTTTTCCTCGGCTGAACAGATGGATAATTTCCGGTTGGAACAGCGGATCTTCTTCAAAGATCGATGTATTGAAGGTAAGTGCAAATTATCCACTGAGCTCACACAACAGTGGTAACTGATAACCAGACTGATGATTATCGAATTCGATTAGGAGCGACTGGGGAAATATTTCATGAATATTTCTAACCATGGAACGATTATGCTTATTATAAAAAACAATAACTTATTAAATACTGCATTTGTCTGCGGGAAAATTTGCTTAATAATTTCACTGATAACGATGAATTTCTCGCAGAATGGTATTTTGAGTTTGGCTTCGTAATTCCAAATTCCACCAACACATGGCAGTCTTTAATAGAGGCCGCTCCAGAATCTCAAATGCTTCCGCCAAACTTGCTCAGGTATGAAGAAGTGTTTTACGTACAAAGAGTACCAGAATTCTACAAAACGCGAAACTGAAAGGCGAACTGTTTTTGATTGCAGTGGTAATACGGTGATCGAAACTCGATTCTACGACGCTGACCTTTTAGTAAACGTTTCGAAAGTGCGGCTGTTTTACGCCTGATATAATGTGGAAATGTTCGGCTTCCGTATGGAAAGTTTATTATTGTCCACTCAAGTTCTGACTTTCAACGCGTTTCGATTTCACACACCAGTATCCTGTTACTATTCTAGATTTTAAAGATACGTAGCGACTTGTTATTGCGTAATATTAGAATAAATCGAATTTGATGTTGAGTGGCATGTATCGCTGATTTTGCAAAATTAGTACATTTAGCGGTCGTATATCAAACTCCGGCTGTTTTCTTCTTATATAAAAATAAAGTTTTTCTCCAAACTAAGAAATTCGAGAAATGTGTTTATTTGTTGATGTGTTGATTTGTGAGTTGTAAGTAATTATCGCTGTGCGCACAGTAGAACTTGTTGAGATAAAGTCTAGAAAATTAATGGTTTTGGAGCACTCCGGTAAAGCAAAAGTAGCATCATGCCAGCTGGTACAATTTTGGTTCTGCACGAATGTAAAGGATACCAGCCTGTCTCCAGTAAACTGCAATCAGCTTCCGCTTTCAGTTTGATAAGACAAAATTCGTGGATTGAAGGATTCTCGTCTAGAGTGCCCATTCTACCAACGGAAATAAATCATGGAAAAGTAAAACGTTGTACAATACAAACATCAAGAGTATAATTCGCAGGTCAAGAGTGCAAAGGTTATAAATTTCGGATTCTATTGTGTACAACTGAAAGTTATCGGCAATAACGATAGGGTAATCAAAATACAGACATTTTAATGTATCGTTTACTCAGTTTTGAGATCACCGAAGTTATTTATCTCTTATCCAAAGAAATCAGAAAAGTTTACTTTTGCTTACACACATTTTCAAACACGACTGACAAGTGCGCGTGCGGCGATTTCGTAAACGGTAGAAACCTACAATTAAGTGTGATGTTCCCAAAATTAATGCCCTGATGCGTTTGGGTCACTCAGAAAATAATATCGTTAGCTGTACAGCCTCTGTACTCACACGTGGAAGTATCATCGCCAGTCACCATTGACAGTCCGACTGACAGACCGCGCTGTCAGCTGATCGATAAAATAAGAAAGTTCACTTGAGGCCAACACGGTTGCAGGCTGCAGTCAGTCACTGGATTGTTGTGGTTCGGGATTGCTTGCTACTCATTCATTTGATCTCCAACATTGTGCATTTGCACAAAGAATCCGGAAGAGTGTTTCTTTGATTATGTTAAATACTTTGTAATCATGCCAGAACCGAGAAAAAGCCATGGAATTGCTCCGATTATTTATACCTGTTTACTGCTGATACTGAATATAGCTTATTTTGGTGAGTAGCAATACATGAGCAGATTAACTGAGAGAAAATATTTGTGTGGGTAATCCTGTTTTAATTTGCTTTCTTTCAGGAGCGTCGTTGATTATCAGCTACACCACGCATTGTCTGACACTGCGTATGGACTCCAATTATGTGTTGTTTGTTGTGGGCTCGCTGATTGTTTCGCTGATAGACATGAAGGTGCGTGAAAGTGGGTCACTGTGTCTGGCTGAAGTCTTCGACAACCGTACTGTCCGTACAACATTGCAACAAGTAACGCGGTGTTCTTTGCAGTTTCGCAACGTGCGCTCGCTGAAAAACACATTTGGATGGGCGCGGATAGAGTTTTTGGGCAGCGTAAGCCGATAACTCATACATGTGTAACTCGCTTGAAACTAAGTACTGATAGTATTGTTGGCTGGGTATTACTTACAGTTATCTACAGATAGTATGAATAATAAACTGTACAGATAGTACAGATAGTATGAATAATAAACTGCATAGATAATCTGTACAGATAGTATGAATAATAAACTGCATCCATAATGTGGTGCAGCCGTGTAGGCTTTTACCATTTTATGGCACGAGTTAATTTCTCGTGCCATGGAATCTGTAGTTATCTAATGAACTGAAAATTTTGAAAAAAACTGCACACAACAGCTGTTCATCTGGCTTTCACAATTCGCACTGAAGGAACGTTAAATGTTGTTTATAAGTATAAAACAGCGTTTGATTTTAATACTTTTAAGTTTAATGTTTGATCTATATAAAAATAACCGTAAAATAGTTCTTAATTAAGGCAGCAATATTTTCGGTTTTCTTTTTGCTTTTGGATGATTTTGATGCGGGTATTGGAGAATATTCTGCATCGATTTTATAGCTAGCGATTAAGATAATTCTTTCTTTATCAACGTACATAAAGCCAAAATAGGTCAGTCTAATTGATTCAAAATTTGCAGCTTTTTAATGCAACATTTCTGGCGTCGCTGAGCTTTTCGGCTGCCGTGGAATCCATCCAACAGCTGATTCATCTCGCTGGGCACTCTGGACATGATCACGGTGTGCATCAGGATGAGTACGTGAGCCGCTGAAAGGTGGAAAATCCGCTAATTTAACACTCACGCTCCAATTATTTTGCACCGGATATAATGATATTGTTGTGCAATTTGCGAATTCAAGCTAGAACAGGATAGTTATCTGGTGTTTATGTACATTCCGTTAGGGCGATGACCATTATCATATTTGGATTGATCAGATGTGGACTGGCCGTAATCACGTTTTCCGCTCGCATTGGTAACAAAAGCCAAATATTTGCGCTTAATCTGATTGGATTTAATGTCGAAAGCATACAGTGCATTAATTTCGAATTTTGTTATATTATATTTATAGGTACACCGCATATCTGTGTATTTTTTACTGTTTATTACTTATTGCTTTTAGCACTTTTTATTATTTATTTATGTGCGTTTATTATCGATGCCGAATCCACTTGTAGGATGTATTGTTTTCTAAATATTTTATTTTGTAAATTGCAGCTATGAAAGACACTCAAACAAAGATTGTTGTTAACTACACGCAAAATGCCGGAGTGGAACTGTGCGTTTTGCAGCCGTCAAACAGTAATGGCGACCAAAACAGTGATTCAGAATTAAGGCATCTCCACAAATCCCCGGTATTGTCACCCAATCTTCCCGTGGCCGTGATACGGGAAACCGTTGGTCCTGTCACCATTCTGGCGTGTGGCCTGATTATCTTCTTTTACGGTGCCCCGGAAACGTATCGTTGGTACTTATACGTCGATCCCGCTATTTGCCTGACCCAGCTGTTAATTCTGGGACTGACACTGTTTCACAATGCCAAAGAATCATCCATGGCGCTCATGTTGACCATTCCACGTCATGTGAATATTCTGGAGTTGCAAAAAAAGCTCATCCGAACGGTAATTTTATAGGTCTCGATTTAAAATCAAATTTTACGTACGTACGGTTATAAACATTCATTTCGGATAGCATTATATCTCGTACACCTAAAACCTTGAATAAGTTGAGTAATTACAGTAGCATTTCAGTTTCCGCGGACAATTTTGGACGTGCATGATTTTCACCTATGGCGCTCTTCTCGCGATCACTTAGTGGTTACATGCCATCTTATTTGCACTTCCCTGGCAGATTACGTTCGGGCTAGTGCAGATATTGACTGCTTCTTTCGCGGCGAAGGTATCGAAGAGGTCACGATACAACCGGAAGTACTGCCGGTAAGTTGGATAACGGTATGCTGTTGATTATGAAAAGGTATTTCATTAAAGATGTTACGGATTGCGAAATGTGCTCTTGGTTGTGCGCAAAACGTTAAAAGAGCTACTGAAGATGAAAGATTAGTTAATGTTACACTGTTTCTTTCTAATATTCTTGCAAAACGAGGCGCTAGTTTAAACTGTACAAGTATTGTACAATATGCAGTTGTGTAGACTGATATAGTTACTGTGAAACGTAGTGCAATTTAGCGTGTATTGCATTACAGGAATTAGCTTGTTTTGGTCGTGTATTGCTGTTTCGCGGCTTTCACCATTAAGGTGATCATTTATATAACTGTGTAAGAACTTTTCAGGATACTGATCCAGAAATCAATGATGTAATGACACCTAACGCGTGCGCCTGCTGCGAAGCCAGCCCTAAATGTTGCTCGTTAAAAGAAACAAGCCAACTGCAAGACATTCGCAAGAGGACTATTCACAAGCCAACGCCAGAGATGGCTGACCTTGAAATGGATCCAACTACCAGCGGCGATAGTGGGACCGATGAACCGCAGGAAAATACCATAATATCTGTAGCTAACCCTTGATAAAATTCCAAATGCTCAAGATAATCAACAATCGTCTTTTGCGGTGTTCCAAAACAGGCAGCTTTCGGGATAAAGCACCTAGTATTGTAATGTTGCACCGTTTTACTCATCTGTTTTTATCATTGTGATTTTTTATCGATTTCTTGCCTTCGCTTTTACACTCTCCAAAAGAACGCAGCTTTTTTCCAAATCTGTTATTGTTTTATGAAGTTTTTTACTTTTTATGTTAAATTTTCCTACGAGTATTTGTTACCGAATCCAGGTACTGTGTTGTGGTCTTTCGTGATCCGGTGCCTTGATAAAATAGTCCGTGAATGCTTTTAATAAAAATTATGAACATATTCGGACATTTATTTCGCATACATATAGATATTAAGAAATAATTTTTGCAATGCTTTGCAATAAAGCATCAAAAACATCTGTAACATATTGTAAAATGAAAGACAGCAAGCAAACCACCACAATAAAACAACTAAAAGATTAAAAAAATTCAAAAGCACACAGTACTAGACAATAAAACACAAAAAGAAAATGAGGTACAACGATCACTTACCACTAACAGTTAAAATGATTTCTTTGGACTAAATGGAAATGATCGGTTTTCCACGTGATAATCACAGAAAAATAGCATGAATTACTAATCAGCTATAAACGACTACATCAAATTTATCCGTTCTATCGTACACAGGCCAGTGGATACCAGTCAGATCTTTCCTTGGTCAAATCAAACGATTCCAGATTGATGGCAACTCCTCCAAGAAACTGATTCTCCTTGAAACGGTCATAATTCCATACGGTGACCTTTAGTACACGGTATTTCACTTCATCCAGAGGCATACGATACAACAACTACAAAGATCCATTTCTGGTAAGAAGGCCACAATCTAGTCAATGCGAATTAGATGTATAGATTACCATCTCGTTAAAAGTAGGATGCCGACTTTTTCGAACAATTTTCGTCTTTCTTTTTGTCGTTCTAGAGATATCCGGATAAAGGTACGTTTTCACGTAGGGATCAGGAGCATTTCCATCGGTGGACACCTGTAAAAGCCTTCCACAATTGCAAAACCGAGAAACAAACAACGAAAAAAAGCTCGGCATAGTGTACAAAATAAAATCCGTCACGAAATGGCATAAAGGATAGCAGAGTCCAGACATACCAAATCTTTGGCATGGTTCACTAGGACGCAAAGACCTTGATTTTCCTTATAATGGATGGACAGTTTGACTAGCCCTCGTGCTTTGGGACTATCGGGCAACTTCGGCGATGTTGATCTCTTCGCATCCAACCCTGATTTGCAATCAGCATGTTAACCACACCTAGCAGGCACTATCCAATACAACTCGAAATCCAACCTTTTTTATCGACTTGCATATCACTAGAATCTCGTGGAAAGGCATGAAAGAACGTGTAGACGAGATCACACTACAAATACGACGATGTTAGTGCTAACGCCCTATGCATAAGAACATGCTTTGATTTAAATTTTAAGTACATGACACAATTCTTCCGGCTGGTTGAGCAATGACTGCAGAAAGGCTTGCACATCGCCCAGGCGTTTCTGGGCCACATTCTTAACGTTTGTCCGACCAACACGAACTCCGCGGGACACCGGACTCAGTTTGGCTGACGGATGCATCATACACAACTTTTCATACAGTTCCGTTACTTCCCGGTAGGAACGGAAAATAAATGTCGGTTCTCGTTGGTTTTCGCGATAAACTTTAAATATATACACGTAATACTTGTGCGGATCAAAGCGCTTCTGATAGCCAAAGCATTCAATGCTAGTAATTCTTGGATCTGTCCGCTGCGAGAACGCCTTCGTTGAAAACGATAGCATCTGGCCTTTGGTGTTCTCCGCAGAAAATCTCAACTGGGCCAAATTATGCAGGAAGAAATTGAACTGAGTGAACCACGATTTCACGCTTTCTTCAATTAACCGGGTAAAACTGGCTGTGGCTTCAGTATCGTTGAGATCCAACATCAAAGCGCGCTGAACGTACCTCGAAGCATCACGCGTAACTCCTTTAATAGCATTTAATAATTTAAATGAACAAGATTACTGCTCATATATCTATTGTAAAACAAGGAACAGATTTATTTACCTGGAATATCACTGTAGATCATCTAAAATCAGAAGACATAGCAAAGGATTTAGCTGACGAGTTCTTAGTGTACAGAAATATCAGAAACCAAGCAAACCGCAAAACTAAACCTCATCCTCTACTATTCGTACGAAAAACTACTGTATCAAATAGGTCCTATTGTCGATAACCCAAATCATACCATTTCAAACAATGTGATCAATGTATTTCCGTTGCGGCGCAGAATATTGAAAGCCTGGCAGCATAAGTCCACAAACTCTTGGAAGCGAATGGTAGGCTTTTCTCCGCCGTTAATTACGTACACCATATCAGAAGTCAAAACAAAAGGCACTCGATCCCGTCTAATACCACCGAAAGTCTGCGCGTCTCCAAGGAATTTTCCAAAATCAATGTGGAACATGTGACCTGTAAAGCAACATTCGGGTGTGCTACAAACCAATATTCAGCTCAAAATAAAACCACCCATTAAACACACCATCGTGAGTGATCATGATGTTGTCACTATGTCGGTCACAAGCTCCCAGAACGTACGTGGCTACACAATAGCCGGCACACGATTTCGTGAAATTATCGACAGCCTGGAATAAATATTTTAAAGTTGGTAAATTCAATTAGCAAGGTTACTGCAAACCACTAACGCGGCTGTGTTTGGCTTCCGACGGATTATGCTTGATAAGCCAAGATGCCAACGGCTTGTCTTTGAAGGCTCCGGTTACACCATGGACAACCTGAATTTTTCTGAGTGTTTCAGCGTTGTTTATGGCCTCAATAAACCCTGCAAAAAACCATGTCACTCCCATAATAAAGACAAGCCATTCCATTCCACTCAGATGACATTTAACCATAAAAATTGCAAAAACCAAGAAAACGCTTTAACTACCCCAGTTATTTCTAATGATTGTATCTGCATGCTACAACAAAAGTGCCACGAATTCCCAAAAATGCTCACTTCTCACTTGTCAGCATCTGGCAAAATAACGTACAATTTCGCATACAGTTACAAATACTTTTTAAGCGGAAAACCAGCACGTTGTATTAGTATTAATTTCTGAACTATACCGGTCGTTATAAATTTCAGTATTTACCTTTTCTCAAATCAGTCTGACGAATCGTAAATGTGATCATTTGCAAATCCAGGCCGTTCATCTGCCACATTTTGTCCATAATGCGAATCAGCTGCATGGCCAGCTGGTCCTGCCGTAAATCATCTCCACACTTATAGATCACATTAATTGCGTCAGCGTCTTCATCAATACTTTTGAAAGACAGCTTGATGGGAACAGTGAAAGATGGAAAATAACAACTTGATGGAATATCTAAGGATACCACTTTCCAGGCTGAGTTAATGGCCAGATTAACTGGGCCGTTCGACAAGAAATTTTGTGGCACCTGAAGAGCTGTCGTTAGAGCGGTTGTTCTCTGTGTATCTCGGGAGTTCTTGACAGTAACAGCTGTCTCAGTTAGCAGGTGGTTGAATTCTTCCTGCCGCATGAAATTGTCTCGCATCGCCCGACCACTCAAATTCAGCAAAGCGTTCAATATCAGCCGGTAACGATAGCCTAGCTTGGGGCAGTGAATATTTTCTTTCAAAAGCCTAAAAAATACAATTTTCGTAGTTACAGTTTTCAATCTATTTTCGATAATTTAATGCATGCATGTTAAGGCCAAGCATTACTATCAAATACTGTATTTCAATACTTTCAAAACTGTCGAGATTTTCACCACGAAATTTCTTCAAGCAACTTTTGAAACAAATTAAAAATTCAGCCATTTTTAAATAATTGTGTTCTTATCCCTGTCTATAACAAACCCTGAATTTTATAAACACCTGAATTTATTCTATAAACACAAAAGATTTGGGGTGGTAACGATAATAACTGAAAGCCACATACGTCACAAGTTATCGCATGCAACTTCCCCTAATATGCCACTGACCATAAACAATAAAAATGTCGTTGGAGCTCTATGTTATCGTTTGCACTTATGGAGGGCAAATGCCAAGCATACAAGCAATCAAACAATCATGACACTTACCAGTAGAGGTCGTGTGCAATGTTTATGTTGTGTAATGCACTCTCCAAAAGGAACTTAGTCAGCGCATTGGCATCATAGTTCTGCAATTTAATAGCCTGTACCAGCTGTGGCAAAAACCTTGACAATGCCTCGGTGGACGACTGCCGGACGCAGTTTACTGCGTAGCGGCGCACTTCTTCATCCGGAAACCTGAATTATGACAAACTTATAGGACACTCCACGAATATTATCTACATACCCTAGAAAGCTCACGTGTTCAATAGTAACTGCATGGCTTCCACAGGATTTAATTGCGGCCAGTTATCTAATATAGCATAGATGTCCGATAAAGACGCCCAATCCCATGCATGGGCCGCTTGAAGAATTCTCGGCAGCGCTCCAGGAAATGAGTGAAGAAAATTCCGTCTCTCCCAAATCAGCTCTTTTTCACAATGATCTAACGGTTGCAGCATGTCGCGCTCCAAGATATCTTGAAGTTTCTGCTGGACATGATCGTCAAGAGTGTCGAAATCCCGTTTGGTCGCATAAGAGCTGCTGTGCAGCACGGCCGGAAAAATGATTTCGTCATCGTACTCGGGTAGCTCGATCCATAACAAAGGCGAGTTAGGGTCATTAAGGCAACACAAAGCCGGTCCATCGGTGATAATTTGGTCAGTGCGCCACAGACCGATGATCTTATCCCCTTGATGCAAGTGGCACGTGGCCGTGGCCGACAGATCCCAGTCACAATCAAAAAGGAAAAATGATATCCAGCCTAACATCACGGGCGCGGATACTTCGGATGGTTTCTGTTCATCCTGTACAGCGGATCCATACAGTGATAAAATCACTTTGGTCTCACGAGGCAGACTGCAAATACTGATCGAACGAAATTCTATCCTGCAAACAGATAAACACAGTCAATGCAGAAATGTCAACCATGGCAAAACACTTTGCGCTATCTGCTTTGGATGAAAATATGAATAATGTACAACAGGAATGCTGGAATCTACAGTCAACGGAGACATGTGGTTAAGGGTAAATAAAACTAGAACCCCACTCAGTTAAAGTGATAAAGATGGGACAAACTATCAATCAGAAAAGAAAATCAATAAAACAGCTGTCACATAAGGGCAAACAGATAAAAAAATTAGGCTTGACTCAAGTCATGCGTATATCTGCAATATGGTTACAGCGTTTATTGAATTTCAAAATCAGGGCTCATAAAAATGTCATGATTTTCAAAAATGGATAACACATACTAAAATTACATTAAACTGATACGCTAACAGCTAACTGTAATGCACCGGGAACGCTTTCTACAAAAAATACGCTTTCTACGAAAAAAGCTGAGAAATTCTCAGATTCGAGAAGCAGACTCACGTCCGCTAAAGTCCTTACCATTGTTCAAATGCAAGTTTTCCGAAAAAACTGTCAGCCACTTGGACGGTGTTGCTGTCGACGGGTACGTGCAGATTTTCCCGAGAATAATGCAGCGAACAAGAAAAGTAAAACCCAGAATACTGAATTTTCCATTCCGGGGGAATACTGTGAACGGAATCGATATAAAATTTTACCGGATCCAAGACTGTGATCATCTCTCGTCTGGCTTTTACGCGTTCAGGTGGTTTATAAAGGGAAAACCGCGAGCGAAAAGTCGTGGTATATAAGTGGAACAGTCTAACAATAGCCGTTCGCAGCGCTCCGATAGTTGTTCTCAGATCCGCTTCTCCGGTAGAAAACTGCGACTGCAGGCGCGATGTATCTTTCGTTTGATTAATACTGGCTAAATGTGTGAAAGCAAACAGCTTATCCAAAGCAGTGGTTATGAAATGCGGTTCCAAGCGTCGTAGTTTGCTGCCAACAGCTTTGACAGTCTGCGAAACATTGTTATAGGGCAACTCTCCGGTTTTACCATCTTTGTACGCTTTAATATATTTTTCCACTTCTCGCTCAAAAATGTCTATCAAAATCTCGACATCCTCCAAACTGGGCTCCTTCGGCCGCTTACAAATGTCATCCAAAATGAAAGGCCGCTGGTCATCTTCCAGCGTGCGTCGCATGTCACGATGGTCATTCATGTCTAACAAACTGACGTTCAAAGGGGTTTCGCTGATGCGGCACGTGTGAACGTGTTGATAATCGGCTAGCGGAGCTTCTCCGGACAAACAATCCATCCGCCCGTGAATCCGCAACATGTAGCGGTTCATCTGCATTAACGATGCTTGATCGCCCTTCAGTTCGTACAGCACATGAAAGATGGCATGTTCCACACTGGTCTGCACATCGCAATCAAATGACACGGTTGCCTCCGACGGTCGATGGTGAACGTTTAACTTGATGCTTCCCGAGAGATTGCGCTGAAATTCTTCGACCATGGGAGCCCGGATGTAGCCCACATTGGTCAGTTCATCATCGTACCGGAAATCCTTCTGCAGTCGGAACACCATGGCGAAGAAGCTGCGCAGATTCTCGTTCTCGGATTTGGCCGGTGTCAAGGCTAGCCTATCATTCTCGGCATCAAATGGCGCTCGGGAAATAGATTTACCCCGATTATCCTTGGCTGCTTCGGCCTCCTTACTCTCCGAATCAATCAGACTGATAGTCTGTGAATTTCTTCGTGATTCCAAATCCATATCATCGATTCGCGTCCACCCACCCAACTCCCCATTCTCCAGCTGGACGGACTCGGTGGAGGAATCCGACGACACTGAAAAGGGCCGCAGTGGATCAAATTCACTCCAGTCGCTGTCGTGATTAATAGGCGCCAACAGGCCAAAGTCAATCAGATCCCCCGTCTTCTTCAGTCGCTCCGCCGTCTCCTTCTGAAACAACGAGACCACATTAACGGGTTTCACCAGGGGGGCGGGGGCGGTGGGGAAGGCGGGGGTGCTAGTGCTGGAGCGGATGAGTAAGCGGTCTACGGCGGGCGGTAGGAAGGAGGCATTGGGGATGGATGCCACGCGATACCCGGACAGACTGACATTCTGCAGGTTGGCATTGTAGTGGCCGTACGCGTGTGGTGCAGCGTGACTGGGCCAGGCAGAGGCATGGCCATTGTTGAAGCCATTCTCTTGAGGGAGTGGGCCCACGCTCGACTGGGACCAGCGCGGACGCGGAGCGGCGTAGGGGGATGTTGTCCCGCATGCATACAAAAGATTCAACAGATCATCGTGCGCTTTACCACGACTCGACACCTCCGACGAAAAATCAATCAGATTTTTCGTGGCACCTTCATCACGTTGGGAGATGTCTATATTCGTAAATAACACCGTTAACGATTCATAATTTTCTTGTCAGACTCACTTTTTACAAAATAATGTGATACTTCATTAGATTTTTCTAGCAAATTTCACCTGGTAGAGACATCAGAGGATCAAATTCCGACAGCTCCGACGGATCCAAGGTCGCACTGAATGGAAACTTTCACAGTGTACGTCTGCAGACATAACAAACGCGATCATGTCCGCCTTCCAGCTTTCAGATACCATAAACACGAAGACTTCCAAACACTCCCGTTTTCAAACATCCCCATTCAAAATGATTCACAGCTGTTCTGCAGAAATCTGGAAGAATTCCTCTAGTTGCAGTTCTCCAGAATCTTGGGATTATGTAGCCAATTGGATCAGCTGTTTATGATCCAGGTAAGATAGGCTTAGAGTCTTAGACAGCGTTGTTGCGCATGTCATCAGACATTAGCATTGAAACTGACTCTGGGTGTCAAATAAGTACAGCACCACATCATTTATTTCAAAACCAAGAGAAATACAACCACTTTTAGTTTTATCATTTTGCATTGTTAGCATCTCATTCGATACGATTTAAAAGTCGTTTGACTGGTTAACTAGCATGTCTGTCTACGGTACTTATCACCTTTCACAGTCAGTGTAGTGGCTTTACTACTCTGTTTAATATGAGACTGGAAGCGAATAGAGACGACAAGCTTGCAAAAATCGAAAACGTACACACACATTACAGTGCACAGTCACTTTGGCACGAGGCAAACTAAAAGAGGCGTGACCGCCGTGACGTATTAGTGGTAAGGCGTGATCCAGGATTTACGTAACGTGGACCAGGATCGCGGTTACAGGGGACTGGAAGAGAAAGAGCTACACGTGCTGCACGAGACTGGAAATATTTTATTATAAATAAACATACGAGTATAAATGGTTCTGTCGTGTGACGAGTTGTGACCGTTACTTATTTGTTCAACTAGAAGTATTCAGTCTTTACAAATAATTAATTAATGAACAATATAATGGGGTAGCATCACCACCATGGAAAAAAACAAGACAGCTTGAGCAGCTTGAGCTAACACTACTCGTACTAATCGTAAATAAAAGTTTAATCACATACAGCTGCAGAACGAGCAAAGCAAACAGCAAAAATGTATGGGTACTGTAGGATACGTAACATAAAGCTTATGAAAGGAAAACAATTTAAACAACACAAGTTTTCAGAGCGGTACGAAAACAATCCACAAACCGGCTTTAAATTAACAAGTAAGGGTGTCGTTTCCGGCACACTGGTTTACATTAGACGTTATTGAACCCTATTATGCAACGCATCGCTTTTTGTAAAAAGAATTCGAATGTACCGGCACATGAACTTACTTATTAATAATTATCATTTTCTTAAACAATACATCAATCGTACACTCGATCAGAAACAATTTTTCACGGAACTTGTGGCTTACATACGTGTCGGCAATACCATAAAAACTAATGAAGTTACTGTATGAGTACACGTGGAATAATGTAGTATTCACTATTCAGTTGGATTAGTTTTTATTTTCTGTATCACTCCAATGAGATTGCAACGGGCTGTTAAGCAAACCAAATAAAAATTCTCTCAAAATGTTTTCCTGTATGGGCCACCTCTCGTTAAAAATGTGATAACCCATTACTACAACACTGGTAAAAATTAAATATCAATTTAAAAAAAACGTACCAAACATCCAAAAATTATCTGTGCTGACCGCCAGCAACATTGGCACTGTGAACCGAGTTGGGATCGGTGTTCTTAGGAGCGACTGTGGAAGCACTTCCGACTGGTTGCTGAAACTGCCCTGGAACGACGGAATTATACCCTTGTTGGGATGGTGGATTTTGTCCGTAGCCTTGCTGATTGGTTTGCTGGTTATACTGGTTACTTTGTTGATTGTTGTACTGCTGGTTGGGCTGGCCTCCATATTGGCCACCTTGCGGCTGAAACTGCGATGGATTTCCCTGTTGTACATAAGGCGCTGGCGTACCACCGACGTTCTGGTAGTTACTATTCGGTTGTTGCTGATTGTAGCCCTGCTGCTGCTGGTTATTATACCCTTGCTGCTGTTGATTTGTATTGTAACCTTGCTGATTCGGGTTATAGCCCTGCTGCTGATTCTGCCACTGCTGTTGTTGCTGGTAGGGCTGCTGCTGCATATGTGGCTGATTGCCAGGATACTGTCCATATCCACCGGGATTATAACCCTGTGGCGGTCCTTGACCAGGATACTGACCATAACCGCCTCCACCCTGGGGATAACCACCACCCTGAGGCCCATTACCATATTGCGGAGGGTACCGATAGTTTTGATCGTGCGAGGCCAGCTGACGTTCGTATTCCCTCAACGCTTCATCACTGTAAAGAGGCTGCTGATCCAAGGTCTGCCAGGTGCTGTCATCCTGAAATTCGGCCTTTTTCGCTTGCGTCATGAACTCATCCAAGCTGATCATTCCATCCCTGTTTGTATCAATCTACAGTACAAAAGTTTTCTTCACAGGAACGATATACCAAAAAAAGAATGCTACACAAAACAAACTGGTACTTTTTGTTAGTTCATTAGCACGAGTAAGATCCCAAGTGCTATACCTCTTTCATAACATGTTCGCGCATTCTGGCCATTTCTTCGGACCGTTCACGCATATCATCTTCAGGTGCATTTGGATCGTACACCTTGTCCAGTTCTTTCTGAAATAAGGCTTCCAGTTCGCCTTGGTCCAAAATGTGATCTTCATTAAGGTCTGTAAATGTAGACAGTTACAACCAAAGAACCAAACAAAAACAGAAGATTAACGTTCGCACCATGGAGTTTAAAGAACGTCTTAGGTTCAAACTCCTCTTTCGGCAATCCGTCGCTTTCCTCCCATACTTCTTCTAGCTGAGCCTTACTACCCTAGAAACGCTTGGATAATAGTTATCGTGCCACAAAATTTAATATCGCCTATTAATATTTTGTTTTACAAACTGGAGAGACAAGTCGGAAAACAGAAATGCGAAACATTATGCGCTAAAATTAAGTAAGTAATGGTGCTACAAAATCGAAATTTCAGACAGCAATGACAAAATTTAAAGGAAATGAAACTCTATAACGGTTAAGGTTGAAGAGACGAGATTCCACTTACAGGATGGTGAACAGCGGGATGTTCTTTATGCTTCTTCTTCATATCCTCAAATTTTCGTTCTTCTTCTTGTTTGGTCCTTTCGTCCATAGCTTTGAGTTTCTCACGTCGTTGGTGCTCCTTTTCCATTTCATAATTCTGAAACTCTTGGCGACGTTTTTCATCGGCTGCTTGCAAATCAGCTGTAGTCTACATCACCAGAAGGCAGAAATTGAATTGAAACGTACGTGACAGTTCATCAAAAGTTCGAAATCGAGCGAACTGCAATAACACACCTGTTTTATCAAGCGCTTCAAATCTTCTTCGTCAAAATTATCCTTGGACGGATCCAGATGTGCGGGAATTTTTAATTCTTTCATGTCTATAAAAAAAAGTCAGCATCCATTTCGCAGAAGGAATGGTTTGGTGCTCGTGTTACCATTTCGATCAACCTGCTCTTTTACTAATGCTCGCAATCGATTCAGTTCCTGTCGTTTAACTTCATCTAGTTTGCTCCTGAGGTTGTGCGAAACAAAATTCAGTTCGTTGGCAATTTCGCCAGTCTAAAGCAGGAAAACGGGTAAGCACAAAAACTCAACGCAGTGACTACTTTTTCCAATTCTAACTGATTCGCAAACAATTTTCCTGTTTACAAACAATTTACCTTGAAATGCTCTGGATCGGCGCTTTCCATTTTCTTGCGAAAAGCGGGATCCGCCTCGAGAATGTTGACAATCTCTTTCAGATATCTGTCGTACTCCAAACCAGAATCCTAAATGAAAAACGGTTTGTGTAATCCTGGAACTAATAATAATCGTGCACAAAATAAAATAAATTCAAACCGCAAAACTTATTGCCCCGCAAATCGCGATACGCTGCAGACAATCATCATACGATCATACCCAGTCTTCAATTGTGCTGTTGCGAGAGGCTGGTTCCGGAGGCATAGTCGTCATCGTCACTGGAAGACCCTGACATTTCCATATTATCAATGACAACAAGCCCAAAATTTGCCATAAAAGTTCCATGTTAATATTAACGGAGTCTGGCACTGAGGGTAAGGAATTATGAGGCAACAGGTACCGAGAATCGTAAGGTTAAGCACTGTAGTCGTAAAGTCGTTCTGTACTTAACACCTGCGAAAAAACAAATCTCTCAGAAAATGTTCTTCACCACAGAGCTGGCAGTCTGTCGGTCGTGTACGTACCTGTATTTTATATAAGAAACCATCACACAATCAAAACAACGTCTCCCGTGTTCAGGGAATGCAAATCAAAATCAAATAACAAAGATCACACTTTGACAATGTCAGAACAGGCTTAAAAAACAACACGTGGAGGTCCGACTTGTTAATATCATACTGGTTTGTCAGTTGTAGCCAAAATTGCAACAAAAACAGCTTGGCTTTCACTAAAACATTTAAAAATAAGTTCACTTTAAAATCTGAAACCCAGACTACCACACATAGTACAAATAAATACCGTGAACAAGGCAGAGGCAGACACAAAACTACATTCTATACAGTAAAAAAAATAGTTGTCCTGTATCAAAAATGAAACGCCGTGTATTTCGAAAAAATTTATGTTACTTTGTATTTCCTAATTTTTTAACCACGGATTCCGGATATAAGAAACAGGCAGGTATAAACTCACACATCTGCCCAATAAGATTTAAAGAAGGGCGGTCCATATCCAGTTGGGTTGTGTGGATTGGCTAAAGGAGCCGGAAAACGCGAACATACTATACTGACTGCAGCTTGATAAAACTCCACAGAATTGAACTTTCGATGTTACTTTGCTTTGCCAGTTCCCAGCTCGAAATCGAAAAAAATTATTAATTTCGTTTTTTTTTTAACTGTCAGGGCACTGTATTTTGCTTTGGGGTCTTTTTGGACGAGAAAGTATTGCGACACAGGGCGCTGCAACTTGCTACAAGGGCTGTCGGAGACCGCTAGATTGAACTGCATGACGCTTTGTACCAGTAGTATTTTGCGGACTGTTTCTCGTGCACCGGGTTTGTTTGCGCGATATTCCCGTCCCTTGGGTGCAGTGCGGTCTTTTCGTCCGAGCATTTTCTCGAGAACCAATATTTGTGGTGAATCGGTATCCTCCACCCTGGCTGCCGGAGATATGCCTTTTCAAGCTCAAGAATTCGGTGGCCTTCATCATGAAGATTACCGGATCTTCTTGTCCCACGGAAATACCGCAATTTCTCCATTCCACGATGTTCCTTTGATTCCGGATCGAAGTACGTACTTTAACATTTTTCGCTATCGTCTCAAATTCAGTAAACATCATTATCATTGTCCTCCAAGACTTTCATTTAACGAAAGACTTTCATTGTCTGAAAGCATAAAAAATTATAATGGGAGAATTGCATAAATTGTTGTAATCTGCCTTCCACTTTTTTGGACAATTTAATTATTACCATTTTTTATCTTACTAGCGTTTAATAATGTTGTTTTAAAATTATGGTTAGCGTTGCATTGTTGCTTAAAAATTTGAGTATTTTGAATGCTGGTATATAAACAAGAACCAGAGCATAAAGTAGGTTTTGAACGAAACAGTACTTATAAGAAATATGAAATCAGTATTAAACTATTGTTCAATTTATTGAGTAATTCTCCGAGCTGGTGGTCTGTTTGCCCTAGATCTGAAACAATTACAGTACAAAATTACAGTACCTAACAAAAAATTGACTGCTTACTGAACTGTTGGCAGCTTGGATGGGTTGCATTAGGATTTATCGTTAATGCAAAATTTGAAGTTAATTAGTGTAAACCTGCGCAGGTGAATTGCTATGTATACTGGCTGAGGCCGAATAAAAGTACACACAAATTTGAAGTGTTCGCATGTATCGAGTTTGCTCTAATTACAGGCATTCAAAAAGAAGGAACGGAAGTTGACGGAAACGCAATTAAACAAGGCGTGTACAACATGGTGGTGGAGATTCCACGATGGACAAATGCGAAAATGGAGGTAGGGAGTAAATTTTCGAAGAGGTATAAATTATAATGCGTAATGTCGCAGGCCTTTTTTTAAAGGCTTAGTTGTCAGCCACTTGAAGTACAGGCTTAATATTACTGACTATCAATTTAGCACGAACGAACACAACAGAAGTTCACAAATTTCTTGTGAATGCATTATGAAGATTACTTCGTATTCGCGCTGTTTGTAGCTTGGTTCTTAATCATGTCTCTTTCCCTAATCTACTCATTTTAACCTGGACAAAATGAAACTTTCACAGAACATTCTATAACCTGAGAAATTGAATTTTTATTTGGCGTTTGATGGTACAGTTTTGTAGTTTCCTGGTTATGTGACTGAGACAGCCGACAGGTACATAGCTCGTTTTTGATGCGTTGATGATTAAAGTTTGGTTGCCCACAGATCAATACCAAAGAGCCCTTGAATCCCATCAAACAAGATGTGAAGAAAGGAAAAGTGCGTTTTGTCTGCAATGTCTTCCCACATAAAGGATACATATGGAATTATGGTGCATTTCCACAGGTTTGTTCTTTTGTTCCACGCTTCCTTTTTTTTACTGTCTGCCATGCTGCTTTCGTGAGTTATAATTGTCCATAGGAAACTGAATGTGTTGTGCGCCATTTGTCACTCTCAGAAATCATTCAGTATTTAATATTATGATGTATGCAATAGTGACATGTTGTTTGTCTCGTTTAATATCGATTGCGAATACATGCTAAACGTACTATCTCATAATTCAAAAAACCGTAAGCTTCATAATTGCTTACAAGTTATATAGTACCGCATTACGATGCATTTAATTAACAGACACATATATAGATACAGGAGAACTAAATGGATTTTTTTCGGTTTGTGAGTCGTATTCTGTTTAATTTTATTTATGCGTGTATGGAATTGTTAAATCCTAGAAACGTATTTGAAATTCGGATATTATGAATGCTATTTAAAAGTAATTTGACCGACGGACCGACCGACGGTAAAAGATTCCACAAAATTTCAAAAAAATTGTATCTGTATGGTACATAGCAAATTTCTGTTTTTTTTCCATGCTTTACTAATTACCATGTGTCGGTAACCACCGCCCTACCTGGTATTTCTGATCTACCCGTTGTAATATCGAGATTTAAGTCTACCACGGCACCTACATAAGGCTGCATTACGCATAGTAGCGAATTATTGAATAATCCGTAATAGTGGATACAATAATTCTCGTTCATGTTTACCTAAAATCCTGAAATTTTTAGGTAGGAGCCGTATTAAGAACCAGGCACTTGAATTTGTCGGTATTAAGTGGCTTTACGTAACTAGTGTTTTATTTAGACATGGGAAGACCCTGAACATATTTCACCTGAAACGGGATGCAAAGGTGATGGAGATCCCGTGGATGTCTGTGAGATTGGTCACCGGGTAGGTTACATAAAGCCTCTGGTGCTATTTTTAGTCGTTTAATCGATGTTCCCTGGTATCATAATCGGGATTGTAATGCTACGGAATTACCAGACCGGGCCTTTATGTATCTTTTAATCAGGTTGCCAATCGCGGTGAAGTGCTGCAGGTGAAGGTATTGGGTGTAATTGCTTTGATCGACGAAGGGGAAACCGACTGGAAGATTATTGCCATCAATATACACGATCCGCTGGCGGAGAAAATGAACGGTATGGCTCTCTTGGTGTACGCACAGTGCGCACATAATAGACTGTTTGCTTTTGTCGAAAACGTTCCATAATCCTTTGTGCGCCAGGATTGGTACTGGCCTGAGTGCATAGTCCTCTTGATTTGCTAGATATTGATGATGTGGAGAAGTATATGCCGGGCTTTATGCAAAATACCATTGACTGGTTCCGTTGTTATAAAATGCCTGATGGCAAACCGGAAAACCGCTTTGCCTTTGATGGAAAGGCAATGGGAAGGGTAAGCGTTAATAATAGAAATTAGAATGTATGGCTTTATAGCGGGCTTCGTAATTTTGATAACTTTGCCTTCGTTATTGGAAGGCTTTTAGTTAGGTTGTAATGTATTTTTAGGTTGATGTTTACCTGTTCTTATTTGCAGTATTTTGAAATGTCGAAGTTCCCAGATGTGGAATTTTTCGAAATTTTAGACAAATGCATTTCTGTCAGTGATTAATGCTTAATAGTAGTTAGATTGTAATTTTTTATGGCTTACCCGTAGTTTGGATGATATTAATTCAGCACTGACGTTAATTTTAGGATTTGGCTATCAAAGTGGTGGAAGAAACTCATCAATACTGGAAGGACTTGGTGAACAACAAAGTCGATCGTGGACTGAGCTGGTACGTTTTCGTTTTACCGACACGACGCGCGCGGTATGTATTAAGTTAGTCATCCAATATTACTGGTTTTGCTCTTCAGCTTGTGTTGTGTACGAGTTCTAATAATTCACTTCAGTTCGTAATCTTTGTGTACATTCGTGACTGATGTTTTGCTATTAGGAAATTGCTTTTTTTTGTTATAGTTGTAATACGACGCTTAAGGAGAGTCCGTATCTGATTTCTTCGTCAGATGCTGCTGCAGTTTTAAGCAAGCAGCCGAAGTACCGGAAAACAGAACCGATTGATCCTGTTCATGACACCTGGCATTACGTGAACCGCACCGCTTAAAATGAAGCTCGAGAATTCATGGCTATACCGTTAACAGAAATTTGTGTGTCATTCTTTGCTGCTAATTTACAAGTTAGTTCATGAGTTCCTGATCGCACGTGAAAAACAAGAAAAATTGATACATCAATTTAAATCAGTTTGGGATTGGGTTCTGTTGTTATTGTTTTCTTATTTAATTCCGGGACGTGTGAAATCGGTTAATATAGTCTTTGCAAGTTGCTGATAGTTTTTAGTTGTTGTTATAATTATTGTGATTTGTGGAAGTATGAAAAATCGTGACTTTCGATTGCTAAAAGTCTGAAACCATAATGCGGTACTTCATACGTGACAAGTAGAACAAGCAGCTTCACAGATGTTTTGTCTAAGCTCTAAATTAACACCAAATCTTTAAAATAGAAAAATTATTATATAAGACATGGACATAAAATTTACTCTTCATTATATTTCAAAATCAGTGTGGACTCAAATTTTGCTGAATAGAGTTACTTGCAGAATTAGCAATACACTGGAGCAAAAACCGCAGATATTTTAGAAGGTGCCGGCTGGCCTACAAACGGTTCGGGTTCACCGTATCTTAGCCGATCGAGATATCGCGGTACATGTGTGAGTCCGCGTTGCAGCTTTTGTTTATCTCTTTGGCAGCCTGAGTGCTTGGGCACAACGTTCGTTCGGTGCAGTTTGAGTTGGTGAACGAAATGGACCTTTTGATCTGGCGAAGAACTGTACATATCTATCTATCTGTATTTTAACTCAATTATTTATAATTTTGTTGTACATAAAAGAGCAGAGTTTGTTTATATGTTTACTGTAATAAGGTTTATCGCATCTTTCTGTGGTGTGCGTTTTCTGGATCTAAGACTGCATAACCCCAGTTAATAGTTATTATATGTACATGTACATGGATGAGGTCTTCTCATTTTATGCGGGAGCCTTCGTTATTGTGTATTCTGATAATCTGCTTTCGAAGCCTCATAGGCTCATTGCCGATGGTCGAAAACCGAAAGCCGAACAAGAAAGCAGTATTATTGTTATCATCCAAATACTGCTATGATTAAAGTATTGAGCCGTTATGGACGATAGAAAACTTGTGGAGCAGGATTTCGTACAATCGTATCAGGCTGTGATACAGCGGGCTTCGAAATCTCTGATAAAACCAGTTCATGATGTCTGCTGTGCTGCCGTTAATGTATCGAAGCAAATACAAGCAATCCAACCTTCCCAGGATCAAATTTGGGAAGTGGAACGCAAAGGCCGACTTCTGGAAAACCAGATTCTCTTTCTGCGCACAATGGAAAGACGGATGGAACTGGAACAGGTATGGCAAGATGCAAACCGATAGAATGAATCTTGTTAGCTGCTTAGCAGTTAATGCTTCCATAAAAAAAATTTAGAATTAAATAGCTACAAACGAAAAAAACTGGTAATATTTTGAGCTGGTTCACGCATATAACGACATGCTTAATTAGTAGATATTTTACTTCTACAGGTGCAGTCTGGGAACACTCCGCAGAAGATGGAATCACTGGAACAGCGCATGCAACAGTTGGTCGAAGTCACAGAAACTGAAAACGCTGAAAACGAAAATGCGCTTTTTGAGCAGAGAATTCTGAGCCTGCGCACTCTTCTGAAAAACAAATTTGATATCGTTGTCCCAGCTACCGTGGTGGCGCCTCCTAACCAAGGTTAAATCTGTTTTTTTACCAGAATAACTTTGTCGAAATTCCGACAGATGATTTTACTTTTGCAGTTCCGTCCGTTTAAATTGATTTTTACTATTTGTGAACTGTAGATATTTTGCAGAGAAAACAACGACAGCTGTGCAGAACCCGTTATCCTCTGTGGCTAAGCTGGATGCCAGTGTCTCCGTACCCAGTGCGTCGCCTAATGTGCCGCGGTCATTTCCTGTCACATCCACGCCCCTCAGTCAGGCTAAATTCCGCAGCCGAATTCCCCGTCTGTCTGACGTGCGCTCAGCTCAGAAATCCCCGTATCTGAAGCTGCATTGCCCGGACAACCAGATCCCGCGAATGGAAGCGGTCAAACCGGCAAACGCTGCCGGCTCGGCTGCCAAGTATTCCTTTGCTCAATCATTAGCCAACGACTCCTACGATCGCATCGCCATAAAATCATCCGCTGTCGCTGCGCAGATTCCTGTTCCAGCGGTACAGTCCTTGTCGAGTCCAGTATATCAACGCAGTGCTGTACTGCAGACGCCTTCCAAATTCCATACACCCGGCCAACGGGCCAAGCCAGCCGTAAGCAGTAATTCGAAGCAATGGCCGAATCGAGCGCCTGTAGTGAGCCAATCGAAATCAATTCCCGAACGCGTCCCTGTTGTTGTACCGCGAGAGCCCAGCCCTGCTAAGAATTCACTGGAAGAAGTGACGAGAATGATCAATATGCTCCGTAGTAAGCGCCTGGTTTGAGCCTTCGGAAGCGACAACTCGTGTTCCCCAGTTTTTTACAAGCGCTCTTTATGCCGTTTTATTTCAGTTTTGATTTTACATTAATGGTTCACAAAATGTATTTACAAACATTCATATAATGAATCTTTTCACCGGAAAAATTTTATCACAGTTTTAAAATAATGATTATTGTACGTTGTAATCACTGCATTGTATAGGCATTCGTCTGTTAGTGAGCGGTGGCTTTGCTGTCGGCGGCGTTTTGTCGCGGTAATAAATGAACTGATCGGCACGTGCTTTCGTTGTATACGTGCAGTGGATCCATTGGTACTATTTCTGCAAGCGATAGTTTCAGTAATAAAGTTTAAAACCCATCATCATCATCATGTTGCATCATTTATAAGCAACCGCTCGCTTAATGCGTAGTACTATGTCGCTGATCACCTTCATTTTTGAGGTAAAACAACCTCATTACAGGATATGTCACAGGTCCAGATTTAAGCGCAATGAAGGCGCACCGAACTTTGGGATTCTGGTTTTCGTGCAAGTTTAAGTGACCTGAAGTTAAAGAAACGAGGTGAAACTTCTTCGGCGATAATACTACTGCTTAATAGTTAATACCTGTAGTTTCCCCGTTGCTGTTCCAAAAACTGCTGTCATAACGAAGCTGGTAGTAAAGGGCCGGAAGATCGCTTGGAACGTTCACGGCATCAATCTGATATTCCACATCAACAGCTTCTCCAACATGTACGAGCACTTTGTTATTATCCCACAGTGGCAAAGTCATCAGAATCTTCAACTGCATCTAAAAGCAATAAACTTTCATGAACCAATTAAGTTCAAAAACATACTGAAGAAGTCAATTAACTGCTACTGTTTTAGTGTATCTTTTTGGAAAAAAGATATAACAACAGTAGACTATTAGTTAAATTTATATAAACAATAAGTGTATCTAGCTAGCTTATACTTTCATGCATCTGTTTCTGTACTTTGTTTCATGCCAATGAAATGAGTGAATCCATGCTGTCTACAGAGTACACAACGATACATAAACCGAACTCGCTGCTAACCTGACCAAATTGCCCAACCAAGGAGCTAGCACACAATTTTAGTGATGAGGAAGAATCGAGTAAATATTCTATTCCAACAACCGCTTTAACGGGCGCGTTAAGGTGGGTCGAAATCTTCCAAATAAGTTTGACTACTTCTTGGGGTTTTATTGTCTGCAACAAAATTTGTCAACAACTTTGTGTATTTAATTCGAACAATGGCTTACAAAAGTTTTCCAACTGGTAGTCAAGAATTCAGCAATGACACCATTCAAGGAGACTTGGCTACTCTTAACTGCCACAGGTTTTTCCAACCGATTCATTACAGCTACTGCAATAAGTTTTCCCACCGGTATACTGTGTAACGAAGTGGTCACTTTTAAGCAGCTGACAAAAGGGAATCTGAATTTACACGGGGTAGCACTCCAGGGAAAAATTACATTTATCTGCAACAATCACAAAATGTTTCTCAAAAACGAATAAGTAATCACTAAGTGCAGTTTTTTTATACCATAATGTTATGATTAAATCAGAAAACAAAGCGGCTGGGTTACCTCAGTATCGCTGTCTTCAGTATCACCTTCACACAGCACCACAAATGTTTTCTCGTAATTTGTCTGCAGTAGTAATTTTCCGGATTGCATTTCCGTATCCAAATCCGTATTCAGAACCTACTAGTATCGAATTAAAAGAAATGTAGCCCAGAATAACTTTTAAAAAACTATGGGGAAATTGTTCACCTTTGCAGAGGTTTGACTGACTGAAATCGAAAAAGGTATTTCCTTAACAGAATGAGCGCCGGTTACATATAGTCTAAATATCTGAGGCAGGTTGGTCCATAATGTGGCTACAAAAACGCAGTCAAATTCAGCGTACATACTCGTACAAACACGTAAGTACCTAGATGTGCTTTTATCTACATCTTCTTTGAAATTAACTTGATACTTCTTTCGAGACGTACAATTCTTATCCACCGGTTCGACAAAGCATTTAGGAAAATCGGAAACAACCTGAAGAAGTGGAATGTTTTCCACGCCGACAGCAAATTGGAGCGATGGGGAATGGACGATTCGGAGATGTCGTACTTGAAAAATGCCAGGATGGTGGAACTGCAAATTTGCATAAAACTTATTTGCATACGAATAAATTTATTCACGTATTATTCACTGTTGTGCGAAACGTCAGCTCATTCCTCCCCGGTACAATTTCACCGATGCTGCATTCCACGCATAAATCAGCTTTGGGATCCCCAATTAAATCCATATGAGCACTACTAATGGATGACTTCGACGGGCTGTCACGACCTTTTGTTACCAAGCCAAACTTCACGTTTGGAAAATTCCTTAAAGCATTTCCCGCGTCGCCCGCTCCACTCATTCCATCGTCCTGGACAGGGATCGACGAGCACGGAAGGTATAAGTCCTGGCGCATTGTGGGTTTAGTTGCCAGTAAATAGTCACTATCCCATAACGGCAAACTGGCCAGACGCCGAGCGGATCGTCGAAAATTTCCCGTTGAATTGTAAGTCAAATACAAAAAGCATTTGTCCACACGAACCGGTCCTGGAAAATTGCTATCGATGAATATGATGAAGTCCTCTTTCTGATCTATGAAATGAATCCTGATTTTTTCAGATGGATACGGAACAGTGGCTGTCAACAGATTGCCACTTCCGATCACAATGCCATCTCGCTGGCTTTTGGATGAAAGAATTTGTTGGAACAATTCAAAATGCTCTTTCCGTACATCAAAGCTTAACTGGAGGCATGATACTACCAATAAAGCAGCTTTGACAACCTATAGGGCAAAATTAAATTAAAGCGCACAGTGACGATGAAATAAGGTTAATATGCTCTAGACACTGGAGCGGTTGGGAACAAATACTTACTTGATCCCACTGTTGAATTTCTTTCATACACTGCACGTACAACACTGCGACGTCGGCCGAAGGAAGCTGTGCAACAAATCAACAATCCGAAAAATTACGGAATGAAAGCTCGATCATTTTATAACTCACCAACCAGCATTCGTCCTTCAATACTTTTAATGCATCAAATAAAAAAGCCGCTGCTTTTTCAAACATTTTCCACTTCCTAAAAGGGATCAGTGATCGCAAAGCTACTAAAGTTACATATCCTGATTGGAAAATGTTGGTTCTCACATATAATATTTAGCCATTGTAACGCCAAGATGCCTAGCTGCTCTTGAGCGACCTATGTGCTTAAATGTTCCCAGCGTCAGTTCCGACAACTCCAAATAATTCTTCATAAACTGCTCCCTTGACAGTAAACAGTCGTAGAGCTTCAAGACAGCAGCCGATTGTCGCGGTGCTTCAATGGCACTCGTCAACACTTTAACAATCCCACTTTGTTCCGGACTGGGTTCTTCATTCGGCATTAAGCCACATAGATCTCCCAGTCTAGCCAGCTACAACAATTATGCGAGTATGTTTTACCTGGAACAAATACACATTGTTCAATCCGTCTTATACCTCTTCGCATTCCAGTCCCAACAAAGTGGCACAGTTTTGCAATGTAAGTGGACTACTGTCCCCGCTGCTTTGAGCGATTTCCCTGATTTCGTGGCCTGTACAATCAAAATCAAAAAATTTGGTTAGCCTTTTACGACGAACACTCCGACGGTACTAAGGACACACTACATACATGCCAGAAACGTCCAGCACATCAATGCACCCGGTATGATCTCCACCTGGGTAAAGGTCATCCATGAAAAGATATACGGCCGATCACGATATTAAAGCATAATAAGGCAAGTTCAACAAACATTCTGCGCAGCAACTTACGTTAAAAAGTTTGCAGTCTTGATTGACATTTTGTATGAAAAGGATTGCTCGAGCAGTCAATTCCGAAATTCGATTGGTCTCTTGCAACAGGTCGTACTGGCGAGCAAAGAGGAAGCTGCGCAGTTCCAACAGAGAAACATTTCCAGCTTCGACCAAATGGTGCATTCTCCAATTTTCTTTGGCAGACATTGTCAGCGTCAGACCTAGCCAGTGTTTTGGAGGAACACTACACTGACTGCGAAGATGAGACCCTTCAGCCTCTAAATCAAGCATGCAGCACACATCAGTACATCTATAAACCGCCCTCATAATTGAAAGATCTTTAGTTACAAAAAGGTGTTTATAAAAATAAAAGGCGTAAAAGTGTTGCCTATAATTAACAGTGGTACCAGAAAAGTGCACAATTATGTAACGGTGTACTATACTCCTATATACCCTGAGCAGCGTCCGCAACGAATTGCGTAATGCCTTGGTCCAAATCGTCTAAATGCCATAAAGCTTCGTCTGGAAATTCCAGTTTTTGATATGCACTGGCTAACGCTTCCTGGAAAAGGACAAAAATATTGCTATTTTCCATGAGGAAGTCGTCCAAAAATAAGAAATGTTAAAGCAATTTTTGCGAAAAACAAGACAGTGTGACTGATGGATTTATATTCAGTGAACGATAAGCAGTCTAAATGGCCGCCTCGCGTTCATTCCCAAGACTGGCGAGTGGCGACGAAGTCTAACCACTTCAGAATTCACAACAAACAAGTTAAAACTGCTTGCGTTTAAATCCATTAAAATGCAACACAAGACTCCTTTACATGCACTGTGTACAGCTATCTGAACTCGTATCGTATGCGTCGAGAACCGATAGAACAGCAATTTCCCAATTCGCACTCATACAGATAGAAAGAAGCTCAACCATGAAATATTTATTATTTTCATCAATAAAACGAGGAGCAGTTCAGCAAAGCCAATAAAGATTAGAAAGCGTGAACGAAGCGAAATCATCCACTACCCACTTTAATAAGGGCGGATACTACACTGCAAGAAAGCCATAAATGCATTCGACTCACTCTCAGATTCACGTAGTCCGTCAACATCCATCCGGGCTTGCCTCGATCTTCCCTGGCAATACGGACTCGTTCTTCATACGCTCTCAGCTTTGCATCGTAAGCCTCAAAGATCAGGTGACGGAATTTTACTACAGCATTGTGCCAAACTTCTGCGTCGCCCATTCCACTTCGAGGATCCCAAATGTAAACACATCTGCACTCGGTGGAATAATAATTTTATCAAAGTTCACTTTTCCGAAAAAATTCCATGCAGCTCACCGTCCGCGGTCTTTCATTTTGGAACAAAATTCCGAATTCAATTTATCGTAAATATCAAAACGGGGAGTCGGCTTGGAACGAGGTGACTTTTTGGAATCCGGCTTAACAAGGACTACGATGATCCAATCGTGAACACCTTTAGATTCCAACTGTTCCAGCCAGGCTGTCAATTGATCTCTTACGCTCGGTCGCGGATAATCAACGAACTGCAAAGCAGCTTGCACAGTCTGTTTTGGTGCATTATTGTGAAACTTATCAACAGGCTGCCAATAATACGTCTCAAATTTTGAGATCTGTATGGATTTTCCAAGGCGTCTGTCTACATCATGCTTTTTGTTCTTGTAATGATTACTACAAAAAAACTTTTCCAAGAAAAAATTTTGATACCAATTTGCAACCTGATAGGAAAATTCTGAACGATATTGCGTATTAAAGCATAAGTTACAGGTGTAATAATTATAACATCAAGATTTTCAAAACACTTTATAATTATCAGAAAGCATAATATTAACATCAATCTAGCCGCAAAGGATTCTACCGCCCAATTAAGAAACAGTATGCAAGCAAATATCCGATCTGATAATTCTCACCTGGGCATCACACCAAAAGGAATGCAGAACTGGGCCTAAAAGCGTAGCTGAGGGATCGCTTGATAAATCTGTAGGAAGCTCCGTGAATTTTTGGAACTGCACGTGACAGTAGACATCTTTAACTTTTCCATACGATCTGCAGCAAGTTTCCATTTTATATTTGATTTATGCATACACCATTGGATAACATCATAACACGTTTAAATTAAGTTTCTACGTTGCGTTGCGTTGCAAATTAAGTTTCTACGTTGCGTAATGCAAAAAATTACATACCGTCGCCAGTTGAAGCACTCCGCTGCAACATCGCGAGCAAATGGTTCTTGAACATTAGCAAACGCATCCAAACTACCGGAATCTGCATACAAAAAGCCAGTTACAAGTCACCATCGTCACAAAAATGGGTGTTTCTTACATGTTACAACCGAGAAATTTTTCGGTGGCACGGAATGGCTCCTCTGCGGAATGTCGAAGGAAATTCTTTCCTCAGAAAATTCTGAATACTCCTCCATTGCGATGCTTGAGGAGCCAAACAGTTGGATATTACTGACAGTCTGAGCAGCGCATGAATATTGTTTTAGTGGACGATACTGCTCTATACTATAAACAAAGAACAAATGTTAGACGGGAATCATTTTGTTGCGTTTTCGCTGAGCAGTCGCTAAACTGCCAGAAGCAGAAAACTAAAACAGAAAAGTGGTAACGTTAATGGTTAATTACAGTACTAGTACTTTTTTATCGAAATAAAAATATTATTGTGTACGTATAACTTTACTCATACCAGGCCGATTAAAGACTGGCCTCACGTAACCTGCTCCCTCATGCACGTGTACGAGTCTTTAAACAACGCCAATTTTTAGGGATTTTTGGCTGCTGCCCAGTGTCCGGCCAGTTGTCCGTTGTCGAAGAACCATGGCAAACTCATCAAACTGCAAGTACGTAATGGTATGCCATCGTAGAACTATTGCCAGTAAGTAAGTTTATAATTCTCCTATGGAACACTGTGATCAAACTAAGCAGATAGGCAACAGATCACACTCATGACTTGTACTGGTAGTGAGTTTGCGACTACATGGATACAATAAGTATATTGCACATTTGGCGGAAGCAGAATGTGCAATATACTTCTCAGGGAAAAGAAAAAAGCAATACACAGAAGTGTTGTATTTGAACCTCTTTTGAAGCAGCTTTCTGGAATACCGCTCACAAGCGCCATGACTACCTGTACTGTCCCCTGGGCTTCGAAACCCTTGTACCATTCGGACAGGAAACCATTCCCCTTATCGCGAAAATTGGTAGACGTCGAGATGATACTTCTATGGCAGGATATCAGCGAGGCACTCGCGACGGAGTATCTATGCCAGCGGGCTAGCATAGAAGTCCAGCGTGGAAACATACCAAACTTACTTGTCAGATAAAATGTAAATTTGGATGAATGTCCTCTGTAAGCCGCTCTCGTCTTCACCGACCGATCGGGCCAGCAGCAATGCGATCCCACCATCACCAATCGCCCAATTCCCACGCAAGGAGGAGACAAGGGATTACAAATCGTATTCTCCAAGCCTCTAATTTTATAGTGCAAATATTTCGGTGGAAAAATGTTAAATGTGGCATGTTCGTACTAATTAGCTATAGGCGTACCAACATGTACATCTGTAAGGACGAATATCTATACTTACCATATAGATATAAGTACTGTAGTACAAATACTAACCTGCTTTTAACGTAAATCTCTTACTCTAAGCCAAAGTACATACTGCAATTTTTGATACCACAGGTCCACAGTCAAGTTGAGTAATTCAGGGTTTTATTTGGTCGATCTCGAATTAATTCGTTAGGTAAACCAAGAACGTTAGCTGAAAATAAATATTATTGGTTGTGATGCTTCAACAACCTAAGATATATTTCTAAAACGTTTTACTGAAGCCGCATACACCATAGAAAATTATTTGCAATCCCCAGCATACAAAAACAATGGCCGAATTCAAGATGTCATAATTGTGTGAAACTTTAAAAGGTCCGCGAGGAAATAATGAATTCCAAGAACGCATGGCTGAATGGATATCTGACATTCATCCAGCCCGCTTCAACAATGTATCCCTGATTTCCACGGAATAATTGTGCAACTGGGATAAATCTGAAATTAACAAAACGCCTCTTATTCTGGATATAACGAATTATTTTACTGCCCATGAGATCGGAAGCTACGAGCACTCGTACCGCATGTTATGTCAATTCAACCCACGCAGTTGCAAAAGTAAGATGAACTTTCAACAATACAGTTAGTGTTACTAGTACAATGTTATTGTACAATACTTACTGACTTCAGAAATCACAATATTGCGTTTGCACTCTTCAAGGCAATTTGTCAAGCGATCGGAACATGTTTTACCAAGAGAAAGAGCTTTCTGCAACCTCTCGTCGGCTTCGTCGTAAGAAAAATCCACATAAACGTTGGCCTGAGCAAAACCAAATAAATCATTGTCACCGAAAAATGATCAGGCACAATAATGCCAAACTTGTATTGTACGTACCCCTATGTCCAAAACAACTTTTCCATCGGGAACAACGGCAGCTCTGGACTGCATCTGATGGCCTATCACGTACCGCACTGTTTTCTCGTTTTGCTGGAAATATTTTTGATTTTAATGACCCCGGTCGGAAATAAATCCACATACGAAATCCCATCTAGGTTTTTACCTGTTTCCTCAGTTCATCTATAGTACGCAGCATCGCCTGCCAGTGTACGATTAAAGTTCTGAGTCTGGAAAACAAACGCGAACTTGATAGATACAACTAAAACCAATGAAACTGCGTCTCTTTGCAAATAAAGTCACTAGTACACTTTACAAGTACACTGTTTCAGTGTAGCTACCCATCACCGGCAATAATCTCCCCTTTTTAATAAACAGCGTACCTATTACGTTTCATTTGGACATTTGCCTCCACGTCTTTCCATGCAGTCATAACCACCTAAAACGAGAGGGGCGCTGTGTATAGCAATCAAAATACAATCACGAACGAAAAAGTGCTATCTTTTCTTCTGTCTTCCGTGCAATATGTAAGTCGTTGTCTCACCTCTTGTGCCGTGGCGACCTGATTGAGTGCTTCGGCAGTGGTGAGTTTTTCGACCATATCATCACGGTTCTAGATAACACTGTACGGTCAGACATCCAGGCATGCGTGAAAAAGGCATACATCTTACCAGTGGGGTACCTCTACGAATTCCTTGAGGGCTGCATATTTTTTCCAACTCTTCTACTTCTTTTTCTATGCCCGGAATCAGTCCTAAACCCACGCTCATTGTCACGGGGCACTCACAGGAAAGAGGTCCAAAATTAACAACGTCAAGCTATTCAGAACACGGACTTCAGAGCATCAAGCCGTTCAAGCGCTTTCTGCGGTTTTGCTCAAAGGATCAGTATAGTATTTAATTACCCACTCCAATTTCAAATTTGGTCCTAAAATCTGAAAAAATTTCGCGTAAATGAATTTGATACATATCATTTAGCAACCTTTGGCTTGAGGGCCACGAGCCAAGCTGCCAAGGCAACATTTTGGGGACTTGAATTTTCGGGTGCCTTACCACTAGCGCATACACGAAAGCCCTGACGCCGAGTAAATTGGTAACCGCCTTGCGGTTTGCGATTGGGTTGTACGGTTACAAGGTTGAAAAATTGATTGATAATAAGTACTGTAAAAATTAATTTTTGATTTTTGATGTTAAATTTTGTTGAAATTTCGGTTATTTCGCCATTCCTTATGTAACGGGGGATTCCTGTCTCATGTATTAGTATGTACGAGTATGTGCTTGGTTGTCCCGCCTCTTGTATTTCCTGTTCCTGTACGAGCGGTTCAGTATATATAGCGATGTATTTCCTGCGGTATCTTCAGTCGTTGGGTTAGCAATATTTCGAGCAGTATCAGCCGGTTCCGTTGCCCGTTATACTTGGAGTCGCATACCGAGAACGAAATTTTTTTCAAGTCGACAGTTTCAGTGCCCTTTAACTTTTACCACCGCTACCCCTCCGCCTCCCTGTTGAACAGTGCCCTTTAACTTTTACCACCGCTACCCCTCCGCCTCCCTGTTTCAACAGGTAAGTCTTTATGTATCACGTCCAATTTTTTTTTCTCAAAAAGAACAATTTCAACTGTTACCGATCCTAATACCATTTTCGAATTCCGTAACGCGCCATTTTTTAAGTAATTAATTAACGATCGTATAGTCAGCTTTCCGCAGTTAGCAGGCTGTTTGCAATAGTTAATAAGTACTAATTACCAGCAAGTCAGGATCATGGCTCTAGACCCGCAAGCACTGCAGAATATTCTTAACACCGTTAATGCCGCTTCCGCTCAGCAGAATGCAGCTTTACAGCAAAGCCTACAGAATAACGCTACTGCACATCAGAATTTATTGAATTTTTTGAATAACCAGAATGCCGCTGCAGTTACCCGTATAACATCTCTCGAAATGGGTGATTTGCCGAAGTTTGGTGGTTTTCCTTACGAAGACGCTCAGGACTTTTTAACACAGTTTGAGACGATGGCCGTTGCTAATAACTTCACACCAGCTAACAGAATCCAACATTTTGCGCTCTGTTTGAGGAATAACGCTCTTCGCTGGTATACCGCAGAACCAGCAGGTATCACATGGCCAGACCTTCGATCCCATTTTTTAACAGCTTTTGGAAAAACTCGTTTTGAACTCGATCTCGTGAATGAAGGTTGCCGTACATTAGCATTTACAGATCCTCGTACTTTTGTTTACCGTGTCCTTGATTACGTGGAAGCCAGTAATCCCGCAGCTACCGAAGCAGAAAAGACAGTTCGTCTCTTTGAAGCCTTGGCCCTTGAATTTAAACCGGCATTCGTGACTAACAGCCCCAGAACCGTAGCCGATTTTTCAATCGTTTACGTGATGTGTCCGTTAAGCAACAATACAAGCTCGCGATGCAGAATCAAAATTCGTCATACCAGGCGTCCAATAATGTTACAGATCAGTCAAATCTCTCGTCGCTATACAGCCAACCGACAGCGCCTAGCTCTAATCAGATAGAGATTGTCGCTCATAACCTGATGAAAGGTTTGGATGAAAGACTAAAGCATCTTGCTGAACAAATAAAGTGTTTACAGGAGAATAACGAATCACAGGGCAGTTACGATCTTTCTCAGAATTACTTAACGGGTAATGCGAACCAGTCAACCCTTCGACTCACAGATGCGCCAAGCCATGATCATCTTTGCGTAACTTGATCATTGTATGCTTCCCGTTTGGAGCGCAGGCACAGTATGCACAGGCAGAACAAGATTCTGAAGATCGTTATCCGATGTCATTCGGTGCAGCACAGCATCCACCAACAACGCAGCAACTGACTTTTAACACATCCGGTAAATTACCATCTCAGGCGCAACAGTTTAGGTCTGCAGAATCTCAGGACACCGGTAGTGCACAACCGGCGTATTCGAGATGGCAGATTTAACTTTTCTGGTCTAATTGTCGTTCGTACGTGAAAATTTGTTTCGGTTTTGTAAACTAAAGTGCTCTTTGAAAATTTTGTTAATATTATATTATTGTACTGAGTTATTAATGATGCCTGCCCGTTGATTTTGAAGGCTGCAGCAGTATTTATTGTTATTGAGAAAAGGGCAGATAAGTGAGAAAATTTTTGAGGTTGACAGCGCTGATTCGCTGAATATTTGTTTGATGATGGCCAGATGTGAAAAGCCTCGCGATGGTAACGGTAATGGTTTATCTCAATGTAATGTGCAGAAATGAATTTTGGGATATATTTAAATTGTTATTGCATATGCGCAGCACCGCTTAAATCTTATCTATCATTAATTTTCCGCCGCTGGTTCGGCTAATGACTTAAAACGCCAGATGTTGTCGTCTCCTTTTGGGCAGCCAGAGATCGTTAATGTCAACTTAAATTATAAAATTTTCAATAAAATCACTAAAACCAGATGTACCATCATTTAAAGTTAAGAATAAATTCCAACTTATCGCATTCCACGAAAATAAGATCCTAAATCTAAATGTCAGCGTTCACAACACATGACGGCATGCTTGGCACAAAAACATGAACTATTATTCGAAATTCCCATTAACTGGTGCGGTTATGTGGTAGTACTGCAATATGCGCATTGATTTTGGTAACAGACAATTATGAATGTTTGCTTCGACTGCAAAGAGAAAAATTGATTGGTTCAGTTTAAGGTTGTGCAAAGTTTATGGTAACAGTAATGCGCGCATTAATTTGAATAATAATTCCGCCGAACAGAAGACGCAGCTTGATCACCACTGTGTACCACGGCAGCTCAAGTAAGTATTTGTGTTAAACCGAATTACGCTAATTACGCAAAATGAAATTAAAGTAGATCTACGAAATTAAGAAGATCACTGAAAATTTATGGAAAAGGGCTTTTGCACGAGCAAATCTATTTATATTCGCTCATATACGGGTGCGTGCTATAAACGCCCATCCTTGTTTCGTTGCGTCGTGACCTAATTTTCGACCATATAGACGGGCCACGGCTATAAACGCCTGCCCTTGTCCGTGCCCTCTGTTTCTATTGTGTCGTGTTGTCATCCAGGAGCACCTATAAACGGTCCCTGTTGGTTTGATTCTCTTAGTCAAGCCCTAAACATCGGACGATCTAATGCGCGAAAGCTCAGCAAGTGTCATAATTTCGAAAACAACTGCCATATGCACAACAGCTAAAAAATTACTGGCAACTTTGTGTCCCACCGGTCGAGCTCGCCTATTGGTAGTCTACCATCATCACTGCTGCACAGTGCTTCTGACGGTAAGTATTTTGTTTATATTAAAACGCGAAATTTGTTTTTAAAAAAATTGTATATTTCGTGCGCATATCGCGGTATTGGAAAGATGGGCGTCCCTTCCATAGTTCGGGCATAAAAAGTATTTGTTCTGAAGTTATGCATTGTCAGATGTTGTTTTGCTGATATTGGTTTGGACTTAACTCTGGTTAGCGAATAATTTTTTTGTAAAGCAGCAGATTACGACAGTACATTTCTCGACGTGATTTAATCTTTTTGTACTTGTTTCGTTAATTTATATGTCATAGTGTAAGGGCGTAAGTACATCTTTTCAATAATTCAAGAACAGAATCTTAACAGATAGTACTGCCACTTCCGTAATATTAACAGTATGCATCTTTTGTTATTTCTTGCCACTCTTTTGTTATTTCTTATTATAATTTTATTAGCAGCCAAACATGTGTCACATCTTGTCACCTATTTTCCTTTTTTTAATCTTGGTTTTGCCAGTCGATTATCTTTTTTAGCCGGTCGTACTATTCTCAGCAATTCTGTATAGCCAGAACAGGGAAGATCATTGCATTCGCTGGATATTCATTTTCCATTTGGCCCGATGAAGCACCTCTTGATTTTATTAGGAAAGTAACTTTGGCCCGATTCTCTCCCCGCTCTATCTTTTCTCTTGTACACGCCTCACCAGTTCTCATGTATCCATACATCCCCGTCGCATCACTTCATACAAACAGAGAGCACAGGTTCTCTCTTGCCCCTATCATCCTGTCTGCACTGCTGATCCTCATAACTCTGTCTTGCACTCATCACTCGAATTCACCCCATTGTAATGCGCTCGCTTTACGTAGTATTGCTCTCGTGCCTTTGTCTCTCCCCATCTCATCCGCATTGTCTTCTTATCTCGCTCCAGTCATTGTCCCTTCATGCGTCATTGTCGCAATATTACGCCATACATTGACCGAACTACTATATACTTCATTGACCGAAAGATTGTCGCAAGGTTTATTTTGAAGGTGGCGTTTCTGGAATATTTGATTTGTATTTGCGGCAATTTTCAACAACTGAATCGTTAAATTAAATTAGCGCGTTATCTGAAAATTATAAAAGCATTTGTAAATATAAGTAGGGTTGCGTCAATGTGCGTTCAAGTTTTTCAGAACCAGAAGTTTGTAATGATTTTCAACTGGTGTACTGACGTCGTGGACATCGATATTACACTTCCTTTCCCAAGACCATTATGAACCTCGATGTCGCATGTCTGCATGGACTAAGTGGTCATTCTTTAACGTCGGATGGATCGTCGGACGGATACAACAATTAACGTCGTACGTGGAACCGGACGGATACAGTAACTATCGTCCTACGTGGAACGCTTCGGAATTCGGATCATATTTGCCCTATTTACCTCTTAATTTATTACTAATGTTTTCGAACTAAATCTACGTTTGTACTCCCAAAAAAATCTGATCGTGATTTCTCTAATGTTTTTGCAAGCTTTGAATTTTCTTTTGTATATGTTTTTTGTTTATTGTTCCTGAAAACATTCTGTTTTCAGTTTGGTAAGAGGGGAGTGTAACGGGGGATTCCTGTCTCATGTATTAGTATGTACGAGTATGTGCTTGGTTGTCCCGCCTCTTGTATTTCCTGTTCCTGTACGAGCGGTTCAGTATATATAGCGATGTATTTCCTGCGGTATCTTCAGTCGTTGGGTTAGCAATATTTCGAGCAGTATCAGCCGGTTCCGTTGCCCGTTATACTTAAATTATTGTATTTGCGAGAACTTATCTTGTTATCGTTCGCTTTAGTTCAGTGCAAGTTAGTTAGAATATCATATTGATTTCGTCATAGCCCTGGCCCCTGGACGTTTCGGCTTAAGTACCAGTGCACCACCAAGCCGTACGCTTTTCGCAAGCCATCCTTCACGGCGCACGTATTCTCAGAAATTGTGACAGTTTTGAGTTAAACGTTAAACGAAAATTCTTTCAGTCCATCATGGAAGCAGCGCAGAGAAAAGTGGAAGATGCAGTGAACAAGATGTTGACTGAAGTGGACAGCAGTCACTTGCGAAAAGTTCAGGTATCGTTTCGTGCTTTTTCTTCGTGCTGCTTTTGCTTGCTTTCGCGAACCTCGGGGTTTTCCGTTTTTCCATCGTTTATTGAACTTGTATACTGAAGTTCTTTGTTTTGGATAAACATCGTGAAAGATACACTAACGTTAACGACATCTTGTCGCTTGCAGGGTCAGGCGTTTAAATGTTGTGCTTCATGCTGCGATGATACTCGCAGCTCGATGGAGGTTCGACAAAACTGCATTGGCAAGTGCATGGAACCCGTTGCCAATAGCCAGGATATTTTGGCTGCTGAGTTGTCTAACTTTCAGGTACTCAGGTTGAGTCTACGGCCGTGTAATCGTCGAAGAACTTGCTAACTTCGAAAAGAAAGATGTGTTCAGTGTTGATGCCTTCGCTTTTTTTTAACTAGGCTGGAACGTTTTTTGTGTATAGATGCGTTTGGAATATTGTTTGCTTAACGTGTGTATTTTCTTTGAGATCAGTTTTCAGTATTTTATTCATTTGGTACAGTCGTGGAAACGTTTTTAGAACCTTATTTCGTACATTTCTCGAAGACAGCATTTGTATTTGTAAAATTGCTTGCCCACCGTATAATGTGATTTTACCTGTAAAATGATGCCTTTTTCGACATGCGGGATGCACTATCAAAACTGTCAATAGTACCGCCCGTATTAATCGAACTGGAACTACAATGGGGATTTAAAGGACTGCAAATGTATGACTGACCGCTTTCGAAGTTCTAAACTTCGTTTCATGTTTTCAGAGTCGGATTGAACGCTGCGTAATGGACTGCCACGACCAAATGCGGGACAGAGGTGAAGACACTAAAAAGCCCTCTGCAAAAATGTCCGCCGGTTTCGATGCGTGTGTGGCATCGTGTGCGGAAACGCACATCAAACTTCTCCCAAGCATAACCAAAAAGATTCAAGCGCAATTAGCGAAATTTTGAACGATGTGCGCGAGTCGGTATCCGTCTTTTGTTTGTTGTGGTTCTTAAAATGTTGGCAAGCGTGAACGCTTTTTATTCTCTTAATGGTTGATTGTGTATCTTGTACGTACCATTATGGTTGTTTGATTATATGGCAGGTTAACTGGACTGCCTTGAGAAGAAAATAATAAACCAAACTTCAAGCAAATTGGATGTCAGTATTTTTTTATCGGCTTTGGGTAGCTGCAACATTTTTGCAATGTTTGATTGGAGCATAAAAATATTTTGCATGATTGTTTATATCGACGTACAGAAACAAATAATGAATGGCACAAATTCAAGGGGTCGATTGTTCTGTAAATATTCGATGGTAAATAAGTAAAAGCAGCAGGAAATTCTGCTAATAGAAGTATAGATATTTAAAAGTTACTGATTATAATAATAGTGCTTATGGTTAGTAGTTTAACGTAGTGCAGTACTGCAAAGAAAATTGCCTGCTAAAGATGACGGTAGTCGCTGCAGTGGTATCGGGACGGTAGCAGTAATCCCATACCGCGGTAAATACAGTCAATAAATTGTGAACCCGGAATACGATTAATCAATAATGTAAAAGGGGGTATTATTGTCTAAAATTTTGGTACGAGTATACAAGTAGAAGTAGATATTATATAAACCAAGGGTATTTTCTCTCCATAAACTGTAGGGAAACGATAAACGCTGCTTAAATAATTATATTATAAATAAAATTGTAAAAACTACGCCTGTATACTATATAGATATAAATATTATGCAAGGCGCAAGCTGAATAGAGCACTGAAGAATTACCCATCACAAGCTTGATAATTCGCTCAGAAAAGTGATTAAAACCCGAAATGTATTATCTCTGAAGTAAACGAGCATATCTCTATCAGTCTATTACAATGAAAAGGATCGTCATCATATTATAACTGAGATGGATATATGGATATTTAGGGTTGCAGAAATTTTGATTCAATTAATAATCTCAATTATTATACTGGTTCATTTTGTTGGTTGTTAATTATTTTGTTCCAACCATACGGTCCATACCGGTCCACAGCAACCATACGGTCCATACCGGTCCACAGGCACTGCACATGTGTGGTCAAAATGTAGTATAGATATAATTATGGCTCTACGTATACCTCGCCTTTACGTGCAAGTACTGTACAGTCTTATGTACTGTACAGGCTTATGTCCTGTACAGGCTGTACAGGCTTATGTCCCTATTCACCTTGCTTATATTTTTACCATTAGCTGTGCCTTTCTGACGTTTTTTTATGGTACTCGTACTCTTCCGACAGTGGTATTACTGTAACACGCATTTATATTGTACATAATAATAACGCTTTATACTGGTGGCCAATACCAAAGCCTCGATCCTCATTCAGTATAAACAGTGGGCCAGATCTCACGAGAGCAGACATATTATAATATGTCTGCTCTCATCTCACTGTAAAATTAGCTATAGTTTGTACTGCAGCAGTTGATGACGTCTTTAACCAGTTTAGTTTTTACGGCATTTAAGTTCACGTACAGCCGGTACCGGTACAAACGGTACAGTGGGATAAACTTACTGCGAATACATTGTACATGTAAGGAACGCTGCACAGAAAATATTAACAATTAGTTCAGATATTATTCAAGTCTGTGATATTTCTCCTTAATTATCCCAATCGTGGTGATCGTTTCCCACACCATAAGAAACAACAACCACGGACCTGCTTAGCCTGCGATGCTTTACTGTGCAATCTGCATTTACAAGCGTCGCACTATCATATATAGAAACCCTGCATAATAAAGATTGATTTGATTCATTCAGGAGTGATAATTAATGTGAGCTGAAAGTAGTGCAGCACACTGCACGGAATACTCATCATGGAAAGCAAAATCTATTTCCATTAGGATACTTCTGCTTTAATCTGTAAACGGACCAGCCATATCTGTATTTCTGATTGGTGAAAGAGTTTTCCTATCGGATACTGCAAGAAGTAACTGACGTAAGTGTGTTTCCTAAAATTCCTAAAATTAAACAACATAATGCTAAAATTAATGCTGCGTATCTTTGCACGTAAATTTGCATTACCTAAATTATGTTAATGCAGTATAAACTATAAACCGCTACGCAATAATTTTCTTATCATTAATCACGATGATGCTCATAATTCAGAAATATGTGCGTAATTTCAGATTTTTAATTACTGAAGGCATAAATGCACATTGCAGGGAGGTAACAGTCGGTAGGTAATTATAAGCATTTGAAGTATATGATATTTGATGTAAAAAAATTGTACAAAATCAAAATAACTATCGTGTTCGAGAGCCCATATTTACCGTTACTGTGTACGCATACGGAAATATATGTACAACGATTTAAAATGAACCCGATGTTACCTCTAATTTGTCTTTGATTTCAGTGTTTCACGATGTACGATATAATGGCTCTGTATTTACGATAAGTAATAAGTACAATATATTTTATTTGAAACTGAAAAATCGCCACGCATGTGGTAGATGTATTGTATTGTATCATCGGCACACATATGTTACAGGCAAACTTTTTGAGGGAATTATTCGAACAGCATGAAGTGTCAATAGTTTGTTATAAAAGGCTGATAAGGCGATAACATAATTACTATTGTCCCTAGTCATCGGCAAAAGTGATTTTTATAAGGGTTTGTGTACAGTATACCTGTAGATTGAGGTAGACCGCAAGCACTTTTTTAGAAAGATAAATAACCTGATGCCCGGGAGACTTATATTTGTCAATTAATCGCATTTACTTGCGATGTACTGCCGATTTGCCCTTGCCGATTTGCCCCGAAGGAATATGGACAAAAATATTTCTCTGCCATTAAACACGCACACATAAGCGCATTTACCGCTTAATATTAGAGTAGCTGCTTACGAGTGAAATATAGATATACTTTAATTAGTCTTTGTCGTATGCTTTGTTTAATACGTAGAGTAGTCCATATACGTATCACTTTTTATACATAATTACCAAAATGCCGCTGTGAAGACGAGATGTGGTGATGAAACACGAGGGATTGCAGAAACGCCGGCTTTCAAGTGTCTATATATTATTATCTACAGACTGTTACCTCCCTTCATCTATGCCTTCAGTAATTAAAAATCTGAAATTACGCACATATTTTTAAATTATGAGCCTAAACCTTTCTATTCCTACATCAGAAGATATAAATAGCTTTCAATTTATTTGCAGTTTGATATTTATTGTGGGATTCAAGCGCGGGATTATAGACATACTGTTGTTTAAAGACGGTAGCGCTTTCATCTCTAATAAGCATTTACTTCAAACTTTTAGTAGTCGTACACCAAGTCTGATTCTTGCTTGTAAGCTCTAACCAATTACTAACGGCAAAGGTTTGGACGTGAAGTCACAAATTACGCTGATGCTTTTCTAAATTTATAGATGGACCACAGCCAAGTTGCTACTCCTGGAAATCTTGATATCGCAACTTTTCCACTTAGTGTCAGAGCGTCGGATAACCACTTCTCACGATTGCAGCGCAGTCAGTCGGTTAAGGTTAAAGATATTGTTCCTGCCGGTTTCCAGGATGATTTCATGGCCACATTTGAACGAATGGACGCCATGTTTGACGAAATTGTAAGCGCAATGCCAATTACGGACAACATTAACAAAATTTTGGGCTTAATTTGCATCATGTTAAGCACTGTAGTACGTATCATCGTATGTTAGTAATCGTTGCTTCTGCTTAACAGGACAACATAATGCGGAACAGCGTGCGAAAGCAAAATGTCTTAGCGCACACATACAGCGCGACGTCTGTTATGACATACGTAAATAATGGAAACGGACCACCGAAAATCTATCAAGCTTCTAGCAGCACATGTTCAGCACCTGGCGGGGTAATTATATTGTTCGGGAAGAGAAAACTGTCAACCGGCGTTAAATTAATGTGTTACTTTATTAGCCTGCTATAATCTTGCTCATTGCGACACAATATATGGATGCGTACTGTACATAGAATAATAGAACTGTCTTTTCTTAATGATAATAATTCCAGTCTTTTTCATATTTTTGAATTACAAAAGGTCTGCAGACTGACGTATTCTAGTAAGCAATGAATGTTTAATTAATTTTGATAAAGAGTGAATCTTCTTTCAATAAAAAATTATCTTTCTTACGATGGAAAACATTATCGGCTTATTTACTCTACTCGTACACTACTGCATTTACAATTAGTTACAGTAACTGCTATGTGCTTATATAATTATGTCATCGTGCCACGCTGGATTATGACCTGTTGCGTACACGTGTGCGACTTCCAGAATTGCCGTATGTTGTAAAGGCAGGCGGCGGATGTTTCATCCACAAACTTTGCTATGAACAGTATTTTCAAACGTTTTTTGAAAAATTTGCTTGTTTCTTGATCCGAATGATGGTTCTGAAATCTTTATGGTCCAATTTCCTCGCTCGATTGAGTGCATTTTTTAAGAATCCGATATACGTCAAATGTTAATTTGTGTGGGACTGCCGATCTACCACCGCGTAATTTGTACTGCTGTTTCTGACAGAAATCAACTGATATTTTCAGATTCGACAAACCCGAAAAATTATTCGCGATTCGCACAGTGGCATTGAAAAAGTAACCAATGGATTTCACATAGGAGACCGAGCTCGCCTCACCGAAAGATCAAGAAATCACCGAACCGGACAGCAAGACGAAGAAGTTGAGTTCATTAACATGAATGAAGGTTAGTTATACCATGCCGCCAGTGAACGCTGTACATTAAACTCTGCCACGCGCAGTGGGTAGCATGTATGGCACATCTGTGGACATTAATGTTTAGATAAACTTGCCAAATATGATGACTTTTACCCCGATGCTAAAACCATGTCAGTGGAGTAAAATGTACGTAGCCAAAAAATAGTTTTTAGCGTTTGCTGACGGCTAGACTTACGCGTTTACGGTACCGGTATGTACCATAAAGTCCATAACCATCATAATTACCCAATAATTTTATGCATTTTTACAATATTAAAGTATTTTTCAATTATATTGACATTGTATTTGTAGCGAGTATAACAAAATACTGAAATGACAACAATGAATACTTCTAACTGTATTAAAAATATGTGACAAGGTGTTGCTTTTACAGAAGATGCGGTAGCCTTTCAGAATGAATGGAGAAGGAAGACCTGTAGTGCATCAACTGATCTTAGGAACCGGTACCAAAAACAGCCTGTGCACAATGAGAAACTGCCCTTTTCGGAAGCTTTTGCAAATAATTCTAATCCTTACCATAAACTACCGGCACTAACGTATAAACCCGGCGATGATGCGATGCAAAAAAGAAAGCCAACTTCAATGTGAAAATAACGATCTCTCTGTGAAATTTATACTACACCCGTCTGTGACAAAATTGAAATGCGAAATGGTTTATTAGTCACTTTTTAACTAACCAGTAAGTATCTATACGTATGCTAAACGATTACGCAATATTTAATAAGTGATATCAGTGGTGTAACACATAACCATAAGTATTTTGTGCAGCTGGTTACCAGCGATCGCGATGTCAAACGTTTCGTATGGAACGATGTTGTACTAAATGAAAATACACTTGACTGAAAGCCAAAGCCCAATAAAAACCGCTTTTGTTTGCAGCACATGCGTAACAGACATAATGGCCTATAATAACCAGTCAAAGTTGGGGTTAAATCAGTTAACCACCAAGCAAAACTGTGAGCACAATAGTAGTAACTCTGCGGTTTTCAAACGTGTGTTCACTGCTCAGGGATACCTGTTTCGATACAAGAATGAAATGCGATAACAGCACAAATTTTTCTCATCGTATTTTATTGATTCAGCATAAAATGGCGCCAAATAAAAATCGAATAGAGGACACTGGAGTCTAAGCGCAGACACTCGGTTTTAACGAAAAAAAGTTAAGCACTACCGTACTGATCAAGGATTTAGAAAAAAGCGGCGATACACTTTACGTCAAGAAACATGCAAGTGCCGATGCACAGTATATTCATTCAAAGTACTGACAGACCACAAAATGAACGGATTATTCCGTCTTGTCTAGCACTTCCAAACGCTCCTGCAGTGTCGGGTGGGAATGATTGAACATGCTGTACAGTCGGTCATGGACAGGGAAGCTTTTGTTTGTCCGATTCAGTTTCAAGAGGGCCTCTTTCAGTGCTTCCGCTGCGTTCAACTTCTTGGCAAAATTGTCAGCTTGAAATTCGAAAATTCGGCTCAGAGTGATCATGCCAAAATTTAAAACCTAAAATTAAAAAAATGTATTAACTGCAGCCATACATTTCAATCAGAGTGATTAACGTTGTACCGACTGAAAAGTGAAAACCAAAAAGGTGACTTGAATTCATCAACGTTAAGCGAAACCAAGAAAAAAATTCATGGAAAACTTTTTCAAGTATTTCGACTTACGTATTTTCCAACCACACCAAAGATTCATACTGTGTTACCCCGTACACAAGCGATTGCGATCGTTATCATACTGGTCGCTGAGCATTAAGCAGCGAGCTTATAATTCACTTCAAATTTTAAAACATATATTTGACATGTTAAAGCCTCGAAAATTCATATTACGACACGGCATCTATAAGCTAACCCAAAATGAAGACTAATAACGCACATATACCTCATTAACCGGGGAATAAATGTACTGCAGAATTAAAATGAGGCCAATAATAATTGGAGTCTCGTTGCGAAAACCAAAGGCCTCGTAAATAGCCTGGTTTTTGTAGAGCATGCCGAATATTCCGAACGACATCAGCATGGTTATCTGCAAGCATTACATGCTGATCCCAATTTGTGTGACAGCAAGTGGCATGTGTCTCACCATGGAAATCAAGATGTTTTTCCAATAATGCCCCAACGACCAGTGACCCAGTTCATGGGATAATACTGCCACAATTTCATCGTCACTGCAAGCCACAGCCGACTCGGCCTTACTTTCGTCGGTCCCTTTCGTCTGCCAAGAGAAAATTTTTCAAAGTCTGTTTTAAAATTAGAAAGTCGGAAAAGCATGTCCGTCAATCAGAACGTACGAAATGAAGGACAATATAAATGCCGCTAACCTGAATTTTTCCTTCCGCCACTTCAGGTACCACTTCAGCAGTAGAGGAAGCAGATTCTTTTTCCTTTGATGTGCCATATTCTGGGCCGAACAGCGTATCAAAAAGGACAATGGTCTTCTTGTTGAACATTCCGAAGAAGTAAGCGTTAGCGTGAGCAGATCGCTTTGATCCTGAGGAGGAAAAACAAGGTTTTATAACTTGTTGTTAAAAACTCCTGAAAATACCAGGCAACTATCACAGAAGTACAGATATTAAGTACTTCTACTAGTTCACTCAATTTAGTCTGTGATATTACTGCTGCTATCTTTGTACAGAAAATAATTATCAAGCGGGCGAGCGATAATTATTGATAATTATTAATAATTAACTAACTTTTCTGTCATTTTATAATATTAATAATTATTTTCTGTCAAATTTAAGACATTTGATAGTTTCTAAGCGGCACTGGCCCTGGACGGTTGTAGGATACACACGGTCTATTGTTGTGGAGACAGAAACGTGAAACGCCACAAATAAGGCTGCCAAAAACCTTCCCATACTTCATCGCATATTATATATAATATAATACAGCTTCCCTTCTCTTGTGTCTGTTGTAAACAGTTCTTACGCTTTCGGGAGCGCCAAATCAAAATTCTTATGCTATAAATTATCAACAGTTTTATTTACAGATACAAATGGGAAGAACGAAACCCTGACAACCAACACTCAACTAACCTTCAATAATATACAAACGGTGAAGAGGGAATTTCAGTTTGTTAGCCAGCGCCTCTATTTTCTTTCGCAGTTCTCCTTCAGGGACAGGCTTGAACGTATCGAAAATCGGTGCAATGTAATCTTGATAAATGGTAGAAATAAACTGGAAACGCAAATATTTCGTTACGATACCGTTCAGATAAGTCCTGACATGGGCCCACTTACCAAAAACACAACAACGCAAAATAACCATGCATAAAAGAATGCGTAATCTCCTCCGATCTGAAAAAGCAAAGCTAGGCAAAACACGTAACACAAGCAATACGTAAAACATAAAAATTAATCACACACTTACGTCGATAACGTAAATTAATAGCGGTATAACAACGTTCATAATAATCAAATGGAATACAACGAAACTTTTGATGAGATCCTTGATGAAGAATGAGAAATTCTGCAAAAGCGAAACCAGAATGATAATTTTGTGGTCAGCTAAAAGCCTAAAACTTTTTCGGTGTTTTAGTTGACGATGAGTACCTGCTTATTCATTCCATGTCTTTCCTCGATCACGAAGGTTTTGTAGTACGAAAAAGGAAACGATGAAATGGTCTGATACACCTACGACACAAACACTTGGTGCCAAACTGCCATGAACCGAAGCGAATAATTCAACACTTTTTCTTTATTTGTCATATTAACTTCGTTAACTTACTTGCGCCAGGATCAAAAATATCATTGTCTGAATGATCTGAAAAACAACAACATTAACTTGTAGATCGTCAGGCTACAACTATGCAAATTACATATTTTTGTAGGCATTGTGCGGATAACTATTATCTGATATTCAGTTTTCCCATGTTTTTCCCACTTTTTTCATTTTAAATAAAAATTCACTGCAATTTTTTATTACACCGATTCCGATGTTCCAGGAACATTACTATTTCGCATCATAAGTGGCAACTTTCGAAGTTGACCAAATTTAGCCAACTTCAAAGCAAACGTGAGCACCGATCGGAATAAACAAGCAGTTGGTACTTGGTACGGGTTCGCTCTATCCGGTATCAATCGTACTAGTACTTGTTGCCACTTACTTGATGTCCCAAGGGACCCCAGTTTCCGGGCACCAAATATCCGCTCTTCCTCCACAACCACGGCATTCCATTGAAGAGTAGAATCAGCTACACACGAAGATATTAATCTTATGCACGACATCAACCCAAAAACATGGTTTTACCGTTGCTTCAATGTGGCTAACAGCGCCCATGAAGATTCCGAAGGATGACTTATCCAAGGTGTACGAACGACTCTTCTCAAATTCCTGTTTTGTAATGGAATCGCGTAAACGGAATGGAATTTCTTTGGCATGTTTCTGGGTCCAGTACTACAATATTCGAACATGTTCTCCTTATACCTCTATAGCCTACAGACAGGCAGATATCTATCTACACTGAATAAAAACCAACCTCCCGCAGAGATAAGTAACTATCCCAAAGGTATACCATCCACATAAACCCCAAGCAGCCCCAGAATATGAGAGACGGGTTCCCATAAAATGAAGTATGCGTCGACGGGGATTCCGTATCCAGATGGCTCGGCATCTGGACTGGTTGATAATCCATCTTCAATCTTCACAAGAAGCACTTCGAAGTTCTTTAAGATTATAAAGAACTGAACTGCTGAAGTTACGCCCCAAACAATGAAAAACAACCTAAAATATCGTGAGATTACTGGTTGTGGTACCTACACCACAGTTACACGTAGTAAAAAATGGTTTAGTGTTCATCAATGGATTTGCGGTGCGTTGCTATGTTTTCACTTTTCTCCTGAAAAAGCTGTAAAATGCAGAATGGAAGTCCACGCGATCGCCATCTCATGGCGTCTGGCGATAGTATTCCTGTCTATAAGAGTGCCCCCTGATGCCTGCCGTATTATATTATTAAATTCCTTTGAAAACTCACAACTTTTTAGATTTGTAAATAATAATAAGGATGCTGGTCTTTGATGAATTTTCGCGTTTATAATGAAATGTAATTCTATTTTGAATTATTTCTCTGTTTAAACCCTGATTGATCTCTTTGGCACCTTCGGACTCAGGTATTTCGGTGCATTGCCATTTGCCAGGAACTGCCTCTCCCTAACGCGCTCAGCCACTGGATTGCAGGGGAACCCTCAGCCCTGATTGAACCCTGTCGAAAAGTATGGCGGAACAGAATTTCGCTAAAGGAGGGAAGCAGAAGGTCCCTCGTGCTGGACAGGTAAGTGCTTTCTTCATAAACAGCCGTTGTAACATTTATATCCAGTTTGAGGTTGAAGAATGAAGAGTACATTTAGGCTTGTCACCATTTGTGGTCTACCGTGATAAAACTATTAAACTACTAGGTTTTTGTAGATAATCTTCATTCCATTTTCTCTGTGCACGACAGCACTAGTAGGGCTTTGCAGTTTTGCTGACTCTTACTTTTTAAACTGAGTGTGTTGGTATAATATTACGAGCTCAAGATTGACCATGCGATTTGGGATCAGTTTGGTTTCCTGTCTGACTGTAGAACTCGAGCAGTATACATTCCGCTTGTTAATATTCTGAATTCTTACAGGTTAAAAACAAAACTCCGGCTGATATACAGATCACTGCTGAACAGCTCCTTCGAGAGGCGAAGGAACGCCAGCTTGAAGTTGTTGCTCCGGTAAGTGTGCCTTATATGAATCAGCCGTTTACTACTTACGTTAAGTATTCGCATAGCAAACTACGTACCGATCATTGATGTACTACTTAATTAACGCTCTCCTATATATTTTCTGTAGCCGCCAAAGCAGAACATCACTGATCCGGTTGAGTTAGCTGACTTTCAGCTTCGGAAGAGAAAGGTACGATATAGCTGGTTTGTTTTTTTGGGGAAATTTCTTCATTGTGGAGTACTTTGTCTATTAGGAATTCGAAGATGGCATCCGTCGCAATCGTAACAACATTAGCACTTGGATCAAATATGCGCAATGGGAGGAAACGCAGAAAGAAATCCAGAGGTAGTTATCATTGCTAATGGCTGTGATTTAATTTTTCTGTTTTGATAGCACTTGTTTTGTCGTCCTTGCAGATGCCGGTCTGTCTTCGAGCGGGCGCTTGACGTTGAGCACCGCAATATCACGCTTTGGCTCAAATTTGCTGAAATGGAGATGAGGTATCCGCTTTTTTCGATTCGTGTGTTAATTTTAAGTGAAATTATGATACATAATGTTTTTACAGAAACCGACAGATAAATCATGCTCGCAACATTTGGGATCGCGCAGTGACGATAATGCCCAGAGCCAACCAGTTTTGGTATAAATACACATATATGGAAGAAATGCTGGAAAACGTTGCTGGATGCAGGTACGCTTACATTTTGCGCATCCGCTAGTTGAAACAAAGTAACAATGGTTCTGTGGTTTGAAATAGGCAGGTGTTTGAACGCTGGATGGAGTGGCATCCGCATGAACAAGCATGGTTGAGCTTTATCAATTTCGAGATGCGCTATAAAGAACTAGACCGAGCGCGGGCCATTTATGAGCGTTTCGTACTGGACCATCCAGATGTAAAAAACTGGGCAAGATTTGCTCGATTTGAAGAACAGAATGGGTTCGTCAACGGAGCTAGAAAAGTTTTTGAACGTGCAGTGGAATTTTACGGCGAAGATCAAGTTTTTGAAGAACTTTATGTTGCCTTTGCGCGCTTTGAGGAAAGACAGAAAGAAGTAACATTTTGTCTTTTTTCGATTCGCCATAAATTCAGATCTAACTTTCAGATTTTCAGTTCGAGCGTGCGCGTACCATTTATAAATATGCTCTGGATCATCTTTCAAAGGAAAAGGCAGCGGATCTTTTCAAGAATTATAGCATCTTCGAAAAGAAGCATGGATCCCGAATCGGAATTGAAGATGTTGTTTTGAACAAGCGCAAATTTCAGTATCAGGAGGTGAACATGACAGATATTTATTACATGCTGTTTCAGTGTTTCAAATGTGCTATTGCTGTTTCCTATTCAGTAGCTCATGTATTTATGATCGTCGTATCTTTGTTGCGCCTGCATTATTTTTAGTTGTAGGAGCTGAAACGCGACCCCACAAATTACGATGCCTGGTTTGACCTTCTAAAAATCCTCGAAGAAGAAGGAAATCATGATGCCGTTCGTGAAGGTTACGAAAGGGCCATTTCCAATGTGCCACCCGTGGAAGAAAAGCGTTACTGGCGGCGATATATTTACCTGTGGATACGCTATGCAGTCTTTGAGGAATTAATTGCAGATGATATTGACCGGACCAGACAAGTGTTTACAGCATGCGTCAACTTAATTCCACACAAAAAATTCACATTTGCCAAGATTTGGTTACTGTTTGCACAATTTGAAATCCGTCAGAAGAGACCAGCCGATGCAAGAAAGATCTTGGTAAGGAGAATGTGTTGTACAGTATATGCACACAACATCAGGCAGTTTATAATGATAGATGCAGATTAATTGCAGTGACGTCAATTTTTTTCTTTTCAGGGTGTGGCGATAGGCAAATGCCCGAAAGATAAATTATTCCGTGGATACGTTGAACTGGAAGTGCAGCTACGAGAATTCGATCGATGCCGACTGTTATACGAAAAGTTTTTGGAATTTGAGCCGGGTAACTGTTCTACGTGGATGAGAGTAAGTTGGTGAATTTCTCCGTCTTAAACGTCTGTGAAAATTACAACATATTGATGACGTTTGCTCCTGTGGACTTAATGATTGATGCTTCTTTGATCACAGCACAGTAATTGCAGTTTATGTCCTTTATTTCAGTATGCCGAGCTGGAAGCAGTACTGGGTGATGTGACTCGCGCACGAGCGATTTATAATTTGGCTGTAAATCAGCCTCGTTTGGACATGCCGGAAGTACTATGGAAATCGTTTGTCGACTTTGAAATAGAACAGAAAGCGGTAGATCGCGCCCGTCAGCTGTACGAGCGCCTGTTGCAGCGTACTAACCATGTCAAGGTACAAGGTTATATAGTCTCTTTGCATATTAAAATAGTAATTCACATGTGGAATGTGCGTCAACAGGTTTGGATAAGCTTCGCGCAATTTGAAGCCGGGATTGGGGATGGCGATGCTGTCCAGAAAGCTCGCGCCGTGTACAGACGAGCTTTAAGAACGCTGCAGAATGAAAATGCCGATAAAGAAGAACGCGTAATTTTATTGGAATCATGGATGGCATTTGAGGTTGGTATTAACAGAATACGGACCGTTAAATAATTAAGTTTCAAAATCTAAAACGCTGTTGTTTTTGCACAGGAAACGTATGGCGATGAGAAGTCGAAGGAAGAAGTTCGGAAAGAAATGCCCAAACGGATCAAGCGTCGACGGAAGATTCAAACCGACGACGGTGCCGAAGCAGGATGGGAGGAATATTTCGATTATATTTTCCCCAGCGATGAGGTCGCTCAGCCTAATCTCAAGCTTCTTGCTTTGGCACGGCAGTGGAAAAAGAAAACAGACGCTTCCTACCAAGAAGAGGCAGAACGCGAGACAGGTGATAACGTTCCAGAAAACGACATGGATGCGGATAGCGAATCATCAAGCAGTTCTGGCCCCGATTAGCTGACAAAATAACTGTGCATCGCATCCATTGCCATCCAAGCTGTTATGTTCACATTGCACTATATTCGGAAATGTTTCCCGAGCGACACACTCAGTGTCTCAAGATTCACTGTTTTGTTAATCGTTATCTTTAATTAGTTCTGCTTTCGCATGCGGAACTGAACTGCTATAACAATACTACTGGAACTACTATGGTAATACTATAACAAAAAACCAAAAACCACACAAATAAATCGACCGTAATACAAAAACAACAACCACTTCTGACTGATCCAAGAGCACACATTTCATTCTGGGACTTCGTCTGGATGAATAGGATCTTTTGGAGCCGGTAACACTGACTTTCGATCAACGTCACACAGCAAAGGTTTTCTCATATCAAAGGCATCTTCACTAGGATCTCCCGAATAATATTCGAGAACTCGACGGTAAATAACGTAGCCCATCTTTTTGTACATTTCCACCGCAACTTGATTGGAAACGCGTACGTACAGATCGCAAAAGTACGCCTTCCGTCTATAACCACAACCATCATAGCCATTATTTCAGCAGATTTAAACTTCGGTATAACAATATGTCTGCAAAATACAGATGTAAATATGTTCGAGTCGTTCGAACAATGCGCAAGCGAATTTACTTGTTGGAAACTTCCTCAAAGCGCTTCATGAGATCGGAGGCAATCCCACATTTCCTGTGAAACAAATCCACACTTAGCGCCGTGATGTGACTGTGCCAATTGGTTCCTTCTCCTTCCACTTTCCCCATGACTGCAAAACAGGAACCGCATGGGAAAAGACGAAACAACTCATGGCGCCACACGACATTAATTCACGTCCAAAATAAGTGCCATTCGGTCAAGCGTAGTGAGCACTTACTGTAGCCAATAATTTCCTTATTCGGATCCACCGCCACTAGGAACAGATCCGGCCATGTCAAAAAATAATGCAAATAAAATCCCGCATTGTACTGTATAAAACGAAGAAATGCCAAGTCAGTTTTCAACTTTTCATTGCATACTGCACACCAAATGTTGAATTAGAGCATCGTTAACGAAGCCCAGTTTTCCAACTTACAGTTTCCGTCCAATAATCCACGTTTCTGAAAACACCCATATTCGTTTAACGTTTATTAGCATGGTATGCAAGTGGCGTACTTTCTTTCATTCAGATTTAAACATCCATCTTTTACTAAGTAGCATGCATAACCATAACAATTGCAAGCTCACATTCTTGATATTCCAGGATTCATGAGATCAATAGGATTGGCTTCGCGCACATAGAAAGCCACATTGCGGCTATCATTATTGTTGTCGTTGCTTTTGTTGTGATCCATCTAGAAATTACCAATATGAAACCACTGAAATTTAACAATGATAAAGCATAAGCGTTTCCATTTGCCAACACCCTCGCTGTACACTTCATACATTTTTACATTTTTATATATATTAATACATATTTGATATTATATACAAGTACAAGTTATACCGAAGTGACGAAGTCTACAATTAATTTTTTTAAGGGTACGGGAATTGCGATTTGCCTGACAAAAAGTGAGAAAACTAACAGGACAAATCGAACCCGTTTAACAAAATGCATAACCGAAAACTGAAGGAACCTGTCTCCCACACAAAATTTACATTTTTCCTTTTTCCTAAGAACTGTAAGACGTCCATAACGGAGCATCTCAGCACAAACAAACACGTTGCACAGTTGCAATCAATCAAGACAGCATAAATTTACTGCTCACTAAAAATCACTAAATTACTTAAATAAAAGCATGCTTACCTGGATCTTTTGCAACAGCTGCAGCCACAACAACACGGGAAAACCGAAGACGTCCTAAAGGCAAAGATCCCACCGGTGCGTTCGCAATATTATTCGGCAATATTCCAACACTACAATATTATCATAAATTATATAGAAGTATACTGTGCTTAAGTCGTGGCTTTATGTCCAGAGTGCACAGAGTGACAGACTGTAAACTCCTAAACAAACAGAACCAGATACTCCAAGACTCGGAGTCCAGCCAAGCACTAAAATTTTACCGAATCAAAAGGAAAATTGGGAACTAAGCTGCAACAAAAGCGTCGGTGATTCAGTTGGAGCATTCGAACTTTTGAACGACTTTAAAATTTTGGTCCAGTTTTCATAGTTGGCATTTGGCATCAGTTGTTCAGAACAAGTGAACAACTGATAGACGCTTTATGCACCGTAAAAATTATTAGTGAGCACAGATTTTCAAGTAGCCGGCCTCCGGAATAGATCGAAGGAAAGCACAACACCTTGCGTCTTCCCTGGTACAGTGGTACCTGAGTGTTCGATTTGTTTTCGATGGGGTCAGTACTCAGTAATAAAATATAATTTTGCATAGGCTTTGTTTTGGTACTTACTAGTACCGGTACACAAATTTAATTTTGCGGTTTTCCAACACTGAATGAGCCATCAATAACAAAAGTACGAAATATTTACTCTGATCTCCGTTAATAATTCTGGAGCCTTCTCGGTGGTAACTACTAACTGGTAAGTTGTGACAAAGCAAAATTTTTGCATTTTCCGACCATTAGTGATTAGAAAGATGAAAATCTTCTTAGGCTATTTTCCGTGGATAAGCTTGCGTGATGGAAATAAAAGAATGAATCGGAACTCCGAAACGTCTGTGTCCGGTAAAATGGAAAACGAACTTAGTTCTGGTTTATTTACTGTGAATCCCGAAATACGAGCAAAAATGGAGGATGTCACGGAAATGCAGATAGTGGAGTGCCAGAAGTCAATGTACATTAAGCCGATGACGATGCTTTATAAACAGGTATCACTTGATGATTAGAAGGAAGTCATTTGAAAATTACAACAGACAGTATACAGCATAGTACATAATAAATATAGATATGATTAATTTTATCAATAAATTTACGGTACTCTTTATTGCATCATGTCTGGAAGAGTTCTACTCTATTAGCACAGTACAGATACTGATAAGAAACTGTTACTTTATGTTACTTTATCAGTCTTTATGATATAGCACAGCTGTGGTAAGCTTTGGTTTAATATTGTACAACTAATTTAACTTTTTTAGAACGGAAGAAAAAAGTTTTGGGATTTCATTAAAACTCACGACAGGTATGGAGTGTGTCCCAGTCTCTGAAGCACCAAGAATTCTACAAATTCCTACGCACACATGTTATTCCTGTCTTTCGATTTCTAGTGTCAGCATCATTATCTATAATCGCACCAAACATGCGCTTGTGTTTGTCAAGCAGTTCCGACCAGGTACAGCACTTATAAAAATGTTACAATTAGTGCCAGAGCTCGCGATTGTATCACTTGCTTCGAAAAAATTTTTTGGTTTATTTCTTTTATTAAGTACTCTCTTCACCAACAATATTACTTTAAATTCGAATACAGCCACTTAATAACTAATAAACATCAATCGAAAGGGGCGGTCTAGTAAGAGAGAAAATTTGATCTAAATTTGCTCTCATCGGCGCTGTTCCCATGATCAGTGCCGCAATTCCTCGTTGGATTTCGATGCTAATGCGCTGGCGAATATACTCCGTGGTTAGTTTTTCGCCGGTTTCTATTCGTATCTTCTGTCCAAATTCCGTTACCGTTATAGAAAATCTGTCTACGGCGAAAGATTTCAGTGATCTCAGTGATTTAGGTATCACAGTATCATTACTACCGGTATCAGTGATTTCAGTAGTGCTAATAAATTTCGTGTTATCTGTGTAACTTGTCTGAAATATGTTATTTTTATAGCCACATATTTGTAAGTACGTTTGTAAGTGTATCTTTTACTGTATTAAATTTTTAAAAACTGGAATGAAAAGAATGTTTGTATACAGTACTTACGTTTATGAACAGTTCTGTTGCCTAACATGCAGATGAAGCGTAGCGGCATTAATACGTACCTCCTCGAATAACGGGTTACGGCTACTTTACTTGCTTGTTTGCCAAGTAACGAAAAATTCCGCGCCTTCGAAATTAATTTTTTTTCTTATGTATTTCGCAATACAATTTATATAAAGTAGTGGGTTTTGTTATTCAGGCGTCTATATCCATAACACAGATTGGACGGTGGGGAAAGCAACAGTGGACGTGTCGAAATTTCCGATTTCTGCCGGAGTTACTTATGAGTTATGTGCCGGGATCGTGGACAAAGATTTACCCCTCGAAGTGATCGCTCAGCAAGAAGTATTCGAAGAAACTGGCTACTCCGTTCGGGCCGAAGATCTGGAGCGGATCACATCCATGAGGTAGGATGTAGAGCAAAACAGTATTATAAAAATGTACTATTGGTGTGTATTAATACACAGCCTGACATCATTCTCTGCAGAAGCGGAGTGGGAATAGCTGGAAGCCTCCAGACCGTCTACTACGTGGAAGTGGAGGATAGTCAACGCACGACAACCGGCGGGGGCAGCGATAAAGAAGGAGAGATGATAGAAGTTGTCGAAGTTCCCCTGGCTCGTGTACGGACTATGATGTATGATGAAAAATTAGCGCGGCCTGGCGGTTTCATGTTTGCTATGATGTGGTTCTTCATGCATAAATTTCCCGAAGAATATTTTCATAAAGAAAACACAACGACATCGACATGACACCGGTAACGAAGGCATTTGTTGTTTGCATTTATTGTAACTTGTACTATCATAATGTCAGATTAGTATCAGTAAAAAGAATAATGTTACATTAGTAAAATACTTCATAAGAGAATTGATATCGATTTATGAGTGCATTAAAAAGTCATAAAGCTCCATGAAAAGAATATAAATCGTTATCACAATGTGCCAAGGCACGGCTACTTCTATTTAACACCCGATCTGCCAGGATACATTCGAACAGTCACATCACTGAACGCCGCCGTATCCTTGGATGACCCGCTTCTACGTAAAAGTAGTCCTCTATCCTCGGTCATGGCGGCCTGAATTGTTTTCGCCACTGGAGGCGGATGTTTCGATTTGGTAGTTATCACAGCCGGGTGCGGAAAAGACAGTTCTTTTAAATATCCTTTGTATTCATCGCTCAGTGCGGTCATCCAGAATCGCATGACACCATTGTCCTCATCTGCTATGTGGAGCTTCTGCATGATGATCGGAAGTTCATCAGCACTGCGAGATTCCGTTCGAAAGAGCTTATACAACACCTTGGCTTTGCTGTAGAAAATAGTGTTAAGCGCAAAATTAGTACAATGCAATTCGTGCCTGAAGTGCGATTACCTTAACATGCGCTCCTGCTCGTTAGCGATCAAAGCGACAGCAACCTGTTCAGCAATATCGGGCTCTGCCAAGATTCGTTCCACCCGGGATAAATAAGTGGGCACTGTGAAAAATACCGAATTTCCTTAACATTAAACATGAAGATAATTAGCATTAAATATCAAGATTATTTTTCAACAGTCAGTACATTTAACTTTTGGAACGGCCGCATTCGGCGTGATGATCTTATATTTATCCACATTCATTTCATTCATCTTAGCAGCCAAAACATCCACCACAAAATAATCCGGGCTGCTCAAAATATCGTCTGGCATGGCTGCATCGGGGTGCAATCCCAGCAGGTTGCAATTCCAGGACAACACGTACGTACTGGAGAATGGAATACTTCTTCGGCAACCAAAAGGAATCAATACCTGTAAGAGTTTTTGTCAGTATGGAACTTAAGGAAGGCTTGAGTTCAGCCAATCGGATGACCACACCTCAATGGCTCGTATAACAGAAGAGATCAAGAAATCATGAAATCCGCGCACTACGATCTGATTCCCGATGGTAATGTGATACGCGAGTTTCAAAAACGATACCTTCCCCATCACCTACAACAATGAGCCGTAACTTCACTTACAAGCGCACAATGATAGAAAAAGTACAGCTTCAACCAGAAGATATCTAACCCGATAAATATGAACAATTCCCTCGAAGCGGGGAAAGGAAGTGTCTATTTCAGATTCCCAAGTAGGCGATGACATGGCACTATCCAGGCCGTTGTCCATCAGCGAGTCTTGCCGGCTGTGGTTGTTGATACCGGCCAAACCGTTGTCGAAATCATCTGACAAAGGCACACGATTAAAAGATCCTACGAGTTGAAAATCAACAAATATCGAACCTTCTCGATGACTGTAAGAACAAGAAGGAGAACCTTCCAATAACGTTTCGCTCATTTGATTTCCACCCAACTGCAGCATGTGGGTAAAATGTTCATGCAAACAGTGGAAGATATTCGGCTCAGAAGTCAGTTCCGGCAACGAGCGCATCACTTTGCCTCGGCGCTGCCGGCGGAAGTTCTCCGGGTTCAGGGCACCTGCCCCACCCAATCGCGCCGTACGTTGCGGTCTTTCCGCCTGATCCACACTGAAGGTCTTCTCCGCCAAAGCCTGCATTTGTGCAACTATAGACCGCGATGAGCGCGTTAAAAATGGCCATGATTGGGTTAGGGATAACTTATCCATGGACAGCACGACAATGCTGTACCAACGCTGTAGCCCACGTGCTTCGTTGTCTTTCAAATAGAATGTGTAGCAATAAACATAACCATGATGATTATCGCCAAAAATTATGGGTCCTTCTCTTCCCGGGGATATCTACATACAGATGTAGCACATGCTTAGTAAGGTTACAGGAATCAGTAGAAACAAGCAGGGAGAGCATGGACAGGAAAACTGTTATTGGTTGTAAAATTATAAGTAAATTATAAATATGCTGTAAGTTTGTTGTTAGTAGATATGTTTTAAGTTGTATTGTATACTGAGAGACTTGATGCTTTACTTCGTGAAAGAATAACTGGTGATGTGAAAAGAGACAGACCTGCAAAACGGATCGCTTGTGCACAAGTGGTTAACATACCTCGCTGCTCAAACTCCGGACGCACGCTTGCCGTAAAAACGTGAACACTTCGGGATTGTAGGGGTACTGTAGCGTCAGATACCACACATCCCCATCCTTATCGGCTGTCATACATCCCTGGTTAGGTTTCGCGAACGACCGACATGCCTAAAACATCAATCTGTCATTGCGCAATAATCAGCGTCCACATTCTTAAAGGCTCACTCAAAACTAGGCAATCAAAACTTAACGGACCGGAAGTAATGCTCGTACTGTCGCACAAGGCATTTTTATTAATTCTTGGAAACATATCACATAAGGAATAATAAAGTAAGTAATAAAAATAACACAAATACATGTCAAGCAGATAGAAAAAAAAGAACTAAGTAACTATGTTTAATTCCTCATCCTAACACTTAACAGTACTTTAATTAAGCCTGCCGTACCGCGCACGTATAGGTTCCAAATGAATCATGAGCTTCAAAGGTGTCAGATTCAGTCAACTCAGATTCGCTCTCCGAAACCGATAAACGTTTTGTCTGTCCCGGTCGTTCTTCCGTACTTTCGTCCGTCGTTCGAGAATCGACTTCTGTTGCACCGTCCCGCGGGAACGGTTGCGTACACATCATCACACTGGGTCCGTGCATCTCACAAAAGTGGCAAAGCGCCAACACCGCGTTCATGGCTGCGAATATGTCTAACACAAACCAACCACGGCAGGGATGATTGGATAGTTCGGACGTAAGAAATTTCCTTCCCACGATTATGTACTGTATTTATCAAGATTGTGCGAAATTAGTACGTATAGCAATTAACCATAAGGTATAAGTATAGTACTGTAACGGATCATAAAAGATGAAATCATAGTGGCATAATAAGAAGCGATATCGATAAAACCGTTCTGACGGTCATGTGTACTTCGGTATAGAAGTGTAGAATGAAGAATGCAGCTTTAATAGTCTGCACTCTGCAGCCTTTTCACTAAATCACTTTTCGCTTTTCACTACAGATGCCACTATGCTACAAAATTCGTACTGTACTGTACTACCCAGTTCTAACCTTCAGCGCACTGGGCAACCGCTGTGGGTGTAGATTTTCAGGTACGATATCGCACCTCTACCGATCTGAACTATGTTGAATCGTAATTTTCACCATTTTATTCACGGTTTAGAGTATGATAAATTATGCCGTTTGAATTTTGAGAACTTTTAATTTCAGCAGAGTTCGGGAAAGACTACTTTTTCGAAGCCTACAGTTTTGAACATTTTGTTAGAATCTATCCAGAGTTTCCGGGATGCCTTCTCGGCCCAGCGATACAACCTCGACTGCAACTCCAAATAGGAAGTTAATCAAGATTTCGCAGCGAAGCAGGCAAACCACAGCCAGCAAGGACAAGGTACAGTAAAAGTCTGTAAGTCAGTGCTTCCACGCCTGTTTTTAAGACCGTAGAACGCTTCTTGGGATAATTTTGGAAATGTTATTTTTTTGTAGCAGAAAATAACTGGCGGCGCTCTCCAGAAACCCAAGCGCACCAAGAAGAAAGAGGTCCGACATCGAAACTTTTTTTCCCAGATCTCAGCTTCATTGTTTATGCTGGCATCCTCGCACTATCAGTTCTATCATAATTTTGTAATGAGTTATTGACACATAGCATTGTTCCCTCTGGTTATTGATTTTCTCATTTTTCTGTATGTGTGAAGTTAATTGGATACAATGATCGAGTGATTTCCTCAAGTTGTTTTTGTTTTCTTAGGTGCCAGCTAAAAGCGACAAGGAAACACAGACTCTGCCTTGCAAAGGAACGCAAACTCACGATGAGCTGTTACAAAGCCGGGAGGAGCAATTCTTTCAGCTGCTGAAAGAACGGAAAGCGGCAAACGTAAGATATTTACCAGGACTTTATAGTATATGAAACTTTAATAATTATTAAGTGTGTAAAATGATTGGAACGTACCGTACCATTCGTGTGAATATTCCATTTGATCTACAAATGAAGATCTGATGTCGATAATAGATCTATCTGTACTTAGAAATTGGAATACAAATTGAAATTTAAGTATAAATTATTAATTTGAAAATTTCCTTCGAATTTTATTAAAGAACTGAACTCGGAAATCGATGTACGGAGATGTCACATTCGATTTTGTTCGAATGACGGAGTAATAAGGGTGAATTTTCTTTCCAGGAGAGCGGATCCAACAATGACGATGGCACTTTCGTTCAACTCGATGTGCGCATACCGGAGCTCACGATTCAAGACCTTTATGCGTACGCTGAGAGGCATAACTGCGAGATTCGGATGTCGTAGCTGTATCTTCCCTTTGGATGCGTTTTGTTTGTTCGTAGTTTGTTGATACTTGATAGCTTGTTCAGGTTGTACAGATGCTCGTTTCTACTGTAATTATCGGAAAATTCAGAATCTGAATGAATGCTGGATGCTTTTAGTTTGCTTTTATTAATTAATTTAAGTTATTTTATGAAGGTACTGTACTTAATCTGTTAACGCTATCACAAAAAATCTTCGAACATCATTGTTCCGGATAATAACTTTTTAACATATCCTTAACGGTTCCGCTTCTGTAGCCTGCAGTTTGAAACAATAAAGTACTTTATGTGGATAAAGAAACCATTCTGTTCAGATGATTTCTAGATCGTCACTATCGCCAGTAAGAATACTAGCAAATAATATAATTATTTAATATATAGACAATTTATTTATTTTCACTCGTCCTCCAAGTGTGTAACGCAACAACCAACCGAACGAGTGATTACGGCGGTCCGCAGAAATCTTTAAAACAGTCACACGCAAAATGCACGAATTTTCGGTACTCTCCATTCGGAAAATCATTTTTCAGATATGCAGCCCGAATTGCCCACTGCAGCATAGCACAGGATTTCCACACACTTGTTACTGACTTGTAGGCTTGTAGCGCTCAAGAACGAGCGACAAGACAACGATGCAGTGTTAATGCATCTCTGAATAAGCGACAATCACCTGCGGTTGCTTAATAATCAGCTGTCAGCAGTGATATTTTTTGCCACGAATCATATAGCTTCATCCACGGTAATTCTGAACTGGCACCGCTGGATCCCCTTCTAAATTACCACGATACACCGTATGATCGTATGTGCCAGGCAGAGTGGCGTTCTGGATTCTTTTTTTGGCTTGCACTAGCTCATACCTCCTGAAAAGTAAAAGATACCGGGTAGCGCCTAAAGTTCGGAACACTTTCGCTCGACATAAAGCAATTTCTTTTCTCAATGAAAAAAAACATTTTTACTTCAGAGAATTCCTTACCGTCTGTCAACATCGTTCTTCGCCCAAACAAACGCGCCTAGACCTAAGCCGATGATGACGGTCCATCCCAACCACACCTGCTGTAAATTGCTCAACTTTCTCATCTGTACGAATGCAAATCAATAAATCATGCTGCACTAAATAGCAAAATTCTAAAAACAAGGAATAAATGCGGGACTTTGGATCAGGGAAAGCGTAGCTTCCGGTTGATAGGAGCACTGGAGCAGACATAACTACTGTAACAACTGATAATGATAACAAGTGAGGAGGCCGTATTGCCTTCTATAGGGATCTCCGGAGTTTGCGATTTCATACTGCCACCCCAGGCTAATGGCTTTCCCCAAGCTAATGGCTGCCACCCCAGGTTAATGGATAAATCTAGTACTTAATTTCTCGCAATTCACAAGTCACAAGGACCTCTTTGATTATCTTTCGGCAGAAACATGCGTGGGTTGGAGGGCAAATCCGTTTTTATGTTTTGATAATCAAGCTGCCAAAACAGAATTTTTTTTACCTAACTCCAGAACACACATCCGTAGTAATGCTGAAAGTAAACAAGCAACTTCCTTATTGGACACCACTTCGAAATTTCGTAAGTTGCATTTTATTTCTCTCTGTGCACCAGACACAGCCAGCGTGCCGAAAAATATCACCACGAATGTAAAATCAATTTCAACACCAAACTTTCAGAAAGTTTATCGGTGAGTTACCTCCGCTGCAAAACAAATCGCATAGCAGAAGCCAGGTTATCTGTCATAAAAATTTTCGCTAACAAATGAGCAAAAAATTCGACCAGTTCAAATTCATTAATTCATTTCTCTGTATCACAGGGATTTCCCATAAAATTCAAACAACGCAAAACTCCAGAACCTTATAAAATTTTCAAAAATTTTCAAAATGATGCACAAATCTAGGATATTCTCTGCGACGATTCACCATTTCACAGGCTTGACCAATGGACTCCGTCATCTGCTTTGGACCGCAAGAGAACACCCCCACGCTGGAAATCTATAGATAAAGACACAGGTAACGTTTCTCGCCCACCGCTTCTATGATACCAATTATGCAAATAAGCTACGTAAGGGTTCCATATATGTATCACTATTTTCTTCACCACATCTTATACCTTACCGCTAGGCTTATGCAAGTGCGAGTATTTAGCCAGTATGGCATTTACCAGGGCAACAATAACTTAATTACGCATGCACCTACATTAGCATGTCTCCGTTGGACATATGCCAAAAATGCCGGTACGTCCGGTCGGCCGAAGTGATTGCTGGCCTTCAGTCCCGTGAATAAACTCCGTCGAGACAATCGTTGAAAATGTTTTTCACAAATGTACTGAAATATGAAATGTTCATTCAAATAACCAAAACGCTTTTTGATGTACGTGTACACAAAGCATATTAATGCGCACACAAGAAGGACATATTGCGATCCCAAAGATACAGCGGTAACAAATTTTTCCGAGCTCATCAAGATTACCACAGTCTTACCAAAATAGTCGTCCGCAAATCAAATTTATCGAAGAACTGCGTGACAAAGATATGCATCTCCAAAACTCGAGTGACATCCCGCTTTTCGATCTCGTGCAACGCATCCACAAACCACTCGAAAGGCTTATGCGAGGGACAGATCCAAAGAAAATATACTTTCCGGCAAGATATACCAGAATATCGATTGGTGGACGTGCCAAACACCTATTATTAATGTAAATGTTAAAGCTGAGTGAAAATGTAAAGCTTAAATAAAGCTGAAATAAAACACAATCGAACTTAAAAGTTGAGTTTAAGATTGTTTTACCAGGTCTTTAAGTATGGAAGCATACGGTGTTACGCCCATCCCAGCTCCGACCATGACAGCCACTTCGAACTTGTACCAATCCTGGTTACCGCCTCCGAACGGTCCCTCAATACGCAAACGCGGTTGATATTCGTGAGAGCACCGTTGTTTAAGCTGGGAGTCATTAGGATGAGCATGAACATCATTATGCAGTTCGCAGTTGACCGGGTCAAAAGCCTGTCGCAACTTCCATGTCCAGATACCATGCGCCTTGACATGCACGCTGAGCAGGGGTTCATGCGGCATGGAGGTCAGCGTGAAGGGATGCGCTTCTTCATTGCGGAAGGCAGTGCAAGCCAGCCGGATCCACTGACCAGAGCGGAAAGTGAAGTGCGATGGACGTTCAAAGGTCAGGTGGATCACATCTGAAGGCAATAGTTCGGCTTCCACAACCTGTAGGTTCTGGACGGTTTGCTTGATACTCATCAAACGATCGATCACAAAGACGACTAACGGCACTAAGAGGAACAACGGAAAACGTGCGTCCTGCAAATAACCAGTCTTATAAGAATTAGCTAGACCTTCCAGCACAGTCTAATGCAACTTGCCCTGGAAGTATAGATGGTTACTACCATCCCTATAAACAAGCTCACGACTGGATTGCAGACGGTACTGTATATTATGGGCAGGTTTTGAAAATCAGGCGTCAAAATATTCACATTGTGAATATTCACTACACAGACTTGTGGTACAAACAGTAGCAAGTTATATATAATTAGTCACGATATTAGCTAACGCACCCCAGTTAGCCTAGGTAATCCGTGAAGGATGCAAAGGATATAGAATATGATATATCCACCACGATGGACAATCCAGAAGTAGTGGAAGGCGTGCTCCCGAACCGCCGGCAACGCGAAGACGAACATGACGCATACCGTAATCACCAATAAAATACCAGTAAGCCCTAGACACATATTAATCAGCTGAACAAATAATTCAAGCAACAATCGAGAAATCTAGAAACTTGTAACAATAAGTAGCGTTTCATCTGTGAGCCGTTTATAACAGATTGGTTTCAGCTACAAAGACTACAATCTAATGGTAAGACGAACCTGTCAGCGACTGATAGACCCAATACGTGAACGGTGGAGGAGTGGAGCCAAAGCTGACTTCCTTAAACAGGCATTTCAAGTGCGCAATGGGCTGCGTGGAAACATGGTAGAAATTGATGAGATGACCAACAGTGTGCACCACTGCGAAGAAGAAACCCGTCCAGGCAGCAATTTTGTGGAAGCTCATCAACGAGTCAAAGGGAATGTAGTGATGCAAGAATGTCTCGCGTAGTCGAGTGATGATATTGCGAGACACGGTGAGTAAAAGAACTGGAAAGGCCACGCTGATGGCTGCCGCTGAGCCGCGAGTAATGGCGATGCCAGCTCCCATTACACGTCGCAAATCATTGGTCTCATTCAGAAACATGTAATCTACAAAGCAAAAAGTTGAATTCAAATAATTACACACACTTTACGAGTTGTAAGTCAGCTAAATAACTTACAACTGAATCGTTCCAACCACACCCCCGCGATAATTACGTAGAAGACGCAGAGGTAGAAAATGTGCTGTTTATGCTCTTCCATGTATGTTAGCAGTTGATTTATTCTTTCCTGTGTACTGGATCGACTGCGTTCAGCGGGTTTTTCGGGACTTTTAATGAAAGCCATAGTATCCGTTGCAGAAATGTGCGCACCCGATGCATTAGATGCAAGCCGCTCCTTTTTCGCTCCCATAGTGTCTTTATTATGATTTTGTCTGTTTCCCGCCAAGAACGTCTGCCGTACTCCTAAAACAACACCCTTTTGTTGGCCGTTGAAAACCAATAGACTTATATCCAGGTATCGTAATTCAAATGTGAAAGCGTAAGAATCACATGTACAACCGCCCAAACATAAGTAATGCTGATACCTTTGAAATCAAGCCCAACTTTGGACAGATGATCCATGACCTCTGCATCCTCTGTGAAAAGCGTTAAGAAGTCTTGGAAAGACAATTTAGACTTGTGAGCCAAGCCATACTGCTCCAGAATCTGAGCTGCCACTACGTCAACACCAGCGGCAGCTCCACCTTTCTGAGATGCCGCAATGTCCAAAAGACTTCTGCAAATGTAAAGCGTAAACATATGAATTTTCATAATGATTAAGAATTCATTTGGATATTAGGAATTTTTTATGAGCTGAAACATTATTTATATAAATGTATTCGTTACAAAAAGGCCGGCACGGGTAAAAAATGTCAAGTTGTTATACGAATATGCCGATGTACTCGTAGAGTAGATGCATCATGCATGCAATATTAATTACGTATATTAATTAATAAATACTTGCAAACTGCAGCAGATACCGGATACTACCTAATACAAGTATGCTATCAGAAGATGTTACAGAACTATGTCCTTTTCCATGCCCTCACGTACCTAAGTAAATCTAGAAGCTCTTCACGCTTAATGAGATCATTTTCATCAACATCACACATATCAAAAACAACTCGCAAACGCGCTTTGAAATCGCCTTTCGCAAAGCGCACAATGAGATCCAAGAACTGCTGAAAGGAGATACGTCCTTCTCCCGCCTTATCAATACAGTTAAACATTTTCTGGATGAAGGTGGTGTTAGGTTTCATGGCCAGCGCTTCAGCGAAATCAACTTTGCTCAGTTTCAGTTCCAGCGCTTCGTGGCACTCCTTTAACTCGGCTTCACTGCGCTCCACTTCATCCAGCCCAAAAGCCCGCTCATAGGCGATTTTGAAGAAATGATCCAATCGGCGCTGCCGTTTTTCTTTGGTTTCTGCCGTGGCCACAATTCGCTCAGCTGTTGTCGGGGTCACCACTAGCTCTTTGCCGCACACCTTCAAGTATTCCCTAACTGTGTTCACAAAGCGTCGACGTTCATCAGTACTCTCAAAAATCAAAACTAAATCAGGCTCCTTATGCACATGCAGCATGGCCATAGGCTCCTCAGCGGCATTCTCGGTGACCTCCATCAGTAAAGCGCTCATGTCTGAAAGTGCAACGCTGCGCAACCGGTCACCCTTCCGACTTTCCACATGGATGCGCCCCTCGGGAAACGCTGACACATTATGACTGTTCAACAGATGCAGCGAGCCGAATTTGACCTTAACGGGGCGGCGAGCAAAATGATGCAGCCATTCGACGGCTACAATTTTCTCTTGAAAATGGTCAAAAAGAGAAGGGTTTGATATGGATGATGTGGCTGTTGTAGAGGATGACGTTTCCGACGCAGTATGAAGTAGTTGTGCAGCTGACACATCTTGTTGGCGTTTGAGGTACTTTCGACGCGTGCGGCCACGATATTTCACCAACAAATATCCAGCCAACATGGATACTAAACATAATCGACGGTAAAGTAAGATGATACATCGTCAAGCATACACTCATGAAATCAATTATTGCAAACGCAATACTCACGAATCGCGATGAGGAATATGAGCACACAGGTGTAGATGTAAGCCACCTCATTCCCAGCAAAAACATCTTTATGAGTTTGACCAAGGGCTACACAAGGCTCCAGCATTTCCCCACGAATCTGAGCCGGTTGTGGACAAGGATCGCCTGCAAAATTCTGGTATGCATTTTAAGTTTTACAATTTAATCCCATAAAACAATTTCATAAGTTAAAGCAACGTCTCAGGTACGAATCTACTGGAGCTAACCATCTCTCCAAAAGAAGACATCTCGTTGAATGGCCGAAGGTGAAATACTGCTGGCAGCCACGATGACATCATGCAGTGTCGTCTGCTTGATTAACTGCAGCTCATCGCCGGTGAATAGCCCATTCTCAATATTTTCAAACCAGAAACGATCGGCATCGCGTAACCGGTAGAACTGTTCGCGAATGATTTGACTGAACAGCTCTCCCGGCTTAGAACCGTCGCATTCCAGCATACCGCCCACGTATAAATCCACATCGTCCAGCCGATCCTTGTACATATCGCGCAGAAGCGTCAGTAATTCCGGTTCGGTGGTGAACAACTGCTGGTTAATGTCTGACCAGTTAGCCAGAGCGGTCAGTTTAAAGGCTTTCCGTGCGCTATTGTAATCAGGGAGGCCATAATCGCGGCCACGCATTATGTTTACTGCCGCCAGATCTCGTCGGGAGAACTCCAGAGGGCCGAAAATGTGCTCCCGTAAGTCATCAATGATGATAGCATCTTCTCGTTCGCCAATCTGCGATACCAAACCCATAAGGATGGGTTCAATGCCGCCCACTTCCTGAACCATACTCTGCGAGTCAAACCAGATATTGCACAGGCGGAACGCCGGGTAGCCTTCGTCGGTACGTTGGAAATTGCACTGTTCATCTCTGCAGAAAATTTATCGGTTACATTTCTACAAAAAGATTTTGTTCCTGCTTTCGTTAACGCAAGACACTGACGTGGCTTACCGAATATACAATCCAGCAGGAATCTGCGTATGGCCAAACCGAAACGCTGCCGCTTGGAAAACGTCCGAAATACCTGGGTGAATATCCGGCTGATAACCTACAAACACATAAATAATACCGAAGCTGACCAGTGACCAGCCGTTCTAATTATATTTTTGGAAGGAAGTAATCGACCATTACAGCTTACCTCGATACGCATCCGTGGCGGTATCCAACAGCGCCGGTAAATATTCATACAGCGCGATATTCTGTAAATAGGAACACACGTCATGAGGGCATCGCATCATCTCACCCGACTCACCGTAATGATATTGGTTTACGACAGCCATAAAAATACTCAAACTGCGAGATTAATCCGTCGATCAACAATCTTTTTGCAATCATGGCAAAGGCATTTTACAATTTTTTTCTTAATTAGGTATCATTAATTACAAAATAATATATCTTAACATACAACGTCTTAATCTTTAGCGCATCATGCGCGAAAGTAAGTTGTGGTCTGGTTGTACTCGCGCTTGGAGATTTCCCAGATCGTTCGCCGTAATCGGTACAGCGTCTACGTCTGCACGTCAACGACCGCCGAACAAATACTGTAGTAGAGCCACGAATAAATACTAAAGTACCACGCATTAATTATTGCTTTAGTATCACGCTTCAGTTTTACAACATCTGAACAATGGCAGCTCGACACAATCCTGTGGCAACTTCGCACCTGAATTACAGCGATCACCAACCGACGAGCCTGTTGAAACACATCTTCATCCATCCAGTCGGGATGCTCGTGCTGGATCTTCTCGGCCATAACATTATGAAACCGATAGAATAAAATCGTTATGGCCAAAATCGGCGGATGCTGGTTTGATCGCGCATCGCCCAACACTATCAAATATTAGTACAATTATAAATATTTTAAAATTACGGACTGCAAGGTCGAGCTTACTATAAAGCCGGCTGGGGTCGAGATAATAGTCAAAGCGGCTGGGCGCGGGGTTGGCAATGGGCGCGCCCATGGTGTTCAGTGGCGGCAGATTACTGGTGGCGTCGACCTTTAAGCGACCACCCCGGAATTCCCGTAGATGCTGTACCCAAATATCTTTGGTCGAATACACGGCACTGCCATCCAGCCAGCTGCTGACACCGTTGAGCTGCGCCCGCGGACTATTCGGACTGTGACCGGTGCGCTGGTCGTATTTGGTGCGCAGGATAGGCATGGCACGAGCGCCCTGACACTCGGGGTCAAAACTCCCATCGCACGGTTCAATGGGGATCTTCAGCATCTCAATGGGACAGCTGTTCTCGGTACCCTGCAGGATGTCGAACGCCAGGAATTCCCCAAAGAAGGCCAGCATGGTGGTGCGATTGCGGACCGACGGCAGACCATCGCGACCTTTCATAAACCGTTGCGAAAGCAGGCGCGGAGAAGGCTGTTCAGCGGAGGCCGCCAGCATGTACACACCGTCTGTGTAGGAAGTTGGAGCTTTACGGATAATGTGGGAATCTGCAAAATTAGCAGAAGCACTATTCAAACTGTAAACATATTTTAGGTCGATCAATCGCATTATCACCTACCAACTGAGCCCCAGTCGGGGTGCGCCAGATTATTATACCATCCATCGTATCGTTGTACCTCGACCGGACCTCGGCTGCCGGAAGCCGACAACGTCTCATAACATATTGCGATGAAAACCCATATCAAACCTACCATCATAATGCGGTTAACAATGATGGCTCAGTACGAATATAATTTACGCGCGCGCTATCGCTGGAAGTGATGACCAACTTCATATAATATTCGATGAGAAAACCTCGAGTACTCCAGAAGATATGCAATATAGATGAAAATATATGTACGTACTTTATTATGTGCACTCAGTAGACTGCAAATAAGGCATTCAATGTGATAAAGCATGTGTACAAACAAAACGATCGAATGTCGAAAATTATGCAACAGGATTAAGCGGAAAATCGTTTAACCATGAAAAATTACTAACACAAAAAAGCATAAAGCAAGTGTTATTACACTTATGCAACTGACCCGAGTTACGTGCATATTTCTCTTATGCGCAAAGCTAATGTCAGATTTGCGCTCATGACAAGAGACTGCCTTCCGTGAAAATTAAGTCAAGTATTGATTGAACTATTTTTGTTTTAAAGATATAGAGGCAAAAGTAGCTGCATCAAATATCCATTATCCACAGACCACAGAAATGATCAGTGCCGAGAAAACCATCATTCCCTCACACTGGCTTATCAGTTACCCCATAAAATTAAGCGTTTAATTAACGGAACACGGTTTACGTTTTATACTGCAGGTATACTTACAGAATTACCAGCGAGTGTATAAAAGTTTAGGGCCCTGGAATTACGAACCATGATACAATGATTACAATCTCAGATCACTTTCACCATTGCTTTCACTGCTGCTGCTCATTATGAACAGTTAATCACAGCTGACAGCCAGCTGACCTACTGTAGTGGCACAGTGACAGACACAGCTGTGCCAGATATGAAACCACAACACGGTCAATAAAAGTTTTGGTTTGAAGAACGAAAGTCAACTGGGTGTGTAGTTGCTTAATAAAATTTAAAATTCAGCGTCATTTCAGATTATAAACATTTATGCAGCTCACTAGTCAGCTTCAGTCCCGCACTGCCGATGTTGGCATCCGCCAACTAATATACTGTTTGTAGACTGTCAGAGACAAATCCCAGAAAAACGAAATTTTCAGTTTTAGCATAAGCAAACGGTGAAACGCGGCACTTGTTCAAATTAAAATAAGTATGCTAATATTTGCAGATGCGTAACCATTATGAGAATGTCGTTATTATGCTTCAACGATTGCAACAGTGTCTCCACTGACACACTTCCGGTGCTGCACTAAGAGACCTGTGTACCTGCTAGTGACCGCGCACTGATCAGCATCGCTGCGTCTGGATCCCGACCGAAGAGTTCAAACAGATCACCGCAAACGGAAGCGTCCGCAGGCAAAAATAACCGAAATACATGAGCGAACAATACACTTTTTCAGTCCAACGCATAAAGGATAATATAGTATACCAACAATAATATTGTAATAATAATATCCCAGTGAGAGGTCAGAGATCCTGCACAAAATCCGGTCAAGTGCAATGAGGAAATTTTTGACTTAAATTAGACATCCAGAAATGTCACGTAACAGCATGACTGCGCCACGGCATGACGTTCAGAACGTGAAATACAGCCGAATGATTTGCAGGATTAATCATCATCAGTCGGAGCTGTAATGTACAAACGCCGTTAACCCGCGATATCCATATTCATAGACTTAAATAGCGAAATAGGCATTTAGAGAGCACGGTTAGAATTCGCAATGCAGTGAAACAAAGGTAACCAACGTATGGCTTACGGGAAATTAAAAAAAGTATATGTACACAGCGGCACCTTAGTGCACTATACGGTACCTGTTGCACAAGAGTCTGATTACATATGCGGCACTTCTTGCACGCATGACCAGCATTTTTGCACTGTACGCGCCTGAATACTGCAGTCTTTCACGGCAGGCTGTGCAACTTCACGAAGCGGTTACGTATAGCGCGATAACTCAACAAAAAAGAATCTTTACGGAAGTAAGCTCAGCTCATGATCAGCATCTTTAGTCTGTTATGAAGTGGTCTAGAAAATTTCGAATGATTTAAAAAAGTAGCACCACCGTTTTTGCTAGCAATATTACTGCTGGCGGAGTAGAACCTTTTCTTATTACATCCTAATTGCAGAAACGTAACACAACAGCGCCGTACGGCAGCAGTGCAGCCTAAAATCCGTATTTCAATAACTGTCTTAGTGATCCTTAGCATTTAATCATTATTTTATCAGCTGATTAACGCGGCCTTACTCGGTAAAATCGTAATCGTAAATCGTAATCGTAAAATCGTAATCGTAATCGTAAATCGTAATCGTAAATCGGACTGAATTACCATCAGAATTAGTAGGCTTGCAAAGCATGCGTACTTATCACTTCCACTCTCCGCATTCCCATGAGATGATGGTTCAGTGGGATAGTCGTACAAAATTATGAATATTCTAGCTGTATATCTGGACATCCAGCATCCTTAGGCATTTCACAATCATAACTGTTACTGTTCCGCTTGTTCGTAATATTCGTAAGCAGATACTGAATAGAAATCAGTCATAGCAAACAAGCATTCAAGCAGAAAGTAGCAATCATTAAATCATCGCCACGCAATCCACCTGTAGCTGTCGGTGTGCTACATGTTTCATTCATGCAAATACGTAATCGGATGACATAAAACAGCTTATTTTTGTGGTGATGGATAGAACGCCTGCGCATACGCGACCAAGATACCTAAAGAGCCAGAAAAATGCGCAACGGTACAGCTTTTTCCATCACCTGTTTATTGTGCGTCAACGTCGTTGGATGGCCACATGGAGCTGTTTCTTGGTGGCTCGTTTCATTTCCACCAGACCAGCCGCACGCCAGTCTCTGCTCCGTAATGATCCGTATCACGTGATTGGTCTGCATCTCTTACGTAATCGCGCTCACTGTTCCTCTACAGACTGTAGACGCTGTATCGGTACACCGTACACACAATCATATAAATATGCGATGAACGCACCCCGCAGAAATTAAACGGATTTTCGGTATTTTCAAGCGTTTATATTTATATGTCTCCTCTTCCAACATCAACCAGTACGAGAGTTCATAATCACTACACTATATTCGTTTTCACACTGAGTGCATTGCTTCAAACGATCATCGTCTATCAGATTTTTGCTACACCTAGGGCTAAAAAATCCAATTCGCACAAATAATCAGATAAAATAATTACCATGAAATAACACGAAAATTCAGAAACAGTAAAGGACAAACCTCACGGTTATACATGCATCGCAGTAACAGCAAACCCTACTTCCGCGAACCGCGCTGCACCATCGTGCGATCTTCAGTGATCTGACTAATGTCTGATCCAAAGGTCAAGTTCAACGCTCCCCGGGTGCGGTTGACCATGGGCGTGCTGATTGCGCGTGCCGATCCTGGCTTTGGTTTGCGTTTTTGTGGTTTCGGTTCTGGCTCCACGGTCACAGAGAGAACCGGCTCCACGGTCACAGAGCGCTCCGGTCTTTCCTCAAGTTGTTCATTCGGAGTTTCTCGACACCATGGGATGTCATCCGGTTCAGACAACACAGCATCGGTTCTACCTGATTCCCCAGATGCTGGTGCTTCCTGAAAGCATGTTATATTGTTAAATACTCAAAAGCAAAACGAACACCTCTCTGGTTCGTTCTTCTGGATACTAAAAACGTATAGTATAGTCGGTTTGCTCGCCCACCGTATAATGTGATTTTACCGACGAGTCAGCGGGAGACACCACACTGCTCGCGTTCGATTCTTCTTACCTTGCAACGGTGGAGCTTTATATCAATTACCAGAGCCTTGAAGATCAAGCCTTCCGTGCCTCCAGTTTGTCGCGCCAGTTCTGAAAAACATTTCATAACTTGCGTAGAATGATGAAAAGACCTTCTTCAACTTTTTCTCAGCAGTACTTTATCAAAGGTCATAAAATCAAAATTTGATTCACCGAAAAATTGATACTAGGTACTGCTCAAATTTTCTAGATGTATTTTTCTTGGTTAGTTGCTTCAGGTTACTATCGATTGTGAAATGTACGATAATTCACAGCTAATGTTCCGCCAACGTTAACTGTATATAAATATTGTACGTATGAATATGATTATGATATTGCACGATTCCCGATTCTGGGAAAACACATTTTCGATTTCAACCATGTCATTAACGTTAAATACATATGTAAATTACCTTCTAGATCAATATCGCTAATTTGAGCCATGTGGTCCACTAACGAGACACATGCATTAAAAAGCTCAGGATCATTTGTCAGCTCACGAAGCTGTCGGTATACCGCCGCCAAGACTGGAATCAAGTGACGTTGGATAAGCTCTTTCCTGAATTTATTCCAAATTTGTTTCATTTCTTCTTTAGACATTTTCTTTCCCTGCCGTTGAGCAGCATCTTCACGAGCGTCTTCGTTTTCATTTTCATCGTCTATCTCATCTTCATCCTCTTCCTCCAGAAAAGCAGAGAATTCCATTTCCTTTAAAAGAATTACAGTACTTATTAGCTGTCTCAACGGCTTAGGCGCATTGATAGCAGTCGCATATTTGTGCACAACTGATAGCATTCGTAATTGATAGCATTCTCATGCTTGTACACAATTATCCTTTTTTTACTTATTTTTACCTTTAAGCCGAGTATTTTCATTACGTCCATTAAAACATCTCGATATGCACTGTTCGCAGGGCGGGCAATGTCTACTTCTTTTGTTACCACCGGTACCAAAATCTGTTCCAGAATACGATGAACTGTCAATCTTTTCTGTTGGTCATTCATCTGTTTCAGCATAAAAGCATAGATTTCCACTCGTTTTTCGGTATTCTGTCGGCCAACCAAGGGAACTTAGCGTGGTTCCGATCAGCAACTTGCGCCGCTTTAAAGCGAGGATGGGTTATGCACCGCGGAAGAAACACTACCGCTTCGGCAAAATCAGTGTAGCAATTGTTGCGTTTCTTAATCAAAGAACGCAGGCAAGTCCGTACGCTGTCCCTAATGCTTTCATCCGGGTCACAGGTAGACGTCAGGAACTGATAAAATACCGTCGGGTTCCATTGCAAATGTTCGTTCAACAGCAGCGTTTGGATATGGTTAATAACATCACCGCGAATTTCGATGCAGGGGTCACTCAGCCAGCCGTACACTTTGCCCAGATGGGTCTCGACAACATCCCCGAACATTCTTAAGATATCAAACACCACAACAATGGCGTCTCGCCGCAAACCGTTATCGATATTAAGTCCGTTGGCAACATCAACGATAGCTGCAATGTTATTCCATGCAATGGTCTTGGTGCCCAAGCATAGCCTTCCCAGCGCGAAAACTGCATGGGCTCGAATCCATGGGCGATATCGTGAGCGAGGTCCCCCAAAATCACACATCCGCACAATCAGTTTTAAGGGGTCATGTTCTGCGAAACGGGTAGCAGTCTGACCTTTCTGATACAAACCGGCATGTAAAGCAATCTCTCCGATCAATCTGACGTCAAAGGCTGCGCCCGCATCCTTATCTGGGTCGTCCAAGTCAGTTAAGCGCTGCAAAGTTTCATCCAGTCTGTCTGTAGCCTCCAGTAACTGATTATTGGACCACGGAGTAAATTCTGTGGAGTCATCGCACAATTCATAGTAAGAATGAATGCAGCGGACAGCTTCTACGATTGAAGCCACGCCACGGGTTCGAGGAAAAATGCTCAGAAGGTGCTGTCCATAGCGCTGAAGGTCAGCAGGCTTACTGACGCTGAGATTAAAATGCACAATCTGGAATGCACTAGCACAAGCCATATCCTCCTCAGCCACATCTGCCTCAGTTTTCAAAAAGTCCAATGCGAAATCCACATTTCGATCATCCTTGATGAGTCTAAATAAACAGCGTGATGTGGCAATTGCCAATGTACAGTGTGTCCAATGTGCCTCTGACAGAGCGTGATGTGTCAAATTACGAGTACCAAAGTCTCTAGATACATTTTACCAAACTTCGAATATAGAAGTCGAACTTAATCAAATCGACGGTGACAGTGACAAACTGTGAAAAAATGTTACCTTGATAGTTCTGCAACAAATTTCCAGGCTGTTGCTCGTACGGTTTTGTCTGTGCCATCCTTTGTTAATACATTTGCTTTGATGTACTTGATCGTGTTTTTGTTAATTGCATCAAATCCCACGGCATCTGCGTCTTTCTTCATATCGCATAACATTTGCCGCAACAGCCGCAAATTTCCAACTTCGTCTTTACAGATGCGGCCTAACACGTTCCAGGCCATAACGTTCTTCCAGCTCGTGGATCCATGGGCTGAACAATTTCCTCCATAATCACTGCTAGAAATGACCGGACTGTCGCATCGCGAATACTTTTTTCAGCATCCATGTATTGATTGAAAACGCATTTAATCCATAAATCAGCAAAAACATTCTGATCGATATGGCGCAACGAAGCTACAACTTCCATATTGACCTGGCGGACTAATTTAGCTGGATCCTGTGCAGCACGCAGAATGACCTCCCGCACACGCTCGCTGAACAAATGGTCCCCAGTGTCCGCTCTCAACAGTTTACCCAAAAGTTGTATGCATGTCCTTCTTGGGGTGGCGAAGACATCAGAGCAGCCATCCAAAATCGTATCGAATACTTTCCGAAAAGAACCTACTCGAGACCAAGCAATGCATCAACACACGAATTACTGACCACAAAGTTTTTGTTTGCTCCAGACCATAAACCTGTTACCTTCATCTTGCTGAGCTGTATGCAAGCGTTCCATCCACTTAACGCCGTTTTTCTCAAGAGGAAGAGATTGAAGAACAGATGCAGCAATCTTGCGGACTCTTCAAAAAAGTAAAAGGATGAAGTTTCTTCTTAAACGATTGACGGTCTTAGATAACAAACCAGATATTCACTTGTAAGAGAATACGTAAGCACAGAGCTCGCAAAACTTTTGTTGCGGTCAAAACATTATACCATCTATAATCTTTTTAAATATTTACGCGAATTTTTAGAAATTCACCCATAACTTCTGACCACCTAGAATACCACCAAACAAACAAATTGAAATCGCGATGCTTAAACGAAAAGAGCTATCCTTAGTCCTTGAATGAACTAAAGCAACTGAGAAACTTACTGTGCAGATTTGTCTTTCAATCGGTCACAGCAAACTTTCCATACGATGGCTTCCACGGTCGCAGTTTGAGCGTATGGTATATCAACTGTAACAATCAAAAAGAAAAAAATAATTTCTTTCAAGAACTTACGTTGTAAATAAATGTTTAAGAACAGTGACCTACAATTTTGCCAATCTTTCAAAAAAATGGCAGAAATTACTTCCAAAGCAAATTTACGATTCCTGATCCGCTCGGCTTCGGATTCCATAACCACCCACTGTACCACCTCGATCCGTAAATTGAAGTTAAGCGCATCCAGAAACCGGACGAAAGTCTAGATAACCAAGCAGGGCTTTAACGAAAATAAACTAAACGGAAGGAAAGTGTCTAAAATTACCGAAGCACACGGCTGCCGATAACTTTGGCTATCCGGCACGTTTGCAAACATATTTTGCATGAACCCGAGGAAGGTCTGGTCATAGCCATCATTCTCGAGGAACGGTGCCATAATTTCGCAAATAAATTTCGTAACGCGTTTAGAAAAAGCGTCCACGTTGCGTGGAATTGTCGGTTTGTAGCTAGTCAAATCGTCCGCCAAACACAACAAGCCGGGCAACAGTCCGAATAGCACCTACAAATTATTAAAAACAATAATAAAGAACAATTATCGCAATACAGAAAAGTAAAATTTACGGCTTCAGTTTGTTACCATGCGCAGATTTGTTTCGCGAATATCCCGCTTTAGTTGAACGGACACCAAGAGGGAAAAACAGTGGCTGGCGACCAATCGTCTGGTGTTTATAGGTGGGCGGGGATTTAACACGAACTCTTCACCGGGTAACTCTTGAACCCAAACATTGGCCAGAGAACGCGCTAAACGGCCCATATGAAAAGGTGCAGAAGCCAAATCCACGGACTGCAGATAAACTGCCCATGCCTACAAAATCAGTTCATAAACTAACTACTGACAAAGCTGCGTATGTAATCCATAGTTGTCTCTACATCACTACTGCGCATATAAAATCCTTGAATCATAAACGAATAGGTTACTCTTATTGTTTTTCGATCCTTGATAATTCTAATATTGTAGCACACGCAAGCTGTTCCCAGAAATATTGTATACAGTGTATCCTTCATGGTCAGACAAAAATGGCTTTCGATTTGAGTAAAAACGGTACAACGTTGTTAACATAGTGAAAAAACAATTTCGAGCCTAGGATGAAACCAACACGATACAGCTTGCTTTTTAAAAACTCTTGCCAGAATTCTTTAGATAACCAAAACCATTTCTATCTCTATTATTAACAGCAACCGGCTAGCCGAACATTACCTTGTCGTCGTATTGTTAAATTACCTTCAGCAACATCAGCTCGGCATCCGGCCACATTACATTATACGCCATGGTAACTTCCATTTGGTCCTCTTCGGCGTCGGGCTCCTCAAGCTAAAACGATCAGTAACACAAATGACAATGGCAGGTTCGCCACGCACTCATTTCCACAATCTCACCACAACTTGCCGCCCGCGCCCTTTTTTCACCGGAACCGCTGTTTTCCATCCGCCGGGAACGCACAGCATGTCCGCACTCTTCGAGAACAGACTCAATAAGTACAATTTGGAGATCATGAGCTCCTTGTGTAGGGCGGCGGGGATCTGGCCTTTAGTGGCGGCCAGGAGAAGAATATAAAAAGCGCCGGCCAAAGCACCGCGCACGGCAACTCCGCCGTTGCGTTTAGCCTAAAAACGATTAACACAATATGGTAATGGAAGTCCAAAATGCCGATTTTCGTTTATGTTTTCCGTGCGAAAACGGATTGTTTGGCGTCAGATTTAAAAGAATACTACCAACGCGTTCCCATCCGAGGTACGGCGTACAAAGCTAACAAAGGGTTTAGCGAACCTGAACAGTAGTTCTCCATTCATAACAACTTCTAACGGATAATCATATCATAAACTGGCCAGTATAAATTCTCAACGAAATAGTGTCTTTTAGGTCAGGACTAACTTACCTTAACTCCAAGATGCAAAAACACTGCAACGGCAACTAGTATTTCCCGTACAGGAATCTTGGCGTGCTCCAGCGCAACAAGGAGATCTAAGCAAAAAAACGGAAACTGTCACGCCCACGCCTAACAGTTCCCTCATAATTAACAGGAACAGAAAAATAAAACTTTCACGGCTTCATTCAACAAAGTTATCATTACTCTGACGATTGTTTCCGCCGTTATCCGCCGTTGGCTTTTCCAGGGCGTGGTGCAACTTTTCCACCACATTGTACAATGCATCAATGCTACAGGACTGTAAATCCTCCAGCACGGCTTCGTCGATCTGACCCAAACTGAAGCCAGCATCGTAGCATTCCATAACGAAATCTGCCAATTACAATGAAGTGTAGAGGCGGTTCGCAAGAAAGCAAACACTATGATTTCGGAGAAGAGTTCAAAGTGGGTTGCATCTTTCCATTTCATTTTTAGCAACGGAAATCCAAAAACGACAGGCAAACTGGAACTAGTCTGTCGCCTTACCACTGTTCAAGAAACCCTCTCCAAACCGGAGTCCATGGAAAGCTTCGATAACTTCGTTGAATTCCTCGTCCTGCTCCATTGTTTGTGGTTTGACCGTTTACGAGTTTGCAGTCCAGAATGGTTACCAAATATACTGAGTCGGAGTAGACTCAGTGAAGCCACACATCGGCCTAGAACTTGGCAAGTGTAGTTCTGAAGAACCGTAGTTATCGTACGTTCATAAGAGTAATAAAGTCAGTAAAATTGAGTAAATAATAAAATCCCATGGCTCTACAAAATCCAGAATCTCTTCATCATCGCGTTCAATAATTATCAGAAATATCATGAAGTAATATTAATAATAGGAATCGGTTCATTGTCTCCTAGAGGACTGCGCGGTAGAAACCTCAACGGATTGTGACGATGAAAGACTGGGCGGTTGATGGTGATACAACAGGTTTATGGGGTAATGCGCTTATTTTGTGTTTTTCGTTTTTTTTTTGTTACTGTAAGTACTTTAAGTCTTTAATCATTTATCGATCTTATTGTTAAGTAATTATTCCAATGTGATATATTCCTTGTATTTTAGGTAAATTTAACTCAATCTCTAAATCATAGGTTAAAATAGTGTGTGTTATTACTCTGTTTGTGTATTATTAAATGTGTTCTGCGTATTATTAACTTCTCGAATGTGCGAGATTAAAAAAGTTGGAATCCGTTGAGAAAACGTTAGAGCGGTCTGTCCAATATAAAATTTGAATTAAATATTTGTATTTTTAATGGAATTTCTAACTTTTAGGACAAATCTTATTATAGAAATTTGTTTTATTACTAAAAATAAAATAATATTATTATTGATTCGATAAATCAATACGGAGATGATTTCTGCGTGTATTATATTCAAAATGTGAAGAGCGGTTTCCCAGGCCAAATAGGCCATAGACGTACTGGGGGAAGAAATTGTATCTCCTTTGCTACTGTAGAAGGTGATGATCATGTCCATCTTCAGGCTAAGTTTTTGTTTAGGTCAAGAGTGGTACACTTATTCGTCACTTTCTCGCAACCAAATAAATCAAGTTCAAGTAGTTCATCTCCTCAACAAACACGATGATGTAGAAAACGTTCCCATGAATCCCTCGTATATGCGCCAGTTAAATATGTGAGGCCGAGAGCTGCACTGATGATAATGTGATTTATAATATATCCAGATTTCATGCGACATAAAATTATAAAAAATAACAGTCGAAGAAATAAACAGTGGCTTAGAAATAAAGCAATATTTAAAACTTTAACAATAATTAATATAATAGGTCTTAAAATTAAGAACTATCACACAGTTAAAGACATACCGTAAAACGAAAAATTAGGAAAAAAACTAAGGAACATGAAAAGAATTACAGTACTAAGTACGTTATATCTATAATACCTTTGTATCAAATAGCCTTGGTAAACTTTGATTTTAAACACATATTAGCTTGTGCGTGTGGGAAATACTAATGCAGGAGGCTAGTGAGTTATCGTGGGGAATATTCCGCATGCATAAACCGTGCGCGCAATACATAATTGAAAGACGGCAAGTATTGGTTGTGAGTCGGATCGAGAGACATCTACTTACTCGCATTCGAGAAGTGGATGGAACAGCAATCTGTTTTCGCAGTGGGTCACTTTAAGTGCTTTAAAAATTTTCTCCATCACCTGCCGTTGTTATTTTTAATCCACAGAAGAAAGGAAAGCGTTAGTCATCCGCTTAATAATAACGCATGTCAAATATGCAAGGTGATATATGCCGTGAACGTGAGTGATATACATATGGGCCACATGATAACGCAAAACTACGCTGTAAGCAAAAACATTCTCCTATTAAATTTAAATGCATAATAACAACACTGGCCATAAGTATGTTTAAATGTACAATATTATACTCGTACAACACTTATTATCAATAATTACACATTTACAATCTATGCCGGCCCGGAAAATAAAGTGCCGAATTACTATTGTCAAAAGTTTTACTTTTATGTTTTGTAAGACCATACATAGTATGCTTTTTCCGCCCACGATGCCACTTCCCATTTTTGGATGCCGGTAATTAATTTTAAGTTATGTAATAGCAGAAATGTAATTAAGACACATATCTATGTTGATTGGACCATAACGCAAATTTGATGACGTCCATCGTTACGCAATAACCGAAAAACAATTTACGCAATCATAATAATTAGAGGTTTTCAACAAATTGCAAGCAAAAACATAAATCGTCGCAACCGTCGACGATATGCTACGTATTTTACTAATTTTAGGTATGTAAGCTATTTCATGTATGTGTAGCACATTTTTTACCAATGAAAAGATGCAGGAAATCTACCTCCAGTAGCAGTACAAATGATTTTATTGAGCTACGAATATTAATACATGGAATCGGGATGCCACTTCGGCTCTCCTGACCATTGTGCAGGATCATTCCTTATTGCTCTCATACGTAGGGAATAGAAAGTGAATACTGAGACAGCTGTTTGACCCTTTTAAGCCGATAGGCGGTCATCGGGAAAGTTCAAATCCAGAATGAAGCCGAGCGGCGGAACAGAAGAACCGGTAAAACAAATGTCAGTAGCCCAGACAGTCGAACGCAATCATTCGCCAAGAATGATTCATATTCTGCTCGAATAACCATCACAATGGACAGTCTATATAGATTTTCAAAAATATAGTTAGAGCCGCAACTGCCATCTTACTGCAGCCAATAAGCTGAACTTATGCTAGGCTGCTAGCCCGCTTATAACAGGCATGCCGGAAACATCTGCATTGTCCGCGCTACTTCAGTATTTTACGATTTATGATTTCTAACGCTCGATATACCATGTTTATGCGCTGCAGCCGTTGATGTCTGAGAAAGAAGACTCTGTATGTTGCAAAGTGGGTTTGCTTAATAAATTTTAGGTTATTTAATGAGGACCAGGATTCTCTTATTTAAAGCCAAGCTAAGCATTAAAGGCGTATATAAAAAGCACCCATAGTTTCCATATACATTTATAACGGATTGCATTCAGATATCGTGAGTCTTGAAGAGCGGATTAACTGATTTTATAAAAATGGGCCCCCGAAAAGATTAACAGGTAAGTTTATTTATTAAAGTTAACAATTTACAAAAAGCGTGTTGTGTGCATGCGCATGAACTTCTTGACGCCATTACGATTGTGATACAGCAGCATTTTTGGTCCGATGTGCCAAGATAATTATGCCGAACATAAAAACATCATGTTGCTCTTCTCTTTGCTATGCTCATTGGTTCGATTAAGTTATTAAGATGTTGATAAAGTGTTGTGCAATATATATTGGTAATGGCACCTATATTTTGTATTGTACTTCTATCTGCATATTATAATCTATATGCATATTTATCGATGCCGTACACGGTATAATAGTGGTGTTTACCATAATTATAGTACATATATCGTATTGTATATCGCACCGGTGTGATTAGAGTATAGTCTGGGGCATACTGTTGAGGCTAGCATTATGCTGACGCAGTCACTTCGTTTGTTTTTCGGTAGACGAGCACTGTTTTCAACAAATAACTACAACTGAACCTAATTTCTGCCTAGGAAATAATTAATATAAATAAGTCTGGGTCAAGCTGATTGACGTTAAAACTTTTACAAGTATTTCATATTCACTTGTGCGAACAATATTTTGCCGAGCGCACGGACACCTTAAGAGGGGAAGTGTCTGATGATACCCACCACAGCTGTAATTAGCAAATTAACAAAACCAATCTACTTCGACACCACATTTCATGTTTTCTATAAAATGTAAGTTTCTCTAATAGCTGCTCTTCTGTAATTCTTTCGGATCATCACAAAATATATTCACGATTATAGAACAACTGGGTCATTAGTATGTTTCAGGGATTTTGCGCAGAACATTGTCCATTCGTACTGTATATCAGCTAAATCACCGTATTAAATTTTGTAAAAACTATTGTATTTATGAAACCTGTATTTGAATGATTTTTCATCGATCTGGAAAAATTACCTGTATTATACCCTCTGCGCTTACGCCACCCATCTGTTTGCTTGTGTTTTTGAGTATGTTCCTAAAGCTGCTAATAAATTAAGACATATTTCGAGAGTGCTACCAGTTGATACGTCTATTAATATCATGTTATGCATGAGAAAGATACAGTAGCTGAATTACCCATTCATAAGAGATTTAAATGTACAAATACTGTGTATACAGATTCCGTATATGTATTATGTATATATCTGCAGGTAACTATATATACCTCGCACACGTAAGTGTGCTTTCACAAGAAAAAATAAATTCTTAGTGACATAATCAACAACTTGCAAAATTTATCAGGTACATTACCGACATCTATATTGCTACGCTTCGGTCACACAAAGTGCCCGCAAAAAGCGAGTGCACTTTCCTTTCCTAGTACATCTGCAGGTCCAGTAGTTCTGGGGGTACGCAACCATAGAATATTATGTGTAAGTTAACCGTTTCCTGGAGCATCTTCTGTATCCGGTAGATCGTTTCAGAGTTCTATCACAAGGCTTGGTGTCTGTACTATAACCTAAAATTAAAATAAAACTTTTATTAAATAAAAGTTATGACGAAAAGTCTATCACGACAAATTTTGGTGCTTTATGGATCTGCTTAATGAACAAGGTAATCAGTTAAATCTTATATTGTGTGTTACTTATTGCTATGCAGTAATCAGTTTACGGACATAATGAAAAGAGTCAAAAACAGACAAACTATGGCATACACTTTTTAGTCTAACGTGTTTCCGGTTTACAACTAATTGTTTCTTAAGCCGTGTAGCAAACGATCGATGGATGATCTAAGAAGTTGCTTTGTGAACTCCATTGATGATCCGGAAGCTAAAGGTTAATGAAGCAGCTCGTAAGGCAGGCAATTCAAGTCATATTATTGCACACGCAACGATGCCAGCTTTTTGCATGTATTCCCACAGGCTGCTGAACGTGTGCTTGTCATCGTCCTGTTCTTTTCTTGGTTTTTAATATCCATCGTGCCCTTTTGTGCATTTATGATTTAACCACTGAACGGAAAAACCGGATGTTGAGAAGATTACAAGGCTGTTGATGCCACCGATACTGAGTTTATTAACCAGATCTTTCTTAGCCGTTAACACATGACTACAGTGTATTGCAACACGACGAGATGTTGCATTTGATAGTGATATTTTCTAGCAAATCAAAGCAAACCCGCCGCACTACTTGTCGTTGGAGAATTAGCATTATTACTGTACCGACTATGGATTTAAACTGCCGAAGTCGAATGTGCTCACGACCATGCAGCGCGCAGTTGCCAAAACTTAATCTCCGTCATGAGCAGTTAACTCTGATAAAAA